CAGATGCAGCCGTTTCTGAAGGGGATATTGGATAAATTGAAATGGTTATAAAGGAGACTGGCGTAGCCGGGTGCTGCGCCGCCTGGTTTTTCTGTGCGGTTTTTATCTCTGGGAAGCAAAGCAGTGAGGATGAGGAGGCGGTAAGCGGCGAAAGCTCCCGGCCACGGCACGCAGGGTTTGCTCAGGGGGGCAGGAGTTTCGTCTGGGCTTGGCTCCGTCCTTTGAAAGGTTAATGCTCTGGCCCACTTCAAACCTGCAGGCCCTATCAACTCCATCTGCCAATTAAATGGAGGGCCTGGGGCTTTGTCTGGAGCTTTGTCCGGGGCCTCTCGCCCTTCAAAATGTTTAGTAAGAGAAATGGCATCTGCCCTGCGGAGAGCTGCGTTCACAATCCACTCATGCCCTGAGAGCGCCGCGGCGAGGGACCCGGGGACAAAAAGGGGATTTCATTTGCAGATGTGATGCAGTGATCTCATATAACCGCATTCAAAATAGATGAAAGTGTTATTGCTTCCCACGAGTTGAATAATTGGGAATCTGAAAGACAAATCTTCGTTATTATGGACACGGCTCACTCTCCCCCCGCCTCCTCCTGGTCATTACCGACTATCAGGAGCGTTTATTAGCTTTGCAGACATGCATACTCTGAGTCAGCTCGCAGGGAGCGGTGACCACAGAGCCGATGACTGAACACAGAGCTCCACCCTGAGGGATCAGAGTCGACGTCTCAGCACGGTCCACCAGCGCTCCTGGAGCCCGGGACCATGAAACACTTCAATACGATGACATTTAAAAGCATTAACGTGAAAAAGAGTCCGATCCAGCATATCAAAGAGCGGCCATTTTTCTGAGGTCATGTAAGGGTTAGGAGCTCAACTGTTGGTACGCCGAGGTTAGAATTAAAAAGGAAAAGTTTGAGATTGATTAAAAATATTTCAAAAAACTGAAGAGGTGTTGAACTGTTCGCTCACGCAGTCTCTCACAGAGTCCTGAACCTCTTCTAACTTTCCTCCTGAGAGACTCCGCCTCTCTGTACGTCCTTTTTAGACCCGGTCATGTGACTAAACTGTTGGACATTCACCTCATTAGAAGTTCCTCCAGATGTTTGGATGAAAACTTTTTTGTTTGTTTTTGTAAAATTCAAACCTACGAAAGAGGATTAGGGCCACATGAAGAGAAAAAAAAACATTACAGGGAGGAGATTATGTCGAAAATTTGAGATTAAAGTTGAAATTTTGAGATTAAAATTATAACTTTGAGATTAAAGTCGACATGAATAAAGTTAAAATTTCAACTTTTTTATATTTCGACTTGAATCTCGAAATGGACATTAAAAAAAATCTCCCTTCTGTAATTTTTTTTCTCTTCTTGTGCCCTAATCCTCTTTCATATTAACCACTCCTGGCCAAACATCCATGAACCTCATTAAAGGTGTTGAACTGTTAGCTCACGCAGTCTCTCACAGAGTCCTGAACCTCTTCCGTCTTTCCTCCTGAGAGACTCCGCCTCTCTGAACGTCCTTTTCAAACCCGGTCATGTGACCCGTTGGACATTCACCTCATCAGACTTTTTGGACTTTTTTTGGACCTGAAAACCTGGATGATCTAATCCAAAGTCTCCACCATAAATCTTAAATCCATGAGGCTTATTAAAGTTCAGTTTTTGTTCCTCTAAAGAAGACGATGATGATTGAACTTTATCTTTTATATTAAACACACGTTGGGCGGTGGAGCTGCGCCGAGTGTCTTATTTTGACAAGAAAAGTCACCATGAGGAGAGAAAAAACCTCAGACAGCCTGCAGCGAGAGCGGCGCACAATATGAAATAAAAACGCTGACAGACATTTAATGGCAACCAGCAGAAAACTGAATTCTTTATGACTGCTCTTCCTCGCCCGAAGGCCGAGCAGCCGAACGGCGTTCCAACTGCGTGTCGCCATGACGCCAGAGAGTGGCTAACGGCAAAACAGACGCCATAAATCATTCAGATTATGGTGGCGAGAGTCAAACTGTACATTGTGTTCAGAGAGGGAAACAGACACACACACACAGGGAGGTCGTTCAGCACGCACCATTGCCTTTATTGATACGTAGCTGCCAACGGTGCGAGCGTCTATTAAAAGACTCCTGAGCTCGTAAAGAGCATCACTTCCAGAAAAGAGCAACAAACATCGTCTCTTATGATGCACCTTCAAGGAAAACTGCAGGAAGGTCAACCTGAGAGGACACCTGAGCACAGTGGGCTGACAGGAAGAGGGAATCAAACCGTGTTGTAAGCATCAAGCTGCAGAGCATGAAGATAACGGAGGAGACGACCTGCTGATGAAGCTGCAGCTAAACCCCAGCGTTGAAATGACGGCGGCCTGAGTGTGGAGCGTCACCATAGATTCAGTCTGATGCTTTTCAGTCATTTTAGGTGGTCTTTACACGAGTACGAATTTGTAAGACACAGTTAAACTATCGATGTGGTGATATTGACACACAGAGACGCGTATTTGTCCATGACTCTGCATCTATTTTGAAAACAGGTCTGCAGGTGGATATCTGGGTATTCGTCTTCATGCCGTAGTTGGTAAGGCTACCACAGGTCTAAAAATGAAAGTTTTCGGACGTCTAAATTTAGACCAAGTTTAGACTAGCCGGCTAACAGAGGTCTACCAGTATATCGCGCAACGGCTATCATAATTTTTTTGGTTTAGTACTTGGAGATCAGTGATGCAACTCACAGTTGCTTTTTGAAATAAATAGTTATCGAATAACGGGTTAAAGTGCAACATCTAAATTCTGTCTACAGATATACAGAATCTAGACGGTTGAAATTAGGTCTAAAAAAATAACTAGACGTCTAATAGCCGTCTATTGCTCAGTGGGGAGTTTTCAACAAATGTTGAAAATGTTTTCACATTTCTGATTTGTTTGATGTCATTAGTTTTCTCCATAACACTAAACTTGAGGTTAAGTATCTGATTTGACTACTCCAACTGGTGTCCGACTGGAATTATAATATTTTTTTATCAGGACTTGTATTGTTATCTCCAGAATGACAAATCTTATCATGATAAATCTTTTAGTCTGTATCCCTCTTCCTTAGTTTATTTGACAAAAACTCAGAATATTTCAGTCTAGATGTAGCCGATAAAAAGTTAACAACAGTTTCACACATACGAGACAAAATGCAACAAATCTGGAACTCATGAAGAGTGTTAATGTTGTACAAATGCTGCTGCGTTAACCAGGAAATACCTGGACATCAGTGAGTAATCAGAGCTGTAATCTCTGACAAGCAGATTAAAAAACTCCTCCCTCTATCTCAGGGGTTGTAGACCACAACGGTTCATTTATTCTAAAACTAAAACTAAAAGATCGTCAGGGACAATTCTTTCACTTAATTTTGTCCCTGAATTAAGACTCTTGTTGATATGGACTTAGTAACTGTTTTTAAAATGGAAATTAATGGCGTTTTAATTATGATTAAAAAGTAAATAAACAGAGAATGACTATTAAACCTTTGTGATTAACCACGATTTTAAAAACGGACTGTGTAGAAACCCTAACTCTTCAACTCTGCAGGAACTCTTCAGTGCCAATTTGATTTTTTCCACTTCTATTTTAAAGTTTGGGTGAGTTTGCTCGGCGGCCATGCAGTGACCCCTCTCACCGGCGGGAATAAATAAAGCTACGGGGCATTTCTTTTCCACACGCCGAGAAGAATTCACAGAGGAAAATGAGCGACTGCGGGAAAATAAGTCATTATAAGACTATTTTACTGGGGCTGGTTCGATTTTTTTCATTATAAAACATAGCCTGTGCTCGCATTAATACCAAATCTGAGAGGCAAATGATGGAAAACACTTCAGCAGACATATTTCACACACACGCCATTGATTTATACTGTACCACGGTGACATACTGCAAAATCACAAGAGCATCGCGGCTCAGAGCGGCGGGCTGCACAGGATCAGTGCGTGAATTCATGTGTTTTAAGGAGAAGCTTCTCTAAATATGTATTTAATGGCATGACAGAGCATGAAGAGGATTTGCAGAGAATTTGGTTTAATTCACTCCTGTAGAAACGTCGACGCAGGAGTCCCGCCGCTTTGACTCACACGTCTGTCAAAGTGTGATGCTCATTTGACTCTGAATGAAACGCCATTAACGAGTTTCTCGTTTCTGACTCGGCTGAAAAGGTAAGCGTTAAGTTTCAGAGAGCTGGGGAATTTGGCGGTTTTGCACAAAAGAAACGAAGCACTTAGCCCGAGATGACCTGACACAGTGAATTAAGCCGTAGAGAAAACTTTACTCTCTAAGAAAGTGTTTAAGGCCAATAACCTTTTCTATCCGGGGCAATGGCCACGCTTCAATAAGGGAGCGAGTGAGTGGCCCTATCAGGAGTGTTCCTCTGTTAAGCTGCTGGACTAAAACCTCACATTGCCATGGATTATCATAAGTACCTCCCCAAGAGGCAGAGCAGAAAATCTCACATGTGGAGGCAACACTCTGCATAAACTAGTCCCCCTCTCTTTCAACCTCCTCTCTCCTCGGTTGGACTGGACCGTGAAGAGAGAGACGTGTCCACCGTCAGCGCGTCCTCGCTCATTGGCAGCCGCCGCGAGGAGGGAGAAATCTTTTTTTTCTAATGAAGAGGGAGAGGCATCGACCCCGGCCTCTGCACTTAATTAAAAGGGATTCTTCACAGACTTCATTAGAGGTGAGGAGCCGCCCGGCAGATTAATGCTCTGTGTCACTTTCCTCAGACAACAGGAACTGATGAGATCCTCCCACTTTCTGCTCACGTTCGCACCCTTATAGAGGAAGCTGTCTGTCAGTCTGGGAGGACCAAAAATAAAATAAAATCTGCTTCAGATCCAGGCAGCTGGTGAACATACTGTAATTAACTGTGGCCCGGACCAGCAGCCAGGCTCAGGCGGCGTTTAGGCGCCTATTAAAAGCCATAATCTGTGGTTGTGCAGAATCTGTAATGGATTTTTTTTCCACAGCTCTTTGACAGTTCAGGTTCCCAACTTGGTTAATATGCACTTTAAAACACTCGCCAAGCTGGAGAAAGTCAATCAGTCTTTGCCGACTGCCAACCGGCAACTCCTGAAGGAACTTCCAACCAACAGGAGATAAGCTAACTCTGAACATTCGGACTTTTAATACTCGCCCCTCCGAAAGGGGCCTGACAGGAAGTACACTGAGGGTATAGCTCCTGTTTTGTTCTTGGTCATTTCTCACGCTTATATTTCCCTATTCAATACTCTATTTTTCATGATAATGAACTTGACTTGCCGTAGTTTGCGTAACTCTGATTGACTGACGGAGATAACCAATCCCAGACTGATCCATCAGTCCTTTTATGGCTTTATCTAGCCAACCACGGAAGGCACCACCAATATAAACCAATCAGAACAAACGTAAGGCGGGTCTTGGCATCTCTAACTATCTTTCACACACAACAGCGCCAACACTTAAAACCCCTCGACTACCCAATACTGATCATACAAAATTATTGCACATGGGTTCACTTTTTGAATATTTTTACTAGTTTGATGTCGACGTTGGACAAATATTGCTATTTAAAGGTACAAATCGACGTTAAAAAAGGCCACATTTTTTTTGCTGATGACCACAGGTCGGCACATTGTAACGCCAAAGTCTCACTCTTGTCATTTTCTGAAACGTTGCAGCCCTGCAGGTCATAAACCTAAAATGATTGACCAAATATTACAGGTTACATATGATAATATTAGCGAGAATGCTAACGCAAGCTATCGGCACTAATCAAACGCTTACCGCGCTAAATAAATAACACTTTGATTCTCAACATTCACCTCTGCACATGTGACGCTTTTTTGTCAGGATCCATGACTTACAGAGGAAAGCTTTGCTCTCAGTGTGGCTGCAAACAAACAGTATTTGGACCTTTTCTTGTCTTCTTTTGGAGAATTTGGCCCATAAAGTCACTTTCCAACCTGTTCACAGTGGTGCTGGTGCAGAAAAGCTAAATAAATAAATAAAACAAATGAAATACTTCCTCTAAATTGTCATTTAAAGGCAGAGGAAATGTGTTTTCTGCAGAGTGTGCGCTCTCTGTCTGTATTTCAGCTCCATTCATGGGCATCAATCATTGCACAGCAGTGTGGATCGGAGATTTGTAGCAGCTGCACAGGCAAGCAGGAAGAAGCACGAGTCCAGCTGCAAGCAAACTAAAGTAGCATCTATATGAGGATTCGTGTTTAGAAGATCTTCAGTACAACCAAAAAAATCACATCTTGTTTTCCAGATTTTCTGCATCGTTCACTTCACCTGAACTCTCTTCACTTCACTCGTCTACCACCGCTCAGATGGGAAATATGAAATATAATGATGCAGCTACTCCTTATAATTTGCATGAGTTGCATGTTAAAAGATGCTAAAATCAAGTAAATTTTGGAGCCTAAATTGGAAATAAACAAATTTCCCACGTGAGGAACCAAGAAAAAGTCATAAAATCCAGCGAAGGCTTTTTGTGATGAATAACAGCTGACAGTACGAGGTACAGTGACATGAAACAGAGCCGGGCTCACAGCGGTTAAGGCTTCAGTCTTTGTGCTGATTGGTGCATGTTTGGGAAAACACAAAGAGGACGAGGATCAAAGAAACACAGCTCCATTTGATCGTAGTTAAACGGAGGTTCCTCCCACCACGCTCCGTAACAAGGAGACCTGAAAGGGAGGCCGGGGGAGCAGAATAAAACTCCTCTCATGAAGTGGAACCACTCAGAAAGTGTGTGTGCGCCCGACCGTCTACACACCCCTGCAGAAGAACAACATTTAACTTTACCCTCTTCCTGCCGTTTTTGTTCTCCCAATCTGTTGCCGTCTCAGTCTGGTGAGAGGCTGCTGAGGAATCCATCTCATATTAATTACTTTCTCTTTCCCACATGCCCTGTAACCAATCTGGGGAGCTGACGATGAATAACTTTGCATTTTAAATCTGCTTTGAATACAGAATTCTCTTTTCTGTTTACACCGCTCTTGGTCAACTTGTCTCCTCAAGGCCCGAGCAGAATTTTTTATTCTAGCTTTCAGCAACAGCAACAATAGAATTAAGCTGAACCAAATCTCAGAGACACTGCTCTTAATTGGGAAGAAACCCAGACTGGAGACAGACAGTGTGCACTCTGTGTTACACTGGAAAGTTAAACACGCTCGAGCTATATCTTCTTCTAAATGCAATATTTGGGAAGGCATTTACACGCCGGCCCATGAGGTGAAACAGAAAAGCTGCACATTTGATCACTGTGCACATTCAGAAGCACATGCAAGAATCCAAACAGGTTCAAATCCCCCACTAATTAACCTTTTGTAATTTATGATCATTATAGTCTGTTATTTATCCTTAGAATTGAACTTCTCAATACTAACAGTTCTTATAAAATAAAGGATTTTAAAGAAAAACGCTGCAAAAGTCGTGAACAAGCACAAAAACAGTGTAAAGTCGCTAAATGTTGCATATCCAAAAATCACCATGAAGACCTCCTGACCAGCAGGGGGCAATAATGCTTTAACATAAATATCTCAACTTTCAACTGCATGTTTCCTCTGCTCTGTTTACAGCTATGTTTAGGTTTACAGGTTCATTTCAAATACAGATTTGACTTAACTGACAAGAGCTAAAAAGCCGGGTCAACATAAACGATGGGGGACGCTTGGGGATCTTGGTGACCCTGTAACCTTTCTGCTGGACAGGTAAACCGCTTTAACAAAGTAAGACAAGTGTCTGTAACAGAAGTGTTTCTTGTCAAACGGACCTGCTGTAGCGTGTTGTAGCGCCATCGCTAAACTGTCCTCCCTCGGGTCCTGGACTATGTCACTTTATCCTCGTTGTAGAAGTCCTGCAAACATTGTGTTTGCTGGTAGTCTGTTGGCATCTACAGTAGCACCAATGCTTTTGACTTTCACCTTGACTGGGCCCCATTTGTAATGATCTGAAGGATTTATCTGCATTATATCTGAATTTAATTGGAACGGTTTTGTCTCCAACCAACAAAAACATCCTTTTTCCATCGATCATCCACTGCAGGACGATTTATAACAGAAGGAGAGACTCTCAAGCATCACATGTAAAAAACTGATTTTATCAACTTTATCAGTCATCGTGACCTAAATTAGGTGGTGGATTCAGCGAGTCTGCAGAAAACTGCAGCCTAGCGTGCATGCCGGCTCTCTCTGCAGTTTCTTGTTAAAGGGGCGGAGCTAACCGACATCCTCTGTGGCTAAAACACTTACTAGTCACATGTAAGTCATGTAACCTCACTTCAAAACAACTCACATATCCTTTTACCTTTGAACTGACTCACTGTGTTAAAAGTGAATGTGATTGCTGACAGGTAAACAGAGTCTTAAATGGATTAACCTCCCAGCTCTGCAGATAGTAAACAGTTTTGGACGGTGTTCAGCAGCGTTTAATCGACTCTGCTCAGTTTTGTCTGTTTTCTCTCTAAAATTTCTTCTTATTTTTCTTTTTCCGTGAAATTTCATCGTTTTAAGAGCTTCTCCGCCGTCGCCCAGACCGATTCTTCAACTCTGAGGTCTGTGCCGGCACAAAAGAGTCTGCATCCTTCAAAAGGTGCAGACCCTGAATTGGGACACAGCTGCTGTATGTGTTTTTTTTTTCCACACAGTGAAAATATCTCAGATCGTTGGAGGTTGTCTGCCCTTGTCAGCTAACAAAGAGTTATAAAAAATAAGAAAAACTAACCGTTGATAAATCCCAGCATGCAACTGGACTCTTGTTAGATGAGTATGCACGTGGCATTTTAAAAACATCCACTCCCAAACTGGGGCCACGCATGTTTTTCTGCACCGAGTGGAGCAAAAACACCACCTGTTATGTCTGTGCAGCTTTCCATGCAGGATTCCCACTTATCATTTCCCACCTGTGCAGAATGCAAATGCTCAGAAGACAAATGTCAAATCCATAAAGCCATTCATCAAACACTTAAGAGTTTCGGCTTCGGCGGTGTACATGCCGGTCACAGGTCCTGTGGCCTTTTCGCCGAGGTGTCACCTTGTTCCATGCATCATAACAGGTGTTCCTGCAGCCCTGCAGAAGGCGAGCGTCCCGCTTTAGAAACGAGCGCCGCTGCCCTGAGCGAAGACTGCTTAGACATGCAAATAGATTTATGACACTGTAACTTTAATTAAAATGCCGGACAGTCGGAAACAAAAGAGCCATATGTCAATAACTAAGACCTCTTAATTAGGAGCACTGACAGCTGCTAATGAGCTCCAACACACTGTCAAACCACTAAATGTCACCTGCTAACCACCATACAGAGCCAGAATGTTAATTATCCATATAGGCGGCCACATCCTAACATCATGACACACACAGAGAGTCTCTTTAAAACATAAAGTCTGGAGCTGCATGAGTATGTCGTGTTTATATCATAGATATCTTGGATTTCTATCATTTCTATCGATGAGGCATTTTGGGCATCAAACTTTTAGTTCCCTGCAATCCTGTGAACATGTCGGCAAAATTAAGTGGAAAGGCAGAAAATTATTCGTATATAATGATCAAAAAAATGAACGCTGCTTCCTGCGTGACGCTCACAGTCTAGTAAAACAAAACAAACAAACAAAAAAACTTAATCTTGGCTCTTAAATGCAGAACATGAACTGTTCAATAAGGATAAACTACCAAAAGGGCAGCAAGATGGAACTTTTTTCATATTTTATACACTTAAACTGCCCCTAGGGGGCGCTGTTTATTTTGTGTGTATGTATGTATGTATACATGAGTATGTATATATATATATGTAGATACTTTACATGACTGTCGACTCAGGAGCTATCTGTTATTGTTTATGTATTGTTGTATTGTGTATTTGTATGTATTCTCTTTGTTTAATTGTTTGTGTTTATTTTATGAATTATTATTATCATTTCTTTTATTTATTTATTTTTACATGGGGCGTATTATACATATCAGATATTTGCATTGATTTATTGTGAGTTGGTTTAAGGACCCCAGGAAGAATAGCTGAGGCTCGGCCGAGACTAATGGGGATCCCAAATAAATCAAATCAAATCAAAACCTTCCAGTTATTGGATGACCGCTCTACCTCCTGAGACACTGCTATGATAACTACATATAACCATGCACCATACTGAATTATTTCTATTTTAATAATTACTAACAGTCTGACAGAAATTTGTGAGTTTTTCTGTCCACCTTTATGTGAAAAAAGGATCATTTAAACTCAGAAATGTAGATTTTTATGTCATATTATTATGTTTAACAACATGGTATTGGCATTATATGTATCAGAAACTGATATTCACACATGATACAAACATCCAACAGGCTTCAATTTACCTAAATAAAAACAGTACCTAAAAGAACCCGATAACCACATCATATCCTCCTCAGCCGCCAACCTGAACCTCAGTTATTTATCCTTTTATTTTGTACTTTTACTCGAATTTTTATCACTTTACAGGACAAACTAAGTGTTTACTTTTTCCTGCAACAAGTGGGATCCCCACTTTGTCCACAAATGTGCTGTTTTGCAGCCAGATCAGCAGAGATGATTGAAAGCATCCGAAATTGCTGGAGGGAATTTGCTGCCAGCATGTATAATTAAGACATGAAGTCACCTCGTACTTTGTGACTGGCATGTTTCACAGTTTCTCGGTGTAATGCATTATGCAGCAGGCGACTTGGCGAAACACAATGATTCCCAAACAGATGACATTTGGTGTTATTTAGGAGGTTGGGCACAAATTCAGCAGGAGGAAAGTGCTCAGTACAAACTCTGGCTTGGCAAAAGTGTGGGTTTGAGCTGCAGCTTGGGGTCTGTCCCAGCCTCAGAGAAACCATATGGGGTTGACAAAGACGGAGAGAACAGACATGCCTCCTCCGTCAAACTCCCTGAACACTTTCACTAACTTCAGGATCATTACCAGAACTCAGCGCTTGGATGCCATTTGAATCTAAATAGATGGAAAATTAAATTTAAATGCCAGGTTGACTGTACTCACATTTCCCTCTGCACTCTATGGAGCTGCAGCGGCTGCTTTAACAGACCTGCAGTGACACCACCTGGTAGGATGTCTTTACTACAAACAGCCGTCCAACTGCTGCTGAACGTGAAAAACCCATAAAAGCTGCACACTGAAGACATTTGAGCATCTCAGACTTAATTCCCTGAATCCTGGGGAATCCTGGTGAATCCTGGTTCGACACTCTTCGGTAAATTTTAATCATGTGATCAGAAAATAAAAAATAAACATACAGAATAACCTGAAAATGAATTCTACCCAGTGAATGGAGCTCAATGATTTCAAAACTGAGTAAATAAATGTGAATCAAATGACAGAATAAACTTATATAACAGTGAAAAAGGCTTTCTGGAGAATTACACTAAGCATAATAATCAAACAGATAAAATAATGTTAAATTATCCATTTAAAGATATTAGTTTATCTTAGTTTTACTGGAAGGGCTCCCAGAGGTCACTTTTATGTTGAACCAACAGTGAGTGAGCATAAAGGACACTTTGGAGGGAGAACCAGAATTCACTTTTCTCATGTTTTTAATGGATTTTAATTCATTTTCGATCAAACTGCAGCTTTTTCTACAGCTGACCACACGACTCTCATCTCCTCCTGTGAGCGCTGTGTGGGTTTAAAGAGCCTCAGAGGGGTTCAGGTCTCATCTGCCCCTCTGGTTCTAGTCCTGGACCAAAACGTTTTCCCTATGACTCTGACTAGAGCTGGGCAATGAATATGATTTAGTTTAGAAAATCAACCTTAGAAATATACCTGAGGAACAGAGCGTAGATGAGGCTCCTGCTCTCAAATACTTCCTACTAAGACTAATGAACAACCACTGAATCTACAACAAGTACAAACTGTCAGGCAGCTACAGGAGGAGAGAGGAGAGCAGGGAGAGGAAGAGGAGGAGAAAGGAGAAAGGAGAGAAGAGCAGGAGGAGACAGATGTCTGAAAAGCCCAGGGACAGAATGACCCTGATAAGAAGGAGGTTGAGGTAAACAAACTCTGAGGAGCTTCTTGTCTGCTGAGAGACATCTTTCTGAATCATGACAGAAGACAAAAGTTTGAGTCCTTTCAAATAGTCAGAGCACATCACCTCCATCCTCACCTCCATCCTCACCTCCTTGTTCACTTTAGGATTTCATTGTTTGTATATAAATCTTTAAACTCAGCAGCTTCAAGGTCCATCTCTCACCCCCCTCTCAGCTCTCAGACCCCTTTGAGGTCTTTAAGGTCCACTGAACAGTTGTTCCTTAAACCCAGACTGAAAACCTGGGGTTTTTTCAGCGGTGGCCCCCAAACTGTGGAGCAAACTGGCCCCTCAGATCACAAACGCTGCGACTTCACAGACTTTTAAACCCGTCTAAAAACCGTTTTTTATTCTTTGGCTTTAAATCCAGCGTGAGGGTTTCTGTTTCTCTGTCTCTTTTAAGAATTAAGTGGACTGGATTGGATATCGGACATGTCTGGTTTTCCCACATTTAAAAGCCGGTTTAATGGAGTGAATGAATCACTCATTTACCTGCAGAAATCCTCTGAGTCTGGATCCATCTGCAGCTCCTCTCCCGGTCAGCGCCTGAACCTGAGGGAGTATCAGAGATAATAGGTGTTTACTTTGCAGGAAAAGCATCAAAACTGTTGTTCTCCGTCGGCGGAAGATGACTCACCTTCTCCTCATCATGATTCAGCTCCTCCTCCACTTTCACATCAGGAGACAGATCCCCACGGGGAACCTGAGGTAGAAGTGAAGAGAAAGCACAACCTGTAATAAAACCCTGTCAGTCTGGATGTTGTTGTATCTTTGATGGCTTTTTATGGGAGGTGGATCACAGACAGGACCTGGTGGGCTCTCTGATCAGTTTAGCGTCGCCTTCTTCGAGTTGACGATGTCTTTAACGAAGTGGACGTGATCTCCAGCAGGAGGAGGTTCAAATTCAGACAAACTGTAAAGTCCAAAAGCAGAAAATAGTCAGGACTAATAACAATTTTGAGTTACACCCTGATCCATGTAACTAGACTGTATTAAAAAAAAGGAGGAGGAGGAGGAGGCATCATGCTCATATCAGGGTGTGTAATCTTTCTGCACCTTACGTCCTCTCCTACTCTCCCCACCTCAGTGCGGGATCGTCCCACCCACCTTAAATAGATTGAACACCACCCACTTCATTCTTCCTCTCTGACATTTAGGCCTGATCTGTTCTCACTTATCTTGGACACCCTGTTCTGAAGACTGTTGACGTGTTGGGATGACAGTAAAAACATCACAGGACGCACCACAGGGTCGAGTCTTATCTCTGTGAGGTCATTTCAAAACTCTCAGATACATCCTGTACGATCAGGATATTTGTAATGTGTCCTGACTCTGCAGCACTTCATCTTAGTCCATCTTAAATGGACTCTCAGAGGTTAATGGATGAAGCAGCAAACTGAGCTCACAGTCAGCACATTCTGGAGTGTTTTTTTACTTCGATATCTTCAGTTCTGTCAGAGCAAAAACTGTGAGAACCTTTATTATCGTCTGTGATAAGATAAATCATGAAATAAGCAAAAAGAGCATGTAGTCAACATTATCTTTATAACATTTTCTTCAACATCTGATAAAAACATGTAAGAGGCAGATCTGAATCAGCAGAGGCTCCCCACCCAGACTGTCTTTGAGCAGGTCAGCACCGAGTCTCTGCAGGAAATAAAGATCTGCTTCTTCTTCTTCGACGGCTGTCCTCCCCCGCTGAGGTCAGCTGAGGGGTCAGAGGAAAGAAAACACTGACTCAGACAAACTCAGTCCAGCAAGTATGTAAAAAAAAATCAAGAAGCTGTAAAAGTAGAAAAATAACTCTGAACTTCAGCTTCAAATATTTCTTGTGATGTGAAATGGGTGGAGTGTTTCCACAGTGAGCATAATCACCCTCCTTACGCACAAAACGATCATTACTCATGATCACTGTTATCGAGCCGACTGTCTGAAAAGGCGCTGTGAAAGGTGTGGCAGTCACGCCGCGGTGTCATTTACCTACAGCTGAGATCACAGTGCCGGGATTTGTTGATGTTTGCTCCTTCTTCCAGTCTGGATCTCGTCAAAACACGAGGCGTCGGCCCTCCGGGTCCACCAGGTGGATCTTACTCAGCGTCTCACGAGGCAACGCCGAATCCAACCACGCCTGTGAAAGAGGAAAACATGACTGAGAGATCCTCATTGAGTTCAAAAGAGGAGACATCACAGAGGGAAAGTAAAGCAGCCCAGCGACCAAAGTGCTGCTTAAGACGGAAAAAATGCAAAAGGCTTTGAAGATGAAATAAGGATCTTGACACAAAGCGGATAAACAGGACTAATTAGAGCTCCTCAGGGACGACATTTACCAACACCGAGAGAGTTTTAAAGGAAACTTTGAAAAGTGTTTAAGCCCAGTTCAGGCTGGCAGCAGGGAGACATGGAAGATATTATACCATGAGATAATAATTCAGGACACTGTGAGATAAGATTCAACTTTAAAAACCTGATTTAGAGTCTTTTCTCTCTATTATCAGTGTTGTGCTGATGACTTTGGGATAAACTGCCCCTCAATAAATAATAAAAACATCTTTAATCATCAGTTTATGAGATCCAGATATCAGCGGTGTCAGCTGATATCATGTTGTCCTTTTACATTTGATAAAATAAAACAATTTCACACTTACACATGAGGCAGAAGTCGTATCTAACTCTGTTATTTCATGCACACTACAATCTAATACACAGAGCATGTTTATCTGAGCAAGTAACGGTTACTGATCTGATGTGCTGTCATTTTAGATGTGAAGTTTCCACAGTCTGGGATGGTTTGAGGTGTCATGTCCTCTGCTGCTTCTGGTCTACCGTCTTTTATCGAGAGCGCTTCATGCTTTACAGAGATGCTCATGTTGTTTTCCAGCAGGACTGAGCACCTGCCCACGGCGCCCAAATTTCCCCAAAATGGTTTCAGACTAGTCTGAGCTGAACCTCATAGAGAATCAGAGAGAATCCAGAGGTAACACCAACCTAACAGAGCAAACCAGCTGAAGACCGCTAACACAGAAACCTTACTCTGTCTCACTCTCCATAAGGTCCATCTCTCTTCTGGTCTCTCACTCTCAGGCCTCCACAGTCCGTGGGTGTGGACCTCTTCTGCAGCAGTCATTGCAGACCTCTGAATAGCTGTTGCCAAGACAGAAACACAATCAAAACTTTGATTTTAGACGGCAGAGAAAAGCACAGAAGCAGAAATGAATGAAGGTTTTCAGAGCTGATGTGTGAATGGCACAAAACCAAAGGAGAACAAAACAGGCTCCACTTCACTGTCGACTGTGAAAATTGATGCAGCAGAGGTGGAAAGCCACATTACTGTGCATGCATTGTTCTGCTTGCATTGGCAATGAATAATCAGTTATATGCAAAGTATAGTACCTTAACCAATGCTGCTGCAGGTGTGTGCAGTAAGAAGAAGAGAGACCCTGAGAGGCTGGTTCCTAAACAATGGCATGCATGGAGCAATTAGGCTTTACACAAGCGTGACAGAGAGGAAATTACAGAGAAAATATCTGTGCAGGTTTGTTTACTGGCACGGCTTTGGAAACTCAAACAGGCCACAATATTAGAGGCAAAGCTGCTATACGACAATAATAATCCAAGAAGATTATCAAGCCTGCTGTAGACTGTTCCAACTCCTCTTCTCGCTTGGTCAGAGATGTTAATTTTAACATTCCTAAGAAGTATTTACACAAACCAGAGTTTGAGTTTTCATAAAACAATACGAACCTGCAGCTTGTTGTTGTTGTTGTTGTAAAGTTTATTTGGTACTCTTTTACGTGACGAGTAATTCCAGTTTGGTTGGACTGATGCAGTAAACTGTTTTTTGTGATTCTCTCTTTGCTGATTTTCTTTTGTTTCTTTCTTGACATCAGATCCTGTTTTCATTAACTGCTCAGATAAGTTTATAGAAGCTTTACATATCACTCCCTGCAGTATGCTGTTTATCACTTCATCTGAGACCTACTTTGCATTGATTGATAACGGCTCGTTTTAATCACTTTTCAATGTTTTTTTTTTCAATATGTTTCTTTCTGTTTTTTAATGATTCCTTGAATGTCTCATGTGAAGAGCTTTCGAATGCCTTGTTTTAGAAATATTCCGTCTGCTGTGGTTTCAAGCATTAAAAACCATTGTATAGAGATCATTATACCTGCTGCTGATAGTCTGGTTTGTGTTTGTAGGTTGTTAGCGGCAGGAGCTTTAAATGATGACTGCCTTGTGGGGTTTTTGAATGTTTCAACATTTAAAAGCTGATTAATTCTGATTATATTTAACACATTAAGACTTAGATATAAGAAGCAGCATCACTTCCTGAGTTAAAGTTTCTCACCCGACCTCCTTTTTGGAGGGACGCAGCATCATTTTGGCTTCGTTGAAACATCTCACCGCACAGGCCTTCACAGATTTGTGGGATTAATCCTTTACCTTTCTGTTAAATATTTTTAAAAATGAGAAAACTGCACATTTAGACTCGTATAATAAAACCACTCTGTCACACAGTGTGCTTTAGGATGACATCTCCATTTTTCTCCCGTTATGTTCTATTAATTTGAGTGTCCACGCTGTACCGTGACCGCAGCTCAGCACATGCAAAGACTGCAGAACATCACAAACAACAGCTCATCTGATATGGACTCAGTGAAGCAGAAAAGCAATTCCACTATGAGCTGCATGCCCTCTTGTTTTAATTACAGAGTAACAGATAGTAAGCATTAAGAGCCATATATAATTATCTGGGATGTTGACAGCAGCTCTGCTGATGACCTTGCACAAGTCTCCTGGTAGACAAGCAGAAACCTCCCCGGTAATGTGAAATTTCCAATGCTGTGCAAGGTGAGCGGAGGAAAGCTGCGGGCTGCTGCACTCATCACATTTTCTGATTAGAGGGGAGAAACATGGAGATAAATGAAGAGGAGAAGAGGAGAGAGGAGAGGAGGGGAAGGGAGGACGTCTGACGAAGCCTCCATTCGCCAGTTTCTAATGGAGAGAGGAGGGAAAGTTTCCTGCACACACACAGTGAGCTCTGCTGAGGGTTTCTGCAATGTAAGCTCTTGTGTTGTAACACTGTGACATCCTGGGCGTCCCTGATGATTGAGCGGGTAATTTAAAGGGCAAGTAATGGCGTGCAAGTTGGCGATTTAACCTAAGTAAAATTGTAGGGAGAAGTCTTTAATGCTGACCTTTTAAATTGAAGGACTGAGGTGCCAAATACTGCCTCTAAAGATCTTAACCTGGCTGACATCTCATTTAAGGAAATATTAAACTTTGATGGACTATGTATAAAAAAAATTCCTGCAAGTCTTTATAACTCGTACTTTTTATGCAGTAAGCGTTTTGTCAGTAAAATTATGGAAACACGTGATTTTATTGGGGGGATACAGTGAGGGTGAGGGTTCTACTCACCAGGTCTCTCACCATGGTGCCAGATTCTCCACATTCTCCACACTTAAACAATGTAGGTCAGATATGGAACAATAATCGATTTATACAAGAGGTACAAAGCTTTATTTTTATCTAAGTAGTCCTTTACTTTGTTTAACATAGCAATCGTTTTTGCTATTTTCCACTTTTTACTCAATTAATATGTGATTTCCAGGTCAATTGATCATCAATAATAACACCTAAAAATTGTATTTCATTTACTCTATTAATTTATACACTTTATGACAAAGATTAAAACCAACATTAAAAGAAATACCTTCTCCTGTTGTTTGGATTATGTAAGAAGTCATAAGTGAAGGTTTCAGGTCAGCTGTGTCCCTCAGATAACCCCACTGAGGAGTAGAAGGCCAGGTCAAACAGCCCGAGTAATCCAAGGAAAATGGGATGTTTAAAAAATGGCAGCTCTGATGTAAATAAAAGGCATAAATGAGCAGAAAACAACAAAATGTGATAGGACGAGTGTGTGAACAACACTGAAGATTATCCTAAATATCACATCTGGGGCCTTTCAGGTCCACCTCCACTCTGTGTTTTGCACAATTTAACCACAGGGAAACATTCAAAAAACACATTAGGTTTAATATTACATAATTTACAACATAAGAAGCTTCAAGTTAACTGTATTTTTCTTAAATTTAGATTGATAAACCGAGATTAGATCTGTTCACAGCACAGACTACCATCGATTTTTGAATATTTAACCGACAGGATGCATTTAAGACACCGCGGAGAAAACGGAAGCATGGTTTCAAACAAACTGTAAAAAAGTTTCAGCTCGGTGCAAAACAACATGATTAATGGAAAACACGGTTTCTTTGATTTATCAACGATCTCAGACAAACTTTGCCCAAAACTAGGATTTAAATGTGTCGCGAGTTTATGATATCCGGGCGATCATTTCCAGAGAAAATCATTTTTCCATGTTTTTTAATGGAACATGAACGCGGCATGCGTCACTCCACGCTTCCCATGATGCAATGCGGACAAAGCCGGCGGGGACGTTCAAAACTATGGCGGAAGACTCGGCGATATTTAAAACAATCACAAACACTGAAGATGTAAATAAGCAGTTTATCGATAACAGCGAGGACAGCAGGACGAGGAGGCGCCTTTCATTTTCGCCTGAAAATGCTGCTAACGACCCGGAAAAACCGAATATATCATGTAAAGTTAGAACGTTCAAGGATGTTTCGGAGGACTCGAGTTCAGGCCGACTCTGTACGGAAATGGCCGAACAAACATCGTCCCCACCTCGAGCAGAAAAATCGAGTTTGAAGGTGAAAAATGCAAAAGAAATGAGTGACTTTTCTTCTGAACAACGGAATAATGAGAAACAGACGAGTGTGGACACCAGCAATGACAAGGAAAACACGACTAATCCTTCTACAACCACAACAACAGGTAGGAATGACCACTTTTCTACTTTCTGGCATGAAAATTAACTTTTCAAGATAAAAGCCTGTGCAAAATATAATTATAAAACAGAGAGACTGAACCTAAGTGATAGAAAACCACAATACTGTGCAATAATTTTGAGAAGAAAGTGAAGATTTCCTTATGTAAGTTAAAAAAATGAATGATTAATAATAAGAAGGAAAAAGTTCAAATGAGTGGATTTGAAGTCAGATATTAGAGGAGTCACAATAATAAGAATATAATTCATAAGTGTATCATGACTGTCCAGATTATGGATTTTAAATGTGAAAATCAGGACAAAGTGAGTCAAAAATGAAAGAGTCAGCCTTTATAAGGGGATGAAAAGTCAAGATTAGGAGATTGTTAAACCAAAGTTATCATAGTAATGAGTTTTATGAATTATTAAGTCATAACTATTGCGCAGCAAGTCACAATCATAAGAGAGTAACTGATTATTGTGAATGAAAAATCTAAAATTATGACAAACTCATATCATATAATTATAAGGCAAAGGTGACAATGATTAAAACATCTAAATTATTAGATTAAAAGTCAAAATCATGTGTAAATTACCCAAAACTAAGTATTTATGGATCTTATCTGAACAGTCCCACAATTCTGGATCACTATTCTTGGACTGTGGTAAATACCTTTTATTATAATACAATCCCTGATGGATTTTATTAACATTTAACCATCTTAAATTGAGAGAACAGGGTCACATGCTCGCTCTAATTTCATTATCCTGTTATTGATTTGGGCAGATGACTCCAGAGAGGAGAACTCTTCTGGTGAGAGAAACCCGCAGGATTTCAGCGTGACTGTCGGTAAACAGCAGACCAACAAAGAGGACATGGATGCAGAGGTGGTGAGGAGAGCACAGGAGGAAGGCCTGGTGAATGTGGTCTTCTCTGGCACTGTAACCCAAGAAGGCTGCTGTAGGTTCGTCAGCGAGATCCTCAAGTGTATCCTGTATCAGAGACAGCAGCTACCCATGACGTACGACCAGCTGGTGTACTCTCAGAAGAAGCAGGAGGCGTCGATGCAGGTAAATGAAGGAAGGAACATCAGGAGATTGTTTCTACCTGGTATTTCTGGGAGAGTTTACCCAGAGGATGCAGATCCATACCTGACATTCATGTGCATCTTCACTTACAATGACCACTTTTCTCACTACTTGGCTCCTGAACCAAATGAAACAAGAAACTTCAATCATCCTAATGTGCCTAATAAACAAAAACCAATAAAAACTGTGGGATATACACAAATTCAAAGTAACACAATCCTTAAAGGGACATTCCAGCGTAAAATTAATGTGGGGTCAAAAACACCGTAACACCGAGTTAGACACCCCCTACAGAGATGAATGTTGCCTACGGCTTGCTTCTCTAGTTATACCAACTTAAGTAGTTTTTTCGGTAAATAAAATCAACTAAAAAACTGAAGTTTCAGCTACATAATCTGTCAAAGTTCGGTCCAGTCTGTCAAACATCCAGTCCTGCTGCTGTGGCAAGATGACCATGAACTGAGAAGAGTTAAAGCAGGTGTGACGTAAACAGAAAATCTTTGTTTTTCAGGATAAAGACTCTGTGAATCGAAGGCCGGCCCCGTCTGCAAACACAGACTGGAGAAAGTGTCAACAGACCCTCCAGGAGCTGGAGGAGGTGCTGCAGCAGCTGGAGGGCCTGTTCTCCCTCAGCAGGGTTCCTCGTGTCCTGCTGCTCATGGGCGGTTCTCTCATCGTCCCCAAGGAGCTTTACGAGATCAACATGGAGGATCTGGAAGTGGCTGCCGGCGAGCAGAGTTTACGCGTGTCCTCGTGTTTGAGGCATCTCTTCCGCACTCTTTTCGTGGCCGACCTTTTGTCTGACAGCAAACCGGTGCGTCTGTTGCCCACCACAGTCTTAGTGCTGGCTCACAGGGACTGCGGCGTCACATGGTTCCGCCCGAAGCTACAATTCAAAGTGCCGACACGTGTAAAGACCCGAGTTATCGCTCTTTCGAGTAACCTGAGGGCGGAGGAGTCGGACTGGCAGGATTATGTCTGGTTTCAGGCGCCTGTGACTATCAAAGGGATCGGGAAGTTAGCGTAAATGTTCAGGAGTGAAATCAGCGCTCTCTTTACGGAGCGGATGTGATACCTCTCAATTTTATTGGCTGTTCAGATGAATGTTGAACAAATATTTGTGAATATTTTAATGAATTATGAATTGAATTTTTTTAAGTGTTATTAAAAAGCGTCATTTACGGCAGTAAGGAGAATTATTCTATTTGGATCTTTTGAGAAGCACAATGTATTTTATATTTATGAGGGATGTTTTCAAACCTTTTTAAAAAAACACTCATAAACACACGTGAAGTTAGTGCAATAACTTTATCAAAACTAAAGAGATTTAATGCATTATATTCATTTAATCCAAACTGTGGATCCAGTTGAATGCCAGTACCATCTGTGTCTTTGTTTACACTGAATAAAATCTTCATTTGGTTTACGTTTATTAAAATCTACAAAAATAGCGTCACTTTTCTTTTTCACATGATCAAATCCAAAAAAGCTTCGTGGTGCAGTTTTGGATGCAGCCTTGCAGAGAGAGACAGTGTAGTGTAGAGATTGTGCGTTTGTGTCTCATTTGGAATGATAAAACACAAAGAGGTACAACAAAGAAAACCTATACCAGAATTAAAGCTTCTCCACTTTCTTCGCAAACTTGAAAATGTCGTCGGCGAGCAGCTGAGGCTCCTCAAAGGCAGCGAAGTGTCCGCCGCGGGGCATGAAGGTGTACGAGCGGATGTCCCGGTACCTGATCTGTGCCCAGGATTTGGGGCAGTGCATCAGCTCCCCGGGGAAGGCAGCCAGGCCAGTGGGAACGAATATATCCGTCCTGAAACAGAGGATGGCGTTCGACAGGTTAAAACCAGCACAGAGGAAAAGTACATTTTAACAGTAAAAACAAAGTACAAGTACAAAAAAAGTACAGTCTCCTACTTCAGTGCATTAAAATGACAAAATAAAAGCCTCTGTTTTGAGAGTGAGTATTTGGCCACTACCTGTGGAGCCACTTTGTATCTGTAGTTTTGCAAAAGGTCAAAAGAGCTCCAGCAGCACTTGTAGTTCAGGAAAACAGCTTTATTTGAAGCTGTTTTCCTGAACCACAAGTGCTGCTGCAGCTCTTTTGACCTCTTTCAGATCCTTTTTCTCCAAGCACCTTGGAAGTTGGTGAAGTTGTGCCAGATTTTTTGTCTTCCTGTAGTGTTGCAAAAAAAACTTGAACACGTTATAAAATGTGCAACAAAAAGTTCTTTGTTTTGGCTCTCAGCATTTGGCCATTTAAGCTTCTTTCAAACAGGCACAAAACTCCTGAAATTTTCCCAACTTTATCTGAGTGACCTGCATTTATGAACACTAACAGCCGCATTTCCACCCTGACTTTTTTTTCATGTCAGCATCCTGGTCAAACATCAGCAAAAATCAAGGTGAGGGATGCCATAATGACTCAGTTGGTGGGACATTCACTGAACACACAAAAGCCACAATCTTAAATAAACAACTGCACATGAGAGCATCAAGTTTCAGAAAATATCAGAGCCTAAACGTCCTAAAATTATTCAGAAAATATCAGGAGATTATGTGTGAAAAGAGCTCTTTAATGGGATTATGCCATACCTGCCAACACTTGGGTTATAAAATCCGGGGGATTTTTTATGGTGTGCACTGGGCAGTTTTGGGGTTCCCTTGTCTGGTGGATATGAGCTAATTATGAGAGTATTTGTAATTAGATTACTCATCCAAATAAGTCTAAGTGAAGCTGCACACTTTAATAACTACGATATGCCTTAAACTTATTTAGTCCACCAGTATTAGTGTTAAAGTCCCCATATGTTTTACATGCTCTCCCGTATGAGGCTCTCTGAACATCTGTGTGTAAAATACAGCACTCTTTTATCTGAGGCTGCCCTGAACGCATCACTCCGAGACGTGCAAGACTATCAACGTAAATATTGTATCTCATATTTGTTTCCCTTTCAGTGAAGTGTTCATTTTGACACAAACACGGCTTAAATGTAGTTTACAGCTTAAACCGACCTGAATCATCCCAAACTGTAAAGTCAAAGGATCAGTCCAGAGTCTGTGAGGCTCAGCAGAAACACAGGACAGTCATCGGTTGTCTGGAAAGTTTGGACAAATATCGTGATCCGATTCATGAATGAATGTGGACCATCAAACTACGGGAGAAATGACAATACGGGAGGTGGGCGGAAGATAGGTCTGAAATATGGGAGATTCCCGGGAAAAACGGGAGTGTTGGCAGGTATGGATTACACTTGAACTTTACCTTGTGGAATAAATAAAATATAAGCTTTAGTTTGAGCTCAGATGGAGCATTCAACTCCAAGCTCTGCATCTGCACTTAAGCAAGGATTGCTCTTGAAATCTTTACACCACATACAAAGTTAAATCAGAGATGTGAGTGCTTAGCAATATTTGTGTTTTTTCTATTGACTCTTTGGTGATTATGTTGTATCTATTGTGCAGGATTGACAAAATGAAGACACTCAGAGCAGAATTTGAGGTCAAAGTCTCTTTCAGGTTTTACATTTTGCTGCATACCTTCCATCCACTCTTTTCTCAGGATCCTGCTTGAAGTTCTCCTTATAGAAGCGCATGGAGGACACGATGGAGCCCGTGGTCCAGTAGATCATGACGTTGGTCAAAAGGTCATCCAGGGTGAACTTCCTGAAATAACACATCCATATTTTCACACAAAACTCCTGCTGACTCTGTCTTTAACAAGTTACGGTTCGTCTTGTACCTCTCCAGCCCACCATCCACCAGATCTCTGTTCTTCAAATCAGTCCAGGTGGAGAACTTCTCCAGGATGTAGGCGGCCAAACCTACAGGAGAGTCGTTCACTCCACAGCCTGCGGACAAGAGTTTAACAACATTTACAGCTTAAAAGGTACCGAGATGACAAAATACAGGAATACATTTGCATCATTTCTGCTGATCATGTTCTCACCTGCAGTGTCTGGTTTAGTAGCCTGGATGTGAAGGTAGCCAGTTTCCCTCAAAATCTCCCAGACGTTTTTCTCAAAGAAGGGAAACAGCCGGCGAACATCCTCTCGACTAAAACCCACCAGGAAGGGCAGATAACGGCCGATCATGAGGGACAGGAGCACTTTCAATCCTCGATTTGACATGAACATGTTGAGGTGGAGTCCTCTCACACACCTGGTGAAGAGAGGAAACAGATTACAAAAGAAAAAATACCGCTTTGACACCAGAGTGGAGATAAAATGGCATTTAAATCTGCAAAGAAAGTGACTTTATAGCTTTAAGTGCAAGTTTTTATCTGTTTTCTTTTTGCAAAACATCCCCAAAGTGCCTCAGTCTGCAGAAATGTCTTGTGTCAGCAGGTTCTGCTTATTAGAGCTCTTTGCACACAGCAGGCACTGTTTCACAATTTCAGGAAGAATGTCACAATGCTCCTTCTGTAGAAACAAACACGTCAAACGCAGAGATGAGCCGGGGCTTGTTTCTCCGTGAGAGATCATGTTGTTGTCTTACTCTGGCTTCATCTGCGCCATGTTGGTGGTGATGAGGGAGCCCCAGTCTCCTCCTTGCAGGTAGAACTGTGAGAATCCCAAACGCTCCATCAGTGTCAGGAAAACTCGGGCCGCAGCGAGGCTGTCAAATCCTGACAAAAACAGGAAAACACATCCGTGAATATCAGAACATAAAGCCGGGTTAGCTGCTGTTAGTGTTACACTCATGATGGATTAAAATGGGACGAGTCTGATCGTCTCGGGGCGTTGAGAGACTCCCATCCCCACAGCGAGTGCCTGAATGTACCCCGGGGAAGGTTCCTGAAACTTTAAAGGGATATGCCGGCGTAAAATTAATTTAGGGTCAAACACACCATAACACAGAGTTAGACACCCCATCAAGAGTTACTTTAGTAACAACCTCTCAACCAAAACGCCACTCTATAGCCACAAATAATGCTCAGAACAGCACCTAACTTCATCAACAGGACATATAGGGTCACAGCCATAGTACTAGACACCAAACATTTTTTTTACTTTCACTAATTTCTTTAGCAAAGAGACTAAACACAACTCACCTACTCTCTTCCAGCAGCTGTTTGTTTGTAGTGAGACCTCAGACCAGTCCATTACAGACTACAGCGGGGTGACGCAGCTCAAGGAAGAACATTTATGATCATTTCTTCATGGAAATACAATCAGACCGAGACGCTAAGACAGAAGAACTACCGCGTCTGCAGAGAAAAATGATTAATATGATGATTATTACTTCAAGGAAATGATAAAGAAATGATCATAAATGTTCTTCCTTGAGCTGCGTCACCCCGCTGTAGTCCGCAATGGACTGGCCTGAGGTCTCAAACAAGCAGCTGCTGGAAGAGAGTAGGTGAGTTGTGTTTAGTCTCTTTGTAGAAATAAGTCAAAGTTAAGAAGATGTTTGGCTGTGACCCTATATGTACTAACCTAAGTAGAACATGGTGTAGTTCCATTTGGTAACAGAACCTCATTGGAGAATTCACTGATTTAACTTTACTGTGCTCTTGTCCAAAGATATTAACTCAACAGCACATATATTCATACCCATTAACAAAATCATTATTTTATTGATAATTCGGCTCAATAAAAACACCTTTACCTTTTCATTTTACTACAGTAGAAGTTTATTGGCCCAACTTATGGACTACAGAGATGGAGAAGCGCCCTCGCTTAAGTTTATGTTTTCTTAGGAGTTAGAACAACTCTGAATATAGTACTATGGCTGTGACCCTATATGTCCTGTTGATGAAGTTAGGTGCTGTTCTGAGCATTATTTGTGGCTATAGAGTGGCGTTTTGGTTGAGGTTTGTTTATGGCTCCTCAGACCGCTGTGTATCACTATCCTGTGGTCATTACTAAAGTTGGTATAACTAGAGAAGCAAGCGGTCGGCAACATTCATCTCTGGAGGGGGCTCATTAGTATGAATATCTACCTTTGTAACTTCCAATGTGTGTATTAAAATGCACACCAACATAATAAACTTGAATTAATTTTTCTGAAACATCTGAAACAGTTAAGTTACAGACACACTGATGCATTAAACTTTACATCCCTTTAACGCTGGTCTACGTTCTTTCAGTGTGACACACCTTGTTTATGAGGAGCTTCAGAGAAACCGTAACCAGGGATGGACGGACATATGACCTCGAACACGACATCGCCCTGACTCTCTGTGAGGAGAGGAAGAATCTTGTAGAACTCGTAGAAGGACCCGGGCCAGCCGTGAACCAGCATGAGAGGCAGGACCCTCTGACTCTCACGGTGAGGAGGTCGAACGTGGATGAAGTGCACATCCAGCCCTGTACCAAAGTCACACAGTGGGGTCAAAAGGAAAGAAAACTGGAGCTAAACATGCAGCGGTTACAGAGCTGACAGTACCTTCTATCTTAGTTTGGAAGTGCGGAAACTTGTTGAGCTCTGCCACCTGTTTTTTCCAGTCAAACTCGTGTCTCCAGTAAGAGACCACTTTCTTCAGGTGAGTCGAGTTGAAGCCGTAGTGGAAGCAGCTGTCCTCTAAAGGCTCGGTGTAGCGGCTTTTGTCGATGCGCTCATGAAGATCCTGTCGATTACAGTCAGTTACTTTCCTCTAAACTACTGAGCTGGTCTACAGACACAACTTATTCTCCTTCAGATGTCACAGAGGGACTTTTTGCTTTTTCAGCGTCTCCCCAGCTGATAGAAAAATCGGTATAGAGTCGGTAAATTAGAGCTTCAAGTACCTGGATTTCTTCATCGGATGTTTCGACAGTAAAGGGATAGATTTTATCATCCTCTGTCAGTGGTTTCTCTCCGGCTCCCCACCATCCATGACCAAGAGGAATGGTTTTCACCTGTCTGCTCTTGTAGTACAGGTACGCCAATAAACCACCAGCTGCTATTGCTGAACCTACCAGCGCCTGTCTTTGGGCAAGATCCAAGGCGAATAAAGTCTCCCTGCAGAAGTAAAGCAAAAAGAAAACATGAGAGAAAATCACTGTGGACAGTTAAAATGATAAAGAAGGTGGTACTACGTTAATTCTAAGGTTTTATAATGACCCTGTGATTGTTGTGGTAGTAGCTTTACACAATTTAGCCGTCCGGTTCTGTTCATAACCTTTATGGACATAATGCGAATCAGCACCTCCAAGTCCGAGGCCATGGTCCTCAGTCAGAAAAAGGGGATCTTGGGATCTCTCGGGATCTTGTTCACAAGTGAGGGTATGATGGAGCGGGAGATCGACAGGCGGATCAGAGCGGCGTCAGCAGTGATGTGGACGCTTAACCGATCTATCGTGGTGAATAAAGAGCTGAGCTGTAAGGCGAGACTCTCGATTTACTGGTCGATCTGTTCCGATCCTCACCTATGGTCATGAACTTTGGGTAATGACCGAAAGAACAAGATCGCGGATACAAGCGGCCGAAATTGTTTTTCCTTTGCAGGGTGTCTGGGCTCAGCCTCAGAGAGAGGGTAAGGAGCTTGGACACTCGGGAGGAACTCAGTGGTGTGCCTCCGGTGGGACATGTCCGGAACACCCGTTAGAGGTGTTCCAGACATGTCCTCGAGACCTCGTAGCTGGCCCAGGACTAGGTGGAGAGATTATATCTTTGCCTAGCCTGGGAGCGCCCAGGAGTCCCCCTGGAAGAGCTGGTGGAAGTGGTTGGGGTGAGGGCCATCTGGGCTTCCCTCCTGAAGCTGCTGCCCCGGCGAACCGGACCCGGATAAGCGGAAGAAAACGTCAACAACGACAATTTAGCTCTTTTTTCACTATCTAAGGCTAGGGTCTTTAAAAATCTTAATCTCTGCTACTGTCTCTTTAAGAAACCCCTGGCCCTCCAGAAGCCTCCTCCACTGCTGCCATGCCTCACAGTCATCATTGAGTAAACCAGTTTCTCTCCTTTTAATTTTAAATCATTAAATAAGTTCTGGACCCTAAATCTGACCTGGAAATATGTTTTTTAGGTCAGTGTTGCGTTTATTTTGCTTTTATAATAAGAATTTGTAATGTCGCACTTGAGCAAATCTTCTGTTCTTGCAACACACTTTTACCTCACGACCTGAACTCTTCCCACGTGTAGGTAGTATTCAGTATTTTAACTTAACTAACTTTATATTTGCATATAAAACAGGATAAACAGCATATTACCACCTCTTCTGCGGTAAGCTCGTTGATAAATAATGGTTTTAAGAGTTGAGGAATGTCTGAGCTACTTACTTTAAAACCTGCAGTCTGTTCATGTTTGCAGTTCAAAGGTGAATGTTTCAGACCTGCACTGGGACAGAGGTCAGAAATCTCTCATTTCCCGCATTAGTCTACTCTTATCAAACTGCGCAGAATAAAGTCACACAGAGTCAGTATTCCAGTTTTCGACATACCTTTGTTTGCCTTCAGGAAGTGTTAGACTGTTTGGGAACAGAGAGGGCAGATACGGGATTCACTGGTGTCAAAATCGAGCACACTCGGCCGTCGTCGAGAAAAACCTGCTGAAGCAAAAACTCCTATCAGGGGTTACATTCACGGGGTGTCGGACGAAATAGTTTCCGGGACATTTAACACACGATCTACCTGAACCCCAAACTACGACAGAGAGAGTAAAGGGAAGTTTTGCAAAGCATCTTGAAAAGGTGATAAAAGTAACATTATACATTGAACATTCCAGTTAAGACGCTGCTTGGATGAAAGTTAAAAAAGTCAAACTGATTTTTTTGGCTCTTTTTTTTTTTATGAAAATAGGAAATATCTCTCTTCGAAAATAAACACTGAATTTGAGAAATAGGAAGGGGAGAATTATTCATCTCAAGAATTATTTTTTTTTTTATTACAAAACAGATTTTTTAAATCACAGTTTTGACCTTTTGTTATATGATAAGACGTCTCATTGACAATTTACTTCCTCATTTTTACAGTTTTGTCTCTGTGACTAATTGTCTTATGAGTACTTTACTGCTTATAATATAAGTATTATACTTATTTTATAAGAATTTTGTCTCTCAAAATTGACTTCTGGCTGCATAAATTTGACTTTTTTTATGTCTCAATGTTGGATTTTTTATTTTTACATTATTTATTTTTTTGGCTGTTTTTTTTTTTTATTATTTATTTAATTTAATTTAATTTACGTCTGAAAATATGCTCCAATACAACGGAATTGTAGGACCATATTAAGAAAAAAAAGACTTTGAGATTGAAGTCATTAATTTACGAGCATAAAGTCGTTATAGAGTAATTAGTTGCGAAAGTAAAGTCAGAATATATATATATATTATATATTATATTATAACCTGTTGTTTAAGATGTAAGTTGTTAAAATGAGAGCCATGGAGCATTTCGTGAAAATAAACTTCTATACATGTTTCTCAAACAAGGAGATACTTCATCTTTTGGCACATTGGCACCACATTATCACAAGTATAGTAGTAGTAGTTTATTACGACTTTATTCTCGTAAGTAATGATTTTAGTACTTCATTCTCGTTAGTAATGACTTATTCTCGTAAAGACTTTAATCTCGAAGTCTTTTTTTTTCTTAATGTTGCCCTAATACTCCGTCGTACTCCAATATATATCTGTTACTTTGACGTAAATTTAAAGCCAACTTCACAGTAAAAAGCTTTTTCTTGTATCTTAGACCGCTGCTATATGTCCATGTAGATTCTCATTCACCGCTCATACACCGCTGCTACATCGGTACTGACGAAAGTTCTGTGTTTTCCGATGGACCCTTGAACGCGTGGGCGGTTTCGATCGTGTTTGATTGGCTGTGGGACGTGCCACTCCCCCGCGTGAAACCACAGACGTTGACGTCGTCGTCTGCTCTTATATAATAAGGAGGAGACACACAGACACACACACAGCTGAGTGTTGTTGTTGTTGTTTTAGGTCAGCTGTCTGAAAAAGAAGATGAAGTGGAACATCGTCCTCCCGGTCCTGGCGGCGGTTCTGTCCGTCGGCTTCGCCAGTTTAGTCGGGGGTCCGCAGGATGTGGACGTGAATGATGAGGGGGCCCAGAACGCCCTGAGCTTCGCTGTGAACGAACACAACAAACGGAGTAACGCTCTGTTCCTCACCAGGCCGATGGAGGTGATCAGGGTGCAGAGACAGGTGAGTCAAAGGCTTTGTTCGGGTTCATATTCACACCCGATTAAAGGATAATTCAGCTGTTTTTTAAGGCTGTTGGTGTCTGGTTTTATCGTTACAGAGCTCAGGGTAACAATGGCTAACAGACAGTCAGGCAGTGGCGTACTCATGCTGTGTTGGGGCCAGGGGCGAAAAAAAACCCATGAGGGCACCAGATGAACTGCAGGAAATACATGAAAATTACTCGTTATTAAAACGCAAATCATGCACACAAGCAAAACATAATGAAGAAAAAATAGTAATAAGGCGCTTTGTTTAAATTTAATCTGCTGGAAAGGCGATCAACGGGACATTTTTAATATTTTAATAACTAGAGGACACTATTGACAGGTGTGATTTACTAACAAGGTAATCAAAAGGCACTTAGTCTTCAGAGTCTTCAAAAAAATGTGGTTTAAAGTTCCTCATAGAAGCTTAAAACAACAATGTACAACAATAAAACCGGAACCTAACACTCACCCATGGACCCACACATACACACACACACACACAAGCGCACACAGAGTGAGAATTTAAGATATAATGTTAAAGAGACATGGCCTGACATCGAGACATTGCGTGAGGAAAGAGCTACTTTTGGGAAACACAGGAGATAAAAATAAAAAATAAAAATGGTAAAAAGAAAGAATAAAACCTGATGGACTAAAACAAGAAAATAAAATTAAATGAACAGATAAGTAAGAGCTCTCTACCATGTAAAAGGGGAAAAAGAAGTAAAAACATCTAAGACAGGAGTTAAGAAAAAAGACTAAGAACAGAGATAATTAATAAAATGACATGAAATAAACATTAAGAACTTTGATTAAAATGAACATTTGCATTTAGAGAAAAGTTAGTGAAAAGCCTGGTTAAAAAGGTGAGTCTTGAGCCTCTTTTTAAAAACTTCATTACATCCACTACAAAAGGGAACAGACGTGTACTTTTTCTATATGTAATATCCCAACAAAGCAACCAAGGGACACTTTTTACATGTTTTTTCCACTGAAAAAGCAAATTAAACATTTTCTTTATATTTTACTCACCTAAAAATATTATGGGACACTTTGTATGCATTTTAATCACCAATAATATGCAGCCATTATGTGTAAAGTTCACCTTTAGTGTTTTTTTTTTGTGTGTGTGTGTGTTTTTAACTTAAAAAGTAACAAGAGGGTAATTGATTATATTTTGTGCACTTGAAGAGCAACCGGAGCTCACTGTGCTTCTATCTTATCATGTTTAAAAGTAACCATTAGGCCTTTTAGCTACATATTAGATGAATTTCAAAAATATATATTGAATATACACGCCATCTTATTTTCTGAAAAAATAAAACAGCAGGACTATGTAAAACAGTAAATTAACTGAATTTAATGCAGTATGTGTTATGTTTTATTTTCATCTAAATAGGAGAGGCTTTCTGTGAGGTATCGGAGCTGATTTATGTCGCAAATGTTCAGAAATAACTGTAGCTTTGTCCTGAAGTGTGTTGGAACTATTGTGGTGTTTTGATTGCGTAAAGACGGTTAAATTAATCTGCTGTTTGTAAACTGGTATGAACTTTACTCGTATTTGACCAACACTAAGATCCGCTCATGACTGTTGGTGGTAGGAGTTTGATCATTAGTTTGCGTAACTGGATCTGCTGCCTGTTTTATTTTTTTCCCATTCAGAGTAACAATGATGTCTCATTTCCACCCTCTTCTCCTTACAGGTGGTTGCTGGACTCTTGTACACCATGACTGTGAGAATGGGAAAGACCCCCTGCAGAAAGAACAACGCAAGTGACGCATGTGCCGTCCACGATGACCCGGAGAAGGCTCAGGTGAAGACTCGTTCTATTTTTAGCCTCTGGAAAATATCGCAGACTGAGGGTAGATACCTGAAAATACAGAAAATGAAACCTTCACTGAAAAATATAATAATAATAATGACATGATTTAAGTTTGAGTCAGTGCAAGCATGGTTGACACAACATGAGACTGTATGTCATATTTGGAGGCAGCGTGCAGACTTTCAGCTTTGATATGATTAAAACTGATGAGTTATTTAGAGAATAAAACCCTGTACAGTCTCATAACCAAAACTGTTTAGCAGGCTGCAACACCAGGGTTTACAATGGGAGATTAGTCACTGGGAGTTCTCAGCACAATGTTTAAATGTCATGCTGTGGACTTTTACTTCTCCTACCAACAATAAATAACAGTCTAACCAACAAAGCAGTTCCTCTTTTAAAAACCAAGTTGGCTTTTGTGTTTTCAGCGAGCCCATCATGTCCTTTCACAAACAAAAAGCACTTTTTCTTGACTTTCCACACAAACTGTTTCAACCGTTTCATGGAAAATAATCTTAATTGAATATCTTTTATGTTCTCTACAGGCTTACCAGTGCGTATTCAAAGTTTGGAGCAAACCATGGCAGAATGAGATCAAGCTGACGGAGGAGACCTGCTCTTAAGAGAGTTCCTGTTACTTTTGCAGAGTCATCTTCACACCGACTGATATATCCTGTAGACAAGCACAAAAGTATTAACATTTTGATTAGCTCCTCTTTACCTTTTTAACTCTTCCGCTGGATCATGTTTTAAAATTGCAGAACCTCCTATGCACTGTAGCGATGTAGAGGAAGTTTGAGAGGGGTTACTTTGTAATTCATAATCGCTAAAACAAGCAAATATTCAGCTGTGGTCTGAACTTTTGATAAATCTTTTAATAAACCACACAGTGTTTTAAACTGAATAAAACTTAAGCAGCATGAGAACTCACATGATTGTGTCCGTGTGGTGAATTAATCTAAAACTGAGGTTCAGGTTTTCATTCTATGACAGGGTGAACAGTTGTATGATTTTATTACAAAACTTTGATATTTGTGACTGTTGTTTGAATTTTCTGAAATAGTTTTACTAGGGAAATTGTTGAACCAGAAAAATTCTCCTCAAATTACAGAGAGTGTTTTCTATCAACATAATATTCCACTCTGGAATAACTTTAAATTACAGATGAATTTATCCTGTTTTAACACCAGGGGGCAGCATCTATGAAACGCTCATTCCTGCAGATGAAACCAGAAAAAAGAGGGAGAGTTGACCTTAATAATATATTTTTTAAAGTAATTATTAAGCCATGAGAAAAATAAAAAGTATGAAATAGCAATAGATGTGAGCTAAAATGTCACAGTTACAAGATAAAGTCAAAATAGTGAGGGTGACTCAATATTATGCAGAAAAGACTTAAAAAGTCACACTATGAGATAAAGGTGACAGTTATGAAATAAGACAATATGAGAAATTATTTGGTTATAACATCTTAATCTTAAAGTATATTTTTATTTCATAATTCCCCTTTTATCTCACACTTTCTACTAAAAAATATTTTAAAATCTATTTTATTTGGCTTTGCTTGACTACTTTGACTATTTCATGTTTTTGACATATTTCATATGTTTCAGACTTTTTTTATCTGATAAACCTGACTTGAAAATTAGTTATATTTTCCCCTCAGATCAATAAAGTTTTGTTAATTGGCAAAACTGGATCTCTGCAAGCACCAAAGACAATTTTAGAAACCCACAATAAAGTAATCCAATTCATTCCAATTCCCTATAAAACAATGACTCAACAACTGCTGATGCATTCAAATATTTTTGAGATGAGATCACTTAGTGTGGAAGGAGTCAACATAATAATTAGATTTTTTTTTGACTGCACAATACTTTCCTTATTAACTAAAAAGAGAATATGTTCTGAGAGATTTCAGTGTTGTTGAAGCAAGAACGATAAGAAAATGATTTTTGTCTTATCCAATCCCTCATAAAGCTAAAGAGGTCACATTTAAAATACTAACTGACATTTATCCCTCAAACCACTTCCTACATGTAAGATTTAATTGGGATAACAATATGTGTGGATTTTGTGATCGCGACACTGAAACAGTAGAACATATTTTCTTTGAATGTGAGCATGTTGTACACTTTCGGACATTACGTCAAAATTGGTTGTTATCTAAACAAATTATTTTGCCTCCATTAAACTGGATGTCGATTGAGATTGGACTACAGTTAAAGGAAAGAATTTGGACTTCACGGTGAACATTTTAATAACACTTGGAAAACATTTCATTCACAGATATAAATACCTCAAGATGAAGCCCCACTTCAATGGATGTATAAACAAAGTCAGAATATACAAAACATCTTTGAACTACATAAAAAACAGAAGTGCCCTTAAACTGTTTTCTTTACTCGACTTATTTACTATCCTAGAATAAGACCCTCACATTCTCTTCTCTTTTTTTGTATACTTCCCCTGCTTTTCTGAAGAACAGCCGGAAGTTGAGGCAGGTGCAGAGATCTTTAATTGACAGTAAGATGTGTCACTCAGAGCGTAAAACAACAGCCGTGTCGTCGTCGTCATAGCTCTGAAAGGAGAAGGAGGTCTGACTCTGCGTCAGGTCAGCGGGCTGAGAAGGATGAAGATCGTACTCATGCTTCTCACGGCGGTTTTCTCCGTCGGTTCTGAACGTTTGGTTGGGGGCTTTACAGAAATAAGTGTGGATGATGCGGGGGCTCTAAAAGCTCTGGATATCGCGGTGCAAGAACACAACGAGCGGAGCAACAACATGTACATCAGCGGGGTGCGAGAGGTGAGAAAGGTGGAAGTACAGGTAAGTCATGTTTAGCCCTTTTGCGGAAGTTAAAGGCTTTAAATGACAAGTCATTGTAACATTCAAACCAAACACAATTATTTAGACAGCTACTTTACCATTACTCAAGATTGTCTTTTCACTAGCAGGGGTGGAAAGAAGCAAATTCAATCTACTCACATTACTGTAAAAGACTTTATTGTTTGAGTTTCTTTGTTTTAAGAATTTTTTTAAAACTCCTCCAACCCTCACCACCATGAGCTAAAGAGAGTAATACTCAACACTTGAATTATATCACAAATCAACTAGCCTACTTTCTAGGACAAACTAAAGAAAAAGGAACAAGGTAAAGCAAGAAAAAAAAAAACGGTTTTTAACATCAAACTTTAGTAGTGCCTTGGACCCTCCCTTTTGTTTCAATGTCCATAACCCAGCCCACAACCTCTCTGGACCTTCTCCTGACCCAATTTAAAGGTCTACCTGGCTTGTTCTCAGCATCCCTAATAGTATGGGCATCATCAGAGTCCAGGTCATGGGCAGCTTCTACATCTATGAAGGCCTTTAGTTGCATTGGTGTTGCTCAAACTTGGTTCTGCTGGTTAACCACATCTGTGTATTATGTTGTTTTTGTCTTACAGGTGGTTGAAGGCATCCTGTACAAGATACATGTGATCATGGGCAACACCCCCTGCAGGAAGACATCTGCACTTAAACAGTGTACTGTTCATGGGGACTCTGAACTGACACGGGTACAGGCTTTCTAAAGAGAGCTTAACCTCAGCTGTTTACATTTTCTATTTAACACAGAGATGCAGCTAAACTGGTCTTCCTGCAGTCCTGACTTGTTAGAAAATAGTTTGGAGTTGTTTATAGAATGTTATGTATTAAATGTACTTTTCTTTTTTGCTTTATTCTCAGCCCTATGAGTGCACCTTCAGAGTGTGGCAGCGTCCTTGGCTCGGAGAGACACAGGTGTGGGAGAAGTGTCCATGAGAGAGCTGCGTGGGAAGACATTCAGAGCTTGACATCTCACCTTTATCTGCAGATATTCTTTGAGGAACAGATTAAATATACAAAGTGGTCTTTGATGCTTTTAAAACTGCACTTTAGATTGGATAATGTTTCAATAAAGCTTATGTTCAGCTGTTTAAATATCATGTGCACTGTGATAAGAGAAACTTTGTGATGCATAACCGAAACAATCATATCAATAAATTGTGCAGAGAACTTTTGATTAGCCTTGTTGTTAAATTTAGTATTTAAAAAGTAAAGAGTTTTACTGTGTGCATACTAAAGCTAAATATTTATTTGTCTTGCATGATAATTCCATGACCACTATCTGATATTTAATATTAAGGTTGTTAACACAGTGAATAATCAACTTGGGGTTAATAAAAACATTTTTTTCTGATTTTAGACACTTGATTTGACTTTTCTTGAAGTCCAGATTCACTAAGAACTGAATAAAATGATCATTTACTCACGTAAAAAATGTAATAATTTAACTAATGTCAGGTTATTCTGCTCCTACTTCATAACAACAGCATTAAAATGTCTTTTAAATGTGTACTTGTCTTGAAATAACTAAAATTGCCCGAGAATTTCGATTAGAGAGAAGAAATTTTAAGCCTTTATTTTCCTATTCATACCGGAAGTAGTCAAATTTTGCGCCAAAAGATGAAACGTCTGGCACATTTACTTGCTTGGAGAATTATCGGAAAAAAGAGTTTCCATCTTGCCGAGCGTATAAAAAGGCACCTTCAGTTTGAAACAACCAGGGAAAATAGAGAAAACTTGAGCAGACCATGTTTGGACTCGACAGATGAAACTATTTATATCAGATATCAATCAAAAGCAGATCTAGAGGAAGCAAGAGCAGCGCGAAAAAAAATAAAACCGAATGAGCGACACTAGAGTATCTTTTCATCACGGTATTTGCGGTTGGCTATAAGATTAGTGTGTAATATCTTGTTGATGTAAGTGTAAATAAAAGTACTTGTCCCGAGGCGTCCATGTTATAGATGTAATGATTATGATATCTATGGTCTACGTGCCCCAGTCGAATCTCCACAACACAGGAATCGGGGCAGTCCAGAGCGCACATGAACGCAGCATGTGGCTGGGTCAGTCAGTCTGTGACATGAACGGCTGTCAATGTTTTATAAAGGCTGAACTTTTGACTCTTTACATTGATCACTCGTCGATGAGAAACTTTATTATCAGAGTGTATTCGCAAACATGAAGGTTCTCAACAAAGAAGAACTACTGATCGCCGAAAAAAAACTGCTAAACCACATACCGAGGAGTTTGAAGGTAAGACAAGACGGCGACAATTTATGTTAAAAAGTAGAAAACTTTATAGTCTTCGTAGTCGTCTGTATGGAATCAAAATCCGAAAATGATTCAATATAATGAGTTAAAAACTCTCTAAAGCATCGAAGTTGGAAAATCCTGACTTCACTCGTATGTAAACGAAGCGTTGTAAAGAGCACATGAATGCAACACATGGTTTGTTTACATGAACGTGGAGAGAGGTAGTGATTTATAAAGGCTGAGCTAAAAACTCAGTTGTTTAGAGGACTAAAGCAGTTCAATTATTAACTTAAATAATATCCAAATAGGTGACATGAAGATCTTTTAACTTTGATCTCATTTACCTCTGTCTTAGTTCGACTTACTGTCCTTTTAGCCTTTATTTTACTTATAATCTTTTCCTCTATAACCTTTTATTCATTTTATTTTTTTTCCTGCTCATTTATGTTATTCCATTTGATCATTAATATTACCATCGTTATGATTTGATTATGATTTATTATTATGAATATCATCTTTTTATATCTACTATCCTGTTTCCTGCTTTTTACCCCCTTTTTTATTACATTTCTTTTTCTTCCCTGTTTTATGTTTTTATTTTGGTCCTCATGGTCTCATTTTATGTTGTAGGGTTCTTGTATTGTCCGGGTTTCTTATGACAAATTAAATTGGCCTTAAGTTCGTAGGCCTTGTTTTTAACTGGGTTTATGTAAAATGGCTGGCCACATATAAAGAAATAAAACTGTTTCAACACTGAACGCCGTACAAAAAGCATGATATATTTTGGCAAAATCTAGTCTCTTGGCTGTCAACAGGTTGTGATGATGGAAAAACATGGTTGGTTCACGTTAGATGCTGTTCTGTGCGTTTCGTGTGTTTTTGTGTCAGTGTAACCACAGCATTTCTAACACCCTTGAGTAAATGGTGCAGTAGGACGACTTCCCAAACAGAAACCATACTTCGTCACTAATGCAGTGATAATGGAAACAGTTTCAATGTGTGAACCACATGCACAACTAAATCATACAAAGCCTTCATCAAATTCAGACATCAGACAAGACTTGGACTGTCTCAAGTACAACATAACTGGTGTTAAGACCTTTTAATTATTGTAAAATGACTGACACAATTGTTAAGCCTTAGTGGCAGTGTGTTTATTCTTTATTAAAAGTATGCCCTTATTTGTTTTAGGTGTATGGTTTCCTGTTTGGTATCAACAGAAACAGACCATCTACCCTGGAGGTAGTTGTCGACACCTGGCCAGATTTTAAGGTCATCCTTTGTAGACCTGACCCCAGGGTGAGTCCACAGACCACGAGAGAATTGAGTATTATGCAGCTTTACCACATTGAGGTTTTATTGTAATAGTATGTAGGGGCGTTTGTATGTTTTATCCATTAAAAAAGAAGAAAAAAAAATAATAATTTAAAACACCAAATCTGACAAAAAGGTTTGAAGAAAGAGAAACCATTAAGCAGTAATCGTCGGCACAAATTTATAGACATGTTGTTTGTCATGTGACTAAAACTTCCTACATTCAGATAACTCTATTGTTGGGTTTAAGGTTTATTAGTCTCCATTTTCAATGAAATTATTCACTCATTGTTTTGGACTTCAGCCTCTACAAAATTCACACCAACCTCACGGGCGAGAAGGAGAATTTGCTGATGAAGTTTGTGTTTTTGTTACAGAACAGGCGAGCCCTAACGTTCATGAAAAAGGTGACCTACTTCACCACAGATGAACGGGTGTTGAGGAAGATGCTAGTGGAGGAGAACGCAGTGGACTGGAGCACATATTTCCTCATTGGAGGTGAGCTTAAACAAGTCTCTTCAGCTTTTAAAAAATTGACTTTTTCACCCAGGTATCTGCCGGTTATTGCAAATAATTTTCAGAAGAAAAAACATAAGATTGGAGTTTTGTCTCGACATCATGCAAAGAAAAACTGAACAATCAATCAAGTGCAAAACCTTTTCCAACAGGGTTTGACGTCTCCCACGCGCTCATGCTGAAAGAAGTGTCTGCAGAGAGAGAAGTCAGCACCAGAGGCTACACTTTGGTGCATCTGATGTATTTGGCAGATATCAACAGTCTGCACACACCAGAGATTGACAGGTAAAGTCTGATGAGTGGGAGATAATCTGCAATAAGGGGTCTTTTATCATGAAATCATGCAGAGTGTGGAACCTGTTTGTGCACACAGCCATAAATCTCTGAAAACAAGCGCCCTGAGTCCCAGAATGTGCTGCAGAAAAACTGGGAGTGCCACGTTTCTTTTCTCTATCCCCAGGAGAAAGTAACAGGAATTAATATCTATTTAAAAATGCAGTTAATTAAATATGTGAGCCTTAATGCTTATTTACTCGAGCCTATAGTTCAACAAATCAGACCAAATGACACTAACATTACAGCACAATGACACACCTTCGACCTGCAGCTGAATCCTGAACTGCAATCTATTATTTACACGAACATCCAAGTGGACGCATCTGCAAAAATCCTGTAGTCTAACAGTTTATGTTTAACAGCTCAAAGACTCAGACAGTTCAGATTCCAAGACATAAGGCACCAATGTGCAGCAGGTGCAAAGCATGCATGCTCCTGCATGTGTGCATTAAAGGGTTAAAGGGTAATATTATTTGTTACAGTCCTCAAACACAACTTTGCCAGCAACCATTATGTCTACAAATGAATAAAGAAAGCACAGTATCCATTATGCAATGCAATACAGAATAACCACGCAGAAGCAGTGAGATTCAGTAATGAAGAAAAAGTGAGTTTAAACTCATTTGAATAATTAAATCGACCAAGAAAGGTGCAGAGTAAAGCTCCTCCACCCACCCGCTCAGACATTTACATACAGATGGTTTTAGTCCATCAATAAAGACAAACCTGCACCACAAAATAACAGAACTATCTTTAAAGGTTTCATTTGAAAATCAGAGACAGACACATGAAGCCTTATTATTTTCTGTTTCTCTACAGTGAGCTGGAATCGAGGATTTCAGCTCTCGACGTTTCCCACACTGAACTGGTGAACAAAACCTGGAAGTTTGGAGGGAACGAGCAGGGCTTTAGCAACATTAAAAACCTCATCATGAACTTCCCATCGTGCTGCATCACTGACGATCAGGGTCAACCCATGTCCTGGATCCTGGTGTATGATTACTGTGCCTTAGGTATTCTGTACACCCTGCCGGAGCACAGAGGGAAAGGATACGCCAAAGTCCTGATTTGCAGCATAGCTAAGAAACTCCACGCTGAAGGATACCCGGTGTACTGCTTCATAGACGAGGACAACTCACTCTCCTACAAGCTCTTTAAAGTCCTGGGCTTCACTGAAGATCCCTCATACAGAGCTGCATGGTTTGAGTTCAATGTTTGACTTTATTACCTTTGGGATTTTTAACTCTCTGAGAATGTTTTCCTGAAATATTGTCTTAAAACTGTAAAATAAGGTTTCTAAATGAATGAAGATACGACAAATATATGAAGGTTAAAGGGTATGAGTAACTTTGTCCGCACTGCTGGTGCACATTTTTAGCTCATACATCCTCAAAGATGTTATTTAAAATTTTTCTTTATTTGAATCAGATTCTGTACATTGTCTGTTTTTATTTTATGTGTATTATGGTTTTTAAATTGAAAGCAATGCCTCAAAGTTGTACTGTAAGCATGACGTAAGTGAAGAAGCTCTTATCACAATCATGCAGACTTTTTAAACACAATCATGGAATAAAACAGAGCTTTGTTCATGTGTTATTCATTTTGCATTTCATAGCTGATGTACTCACACACAGTACACTTGAGAATTTAGGCAATAAAGAGCAGGTAAGAAAACACATAAAAACTTTGAGAATAATGTACCTAATATGAATGAACATGCAGATTGTGGCAAAGATTAGCGCTGTCGATCTGCTGTGCAAGAACACAACAAGCGTAGCAACAACATGTACATCAGCGGGGTGCGAGAGGTGAGAAAGGTGGAAGTACAGGTAAGTCATGTTTAGCCCTTTTGCGGAAGTTAAAGGCTTTAAATGACAAGTCATTGTAACATTCAAACCAAACACAATTCTTTAGACAGCTACTTTACCATTACTCAAGATTGTCTTTTCACTAGCAGGGGTGGAAAGAAGCAAATTCAATCTACTCACATTACTGTAAAAGACTTTATTGTTTGAGTTTCTTTGTTTTAAGAATTTTTTTAAAACTCCTCCAACCCTCACCACCATGAGCTAAAGAGAGTAATACTCAACACTTGAATTATATCACAAATCAACTAGCCTACTTTCTAGGACAAACTAAAGAAAAAGGAACAAGGTAAAGCAAGAAAAAAAAATCGGTTTTTAACATCAAACTTTAGTAGTGCCTTGGACCCTCCCTTTTGTTTCAATGTCCATAACCCAGCCCACAACCTCTCTGGACCTTCTCCTGACCCAATTTAAAGGTCTACCTGGCTTGTTCTCAGCATCCCTAATAGTATGGGCATCATCAGAGTCCAGGTCATGGGCAGCTTCTACATCTATGAAGGCCTTTAGTTGCATTGGTGTTGCTCAAACTTGGTTCTGCTGGTTAACCACATCTGTGTATTATGTTGTTTTTGTCTTACAGGTGGTTGAAGGCATCCTGTACAAGATACATGTGATCATGGGCAACACCCCCTGCAGGAAGACATCTGCACTTAAACAGTGTACTGTTCATGGGGACTCTGAACTGACACGGGTACAGGCTTTCTAAAGAGAGCTTAACCTCAGCTGTTTACATTTTCTATTTAACACAGAGATGCAGCTAAACTGGTCTTCCTGCAGTCCTGACTTGTTAGAAAACTTGAATGGTTTGGAGTTGTTTATAGAATGTTATGTATTAAATGTACTTTTCTTTTTTGCTTTATTCTCAGCCCTATGAGTGCACCTTCAGAGTGTGGCAGCGTCCTTGGCTCGGAGAGACACAGGTGTGGGAGAAGTGTCCATGAGAGAGCTGCATTGGAAGACATTCAGAGCTTGACATCTCACCTTTATCTGCAGATATTCTTTGAGGAACAGATTAAATATACAAAGTGGCCTCTGATGCTTTTAAAACTGCTTTTTAGATTAGATAATGTTTTAATAAAGCTAATGTTCAGCTGTTTAAATATCATGTGCACTGTGATAAGAGAAACTTTGAGATGCATAACCGAAACAATCATATTAATAAACCATGAACAGAACTTTTGATTAGCCTTGTTGTAAAATGAGTATATGAAAAGTAAAGAGTTTTACTGTGTGCACACTATAGTAAAATATTCGTCTTGCTTAATGTAATAATTCCATGACTACTATCTGATATTTAATATTAAGGTTGTTAACACAGTGAATAATCAACTTGGGGTGAATAAAATTTTCTCTTTTCTGATTTTAGACACTTGATTTGACTTTTCTTGAAGTCTAGATTCACTAAAACTGAAAAGATTTATCATTTACTCACGTAAAAAAATGTAATAATTTAACTAATGTCAGGTTATTCTGCTCCTACTTCATAACAACAGCATTAAAATGTCTTTTAAATGTCTACTTGTCTTGAAATAACTAAAATTGCCCGAGAATTTCGATTAGAAAGAAGAAATTTTAAGCCTTTATTTTCCTATTCATACCGGAAGTAGTCAAATTTTGCGCCAAAAGATGAAACGTCTGGCACATTTACTTTCTTGGAGAATTATCGGAAAAAAGAGTTTCCATCTTGCCGAGCGTATAAAAAGGCACCTTCAGTTTGAAACAACCAGGGAAAATAGAGAAAACTTGAGCAGACCATGTTTGGACTCGACAGATGAAACTATTTATATCAGATATCAATCAAAAGCAGATCTAGAGGAATCAAGAGCAGCGCGAAAAAAAATAAAACCGAATGAGCGAAACTAGAGTATCTTTTCATCACGGTATTTGCGGTTGGCTATAAGATTAGTGTGTAATATCTTGTTGATGTAAGTGTAAATAAAAGGCGTCCATGTTATAGATGTAATGATTATGATATCTATGGTCTACGTGCCCCAGTCGAATCTCCATAACATAGGAAACGGGGCAGTCCAGAGCGCACATGAACGCAGCATGTGACTGGGTCAGTCAGTCTGTGACATGAACGGCTGTCAATGTTTTATAAAGGCTGAACTTTTGACTCTTTACATTGAGTCACTCGTCGATGAGAAACTTTATCAGAGTGTATTCGCAAACATGAAGGTTCTCAACAAAGAAGAACTACTGATCGCCGAAAAAAAACTGCTAAACCACTTACCGAGGAGTTTGAAGGTAAGACAAGACGGCGACAATTTATGTTAAAAAGTAGAAAACTTTATAGTCTTCGTAGTCGTCTGTATGGAATCAAAATCCGGAAATGATTCAATATAATGAGTTAAAAACTCCCTAAAGCATCGAAGTTGGAAAATCCTGACTTCACTCGTATGTAAACGAAGCGTTGTAAAGAGCACATGAATGCAACACATGGTTTGTTTACATGAACGTGGAGAGAGGTAGTGATTTATAAAGGCTGAGCTAAAATCTCAGTTGTTTAGAGGACTAAAGCAGTTCAATTATTAACTTAAATAATATCCAAATTAGGTAACATAAAAATCTTTTAACTTTGATCTCATTTACCTCTGTCTTAGTTCGACTTACTGTCCTTTTAGCCTTTATTTTACTTATAATCTTTTCTTATTAACCTTTTATTTTATATATTTTTTTCTGCTCATTTATGTTATTCCATTTTATCATTAATATTACCATCATTTTAATTTAATTATGATTTATTATTATTATGAATATCATCTTTTTATATTTAATATCCTGTTTCCTGTTTTCTACCCCCCTTTTTTATTACATTTCTTTTTCTTACCTAATTTATGTTTTTATTTTGGTCCTTATGGTCTCATTTTATGTTGTAGGGCTCTTGTATTGTCCGGCTTTCTTATGACAAATTAAATTGGCCTTCAGTTCGTAGGCCTTGTTTTTAACTGGGTTTATGTAAAATGGCTGGCCGCATATAAAGAAATAAAACTGTTTCAACACTGAACGCCGTACAAAAAGCATGATATATTTTGGCAAAATCTAGTTTCTTGGCTGTCAACAGGTTGTGATGATGGAGAAACATGGTTGGTTCACATTAGATGCTGTTCTGTGCGTTTCGTGTGTTTTTGTGTCAGTGTAACCACAGCATTTCTAACACCCTTGAGTAAATGGTGCAGTAGGACGACTTCCCAAACAGAAACCGTACTTCGTCACTAATGCAGTGATAATGGAAACAGTTTCAATGTGTGAACCACATGTACAACTAAACCATACAAAGCCTCTATCAAATTCAGACATCAGACAAGACTTGGACTGTCTCAAGTACAACATAACTGGTGTTAAGACCTTTGAATTATTGTAAAATGACTGACACAATTGTTAAGCCTTAGTAACAGTGTGTTTATTCTTTATTAAAAGTATGCCCATATTTGTTTTAGGTGTATGGTTTCCTGTTTGGTATCAACAGAAACAGACCATCTACCCTGGAGGTAGTTGTCGACACCTGGCCAGATTTTAAGGTCATCCTTTGCAGACCTGACCCCAAGGTGAGTCCACAGACCACGAGAGAATTGAGTATTATGCAGCTTTACCACATTGAGGTTTTATCGTAATAGTATGTAGGGGCGTTTGTATGTTTTATCCATTAAAAAAAAAAGAAAAAAAAACTAATTTGAAACACCAAATCTGACAAAAAGGTTTGAAGAAAGAAAAACCATTAAGCAGTAATTGTCGGCACAAATTTGTAGACATGTTGTTTGTCATGTGACTAAAACTTCCTACATTCAGATAACTCTATTGTTGGGTTTAAGGTTTATTAGTCTCCATTTTCAATGAAATTATTCACTCATTATTTTGGACTTCAGCCTCTACAAAATTCACACCAACCTCACGGGCGAGAAGGAGAATTTGCTGATGAAGTTTGTGTTTTTGTTACAGAACAGGCGAGCCCTAGCGTTCATGAAAAAGGTGACCTACTTCACCACAGATGAACGGGTGTTGAGGAAGATGCTGGTGGAGGAGAACGCAGTGGACTGGAGCACATATTTCCTCATTGGAGGTGAGCTTAAACAAGTCTCTTCAGCTTTTAAAAAATCGACTTTTTCACCCAGGTATCTGCCGGTTATTGCAAATAATTTTCAGAAGAAAAAACATAAGATTGGAGTTTTGTCTCGACATCATGCAACATGCAAAGAAAAACTGAACAATCAATCAAGTGCAAAACCTTTTCCAACAGGGTTTGACGTCTCCCACGCGCTCATGCTGAAAGAAGTGTCTGCAGAGAGAGAAGTCAGCACCAGAGGCTACACTTTGGTGCATCTGATGTATTTGGCAGATATCAACAGTCTGCACACACCAGAGATTGACAGGTAAAGTCTGATGAGTGGGAGATAATCTGCAATAAGGGGTCTTTTATCATGAAATCATGCAGAGTGTGGAACCTGTTTGTGCACACAGCCATAAATCTCTGAAAACAAGTGCCCTGAGTCCCAGAATGTGCTGCAGAAAAACTGGGAGTGCCACGTTTCTTTTCTCTATCCCCAGGAGAAAGTAACAGGAATTAATATCTATTTAAAAATGCAGTTAATTAAATATGTGAGCCTTAATGCTTATTTACTCTAGCCTATAGTTTAACAAATCAGACCAAATGACACTAACATTACACACCTTCGACCTGCAGCTGAATCCTGAACTGCAATCTATTATTTACAGGAACATCCAAGTGGACGCATCCGCAATAATCCTGTAGTCTAACAGTTTATGTTTAACAGCTCAAAGACTCAGACAGTTCAGATTCCAAGACATAAGGCACCAATGTGCAGCAGGTGCAAAGCATGCGTGCTCGTGCATCTGTGCATTAAAGGGTTAAAGGGTAATATTATTTGTTACAGTCCTCAAACACAACTTTGCCAGCAACCATTATGTCTACAAATGAATAAAGAAAGCACAGTATCCATTATGCAATGCAATACAGAATAACCACGCAGAAGCAGTGAGATTCAGTAATGAAGAAAAAGTGAGTTTAAACTCATTTGAATAATTAAATCGACCAAGAAAGGTGCAGAGTAAAGCTCCTCCACCCACCCGCTCAGACATTTACATACAGATGGTTTTAGTCCATCAATAAAGACAAACCTGCACCACAAAATAACAGAACTATCTTTGAAGGTTTCATTTGAAAATTAGAGACCAACACTTGAAACCTTATTATTTTCTGTTTCTCTACAGTGAGCTGGAATCGAGGATTTCACCTCTCGACGTTTCCCACACTGAACTGGTGAACAAAACCTGGAAGTTTGGAGGGAACGAGCAGGGCTTTAGCAACATTAAAAACCTCATCATGAACTTCCCATCGTGCTGCATCACTGACGATCAGGGTCAGCCCGTGTCCTGGATCCTGGTGTATGATTACTGTGCCTTAGGTATTCTGTACACCCTGCCGGAGCACAGAGGGAAAGGATACGCCAAAGTCCTGATTTGCAGCATAGCTAAGAAACTCCACGCTGAAGGATACCCGGTGTACTGCTTCATAGAGGAGGACAACACACTCTCCTACAAGCTCTTTAAAGGCCTGGGCTTCACTGAAGATCCCTCATACAGAGCTGCATGGTTTGAGTTCAATGTTTGACTTCACTACCTTAAGGATTTTTAACTCTCTGAGAATGTTTTCCTTAAATATTGTCTTAAAACTGTAAAATAAGGTTTCTAAATGAATGAAGATACGACAAATATATGAAGGTTAAAGGGTATGAGTAACTTTGTCCGCACTGCTGGTGCACATTTTTAGCTCATACATCCTCAAAGATGTTATTTAAAATGTTTCTTTATTTGAATCAGTTTCTGTACATTGTCTGTTTTTATTTTATGTGTATTATGGTTTTTAAATTGAAAGCAATGCCTCAAAGTTGTACTGTAAGCATGACGTAAGTGAAGAAGCTCTTATCACAATCATGCAGACTTTTTAAACACAATCATGGAATAAAACAGAGCTTTGTTCATGTGTTATTCATTTTGCATTTCATAGCTGATGTACTCACACACAGTACACTTGAGAATTTAGGCAATAAAGAGCAGGTAAGAAAACACATAAAAACTTTGAGAATAATGTACTTAATATGAATGAAAATGCAGATTGTGGCAAAGATTAGCGGATCTAGCACCACCAGTATGAATGTATTTTCCGTAAATGTGAAATCGATGAGTTGTGTACTTGTAGATTTTTTTCTATTTCCACAGGTACAACACAACATTCACACAAATTCTTAACTACAGATGCACAAATCCTATTTTACAAGTCTAAATTTTAAACTCTGACACGCTCACATTTTTGCTCCAATCGTTGCAGCAAATTTGGTGCAAACATATTTGTGCACCTGTATGGAGCAATGTGTATGAAGGTATTTTTGGTGCATAAGGTTTGTGCATCTGTAACATGTGATTTGTAGTTGTGTACAGTGATTGTGTATGTGTATTAGTAACAATCTATGAGTTGTGTACTTGTACCTTCATACTATACCAGTCCTACATAAAAAAAATCATGTAAAAAAAAACGTAATATGCAACAATAACGTCATGAAATCCACTTTAATGTAAAAGTAAAATCAAGTTTTATTTTTATTTCTTTTTTAATTTTAAAAACTGATTTTCCCTTTAAGTTCAAGGTAAATTTGCCTGTGTTAGCTGATATTTAAAAATAAAAATATGTAAATTACAAAGGTGGGTTTTTTGTTGTCGTTAACTGTCGACCCACGTGCCGATATCAGCCAATCAGACGCTCCCTTCCTCCGGCGTGCTCCGAGCTTCGGCATGTCTGCAGACTTCTCTGCAGACTTCTCGTTACTAAAGTGAAACGGGACTCTGATTCCTGCCCTTAAATAACCCAGTTTAGAGGTTAGAGTAAGAATGGAGCTGAATAAGGAGCAGATGAGAGCGGCTGAGACCGAGCTGAGGAAATATTTACCTCAGTCACTGAAGGTAACTCATGGTTCAGATTTACTACTGTGAATGAAAATAAGAATAATCACCAGTTGTCCTGTTTGTTTAATGAACCAGTGCTGACTTCCGTCTTCGGGTCCAATCAAACTTCTCTTATACTGTGAATTAAAGTGTTTCTCTCTGTTTTATTTTCCAGGTTTACGGAGTTTTGATGCTTAAAAACAGAGTCACATCAGACCCATTGTCGGTTATTGTGGATAAATGGCCTGATTTTAGAGTCTTTATCTGCAGACCACACTGTGAGAAGGTAATTATTTATCATAGATATCACGTGATTGTTTATGTCCACAAAACTACGGAAGCCAAAAGAGGACATGCGCCAATATTGCTTCTGTTTTGGGGGATGGTTTTAGTTGTTTACTGGCTTGTTTTTCTGCACTATAATGAGCTTCTTTTTTAACTGTTGTTACAGGAAAGTGATTTCTTCAAAGATATCCTGATATTTGCGACTGATGAAACTATTCTGGAAGAAACCATCAGGAAATCCTCTGACTGGACCAGGCCTCTCTGTTTTGGTAATTAAAATTAACTCTTTTATTCTCTGTATTGTCTCTTGAATAGTTATCAAAGTCAATCAATCAATCAAATCAAATTTTATTTTTATAGCGCCAATTCACAACAGTCGTCATCCCAAGACGCTTTCCAAAGAAAAAGAGCCGGTCTAGACCACACGAAACCTTGAGCAGGACCAGACAAGTCTATTTGTTTACCTGTAACCTACTTTCAAAAATTACATACCATTACTCCATTGATATTTATACTCTTTAAATCCACCCGTGCATTTTAAATCAGTCATTATTTATATTTTTGTGCAAGAAATAAGTGATCAAAACCACAAACTTGACATCCATTTGGAAGATGATAACAGCTCAAATATATTGCACATTATAGAGTTCAAAGTCCTCCTGTTGTTTCATAGAGATCTGAAGAGATGTGGGACCATCATATGTTTTATTTACACTACTAAAAAAATAAAAGGTGCAAAGATCAGCTCCCTGGTGTCGTTATAGTGTCTGAATGATTAACCAAGAGGAAAGTGTAGGTCAACAGAAGAAAAGAAAGCAGCAGATGGTCAGGATGACTGGAAACTTTAATTTTGCTGACAATTTTTCATTTTTCTCTGAATTTTTTCAGAATAAGAAAAATAATTTACGTAGTTTTATGATGCTCCAACTAACATTTCTTCACTCGAATATGTTCATTTGACACAATGACATACACACAGGGCACATAACCAAACACTGACCCAAACAAGAGTCTGAATTTAAAAGATATTTCCCAATAACAATATTGAAGCTATTCAAATATGGACATTTTAACTTTAACATCTTTTAAATGGACTAAAGTCAGTCTGTTATTCTGTCTTAAGGTTTCAATCAACGCCACATGGACACAATCAAAGCGGTTGCATCTGAAAAAGCTGCACCCGGCCGCCAACTGGCAGTATGTCACAAGATGATTCTGGAAGACGTTTCCAAGCTCCCCTCTGTTGACAGGTAGATGCTTGTCTTTGTAGACGTCTGTGTTGTCTCGATCACAGGTGAGGAGACTCCCATAAGGAGGAGAAAGAAAGTTCTCAATAGCAGATGGGACCTAATTTGGGTAAAAAATAAAATTCAATTGAAAAAACGTTATTTATCTAATGATCTAATCACTGTACAGCTGTAAACTGGGTATCCAAGTTATCGTGTGAATGTGGGAAACAGTGGCAGTACATCCTTCACTGCAAAGTCTTTACCTGCTGCCTCTGTGTCTGAACATCTACTCTATATTCAGACACAGAGGCAAAAAAAATTAGAGCTATGATGAAGTCCAACAGGGAAAGTCAAAGGCAAATGGTGCCCTCTGCTGTTTACAAATGGTAATACTACTCCCTCAGGTGTTGAGACTGTGTCCATAGAGTTTGTCCTTATTCGTGTGATTCAAATAGACTTCAAAGTTGGTTCCAGATTAAAACACTTGCTCAGAAAAGTCCTCTGCTCTGTTCCTCCTCAGCTCCGGATTGTCCCTCAGCTCTATGGATGAATCACACACCAGTCTAGTGAACCAAACGTGGCAGTTTGGACAGAACGACGGGGCTCTCAGGATGATCCAGAACATGGTTAAGAACTTCCCGTCCTGCTGCGTGCTGGATGCTGAAGGGAAGCCTGTGGCCTGGATCCTGGTCTACAATACCTGCGCCATGGGCATGTTGCACACACTGCCGGAGCACAGGGGGAGAGGATACGCCAAAGTCCTGATCTGCACCATGGCGAAGAGGCTCCACTCTGAGGGATACCCGGTGTACTGTTTCATAGATGATGATAACGGGATCTCCTACAGGATTTTTACAAAGCTGGGCTTCACTGAAGATCCCTCATACAGAGACACATGGTTTGAGTTCAATGGGCCTTAAATAACTTAAAGGAGGGTTTTATATATTTGTCATTAATGATGATTCTTTTAAAGGCCTGGAAAACACTAAATACAAGTGACATCCTGAAAATGTAAAACCTTATCTCCTCCAATGTGGTAAATATTTCTGCAACAATTTATTATGGAAATTTTATAACGTAGAAAAAAAATGAAACTATTTCAACTTCGTTTTGTGAATAATGAGGCATATAGTTCTGTATTGATTGCATGCTTGTTGGTGCCTTTTAGGGAGAGTTTCAAGTGCGGTTATGTCATGTTTTGACTATTTATATTAAAAGGATAATTAACCTGATTCCAGGGAACGAACTGAATTAAACACTTTCAACAAGGAGCTTTTTAATATTTTCTGTAAGTGAAATTAATATAAAAGAAGAATACCTTTACACTTTTAATATAGTAAAAAAAAAAATCTATAAAATAAAAAAGAAACTTGACTTTTCTTATTGTTGGCTTTTGTTGATTTTTTTTAACTCTCCTGAATTTTTCGCAGGTTTTATCTTGAGCTAAACTGTTAATTATTGACTGTGACTATAAAAAAATAGCATGTTTAAAGTCAACATCATGCAACTTAGTGATGGGCACGGCACTTCTTTTAGATGTACTGAATCACAACAATTAGTTTGCTAAAGAGACTCGTTCACCAAATCACTGAATCATGTCACACTTAGCGGGAAAAGCCTGTGACTGTGTCTGGGATCGGGAGTTGAGAGTGTTTGGCTGTGTTTCTTTGGCAAACAGGTTTGTAAAAATGAACTTGTTTATATGTCATGATGTTTTAAGTGTACTGTCCTATGGTATGCAATTTATCTGGTCCGCTCAGTAAACTGGGGTCAGTGAGTGATTCGTTCACTGAACGTTTGGAAGAATTCGCACTGAACATACACCGTTCCCTCGCAAACCGCTGCAATGATAGGATGTTGCGGGTTTAATGCACTACTTGTTACATGCTGTGTCCTGTTGTATGCAAGTTTTTGTGGTGGCAATTTAGCAGTAAGAAAAAAAAAGGTAGCTTTGTCAGACAAAAACGATTCCAGAGAGTGTAGTTCAATTCGTTCACCACAGGTGTCAGTACATGCAGTCCCTTGCTCAACTGGTCGACACAACACTAACGCAACTCTTGCTAGTGTACTGTCATTGTCAGTGCAATGTCTGGAAAGTTTAAATAAAGTTGTTTGAAAAAATCCGGAACTCTGTAGTCTGCAGACTCCACGTCACTAAAAAGTAAACACACATGAATATATTCGGCGAATATATTCATGTGTGTTTTATGTGTGTGTCTCCACCCCTACATGAAGCAAGCCTCGATACGCGCTTCGCGGAAACGCCCCCTTCATTACTCGACACACGCTTCGAAGCCTGAAGGACACATCACTAATATTCGCTCATTATTCTAAACTTGGAGAGAAATTTAATATAAAGTGATAATGGAGCTGAGTGAAGAGCAGGTGAAGGTGGCTGAAACTGAGCTGAAGAGGTTTTTACCTCAATCTCTGCAGGTGTGTTTGATCAGATCGATAAAAAAACACGAACTTTAATAGATTTGTAACATATTTGTAACTGCAGTCTTTTTTAAAACGTCCGTAAATCAGAATCTGCCTCGGGATGACGAGGGTTAAATGCCATTAAAGTATGTAATACAGACTTCGACATGCACAGTATATGTAAAACGAAGCCAATTATCATAAATCTAAAGAAACGTTCACGGTTATTTTGAAGGGAATGTGTTAAGAAGTGCAATTTCTTGTCTTTTTAAAGGTTTACGGTTTTTTGATGCTCAGAAACAGATTCACATTAGAACCTTTGTCGGTTTTTGTGGACAGATGGCCGGACTTCAGAGTCCTTGTGTGCAGACCACAAACTGGAGAGGTATGATTTATTTCATGTTTATAAATTTTGAGCAGGTTTAAGCTGAAATTACAAAATATTTAAGGAGACTTCACTTGTCATTGCACCTCCCCAGTAACAAACAACGCAATAACTACGAATGTTACGAGTTCAATCGGCAAATATGGATTTTAATGAGTTTCTTGAAAATTATTGTATCATTTATGTCAAAAATAGTCATTTTCACTGACTGTCTTTACTCTCCGGTCTTTGTCCACTTTCTCACCTTAAATGAACCATAATCTAACCTGTAGAGTACATAATAAGAGCCGTATCCTTAGCAACGGTTTGCTATCGAGAAATAACAGACCGTTATGATCGGTTTCCAAGTAGTGGCAGCTCTGTAATAAATGTTTTGAAATAATCGATTTAAAGTATGAGTGAGTGTATTCCTTCATCTCTCTCTCTCTCATTATCTTCTTGTTTTTTCTACAGAAAGGTAGTTTCTTCAAAGACATTCTCATTTTTGCAACTGATGGAGCCATTTTAACAGAAATAATAAAGAAGCCAGCTGTTATGGATTGGACCAAGCAACTCTGTATAGGTAATGACATTTGTATTGTCTTTTTCAGCAATCATAGTACACCATTAAAGTGACACTGCTACCTTAAATATTTGCTATCTTTCGATATCATGGCCGTCATGTCATAGCATTGACACAGATATTTGTACGTCTGAAATCCATCTCTAAAATTGAGTCATTCTTACATGGCTTTATAGGACTTGTTTTTAGCACTGCAATAAAAATTCAGAGGTGTTAAAAGTCCTATTGTTATGGCGTTTATCAAAGGAGCTGAGGAGGTCATGGTGCCATCTCTTCTCCTATTTCTACACCACAGACTGTCATAAAGTGCCAACATGAGTTTCCTTGTGCCATAACAGTATGTGAATGATTAATATGCAATGTGCTGGTAAAAAAGACACAAGATGGACAAAATTAAAACTTTAATCTTGCTTAAATAATACACTTTCTAAAAAAAGAATAGAGATACACAAACCAAACTAGGTCGAACACATTTTTCAGTTGTTAAATGAAATACAATCCATAGGAATGATCCTAAAATTAAATAAATATCTTTATTTTATCTTATCCAAGAATTCAATCACCAACACGTGGAGGTATTCAGAACTGTTGCATCAGAAAAAGGCGTCCCCGGCCATGAACACGGAGTGTGTCATGTGATGATTCTGGAGGATGTTTCCAACCTTCCCTCTATAGACAGGTACAGCCTTTTTTTTCATCTCCAGAACAAAGATTTTATTTAGTAGCCATGGCTCAGATTACAGGAGGGTTTGGATGATGAGCATTTAGGTTTTTATGTTGGTTACATATTAAAGCTCCAGCAGTCAGAGCCTGTCCACAGTTTAACAGATTTCTGCTCAGAAAACTCAGGTTCTAATATCCTCTACAGCTCAGGAGTCTCACTCAGCTCTCTGGATGAATCACACATCAGCTTACTGAATCAAACATGGAAGTTCGGAAAGTGCGATGAGGCTCTCAGGATGATTCAGGACATCCTCACCCATTTCCCGTCCTGCTGCATGCTGGATGCTGAAGGGAAGCCTGTGGCCTGGATCCTGGTGTATAGCAGCTCTGCTATGGGCATGCTGTACACACTGCCAGAGCACAGGGGGAAAGGATACGCCAAAGTCCTGATCTACACCATGGCTAAGAGGCTCCACGCTGAGGGATACCCGGTGTACTGTTTCATAGAGGAGGACAACACGCTCTCCTACAGGCTCTTCAAAAACCTGGGCTTCACTGAAGATCCCTCATACAGGGCTGCATGGTTTCGAGTAAATTAGGTTTAACTACCTTAAAGACAGGTTTTGTATGATTTTATATGTCCTTGTTAGATGTTAGCAGCATTAGAGTCTATTACTTTCTCTTAAATTTAGATACAACACAAAGGTGCCTCTGCAGATCAGTCATCTCTTTTCTGGAGTGGTGGTCGATGCCTGATTGGGTCTGAAACAAAAAAGCAAAAAGATTATTAGAACAAAGACTAATTTTAGTTTGTAGCTCATATGACATTGATGTGTTGTTATGTGACTGTTTTGCATTTGTTCTGATAATAGTGTTATTGGAAATACATCAAAAGTGATGGTAAGACTCGGTTCGACTGTTTTACCTCTGCTCTGTGAATTTTTCAAGACGAACCAGCCAAGACTTCCAGTTTTCCAGCATCAGCTCAGGGTTTAGCTGATGGGCGTGGCCCGGTGACCCGTCTTTGTAGGCGACGACAATGAGACCATTTTCAACCTGAATGCAGAGGTGGTAGAAATGTGTGTGTCATTACTCACGAAGAGATGGTGGAAAAAAAGACTCCTGGTTCACTTTTCCAATTTTTTTTTAACTGGAGCAAAAGAGGAACAAAACAGCAGGATCTGAAATGTGCTTAATGTAAAAATAAATCTGGAGACTTTTATGTCACGTTAATAATTGAACCAATGAAGCAACACTGGGATGCTTGCAGTAAATAAACTGTATTTGTACTTTGCTTGTCCTCAGTTTTGGTGGGTGTGAGGCTGTTTTCATTTGGGATATTTACCAAGGATCAAAATAGGTGTACATGTTATTTATCTCATCAGATCACCTGGTATTTGTAGTTTTCGTCGTTATTCAGAGCGCCTGCGTAAGCCGCCACCTGTATGGGGTTGTCGTATGTGTTGCTCAGGAATGGTTTGGGCTTCTCTGACGTCTTCCAGTCAATAACACACAGCACGCCCCTGCAGACAGTAAAAAGAAATACGTTTTAACCGCACAGTCAAATCAGAATCAGACCTTTGTCTTGTAATCAGGACATTTACCTGTAACGAGCAACACAGTCTGCAACTCCCAGGTAGTTCAGAGTGTCATGTTTCACAGTACTTTCAATGGCTCTCACTGCACTGACTTCCTCCAGCACATGAGAGATGCTCTGCATGTATCCCTGCACATCGGGCGGATACTTCTGAGTCTCTGAAGGGTCTATATTCATCCATGTTGATCCTGATGAGAGAATGTCCTCCAGAGCTGAGTGGAAAAGCTTCCCTTGTCTGAATAAATCTGAAACAAGAAACAAAGTTTGGTTCCTTTTGAGTTAATCAGGCCTTAAAAATGTAAGATTATAATAAGGGCTTATTACAAAGAGGGTTTAAATACAAGAGGGGGTTGCCTAAGTGTTTTGGTGCATTACTGTGAACACAGAAATATAAGAATATAAAGTCCTGGGATGTGATTTTAGTGATGACCAGTAGGTTAATAAAGGTGCACAAACTCTCGCCGGGAATTCAGGACCTTTTGAGGAAGTTAGTCAAATTCAACCACAGGAGCTTGGCTTTAACTTTATAAATATGATGATTTCTCATGAAGTACTGTTAATTGGTGCCTTTGGTGAATTGGAAAACCAATACCAGTCACTCCCTAGCAAAAACTGCACGGTCATTTTATTATTCATCCTGCCTATAAAAATGCTCAGGTCAACTCGAGATAAACTGATTAACTACTCTGCCTTTTATCAGTCCAACATTTTGAGTCCCTTTTTTTCCAATAACTTTGATCACAATATTTGATATACAGTAAATTATTATTTTGATAATAATATTGTATTAAAGAGTTCAAGAGTCATAGTGAATCAGAATCAGAGTTCAAATCTGTCTTTCATTTCAGTTGACCTTCCTCCTGCGTTAGCTTTTAATACACACCAACTGTTAAGGGTTGGTTTTGACCCATGTCTTAGATCAGCTGCAAATTACACTAAAAACAATTCTCTATTATCAAATTTGGTTCTCACCTCTAGGTTACCTTGTTAGGCTTCATTATCCATGAGAATATTGTTTATAATATTCTTTGTTGTAGTCCTCTGGGCCTTTCTTTGTCAGTATGTCTGGACATGCCTGACGTTGTTTTTTGTGATTTTGTTTCTCTGAATAACAATGACCACAGAATACACAACAATCATGAAATATCCACTCTGACTTTATATGTTAAGAAACTCAGTTATTTATTAAAAAAAATACTTAAACTATTTAAGGAAATGTAAAGATATAAACCAATACCTCTTTTAAACATCTGTCACAGAAATCTTTGAACAGCTCTCTTTATTTATACTAATTTTTATCATAAACTTACTCTGATTGTATTCATATTATTTTTTATTGTAGACTTACTCTGATTGTATTTATATTAAATGATTACAGACTTACTCTGATTGTATTTTTATTATTTTTTATACACTTACTCTGATGTATTTTATTTTTTATTACAGTCTAACTCTGATTGTATTTATATTAACTTTAATTACAGACTTACTCTGAGTGTACTCTTTGAAGCCTTCCTCTCCCAGCTCTGCGATGATCCTCCTCTTCCATCTCTCCAGGTAGAAGATCTGTTCCTGGGAGAGGGTCTGCTGGAGGATTCGGGTCACACTGGGAACGGAGGACCTGTTCTGGTTTCTGTTCAACGGTATCCGTGTGGGAGGTCCTGCCTCGGGCTCTCCTGGTTCCTGATAGTCCCCGGATTGTGTGAAGGGATGGAGGGTTTTTGGTCCCCTCATCTCAGGTGTTGGAGTCCGGTTCTGAGCTGCTTTGATAACGGGTCCGTAAACGTGCTCGTCCTCTGCCAGGAGGCTCTCTGGGGTTTGGGAGCTGACTCTGGTTGACATGACGGACTTTACTAGAGAAGAGTAGCGCTCACTGTCCACAGAGCTGTACGGGCTTTGTCTCTTTGGGGACTTTAACTGAAGGCAGACCCATAAAGACCGAGTCACACAAAGGGAGGGGGGCTGAGCGAACCTGCTGCCTCCAGATGACACAAAGCGGCTCAAAATCAACATTTTAGCGACTTTAAAGCTACAAACTTGAATGACTTTATCGTATTAGATCTGTAGCTGTATAAACACACAGTATTTTCGATGTTTTAACGATGAATTTAGGAGTTTTGCCGTCATGTTGGTAAGGGTACTTGCCCCGACATGTTCCACAGAAACTCGGTGAATAGAAGGAGACTGTTTCTAAACGACGCGCCTCTACGGCTGCACAAACTTCCGGAGCGCCATTTTTTAAGATAACTTTATTGAAACATGAACAAAATTTTAACTGTTAAAGTCTTTTCTTTGAGTTAACACTCAAAATTTTGAAAACAGCTGTGTTTTCCCGGTTCTGATATTAAAATGATATAAGTTTTTAATTGGTAAATGAACATTTTTCGTTTTTTTTCGGTGAATTGAGAGATTAAAAAAAACTGATATCCATTTACAATATATAGTTACATAATCCTTAATGTGTTTTAATATTGGAGCATTAAAATGGATATGACGTTCATAACAACAACAACAACAATAATATTATTATTATTATTATTATTATTATTATTATTATTATTATTATTATTATTATTATTATTATTATTATTATTATTATTATTATTATTGTTGTTGTTGTTGTTGTTGTTATTGTTATTATTACTACTACTACTATTATTATTATTGTTATTATTTTACAACAATATTTATTATTATTATTATTATTATTATTATTATTAATAATAATAATAATAATAATAATAATAATAATATATACATGTATATACTATTCTATGTACAGTCTATGGTCAAGACTGTTTTTGCCTCTGGTTGTATATTTTATTTCTACCAAAATAGAATTAATAAATCTCTTTAGAAAACCTTTGAAAAAAAGAGCACAAAACAAAAACTGTTACAATGTTAACAACGTCCTGTTAACTGTCCTGTTAACACCAATACCAACTACAATACCCACAATGCACAGTGTAGCATTCAAACATGTCCGTAGAGTATTTAACTAGGTCTTATTTTTTGGTACTTCCATAACTATTTCAGACTGAATTACCCCATTATTTGTTGTCATTTAATAAAATACATTTCGAGCCAAAAAACATTTCTTTACGATACAGATAGGCTTGTTAAAGCTAACTGTGGGTATACACGTTCTATGATTGATAAGCTAAAAAGCCTATCACTGCGTTGGTAAACTGCATATTGACCAATGGTAATTGTTTAGAGGCGGGGCTTTATCTTTCATTATGGGGCAGAAAAGTGTTTGACAGCTCGACAGACAGACAGCTAACCATCTAGCGGAGGTAGAGCTTCCTGTCTGAATTTAGTTTTTATTTGGATTGTTGGCCTGTTTTTGTCTCTCAGTACATCTCTGTTACATCATGACATCCCCCGTAGACGATGGCGACAGGGAAAAGGTGAGTTAAAGTCCGCCCTGGGAGCTCATATTTACGGCTGTTTGCTGCTGAAGTTGTTGCCGCTAACTTGTGTTGTTTTCTGTGTGCTAGCCTTAAGCTAAGCTAGCTAATCGATACTTTATCGATAGACTGTCATAGAGCAGGATAAACTGCATGCGCGGAGAATAAAGGGTTGTAGTCTGAAGGTAACTCATTTCCTGGACGAGTTCAAACATGCCACACAAATCGGTCATTGACCCATAAAACGCAGTAAACGTTAAAGTTAGGTGAAGGTGTCACAGCTGCAGGGAAAACGAGGACATAATTATGGAATAAAACTTATAAATATTGATAATAAAACCAATTTAAGCCAGGTAGAAACGTATATTTTAAAGTCGGAGGTCATTAACAGCTTCTCATTATAATAACAGATTTCTGGCCCGGATGTTGTTCTCGGGTTCAAAGTGGGTCACCTGAAATAGTTTAGGGTTTGAGTAAAACAACAAACAGGAGAACTTTGCTCGTATGTGTTCACTGCATGTGTTGAATTAATCCGACCATCATTTGTTAGCATCTTTTTTGCAGCTTCTGTTTAGAGTGAGGTTCCACAAACAAGGATTGGTATGGTGGCCGAGAACTGCCACTGCTGCAAATGAAAAAGAATGGGGGAAAAAAAAAGAAAGCCATGAAGGAAGTTACCAATGCAAACAAACGAAAAAACAAAAAAATAGTGCAGATAAAAATAAACACAATGTAAGTTAACAATGCAAAAAAAGTGTCGATGCATATAAAAAGATATTTACTGTGAAAATTAAAGGATGCAAATAAAAATGCCACTGCTGAAAATAAAAAAAGAAAGCCACTACTGCAAAGAAAAAAGAAGTCACAACGGAAGTAACCGATGCAAAAAAATAAAAATTAAAAAAATAAACATACAGTACAGATTAAAAAAAAAGAAAAACACAACCGAAGTTAACGGTGCAAAAAAAGTGGCAATGCAAAAAGTAAACACAAAAAAAAGTGGTGGTGCAAAAAACAACAACAACAACAAAAAAAAAAGAATCACAGCGGAATTTACAGATGTAAAAAAAGAAAGAAAGAAACAGAGGCCTGCTGCAAATAAAAAAAGAAACGGTGAAGATAGACAAAAAAACACAACAGAAGTTGATGACGTGAAGATGCACCAGTGTTACGATCTAGGCACAGAAGACGACAGCAGGAAGACGAGCAAAGAAGCTCAATTCCGTTGTGGCTTTTTTTTATTTGCACCCTTTATTTTCACAGTAATTAACTTTTTTGTTTTTCATCGCCACTTTTTTTGCATCGTTAACATCCATTGTGGCTTTTTTAAAATCCGCACCGTATCTTTTTTTATTTGCAGTGGGCTTCGGTTTCTTTTTTTTTTTTTTGCATCGGTAACCTCCGTTGTGACTTCTTTTTTTATTTGCAGCAGTGGCAGTTCTCGGCCACCGTAGTTGAGGGTTAAACCCTAACCAAAACCACTACACCTAGACTTCTCACATTTGGACTTTACTATCAGAGAGTCAACAAACTCATTCAAACGCTGTAAGACCTATACCTCCTAAAACTGGCACAAATTTTTAAGAGATTCAGTTTGAAATTCGTGAAACCTTAATTCTGTTTATAGAAACCAGAGAGTGATACCTCTGAACCCCAACGGACCAGGTCCTGATCCAGATCCACCATACCTACACCTTACAGAAGTGGTTTGAGTTGTTTTGATCGGACTTCTTAAAGCACCTTGTCTGCCGTTTTTTCACCACTTGACCCCGTTAGACCAGGATCCGACCAAAGTCCACATTAATTAAGCCTCTGAAAAACGTTTTTAATATTTTAGACAGCTTCTAATACAGTTTTACTTTTTGTGAAACCTGAACTCATAATGATGAGATGAGAAACCTGCTGAATTTGTCTTCAAATCTGCATCAAAAATGCATTTTTTCTGTGAAAAGTGATGTAGTACATGTGCAAACATGAGAGTTATGTACTTTTTCTTTCCCACATTAGATGCGCTCTGTGTCTGTGGATCTAAACAACGATGCTTCTCTTCTCATCGACATTCCTGATGCACTTTGTGAAAGGGATAAAGTCAAGTTTACTGTCCACACCAAGGTAAAACAACATAACCAGCATTCCTGCACGCAGACTCTCTCCTGTCCTCGAATGTATTTAGTAAGCACACTATGGCTGTTTTTCTAAATCGATTAAAGAATGATATGAAACTGCATCTCTTTCCAGACCACACTAAACTGTTTCCAGAAGCCTGAGTTCTCTGTTCCCAGGCAGCATGAAGACTTCATCTGGCTGCACGACACTCTGGTGGAGACAGAAGACTATGCAGGACTAATAGTACGTTTGACTTTTTGCAGACATGACTCACGTAAATACCGAGGGCGTAATGTCACTATTTGTCTTTGAGGCCTGTGTACCCGAAGACAGAAAGGAAACAAAGGAGGGATTTTGGGCTTTTTTATCATAATACTTCAGAAGTTTATGAAACATTAGGACTGTTTTACCTTAATTATCCATCTTCTGAGTTATTTATTGTGAGTTTTATCGTTCATAGATTCCTCCAGCGCCCCCAAAGCCTGACTTTGAGAGCCCGAGAGAGAAGATGCACAAACTGGGTGAAGGTGAAGCGACCATGACGAAGGAGGAATACACTAAAATGAAGCAGGAGCTGGAGGCGTGAGTGTGTTGTCGTATATAAAATAGCCGTATATGTATTTATATAGCATGCTGACTTTATTTTCACGCTGTGTTTCGTTTTCTTCTAGCGAATACCTGGCTGTGTTCAAGAAAACTGTCCAAGTGCACGAGGTCTTCCTGCAGAGGCTGTCCTCTCACCCGGTTTTAAGCAAAGACAGAAACTTCCAGATCTTCTTAGAATATGACCAGGATGTGAGTTCCCCATAATGCTGACTTCCTTTCCTGAGCAGTCAGTTGGAAAGAGAGGAAGTGGAGTTTACTGGAGCCTTGTGACACACGGCTTCCACCCTGCTGCCATCAGCAGTTTAGCTTATCTGTGAAGTCTGGGTCAGTTTTGGCTGAAAGTTGGACGGTTGTTTTACTTTAATACCAGTCTGAAACAAGAAAATGAGCTTCACACACAACCCTGATCTCATAAGCGTTTGGGGGACTTGTGTTAAATGTTGATAAAAACAAAAAACATCAAATTCTGCTGCTTCTCAACATTTCCAACATCTACTCCTCCACTGTTTACCTCCTCCACTGAGCATTTTCTGCACATAATGAGACAAAAATTAAATTAAAATGATCTGAAGACACTTCGAGGGCTCGACTAAATTGATCATATTTCCATATTTTGTCATTTCAGCTCAGTGTGAGAAGAAAGAACGCCAAGGAAATGTTCGGGGGGTTCTTTAAAAACATGGTGAAGTCGGCTGATGAGGTCCTTATCTCGGGAATAAAGGTGAGGCCTCTGGACAGTCCGTGTATGATGTCATTTTTTACAGGGTGTGTTGTTTACCTGCTGCACGTGTGTTTTTATTTCTGCACAGGAGGTGGATGAGTTTTTCGAGCAGGAGAAGACGTTCCTGCTCGACTACTACAGCAAGATAAAAGATTCAACCGCCAAAGCTGAGAAGATGACCCGCTCTCATAAAAGTACGTTCAATTTTTACGTCTGTCAGAATTAAAGTAGACGGATATGTTTTTGTTTTTTACACAGAGAAACCAAATATACAAATCATCAAATATATAGATTGATGTGTGGGAGTGTGGCCAGAGTCAGGAGCTCCTGTGAGGAGTTTATTTATTTAATGAAACTGACTTAAATTCATATTGATGTTTTTTTATGATATATAAAAGGATATAAGACATAACTGATGATTTTTACATTTTGATTTTTGATGCCTGCAACAGAAAGTAGGTATAAACTGAGCAGCTGAAGAAACTGTTTTTTACAATTTCCACATGAAAAAATCAAAATAAATAAAACATAAAACTGTCAGATGTTGACTAGATGAGAATTTTTGGTCAGAAGACCCTCCTAATGCCTGTAGAGGACAATATATGCAAAGACTGTTTTGTCCACAGGGGGGCGCCAAAGTTGCTACAAACCAAAAATTGCTTACAGGAGCTTTAAACTGATCTCTGGAAATATTCTGATAATTTGAAGTACCAGATTGAGCTGTAAGTCAAAACAATATGTAACAAAAACGGCTCAAAATGTTTCAAGTTTACCTTTTTGAATAAAGTCATAAAAAAGTTTTTTTATATGAACATATCTCTATATTTTAAATACCATTTCTGTGAGTACCAGTAAAGCTCACATGTTTGCAGGAAAATTTCCAGTGTTCATAGATAACGTTGAAACATTTTCTCATACAATCTGTGGTGCAGCTCTAGTAAAGCTAATATAAAAAGGCTCCTGGTAGATTATGATAATGCATATACAGTCTTTCTCAAAGTTTGTTTCTGATGATGTTCCTACATTCATTCAGTGTCCCACAGAGTAATTTTACACACAAGTATCGGTTCCTTTTCTCCTGATTTGGACCTGCTCGTCTGAAATAAGTCAGGAAGGAAACATTCATGAATATAAATCAGCTGAATTTTCATTCTTTAATTCTCTTCTTACAGATATCGCAGACGATTACATTCACGTCTCTGCCACTCTGAACAGCCTCTCAGCTGACGACACCACAGCAAACAAAAAGTAAGTGATTAATTTTCCTAAAACTTCAATGCAAAGACATGTTTGCTGTAAGTTCTTGTTTTTTTTATGTGTTTTGTGGAAGTTTTTCTAAAGTGTGGATGTGATGAATTGCATGTTAATTGTCTTACTTTTGTATTCTAATCAAAGTCATTTAAATGTGAGCGTTTCAGTGTTTCATCTTCTTTTTCTCAGGCTCCTGGAGAAGTTGGCCGACCTGTTTGAGAAGCTCAGAGTAAGACGGTTTTTGATCGGCCTTCTGTAAATATTTGTGCAGTTTTATATTTACACTGTGCCAGCGCTCATGTCTTTATTTGTGTTGCTGCAGAAAGTGGAGGGAAGAGTAGCATCTGACCAGGAGCTGAAACTTACAGAGCTGCTGAGGTATTACATGAGAGACATCCAGGCCGCAAAGGTGAGTGGTTATCTCACAGAGGTTAAGAAAACAAAGTGTGGCGTGGTTCCAAATGTGTGCGTCACACACGTGTTGAATCACTGGGTTAAGCCATTAAAACAGCAAATCTGAAATCTCTCTTTTGAAGCTCGTTGAAAAGCCGTCACTGATATTTTTGGTCTTTTTCATAAGAAACCAAAAACTCCACTCAGGGGCTTCAATGTCCAAACAGCCCAGTCTTCAGATTATCTCTTTATATCTCATGTGTGACTCTCCGGTCCACTCCAGGACCTTCTGTACAGGCGAGCCCGGGCGTTAGCCGACTATGAGAACTCTAACAAAGCTCTGGATAAAGCTCGACTGAAGAGCAAGGACATCCCTCAGGCGGAGGAGCACCAGCAGCATTGCCTGCAGAAATTCGACAAGCTCTCAGAGTCCGGGAAGAAAGGTTTGTGCTTTCCTGCCTCACTCTGGACTCGTTCTGAGTAAGCAAAATAAAAATCCGTGTGAAATATGTCCGTCGTTGTTTAACTGGTTGATCTTATTTCCACAGAGCTGACCAGTTTTAAAGGGAGGCGTGTCGTGGCTTTCAGGAAGAACCTCATAGAGATGGCCGAGCTCGAGATAAAACACGCTAAGGTGAGCAGAACGACACGCCTGAGAGCCGTGAGAGGGTGTTTAGGAGGATCTTCTTTTAGGCTTTTGTGTTTAAGTGTGTTCAGGATGTTGAAGTACACATTTATCGATAAACATCCAAATACGTGCAGAACTAAAGGTGATTAAAAAACAAGAGAGTGCATGAAAATCACCTCAAAACAAACTGAGCTTGAGTTTATTCAGAAGTTAGTCTGGGATCAGTTCTGGGTGTCGTCTCCAACTGTGGTCAGTCGAGGTTTGACTTTGAACAGCTGATGTTAATGCAGCAGGGATTCCACCCATATGTCTGCGCCTTTGGGGAAACAACGCCATCTAGTGTGTAAAGATTTCTTATCTCCATATTTAAAGGTACAGTATTTAAAAAAGAAAAAGAGCAGAATGGTTGTTTTGCACAGAAGAGTTTGTACTGATAGATGTGCTCGATGGTAAAAACTTAAGCAATGGAGAACCATACGAACGCATCACTTCACTGAAGGGAGGGGGGAGCGAGGGAGCATTTCAGTCTAAAATCTGAGCACCAGATATCGCTTCAAAAATCTGTCGTTGTCTTCACTGGAAGCTGTAAGTGACAGATTTTTTAATCATACTTCCTTTTTCTGAATAATGTAGTTAATCATGAACACTTCCTCAAAGTGGAGTGAATAAACCAATCAGACAGAGCTCTATAAAGACGAGATAACATACAGAGAGATGAAACTTTATCATAAGTGGAGAAATAAAGAAATAATAATGAGATAAGTATGATTATAATTATTATTATTTTAAGATTGAGGCAGATGGAGGTTTTATCATTTATTCTGTTATATTTTTACATCAAAATCATCAAATCAAACTTTATTTATAAAGCGCTTTTCCTACATGAATGTGACTCAAAGTGCTTTACAAGTTAAAAACAAAAACAAAAAACTGTCCCAGATGCCCCTTTAACCCCCACCTACACACACACACACACACACACACACATGCCAACGCACCCGCATATACACACATAAAGAGAATGGGCATGAGGCTGAGTGATCAGAGGAGCCGTCAGCACCAGGAGCAGAGAGCCGCCCGTAGCCACAGGACGCCGACACGGGGCCAGCGAAGGGATGTGTCAGACACCAACCTCCTCCAGGAACCTCGTGGCTGGCCCCTGCAACCACTGCTCCCGGTGCCGAGGGCTCCCACAGAGGAAACACTGGGGTCCTAAAAATGATAAAAGGATAAAAACAAGGAAAGACAAAAATATGAATAAAACACAGACCTAAGATAAACCAAGGCTAACGAGAATAAATGAAGATAAAACAAATAAATATCAATTAAAAGCTAAAAACGTGGGTCTTGAGCCTGCTCTTAAAAACAGGAACGTTCTCTGCGGCCCTGAGGTCCTCTGGCAGGCTGTTCCATAGACGAGGGCCGTAATATTGAAAAGACGCCTCGCCATTAGTGTGTGTCCTGACTTTTAGAATGACTAGGAGACACTGCCAGAGGAGCGCAGGCTCCGTGAAGGTTCATAAGGTAAATATTTAAAATAAAATATTTTGCAGGTTTTTAAAAAGTTAATTTTGGATGCCTTCAGCTTTGGATGAGCCTGTAACAGCTTATAGTCAGACCCAGGAGGCTCCAAAATCTGATTATAACAGGATAGAAATATAAATGTTTCTTCTACAACATTCAGTATTTCTGCAAAATAAAAAATCAGATCCGACTTTCCTTCTGGAGAAGTGATTTCTCTGGTTTTCTCCTCGTGTCTCCACAGAACAATACGGCTCTACTGCAGGGATGCATCGACCTCCTGAAGAGCAACTGATGTGTTTCACAGTATTCCTGTCCAGCCATCACCAAGTGACCAGTCAAAGCAAACGGAAACCTGGCGTCCCCGGGGCCGTGCACAGACACGAATCCCTCCCTCGTCTCCCACCCACGGGTCTGATGCCACTTTCAAAAAGCTGCACAAGAGCAAGTGTCTTGTAAGCAGAATGTCTTCATGTTTACAGAGTCCCTGTCTTCTTCTGGTCCACGGTCCATCCTTTCGATTATTTATGGAGGTCTAATTATAACTGCCTTTACAGAACGAGGCTGCCAACATTAAGGACTTTCATTATTTAGCAGCACATAAAGAGGTGATTTTCTTTTACGCTCTCGTTTCTCATTTTTACATTATGCACAAAATGAAATCTTGCCTTGCTGTTCGTATTTCTGCCTCCGTACAGACTGACACAAAGTTTTCTTTCATGCACACTTTTTCGAGAAAGGCTTCGCAGATGTTGTAACTAAAACTGAATCTGTCTGAGCTTTTTGTGTTTGCTAACGAAACCGTTTACAGAAGCAAAATCGAGTGCCTGTAAAAACATCCTCCTGCTCCACATTCCCCGGCTCTGAAGTTAAATTACAACCAAACAAACCCTCGAGTCGAGAAAAGTCATGAAAGATCCGATTCAAGCGTTTCGAAATAGCAGCACTTCGCCTCAGGAATGGACAGTTGGATCTGCCTCCACATTCTTGTTTGTAAGACAGCGGCCTCAGTTCCCACAATCATCACAGATGCACATTAGATTAGATAGTTTGAGTGAGTCGTCAGAGATTTCAGCGGGAGATTGCAAAGGGAGGAAAAGTGAAATGAAAAGATATTTAGTGTTTTCAAAGGGAATTAAATGTTAGTAAAATAGTTAAATTTGCACAAACCCCTCATGACACCCCTGCACTTCACCTTTAAGCTCCTTCACCCACAAACTCTGCTCTTCCTCTCTCTTCTCTCTCTTTATTTCGTCCTGAATCCCCTCTTTATGACTGATGGGGTCAAACCTGAAATTCTATATTTACCAGTTTGTTTGTTTTGAGCATTATATAAAAAGAGATGCACTAAGAAAATGGAAAAAAAAAAGAAATCCTCAAAATCATGACCAGACTCAGAAAAGTGTGAAAATGCATCCTAGTTTTTTAAGAAATTGAATGTATTTCTAACAGATTCCAGCGGTGTGATTTCCCTCACATGCTCCTTTCATACAGAATATTAGCATTTTATAAATTTGTAATAATGGCATTGAATAAATCCTACTTTCCCAAGTTTTGGTTTTTCCATCTTGAGTGTTGTTTTTAGTTTAGACACTAAGATCAGAGTGAAAACGTTATTTGTTCTTCTGTGAACTTTTGTCTATTCTTACCACTAGATGGTGACATTGCTCCTTATTAATAATTGTATGAATAAATGCCTTTGTCAGAAAGTTCTCAGCGCTTTACATGCAGAAGAGAAAACAAAGCTTTGGACAGCGATCTGCTCGGCTCTCAGAGATATTTAAAATGAGAAGCAGAAGTAGAAATACGTCCACCACTTTTCTGTCAACGTCTTCACTTCACTCATCCAGTTTTGTAGCATTACTGAAGCCCATACTGCGCTGTAGTTTGTGGTCTGTTTTCTTCAATTTGGTTGATGTCTGTTGTACTCTGCTGCTTAAAAGTTTTGCACCCTGTTCCTCCTTTTCTAATTTTTGGTAGTGGATCAAAAGTTCTGTTGTCAACAGGAGGAGCTGAAATCAAACGTTTTATAAACGTCCCGGACGTGTTCCTACAGATTTAATTCGAAGCGTGTTGTCTGATTCTCTCTGGTGTTGCTCTTGGTGTTTTACTTTTAAAGAAGATCTGAGGTTGCTCATCCCTGGACCCTGGTTGGTAGATGAAGCCACAGAAAAGGGGTCTGATAGCTAAAGACTTTACCACCCGCTGTGGTGGTCTGGAGATCTTCTGAGGACCTCTTCAGAGGACCTCCAGACCACCAGGGAATAAAAGTATATAGAAGCGAGTTCGAAGACGAATACCAACGATGGTAAACACACGCGATTGCAGCCAAAGCACTAGTCATACAGGCCGCAGTAACACACGTTAAAACTTACAGCTTCCACATTTGAAGTTTGGTCCCCGACACGGACAGTCCAATCCTGCTTTAAACTGCCCCCTGCTGGTAAAACAGTCCATGGTGAAATGGTTAGTACACACATTAAACATTATCGGAGTTGTTGTGGTTACATTTCAGTCAAAAATAAAACTCCACTGGGTCTTCAAATCTTCTGACAAAGGAGGCAGAAATCGACTCCTGTCTTCGTTTGTGCATCCAAGAACCGTGCAGCGGCTGGGTCGTAGCTTCGACATGGTTCCTGTACCAGAGCCACGTATGCAAGGGGAAAAAATGGCGGATGCTGCCTCAGCGAAGAAGGGCTAACGATTATCTGGGGCCCTGCCACCAACATGTAGGCGAGGCTTATGCAGTGATGTCGTCATAACCACACAGCTTTTCCATTCACCTGTTTGCGCTCATGTTTTCAGAGAGAATGAAGTATATTATTGGTAGAAAACCACCCAAAAGTGGGTTTTTCATACAGGGACCTTTAAGCACCACATCAGGGACATTTTGGGGGTGTGATGCTCTGTTAGGAAAAACCAAGAGGCCTTTAAGTTTGATTGTGTCTTTGTGTTAAAAGCTTTTTAGGTCACAAGAAGAATTTTATAGTCTATCAAAGATTTTATAGGGAGCCGGAGTGGGTAAGCTCTCTCTTTTCCTCGTCTAGTCGGCACTTAAGCCTTTTTGGATCATCTCAAGAGTCTCCAGGAATTACATCAAGTTTGACTCAGATTTGGCATGAACCTGATTCGGAGGTTTTAGGGCTCTTCCAGGATATAAACTGTCAGCTTCAGCTGTTATTTGTATCTTTGGCTGAGATTTCAGAGTTTGTAGTGCATATTCACTCAAATCCGCTGCTCCATGTTTCCATCTGGGTTTTTCAGTGAGGGGACTCTTGAATTTTAACACAGCTGCACACATGTTTGTGTTAAATCCATGGAATGAATTGGATGCTGCTGTAGTGGGACTGTGTGAGGCATTGGGTAAGCTTTGAGGAAATGCCAGGGTGCTCAAGGGAATCCCCAAAAATGCACATCTGAGGGCCTGCTTTCATGAGCATCACTAAGCAACATGACCTAAACAGATAACAAGACATTCATCGATTTATTTCTGGAGGTTTCTGCAAGACGGCACACGCGTCTTCATCTAGATAGCAACTGCCAAAAATAACATGCGTAATGCACATGTTGTGACCTTTTTGCATGATTCCACCAGCTGGATTTCAACGCTCTAAAATACTAATGCTGCATAAAACTTCATTTACTCAGTGGGGTTCATGTTATTCCATGTGTACATCCGGGAAAGGTCCCACCTGGCTGAGACATGGAGAACATGTAACGTACCTGTCCGTGATAGATGTGTCAATATTGACTTCACCAATAGAGCAGGCACTTTGACTTACAGGTTCAGGTCCACCGATTGGATGAAACCAAAGACCGCAGCCAATGAAGTGGTAACACATTATCAGCTCAAACAGAAGAGTTTGCCAAGAAGGATCAGAGCAAACAGAATCTGAAGGCATGGCACTGAAGGATGAACAAGGATCAAAAGGAGAGGGGGGGACAGGTTTAGGGACGAGCAGAGGAATCGAGAGACCTGAAGAAAGTTGTTTTAACCTTTTAAACAGAGGGAACTATGATTTAAAGAGACGTAATTCAGAAACTCTGGGCTGTGAAGGTTTTTTTTAATAATCGAGCCATAAAATAAAAATATGTCAGTTTGAAACAACGTGAAGTTTAGAAGGTAATAGGGTCCCAGCCATAGTACCAGCCACCAAACATCTTTTTAACTTTGACTCATTTCTTTAGCAAAGAGACTAAACACAACTCACCTACTCTCTTCCAGCAGCTGCTGTACTAACCTCAGTAGATCATGAAGTAGTTCCGTTAAATAACAGAACCTCATTGGAAAATTAGCTGATTTAACTTTAATGTGCTCTTGTTCAATTATATTAACTCGACAGCACACATATTCATACCTGTTAACAAAATCATGATTATATTGATAATTCGGCTCAATAAAAACACTTTTACCTTTTCATTTTACTACAGTAGAAGGAGGTAAAGACAAGACATCAAAAAAGGATTTTTACATTTGAACATAGTTTTTAACAATTAGCTTATCTAGCTTCACAGTCTTACTGATTTGGTTCCACCAGAGTGAAACAAAAATGAATCAGACCCATATTTAGTCTCGTTCATGTCCTTTCTGTGTGTGTAAGTTCCTTATATCTGCTTCTGCTGCTGTTAAAGAACAAATATCCTCATCTCAAGTCTTTTTCTGCTGAATTTATGAATATCTTTATCTTCCCTCAGGCGGGCCGAGATCATTTGTGAACTCTAGATGTGATTAAAAGACATTTTTGCTCATTTTCACAGTTTCGGAGACATTATCAGTGATGGGACATTAATAACTAATTCGACACCATCTTCATGACCCCATCTCTTTTTCTAATATGCTTCACCCTGATCTCTAATTTCATTATGCATAACTGTGAGCTGTGTTTTCTAATCTGAGGACCTGAAAGTGTTTTGAGTCTGTGGTCGAGGTCATGGATAGGTGAGCGCTGAGGGGGCCTCTGAAACCAGCTGCCTCATGTCCCACAGCTCCTCACTGCTGAGCTGAAACTAAGAGTTCAACGCAGAAGGGAGACAGAAGCACGAAGCATGTCGGCCTCCTCAACAGACGCCACTCACGACTGAAACGACGTGCACCTGCTGATGAAACTGAACCGTCTGCATCCCATCTGCAGGGTACACTTACACCCATCTTTATTTCACTTTATCTTTTTACCTCATCACCTGCATGCATCATCCTTCTTCTGCAGTATTTGACTTATCTACAGATTGTCAATTTAAACTCCAGGAAAACTGCATGTTCACTTTCCTTCAGGGAGCCCCTTATCTCCTAGATTTAATGCTGCAAAGATCCATTAATACTCAGGCTGGTGCACAAACCCTGACTCTACCTCTGAGAAATACACCTGCTCTCTCCAAGTATGGTCCTGCTGAGATCTTTGCACAATGCACGCAGAGCTAACAGCCCCCGAACGGCTCTAATGTGTCATTTAAAGGGCAGAAACGGTGTCTGATATCTTTGAAGTTTATGCAAAACAGCTGCTTGCTAAGATAAGCTGACTTGAGAAGTTTCTTTTCCTTTCAGTTTTATAATTAATGTGTCCCAATTTAGGGAGCTGAATTTATAGACTTTGTTACACATGGAGTGAGGTCCGCCTTTTACAGATAAGTTTCTCAAATAAGCTTAAAGTTTTTATAAAATAATCACATTTCAGTTTCAGGCCTCGATATTATCTTTGCAGTATTTTTAACATATAAATAGAATATATAGATTTAAATAATAATGATTTCTCTCAGCTCTTCTGCTCTGTTGTTCCCAGTAGTAGATTGAGTTACCAAACCACATTTGACCCAAACAGTCCCCTTCTACTTCTGAGACACTTCTCTAACCCGGCTCTTTGTGAACCATCAGCCCTTGGTGGTTTGGTGCTGTAGACGAGGATGATGATGATATTGTGGTTTTACACTGACGCTGTTACAGTTGAAATGATGTTGCAATTTAACTGTGACGCCCTTTACAGTTCTTCGATAACTGCTTGTCAGCATTTTGACTGCTTTGTGTCTCTTACTCATGCTGTTTCTTTCTGTCTAGATCTTTACTTGCTTTTACAAAACCATCTGCTGAATGAGATTTTAACACGGTGACAGTGTAAATTTTAAAGAACCAAAATAATTGTACCTGAACTGGTATAAAACAACATTATAATAACACCTGGATCACCTGCACTCCTCTGTTGATTGGGACAGAGTGAGTTTGTATTTGCATTTTGTTCATGAAGTGAATCGACAGCCTGCGAGCGGGGCAGGGCAAACTAACCTGGAAACATGTCGGCCTTTGGTCGCTTCAGCTTTTTTAAAGTGCTGCATGAGAGAGAAGAAGTTTCACAAACGCTAAAAGGATGGATTCAGAACTACACTTGACGTGTTTCTGAGCATAAGCAGGAGGAAAATATCCTCTCAAATTGATAATATGATAAACTTTTATATATGGTACTTTTCCAAATAAAGTCCTTCACAACAAAATGCAGGAAAAAAAAGAAAAACAGCACTAAGAGAGGCGTGAAAAACAGGATATCAAGAAAGAAAAATAGCAGCTAATTCAAGTATTTAGAAAAGTCATCCTGTGTGAGAAAGATTTGAGGGAAGATTTCCCCCAAAATGTGAAGATATTGTACAAAAACAAGAAAATGAGTCCAATGGTCTTTTATGCCACATGCCTTGAAATGGGCAATAAACAAAGAAAGAAAAAGACTGCTTGTAAGCCAGCGTTGGTTGCCCTTTGACCATGCAGGAAATAAAGCAACATAAACCCACGATAGAAAGATGTCAAAATAAAAACATGGCAGGGAATGTCCTCTCCAAAGAAGTTCTAGTCTCATGATTTTGGATGATCTGGCTGAGGGGTAGCTTGTACATGGACAACAATAGAGGACTGAGAATAGATCCTTGGGGAACGCCATAATAAAAAGCTGCTTAAATAACTGAAAACGATCCGTGAAACTGGTCTGTATGGAAGAGTTTAAAGGTTGTACCTTTGAGTTCAACTGATATGTGTTAATATCTGTCAGCCGATAAAGGATGATCACCAAACTGTTGAATTAAAGCAACATGTAACGTGTGGAAAACAAGTAGTATACAAGTCGTCAGGAAGAGATAAACAGAATAAAACTCATACCAATGACAAAGAGGCATGTGGTGTTTTTATGACACAGTGAGTTAAATATGAGCTTTGTTTTTAGTTAAATTTGCTGATGTGTAACAAGTACAATCTGTGACCAGACCTGTGCAACAAGTGCTTCTACTTGACAAACTTCCTTCATTCATCGGTTTGAGGAGAGGTTTTCTAAAGGGTTCTCGTAAGAATAGTTTCAGGTGAATGACCAAGGCGTGTTATTCTATTATTAGTCAACATGAGCTGCATATTTCACTAATAGTTATTCCACACGTCACATCCACGGCTTACACACAATGAGAGAAAACTCGTGTGTTGATGCAACTTTAAAACAACATCCTTAAAATGCCACGGATCCAGTTTGTTTTGGGGTGTTGAATTAAAAGAAGGTGTGGTAAACAAACCTTCAAAAAGACCGAGAGCATTAACGTCACTGATGAAAAGGATGTTATCCTGCAACTCGAGGGCAATTCTTTTGCATATTGAGGCTTGGCTGGCGGTAATCGTTTTAAGGATGCTTGCTTGAATCAATAACTTTTGGTTATGAAATGACTCTAATGTTAACACGTGACAAAGGCTTCTTGACAGCAGCACAATATTTGGAGTCAGAGTCCTACTGAGGAGGAAAGACTGAGTAATTCTGGAGAATTGAACTGTCGGTTCAGTTCAGACAACTTTATTTTATGTGTTGTTAAATTTCAATATTGTTTGTGGGGATAAAAGATAACCACTCATATGTTAGCCCTTTGATTTTTGTATTAACAGTAATTTTATGGTATTTTTTTATAGAGATAATGTGATAAATTGTTATATATCTGTTCTTCTGTCTGTTGCCTATAAGAATATCAATCAATCAGTCTTTATTTATAAAGCACTTTTCATACAAAAATGATTTGCACAAAGTGTTTTACATTGTAGATGAATAAAAGAGACAAAGAAAACCCTAATCTACCCCAACCCAACCCCTCATTCCCACCCCGCAATCTAAACACAATCGAAACGTGTATTAAAATGCATGCACTTAAAAAGGGCTCCACTTCATATCAACAGGATTGTGTGCACTGACTACACACCGTTTTAAAATTCAAGATAAGGAAACACTGGAGGTTAAAAATCTAAAAACAAAGTCACATAGAATGAAATTTAAGGAATAATAAATAAAATGAAATAAAAACAACAGTAAAAGATACTGAAATAAGAGCACCAAAATAAAAAATGATCCGGTCATTAAAACCAGAAGAGATAAATGTTATATTATAGCCTGTTATAAAGAACAGTAACTTTGTGTTCTGCTATCTAACGCTGGAGTGAGAAAATCAACTGGAAACAATTAAAAAATGAATATTATTCTTTATATAAAACCTCTTCAAAATAAATAAAACTACATTTTTTAAAGCTATGCCCCTGAGGTAAAGAAAAATGAATGTTAATCATAGACTGTATATACTATATTAATATTCTATATACAGTCTATGGTGTTAATGCGCTTAACAGTGTTTTGGTCACTTGCAGCATTTGACTTTTTTTATTCAGCCAAATATTGAGATCAAAATATCAAACATAATTGTTTTTTAATAATAGCTTAAATAGTTTAGTTTATACAATGTGCTCTGGCAGAAAAACAGCTAAAGAGACAGCTCTGTAGAAACATAGATAATCATACTTTGTTCCAAAGGGTGTAGGATGAAGTTGATAAAACTTATCTCGTCCTACTCCTTTATTGTTGTGTTACTGTAATTTAATCAGTCAGAGCATGTGTAGGAATAACAGCACAGAGGAAAGAAAATATATCAGAAAAAAAGGCACGTTGTCTGTTGTTATAAATTCATATTTCTGTTTCTCTCTTATATCCATTCAGAATGTGGTTTATAAAATTAAGTTTGAGGTTTAAGTTTCTTTGCTGCAGCTGTTCCACAGATTAACTCCTTTGACTTATAATACAGTGCATTTTTGTGTTTCCCCTGGGATGTTTGTTTTCTCTTATTTGAAACAACTTTTGGATGCCCTCTGATTTGCTTTGTACATGATCTGAACCAAATCCTTAAACATTAGTGCCTTCAGTTTGATGAAGAAACTGAATAATAAGCAGACAGATGTGATTTTGTTTAATAAAGACTTGGCTTTTTGTATTCCAACAAAGATTGAGATCAAAATATCAAACATAATCGTTTTTTAATTGTAGCGTAAATAAGCAGGTAGATGTGATTTTGTTTTATAAAGATTAGTCTGATCCGGTCGACACACGATGTCTGAGTTACTGAAAGAAACGTGACGTGTTGTTGCTGCTCTCCCTGGGCTCTCCTCTGCCGAAGACTATAACTCCCAGAATGCTCACTTCCTGGTCGAAGACATCTCAGCCAATCAGAAGCCTCCTAGGTTTATGGCAGCTATCTGGGGCACGGGGCCAGCACGTCTAGCCAGCTCGAAGTGCCACGACTTCACAGCAGCAGCAGCAGAGGAGCTTGGAGGAGGGGGACAGGACTGGACCCGAAGAAAAGAAGGTTAGATAGGTAGCTGGGTGAATAGTTAGATTTACACTCTTCATCTTCAACTCGAATCGTTTCCCCTCTGTCTGTTTTCCTTTCAAAGTAAGCGCGTATTTCCATCACAGGCGGGGTAAGTATGGGTTTTATTCAGGCTAGCATCAGAAGCTATATACTGCTAACCCCTGAGCTAACTGCCTGTGCAGAGAAAAAAAAACAGCCGTTTAAAGTTATAAAAAACAAAATAAGTTTTCTTCCTCTTCGGCGTTTCACTATACAGTTTTATTATGGCTTTTACAGCGCAGTTTCGTTACATAAAGCGACACTTTGTACTATAATGTGCAGGACGATAGCCAAGTTCATTGATTCAAAGTGTTAGCTGGAATGCTAAGTTAAAGAAAATAAAGAATAATGTGCCAAATTAATTTAAAAAAGAAGAGTGCTTTGGTTTTCTTTCAGTGTCGATTCAGGTGTTTTTAAATGTCGGTAAATAATCCTTAAAGTTTGATTAGTTTGATAGTAAAAAAAACTGTGGTAGAAGTTTTTGGAAGTTGTTGAATCTGAGCTCATTTTGTGTTTTATTTGCAGCCAGTTTAATCTGTTTATAAGTGTTTTGATTAAAATCAAGTACATGCATTAATAGAGATGGTATTAAAGCTTATTAAGTCTGTGGATTTTATTCATGCACCTCTTTAGATGTCCATGAAAAGAAGCAACCTTTGAGAGAGGACTAAAATGATGTACTTGTGCAAGTTTGCAGTTACTTAAATGACATTTTACTTCATCTGAAGTAAAACTACATCTGTGTCTACTTACTGTAGTAAAAGATGAAGTATTTTATTTGATACTTAAAGTACTGAGCAGCACATACTTTCAGCTGATGGTGTTGGGGATCAGGGTGAGAAAGCTGTGTCCCCCCCTAATCATGTAAAGCATATTTAACAAAGATTATTATTATTATTGTGATATAACCAACAGCATCAATGTAAAGTGGTTTTAACTCTGTACACATTACAGGTGAAGTAACAGAGTATTTTTGCTGCATATTTTAATAGAAATATGCATAAACTTTATCTATTCAGTACATTTTAAACAGTGTTACAAAGTGATTTACAAAAGACAAGAAAGAAATGAGAATTATATCGACAAAAACTTAAGATTTAAGTGTTAAAGATGAATGAAATAAAAAGAAAAGAAAGCAGTTTAAAAGTAAAGACTTGGAAAAAATGTAAATGAAAAAAAATCCTGATTTAAATGTGATACAAACAACAGCATCAACGTGAGGTGGTTTCAACTCTGAACACATTCAGGTGAAGTTATTGAGTATGTTTGCAGCGTAATTTAATAGACTTTAGTTATTCAGCACATTTCAAACAGTGTTACAAAGTCATTCACAAATTTAAAAAAAGAAATGTGAGAATTATAATGACAAAAACCTCAAATTCAAGAGGCAAAAATGAATGAAATAAAAAGAAAAGAAAATAACCAACAGCATCAATGTAAAGTGGTTTAAACTCTGAACACATTCAGGGTATTTTAATAGACTTTATTTATTGAGCACATTGTAATAATTGATTTACAAATTACAAGAAAGAAATGTGAGAGTTACGTCGACAAAACCTTAAAAAAATAAAAGAAATAAAGATTAAAAAAACAATTTAAATGTGAAGACCAGAAAAAAACATGGTTAAAAACACGAACATGTATTAAAAAGACAGTGTTGAGTAAAGGCTTAAAATAATCAAATGATCAAAGATCGCGCCTGTGATATACAGCCTGAACTAGAATAACAGCAGCGTGTCGAGGATTAAAACACACCCTGATAAAACATCTCCTCGTAAAAATGTTTTCAAAAGTGATTTCAAAGAGGATCGAGAGGATGCCAATCTGATCTAAGGGAGGTTGTTTTGTTTTCACTGCGAGTATTTGGTAGATGATCCATGAATACTTAAGACAGGACTGAGGTCTGCTGTCAGGAGCCAGAAATAAAATCTCAATTATATGAATGAATTAAAAGGGGCTGCAAATGTGGAAAGTGAAATTAAAATTAAATTATTTAAGATGAATTAATTAATCATGAATAAGTTCCTCGAAATAAGAAGCACTTATTTCAAAGAAGTATTCTTAAAAGGACCGCTGGGGTGAAAATGGCTTAATTTGACTAGAAAACCTTCACATGGTGAAATTACTGCAGTGTAGATACCATCCAATCAGTAATAGTTGGTGGAAAACTATTATATTATTTTTTAACATTTTTTCCACTCAGTAACTGATGCTGAACTGAACTGAAATATAATAAAAGTAAAATCATACTCAGCCACATTAATGTTAATCCTATTAGCTTACTGTCTCATTATATTTACAGGCATAGGAACAAAATTAAGAACTTTATTAACTATCATAAAAATACATAATATGTGCAGATATGTGAGCGATATAAAAATACGTTTGCTCACAAGTATTTACTATACTATAAATAACTATATACTAACTATAAATGTCAAAATAGTTTGAATAAGATCAAACATTATTAAGATAAGTTTGGACTGTTAGTGGGTTCTCAAATCAGTTTTCTTTTGAACTTTTATTTCCCACAGAGAAAAACAAACAAAAATGAAGGACATCAAAAAATGTAAAATGATATAAAATAAGTGCTTAAAACCATAAAGTGTAATGAAAATGATATTTTCCTTCATAAAAGTCCTTCTTTTATGTTTTAAAATCTGTTCATAGTGACTGTAACAGTAAATGAAACGTAAAGGAAGTCCTTAAACCTCTTCTGGTCAGTCTGAGTGGAGATTTATTTGCATGTGACGTCAGAGATAAGGAAGCACTTCAAACTTTTCTCTTTGGCTTCCAGCGCTCGGCTCTGCAGTGGAAAAGGACTCTGGACTCTGTTGTGATGATTTTCGTGGAGCTCAGCAGTTTTTCTTTACTGTGTCATAATGTGGCTTTCTCTAAAAAAACACGTGAACTACAACTTGGCTCCATTTTTAGCCTCAACCATTTTGTCTTTGTTTGAGTTGATTTTAAAAAGCACATGTAAATCAGATGGTCCAAACTGAAAACACATAATCAGTAAAAAAAAGTTAAATTACAAAAAAATGTTTAAATTCATTCATATTTAATGATAACTCTGCAAAATCAATCTGAAAAAAAGGGTTTAATCCTCAGGCTAAAGCTTTGGTTTCTGACATGCCCCTTTAAGAGCCTTAAAAGGATGTTTTAAAGATCCTTAAAGGGGTGGGGGTTTTATGCAGCACAGGAAGTTATCACTAAACTTGAGCCAACTGCTCCAAAGTTTGGCAGCTGCTGTAAACGTTGTGTACTTTACCTACTTCAGCTGCAACAACACTGCAAGTAGCTGATTTATTTCTCTGTTACCGCTCAAGATTTCCAAATTACCTTTAACTGAAACTTTTCACACACAGACCATCATTTTATTTCAGAGAGTTTGATTTATTAATCGGCGCATGTTTGGGTAGAAATACTGCAGCTTTCTCAAGTTTAATCCATCTTGTTCAGACATTTTATTGTGCGAATTAAAAAACGATTAGGGGACGTGTTTTCTCAGGAGGACTGTTTGTGTTGTATACTTAGAGGGAGGGTGATTCTTCCCCTGCTGCTGTTATTTCAGTCAGTGTTGACTTTGGCACAGTTTGCATTAGTGCGACACTTCATAGTGAGGCAGTCAGGAAACTGTGAGGGTGAATTGAAGCTGTATGAACACGTATTTAACTCTGAGTGGTGGGCTGAACAGCTGATATTTACCAATGAGTTTGCTGATAAGATTCGCCCCTTTGCCTTCAGCCAGCATGGGGGCAAAAGTTAAAGGGCGTAACAGTGACACCCCGAGGCTGCTGAAGGTAGGAGATGTGGCTCCATCACTATCTTGTCTCATCAGCTGCTTACTCAGTTTGTTTACCTTAAAATTTTCCTGATCATTTTTTAACCTCAAAGAAATCTCTGTGGTTTAGTATCTGTTCATATTGATTTGTCAGGGGTGTGATTATTCTGGATTTACCTGGGATTCCTGATTTTTCTGACCGAAGTCATCATGCCAACGTTTGTTTGGCAGGGCCTGACACCAACTTTGTTCACATGTGCTCCTGAGTTGAAAAAGTGAGGAGCACACAAAGAACTTTGAGGGCACAATAAAAATTGATCAAATACTGTGTGTCTTATTGGTCGACATAAGTACTGTTATTTGAAATCCTTTTCAGGTCTTTTGGTCACATGACATGAAAACTATCGAAGAAAATGTTGAAAATTTGCCTTTAAAATCAAACACAAAATTTTTTTAGAAGACAAATTAGGGAAATAAAGAGGTGTATCTTATCACCCGAACTTAATACTATTAGTTATAATCAATTTTAGGTCAATTGGTCACATGACATGGAGGCTGCTGTTGCTATTCTCGGTTATGGAGAGTGAGAAGACACCGGTAGATCCGCAGTGAATGTCCGTCAGATATCCAACCTAAAACTAACTTCACCGCTGTATTTACAGGAAAATATATCCAACCTGAAACTAACTTCACTGCCTTATTCATAAAAGCAATAAAAATAATAATACAAAAAATACAATGTAATAAAAAACCAAGTGTCACCACGCTACTGTGTATTAAAAGCCAGCATATATAAGTTTGTTTTTAATCAGGATTTAAAAAGGCCCAGGTTGTAAATAAGTCTCATTTCAGTAGGGAGTTTATTCCAGAGCGTGGGACCAGCGACTGAAACGTCTCGGTCACCACAGTGTTTGTATTTTGACCTCGGCACCTCCAGCAAAAGTTGGTTTGACGACCTCAGAGCTCTACCAGCTCCCAAACTGTTAAAAGCTCAGTTAAATAGATGAGCGTGAGGCCGTTAAGAGCTTTGAAAACAAACATTTAAAGTTTAAAATCAATCCTAAAAGAGACGGGAAGATGGTGAAGAGAGCTGAGGACAGGAGTGATGTGCTCACGTCTGTTAATGTTGGTTAAAAGACGGGCAGCAGCATTCTGGACAAGTTGAAGGCGACTAAGAGATGATGATGTGTTTGACCTTTTCCCCTTTTCTCTTTTAGGTAATTAAAAAAAAAAACTGAAGACATGGATATCTACGACCCCCAGACCCTCGGCATCATGGTGTTTGGTGGATTCATGGTGATCTCGGCTCTCGGGATCGCCCTCGTCTCCACCTTCTCCATGAAGGAGACCTCGTATGAAGAAGCTTTGGCTAAACAACGCAGAGAGCTGGGTAAGATCCAGTCCTCTCGCTCCGACAAAAAGAAGAAGGACAAAGTTTCTGAGAAGAAGAGCCGCGGTAAGAAGAAAGAGGAAAAGCCAAACGGAAAGATCCCAGAGCCTGAGAAAGTCCAAGAGGAGGCTGAAGCAGAACCAGTCATCGAAGCTGTTCCTGCTCCAGTTGTAGCTGCTGCACCGGCTCCTGTCCCCGAGCCTGTCCCTGCTGTGGAGGTGATACCGGCTGCAGCTCCATCACCAGCAGAAACCCAGACCAAGCCTGCTCCTGAACCAAGCCCTGCTCCTGCTGAGCCTTCTCCTGCACCATCCCCAAAAGAGAAGAAGAAGAAGAAGGTAGCCAAGGTGGAGCCAGCCTCTAGTCAGCCAGCTGCTGCCCCTGCACCAGTCAAGTCCTCCGCAGCCCCTGCAGCATCCCAGGCCCCTCCAGCCGCCCCAACTAAAGCAACCGCCCAGCCTGCACCTGCAAAGGCCACCCCTGCATCCACAAAGTCTGCTCCTGCCGCTGCATCTGCCAAACCTGCCCCTGCACCGGCAAAACCTGCCCCTGCACCAGCCAAGTCTGCCCCTGCACCAGCCAAGTCTGCTCCAGCTCCAACGAAGTCTGCCCCAGCTCCGGCAAAGTCTGCCCCAGCTCCGGCAAAATCTGCTCCAGCACCGGCCAAGTCTGGACCAGCACCGACCAAGTCTGCTGCAGCCCCAGCTAAGTCTGCACCAGCCCCGGCAAAGTCTGCACCAGCCCCGGCAAAGTCTGCTGCAGCCCCAGCTAAGTCTGCACCAGCACCAGCGAAGGCCGCCCCAGTTCTGGAAGCTGTCACTAAAGAAGTCCCGGTGCTGGCAGTACCCCCGGTAGGATCTCAGCCGCCACCTGCTGCAGGAGGAAAAACACAAGAGCCCAAGAAGAAGGCGTCCAAGAAGAAGACTGAGCCAGGTGAGCCGGACTGACACCGTAGTTTTTGTTAAGACTTTATTCAAACAGGTTTAAACCTGGAGATTTTACATTTGTACATAAATCACAGAGCAAAGTAAAGGAAGTCAATGGTGTAAATAATAGATGTACGAGACTTCCTTTAAGGCACCTGACAAAAGTGCAGTGAATGAATGAACGCTATTATCCTGGTTTTTACCTTTTGACATTTTGTATTCAGTTAATCATGAAGGTGTCCCTCAGGGATCAACGCTAGGTCCTTTTTTGTTTTGTTTGATTGGATCAAACAAACTAAAAGTCCTCTACAATGATATTTGGGACCCCCAAAAAAACTTTAACCCAACTCTCAGACCCATTTTTACGACATAAAGTCTCTACCTAACAAAAGGTTAAAACTTTTGAATGTCCTCACGTTTTGCTTGACTGGGAATTATCATTTAAAACCTCATAATTTTCGTTATATCCTCTGCAGAGTCAACTTTTCTATCAGTGTTCAGTAAAGATCTCCTTTCTGACTGAGACACGATACTCCCAAGTCTAGATCAGTGGTTCTCAACTGGTCTCCCTCTGGGACCCACATTTTTCCACAGTCCTCAAGTCACGACCCACTTTTATAAAATTCAAACCAAGAAAATTTGTTTCTTATAAAAAAAACTTTTAAAGACTCAAATCTTTGACATAAACACACCTGTTTTATTGAGTAAAGTGCATTTCAGAGCACATGAACTGAGGACGACAACTACTGAAGTTTCTTTTACAGAAAATATCAAATTGCGCAAAATGAAAAATTTGACTTATCTGCATCTCTGCATTCAGAGCATATTCAGAAGAACCTGAGGAGGACAGAAGTGAATAAATATCAAATTACAAAAAATAAAGACAAAAAAAATCATGTATTTTTCTGCATTCAGGCCACATTAATAAGAAACAGGGGAGGACCACGACACAACATGTGCCTTTCAAAATAAGCTATTTTCCAAAATAAAAGACATGTCAAACATCAGACGGGCAATATTAACTTTTTTGACCAGCTGTTCGCGACCCATCCAGAACGTGTCCGTGACCCACTTTTAGGTTCAGAATCACTGGTCTAGATTATGGACAAAGAGCACCAAAGACACTTGGATTTAAATATGAATTCAGAGCAATATTTAACATTTAAGTCTTCAACTTGTGTTTTAAAGTGTCCACCGTCATCGAAGCATTATGTACTCTAAAGGAAAGTTTGCAGAGTTCAGTTTAAAGTCTAGAAACGGTCAATAATCTACATCGAGTCCACCTACGACCTCGTCAAGGATCACAGAAGGTCAGCAGGTCTGATAAGTGTCCTGGACTTGAACACTTGAGCTCTGATAAAGCTCCGACTTGAATGTTTTCGCTCAGCGGTAAGATCCTGTCAGAGCTGATGAACTCCTCGCTCTGTATCCGTTGAAAATAGTGCCAGTGGCAGCTGTAGGTAACGTCTGGCACTCAGCTGTGGAGGGCACAGAGCACGCCAGCTTGTCCAAACACCACGGCCCTGTTTTGTTAGCTGACAAAGGCGCTCAGTGCCCTGACAATGGGCGGGGAGGCGGGGGTGGGCGTCTCCTTTGCCTGAGGCTTGTCTCCGCCTGGTGCCACAGTGCCCCATCATTTTACCACATGAAGCCTGCCAGGGCTGCAGACCCCGGAGGACAAGTCCCAACCTTGTCCTTTTCCTGAGTATGTGAAGGAATTCAGACGTCACAGCGACAGCCGAACAAACTTCACCGTCTTTGGTTTCCGATCTGAAATAAAACGTGAGGAAACTAGAGACGAGGAGTTCAGGTGATGATCTTTAGGAGGTCAGGATAGGTGACATAATTTAATTACATGTGACTAATCTTGATCTGCTGTTCTGGTGTGTGTGTCCCCCCCCCCTTTAGTGGCAGCTGTTGACTCTCCTGACGCCCCTCTCTACCTGCCCTACAAGGCTCTGGTGTCCACCATCAGCAGCATGGTGTTCAGCGAGGGAGAAGCTCACAGACTCATCGAGATCCTCTCAGAGAAAGCCGGCATCATTCAGGACACCTGGCACACGGTACGACACGTATCAGTCAGTGAAGAAAACACCCGCTCGCCCAGTTCAGGCTGAACAGCTGATTTATCTTTGCTGGTTTTCTGCAGGCCACTCAGAAAGGAGACCCAGTGACTGTGCTGAAGAAGCAGCTGGAGGAGAGGGAGAAACAGCTGGCAGCGGAGCAGGAGGACGCTTCAGCAGCGAAGAACCGCCTCAGAGAACTCACCAAGGTGAGCCTCACGAAAACGCCAAAGTCACGCCGTATCAAACAACTGCTTTATATAAGCCCTGACCACCCTGAAACCCCCAAAACCACATTCACATCCTCTACTTCCTCTCTTCACTCTTGATGTTATGACGCCGCAACCCACAGTGGAGGAAGTTTCCGCTCTTTCAGGTCTTTTAGTTAGAAATTTAAAGGACCAAAATATATTTTTGAGGTTAAATAAAACTTTAAATCTTAAATCCAAGCCTCTGCAGAAGGTTCCTGCTGAGAAATCATTGAAGCAAACTCTGTGAATGAGAGAAAATATCTGTTTCTAAGTTTGGCCTCAAGGTGGCAGCAGAGGAAATAACAACCTGCTACCTGAGTCTTCCAGAGTCAATTTTAACACCAGTGTCTGCACCCTTTTTTTTAACCTTTTTGTCCTGAGGGTGGCACAACAGGAAGTTCATCAAGATGACCACAAAACAAAAGAACAAAACATGCAATGTTTTGTTTTCGTAATATTCTACCTACTGGAATTTCCTTTTTTTATGCAACCCTCCTCTGCACATGTTATTCCAATCTGTTCGTGTATTTTTAAAGAACTGAGATGTTCTCAGACTGAACCAAGTTTATCCTCAGAGAAGACCACAGCTGTCTTTACTGAATTAAATGGTATTTATGTTATCTATACAGACCCCCGAACTGACTCTGAGTCTTCTCTCTGACTCTGTTTGATCAGGAACTTTCTGCTGAGAAGTCCAAGGTGGCCGGTGTGGAGACGAGGCTGAGCGCTCAACTCAGTAAAAGGGAGCAGGAAATGATCGCTCTGCAGGCTCGCATGCAGGCCAGTTACCAGGACCACGTAGCACAGACCCAGGCGCTCAATGCAAAGGTGAGCTCACACCTAAACTCTGATAGTTCCTCACTGAGAAACATTTAGGATGTTATCTGGATGATCTGGCTCCTTATTAGAGGTGATAATGTTTTAAAATTCCTGATTGTACAGGTCGTCAGCCTGCAGGACCAGCTGGAGAAAGGTCCGAATGCCCAGCTGGCTCGTCTGCAGCAGGAGAACTCGATCCTCCGTGACGCACTCAACCAAGCTACCAGCCAGGCCGAGAGCAAGTGAGTCCTTCCTGGTCTCAGCAAATGAAACCCAGTGATCCAGAAAGACATCCGAAATACCGATATGAACTCTGTCTCCTTCATCCCGTCCTCAGACAAAACGCAGAGCTGGCCAAGCTGCGTCAGGAATGTGCAAAGTTAACCAAAGAACTCGGAGAGAAGACGGAGGGTCTGCTCGCCGATGAGCACATCAGGAAAGGGCTGGAGGCCAAGGTCTCCGCCACCGAGAAACAGCTGTCCGTGCTGCAGGTGAGCGAGGCCGCGCATGGTCTCTGTTTTCGGTTTAAAAGTTGAAGAGTGGTGATAAAAACGTCTGCATGAAGACTGCACAGTGCTGAATACAGTTGAAGTCTTTCTTTAAGAACAGGATTAAAACTGCTGTTTGTGTATACGTGCACATTTTAAATCTGGCTCTCCGGTTTCTTCCCTCTGAATTTCAAGAGCAGATTTAGCTCTCGCCACGCCGTCTGATTAGTAAGTGATGTTTGAGAGGAGCTACACGGTTGGGGGTTCCTGTGACGTCGGTGTTCTCTTCATGAAAATGATTTTTTTCTGCATTTAAAAAAAAAAAAAAAAAAAAGTCTTTGTTTGTTACAGAGCGTCAACAAAACTGCGAGTGGAGTCCTTCCAGCCCTCTAATGTTAAGGCAGGTTTAATTGCCTGATAATCACAGAGCCCAGGGCTAGACAGGAATGCAGCGGTACAATAACGGCGCCGCGGGGGAAAAACAGCTCGGTCTCTGTAACAGCTGGAATGTGTGCGTGTCAAAGCACCTCTCCTGCAGCTGTCTGCAAAGAGCGAGACCAGAGTGATGCTTCTTAAACTCAGTCCAGGACTTTATCAGGAACTGTGCCGTTCAGCCGACACACACTGGCTGTCGTTACTCTGAACTGTTAGCGGGCGATTCTGCGTCCTGATGGTCGAAGGTTCATGTTGGTTAATCATTTTTTAACCTTCTTCCTTCTTAGCAGTTCAGGGTCTTTAGAGACGTTACGTAACACCTCTGGCTGTCAAAGAACATGTACTCTGCCTCTCTGTGTGTGTGTGTGTGTGTGTGTGTGTGTGTGTGTGTGTGTGTGTGTGTGTGTGTGTGTGTGTGTGTGTGTGTGTGTGTGTGTGTGCGTTCTTGGACCATTTCAGACGTTAAGCAATCATCAGACTTTTGAACTCCTCCCTCAGAGACCGTCACACCCTCAGTCAGTAGTCCTCACCTGGACTCTGCTGACTGTTTACATGTGTACTTTTTTACTATTTTGTGTTGTTGTACATGCTTGTATATCACCGCTTTATTTTTACTTATTTTATCTATTATTTATCTCCTCTTTCTACTTTGTTTTATATAGTTACTGTGACAAACAGCAATTTTGCCCCCTGGGGATTATTACCTCCGCAAAGGAGGTTATGTTTTCGGTCGCGTTGGTTTGTTAGTTTGTCTGTTAGCAACTTTACGGATAAAGTTACAGACGGATTGACCTGAAGCATTACCTGACTCAAGAAAATGAGTCGTCTGCGTCACAGTTCATCATGTAGGTAAAAATAATCAAATATTCTCTCGTCTGTGAGTGTTACAGCCTCACCTGCCTCCTCTCGCTCCTCTCCCTGCTCTCCTCTCTCCACCCGAGGTTAGGACAAGGTGTTAAAGATGCCGCGGTGAAGCTCTGAACTTTAACAGAGGAACAGGGAGGGTGAGCTGAATTTGCCACAAATAACAAAACGAGGGAGCGACAGCAGGCGGCACAGTGATGTTCAGTCAGGTTGATTATATTTGTATGATTGTGGGGAGCTGTAATCATGACAGATCGCCCAGCTTGATGAACAATGATGAGTATTTAACTTTCATCTGTGAAAACATTGTTGCCACGCCTGTAGAGTAAATTTGACAGGCGTACCGACATGTCATCTAAAGAAACAGGAGCTGGTGCGTCCGTGTGAATCAGAGTCACCGCAGAACGTGATGGTTGAGTGAGCCTTTGCTGCCCTCTGCTGCTGCCGCTGATGTCCGTGACTCATTCGATTGTTTTTGTCTCCAGGCCAGCCAGGCGGAGAGCGAGCAGGCGTTACAGAGGAGACTGGAGGAGGTCTGTGAGGAGCTGAGAGCAACCCAGACTAAGAACAGCAGCCTGCAGGCTTCTGTGGATCAAGCCCAGCAGGAGAGCAGCGCGCTCTCAGGTCAGAGGACGGAGTCTTCATGGTACAGGTTTTTTCCTTTAAGATAAAACACAGATTAGGATTGTAGTGCTGTGTTTTGTCCCCGCAGAGTTTCAGGTCACTATTGGCAAGTTGGAGGCTGAAGTGAAGGAGCGCTCTGCTCAGGTCGATGTCCTCACGGCTCAGCTGGAGGAGACCCAGGCGGAGAAAAGCCAGCTGGTACAGCAGGTGGCGTCCATCAACACCCTGCTGGAAGCTAGTCAGACCAAAAAAGAGGAGGAGAGCAATCAGGTAGGACTCCGATTTATCAGTTTGACCTTTTCTGGAGGGACTAAACCCTGACCGTGAGCGCTGACCTGTGAGGATGTGTGTGTCTGATTCAGGAGGTGAACACTGCAGAACTGGAGCAGCTGAAACTCAGGTGAGTGTTCAACATCCTCAGGTGACAAAACGACAGAGACGCACATAAAAAAATCTGATGTTTGAGAGTGAAGGAGTCTGAAAACAGCGTCTCATTTAGACAAGAACTTAAGACATTTCATAGGACAACACACTGAACAAGAACTCAGTGGAGTCGCTGGTATTTGTGCTCTGTTTCCTCCCACCTCTCAACATATCGATTTCCTTCTGCAGCCTTCAGGGGAGAGACGAGCAGCTCAGCGCGCTACAAGAGGAGCTAAAGCAGCTGCAGGCCAAGCAGGAAGCTGCAGTGAGTTTTGCAAACATATTTTCTCAGACAATAGTTGTCGCTCGATTATTCTGCAAAATTAAACCCGGACAGTGGTGCACGGTCTGAATAATCTGCTTCTTCTGCAGGAGAACACTATAGCTGAGCTGGAGCAGAAAGATAAAAGGTACGGTGTCTTTTCGCCTCATTTTTCAGACTCGTGTGTTACAGATTTTTTTGCATATTTGTTCATAATTTGATTAAAACGTGACTAAGTTGTGTTTCTGTTCTTTAGTGAGGATGCCGGTCTCATCACATCACTTCAGGATGAACTAAAAAACCTCAAAGAAGAGATGTCACAACTCACCAGCACACCAGTAAGTCTACTTCTGAGTGAGTTACACGATTTATCTTTACGTCATCTCTTCGGTAACATCGTTTTTGTTCTTCTGTTTTCAGCAGTCGGATAACTCCGCGGAGGTTTCACAGCTACAGACGAGGTAAACGAGCGAAGGCAGTAAAAGGGGAGAGAGAGAATCAGGTGTTTTTTTTTTTAGTCCCATTGTGAATCTGTTTTTTGTTTCTTTGGCAGCCTGACAGAGAAGGACGCCCTCGTCACGTCACTACAAGAGGAGCTGAGAGAAGCGAGAGAAAAGATGGGCACAGATGCAGTAAGGCTCTTTATACACTGAAAGCTTGTTAATCAAGAACGATCTACTTTAAATAAAGTTCCTGATTCAGTTTTTTTTGTTCTTTTAGCAGAACTCAGCGGCTGAACTCACAGCTCTTCAAACTCAAACCAAAGAAACGCTACAGACGCTCTTCCCACAGATACCCGTCGGGACAGAGGAGGTCGGTTTATAAAAGAAAGTCACTTTGTTTGAAATAAGACCAAACTAAATAAAACTATAAAAGTCTGTAAAACTAAAGGGCTTCCAATAAAACGTTTTATTTATATTTTTTTAGCTAAAATCAGAGTGATGAACTTTTAATTTCGAGGTTTTAACCCTGTGATAGCTTGTTGCTCTCTCAGTTCTGCAGTCTGAAGTTTTTTGTGCTCCTGCCCCTTTAATAATAAAATGCTAAATATCTGTTTCTTTCTGCCTGTTTAGTCTGACTGGTTACAAGTATTCACACAGAAAGCTCAGGAGGCGCTCAGCCAGCAGAGCCAGGAGTCTCCGTCGAGCGCAGCGTCGTCTGTGAGTCCCACTTTCACGCCTCTGTGTCGACTCCAGAGAAACTCGTCTGTGATTCTGAGTCCTGATCGTGTTTCTCTTTGTGTTTCAGGAGTTGTTGGAGAAACTGAAGGAGGCGGAAGAGAGCCACGGGTCACTGCAGGCGGAGTGTGACCAGTACAGGACAGTCCTGGCAGAAACTGTAAGCGTCACGTTCACGTAGAGGTTTCTGTTTTTTATAAAATCGTTATAAAGTTCAAAAGTTTGTTGAAGCTTTTCTTCTCTTTCAGGAAGGAATGCTGAAACACCTGCAGAAGAGTGTGGAGGAAGAAGAGCTTGTATGGAAGTCCAAGATGGCCGACTCAGAGGAGCAGCTGAGGGTGGTGAGTTAAAAAAAAACATTTTTGTGTTTTTTTAACATTGTTTTGTCTTCATTTTAACATGTTTTTAACCTGCTCCTGAACACATCCTCAGGCTGTAGAGAAGGTCGGCAAACTGGAGGCGGAAAACCAAAGTGTAGAACAGGTGAGGACTTCCCCACACTCATTATAAACCCAGGCTGCTTCAAATCTGTGTTTTTGTATGGAAGTAAATCTGTGTCGTCTGAGTCTGAATTTGAATTTCTAAAGCTGAAATTTTTTTGCATCAAAATCAGACTTTGAGTTTCAAAACCATCAAATTTCAAGCAAGAATTTCTGACACTAATTTTTTTTCACAACGATGGAATAAATTTAATGTAATAAAAATCGGTCTCACAAAATACTGCTTTGGTGAAAATTCGACTTTAAAAAAAAATCATTAAAAAAAAAAATTCAGTGTCAAAAAATTCAGTGTAAAAGAGACCGGCTGGATGATGAGTGATTGAGCCAGGAATCGATTGCTTCTCCCTGGTTACCCGGATGTTGAGTCGGTCTCTTTTACACTGAATTATTTGACACTGAATTTTTTTAATGTTGAAATTTTTTTACATTTTTTTTAAGTCGAATTTTTACTAAACTAATATTTTTTAGAGATTCCTTTTTTTTTTTTTTTTTTACACTGAATTTATTTCATCATGAAAAAAATTAGCGTCAGAAATAAAAATGTGTGCTTGAAATTCGATGGTTTTGAAAGTCTGATTTTGATGCAAAACATTTTCAGCTTTAGAAATTCAAATCCAAAATCAGTTGGCACAGATTGACTTCCATATTTTTGTTTATTTTTGCGTACAGATGAAGGAACAGATGATGCTGCTGGAAGCTCAGCTGGAGAAGCAGACGGAAAACCAGGGGGCCGCAGAGGAGACAGAGCAGGTACAGAAGCAGCTGTGATCCATAAACATGACCAGTTTACCTGTGTGACACCTTCTCATTTACCTGCTGATTTCTGCTCCCAGTTGAAGCAGCAGCTGTCAGAGTATCAGAGCCAGCTGGATTTGGCCCAGAAGGAGGTCCAGGCACACAAGGAGGAGCTCACCCAGGTGACTTCTCAGACTTTACCTGTTTTTTCATCCTTGAGGCGATTATGTACTCATGCCCTGCAGAGGTGACGGCTTTATGAGGGAGATGATAATGATGAGATGTCACTTATCATGGGATGTAAAGATCTGTCCTGAACCTACACAGCCGGTTTGGTGAGGTGTCGGGTGTCACAGGGTGTAAAAAAAAAAAAAGTTATGTAACGAGTCACCAGCGACGGCTTCCTGTTTCAGGTCAGAGAGCAGCTGAGCGAGATCACGATGAGGGCTCAGCGAGAGCAGAATGGCCCAGCTGAGGCTCAACACAGTCAGGTCAGGGTGCGAAGGTCACAGGGCACCCTTCACTATCTAAGGGGGGGTACTGGACACCGACTGGAAGATTTTCAATCATCTATAATCAAATAACCTTTCCAATCAGCATGATTCAATTCAACATGAATTTTAAAGAGCAACTTGCAGGTTGGAGACTTTAATAAAACCACTAACATCAATTTTAGGCTGAAAGGGACGTTTTTACTTTGAACTGCATGTTTAAAATTCTATTAGTTAGAATTTATAAGTCTGTCTCAACAACGCAAAGCAATTCTTACCAGTGTCTTAATTTAAGAATCAAATGAATGCCATGAAATGCACTTAAAGGGATATTCTGGCGTAAAATCAATTTAAGGTCAAACCCACCGTAACACCGAGTTAGACCCCCCCTCCAGAGATGAATGTTGCCGACCGCTTGCTTCTCTAGTTATACCAACTTTAGTAACGACAGCACAATAGCAATACAGAGAGCCACGCCCTCAACCAAAACGCCACTCTATAACCACAAATAATCCTCAGAACAGCACCTAACTTCATCAACAGGACATATAGGGTCACAGACATAGTACTAGACACCAAACATCTTTTTAACTTTGACTCATTTATTTAGCAAAGAGACTAAACACAACTCACCTACTCTCTTCCAGCAGCCACTGTACTAACCTCAGTAGATCATGGTATAGTGCCGTTTAGTAACAGAACCTCATTGGAAAATTAGCTGATTTAACTTTACTGTGCTCTTGTTCAAATATATTAACTCAACAGCACATATATCCATACCTGTTAATAAAATCATGATTGTATTGATAATTCGGCTCAATAAAAACACCTTTAACTTTCATTTTACTACAGTAGAAGTTTCTTGGCCCAGCTTTTATAGACTACAGAAGTGGAGAAACACCCCCACTTAAGTTTGTTTTCTTAGGAGTTAGAACAACTCTGAATATAGTACTATGTCTGTGACCCTATATGTCCTGTTGATGAAGTTAGGTGCTGTTCTGAGCATTATTTGTGGCTATAGAGTGGCGTTTTGGTTGAGGGCGTGGCTCTCTGTATTGCTATCGTGTGGTCGTTACTAAAGTTGGTATAACTAGAGAAACAAGCGGTCGACAACATTCATCTCTGGAGGGGGGGTCTAACTCGGTGTTACGGTGTGTTTGACCCTAACTTAATTTTACGCCGGAATATCCCTTTAATAATTCAACTTTAAGAGTCATAATTCAGATAAATGCTGCTCTGTAGCTGCACCTGAACTCCGACCCAGAGGCAGGAGACGGCTTTAAAGGGTTTTATCCACAGGTCTGTGGGGATTTGCATGCTTCAAATTACTTCTCTGTCGGTTACCCGCTGACCTGCGTGCTCACAGGTGACAGCTCGGACTGAAAGTTCTTTAATGTTATCAAGATTTAGTTTGATTAAAAAAGTGCAGGTTACTGTTGACTCAGTGTTTTAGAGGGAAATGTGCGACTCAGAAGAGCGGTGATGTTTTTCTTTCATTGTAGCTCAAAGCAGGAAGACGCTGCAGCAGCCTTACTACAGTGTGCATAGAGGGACAAAATAACACACGGTTTAACAAAAGGGTAACTCAGTGGAGGAGGGTTCTAGAGCGCAATCTGAGGTTTTTTTAAAGAGACATTAACCGAAGTGTGTGAGTGAATTTAATCATTAAAGTTTTATTTATTTTGCACTTTAATTACATTAAATTCAATAAACTAAATACAGAAAAGTCAAAAACAGGTGAAACGGAAAATAAACGTTTTTTTTATTTATAAATAGGACTGAAGTTTATGGAAACTTTGACAAAGTGTGAAATAATGCGAATATAGAACAGTTTTAGGACTTAACTAGGACCTGAATGTGAGTAACCTGATCGTTTTAACCTGCAAGTTGCTCTTTATGGTTGAATTTGTGTGATTCTCTGTCATTGACGACAGTGTCTTTGTGATCTGTCTCCACACGTGATCACAGCCGTGTCTTTAAATCGAGGATATCACCTCAGTACACGGATACTGGGTAACACATGACGCGTGGAAAGCCGAGCAGTATTTCCAGTCTTTCCAGTCCAGTACTCCTCTGACACTGTTTATGCTAACCACTCTAACCACTTCTTCTTCTTCTTACCTGTTTTCCTTTGGCATGCTCACTTCAGCCTCCACATGCTTGTTTTGTACCGTTCTTCTCACCTGAGGTCGCTCCAGAAGGAACTAACATGGCTCACTTGTTGAGCAACTTTTTGTGTGTGGGTGTGTGTTTTTGCTGCCGCTGCTTGGTCTGAGAATAGTTTGCATACAGTCAGATATATTTTAGGAGAGTGTGTGTGTTTGTGCTTATTGTGCATTTGCTGTTTCAGGTCCAGAACGAGCTGAGTCAGACGACTGAGAAGCTGCACGAGGAGGAAGCTCAGAGGACGCAGCTGTCGGAGGAGTTTGAACAGGTAGGAGCCATCGCCTGTTTGTTTCTGTTCAGCGAGGAGGGGGGGGACTCGTAAACTCTGTGGATGACAAAAGAGTGTGTGTGCGTGTGTGTGTGTGCGTGTTTGTTGACTTCCAGGCCCAGAAGACTTTGATAGAACTCCAGGCACAGCTGGATCTCCTGAAGGTTTCTGCTGATTCACCACAAGCAGACACAGAGGACGTCACTCAGCTAAAGGTGTGAAGTTTACCTGTGATTTTGTTTCAACATCCAACGCTGCAATAAAGTGACGATTATTAAAGGTGGGGTAGGCAGGAATCCGTTAAAGAAGCATCTTTTTTTGAAGATAATGGTATCACAGAGTTGTTCCAGTCCGGTTTCAAAGCTCTCCACAGCACAGAGTCAGCACTTCTGAAGGTGTCTAATGATATCCTCTAGTCAACGGACTCTGGAAAGTTTGTCGTCCTTGTGCTCCTAGATCTGTCTGCTGCATTTGACACTGTTGACCACAGCATTTTAATATCTCACCTGGAGCACTGCATGGGCATTAAGGGTTTCGTCCTGGACTGGTTCCGGTCGTACTTTTAACGGACAGAAGTTTCTGTGTTAAACTCGACAACTCTGTGTCGTCAACAGCTCCTCTTCCACATGGGGTCCCCCAGGGCTCAATCCTCGGCCCTCTTTTATTTGCCTGTTATCTACTCCCCCTTTGTTCTGTTTTTAGGAAACATGACATTAGTTATTGATGAAATTTGGTAATATTTGAATTGATTAAAGGATAGCCCCTTGAGATGTAGCTCCTCATTTTCAAGGGGGTCCCTAAACAAACATACATAGAACTCAGGACACATCACAATACATCAACATACAAAACACAAATACAGACATCTTACTCACCCTACTCCCACACACAACCCCAACCAACATACGCCTAACATACAAAGTAGATGAAAAATAATGTGAACATAAATGCAGAAAAATAAAGAAAATAAATCAGAAACATGAGCAGTTTGTTTGAGATGAGAGTATAGAGCCATTCGGAAGTGATGAAAAGAAGTAAATGAACACAAAGAAAGAGGTTTTTCCAACTGAAACGATCTTTAAAGATTCTAGAAACAAAGAAAAAAACGGGTTGTTCAGATGTCTGAGAGGATTCAAGGAATCTTTATTGTCCCCGTGGGGCAAATCGTTTTACAGCCAGCAGTGCCACAAACAGACGTAAGACAACCAGCACAACAATAAATAAATAAAAAAGTTCTTCAGTCTGTTTGTCCGACATGTAGGCAGGACGTACCTGCGGCCTGAGTACGGGGAGTTGTGTGGGATCAAGAGTTTTTTTTTTAATATGAAGGTCATTGGAGATAAATACGTTTAAAAAGGAAATGAAAAAACTGGTTGGGAGGGGAAGAGTTTACATTCAAGATTTCTCCTAAAAACTGGAATTTCCTCAGATCCTGACTGTGACCAGCACAAAAAGGGTCAACGAGCTCTTCTGTGCGATCAGCTTGAAAAAAAAGGATATTCCTGACCACTACATTTCTGAGTTGCTTCCACCTTTTGAAAACCACAGTGAGTAAAGAAGAGTGAAGCTCGGCTCTTTGAGTGATCGTTGCTTCTGTTGTGATGTTAGGAGCGCCTGGAGAAGGAGAAGAAGCTTTCCAAAGACCTCGGCCAGGCAGCCACCAAACTCCAGCAGCTTCTTAAAGCCACCCAAGAGCAGCTGACCAAAGAGAGGGACACTGTGAGAACACTACAGGAGCACCTGGACGGCAAGGTAAGCACACGCACACGCCGCTGAAGGCTCGTATCGTCCCGCTGCTCTCGGACTAACTTTCTTCTTCTTCTGTCTGCTTTAAAGGGCGACTACGTGGAGCTGAAGGAAGGAACCTCCGTCTGAGAAGTTAACTGAAGACACTACAAATAAACTGCCAAATATGCCTTATGATTACCATAGTTATGCATTCCAAAACTATTTTTCTTGTACTGTAGTCGATTGCATTTGTTGCAACAGTAGTAATCAAATGTTTGATATAATGAACATTTCAAAGTAGGATTAGAGAAGGAAATCCTGCTGCAATCTTTATCGAAACCCACATTCCATCATGGATTCTGGCTGTGTCAGAAGTTATTTATCCCCCTGCCTTATATTCCAAACATTTCCCCATAGTTCAGTGTTAAAAAGGGAAAACGATTGTGCGTCAAACGTACATCAACCTGTGCAATTATTACTATGTATGTCTTTTCTATGTGGTTGAATGATGGGAACATTTTATGGTTCGATGTGTCATTACCTGTAGGGCCTGCTTCCCTCTCCAGCTGGCTGACAACACCATGCATCAAATTTGTATGAATGAATAAACAACAGTGTAGCTCTGCGTCTTTCCTGCTCCGTGTCTGTGTTTCATATCTGGTGAGAATCAAACCGTAAATCGGCATTTGTCGTATGTCTGTCACTGCACCTGAAGATGAACCAAATTTTTCTTATGGTAGAATAAATTAAAGTCAAACCGTCTTTTAGGGTTAAAAGAGTTGATCTCAAAGTCATTTCCAAACTGCTGTTCTGTGAACACATCGGGTTTCATGCGGGAAGTATTACCACATCCTTGCAGAATATCCTCACGCAGCAAAATGAAGGTTATAACTTCTCACCAGGAGTTCTTTATTTTGCTCTTAAAACAGCGTGAGAGGGTTTGTTATCGAATAACTCCAAATGGAGAGCGAACGGTGGCGGGAATCATTTAAGGAGGGAGTTGAGAACTGTTCAGGTTTACTCTGGTTAGCATCAACGATTTCTCCTCCCAATAAACGTGTGGAAGAGGTGTGCAAATCACCTCTTCCTGAGTTGATCAATTCAATGGGTGTGAGCTGCTGCCTTTTCTTTAACACACACTTCAGACAGCCCACTGAGCAATAGACGGCTATTAGACGTCTAGTTTATTTTAGACCTAATTTCAACTGTCTAGATTCTGTATGATTTTAGACAGAATTTAGACGTTGCACTTTAATCCATTATTCTATATCCATGTGTTTATTCAGCTGCATAACTGATCTCCAAGTACTTCACCAAAATAATCAGGATAGCTGTTGAGCAATGTACAGTGTAATATAGATATAGCCCAGATTTAGACTTGGTCTAAATCTAGACGTTTAAAAAACTTTAATTTTTCGACCTGTTGTAACCTGATTTTAGACCAGTCGTCTAGGCTACATTTAGACGTCTATTAGACCTTTTAAACCAAAAAATGCTCAGTGGGAGGCTTTGCAGATGTCATTTATATTAAATAGAAACTGTTTAGGGCTGAGCTCTGAGCCTTGTGGGATGATGAGTGGATATGATTGCAGTCCTGCCAACATATCAAATGTGATAAATGCCCCTTTTTCCTCGATACTTTCTTTTTATTGATTTTCTTCAACAGTCTTTATACAATATACGTGGGGGTGAAAAAAAAAAAACACATTGGATCCCCATGCCTCTACAATTCGATCATTTTTCTTTGTCAGTGTGAATGTCTTCGTCCCGTTGTTTCAATGTATTCGGTCCCATTTCCGGCAGCGTTGATCCTCTTGAGTCCTTATTCTATAAGTCAGTCGTTCCATAGTGTTCATTTCGTCCATAATTTTCAACAAGTCTTCCTGTGAAGGTGGGTCCGCCCGGTACAGGGTCACCAAGATCCCCAAGCGTCCCCCATCGTTTATGTTGACCCGGCTTTTTAGCTCTTGTCCGGTCTACCTCCGTTTTAAGCGCCCGTTATTCCTCCAGAGTCTCCAGTATTTCCTCGATATGAAGTTGAACTGAAGCTAACTCTAAAGCTAACATTAAAAAGTTTACAAAGTGAAATTAAACAATAACCTTTCCGCTTACTTCTTCGCTCGTCTTCTCGCTGTCGTCTTCTGCGCCTAGATCGTAAAACACTGGTGCATCATCATTACTAGTCCCCGGCAGCTCACGTCCGTTGTGGCTTTTTTTATTTGTGTCCTTTTATTTTCACAGTAAGTTAATTTTTTTTTATGCATCGTTAACTTCCGTTATGGTATTTTTTTTTTCATCTCCACTGTTTTGTTTTTTATTTGCAGCGGTCTTTGGTTTCTTTTTTTTTTCTGCTTCTGTCTCTGTTTTTGTTGTTTCCCAGCTGACCGGGGCAGCACGACGCTGCTGCTACACTCCAAACGCGCTCATCCTGTACGCGATAGACGGCGCTGCTCTACGAAGCAAATATGGAACAACGCGCTCAACACGGATCCTTTATGTTTTTGGACACTCTGCCCCCGACACATTCACGACAGATTATATAGGAGAGTTTAAGGTTAATCGGCAAATGACGATACCAACCCTCGTTACATTATTGCAGTAGGTCCTTGAATTAAAACAAACCTGTAGAGAAGTGAAGAAAAATCCTTTTTTTCCATACAAACATGTCAAAAATGAACGGTTTGAAAAAACAGCGGGAGACTCGATGCACGCAGGCGGCGGGAACCACCATAGATATAAACATAAACACTAGATGGCGTACGCCCACTCCTAACGTTCCAGTCTGCGGTGCATGTAGCATTTAAATAACTATAAATTACTTAATTTTAAACCGCTTTTCAAATGGTTTGGTTTTTAACAAACCTCAAAGTTTTAGATATGTTCCTGTATACTCAACAATAATTTTAACCATGCATTCTCATAAATAAACATTAAACAGATAGGTAGAGCAATAGCTATAGGCCAACACACACAAGGCAGTTATATTAAAGCATTTATATATAAAACATTTAATCATTCCATGTATCTAATATTTGTAATATCTCTATTATAGGGATAACTATAATAACATATAAAAATAACATATTTTAATTAAAATCTCGATTGTGGTCTCAGCCTTGACAAATAGCTGTGAAACAACTGTGCTTCATGATTAAGTCTTTTGTTGTCTTCGTAATAAACTAAACCATCTGTAAATCTGTCAAGATTTCAGCGAATTAAGAGTATTTTTGATCATGCAGATTACTGACCCCTCCGTCAGCTACCATAGAGCAGAGCCAGCCCAAGGCATACACAAACTAAGTGACCGCTTAGGGGTTTCCTCCCACATCCCAAAAACATGCAGAAGTGGGTTAGGTTAATTGGCCACTTCCAAATTGCCCGTAGGTGTGAGTAGGAGCGTGGATGGTTGTCCGTCTCTATATGTCAGCCCTGCGATGAACTGATGACTTGTCCAGGGTGTCCCCTGCCTTCGCCCAGAAGATGCTGGGATAGGCTCCAGACCCCCCGCGACCCTGGGAACGGGAATAAGCGGTAGAAAATGGATGGATGGATATATTTATATAATTTTCTTTTTTTTGCATGTACGTATGAGTGACGGAAAGAAAGAGGAAGAAGAGAAAAAACGCCATGATAAGGGTATGTTTGCATGTCATACAATGTTAAAGACATTTGTGAAGGTGTGTGAATGATCAACAATCAATATTATTGGCAGAAATAGAGGGCCCCAAAATCAAATTTTGCTTCGGGCTCCATTGAGGCTTAGGCCGGCTCTGCCAGAATGGTATACTGGAGTAAGATGGCTGCCGTGTGGAGACGCCAGTGACTCCGCCTCGAGCCATCTAGCCTTTCTCTTATATATCTATGGGAACCACACCCATTTTCATGTATTTCCTTATTCGTCATTCCCCTCTGGTGTCTGAAAATGTTGTAGCGTGAACACCTGTACCACCACAAAAAGAACGTTTTTCAAAAAACAAACAATCCCCAAAAAACAGAATGGCGTATTCTTTAACGTAGCGGGTACTTACCTTTTTTATCCTGATTTTTTCTCCAACCACCAACCTCGCCGTTTTTGTGAGCTTGTACCAAAACTCACCAAACTGTAATTCCAACCCGAGAAAGCCTTACAACTTAGTTTTCTTATGAGCAGAAACTCAGTCCTACGACATTTCCTGAATGCATCACGAGAAGCCATTTGCAATCAGACATTTTGCTTGACACAAGCGTAAGAACATGATTTGAATGGTTAACGATAGAACAGGCTTCTCATTTGTCAAATAGCCTAAAAGTCCCAGATGAAAGCAGTTTAAAGTAGCTGTGCCCAACTTGATAGGAACATTCAGGCTAATTGGTTATTTTTTAACTTCTACCACTTATCAAACATTGATTTTCGTTAACATTTTCATATTTTGTCACAATTACCGTATTTAGTGTGAGCTAGATGTTGTCGACTTTACTATTAGAGGAACGGAGTGGAACAGATGTTTGAAACCCGAGATGAAAATATTGTGGTTTTTTTTTTTTACCAAATTTTGATTTTAGGAAATGCAGAAAGGCATAAAAACAAGGATAAATTTGGACTTCACCACATCAGGTCACCAACACTATCCTATTTTCACACATAAATACCAACATTATTCAATTTCAGCTGGAAAAAAAGACGGCACATTAGATTGCATTGAGTTTATTTCATAACACAGTGCAACGACTGCTGCATTCTCAGTGAAACATGACTTTGTAAAAGTTGAACATTTTCCAGCAGGTGTTCGTTTGAGATAAATCCGTTTTCCTAAACTGTTATACTAAATCTTACAGGCCTGGTGATTTTGTTCTACATACAATAAAAAGACTTGATTTCCGTCTTTATTAACCTGTTAATACCATAAGATAAAGGTGCATAAAGCCGGGACTCTATATGTATTTTAAAGCTCCTGCAATGATTTTATTTTTGTTGTTGTTTTTAAATTTAACACAGATGTCTATTTCTGACTTATAAAGACAAACAAGACTATCAACAAAAGGAGTGACTGTTTCTGTGAAGTGATTTTTAATGAATGGACCCACTGGTGGGGGGTAGGTGTCAGACTTCAAGCTGCCTTAGCCCAAAATAAATTTAATAAGTGATACATGTTTTAGTTAGGACAGGGTAGGATGAGATTTTTGTCAAGATGCATTAAATGTCGAGGGCAAAATGGGATAAACCCACTTTGTCTACAGGAGGCGGCAAACTCAACAAAAACCAAGAGTTCATTACAGGAGCTTTAAGCTACATAAAAACAGGAGATGATGAATTTGAAGATGTACAAGGAGTCAAGTTTCGCATATAACTAACATTGTAGTACAGATAGGATGAAAAACAATGCATTTGAACACCACTGAGAAATCTTTCCCTGTCAGCTTTCGAACCCATCCCAAAAAAACAAAGTCCTCTGCAAACATGGAAATCCTTCTCTCATCTCCCTCTAAATTGACCTTGTGATACAACAAAGAAAGACTTTGATTTGGTTGGTTAGTCGACCACTCAATCTGACAAGCATTTGCCCTCGATCATCTTCACAGGTGGTGCGCTTTTTTCCAGACAGTCGGCCAAAATAAGCCTGCTACAAAAATCTGCTCTGTCGTTCACCTGAAAGTCGTGCTTGACACCTGTGGGAGACAAGAGCAATTTAACAAAGAGGAATCAGCGTTCAACCGTCAAAGTCGTATCAGGGTGCGCGTGAAATGCTTGACAATAAAACCGTACCCTTCATCAAGTTCTTGATGGCGTTTTTCGAAGAGGCGTATGACATCCTTAACTTGATCTTTATGCCGTCAGGAATCCTAGAAGGGAGAGAAGTCATTGAAAAAAAATCCATCTCTGGATTTGAACAACTCTTCACACCCTGCAATAATTTCTCGATTCTATCAGGAGCTCTTTTCTACAGTCTACAGTACGTTGAGGATTCAGATAGATAAATAGAGACCTACCACGTCACAAAGATCAACTCCTCTTTTTTGCTTCCCTCCTTGGTTTCGAAGTGGCAGTCGTACAGGGCATAGAAACAGGTATCGTCCGTCATCAGCTTGGTGAGTTTTTGGAAAGGATCTTCTGTTTCGAACTCTTCTTGACAGAAACACTTGTCCACATCGATTATATCGTTCTGGATGGTGAACGTGATGATTCTTAAACGTTTGTTTACATCATCATCACACCTTTTCACCTTCATTCTCGAGATGATGTCCTTAACATTGTCAGTGACCTGAATTCCAGACTGTTTAAAGAAGAGACAAAAGAAAACCGTCAGCATCAGGTGAGACACAGAGGACGAAGACAAAACTACAGACGCATCATGTCTTGTTGGCATTTGAACAGAGCTGCTTTTGGGAGATATTTACCTGACATGTTTGAGCTTAAGACTTGTAAGTGTGTCTACGAACCACCCAGTTTGACTTACATAAGACTGGACATGCATTCATAGTTTCAGAGTAAATATATCTTTAATGACATTAGCAAGGATCTTAATTCAAGCAGCTCTTTTCTGCAGAGACTCCGTGTGTGGTCCGGGGAGTTTAATTCATCTGCTGAGTGTTTCACTGAATATACAGCAACACAGTGTGAGCAGTCTGAAAGTGCCCGAGTCTCTGCCTGTGCAGACGTTGCTCTTCTGCACTTTTTGTGTTTTGTGACAGAAAGCAGAACTGGAGAATGAAGAAACAGGAAGTTGTTGAAAACTAGGTTGTGCAGAGACACGTTAAAGTGCTCAAATGTGCTCCTTCTCTGCCATCTCTAAAGCAGGAACATGCCCTGGGTGTAGCTTCCCTGTGATTCTCCAGGCCTCGGCTGTGTCACATTCCAGTCATTGTGGAACAAGTCAGCACAAGAAAGACCGCCCTGAGGGATTGTCTCAGAACAAGTTTGAAGCACACAGACAAAGCTCCCTCCATTTTGGAGGCAAAACCACACCTTGAACAAGCTCTGTCACTGAGCACTCAACTCGCTTTTCACTCAGCGAACAGCTCGCTAAAAGAGACTCCAAGTGAAAACCGTACACTTCAGAGAGATTTACAACAAGGCTTCACTGAGTTAACACTTTTAACACATGTTAAAATGAGGCAAAGGCATTTTCCTGCAATTGTAGATTACACAACCGGAGTGGCACAGAAACACAAAAGAGAAGCTGACAGTCGACAAACCAAACAGAGCCGAACTCTCTGTGAGAGTTACTCACCATTTTGTCTCTGATGTGTGGAGGAAACAGGCTGGAGAGAATATATGGCAACAACAGTCAAACTGCTGAGGGTCATAAGGAAGGAGAGCAGGTTGACTCATAGAGGAGGAGCTGGGGAGCTAAAAGAGCACACCTCCAAACTTAGGCCCAACCCCCTTCCTCTCAGGTGTGACAGTTTCTGCTGCAACCTCAAGCATTTGCATTTAATCACATCACATTTCAAAGCCTAAAACAACATCTACTGCTGTGCCTCACTGCCATAAATGCACACATTTGATCCTCCTTTTAATCCTGTGAAATCTGCTCCAGGTACAGGTCCTCCCTGTGAGCTGAAACCTCAGCTGAGCTGAAGACAGTCACAGGTGGGAGCGGCTCTGACACCCTTATAAGGAGAACAAACCTGTCCACATTTTTGAGCTAATCTGCTGAGGAGAAGCAGCTCAGTGGCCTTATAAGGTAAAAGTTAGGATGAGTGAATAGATATGGGAGAAGGATTCATCTACCTGCCTATGGTCGCATGAAGCACCTGGACTGGAATCCCGTAGCCATCATTAATATTTAAAACCACCAAATCAAAGTTCAGTGTCAGACAGCCGTTCTCCAAACATGGTCAGACTCCACCGACCTTCAGAAACTTGACGTATAGGCTGGAGAGGTCACATTAGTATCTCTGGACGTCACACCTGCCGAGTTTGACGATGAGTCAGTGTAATTTATGTAATTTAGAAACAAATGAGTCAGACGTAAACAAAGTTATTGTGCACGCTCATTTATTATCCTGTTTCTCTGATTTACTGCAACGTTTAGGACAGATAAGGAAACTGGTGTTGAAGGTTGAGCCAAATTTGGAAATAACTTCAACATGGAGCATTTTAATGACCGGCGGGGCGGTTCTGAACGGACCCAGGTTTATCTGACTCAGGTTTAACTGACTCAGGTTTATCTGACTCAGGTTTATCTGACTCAGGTTTATCTGACTCAGGTTTATCTCCAGGGGGAAGAACAAAATATGTGTGTCCAGTTTTTATGATTTGCTTTTTCCTCACTCTCTTTTTTCCATTGTTGCGTACACAGATACGAGCTGCAGCTCATGTTCAGCTTTCCCACATACACTTGGAGACAATGTCTGGGATCGACTTGTAAATTTGCATGATGTAAAGTTAACTGTGAGAGTGAGAATGAAGCCAGTCATGCAGCACAACATTTTATTGAATATTGTAGACTGGTCACACTCATGGTCCTTCAGTCGCGACCCACTTTTATAGAATTCAAACCAAGAAAATTTATATTTTATATATTAAAAAAAACCTTTAAAGACTCAAATCTTTAACATAAATCCACTCGTTTTATTGAGTAAAGTGCATTTCAGAGCAGATGAAGGGGACAACATGAGGACGACAACTACTGAAGTTACATACATAGAAAATATCTAATAAATATCACATTAAATATTTGCTTTTTCAAGACCCATCCAGATAGATAGATAGATAGATAGATAGATAGATAGATAGATAGATAGATAGATAGATAGATAGATAGATAGATAGATAGATAGATAGAACTGTACATTACATTATTCACCGGGGCCGACTATTCAGGGCATCTATAGTTGCAGGGACCCGGCTTTTCCTAAAGCGGGCCCTGCGAAACCTTAGGGTTCCGTACCTGCGCCCTGAGGGTGGGAGGTTGAAGTATTTTTGAGTGGGTCAGTGGTGTCTTGTGCGATGGAGTTTGCTATGCGTGTGATGGACCCGTTGTTCAGTTCTGTGAGGTTGGCTGTGGGTAGACCAATGAGTTTAGCTCCTGTATTTGTAATGTGTGTGAGTTTGGCCCGGTTGGTAACAGAAATCAGTGAAGAAACATGTAGAACAGTGCAGAAGGATGGGTTGGATAATACTTTGATATAGCAACAACAGGAGGTGTGGAGCAACATGTAGTCCTTTGTTGACTTCTTCTTCGTATGTCCGTGGTGTGCTGATCAAAGGAGAGTTTATTGTCCAAGGTCATTCCTAAATATTTAAATGTGTCCACTGTCTCAACTGTTTGGGTGTTTATGATGGTGGGGGACTGATAACCACCGTTGTAGACTAACTACAGTCCTCAGGTTTAGTGCAGTTTGTACCGACCATGACTTATTCTGACTGTATGAGTGGATGAAACGTACATAAACCCACAGCGCAAATTAATCCTTGGTTCTGATAAGAGAAATTCTTGGAAAGAGCTGCTTCCGCTGACACCAGGTCGCCCCCGTTCGCTCTGCTCCTCTCCCTGCTCTCCTCTCTCCACCTGCATATTCACGATAGTTTGTACTGATGCAGCGGTCTACAGTTAACGCTAGAAAAGTCAAAGTGAAGACGTCTTTATATCACCAAAACACAGAAATGTGTCTTTATGTAAAAGTTACTTCTATTCAAACACAAACAGACAAACTGTTCAACCTGCATAAAAGTTACCATCACTCATTAAACCAACAAATCTGCTGCTGTCTGGTGAGAGTCGCGTGTTTAGATGACTAAACACGGTCCTCTGCAGTCGTCGCCTAGCTGCCTAACAAACAGCTGCATCACGTCCACCAGTCAATCAAACTAGCCACGCCCTAAAGTATGACTAATGGTGCACACCTCTCAGTGTTGAGAAGATCAAAATTAGAATGATTTAACCCTGGGACAGTTTTCCTAAAGAGCAGAAGATGGAGAAGAGAGTTATGAGTTTGTTTAATTCTGAGATAGTCGACACTTACAGAGCTGCTTTTTTTTACACTTTAACCTCAGAACCATTTTTAAAAACTTGATTGTCTCCTCTGAGTCCGTCTTTGACACGCAGTCTTTCTGATGTCCAACAGGAAACATCCCTGCTGGTAAATAGATATCTCTGCAGGAGCCTCATTGGTCAACAGAGCTGTCAATCATGATATTACACCCCCTCCTCTCCACTTGGACATAAATCAGCTCACAAAGAGAAAACCGTAAAAATCATGTGGAAGAAAAAAATATTCATATTTTGATTCCATAGTTTGGCCTCTTGGTTTATACCGCAGCCAGCCAGCAGGGGAGCTCTAAGTCATTTGGCTTCATGGCCAGCGAACACTTCAGCGTTGGAGCCAGACTATTTGGACTCGGATGGCAAGGTGCGGCCAACTTTAGGGGGTTACCTCGGACTCCAGAGGGACATTTCCAGAATAAGATGTCAGAATGTCCTGAAAAAGTTCATTTTTTTCCCCAAATTCAAAAGGCGAAAAGTCGGTATATTCTTGATTCATCAAACACAGAGTGGGATATTTCAGTGTGTTTCAACAACCTTCATGATGTCAGCTGACAGCTCATGAAAATCAGTAATCCGCCATCTAAAAACATTAGAATAATGTGGAAAAGTCCAGTTTGTTGTCAGTTCTGTCCCCTCAAACCCTGACTGAGACCAAAAACCTGGACATCTGCCGATCCTGGTTTAGTCTTCAGCTATCTGTTCATGAATATAGAGCTTTTTCTAAAACTAAAACTTAGTACTTTTATGCTAATCTTATGTCCTCTTTACTCCAGTTTTCTAAGAGTTCTACCGCACAGAAAAATGGGAAGCTTTGAAGCCACTGAGCTGCCAAACTGGCACACGCATGAGTGATACTCTTCACGTGTTCAGTTTAGGTCCTGTTCTTTGGAAAGTGAACCGAGTGAATGAATTAAAAACGTCCTCCACAGAGACAGTCAGATACTCTGTTTCAGCATCAAGGTGGCCTCTCTTCCTCTGTGTGGATTAGTGGTTTTCAGAGAGTCAGAGTCCCGCCCAACATCCGGACTCGCCTCAGCTGCAGAGCGCCGGGTGCAGAAATGTCAACACATGTCATAGCTTGCCTGCTATGTGCTCGCGGTGCAGACACAGGAATCTTTGACTCTCTGAGAGCAGGAATATTCTTCATATTCAGCTGACGGTCTGTTCAGAGACAGACTGACACAGATGGAGACAAAAAGCTCATTTTTGGTGACCTTAGGCTGTGTGATGGTAGCAGTGGCAGGGCCTGCTTACCAGCAGCGACATGACAAAGCAGTAAAAGGGGAAATACAGCCCAGAACCACACAGAGCAGGAAATGGCAGCTGCATAACTCTGTCAGTAGGAAACTTCTCACTGCTGTAGGCACACGTTTGGTAACACCCGGTCAGTGACGTCGAAGCAGGAAAAAAACCAACCCTGAGAGAACTCTGACATCTACTGGGAGACTGCAGACACTGTAAACACTCAGTCTGCTTTGGGGTTTACACTTCACCACGATCAAGATTTAAGAACAAGAAAAAAAAACATAATACTACCTGAAATTAGTAACTTTTGAGAAAACTATTCATCGTAAAATCGTAGAAATTATCAGACTAACATCATCTTGGATAAAGTTTTAATAATAATACGTCGTGGTCGACAACAGAGTCGACACCATCAGTTGGCTCTCCTGGTTTCTTTCACGCAGATCCTGTTTGTGTTGAAGTTTGTTTAACGTTTGTGTGTTGTTTTTGTCAGTTTTCACACCCGTGATTCCTGATCTTCATGTTTTATTTCTGGAGCATCATGACATCTAGAACGACAAAAACTTGTTTACCATAATAACTCAGCTTTAATCTCAAAACACTTTGACTTAATTCTCTTTAGTCTGTTTTCTTTTATTTCTTAAAAGATTTCTAAATTAAAGCTCCTGCGAGGAACTTTTTGATTGTGTTGAATTTGGCGCCCCCCTGTGGACAAAGTCATACCTCTAATTTCTAATTTAGCAGATTTTGCCCTTTAGATTATGCTTCTCCTTTTTAAAGAGAGAGTCAGACAAAGAAAACAATTTAGAGATGATTAATTTTCATACTTATAACTCTGGTTGCTTTAATAATTCAAAAAAAGACCCGAACTCGTTTCCTCACTGGAGCTTTAACTTACAAATTAACGACAGTGATCTCATGTGGCACCAACTCATTAGTTTTTTCTTCTTGGGGTTTTTAATGCAGCTTCATTATTGATCATAAAACTCATAAATTATTTCACCTAAAGACCAGAATCCAATGATTAAGTTACACACACGACACGATCCAAAAGTAAACATTCAGATTGGACAACTCTCCAACACAAGGTCCGATTCCTTCTGCTTTAAAGTAATTTTTGGGGGCATTTTTCCTTTAATTGATAACTAAGATAAAGAAAGAGGAAATTTGGGGGTTAGAGAGTCAGGGGAGATATGCAGGAACGGGTCAGGACCACCTCTGCAAAGACAGAGCGCGCTTAAACCTCGGCGGCGTCCTCTCGTCTACATTAGGGACAGCTCCAGCCACTGTGGAGGAAACACAGAGTCATTGTTTGGTCCATTTATCGCCGCTTACTTCTTCATTTGACATCATTTCACCGATCAGTTTTACCTCCAGGAATCTCAGCTTTATCTCTCCAGTCCCGTCCTTGTCCAGCGTGTTGAAGGTTTCTATTGGAAATTTTAAAGACGCTTTATAACTCAACTTTACATCCGTACGGCTGTAAGATAAAAAAAGAGGGGTAATAAAATCGTAAACTCACTGAAGAGAGACTCTAAGCGGATCAAGCAGCACACAAAGTTGTCAAAGTCGATGCTGAGGTCTGATTCGCTGTAGCGGGCCACGATGACCTGATGGAGAGGATTGTTGAGAGAGAAACCTGCACGGATGTGAAGATTTGAACAGAGACGTTTTGATTCTCAAAGATTTAAAGTGAATGTAAAGATATCGAACATTCAAACCGACGGACACAAACAGTGAGTGCACACGACTCCTCACCTGCAGCTTCTACAGCCATCCTCATCTCAGAGGAGTTCATACACCCACTCTGGTCTCCGTCTCTCTCTTTGTACAAATCCTAACAGAGAGCCCAAAAACTGTCAGCACCTGCTCTCAACAACAGGAAGTCAAAGTACGTCAGAAGAGATAAGAAACGCACCAGGAATTTCTCGATCTTTGTCCACAGGATCTTGAACTCTACCAGGCCCAGTTTACCGGTTCCATCTTTCTGGAGATTAAATGTGAAGGAAAGAATAAAAACACAGTGAACGCAGAAACGACCAGGAATGATGAGGAGGAGGAAAAAACACACGGATCTGATGTTTATGTTTTCTGACGGTTTTTAGAAATATAAGGAAGGATACATCCAGCAGATTGATCATGTTGCGGCACGTTGCCAGACTGAAGCCGCTGGTTTTGATGTCTTGTCCTGTAAAAGCAGGAAACACGATGGTTATATAATCACACGAGTGTCAGGGTTAAAAAACGAACAGTAACTAATCAAACAGGAGGACTTCTCTTACTCCTGACCATCACTCTGTTCAGGATCCTCTGCAGCTCAAATGCAGAAATCTCCACATCCTGAGGATCACACAACAGACACACTTTCTCAGACTGTGTGTGAACAATAATCCAACACAAGAGGTCACAGGAGGTCAGTCTTAGCATACTCACATGTCCTGCCAGCTGTCCAAACAGCTTCTTGAATCTATCAGAGATGTCGTCTTCGTCTATATGAACCTAGAACGATAACGACGTCAGTTTTTCGCCTTTTCACGATGTAAAATGAGAAACAGTGTAAGAGAGGATGTATTTTACCTCCTCCACTTCACATTTAACAGGATCGTCGATCTCACTGAAAGCAGCAAGGATGAACAGTTAGATAATCACAATATTTCCACCGTTACCAGTGTGAAATTCAACTTCTCTGTGAAAGAAACTCACTGGAAATCCGCCGGTTTCTCGGTAAACACCCGCACATAGAAGTCTCCGTTCTTCTGAGGCTCAAAGGTGGACGGGACGATGAGGTATTCTCCGGGGGGAAGACAGAAGTGGTTGCACACTTCGCGCAGGTTGATGAACGTTTCCGAGCGAGCAGCTGAACAGTTTCTCAGGAAGAAGTTTCTCCTCAGGTGGACTTGCTTCATACCGGAGAACTAAAAACATCCCAGATCAGACACGTCAGGTTTTCTTACCTGAAGAGTCAAAGTGCAGAAAGAAAAAAAAGTGGCGAATATTGTCAACTTACCTCTTCAGGCAGCTGGAGAGAGAAAAGAGACAGAAGGAGTTAGAAACGGTTCAAATACAAACTTTACTCACACAGATGTTACATCCTCAACATTAACTGTCATAGATCTGTAACAACTAGACTGAACACGGCAGCTATCCGGTCATTTATGCAGTTTTAATCATCTGTAAAACATGTGAAACTAGAAAAAATCCTGACCAGGATTCAAACCATGACCTTCTGGGTGTGAGGTGACAGTGCTAACCACTACACCACTGTGCCACCAACTGGTTATCTTTCAGCATTGAAAATTCCAACGACACCCTTTTTACCTCCGCCAAGGAGGTTATGTTTTCAGTAGCGTTGGTTCGTTTGTCTGTTAGCAACTTTACAGAAAAAGTAACAGACGAATTGACCTGAAATTTTCACCAGAGGTGCGTCTCAGCCCCAGGAGGATGAAAGATAACCAATGGGCGGCACAGTGGTGTAGATAGGCGATACAGTGGTGTAGTGGTTAGCACTGCTGCCTCCCAACCAGAAGGTCCTGGGTTTGAATCCCAGTCAGGGCATTTCTTGTTTAAGGGGGGACAGGAGCTGCTTGGCGGAGGTCTGCGCTCTCATAGTGCTTTTCTAGTTCAGATTTGGATTCAGGTTCTTACTTCATAGATAGCAAAGCCGATGGTCTCCATGTCTTCGCCCATCTTCCTCATCCGGCGCCTGTTTTTCTGCATCAAACCCACGATCATGGTGCAGCCCTCCTGACCGTCATCAGGATCATCGTCCACCTCATCCAGTTTGATCACAAACTGAGGATTCATCCAGAAGGTGTCTACAAAAGGACGTTTGTGTTTAGTTTTTGGTAAACACACAATAATGACAGACTGAGATCTAGAGTTAAACATGAAACTGCTCCTACTTGGATAGTTCCTGCATCCACCAGCAGTCGAGCCTCTCCTCCACGTCTCCTCGAACTCCGTCTCCGCCCATTTCTTGAAGTCATCTCCGGTCAGAGCATCGGGGGTGAGGTTGCAGATCTCGAGTCGAGAATACTGATGGAGGAACTCTGAGAACTCCATCCTGTGTACAAAGAAACACGTTCACACCTGAACCTTTAAAGGTGGGGTAGGCAGGAACCCGTTAGAGAAGCATCTGTTTTTGTGGTTTATATACAAAAAGGCTTTTAATATCAGTCAATAGTTATTAGTTATTGATGACATTTGGGGATATAACGATATCTCTGTGTTCTCTTGTGTCTGTGTCATCAACATTTTAAATTATTGTAAACAAAGCCGTTCTCCACCTCCTCTAACCTGATTGGTTGTGAGGCAGACGCTGCTCCCCCGTGTCGTTCAGGAGCCCAAACAAAGTTAGCGTGCTACAATATCGGACAGTAGAAACCAACCAGAAAGTTCGGAAAATTGTCTGAATCCTCCTTTGGCCACGACTGCCAACACAAGCAAGAAAACAAAGTAAATACCGGAGACTCTGGAGGAATAACGGGCGCTTAAAACGGAGGTAGACCGGACAAGAGCTAAAAAGCCGGGTCAACATAAACGATGGGGGACGCTTGGGGATCTTGGTGACCCTGTAACCTTTCTGCTGGACAGGTAAACCGCTTTAACAAAGTAAGACAAGTGTCTGTAACAGAAGTGTTTCTTGTCAAACGGACCTGCTGTAGCGTGTTGTAGCGCCATCGCTAAACTGTCCTCCCTCGTGTCCTGGACTATGTCACTTTATCCTCGTTGTAGAAGTCCTGCAAACATTGTGTTTGCTGGTAGTCTGTTGGCATCTACAGTAGCACCAATGCTTTTGACTTTCACCTTGACTGGGCCCCATTTGTAATGATCTGAAGTATTTATCTGCATTATATCTGAATTTAATTGGAACGATACGAGCGAGCAGGAGCGTCTGTTTGTGGGCGGGGCTTGAGGAGAGAGGAAGAGCTGAGGGGAAAACTGGTTGGGAGGGGTAGAGTTTACATTCAAGATTTCTCCTAAAAACTAGAACTTCATCAGATCCTGACTACACCGCCTTTAAGACGAGTTTTTCTGCAGAATGAAGAAGAAAATTAAAAAATCTCCAACAAGTTTTACCAGAACTCTCCGTCCTCACAGCGGTCATGCAGCCTCTCTCGATCATCGTCGCTCACATATCTCCACTCAGAAGACCTACGAGAAGTTAGAGATAAAAAAAACAGGCTCAAACTGCAGTTCCTGGAGGGGCCACTAGAGGCTGGCTTCAAATGGGAGTCAATCCCCATGAAGCTCCATTATAAGCAGGAGTTTTGTGAATGTGCAGGTCCTACGATGAGCACCTCCGACACGAACGTTATCTTCTTCTGTGGCGATGACAATTTTACTCTTCGACTCTCATGTCTGAGTCCAGAAAATCAAGATTGACACCAAAACAACAAACAGCAGCCCGTGAGTTCAGAGGAACATCACATGACTGTGCAGATCAGTTCTCATAAACCAGAAGTCCCAGCTGACTGAACAGAGCGCGCTCCACCTGCACATGATGAGCTATAGAGTCAGATTAATTACCACAGGAATTACCAGTCTCTCCACAGGGTGTGTGACATACATGACAAAAACACACACACACACACACACTTCACACTGTCATTCAGACAAAGGATAAAGATGCTTCATGTAGGCTGGGTCCTAAAGGTCTCTCTCTGTTCTAGTCCGGTTTGGGAGGTCCAGGTTCACTCTTAACTCCAAACATCTATACTCTCTGTCTTCTCTAACTTTGACTGTTGTTTTTAAAATACATTAATTCATATTTCAATGCCAATATGAGAACATTTATTGCTTTTCTTGGCCTGAAGACTTGAGTCCTCACTTGTCACTCCAGGCTCCGTTCCACTCCACCTGACCCCAGGGGTTTCTGATCCTGATCAGCTGGACCATACGCCCTCTGAAGCTCACCTGACAAAGGACAATGAGATTAAAACTCACTAAACACTACAATCAAGGTTTTTTTATACACTCTTTGAAACAGGCATGAGTATTTCCTCACCTGCTCTGCTCCAGTCACCGAGTACGCATGACCTTTCACCAGCTTACGGTACGTGACGGCCTCTGAGTCGGCCGCGTTTGTAATCTGTGACGTTGAGGAGAAGTTTGTAAGGTTAAAACATCGAGATGACAGAAGGAAACTAACCACACATGAAGAGTGAAACATACATCGATAGAGCATCCCAGGAGGGAGCCTCTGTCCAAGGCCTTCCTGATGATCTTAAAGAGGTGAGGATCAGCTTTGTTCAGCTCGTGTCTCTCTGCGATTCCTCCGGTGAAGTCCTCGAAACCTTCAGTGGTGGAGCCTCCAGAGAGAGCCTCGTAGCATCCGTTAACCCTGAAGGAGAAAAGGTTTAATATTTCTGTTTATGAGAAGCAGAGAGGAAGTAAATGAAGATTCTCCATCTTTACTTGGCATAAGCTTTCTCCAGCAAGGCGCTCCAGAACTCTGTATTCTCTGCAGAGTGAACAAACAGCAGCTCTCCATCTTTGGTCGGCAGGCGGTCGTCCACCACCACATCCACCCACTCACCAAACTGCCAGAACTGAGAGAAACAAACCAGACGCAATCGATCAGGTCAGAAAATAACCGGTTTGAGCTGCTGAGACTCTTGAAGAATGAGACTGAAGTGGTTTGTTTGTCTGTCCACATAGTTCACCTCAAAGTGGAAGATTCCTGCATAGTTCTCCTCAAAGCTCTGGTCATGAGGGACCACGCGGCACAAAACCTGTTTGTTGAGAGTCAGCGATGCAATAGCTGCCAGGAGCCAGCAGTCACCTGAACACAGAAGTCACACGAGTTAGCAGAGAGGAAAGAGGAACTCGTGAAAACCCTCCGAGTGAAGTAAACGTTGACAGACTGGATCTACAGAGAGACATCTATAACAGTTCTATCTTTTATATTTCTATACTGATGTTGAACTTTCATGTCTGGCTTTAGTGTCTGACTGAACCTCAGAGGTGAATTACGTTCTTTTCAGTCGCTAACAAGCGTTTGTCCGACCAGTCGTCACATTGTCAAAACTCTAAACACATTTATCACAGCGTCTGTCTTTTGTGGTCGTACCGTTCACACATTTCATGTCGTTTTTCACACAATATGCAGTCAGTGAACACATTTCCACAATGCTTACATTTTCTTAACAGCTGAGCGAGACCTCCCAATAAAATGATGGATTGTTTTTGTTTTATTTATGAATGTTAACACCCAACATCCCACATTAGCAAAAACAATATTCCAAACCTTCGAATACAGAATAAAAACCACTGATTCTGCAATGATACCACTTCAAAAACAATTTATCTCAGCTGATAATAAACAAACAATTGAATAATTGGCACACAGCTGGTTTATGTTGGGTAAATTAGGCCAAGGGTGGATCCGACATACTAAGCGGTTTTATCCCAGGTGGATCATCTCGGATAATATCAGATGTTGATGAAAACATGCGGCCTAACCCTGGAGATCGCAGAGATTAGATTCAGTCATTTTGTGCTTTTTTTAGTTCTCCCCTTTTATCTGGGCTTTTTGCTGTTATCTTTATTTATTCATTTATTTTTGTTCAGAATGCTCTTGTGTGTTTCATGGATATTTTGTTCACTATAAACAATACTGTAAACTTTTTTCTGTTCTATCATTTTGTAAACAGTATTTCTGTATTTACTGTAACTCCTGGAGTAAACAATAAAGGAAAAAAAAATTTTTTTTTACTGGAATGCCTCTGAATGTGAACATTACATGTGGACAAACAGTTCCCAACCAAGAAATTTAGTGTAAAGACGGTGGATTACATGTTTTGCATGTAAATACCTGTAAAACTGAAACATAAAGGTCTATATAGTTTTTGTAATGTCAGCAATAGTCAGTATTCTAAAGAACATGGATCACCCACTTCACAACGCCTTGGTGGACCAAAGGGCCAATGTTGGCGGACGGCTCCTCTGAGACAACAGCCATCAGACTTTATAACTCTTGTGTAAAAAATAGATAACATTTAGAGACATATTATGTGAGACAACAAACAACTGAATTTTCCTTCGGGGATTGATAAAGTTCTTATTATTCTTATTTTCAAAGCTGGTGTACTTTGATTGACTGCATGTACCTTATGAAGTGAAAACAGGTGTTTTTCTTTGAAAGAATAATTTCATTTTGAGTCAGATTGAGTTAGTTTATATTTAACAAAATGTGTTTTTGAGAAGAAAATGATCCATTTGGCCACTTGTGCTTTGTAGGTGTGAGTCTGTGTTAAAAGTATCTGAAGAATGGGTAAGCGCATGCTAGCGACTGAAAAAAAACTGTAATAGCAGATAGAGGCTCTGATTGGTGGACAGACTAAAACACATATTTTCACTGGAATCAGATTAATGTTTACAGATGAACAGATTAACAGATCAAAGCTGAGAGTGGTTTCACAGTAAGTCTGTATATCTTAGCATCTTTTACAGAGAAAACAAAATAAATGAGTTAAAACCTTTATGCTGAGGGGTCTCCTCTGCTCTAACAGGTCGTATAGAAATATAAATATAACATCAGACTGCTTCATAACCAGGAAAAAACTCCTCACTTCACCGTGATCAGGATTTCAATGACACTTCGTAGAAATAACAACCTGATTCATAACCAGATAAAATCTTCTCACTGGGACTTTAAAGAGTTAAAACTCTCAGGTGAGCCTCGCTGTGACACATCTCTAAAACACCCTGCACATGCAGTCGCTGCTCTCTCTAACACACCTCCGCCGTTTGGTTTATTGTTTCTCCGTTTATCAGTCTGAAACTAGTTTTCTCACGGGTTGGGTGTCGGCAGCGAGGGCTGAGGGAGTTGTTGGGATGTTTTGTACACAGTGACAGCTGATGTCAGCTCAAAGGCATTTACTCCGAGTCTGAGGTTTGAGTGGGAGGTTAATAGTGAGGAGTTACTGCTCAGGTGAAAGATTCTGGATCTGCAAGGTGACTCTGCTCAGTAACAGAAGAGCCAGAAAGAGCGGAGGCTAAAGTCTGAGATAAACATGCAAAACCATCCATGCAAACTGCTGCAGACAGAGACGGGTTACTAACATCTAACTGTGCCATTGAAATTCATTTAAATATGACTGATAGATTAGAAAAAAGCTCAAGTCCAGAAAATAGAGTTGTGGTTTTAAAGATGTTTGAAGTCATGCGTGTGGTTTTTACCGAGTGCTCCTTGACAGATATCAGTCCTGGTGGCATTTTCAACGATGAATTTGGGATTTGAGACTAACTCCTGCAGAAAAAACAAAGATTAAAGTGAGTAAAGTTGCAAAGCTCATTAATGCAAATCCTCTTTTTTTGACGTCTCAAACTGTATTCATCTACAACTTGACAGGAATGATTCACAGGACACCAAAATTACAAATATATTCTGTGCAGAGTGCAGCTCTTTGGTTCAGACAAACTCTAAGACATGATATGTATTTATTTTTGAACTGAGCTGCAGTGAATCAAACTTTAAGTTTAGTTTGCAATGATGCAAATAACACAAGAAGAGCTGCAGTTTCAGATTTGCAACAAAAATAATATATTTTGACTTTTGTTTTTACTGATATTTGGATAAGCAGTGCATCACCAAACATACGCAGTAACCTATGAACTATAAAAAGGCAATTTTTTATAATTTCTTAGTCTAAAAATATTCACCCAAAGAACTGGATCTGTCAGGTAACTGTCGCCCTAGGCTTGTACTTTTTGTTCATGTGAAATAAGTGCAGTCACATGACACCAGTCTGATCTTAAATCCTTCACTTCTGTCCTCCTCAGGTACCCACCGTCGGTCTCATCCAGGAGATTCCTCGGACTTTGTAGGAACTTGGTCCGAGTTCTTTGAAGCCCAAAGATGAGACCTCAGCTCCGAAGCAGTCATCCTCAAACAGGCGTCCTCTTTCCAGACAGGAGTTCCTCAGACTCTCATAGTCCTGGTTCAGGTATTTCACAGCCTTGGAGTTGGTCCCGATCCCATGAGCTCTGTCCCGGTTGTGCTGGAGTCGAGCTGCCATGCCTGACATTATTTAGACTTCTGAGTCCGTCTGACTGTTTCAGCTGCAGTTTGTGGGTGTGTGTATGAGTGTGTGTGTGCGTTGTTAGACTGGCTCTGTTTCTTGTGTGCAGCTCAACTGTCTCCACACCCTTTATTGTTCATACCAGACAGACAGCCTCGCATCACCTGTTTTCATCTGGCTCTGATAAACTCACAGGACCAGATGTGGCGCACATGGATGCATGACTTTAAAAAATGTTTGTCTGCAAAAAATGATTATTTAACTTCAAGAACAACAATATTTCTTTCTCATTTTGCACAAATTAGATCAGAATTGACATGTGAGCGATAGGAAAACATCTCCAAACTTTTAAAAAACAAACCTTTTCCTCATGTTTTTCTGATATAATTAAGTATCACATCATAACTTCTGCACATTTTAGTAATTAGTTTTTTTAATAACTTATTTAAACATACTTGTTGGTTATAATCTATTGGAACCAAGTCAGTTCCACTAAATGCAGCTAAATTCTACGCACTGCTCCTTTAAACTCGTGCAATTTTACTTGAATTTAAAAGACGCTTTGTTTTTGTTAACTCCACATTCATGGAGGAAGTTGAAATGAAATAACTTCCTTTCCCAGCAAACTTTTTTTTATTTTATTTGCACCGTGCACAAAGGGTCGATTAAATACAGTGACATAATTGTAAATATCACCAATCATTAAAAAAAAAAAAAAACATATTTTAATCAGCAGATATTAACGACTTTGTATCACAAATACAATCAGGCTTTATTTTGCATTTGGAAACTTCAAATATGGAAATAAAAAGACCTTTTGATTGCTCTTGTTTGTTGTTGGATAACATGAAATGGCATCAGTATGAATTTCAGTCTAATTTATCATTTTAAAAAATCTCCTTACTGGAGCTTTAATTGTGGCATTAATGTTGACAATCACCAAATTAAGTGCAAATCTCAATTTCATTGTTTTAACCCTTTAGTTGCTCATTGCTCTTGCTACTGAGCACCATAATTAATATTCAGTCCTTTCATTAAAGTGAAAAAACTCCCTATAGGAGCTTTAAGAATGTGTTTTTATACATTTCTTGCACTGAATTGATCTTTTATTTATTATGTATTAGCTGGCAGGTGTTACGCAAAAGCTAAGAGTAGAAAAATTGACTCAAATTGACACGACATTTATTCCTACAGTACGAAGATGTTCAAGTAAAAACATTAAAGTGACAGAAAACATTTTTGTGTTTTTAAAACGTTTTTCTTCTGTGAGTATTTTCAGCATTTTTCACTTTACACCATAACATAAATGCATTTAGGCACATTTTAATGGATGAAATGTAAATTTTAGGCGTGTCTGAAGGACAGGTATCTGTTTTTTTATTGACTGAGCTTCCTCTCCAGGCCCTGGAGTTAGATGATGGCCAAGCACAGCCACTGCAAGAGGAAGAAAACATTTTTTAATTATCTGTGCAAAGCAGAAGTGCAGACAAACCCGGAGCTTGTTGTAGTCTCACACACACCTGCTGCAGATCCAGCTCAATCTTCCCAGAGTCTTCTTTTTCCAGAGCTTTGAACATTTCTGATGGAGACAGAGAAAGAAACTCAGATCACACAGATCGGTGTTCGATTCAGTGAGGTTATTCTGTGTTTGCTGACACTCACTGAACAGCATCTCCAGTTTAATAAGACAGCCCACAAAGCTGTCGAAGTCTATGGCGTACTGAGCATCAGCGTAGCGGCTGACAATGGTCTGCAGGACCTCACTGTTGATGTGGAAACCTGGAGAAGAAAAACAACCATGAGTCACTCCACGTCTTTTTCTTTCAGCTCGTACGGTCAGGAGATTATTTCTGATCCTGGGGAGGTTCAGTTTTTAAAGCGTGTGACTGACAATAGAAGAGTTGAGTTACACCGCCTCGCCCATGCTTGTTCTCCTCCTTTGGTGAGGTGTACATTGAGCTACGAGCAGAGCAGGAGGAGGGAGTCCTCAAACTGGATTATCCAGTCAACCAAAAACCAGCTTCATGTTTCACACACAGACTCAACAAAAACAATTAAAACCATCTGTAATTCTGCTCAGATGTTTCCTCAAAATGCACAACAAAGTTCAGAACAATGTTTACAAATCATCAGAGAACTTTTTTTTAAAAATGATTATAATTAGGAGCAGTTTTCCACTCCCCCTGGTCTATCTTAAACAGGCTTCATCTTTTATCAGTTGTGTTACCAACCTGTTGCAAATCGATGAGGTCAGTTACCTGCTTCAGTCGCAGCTCCTCTCATCTCGTGGGAGCTCATGGTGCCTGAATTGTCTGAGTCATGGTTCCTGAAGATCTCCTATAAGACCCAGGTATCCACGTGTTACATTATCAAGCACAAACAGGTGTTAAAAATGGACAACAAACCACTTAAAGATGAGAACTCACCAGGTATTTTTGGATTTTGCCCCAAAGCAGGTGGAACTCCATCAGTCCCAGTTTGTCACTTTCATCTTTCTGAGGACGATTAAGGTTTTAAAAAAAGCTTATTTAATCTTTATTCTACAGTTGTAATGAAGCCAATGAAAGAGTGCCAAAAACTGCAGTTCCTCCAGCGACCACTTGAGGTCAGTGAGTCAATCCCAATAGAGCCCTGTATTAATATGTGAAAGTCCACAGCAGAATTAAACATGCGGACCTGTTTATTGCACTGGCTTATTTATCATACAGATTATGACGACAGTGCTGCTGAATTTTGATCATATACAAATAAGAGGATACATCCAGCAGGCTGACAATGAGGTGACCTGTCTGCAGGCTGAACCCGTCTGTCTTGACATCAGATCCTGTGAGACGGACAACAAAACAAATGAGCTCCAGTTTGATTAAAGGTCAACACATGCATCAGTTATTTCTACTCACTCTGACGGACAGCGTTGTTCAAAACCCTAACCAGTTCAGACGCCGAAACCTCTTTGTCCTGTTTTAAAAAGGGAAACAGGATTAGAGTTTAAACTGACAATGTGAATAAATTTCCAGCTCTCTCATTGTTTACTTACATTTCCAGCAACCTGTTGGAAGAGGTACTTGAAATTAGGGTCTATTTCACTCTCAGATATCTCCTCTTCCTGAGAGAGAAAGACTCAGATTAGCCACTTTATGTCAAATCATGTTAATCTTGAAAGAAAGAAAGAAAAGAAAGAGTGTCTGCATCTTTTTGTCTATTTTCTGACCTCTTTTATATCAGCATCAATGTCCTCCTCCAATGGGCTGAAAAATGTGATAAAAAGCACAAGTTCAGTATGTGAGAAACTAACATGTAAACTTGGATTTACTGCACACGAGCAGAATAATTTTCTAACCATCATCAGACTTAAATCGAACCTTTTTGTGACTTGAAAATCATATCTTCAGACTAAAAGTTCTAGGTTCTTCAGGTGGAAACGACGCTTTAGTTTTGAGTTGATGCATAATCATTTTGTCATGTCTGTTAAGTCGTCTTTATTTTTTGCACATTCATGTTTGGTTTGTCTTTCCTGTTTTATTTTGAAATCTCTAACCCTTGTCTCTGTGTTCTTGTTCTACTTCCTGTCTGCCTTGCCCCCGTCCTGTCACACCTGCTCCCTGATTGTTTCTCCTCACCTGTGCCTCATCAGCCCTCATTACCTTTTGTATTTAACCCCATGTCTCTCACTGTCTTGTTGCCAGTTTGTTGCACTTTATAATCCTCTTTCTTCACAGTTGTAGCCTCTCATGTTCTGAACCTTGCTTGTTTTTGGACGTTGCCTTTTTTGCCTGCTGATTTTGATATCTCTGCCTGTCTGGATTGATCTCTCGTGTACCGACCTCTGTCTGGTTTTGATTAAACCCTTTTTTAGACCTCTGCTTCAGTGTCTGCCTTTGTGTCCTCTTGCTCTGAGCCATTCTTGACACATTTCTATCAAAGGAATCCTTCCAGAGACACTCATTGCATTTATGTGGCTCAGACAAAGGTTTGGATAAAAATCAGGGGACTTGGTTCTAACCCTAAAAAGTTCTGGTTAAGTACCTGCAGTATCCAGAAGAAAGACATCCATACAACAGGGTCATCTCCTGAGTCATGATAAGTCTTCTGCAGATAGCAATGTGCTGCCAAAACCTTTTCATCTCTATAAAATATTTGGTTCTGAGACCAAAAGTTCCAATTTCCCAGTGTTAGATTTGTGCATGACCAGACTTTACAGAAAATCTCTTCGTTCTAGAGTTGGTAGTTAAAGTACAGGAACTTTAGAGGAGGAACTTTAAGAAGCAGCTTTTAGAAAATGATCCTTATGCCCGTACACTAATGTGCCTGATTCTCACTGGCAAAACAAGGAGGTGGACGTTGTTGACAATGCAGACAATAATGACAGGAGAAAGAAGAACCAAGTACAAGAGGTGGAAATACACCAATTGATTTGTGTGAATGCAAATGAATATATTTACAACCTAGTCACAGGTGTTTTGGACATCTTTCAGAGCACAATCTCAGTATAATTTGATGTTAACAATGAGTAACAGTTGGCATACACTTGTGTAGATGTTGTATAATAGTAGGGGGTTGGGTGGGACTTTGGTATTTGATTACAGGTACCTGGTTGCCGCCTTTTTCTCTGAAAACACTCTGAGGACAAAGCTGCAGTTTCTATGAGGCTCGAAGGTGGAGGGAATTATGGCATATTCTCCTGGGGGAAGTTTAAAGCGCTGGCACACTTCCCTCTTGTTGACGAAGGTCTTGACTGAGGCCACAGAGAGCTGGTGCAGCAGGATTTCAGGTCCCAGATGGACGTTACTGTGGCCCTTCAGCTGAAGAAAAACAGAAATAAAAAAACATTTATTATCAAAATGGGGATTTATAGTTCAAGTTTTAGGTAAAAGTTTAATTTTGGGGATGTAGAGGTTTCATCACACACCTGATCCGGGACCTGTGTAACGGGAAAAAGGGGACGAGTTGTTAAAAGTCACTTTAAAAAATATCACAGATAAAGGACTGATTTTGAGGATGAACTCTGAAACTATACTGGGACACCTTATAGATAGAAAAGCCAATCATCTCAAAGCTGCGGCGATTCCTCATTTCTCTGCGTCTATCTTTCTGCATTAGCCCAACCAGGAAGGTGCAGCCCTCCTCGTCGTCCAGAGGATCATCGTCCACGTCCTCCAGACGCACCACAAACTGAGGGTTGGATGAAAACGTGGCTGGAACACAGAACAGTTTCACTCTTATTTCAGGATAGTATTGTTATTATAATACCCTTGACCTTGAATAGACCTTATATTAATCTTACCTCGGTTGTTGCGGCAGCCTCCAGCTGTGGAGCCGACCCTCCATATCCCCTCAAACTGGTACTCATTCCAGTGACCCACATCATCACTCAGGAAGGTGTCTGGGGTCAGGTTACAGATCTGCAGCTCTGAGAACTGCTTGGTGAAATCTGAAAAGGACATCCTGAAAGAAAGACAGTTATATACTCTCTTAAAGACTATCTCGCATTATACATCAACAGGACAGTTTACATGGACATTTCTGTAACACACACTATTAAAGGCCTATGTGAAGCAATGCAAATATTTCACTAATGCTTACTGTGAAATTCTCATTGCACTCAGGACTGACACCATCGTTCATTTGTTGTTTGCCTTTTATTTTAAAGTCCACAGAGGAAAACTGTATTGTACTCTGTCACACAGCGCATTTACATTCTTATATATTTCTTGGTATCAATACATCATATAGAAACAAAATGTGTACCAGATGAAAGACCAAAGTTAATCCCTTTTAAACATGTGGTAACTAACCCCAAAATGACTGAGACATGTTGCCCCAAACAACTATGTTTGCTAATTAAAGCTCAAGCTTAGCTTAGCTTAAAACAGAACAATGACTGAGGTATAACAGGATGACTTAATCTCTCCTCGAACAAGTCCACGTTTCACTGCTAGGATTTTTATCTGGAAGAAGCTTATCTTAAAATATATAAAGTTAATTTTTTTACTTTGGGTTGTGTGAAATGGTGAATTGGCGTTCATCTCAGCTCACAATGTGCTCTTCTCTTAGGTAGGACATGACCCCTGACCATGTAAAGGAAAAAAACTAGTATTCCACTTTTTAGTTGCACCCTCTGTTGCCAAAGATAATAATTGCAGTGTGACAACAAGCCCCGGTCTCCCCTACTATGCGTTTTTGCTAATGTCACAAACATGAAAGTTTTGATACTGTGGTAAGTCTGTACTCTGTTCCTGTGGATATAAACTGATTCAGAACTGTAGTTTATATTGCTCACGATGTTTATCTGATGATATATTTGTATAAATCAGTGTTTTTTTTGCTCTGAATGGAATTTCATTAAATATGAGATAGAGAACCGGTAAGCTAGCTGCTAACGGCTAAGCGGCGTACGTGCCTGTTACGTTCAGCCATTGAGTCGCGCGGGAACAGACGACTGACCGGTTTTTCGTCCTCCGTGATTTACTGTGGGTTTCTGCTCTTGTCCCGTGTTGCAGGTGTGAAATGTTAAATGTCTGGAAAGTCTGTTGAATTGTAATTTGCTGAGTGTAAACTATAAGATGTTTCTCAGTATATTTTAGATTTGCTTGTCGTGACGTATTTTCACCACCAGATGGCAGCACAGCCCTTCATTTGTTGGGTGAAAAACTGAGCTGTAAAAACGTGTTTGGTTTTTGTGGGATTTATGAACACTATCTCTACAAAGAATTGTGTTTATTTTCGATGGTACTCAGTATTACAAAGCTTTACCGTACAAAGACCAAACCAAGGAAAATATTAACCTCAATATGAGTGAAAGTTTTAAGAAAAGTGACTCACCAGAACTCTCCATCTTCAGCCACATGGTTCAGCTTTGCTTTGTCCCCCTCACTGACATAATCCCACTCTCTGGATCTGATTTGGATTTATAATTATTTAAATATTCTTAAAAGAAAGTCACAAAAATTATCATTAAGTATGTGATAATGGGACCTTGTCATTATTTACCCATCACTCCACGGCCCGGTCCACTCCACCTCTCCCCAGGGGTTTCTAACACGGATCAGCTGAATCGGCTCACCTTTAAAATCAACCTTAGAGAAAAGGGAAGGAGTTTGCATTGTGATTGACATTAAATTATCAAGACAGGACAGCAAAATATTTAATGTTAGGATGAGGTGGTACCTCTTCTGCACCGGTGACTGAGTATGCATGACCTCTGACAAGTTTACGAGCTGTCACAGACTCCACATGAAAACCAGAGGTCTGAAAACATCCAAAACGCAGATTTAAAGATACAGATATCAGACCTGTGTGACTGTGGGTGTTTTTTTTTTGCATACCAGTTTGAAAATAAGCCTTACACTGATACTGCAGCCCAGCATTGAGCCGAGCTTCAGGGCTCTCTGCATGATGTGGAAAAGCTTTGGTGGAATTTCCAATAACTCGTAAACTTCTGCGATCCCTCCTGTGAAATCCTCAAAACCCTCGACTGATTGTCCTCCTGTCAGGGCCTCGTAGCAGCTGTTTACCCTGTCATCCACACACACACACACACACACACACACACACACACACACACACACACACACACACACACACACACACACACACACACACACACACAGATATTTTCACACAGCTGATATTTAAACTTAACAAAAAATAGACAAGGATGGTCCATACTTAGCGTAGGCCTTCTCCAGCAGGGCGCTCCAGAACTCAGAGCCCTCTGCTGAGTGGACAAACAGCAGCTCTCCATCTTTGGTCGGCAGGCGGTCGTCCACCACCACATCCACCCACTCACCAAACTGCCAGAACTACGGGGAAAAAACAACAATAGATAAACTCAAAATCCAAAGACTTTACAGAGCACGGGGAGTCAAATCATCTGCAGGCAACGCTGACGATGTAAATATCATATCTGTTATTCTGATCAGCTGGTGACAAAAAGCGTCATAAGAAAAAACTTTATCCATCGAGGTTCAGGAGTTATTAACATTTTTGTGTGGGCCTTTTTAGCAATGATGGTGTTACAATTCTTGTCTTATGAGGCCTTAAATGTATACTTGAGTATTTTAGACTTTCTTTAATAGTTTGCAAGTTTTCACTGAAATAAAAACTTTATTTTGATTAGTCGTTGCATGAAAAACAAATCAGTTTTAGTTAGAAAACAGCTCTCATCATCAGAGCTCTCTGTCTGACCTGGAAGTGAAAAATCCCGGCATAACCTTCAGTGAAACTCTGTCCAGGAGGAACCACCCGAGCCAGGATCCGCTGGTCCAAAGTCAAAGACGATATAGCAGCCAGGAGCCAGCAGTCACCTGTACAGGTGGAGCAGAGTTAATCCTTTAGACAGGGTAAAATGTGGCGTTCATCATGGTGCTGCAAACAAACAGTCTCTGAGGTAACTTCTGAAGTGTGAAGGAAGATAGAAAGAGGGTTTGGCTTAGAGATTCTGTGGTTAAAAGCAAAGATAACCTCGTTATTCATCTGTCTGTGTTTTTTTCTGTCTTACCCAGAGCTCCTTGGCAAATGTCCAACCTTGTGGCTCCCTTATCAGTGAACTTTGGGTCTGAACACAGCTCCTAAAAAAAGGAAACAAACACAGAAAAGAGGTGAACATTATTCAGTTCTGAGTGCAGCCTTAAAATTTAATGACTTTCTGTTGTATGAGCCGGGAAACGTTGAAGTATTGATGAGTTGTTAACTCTTATGAAACTCTGACACCCAGGAACCTGATAGTTCGATGAGTGTTGTACAGTTATTGAGAATTAAAACAAGAATCCATTCAACAGACAAGTGTGGCTGACTAAGAACTTGTCAGAAGTCCCGCCCCGTTTTGATCCTGATTGGTCGGTGATCAAGAAGTGTCAGGAATAAACAGAAGGTGTTTTTCTTACGTTAGATTGTTTTTGATGTAAAGCGCATCAGCAAACACAGAGGGCGTTTTTTTTTTATAATGTTAATGTTAATGCATTTGACCCTCAGGGCTTCCGTACTTGAAACCTCTTTGAAATGCCACACCCATGTAGTTCATAGAATCTTTATGGAGACTCTATTTGTCGCGAGCATTTATCTATCATATTGTAATTATTGTAAATTAAAAGACACAAAGATAAATCTCTGCTCTCTCCACCTCAGGGGTATAAAAATATTCTTGATACTGGACAGATGTCTCAGTTTATGGTTTTTACACAACCTGGGAGGGTTGAACTCTTTTTGGCTGGCGGTTATGTCCTTTTGTTTCATGTGTTCATTGCCTATTTAATCTTTACCGTCCTCTATTTGGTCGCTCAGGTTCTTCTTAGTTTCAAATCTTCTATATCAAAGCAGCTTCAGACTATTTGTTTAACCTTTCTTATGTAAATCAGCTTTGTTTTAATCACACAGCAGCTCAAACGAAGATCACAGGTGAGACAGACTGCTAAAATTCATGCAAAGTTAGAAGATTGCACAGGTGAATAAAGTAAAAACAATTCTCACCTGATAGTTAAGGGAAAGATTAAAAAAAACAACCTTTTTTCTCTAACCCTGATGCAAACTTAGTGCATGTTGCATGCAGTTATCTTACAAAAAATTATACATGTACAGCAGGAGGAAGATCCCAAACTATCTGACATTTCTCTGGTGTCATCTTTTGTTTCCATCGCTGTGTGATGGAAACAAAAGATGCCAAAACAAATTCCTAGTCTGTGAATCCTGTTCATCGACAATGGCAATAAAACCCCTTCTGAGTTCTGAGTTCTGAGTGACTTACTGTAGGTCTTTTCCAGACAACACTCCTGGTCAGGGGCGAGTACGGCCCCAGTTTGTCGTAGCCCAGAGATCTCCGCTCGGCTGGGAAGCATGGGTCCTCAAAGAGACGTCCACTCTCCAGACACTGCTGCCTCAGACTCTCATAATCCTGCTGGGAGAACTTCACAGCGTGCTGCTTGGTGCCGATGCCCCGCTGTCTCTGCTGCTGATGGGCCAGACGACCTGCCGTGGATGTCATCTTTCAATTTTTAAGAGCAAATTCTCTCTTTGAGCAACTCAGAGGTGAGTTTACCCTGTCCCAGCTTCTTTAATAGCTGCTCCAGGTGAGGAGGCAGCAGGGTGGAGCCACAGGGAGGGGCCGTTGGAGGACAGGTGAGGCTGCAGACAGCTGCAGCCCTAAGCAAATCAGCAATGGGATCCCTTTGACCACAGCCGAAATGCAAACAGGGACACACCTAAAAAGGTTGTGTGAATCTCATTCTGCTTTTGTGCGTTTGAGGAGTTTGAGGCTGTGGGTTAGTTTTTGTCTCCTGTTTTTTGCAGGTATCAAACAAACAAGTGTTTAGATTTGACTGAAACTCTGTGACGGTAAATTAAAATAAAGTTCTCAAAAAGACACGAGAATCAAGTTGTTTTTGTCTGACGGCTGTTTCAAAAGATTTCATGCAGCACCTATAGCTAAGAGTTGTGAAAGAGAAGCTTTAATGTAAATGAAGCATGGCGTTAAACATGAAAACAACATGACAGATGACATTGCAACACTGAGTTTGTTGCATGTCTGCAGTCTTTGTGTCATTTGCATTTAGCTGTAGCGTGTAATCTCACATCCTTTTTCTGCAGTTACATCCTCCATGTGGAGGACAGGAGAGCTTCACCTTGTTCAAACAGTCCCTGTCAGAGCTCACCTGGTTCAGTCAGGTGTGGGGAGCCTCAGCTGCTGAATACAACACTGTTTGTTCTTGATGATGACTAAGTGTATATTAGTGACGTCTATATTTATCGTTCGTAAGGATACAGACAGTGATAGGGATCCGCCCTTGTTTAAATTCACTCTGGAGTATAACTCATATAACTGCAGACTAGTGCAGGTTCAGTAAAGAACCACAAACAACTCCTTTGGTAGAGTGTGAGTTACGATACTGAATAAAAGCTTTTTAGGGATCGCTTTTTAAAAGTGTAAATATTCAGTTGATTAGTAACACAAAGAGGCTTAAGCTCTACAGATGTTTTTGGATTCACTCTAAATCTTTAGTCTTTTTAATCTCACCACCTCTCAGAGGGATGTTAAAGCCAGCTCACTCTCAGCTGCTTCTGCACTAAAATGTTTTTACTTTATTTTATTTTTACAATAATATGTATTTAATCAAATGAAAAGCATCACTCATAAATGCAAAAAAATAAAACATATTAAAATTTTTTTTTTTGATTGCTCTTGGGGGCCCCCTATTGGCTGCGGGGCCCTAAGCAGGTGCTTAGTTGGCTTATGCCTTGGGCTGGCCCTGTGTGTGGTGACCAAAAAAAGGACCATCAGTATGAATTCAGGATATCACAGCACACGTATTTCTTGCACAATATCTTTTTTTCTCTGTAAATACACTTATTGCCAATACCAGTATGATACCACAAGTCAATTCAGATTAACTGCTTTTACCTAAAAAAGGGGGCGGGGCTACAACCTTAACTCTACTAACCATAATACCCATTCACTTCGTGAGTCCAGCAGCTTTCAGGTAACAAACTGTGTTTCTATGACATTCAGGGTCCTCCTTTATTCCTGTAAATACGGTAACTCTTATTATAGCTTTAGTGTGATGCTTGTATTGACACAGTGCATTACTGCAAGGCTCATGCAGCATCATACATGAATACTAATGCATGATCTATCTATTTTAACAACCATCTATCAGCCATTACTTTAATGTGAGTACCCTTGAACGCAGCATTACTTTGACTTTACATTAACCACCCGCGGACTAAATGAAGAGTTGAGATGCAACAACTTTAGCAAGATTTAATATGCAGCTCTTTCATTTCTAATGATCATCTGATGAGTCCGTTCAGTGAAGACTTTCTAATGCATCATTGATCAAATATTCCTCTTTGGTTATTGTGAGATTAAATGACTAAATAATGACTGTGTCAAAGTCAATAAAGGAAACAAACAGACACTGTCTCTGTAGAATACACTCATGTGTATGTGTGTGTGGGGGATTATTGACCTTTGACCTCTGAAGTTGTTTAATGTGAGTTATCTCACAGGTCGCACCCATTTGTCCCGGTCTACAGGTGAGATCAGCGGACTGACACAGATGTGGTTTGATTTATCCCAAAGTCATATAAAAGCTTATGATTAACTTTTACTGGGATTATTTTATAATGACCTTTCAACATTGTGGTTTCTATAGCAACGCTTTCCATAATTCTTAACCTGTGACTTTTTAGGACATCAGAAACACACACACACACACCACCCTTGATCAAAAACAACAACAAAGGATTCAACACTCTAAACAAAGAGCAGAAACGCTTACTTATATGTGTTGAGTTAAATTTCTGGGTTATTTTTCTAGGGTCATATGGATTCTAGTGTAACCCAGTTTGAGGGTTTTTTGAATGGGTTAAAAATTATGGGATATTTTTCTGAGAGTAAGCCAATAATTGGGTCAGAACATTAGTTTTCTTCAAAAATAGAAAATTTATTTTGCAGAATTTTCACAGTGAAACAGCCTCATGGTGCTATTTAAGATCATTATAATTGCTTTAGTTCTGGTCAGACCTTCACTTAATGATGAACAGTGTACCGAATAACCACAAAATTAAGGGAAATGATATTGATTCATATGCAGAATAGGATATCCTTAAATATGACTCTAAAGCGCCAGTGAGAGAAATGTCCCTTTACTGGAATGGTATTTTTTTAATGTCAAACACCTCCATGACGGTCTTCACGTAGTGCTCATCTGGCTGCGGCTTCCTCTTGCTGCCTGATTGCAGGAATTTCTTAATGAACAAGTTTTCCGTCATCCTGCCCTGGAAAGACTGGAGAGACGTGTAGAGGCAAGTTATTTAGAAGTGTACACAGCTATGATCACTACACTAGAGCTTCATATGAAGACATTTACCTTGATGTTGCGGAAATCAGCAAGAATCCCTGGAAATTTCTCCTCCAACATGAGCGTGCATTCAGCCAGAAGGACATCTGCCATGCTATGCTTACCTCCCACCAGGTGAACAGTCTCACACAACACCTGAGAAAAGCAAAAAAATCTTATTTAACTATCTGTAACAACCAAATGTGTCATTTCAAACCAAGATCATTTATTACTTGTACCTTTTCAAATACGGGAAGGTAACGCTCTTTTGCTTTAGTTTCAATGTTTTCCAGTTTGGGTTTGGGGTCTTGAGTGAAGGGCAGCATCATGATCATCTCCATCAGATCCGTCAGTCCCTCTGAGTACATGTTGATCCTGAGGGGAGCCAGAATTATAAACTGTAACAAATTAACCACATAAAATCCGACAATACAATGATGGTTCTGTCGTTTATTAAAAAATACAACATACATGACACGATCTTTAATGTCTTTTCCATGGAGATTGTACTTTTCTGCAATGTAATTCAGGATGGCCTTTGTCTGAATTAGCTTCATGCCATCGATCTCCACCATGGGAACTTGTTGAAACATGAGTGACCCATCTGGAGGAAGAATAACAGCAGATCATTCAGGTGGACACTCCCAGGTAGAACACTGATTTATACTGTGAACTCTAAGTCTGTGCACAGGTCAAACAGCATAGTGAGGCATTTGCATTCAGATTATGGTCTTTTTCCAAGGTTACAGCACATGTAGGTGGAAGTTGATTGAAAACCAAGGCAAAAGGCGAGATTAAGCTTAAAACTTCATGTGACTTGGATACAGTCCAAAGAACCAAAGAATACACTGACACGGTTTAAGCCTCGAACAGACATAGATTTTTTTTTAACCATTTACCTTTTAAAAGTTCCACATATTGCTCCCGTTTTGTCAGAAACACCTCCTCAAACTGTGAATTAAAATATTAGAAGTATTTTAAGAAACATCACGTGGGTTCAAGGTTCCACTCTAGAAAATAAGCAGATAAATAAAATGTTTATCTTATATAAACATCTCCTTTAACTTACCTCAACCCCTGCAAATGTCAGCAGCCAGCGGATTGACTCCATTTTCCCTCTCCCGTTGAAGTAATAAAGCACAACTTTTTCTGCCATGGCTGCAACTTGTTCTTAATGTTTATGTCTCAAAACCTACAGGACACAGACGAGAAAACACGAATCACTGACTGGAAATGCATGGAGAAAATCGAAGCCCACACAAACTGATTGATCCATACCTGCAGGACAGCAACAGTCGAGTGAAATTCAGGTGAAATGGGACGATGAAATAATCTGAAGCTATTATGTAATCTTGAATTGCTGAAAAAAAGGCGAGGGACAGGGAAAAACTTCTGAACACTGCGATTGGTTAGTGGCGACCAATAGAAAGACGGTTTATCTACACTGTGGCCGCTGAACATCATGGGAAAAATAAGTAACAGTGTCGTTGTCGTCATTATTTGACGTATTTACGTCATTGTTCGACGTATTTACGTAAGTAGTGTGAGTGTAACCATCGTTCCAAATTTAAGAAAGTCATAACGTCCGTGTTCTGCGCCGCGATAGAAAACGGTGTTCGAGTCCGAGGGTATATGGCGGAGCCGCTGCTCTTCTTTCTGCTTGGATGTGAGGGCGATCTGGCTGCGACATCTGTCACCCCATTGATCGCTAGGGTTGATTCGGCTGATCTGGCTGGCTAGGCGGGTGTCCCCTTCCTCCCTCACCGTTCCATGTGTGTCCCTCCCGAAGCTCCGCGCTCGGTCGATGAGGACGACGTCCCCCGGACGACCATCCATCGGTATACCAGTAGCTGTGCTCCCCTGCTAGAACCTCCAAACAAGCTCAAGGCCCATTTGTAGGAGTCGTAGGGAAGTTAAGCTCCAAGCGTCAGACACATCCAAATGCGGCGCTGCACGTGGCAGTCTGCCTTCCTTTTATCAATTTCTTCACTAGGTTCAACACTATGGACAGCTTTACACCGAATTCAATGAGATTTTCATGATGATGATTCACTTTTTTTTTTCTCTTTTCTTTACATATTTAGTTTTATTTTCATGTGTGAGATAAGAAAAAGGTTAAAGGATTTTTTTTTTAATTAAGTCATAAATAAATCATATTCATACAATTTTTTCTTCTTTGTATCTCGGGAAAGGGTAACATCAAATAAAGTATTTATACTTTAATTAAAAAAAAAGTAACACTTGTTGATTTGGCCTCTGGTTGTGAAATAAATAAACATAGATAGAAAAAAGCAGGAGTATACTGCTTATTTCCTTTTTCACTGTCCCTTGTAGACACTAAACTCGACCTGGATCTGATTAAGAGTCACAGTGTGTTTGTGTGTTTTTTTATTCATAAACTTGTGTTGTTGGCTTAGGGAACATTTTTTTTTTCTTGAAATGGCCTCCAGAAGGAATAATAGAAGTTTTGCTTTTTTGCTTTGTGTTTAAGTTTCATCCCTAGGCCTATCCCTGTGTGTTCCATTGATAAAACATGAAGACTAAAAACATGCTGATAGTTAGAAGAGAGAAGTACACACATAATACTTCATCCACTCTGTGCTCTCTCGCACCCCTGGCGGCGGTGTTCGGTACTGCAGCGCTCTCTGACCACTCCTCCTGCGGGGGCTGGTCCTTTCCTGCAGCGTGTGTGTCGGTTTGTGTGTGTGAGTGTGTGAGTGTGTGAGGGTTGGACCTGGACCTGCTCTCCTCTACCAAACCCCTGCCCCCTTTATTCTCAGATTTTCTCGGTTATCTTCTCCACCTGAGTCACTCCGAGGAGGCCGTGGGTTTGAAGCCGTGGTGGTGAGTCCACTCTCCGTTCTGCCCGTGATTAATCAGCCGGTGTGAAGTTAACGGGGCTCCACGGTCTTATTGTAGTGCAGCAGGCCAATGCGCTCTGACTTTGATTTCATGTCTGTAAAATCCTCAGCTCCAACAATAGTGACCACAGCTGTCATATTCAGACACACGAGCTTCATTCACGCGGTGTGGACTGAGTGGGTTTTTCTGCTTTCTCGGATTACTTGTTGTGGAAATCTTTGAAGGAGTCTGCAGGCCGGGGCGCATATAAAGACAGGCCTGAGTGTGTACAGTAGTGAACAGGTGCTGCAGACTGTCTGAGGAGGTCTGCATTACTGCGACTCTTTGATAGTGACCGGTTAAAAACACGCGTGTGCACCACTATCATCTGTCTGTACCTTTCTCTAAGTGTTTTTAATCTTACTATGAGGACTTTTTATACTTATTTGTCTGAGTATGTTAGAGCTGCAGTCTTTGTCAAATCCCCCATATTTCAAATGAAGTTTCTTGGTCTCAGATTTTAAATGGAATTATTAAATTACATGTAAATCTGCACCTTTTCTGTTACTTCAGTTACTTTATTTGTAGTTTTGAAAGTGTTTTATGACTGTAACTGCTAACAGCTCTGAGTTATAAAAGCCTTTTACTGATTAATAGATTGTGTTCGGCAGCCCTGCCCTGCTCTCTGTCTTCCTGCCAAGAAGATACATCAGGGAAATATTGATCAATGCTATTTATTCACTTGTAATCAGAGCCTTGCATTTAATTTAGGAGATACCTACCTGAAGAGTTTGCTGCTTTGTCCATAAAAAACTGATATTTGGGCTGGGCGATATGGAAAAAAGTTCATCACGATGTATATTTTCCGTATCACTCAATATCAATATATATCAAGATATAGAAAACAAGATTTTAACAGTGCTTATTGGTAGCACGTCTTTTTACAACGTATCTGTGAGGTCTTTGTGTCTCTTTGGCGCTTTGTCGTAAGGTGTTGCTCTAGAGAAAGCAGACTGATTGGTCGGCTGTTTCGGCTGCACAGGCGCCATGGGCTTCTCGCTCCTCTCGCTGGCGCTGCTTCAGGTGGTGAAAAAGATTGGATGTATTCACCGACTTTGTGAGAACATGTACTCGACATAATTTACAGTAACCAAAATACCTCCACACCACCGACGTTTTCCTAACGCCAGTGTTGTTGTTGACGATGTGGTCATCTGTTGAGCCTTCATGGTCATTTCTGTCGGGGGTAGCACTCATTTTCTTTGTTTCTCACCAACAGTGCTGTCGGCTTCACCTGTTAAAGTGCTATGGTTGGGTGTAGGGCCCAACCGATATGGATTTTTTAGGGCCGATCTGATACCGATTATTTGGGGGGGGGTCCGATTACCGATTAATCTGCGATTTTTATAATGTTTCTTTAAGTTATAAAATATATATATATATATATATATATATATATATATATACTGTAGATATCATGTAGGCTACTGCTCTTCACGCCAACAGGAAGACCAACTGGTCATCTTAGTAATATTTCACGTATTTATTATGAATCAAGTCGGACCAGAAAAGCGTTTCCAACTAGCCCATTTTGCATTTAATTTCTGAAAATATTGGCGAAAATCGGTGAGTTTTGGCCAATTAACGATTAGTCTCAAACAGGCTAAAATTGGCCGATTTAATTGGCTCGCTGATAAATCCGTCGGGCCCTGGTTGCGTGAAGCTGCTGTCTGCTACGACGCAGTTGTTCGCTACTTGGTTCAAATTTGGCACATGATTGTTTCAGCGCGAAGCAGACCAGGAGCAACTCCCCTTTTCATTGGCTATTCATATAGTCTAACAAAACATGACAATTGAAAAGCATATTGACCATGTTTTATATTGATATTCAGGGAAATTAATTTTGGATATATATCGTAATTGCTTTATCGCCCAGCCCTACCCTGTTGTCAGAATGTAGTTTGTCTTTGTCTGGATGGACACTGATGTTGCTCCTAAACCTGGAGAAAGTCCAGTTGTCCTTTCCATGCGGAGATTCCCACTTCACAGTCCGTTCTGAAGATCAGGACCATCCAGTCTTGGTTCTGGTCCTTGTCCCCCCTCAGTACAGAGATTTCTCCAGCTCGTTCTTCTGAAACTGTTGAACAGTTAGTTCACGCGGTCTCTCACAGAGTCTTAAACCTCTTCCAGACTCAGCCTCGTGTTTCTGGCGTGTTGCACATTAACCTCATCAGCTGGGAGATTTTCCTCTTTAACCTTTTTAGTGTTTTGTTTTCCTACTTTAAATATTTTTAAACATGTTTCTGGGACTGAATTTGATTTGCAGGATTTTTAATTACATATTCACCGATTATTGTGAGCTGCTTTTGTGATCCGTTTGTGTCTCATGTCCATCGGCTGCAGGTTTTCTATTTCTGCTGACTTTGCTTCACTTCAAAGTTAATCCAGATTGACGTAAACTGTAGTTTGTAAAGCTGAACTTCCTGCTTTATTTAAAGGAGGGGGGATCCCTTTAATCTGAGGGTGGGGTTGGAGGTTGTTTTACTGTATTGTTTGGGTTTGAGTCCTATGGATCCTGTCATCATCACAGGAATGTATAGATCAGCTTTTCTCTGTTCATTGAGAGGAAAAAAAGATATCCTTTTGGTCAGCAGCCAGCAGTGTCCCCCTCTGTCTCTGTGTTTGACTGAGCAGGGGGACATTCCTGCAGACCCTGCAGACATGAGGGGCCTCAGGGTGGGGGGTTGGCCTAGTAAACAATGTCCTTGCTTGTTGTTGCACAGTTTCTACTCTAACTTTGGCCTTTTTTTATATTGAACCGTGTGTTTTATAGTCTCACTCTTGTTTCCTCCTGGTCTCTGCAGCTCCATTTAAAGTTCCCCGTCTTACCTTCAGCCGCTCTGAATGTCTGCTCTGTTTGTTTAACAGCTCATTAGGATTCCTGAGATCATCCCGTGTCCAAGTTTTCCAGCTGGCTCAGAGTAGGAGGGCAGAGAAACAGCCTCAGATCGAACAGCCAGGTTTGTATATTTTATCCTCTCATTACTATTATTTTTAGTGATGCGACAGATCTGAGTCTGACAGATCTGAGGTCTGTTCAGCTCACTGTGGTGGACAACATTTCCCAATGAGCTTTTACGAGCTGACTGACACATGTGAAATACAGCTGCGTTGAAAAGTAAGTGCATCCAGGAAGGAGGAAGACCCCCGCTAAGTGATGAAGACCAGAGTCCATTAGGGTCTGAGTTTCTGTGCGCAGCCGAACAATCGTCTTCTCCTCAGAGAAACAGAGAATAACCGATAAAAAATGACTTTTCTCTTTTTGTTTCTGTCTCATTTCTCCTCTCAGCCTGCCTCTAAAGGAAAGGTATCACATTTCTAAACCTTTGTTTCTGAGGTTTGCTGTGTTTGTGTGCTTCTGTCTCACATTATTAGGTTGTAGCTTCCTTTATGTCTGTTTCATTTTTAACTCAAGTTTCCACAGCAGCACATTTACCTGCACTTTACATCGATATGTGATTTTTCAAACCCGTTTTAAACTCATGTTGTCGTTCTGCACTCAGCTGTAGGTCTTTAGAAACCGACATAAAACAACGTTAAATTCTCCCACGGCTCTTTCCTTCATATTATCGAAGTTCTCAGTTTTACCTCCTGACACTGACACAGATTAGTCCTCACTGAAGAGTGAGACAGCAGCTTTGTCCAAAGTCGACATTCAGCTTTATGTTCAAAAACTAAAATTCTTTCACGAAGAGCTCCTCAGATGTCTCAGGTGTCGCTCAACAGTCAGGTTACGATGAAAGAGAGGAAGGCTCGAACCTCAGACGGCCTGATGCTTCGATAAAATGTATATTTTGAATTCAAGCAGCTTATAAAAGTCCAGATATGAACTTTTTCCTCCACGTTAACATCGAATCAGAAGTGACAGCTTCAGTCATGAAAACAAACAAACTAACTGCAGTATCTTCGGTCGCTTTTGGACTGTGAAATGAGCTCAATGTCGTACCTGCTAAAAGCTGCTGAGCGTCACACAGTGAATCATGGGTAATGTATTTTAGGTTCTGTTATGAATCGCCAAGAGACAACAGAGATGTCTCTGGACAGGAAAGAGTGCTGGCAGCTGATAAGAAGTCCTGGTATGTCGAGTTAAAGCAGTGAGATATACGACGTTCACTGTTGGACAACTTTGACGGTGTTACAGGGTTGAATCCTCAGACTTACTCCTGACCTTTGTGCACCAAACTTTCTGTTTTTTTCTTTAACCTCTAACATGAAGTATTAATTTTGTGTTATTTGAGTAATGTCGAGTCTGTTTGGGGTCATCTTGGGGGTCAAACTAATAAGTAAAGTCGGATTTTGTCCAGTAGGCTGAAATAATCCGACTTTATCACTTAAACAAACATTGTTTTGACCCACACACCCTCATCTAATTGCTGTGCTGTAACTGTGAGACAGGCGTGTGCTGCTGATTACATTTCTGCTATTTATAGCCTCAACTGTGCAAACCCACCCTGACTCTTATTTTTATCTCCCTCCAGTATGGATCCAGCTGGAGGAATATCCGCGAGCATTTATGCCAGCCGTCTGCGAGCGGAGGGCGTGGGCTCCAACGAGCAGGCCGTGCGCTACTCCAACCAGGACTACGAGTCCCTGAAGCAGGAGTGCATAGAGTCGGGCTGCCTGTTTGAAGACCCGTGTTTCCCAGCCGAGCCGCCGTCTCTGGGCTTTAAAGAGCTCGCCCCTTACTCCTCCAAAACCAGAGACGTGACGTGGATGAGACCCACGGTGAGAGAACGAGGGAACGGTATTTATAGACTTTAACAATCATGGATTTATACCAATGTTACATGACCCAGCTTCTCTGTGTCTGCTCCGTTATGACAGCGAGGAAACGGCGATCAGTCTCCAGCTGTCACTCACAAAAACACACCCACCCTTCACCGTGACTTTAAAGCTCCTGTGAGGAGTTTTTAGCTGGGTATGAAACAGACAGAGCGAACATGGACGCTTCTTTATGAACTACAAAAACAACAGAGTCCATCAGCCTAAAGATCCATCAATTATCAGGTGGTTTTAGATAACTGATCTACAGAGTCACCACGAAGTCCCAAAAAGTGCAAACATGTTGTCCAGATATGGTAGATAGAGATGCACAGGAGATAATAATGATGATAAAAAGTTTGTAATACCAGAAAAAGATTTTGTGCACACCAGGAAATAAACTCTTGTGCCTCATAAATGCATCCATAGTTATCTTGTTTCGACTGCTGCACACGTGATCTTTTGTGTGCGGGGGATAAATTCACTGTTTTCACATGATAACAACTTTAAAGTACAAAATTATCTTGAACATACAAATAGTAAGATCTGTGAGATAACTTGTGTTCACAAATAATGACGATTCTGCACTCAAGATTAATATCTTGTGTGCACAAGATGTTGACCTGTGCACGCCAGATTAAAAAATGTTCACACCAGAAAAAGATTTAGTTTTTGAAACTCTTCAGGTTTCAAACTAAATTCTGTTTCGTGCAGAAAAAGCGTTTTTATATTTTACATGGAATAATTTACAATAACGAGTTTGTTTGACGGGTAAAAAAACTGGATTTTTTTAAACATGCAGAACAAACTCAACAAAGAAACGAGGCAACAAAAGCCTGAAGCATTAAAATAGAACAGGGTTTACAAATATTTACTCCCCAGAAAATAAACTATTTTTAAAGCTGTTTGAATTTGTTTCGATGAACTTTAAATCATCGAGGATGGCAATGAAGTTCAGAGCGCCGTCAGCTGGATTTCTGTCCAGCTTATCTGGCGCCGCAGACTCAGTTAGGGACCGTCCATAAAGTGAAATTCAGTCGTTTTCATTGCGAACACGTGTGTGTAAAACACTTTCATTTGAATTCCAAGAAAACAGCTAAAACCACAGAGTCCTCCTCAGGACTGTGAAATCTCAGGATCGGTCCTCTATGTCCATAAACCTTCTATTGTCCGTCTCCATCCGGACTCTTGTGTAAGTCTGAGCATGAGTGGAACTCCAAACTGAAAGGTATCATGTTAACAAACATATCAGTGACACGGAGTTATTTCATGTCTGCAGACTCAGACGCAGCAGGACAAGCAGGGACAGGAACGAGTCGGAGCTCTGCAGCTGTCAGCGTGGCGTGGTGGCATCCAGACCACTCCTCGCTCTGACATTTGTTTACAGTGAACCCTAAAATCAGAGGAAGTTAACGCGTAGATGTAAAAAGAGGATGAGTCTCTTTAAATCCAGAATCCGCTCCTCTGAGACCAGAACAGGAGGATGAAGGTTTTTGGTGCACACTGCCCTTAGAAGGCAAATACTGGTGTTGTCCAGTCTCCAACCTGACGATAATCTCTGATGAATCTCCCTGCAGGAACTGACGGATGACCCTCAGTTCATCGTGGGCGGAGCCACCAGGACTGACATCTGTCAGGGGGCGCTGGGTGAGTCCTGGTCTTAATTTCCATCATTAAATCTGACAGAGTTTGGTCGATGTCGCTTCACGCCGAGTTCCTCCTGCAGGTGACTGCTGGCTCTTGGCGGCCATCGCCTCCCTCACCCTGAACGAGCGTCTCCTCCATCGGGTGGTCCCTCACGGTCAGTCCTTCCAAGACGACTACGCAGGAATCTTCCACTTTCAGGTACTTTGTTGAAGCCGTTCAGGGTCAGGTTTACCAAGTCCACCTTTTTAAAGGTCCTGATGAAATCTTGGTTTTTCCTCACCGTCACTTTAAATCACTGAATAACAAAATTAACCCTTTACATGCTGAACCCGCCTCCTCCTCCCATGGACCTATAGATCGATCGTTTCAGCCTGACGGCGCTCTTCTGTATCGCTCTGTGTTGCAGTTCTGGCAGTTCGGCGAGTGGGTGGATATCGTGATTGATGACAGACTGCCTGTCAAAGATGGCGAGCTCATGTTCGTCCATTCTGCTGAGGGGAACGAGTTCTGGAGTGCCCTCCTGGAGAAAGCTTACGCTAAGTGAGTATTGAAAGAGCTGAATTATTCAGGATGAGAGCTGTAAGCATGTCTCCAAGTGCTCTCTGAGTGAGCTTCACTCTGTGGTTTCAGGCTGAACGGCTCCTATGAGGCTCTGTCAGGAGGGAGCACCACCGAGGGCTTCGAGGACTTCACAGGCGGCGTCTCCGAGATGTACGAGCTCCGCAGCGCTCCCAGAGATCTGCACAAGATCATCGCCAAAGCTCTGGAGAGGGGCTCTCTGCTGGGCTGCTCCATCGACGTGAGTCGACGTGAGAGACGATCGCATGAAGAGCTCCTCTTTTTGTTCCTCTGAGAGTTCATGGAGTTTTCTCTTAAATACAGATCACCAGCGCCTTCGACATGGAGGCTGTGACGTTCAAGAAGCTCGTGAAAGGCCACGCCTACTCGGTCACGGGGCTGAAGGAGGTATCAGTGTGTTTGATTCAGAGTTAACACTTTGAGAAAGATCCATCATGTTTTTATTGGAAATACTCCGTTTACAGGTCAGCGGTCCCTCTGTCTGTCTTCTAGGTCGATTATCGTGGAAACTTGGAGCGCCTCATCCGGATACGTAACCCCTGGGGTCAGGTGGAGTGGACCGGAGCCTGGAGTGACAAGTGAGTGTTTTTCAAGTGTCGGTAATGAGTTTCTGCAAATCTAAATATTCAAGGTCTTTCAATTGTGTGTCTTTTGCGAGCTGAGTCCTGACTCCAGAACTCTGTGGGTCTGTCTGAAACACTCAGGTCTTGTTTGTCTGGACTACAACAGAAACTATAAAGAGTTTTCTCTGATCTCTCCTCATCAACATTATTTTCATGAGCGTCTTCTCTCTCGTCTGTCTGTTCATGTGCAGCTCCTCTGAATGGGATGAGATCGACCCCTCAGAGCGAGACGACCTGAACCAGATGGAGGATGGCGAGTTTTGGTAAGATGTCTCACTCTCTGCAGGATTCTGGATGAAAAGTTAAAACGTTTATCTAAAAGCGTATCTACTTATGACCTGAGTCCAAACCTTCTCCTGAATCCTCCAGGATGTCCTTCAGGGAATTCCTGCGTCAGTTTTCTCGGCTGGAGATCTGCAACTTGACTCCTGACGCTCTGAGCGAGGACGGCATGAGTCACTGGAACACCATCAAGTTCTACGGATCCTGGAGGCGGGGCAGCACGGCCGGAGGCTGCAGGAACCATCCCAGTGAGTCCTCAGAGAGTAGAACAGAAAGAAACTCCTCTTTTCCTACAGCATCTGTGTAAGTGAACGCATCGTCTCTGCAGACACGTTCTGGATCAACCCGCAGTACAAGATCACGCTGCTGGAGGAGGACGATGATCCGGAGGATGACGAGGTGGCGTGCAGTTTTTTGGTGGCGCTCATGCAGAAGGACCGGCGCAGGTTTCGGCGACAGGGTCAGGACATGCACACCATCGGCTTCGCTCTGTACGAGGTCAGAACTTGGATGAAGAGTCTTTAGATTTCATTTTTTAATTTCTCTTCATTCATTAACATCGTTTTCCTGTTTTTTTCTCTCTGTGCAGATTCCAGAGGAGGTAAGCAGAGTCACAAAGTTTTGTACGATCTTAGTGTCCAAACCCGCGATAGATCATTTTAATATTTGTTGTTTCTTCTTCTCTCAGTTCAGGGGCTGCCAGAACGTCCACCTGAAGAAGAATTTCTTCCTGTCTCACTCGTCGTGCGCTCGCTCTGAGACCTTCATTAACCTGCGGGAGGTGAGCACTCGGCTCCGCCTTCCTCCAGGAGAGTACCTCATCGTTCCCTCCACCTTCGAGCCCAGCAAGGAGGCCGACTTTGTCCTCCGAGTCTTCACTGAGAAACAGTCAGAAACAGAGTACGAGTCTTTTTATTTAACGTGGTTTCATTGTCGGTTTGTTCATCAGATTTTAACTCACGTTCATAAATCCACAGAGAGCTGGACGACGAAGTCTCTGCAGATTTGGGCGACGAGGTATGAGGAACAAAAACTAAAAACTAAAATGTTTTATTTGAGTTTAAGTCGGTCATGAAAATAAAGTCATATCTTTATATTTGCTTTTATACAGGAGGAAATAACCGAAGACGACATCGACGACTCCTTCAAGTCCATGTTCGCTCAACTCGCCGGAGACGTAAGATCGAAAAACAAACTCTTTAAATCCTCCGTTTGGTGAAGGAGGAGAGGTTATCTGGGGTCACGATGACTGTCTGAGTGTTAAAGTCACTCTGACAGTTACAAACTTTATGACAGTTACAAACTTTATACATAAAACCTCTGACCGTCTTTCACTCGGTTCTCTCCTGACTCGTTTTCCAGGACATGGAGATTTCCATCCGTGAGCTGAAGACCATCCTCAACAGAGTGGTCACCAGGCGTGAGTTTCTATATTTATATTATGACATCAGTGACTCCACAGTTTACAGACGGGTAATAAATGTCTCATTAGTCCTTGAGGTTCCTCTGCAGAGTGAACACAAACCTTTCCCTCGATTATTTCAGCCTCTTCAGGATCATTTTTGTGTTTCTGATTTGTGTTAATTTACTTTCTCAGACAAAGATCTGAAGACGGACGGTTTCAGCACTGAATCCTGTCGAACCATGGTCAATCTGATGGACGTATCCTCTCAAGTTTAAAGACAGTGAAATAAAACCTCTTTCTTTGATTGTTAGAAACATAAACTAGAGCAAACCCCGGACTTCTGTGTCTCTGTGAAACTAACATCACTCCTCTCTAACCCGCTCCGTCTTTATCGTTTTCTCTCCTTGACTCGGTGTCGATCAGAAAGACGGCAGCGCTCGGCTCGGTCTGGTGGAGTTTCAGATCCTCTGGAACAAGATCAGAAAGTGGCTGGTGGGTACGAGGAAACTCGACGTCAGGAGACATTTAGATAAACTTCTTTTAACCGCTTTCTTCTGTCTGCGTCTCTCAGGTCATTTTCAGACAATACGACCTCGACAAATCCGGCGCCATGAGCTCGTATGAGATGCGTCTTGCCGTTGAAGCAGCGGGTATATTCCTGTTAAATTCCACCTGTGTTTACAGCACACACTCTCACCGCTGAGTAATGAAAACTCTGCTGATATTTTAACTCTCATCCTGCAGGTTTTAAACTCAACAACAAACTGAACCAGGTCCTGGTGGCTCGATACGCCGACAACGAGCTGATCGACTTCGACAACTTCATCTGCTGCCTGGTGAAGCTGGAGGTCATGTTCAGTGAGTGGATTTAATTTAGATATGTGTGAAATGAAGAGAGTCACAGGAAGACTCACATAGTAAGAGTCCGTTAAAGGCGGGGATGTTGTTGAGGTTTTGGCGTCCACAGAGACCCTCATGGTGGGTTCTGAGTCTCACAATGAGGGTGTAAATATGAGGATGAGGGTTCACTGACAGGAGTGTCCTCACTGACGGAGCTCGTACCTGAGTCTTTAGGGTGAACGGATCATCAGTTCATTTCAAATTCAGTTTTTAGAGTTTAATCTTAAATTAACATTAGTTTAACGAGTCTGAGTCCAGGTCCAGGTCCTGATCCAAAACCACAACACTTAGACTTGTTAAATCTGGACTCAATTATCTGAGAGAGTCTGCAGACTCTTTCAAGCACAGTTTCAGATTTGTGAAACGTTTATTTTTTTCAGATCCAGAACCAGAATGTCTAGATTTGTTGTTCAGGAAAAAACATAAAATCTCTGAGAACATTAAATTCACGTTTGATAACATGAGACAGAAATGAGGCTTCTGTGTTCATTGAATATCAGCAAGTTGAAGAGCATAAAAGAGAATAAAAGTGTACCTGAAGTGTAACCTGGTGGTACACAACAGGTCATTATATTTTACTATTTTGTCTTGTATATAGTGTATAAACTTGTATATTATCTCCTTTATTTTTACTTATTTGATCTATAATTTATCTCCTTTTTCTACTTTAGTTGCACTGGAGTTACTGTAAAGCCATTTCCTCTGATCATTAAAGTATTTCTGATTCTGATTATATCATTAATATTAGAGACATAGGAGTAACTTTTACCCATGGTGCCTGCAGAGGGTCTCTGAGGGTCACACCAAACCCTCAAACATCTGAGCGTCTTATTTTTTGGAAAATGACTCTTTAAATCTGTTTCTCCTGCAGACTGTAAATTCAGTGTAAAAGTCTCTACAGAGACTGTCTGAAGTCTGCAGGATCTTTAAAACCCTCCACCTTTAAAACGCAGTCCTGCTGCACTTCCATCCAGAAGAATTAAGATTCCCCTCTCTCCTCTGTGGGCGGCTAAAAGAAGGTCGATCCTCACTTTGAGGAGAGACGTTTCATACTCTAAAAACCAGAGTGGAGTTTCTCAAAGATTTTATTTTGATGCATAAAAGCTCAAATCTAATTCTCAAAAAGATCAAATTACCAAGAACTGAAGAAATAAGATTCAGGTTCTTCTTTCAGAGCTTCGATTTGAAACTCCATCAGCAGGAAACATTTTGCAGCAGTGTTTCTATGTTTACCCGACATGTCAGTGTGTACTAGTGCGACCTCTGCTGACCAAGAGTGGAAACTTTTCTCTTCAGGGTCTTTCCAGGAGTTTGACAAGGAGGGGTCAGGAATGGCTGAGATGAACCTCACAGAGGTCAGTTCTGCTTTAAGAGGAAATATCAGTTTATTTTTAATGTTTTCTGGTTAATCTGACGTCCTGGTTTGGTGTTTTAGTGGCTTTACCTGACCATGTGCGGCTGAAGAGGACCGTCGTCACTGAAGGAGGGCTCGGACACTGCAGCCGTGTTCCTGAAGACCCCCCAGCCTTACACACCCCACCTCAGCCTCAGTCTAGAACAGCCAAACCAGAAACTAAACAGAGCCGAGAGTCCCAGCCCAGTTTTTTTAACTATGCAAACCTCCAGTATGAAGCAGTCGCCGTGCCACACCGTCGTCATCATCATCATCGTCTCTGCAGAAACAGCATGAGTCTGTGCATGAGGAAAATCAGCAGTAACGTGCAATGTTTGTCGATTTGTATATTTCTCAGTTTAAATTTTGCCGTCAGTGAACGTCAGCTGTGAAGATAACCAGAACTCTGTTTTTTTATCTCAATGATAAAAACACAGAAGAAGAAACTTGTTACTGTAGAAGGAGACGCTCCGATAGTTTGACTTTTTAACTCGTTTCCTTTAATTTTATATTTTTGGATGAAGTTTTAGCAGAAATGATCTCCTCAGTGTTGAGTCGTGTTTAAATAATCTCACCAGTAGGTGGCAGTACAGACTAACTAACATCAGTGATAGTTAGTTTTTAAAGTTTCCTCTCCACACAGATTATTTTTATTCATGATTTTAAAGTAAAGCAGCTAAACTTTTTAATTTTGCACTAAGTTTCCAGTTTTAGAAAGTCGCCTCACAGTAAATATAAACGCCGTTTGTCCACTCAGTGACACAAACAGGGATCACATGACACTGAATGCCTTACACACGTCAGAGGAACAGTTATAGGAAAGTGCCAGTCATGTGTTTTTGTGTTGTGAATGTCTGTCGTGCCTTTAATAAATATTTCCCTCAGTCTTTGGCGTGTTTACTGTCTTCATTATGAGTTTGACCCACATTTTAATGACACGGGGTCGAAGGTCATGCTTACTGTAATCACAGAGAGGCTTCAGTTAAATGTCAAACATGTTAAAGTCTGGAATCTGCAGCGTTCATTAAAAATAGAAGCAGAAGAGTGAAAGTGTGTATTTTAATTTTAATGACAATCATACAAACAGAAGAAACAAACAGCAGGTTCGACCTCCAGCTGGACGCTCTCAAACAAACGAACTGGCGATGGCTAAAACTTTGGAGTGATCTCCCTCCATCTTACGGAGCTTTGACGATATGGGAACCTTGATCCTGGTTCCTGTCGGGTTTCCGTTATCCTCGATGAGGACGACATTGTTCGAATCAAAACGTGGAGTCATCCTGTCTCCCGGCATTTTGTGTCCCACGATCAGCGCTTTCTTTTTCTGTCCTTTGATGGCGAGCAGCACCGTGTCTCCCACTTTCCCCACGCCGTTCTTGGTGTAGACGTGGATCACTTTGGGTGGGCGGTGGTACGGAGTATTTCCAAGAGGGCTGTTGTCCACGACACGCACTCTGGTCATTTTCTGGATGGCTGCAGCGACGGCAGATACACTTGTCGAGACAGGAAATAGACATTAATCCTCTTTATTACGGAGAACTTCGAGAGAAAAATTCACGACTACAAACTGACAAACATTATTTTTTTAATCGCAGTTTTTAAGAGCCATTCAACAAAAAATAAAGCTGCAAACAAAAATGGCGATCCGCAGAGGAACGGAAAGACATTTGACACGTTAACTTGAATGGTTACGATCAGCTACGATCGGAGGATACGACCTTTTCGCAGACGTTCCAGATGCGGTGGAAATTGGGGGTAACCCGTGCTGGAAAGGAAGTCGGGCACAGACACAAAATAAAACATCCATCTTCTTTTCAAAATAAAACACTCCGTGTCTCAGGGGGATTGTATAAGCAGTAGACACAATCTACTGCTTATATGTCTATGTGGCTGTCTTCATAGAGACAACTCGTTATCACGTGATTGCATGTGAATCCGCGGGATCTTGTGAGTTCTCGCGATTCCTGTTGTCCTAAATCTGCAACGAAATTCACCTCACAAACAGATCCGATAAAAATTGGCGGATGGCGAAAATCGCCGCTCTTCTGGATCGGAGCCGTTTTGGATGAGGTGAAAATTGGGGGTTATTTTTTTAAGCTCTTAACCGATGATGCTGCCACTACATCAGTCAGGGCCCCCTTTAGGCCACCCAGGGCTACAAAAGGTCTGAACACGCCCCTGGATAGATATGAAAATGACTCTTCATGATCTAAACTCAGTCTCTATGATGGTAGAAGATGTCAAATACACACATTTGAGTTTTGAAATTGTCACTTTAACAGTTTTGATTCACAACTTTGCGTTTAATTGAACCCGGTCACACCGTCATGTCTGAACTAACACAGTCTCCATGAAGTCTCACCTAAAAGTCCTCTGATGAAGCCTGCAGGAGGTCTCTACGAGCAGACCCATGAAGGGTCTGTAGAAGTTCTGAAGAGCCATGATTACAGACCAGGACCAGGACCAGCTGAGGACAGACAGATCACACACACATGTTAGCAGATATAGCATGGTTTATCGAAGGTTTAGTCCATCTAATCATCACATGAAGAGAGCTTTAACTAAACACTACAGTTTTGGTTTACAGTTGAACATCATAAAACAGGCTAAATTATTAAAAACGCAGTAATAATGTTGTTTCTTATTCCGGTATTTTACCTTTTCTCTCATACTCTCCGACAATGTCACAGGGCGGTTAGTGATGACGTCAGTTAAAGGCGACACAGAGCGCTCAAACAAACAAACAAAGTGATAAACAAAAACCTTTGAGAGCTCCTAAAGTTACATGATTTTACCTCTAAATCAATACTATCTTCACATTTTTATCATTAATACTAAACATCGAAGGTTTGCGCCGGTTAAGGGCCTATAATACTTTACTAAAACACAATCGTCGACGCTGCGTTCAAGACGGATCGAAACAATCGGACAGAAAATAAAAAAAGGGTTTACAAAAATATAAAGAGTGGACGGTAAAAACACCTAGGAACATTTATGTAGCCGGTGTTTTACGATAGAATGGTTCTTTATTTTTAGGATTATGGGGCGCCGAATGTTTATTTAGATTTAGCTCACTTTTCTCACATTTAGCTCGTTTTTCTTTCATTTGAGACCGAAATTCATGTAAAACAGCATGTTCTTTTTGTTTGTTAAAAACGCGTAGACATGAAAAATAAATCGAAATATAAATCTAAATGCTAAATGTCAAACTAAATTCTAAATATAAATCTTAAATAAAACATAGATTTAGATTTTATTTTTTTTTAAATATTCGAGGAGTCCCTGAATGCGTCACCGGCGTTCATTCGGAACTGCTCGGTCTCTGATTACGTCACATTGTTAACCTAAGGGTTCTGTTTGGATATTCGGAAATTTTACTTTCCCACTGTTGTTCACGTAAACAACCCCTTGAATCGGAGCAAATGTTAGTACTTTTACAGGATAAGCTGAACTACTTGGCATTATTCCTAAGCAAAACACATAATACTGCCTTTGTAGAATTCTTGCCATGTCTCATCTACGACGTAAGCCCCCCATCGGAACAAATACACCAACGAACGATTCGGCAGTATGAGAAATCCGAGCACTGTCGGGGTCCGTGAATGCAGCGTGAGTGTTCAGTTGGACTGGTTGGGTTAGCGATAGTTGTTCGACTGGCTGACAGACAGACACAACAGAGCGGCTTAAACTCTGTCTCATTACTAACAGACCGGCCATTTGTCTCACCTGCTTTATCCGTTAATCTTAGTGTGGTGGCCTCGGCGCTTCAATGAGAGCTTTCTGACTTTATATTCTGACTTTATGTCAGAATAAACTGAGGTTTCTTTAAAGTCTCCACCTGTTATTTGCTACATCGAGGGGCTAAAGGGAGCTAACGTGAACGTTTCGGCTGCTAGCGCTCATTAGCTGATTGTTTTAGTTTCTCCTCCTGCTGAACACCATAACAAGGTAAGTTAATTTAATCTAATTTATTTTCTTTATATTTTTAAGACATTACTGAAGAACTTGTGTGCTTGTTCTCAACAGTTGGGGCGGCTAATTGTTCGTATATTCGATGTTAAACTTACGCACATCCCGTTATTATCGCAGGTTAAAGTTGTTAAATAGGAACATCATGGACACTATGAAGTAGTTTAAGTAACTGATAAAGGTTTGTGTTTATTAAGAAGTGGATTTATAAATGCCGAGGATCCCAGTATTAAAAGCTCAGGGAGGGTCTTTGTGTTTGTATAGACTTTGGCGCCCCCTATGGGCAAAGAGGCGCCTCTGACCTACAGCTGATCTTTTCTTATTAGTTAAAAGTTCAAAAATAAAGAAATCTCACCCTGCTGTTTTACAGTCAAATGTATCAGTCATCATTTGCTTTGAAAAAGTATAAATAAGCTTTATTTCCAACATGTTGGGAGTTGACTCGCCTGGACTAGCTCCCTCACATTAATCGCAGCCATTCAAAATTATAATAGAGAATATGTAGATCTTTCTTATTTGCTTTGTTAGGTCTTACAACTGGCAGATCAGTGTGTTTAATGACCATTTAAAACCTTCACTTCTAAATAAAAGTATTTGTTTTAAACCCAATAATGAGCTACACAGATGTTATTAAAGAACGACACCATGGTGTTTAAGATACTCGACACTTGTTTACGTGTGACATGAGTGCCGCTGTGTGACACCAGCATCAGGGCAAGAGAGACTAGTGATATAAACACCAACCCTCTAAGGCAGACCTGGGCATTTAAGGGCCACATCCGGCCCTTTGGATGTCCCTGCCCGGCCCTTCGTGAGGTCAGGCAATCAAATCACCGACATGCAAGTGTGTCGCTTTTATTTTGAAAACCTAGCCTTGTTTTATTTCCGGTTGGACGCATGTGAGTACATCCTAGTTCTGCATTCGTGAACAGAGACAAGTTAAAACATCGGCAAAATATACGTAGACGCCTTAGAGTTGCCAAGTCAACTTATTATAAACGACTTTAAGCTTGTTTCTCTGAGAAGTCGCTTGTAAAACTCGTGAGTGGCAGATGTGCTTCTTAGTTATCGTTGGTTCGGCCCTCCAACACAGTTCAGGTTTCTCATGTGGCCCCATGTGAAAAGTAATTGCCCACCCCTGCTCTAAGGGGTTCTCCGTCTCAGCTGAGTTTGGTCTTGTCTCGGTCCTCCAAAGGTCACAGTGGCGGCTTTAATTCGTCCACACCAAGCATGAACAAATGTCGGCTGTATTGAAGTATTTTGAAGCGTCAGGAACAGACTGTAGAAGAGCTGCTCATAGTGACTTCAGGTGATGGGAGGACATGCAGAATTATACTCCTTTAACACTTCAACATCATGAACATCAAGAGCCAAAAAAACTGCTTCTTCATCTGTTGTTCATTTATTTCCTGTCTGGTATGAAAATTTAATGTTTATATACCCTAACATTTTGAAACATGTCGCTCTGACACATGTTATAACTGTAATTTTACCTCACTAGAACCACAGGCCCTGGTTTGTTGTACTGGGGTCAGTTCTGACTAAACAGAGGAGATATTTGACATGGAGATATAGTGTTAATGTCTGCAGATTAGGGTTCAGTATTTTGACACACCTTTAGAGAAGCAGCAGATAATCAGTGATTCCTAACATATCTCAGCCATCCAAGTAAAGCAGTTGTTATGCAATACTGTCTGCATAACCGAACCTGTGTGGCGAACAGGTTAAAGTGTGCTGGTTTCATCCACATAAGCTTCAAAGTGACAGCTAATGCTCTGAGTGTTTCCCAGTGCACAGCTTCTAAAAGGATGAACATGAGCTGTCTGAGTCCAGAGCAGCGACTTCAACAGATACTGATGCAGATCTGTCCGACATGAGGAGGGGGAGGGTGACATGGCAAAAAATATTAAATCCCATTTCTTAAACAGCAGAATCACATTCTTGATTTCATCACAGTTTATTTTCATGTTTCTTCTTGAGACTGTTATGACTGGTATAAGTTACCCAGTTGACGCTGGTATGAAATAGTAATTCAGTTGAGTGCTCTCCTCCTAAAGCAGATCATGAACTAACCAAGCCTGAACCCACCTCCCCTCTCAGTGAGATCACTTTTTTAGTCTGCATGATTAATCAGACAGAAATGATCATTTAAACTCAATTTGAACTGAGTTTAGTAGAACACACTCAGATCTATTTCAGGTGATAAAAAAGAGTTTGAAAGCATTTTAGGGTTGAGGGTGAGACTCTGTCTTTGCAGTACACCACGTCTAATCTAATGTAAGGAGAGGAGGTCTTAGTAGACGCCGCTGGTTAGAAAATCACTGACTGCAACTTTTAGAATATAATCCTCGCATTTTAATATTTTCATAAACAGCTTAATTATGAAGTGGAATATTCACTGGACGTTGTTTGATGACATAGAACTGCAGTGGTCGTCAACATCATGTGCTAATACTACATTCCCTCTGGATTTGCAGATTGTTGAGATGTTCTTCTGTTAACATTCAGGGGTGTACAACATTGGATTTTTGCAGATATTATTCAAACTTATTTTGGTTAATACTAGTGTCAGTATTAATATTTATTGACCTTATTTTCTCCAGGAAGAAGGCAGTTTCTCCTGTAATAGCTGTTGCTGTTTTTGTTACAGTCCATCTATTTAGACACAGACAAGACAAAAAACATCAGATTTTACCGTAGATGATAAATCTCTCTGTATATATTTTAAACTATAGACGTTCTGTTATGTGTCTGTTTAGGTTATTGAATTCAGCTCTGCACCACAGTTAAACACTCATGATATATCATCAGTTCTTGACAGTGAGTTGGATGTGTACCTGCAGCTGTTTGTGGTTTATTTCGCTCACGTCATTGCAGCTGATTATCAGTTTACATTAGTGAGAGGGTTTAGAACAAACAGAGCTGTCTTTTTTATCGCCGTTTTATGGAGATAATGTTGGTTTTATACGGCTGTAATTAAAGCTCATGTGATGCTACTGATCTGAGAAGAGGCGTGAGATGTTTTACAACTTTAACTTACAGATCTAAACGCTGCCTTGTGTTGGTATGATCTCCTCATAGTTTAGTTTTCAACAGTTTAGACCCACACATGCTGACTCACGACTCTCTGAGGGGGATTTATTCGATGGATCCGGGTCGAACTCTGCGCTCATTTCCTTTCTCGTCCTTGGTGTGTTCTTAATTTTTCACGCATGCTGGGACAAGATTATGAAACCGCACCTTGACATCATCAGTCTGTGTCAAAGCAAAGCTCAAGTAAGGTGCAGTCATCAATGATTTACAGGCTATACCTACGAGGCTAATATGAGTAAATCTGTTATCATCGTCGTTACGGTCGTCTGAGAATTTCACCCAAATCTGCTGTGAAGGAAACAGAATCTGTGTGAAATCCACTGACTGCAGTGGATTCAACATCTGTATATTATGCATTATTAATGTTTTGATATACAAGTACAGTGTTATAGTATTTTTATAAAATAACTGACCATATGACAGTTTGATGAATGATAACAGAGGCATGTTTTTCCAGACAAAGGTTGTTTATTTTGTCTTGAACAGCGGACATACTTGTGGTTTATGTCGTAAAAAGGAAGTTTAATCTGCCTCAAAGGCTTTCCAAGTCGATTATTGTTACTGAATATTAAATATGTTTAATTATCAGGATTATGAGGTTTTGTTAAAGAGCTTAACAGAACCAAAGTTACTGTTTAAACCAATAATGTCCTCTTCTGTTCGAGTCAATTTTACTCAGTTGGAAAGGCAAGGTGGAGCATGTCAGGGTGGTGTTGCTCAACAGCCGATTCAAAAGCTTTTGTTTTGTTTGCTCTGAAAAAAACAAATATTAAAGGACGACACGATAACTCCCTACTGATTTCGATTTAAATGCAGGATCCAATAAATGAGCCTGGATAGGAAGTATTGTTGTTGTTCCGTTTAAATCTAATTTCCTAAACGTATTTGGATGGACTCAGAAAAACTAAAGCACCTCTATCTTTATCAGCGTGCAGAAACATGTAGCTGCCTGCTTGGAGGAGAATTAGTCCCTTTAATTGTGAATATTATTGGACTTGGTGTGCTCCATACTCTGATATTATTTGTCTTGTTAAAATAACATCTTGTATGAAGTCAAAACAACTTTGTTTTTCCTGCTTGAGGAGGAAAGCAAACAGCAGACTCGCTCTAGACTGACTCTTAAACGGACAAACAGAAGATTTTCTCCACTGATGCAATCGTCCCTTTACATGTTTATTAGTGTTTTATTATTATGTAGCTATAGCAGCCAATATTAAGCTCTAATCATACCAGCTTAATGTAGTAGAGGACCTTAATGTCAACTATCAACCTTAAAAAATAGCGATCTTCTTCTTCTGACTCTTCTTGGTGAGGACCAGCACTAAGAACCAGTACCATCCTCCACTAAGAACCAGTTAGCTCCATGTCGCCGCAGCTCCCTTGTTTTTAGGACAGTGATCTTCAATACAAAAAAGAAATCGCTTTAAGTGAGAGTCTAAGAAAACCTGAGTGTAAACACTTTTGTTTGATCAGGAGAAAACCCCACAGAGCGACTTTAAGCAGGAAAACAGCCAGAAGAAGAATTCGAGGGAAAAACCGGAGATACAAACTTTAAGAAAAGCTGAAAACAAGATTGTGTTAAAAATACCGACTTCACTGACGCTCAGTTTCTGAGTCTAAAGGCTTTAATTCAATCATCAGTAATAATCCAACAGTAAAGCGTCTGTTTCTGTGGTAGTTTTTGAAGTGTAGTATCAGAGGTTGGTGCTCATTTGTTTAACTAGTTTCAGAAAAATCAACAGCTGACATTAAAATGAACTCTGTTCCTGTTCCAGCAGTTTTTCACCAAGTTAGATCCTTTAGTGACATTAGTGTTGGAGCCGGCTGCTCCCCCCTGACTGTCTGAATTTTAATAAAAAACCACTAAAAGATACTAAAAATGAAATGGGACTTTCTCCCCCCTGAGTTGTTGTTGTTGTTTACTGCTGTGAACTTCAGTCTCTTGAAAAACGAGGAAACACTCGAGCTGTTTTGGTTTTTTCTTTCATCCTGGAGTCGCAGCAGCCATGAGGTGGGCGTACTATCCCATCAATAACATCTGTAACTAGCTGTTTGGAAACGTCCTCTCGAAGACGTCGGTGTTGAATGTTAAACAGCCTGAACCGCAGCCACGGGTCCAGGATGTGCGGCAGTCTTGTTGAAGGCACAGGGGGGTATGTTGTGTCCTCCTTGGGTTGAGACCGGTCCATTTGAACCCTGCGGTCTCTATCGGCTTATTGTTCGGCTCTGCCCGCGTCCCTCTCCACTGATGTCACAGCATTCCAGTTAGCAGATAAATGAGTTAGTGTTAGGGCAGATGAGCAGCGTCGTGAATGCTGCTGCTGCTGCTAATAGTGGGTCAAAGGGCACGAGTGCAGCGGCGTAACTGCAAACACACTCGCCAGAACACCTACGCGGCACGCCTTTCCCGACACTTCATTCAGAGCGTGATAGGAAACATTTCAGTTAGATACCCAATGAATCATGGGACATGGTCTTTTTATCACTCACGTTATGATGAATTATGATATGATTAAGTCGCTGAAGGGAAAGTGTTTTTTAATTCCAGTTCTCGCTCTTTGAGTCTCAAAGTTCGAGTCTTTTTTGGTGGATTTTTGCAGCAGACTTGGTTCGTTTAGCTTGTTAACTTTGTCTTTCAAACTAATTTCATTTAACCGCGCAGATATCCACATGATATTTTCCTGAGCCTGTATTTAAAAATAATAAATATAATAATAATAAATTTTATTTATAAAGCACTTTTCCAGGTGCTCAAAGACACTTTACAAAAAATACAATACAGAAAATTCTGAGAAATAAGACCAACAATGTAAAAGGTTAAAAAAATGTGATAATAATAAACGTTCACTCAAGTTGAGCAGTTTCTAACAAAAACAATACTGTGATATCAGCAGGGCTGTAAGTCGATGAGTCGATTTTTGGTCGAAAGGGTTTTAGTTGACCAAGAATTTCTTTGTTCTAGATATCAGCCAACCTGCTGTCTCATAATCGGCGTCCATGTCAGCGGTTGAAAAACTGATATAGGTGCGAGTTCTCGTCGAGCACACACACACACGTTACACACTCTCTCACTGGTCAAACCTTGAGATGAAAGTGAAAGTGAAGCCGTTATTATCAGACATGTAAACAAATAAAGTTGACAGGATTTATGAAGCCGCTCAGAGCTCCAACAGTCAGACTCATGAGTAGTTTTAACACCTGAAACAGAAACTGAAGACGCTTCAATCAAACTAGATTACAGGAGAACTTAGAGAGAGGCAGGTGGAGTAAACTCAAGTCTGCAGTCTTCTTATTCTGGACGACCTCAACTCTAAAGTCCATTTTATTTCAGAAAGTTTACTTATTTAAAAGCTTCATATTTAGTTTTTGGATGTAATTGTCTATAAGAAATTGTCTAGTCTAGCTTCCTCAGTGTCATACAAAGGTCTTTTACGTTGGTATTTTTAATATTTTATCCAGTATTGATAAAAAGTCCCATACTGGTGTTCTGGCTGTGTTAATTTAGGGCCCTTTTGTTTTATTTCCATTTGTTTTTATTAATGTTTTGTTTTGTTTTATTTCAAATGTTTTTCTTTAAGCCGGTTTACCTCCAGTCGAACTTTGCTGTTGGGAAATATAAACCGGGTTGACTTCTTTTAGTGTCAAAGTTTGATCTTTTTTTTACTCGTCCCACTTTCACGGTGAGAAATGTAGACAAAGACTCACTTGACTGCAAGCTGTCAAAATCTGATTTATGGCGGCGTTAGAAAGAAAGCTTCGATCACACGGTTAGTTTAGACTTTTGTATTATCAGTGATAATCTGTTCGTAAAGCTATTTTCTGTTGTCAGCACTTCCTCTTTATCTCTGTTCTGTCTCTAAAAGGACGATCCGCTCTGACCCAGAATCCTTCACTGTCAGGTTTAACCTCCTACCATCATCACCGAGGTCACTCCAGGTCGTTGTAATCTCTCAGGACTTGTTACGCCTCATACACTATTCATGTTTTGTAAATGTTTTCCGTCATTGGGAGGCTCGCTTGTTGTTAATGCTTTAATGAGTGAAAGGGTGAGTGCGTACGAACAGAACGTGAAGTTTATCCCAGTTGAATCATGGTTCTCGTCGAAACACTAACACACGACTGTACGCAGGAGACAAGCTCAGGCAGGATTGGTCTAACCTGAAGGAGATAGATCTACAAACATAGATGTTGTTTTTAGTTTAAGGAGACTGACTCAGCAGCTCAAGGAGAGAGGGACTCGAGCTGCTTTCTGTCCTCTGGGTGGTTGTTATGAATCAGCTGGTTCTACCTGATCATCTATGAACTGTGCAAACTAAATTTCACTTACTGTAGTTCTTTTAAACTCTGTACAAAGTTGAGCCGCGTATCGTTGCACGCACAGTGGTCTCAAACGAGGAACAGAAAGTGTCTCATCTTTCAGATATGTTGGTTTCAGATGTTGAGACTCATGACGGGGCAGAGACATCAGCAGAAAAGGTTAAAACGAGGGCTGTCGTACAGTTTGATATTTTAAACCACAGTTCCCATAAGAATCAGATTTATTTCAGATGAATCTCACATGTTTTATCTTTTCTAAATTTACATTTTTATTTGTAAACACGTGGACATTTATACTTGCTTTATGCAAATGTATGTCTGTTACTGTAACAACAGTCTAAAATAACAGATACTGTGCAGAAAGGAGGCGGGGCTTGCTGCTCCAAAAACCCAAAGACGCCGCTGTTATGTCATCACCTGGTTTCCAGAGGGGGCGTCCTCAGGGTCACGATGGCGTTGATTTTGAAACAGATACATGATTGTGCAAAAACAGTAAATATTGTCGGACTAAACGCTCCAACGCTTGTGCAACATCTTTCAGGTTGTCAACATGCTGCAGTGAGGGATGCACCGAGTCTTGATTTTAACAATGGCCATCGGGGGGGTGCAGGGGTGCGCCCCCTCGGAGAGCTGCCCGACACTGGTTCCCGCCAACTCCTCCTCCAAGGACTACTGCTACTCAGCCCGAATACGCAGCACCGTGCTCCAGGGACTGCCCTTCGGAGGAGTGCCCACCGTCCTCGCCCTCGACTTCATGTGCTTCTTGGTGAGTCGATATTTCGCTCAAATAGAGAAACTAAAATCCACGTCTAGCTTTCTTTCTGTCTTTCTGAAGATCCCCTGTAGCCCCAGTATAAACAAAAAGGCGAAGATAAACAGCCTAGAGTTTTAGTAGTTTCATAAAAAATGTTAAAACTATTCTAAAAACCCTCTAAATCTCCATGTAGAAAATATAACAAACTGCATGTAAAGGTTTCGTTTACCTCTCCAGGCTGCAGCCTCTCAGGTCGTGTTTTCTCTGAAGCCCTGAGCGTTGACATGAAATCTTTCCGGGAGGTGTTTTTGATAAATAAACAGCGTAAAGCCGTTCTGGGACTTTGGTTCAGCAGGTCTCTGTAATGTCAATAAAGAGGACAGACGTGTTTACATGCAGTGTTTGTTTTGTTTTCATAGATGCTGCTGGTCGTCTTCTCCTTTCTGAGAAAAGTAGCGTGGGACTATGGGCGCCTGGCTCTGGTGACTGACGCTGACAGGTAATAACAGCAGAGCGCTTTGACCTGGAAGGTCCAGTACTGAGTCATAGAGAGGAAAAACACTGTGGAATAAATCAATAATGTGAACAATTGATCAGGGAGGTAACCGTATCAGACTCTCATGAGAGGACAAATCACAAAAACAAGTCTATCACATGATCTCTCTCTCTCTCTGATGCAGAAGTGAAGCTGTACATTTCTTCTTCACAGTCTTTTGGCTCGGCTGGATTTCTGATCTTATATAAGTCGTATTTCTGGACATCCACATGTTCTGTTTTTGATCGTCTCTTTTCTCATTTCTTGACATAAGGACATTGAAATACTTCCACATGTCAGATCTAAAAGCAGCTGCAGCTTTTACAGTTCGAGAATCCTCTCTCAGTGCCGGACCACGATGTTACAGAGCTCACACATCCACCCAAACCAGAATGACACAGTGGAGTAGGGCTGGGCGATAATCCGAAAATTTACCGATACAGACATTTATGACAATAAATAACGTCATTGTGCCCATATCGGTATAGTTGTAGACGAAGTTAATGTGGGAGGGGCTGAGCAGCTCGTGGAGTAGTTATCCTCCATTTATCGTTATCGAGGTGAACTGATCAATATATCCTGATATTGATTTGAGGACATATCGCCCAGCCCTACAGTGAAGTTTTTCCAATAACAGCGCTGTGTGAATTATTAATCTGCGCTTTAAAAGGCGCTCATCGTCATCGCTGCTCCTGAGCCTCATTGATCCAGAACCAGGTCAGAGGTTTTCATCTGCCAGACATCACAAGGACTGTACCCTAGACGAGAAGTCGGCGTCAGCAGTTTCAACTTTTGCACTTGTTACTCGGTTTCTGTACTTTTGCAACAAATGAGGTCAAACCGTTTTTAGAGAGAGACAGAAACAGAAGAGGAAGAATTGAGGAACTGTAAGCGATCCAGAACTCTTAACATCGATCCTCCAGACCGCTCTAAAGCCTCAGTCTGAATCTAAGATCCTCATTATCACATCACAACACACCGACAGATCTAAAAGGACCATTAAAGAAAACGTCTATCCTAATCCGATGATGTGAGGGAGTGTTGGTGCAGCTGAAGGTGTTCTGGAGGAGAAGAAGGAGCGAAGGACTTCTTCTTCATTACAGACCTCTTTGTCTGTGAACCCTGAGAGTCCATGACACAGTGCTCCATCACCTACTTCCCCCCGCCGCGTCTGTGTGATGGTGCAGCTTCACTGTTTTTGCAGCTGCGTGTGAGCCAAGTTCGGGGGGTTTGCGGCGTGGCGGGGAGCCGGGAGGGGGGGGACGGCATGAGACACTTTAGTATCAGACGGGAAGTTTGATGTCTCATGACACTGAGCTGACTTTAGATCTTCCTAAGACAATCTGGAAAGTGAAAGCTGACTTGAGCCTGACTCATCAGCAGATATTAAATCTGGTTTGTGTTTTTGTAGGAGCTGCACTCGTCATGGAGACACAATTTCTGTGATCGATACAGCCGCTGATTATTCCTCCAATCAAACGATTATTTGTCTGATCTGATTCATGTCAAAGAGTTGCAGGAAATGCTCATCTGAATTTCCCAGAACCCCAAAGAGATGTCCTCATGAAGCTTCTTTTAGAAAGCAGACTGTTTAAGGCTGAAGTTTATGTATTTGAAGAAGAAAAGAAGAGGCGTAGGTCTGCAGAAATGACCAAATATATGCAGAGATGATCAGATATTTGGAGACTAGTTTTCTGTTTATTGATAAAACAAATGTAGAAAACTCTCCAGACTTGGATCAGTAGTTTTGGGTCTTAACTTTCACTCGTGGTCTAAACAGTTTAGACTTTCAGGTCTGCTCAGATTTCTTATTTTTGATAATACTGAAATACAGGAATGTGATTCTGATGGATTCATCTTGAATTCTGGACTTTTCTACCCTGAGATTTGACCCACGTGAATTATGATAACCATAAAACGACATATTTAGAATTAAAGAGTAATAAGTAAAGGGGAAACCCAGAACATACAGGGTCAGTACAGGATCATACTTTCTCTATTTCTCTGGTTGATCAAACGATCTTTTTTTTATTCATTTGTTTCTTCACAGTCGTCTTTTTGTGACGGTAACAGATCACATGCTGAACTCTTAAATTCGTTTTCACCATCCTCCAATTTTAACAAATTAAAGTCCATTCAAAGAAATTCTGGTCATGTGATTTAATAACCGTCAGACAATAGTATAGAAATATTAGTATAGAGACGACTCGTGCGTAGCTGCAGAGATTGTGCCAGTTCTCTGTTGTCTGGATTGTGGATCAGAGACTCAGCTGAAATCAGGTTTAAGGATCAGAACTAAGAGACTAAAAGACCATTTCTGTTTTTATGGACATGATTTCTGAGAGATGATGGCGTCTGTTAAAGAGAACATCATCTCCACTCGCTCTGACACTCCTGCTCCTCATGTTTTCTGGTCCATGTGGGGACGTTGAATCCAGGCTGGACGATTATGGCAGAAATATAATCAGTTATTTTGACTGATCTTAAAATCACGGTTAAAATTCGATTAATGGTCCAGCTCTACTGAAACGGTTTGGTGTGAATATGTCGGGCTGAGCGACGTGGACTAAAAATACAATCTCTGATTTTGACAAAAACTTGATGATGACAAAGACACGAGTGTTTTTATTTTATCATTAACAGGTAAATCAGATTAAAGTTGTTAAAATGCACGCTGTGAAGAGGAGCAGAGGGTTTACATGAACACTGAGGGCAGCAGGAATTTAGAGGATTATCAACAGAGACTTTTTCTGTCATCTTTAATAAAAACTGTAGAAGTGAAAGTATTTTTAAGTTTCCATAAACAAACTCAGAAATGCTCCTGTAAGTGAAAACAAAGGTTTCTAACGTGTACTTTTAAGACTGATGTGTACTAAACTGTAACCAGCCCTCAGTGGTCAGTGGAATATTCTCCTGAAACCAGCAGCACGCTCTCTGTCCTCTCTAAACTGGTTTTATTTTGCTTCTCCTCCACCAGAAGAATGGATCAGCGGTACAGTCGGCTGGACGATCGGGAATAGTAGGTCCTCTCTCCGTACAGTCGACTCACTAACGTCTTCTTCTCTCCATCACCTCTCTGTAGTTAACCTAACTCACGAGTCTGGTTCTCTCTGCTCAGGCCGCTGTGGGTTTCAGCCTCTTATCACTCTTGTTGGTCGGGCTTTTCTCCTCCTCCTCCTCCTCCTCCTCCTCCTCCTCTTCCTCCAGGCGTTTCCCAGTACCAGGCTCCTAATCTTCCCCCTCTGTCCACTCTTATGTCTGCTGCTGTCGGGTGTCTCTGTCCTCTCTCACTGTCCTAATCAGATCTGTGTGTGCTAATCCGTGTATTGACCTCTTTATCAAGCATGGACTTCTTCTCTCTGAGCGGACCACATGAGCTGCACAGACACGACCCTGACAGGGAGAGGTAAAGCTCCCCTGATGACTGTGGTTCATAGACAGGCCCTAACATGGAGCGCCTTCAGTTTCCTGTCTACTAGAGCCGAGACCAACCACTCCTACTCTTTACAGGAATGTGAGAGGAGGACTGACGGTGGATTACAGCCGCAGGCTTTCTCCTCATTCCATTAGAGGTCTCTTAGATCCCCGGGTGACGTCATCCTGTTTAATGTAGTTCTCTGAGCTCTGAATCAAGATTGGAATTCCTGCAGAGTCAGGGCCCTCCTCATGTTTTTATGGTTACGTCAAATTCGACCCGACATTACCTCACCGGGAAGTGCTTTAAAAATTATACAACGACAATTCCTGAAATGTTGGGACACAGTTTTTGAATGTTCAAAGGTGCAAAAGACGCCAGCGACATGTTTCAGAGAGAGTCAGGACAGGGTCGGGATCATCTCTTTTATTTTACCATCACTCTGCAAACATCAGTGAACCCAGCAGACCAGGTTCTGGAGTCTGGAAGTGAACTGGAGTCTCTATAGGACTATAGCGGCTCAAGAGTTCGGGGTCTCTGAGGCCAGGACTCTTCTCCTACAGAGCCATGCTGTTGTCAGAATGTGGTTTGGGATCATCTGAAGGTCTTTCCTGAAAAAGTCTTTGTCTGGGTGGACGCAGATGTTGCTTCTAAAGTTGAAGATATTATTTAAAACTGAGGATGCAGCATCTATGATTTCCACTTCTTCGTTTCTAAGGCGAAACATCTCAATAAGTCCAGTTGTTCTTTCCAATAGAGAGTTAGATTGTGATATTAAGCCCATGCAGTGACTCCAACTACAGAGTCCCGATTCTCCAGAACCTGTAGATGTTGTTCAGCATTAATGAAGCCTTCACAGATGTGGAAGATACCCATGACATGGACTCTGATGATCTACAGACCATCAGAGATGCCGACGACAAGCAGGGTGGACTCTAGATATTTTAAAACTGAGGACACAGTATCTATGATTTCCAATTCTTCGTCCAGAGTCCTGTCTGTTTTTAGTGCCCTGAAGATCAGGACCATCCAGTCCTGGTTCTGAAACTGTTGAACTTTAATTTGTCCCTGAAACGACTTTTATGAAACATGTCGCTGTCGTCACATTTAAAGTAAAAACATAATTGAACAAACTTTTTCAGTAAATGGTTAAAAAAACCTTAAATTCAGTTTTTATTCAGTGTCCCGGCTCTGTCAGGACTGGTCTTGTTTATTTAAAACACTCTGCGGTGTGTGTGGAGGAGTTCCTGTGGCTCAGCTGGATCAACTCCGTGAATCACCTCCTTCTCCTTCTTCTTCATGATCGCTGGTTTTCTGTTTCCTCTGTGATCTTCTCCTGTAGAGCTTAGCCTCCTAACGTCTCCACCTTTCCTCTGACAGTGACGGTGTTGTTCACTCTCTCTCTGTGTAAAGTAGGCTCCTAATGCTGCATGAGATGTGGCTGCAGAGATTTTCCCTGTGGTCTGACGGTTAACCGACACAAATCCTGTGTGGAGCCCTCAGAGGGTAAACAGGGGTGAATCTCTTCAGTCCCATTTCAGGGCGTGTGTGTGTTTTGTGTGTGTTTTGTGTTGTCACCTGTCTCATACTGATGGTAATCCCTCTGTCATGACACCACAAACACGAACATGCGGAGGTGTTGATTGGAGGTTTCTGTGTGTCCTCTCTCTACAGCGTGGCGTCTGCTTTGACATCAGAGACACCAGAGCGCTACGAGCGACTGACCTCAGTTTCCAGCTCCGTGGACATCGACCAGAGAGACACAGTAAGGCTGCTGCTCCTACAGGATAAACCTGGAATTACGTCTTTTCTGAGGCGCTTTAACTCTTGTTATGTTGTCTCTTTAGGGCTTCTGCTCCTGGCTAACTGCGATCTTTCGCATCAAGTGAGTCAACCTTCTCGTGTTTTACCTCAAAGTCCCACTCCGATCGTTTTAAAGTGTCCTCAGTGGTCTTTAAATTGTGATTATGAAGTTTTTAGCCAAATTCACGTCATGTTCAAGCGCTTTTCTTCTGCAGAGCTCCAGCAGCTCATTAGCGATTCGCCTCTGAGTCGTGGGCGGAGACAGCGCTGCTCTGCACACTCCTCTTCACGCTAGCTTGTAGCCTAACATTGTCGGTGTAGTAGAAGTAGCAGGTAACATAGGAGATATTCAGCTCTCAGATACTAATGTCTTTGGAGACATGATGAAAGTTAATATCATAATTAGCTTAGAGTCTGGCCTGCATAGTGGGGCTCCGGGGGCGGAGCTTGGATTTGTGACATGGGAAATCTCACAGAATCTGAACCTGCCAGAGATTCACAGAGATTTGGATTCAGAAATACTCAGAAATGCAATTTCCGTAGCATCAGAAAAATGAATATATGCACATGTAGACGACAAGACAAAGTAGATTTTCATCGTAGTGGGTCTGTAAAGGGTAGATAAATGGAATGTTTAGATTTTTTTGGTTGAATTGTTGCTGTGTCGCTTCGTAGGGATGAAGAGATCAGGGAGAAGTGCGGCGAAGACGCCGTTCACTACCTGTCCTTTCAGCGGCACATCATCGGCCTGTTGGTGGTGGTCGGCGTTCTTTCTGTGGGCATCATCCTGCCGGTGAACTTCTCTGGAAACCTACTTGGTAAGTCAGCCGGTGAAAAAACAACCCCAGGATGATTCAGAAAATACAGACGATGAATATTTCACACATCTGTGTGTAAAACTGTGCAGACTTTAACTTTGATTTTTAAGAGACAAAAACAGTAAAAATCAGCAACTTTATAAAGAAGTATGTTCATAAATATTGTGTTGATGTTACAACACTTTTATAAAGAGTCATGTCACTAACAAATGAACATCTTCTTCCTTTTTTTCCTCAGACAACAACGCCTACAGTTTTGGGCGAACCACTATAGCAAACCTGGATTCAGAGTGAGTCTTTCTCACACAGATGCACCTTTAAAAAAAACTAAAGAGGGTTTCATGACAAAGTGCACATGTGTAAACTGAAGTGTTTTAAATGTTTACAGTTTTAAATTTAAGACCTTCAGCCTCTTACAGCAGAGAAACAGGCTGATGATAATTATTTAAACAAAAGTCTTTAAATTCTTCATTTCACATCTAATCAGAATATGATAGTTCACTTTTTTAAAATTTATATTATGAATAAAAACTGGAGGTTTTCATAGATGGATCTGTAGTTTCATAGTGTTATTATTATATTATTATTAGTATACATCGTGCTCTGAGTCAAAACCTCCGTCTTTAGCGCTCTAACATGATCGTTTTCTCCCTCTCATTTCCTCAGTAACAATCTACTCTGGCTGCACACCACCTTTGCATTTCTCTACCTGTTACTGACGGTGTACAGCATGCGACGGCACACTTCCAAGATGCACTACAAGGAGGATGACCTGGTGAGTGGCAGCACATCCAGAAATAACTGATTTCACTACCTTCAGTCATTAATACCCACCCTGTCTTTATTTCCCTGCAGGTGAAACGCACTTTATTTGTCAACGGGATCTCCAAGTACGCAGAGGAGACGGAGATAAAGCAACACTTTGAGTAAGATCGGCAGTATCCCGACTCGAGTGTTAATAACTCACCGATTGGCTGAAATCTGTCCGCTCCGTTTAGACGTGGTTAAGCTCTGCTGCGGCTGCATTAAGGCGTATGAGCGCCGTGCTCCTCCCTGTTAAAAGCAGCTCTACATAGAGCCTGAACCAGACAATGACCGGCTTATATATGTGTAATTGTCCATAATAGAAACCAGATGAGCAGATAATGAAAGTCATGTGTCTGGATGGTTGAAGGCTAAAGACGGAGGTCTGGCTCAGGCGAACAGGACTCACCAAAATCCACTTCCTGTGCGGCAGATTTAAAGAGCGTGATTATGTTTATAAAATAAGACAAAAAGTTTAAAGAAATTCACGTCAGTCACTTTTGGTTTTGTGCTTTTTATGACTTTTGTAGTGAGATTAAATAATCAGATATACAGACGGGCGCTCACAGATTTGGAAAGCATCGTCATGAGCGGTTTAAACCTGTTTTTCTTTTATATCAGATGTAAAATATAAGAAATAAAGTAGTTAAAGTTTAAAGATTGAATCCAGTTCTGAAACTCTGAGCCTGTGGCGTTTACAGTCGATGTTTTTTTTCTTTTCTAACTCAGTGTAGCGACCGCTTTCCTTCAACAAAAAAGGCAAAAAAAGGCAAAAAAGACTCGTCAATTCATCAGTCGGGTTTGAGTGTTAAAGGTGATTTATTGTTCAAAAGGGAGAGAAAACACACTGATCCAGGTCATGAAAAGTGATATGATGAAATGAGGGTAAAAGGACAAGTGAAAAAACAGTCAACAGAAAATTATCAGACCTGACCAAAACCCGTTGTTTCAGAGTACAGCCGTGTTTTTAAATCACCCGCCAAACATCCCAAAACCACACCCCTCAGTGTCGATCTCCAGGAGTGAGATACTCAGGAGAAATCGTCTCCTCAACACGCTCAGTTCAGGTCTTTTATTTTTACATTTTCCCTCCTCTCTAAGTTTCTTTTCTTCTTTTTTACAGGCAGGCGTATGAAAACTGTGTCGTACTGGAAGCTCGTATCTGTTACAATGTGGCCAGGCTGATGTACCTCAACTCTGAAAGGTAAAACAGCGTGTGTGTTTTGGTTTGTGTGTGAGTGTGAGCGTCCTCTCTGTCTCTCTCCTGTTGTCATCTTGTTTCAGTGAAATCCTCGTCTCACTGCTGACGTCTGTTTGCAGGAAGAAGGCCGAGCGCAGCAAGAAGTTCTTCCTTGACCTGCAGGACAAAGAGCACATCAGCAGCATGATCAATCCCAAACCCTGCGGACACCTCTGCTGTTGCATCATCAAAGGCTGCGAGCAGGTCGGACTCGTTGCACCATTTTCTTTATCTGAAAACGACACACACTCAGGAAACATGTTCACCAGCTCAGAAACACACAGACGGAGATAAGGAGCCGATCCATGAGAACGGTTCAGAGAATCCGAGCTCGTCTGAAACATCTGACACGTCTTTATCTGCTCCTGGACGGAGTTTCTTCACCGCTCGTGTCGCTAATCCTCAAATAACCTGATCGGAGATGTTGTTCTTTTCATCTGCACCCGTTTACGTCTGCGCCGTAATGTCCTATTCAGTTTTACTTTGCTGACTTGCATTAGGAGTAAAAAGGTCAGATGCTAGTGTGTGTGTGTGTGTGTGAGTGTGTGTGTGTGTGTGTGTGTGTTTGTAAGTGTATTAATAGCTTTACGATCATGTGACGTGCGGTAAATGGTTGGATGAGGTAAACAGATTAGAGGAAATGAAGACGACTTCAAACTTTTGTGTTTCATTTTTAGAAACAGAGTAAATTATCTGTAACTCTGTTATTATGACCAAACTGGAGCACAAAAGTGACATGATATCTATGATTTATAATATTTATAGAGGTTTTTTTTTTTCAGTTTTGTTTCTTGATTTGATTTTTTTATGAATCCTCAAAGCACGCTGATAAAAAATAGAAGCGAATCAGAAGTGGAATACGACCTTTTCTGTGTCCACTGTATGTTTACTTCTGACTGGGAAAGCTCTGGGCTGTTTGTCTGGTGCTCTGATGTGTTTCCAGAATACTAATGCACATCCAACAAGCACAAACATCCAAACTACAATTAATTCAAAAAGCTGCTGCCAGACTACGAAGAGACCACACCGCAGCAGTTTTAGACGAGATTTAAAGGTTTGACCGCTAGTTTTTTTTACGTCTCAGAATGACTTCAGCTTTTATCTGTGGACCGCTGACTCCCTACGAGTCAGACCGCAGCCTGAGGTTTTCTAGCAGGACCTTACTCGTGGTTCCTAAATCTCAGCGAGGTGACTGCAGCGGTACAAACTATAACAGGAGGAGGAGGAGGAGGAGACTCTTGTGTTGCTGCTCTGTTGTGTCATTGTACACAAACACAAAACTGCATTATATGAATTAAGATCATCCCACACGTTTGATGAGATACAACAGTTGGTGTGAATTGTGCGATCGTGTGGGGTTTCAGTTTCAGAGATTGTTGCAGATCAGTGTAACAGAGTTTAAAGTCTGGTCATTAGATCTATAGAAACGTCACGTTTTCACGTGTTCCTGACAGGAAGAGGCGGTGAGCTACTACACCAAACTGGAGGCCCAGCTGAAGGACGACTACAGGAAGGAGAGAGAGAAGGTGAACAGGAAGCCGTTGGGGATGGCCTTCGTCACCTTCCAGAACGAGGCCATAACCGCCATGTAAGGACATTTAAAGTGTTCGATCCTTTATAGATGTGCGTCCTCGTCGTCGATTTGAAACTAACTCTCTGGTCTCTGATTCCTGGTCTTTGGGTTTTCCTCTCAGAATCCTGAAGGACTTTAACGCCTGTAAGTGTCAGGGCTGTCAGTGCCGCCGGGAGCCCAAGATCTCTCAGTTCAGCGCCAAGCTCCACACGCACAACTGGACCGTCAGCTACGCCCCGGATCCACAGAACGTCTACTGGTGAGCTCACAGTCCGGGTCACACAGTCTCTTTAAAGGGCGGTTCCGCTTTAACTGCATGAACGTCTTTGGTCCACATACCCAAGTATCAGGTTACGACCAGCTGTGTCCATCTAACCGCTGCACGACCTTTATCCCACAGGGAGCATCTGTCAGTGGGCGGGGCCTCCTGGTGGCTCCGCTGTTTGATCATCAACATTGTCCTCTTCCTCCTCCTGTTCTTCCTCACCACCCCTGCCATCATTATCTCCACCATGGACAAGTTCAACGTCACCAAACCTGTGGAGTACCTCAACGTGAGTTTAAGACCTGAAGTTACCTTTGTTAGTTCTTGTAGCTCCTCCTCCTTCTTCTTCTTCTTCAGCTCTGAGACCGTTGTCTTCTTCATGTCTTAACTTCATGTCTCTCTCTTGAATCTGTCCCGCAGAATCCAATCATCACCCAGTTCTTCCCGACCCTCCTCCTGTGGTCCTTCTCCGCTTTACTCCCGACCATCGTCTACTACTCTGCCTTTTTTGAAGCCCACTGGACCCGGTACGGTTAAACTTGGTTTTTCTGTTCTGATTGTGACGTCTGTCTGGATTTAATCGTGTTTAATCGTCTCTGTTTGGTCTGCAGGTCTGGAGAGAACAGGACCACGATGCATAAATGCTACACCTTCTTGATCTTCATGGTCCTGTTGCTGCCCTCTCTTGGACTCAGCAGGTACAGCGTGCTCTTAAAGCTACAGTCAGTGTTTTTTTAGATTCATCCTGTCACTGACTCTTTTGTCCTCGTATCTCTGCAGTTTGGACGTTTTCTTCCGCTGGCTTTTCGACACAAGTTTCCTGGATCTTGCGACCGTCAGATTTCAGTGAGTTGATCGAGTTTCGGACGATCCGTTCAGATTTTACTGCGACGTTGACTTTTCCTGTCGTTCCCAAGGTGTGTGTTCCTCCCTGACAACGGCGCCTTTTTCGTGAACTACGTCATCGCGTCCGCGTTCATCGGTAACGCCATGGACCTGCTGAGGATACCCGGTCTGCTCATGTACATGATCCGGCTGTGTTTGGCTCGCTCCGCCGCAGAGAGGAGAAACGTGAAGAGGGTGAGTGTGTCCGAGGAGACCAGGTCTGAGGAGGCGAACCCACAGCTGATCCAGTCTGTGTGAAAACATTAGATTCATTCTACAACTGAAATATCATCAGTGAAATATTTTAAGGTTAGAGTTTTGTCTGAGTAGGGCTGGGCGATAAACCGAAAATTTACCGATCCTGAAATTTACGACAATAACCAACGTCATTTTGCCCATATCGGAATATTCGGTGTCAAAAAAATGAATAAATCAAAGTTGGTTTTGGTCGTGTGAAGGTAGGCTATGGTCTCATGTAGGCCTGGGCGATTTGGCAAAAAAAATGATCACGATATATTTTGTCATATCTTCCGATCTCGATTATTATCACGATTTTTTTTTTAAACTGCTGGTTTTAAAGCATCTGTACTAAAAACTAAAGAAAGTAGAGATTATTTCAACATTTTACTCTCATACAAAGTAAATTGAATAAGATAAACTTAGAAAAATATAAAACGCATTTTAACTCAACAGAACAACAAATGTAGATAAATACTAAATAATAAAGTGAACTAGTTTCTGCAGGTATGAAAGACCCCAAATAAACAAATCTCCCCCTCAAAGATAATGAAGACGCCTTAAAAAATAAACATCAGAGGATGTAAAAGTAGATGAGACGATTGATTGCTTTGGTCTGGTTGCTGCACCGCTAGTTGTAGCTAAACTGCTAATGCTGTTTGTGCCGTCAGCTGTGACTCCGCCCACATTTTCATGCTTTCCTCATAATCACTCGGGAAGAACTTCTTTAAATGATTAAACAGATCTGTTGTGTTTCCGTTTTTTGAGGCACCGACCGCCGACATAACTCACACATCGGCTTAATTACTCGACGTCACTTTGGAGATACCTGAACCATCGCCACACAACCGACGCTGAATAACTTCATAACAAAAACATCTTCAGAGGATGTCTTTAAGTCACAGCTGACATCTATTCTGTTGCCCTCAGCTCCACGTTTGGTCATTCTGTACTCCTGTTTACTTCTACGGCAACTTACAGAAGTGATCCGGAAAAGCTCGACTCTGATTGGCTGTTATCACGCACATGAAACTGGAAATGTAAACTTGTCCTGATGAACGAGTCAAGTCAATAATTTCTGGTGTCGACCTTCTCCCTGTGACACAGACTGAGTTTATTTACACTCACAGCCGAGTCTCACTCATGTCCTCCTTCACTTTTATATGTTTTGATGTTTCACGAGTTCGTTCAGACTCTAGAAATCCGAGCGTCAGGATCTTCTTAATGAACCTCAAAGATCCTCGTCTGAATCAGCTCCACGTGATCCTGATTTTCTTTGTTTCTGTCTCTCAGCATCAAGCCTATGAGTTCCAGTTCGGGGCGGCGTACGCCTGGATGATGTGTGTCTTCACCGTGGTCATGACCTACAGCATCACCTGTCCTATCATCGTCCCCTTTGGTGAGCCCCGTTGTATATAAAGGTGGAGAGCTGAGTGAATGAGTGCAGGTCTGAGCGCGCTCAGTGGGTCTGTTCCTGGTCCAAAGCTTATCAGCCGCTCTAATTGGATGAGCTGCTCTGATTGTTTTCTCTCCGCAGGTCTGATGTACATGCTGCTCAAACACCTGGCCGACAGGTACAACATGTACTACGCGTATCTGCCCACAAAACTGGACAAGAAGATCCACTCTGGAGCCGTCAACCAGGTGGTGGCCGCTCCTATCCTCTGCCTCTTCTGGCTCCTCTTCTTCCTCACTGTTCGCTCGGGTAAGACGAGGACGCCCCCTGCAGGCTGCCGACGTTAAAACACCTGTTACGATTAGAAAGCAGGTCCAGAAACATTAAACTCTTTTCTCTCCTCTTCAGGGTTTTCAGCGGCAACTTCCATGTTCACATTTATCGTTTTGATCATCACAATCATCATCTGCCTCTCTCACGTCTGTTTTGGACACTTTAAATATCTCAGCGCTCACAACTACAAGGTGAAACTCTCGCTCTGTCAAAGATAAAAATCGTGTTTTTGTTTGTCTGCGTTGGTTAAACTCTCGTCCCTTCTGTCACAGATCGACAACCAGGTGGACGGGATCCAGAACGGACAGGCGGTCTCCTCTTTTGCCCTCACCGCTACATCGGTGAGTGGTCACTTTTATTTATTTAATGACAGTTCGAGCCTCCAGATCAAATACGGGGGCAGAAAAACACACAAACAAGACGAGGAACACGTTTGTGCTCCGAGGATGAGACCGCGTCATTCTTAGATCCTGGAAAAGTCCTGGAAAGGACACTGAAATGCCTGGAAAAGTCTTTATCTCATATGAGGAGTGTCTTAAATTCTGTATTATTGTTAATTTGATCTCATGAGGAGTCATGAAGATAACAGTAAGATCACCGTCAGTCAGGTCGGTTCGATGTTTTGGTCAGGTGATCTTACTTTAGGAGGACCAGCTCTCAGGTTTTGACATCCTCCTCTTTTTTTCTCCTCCGCAGCAAAGTTACATCGCTCAGGTACTTCAGGACCCGAGTTTGGAGGAGGGCGGCTCAGGCAGCGGCGAGGACGACGGCCAGGGGTCCTCGCAGGACGAGGAAATAATCAACATGGAGAACGGTCTGACTGAGGACTTCCAATCTGGTGAGGACAGCCTCATCGACCACGAAGTGAGGAACTGACGTCCACGAACTCACCCCTCCCTCCCTTTAAGTCAAGCCCACGGACTGCACTGAAGATGTGAATGAAAGGAGGAGCGCCTCAGCCTCCACAGAGGAACTTTGACACTAACACAAGCACACCGTCTACTTTAACGGATTTAACGGATTGTTGCTCAGACTCTTAAACGTGGACCTTCAGAGGGAACCGGTGACCTCCTCCTGCCCTGATCCAGCCCAAAACTGCACATGATGGACCCACGAGAAGAAGAAGAAGAAGAAAGACACTACTGCACAAATGAAGAATTGTCCTCGTCTGACCGGGGCGTGATGTCTGTCTGTATCTTTAACATTATTGCACTTGAAAACAGAGAACCTGTCCTATAAGCTCCAGTCTCACTGAGGTACTGTGGTTCAGCATGCCTTCATGGTGGAGGAGGGCGGAGGGCGGAGGTTCCTCCTGACATCCTTCGCCTGTATCTCTAACCGTCTGCACTACTTTCTCTGCTGGTGTGAGAGGAGGAGACGGAGAGAAGGGGGCGGAGTCTCCCCTCTGTGACGGTCTCTAAACTGTTCTTCCAAACCCACGAAAGCCTTCAAATCAAAAAAGAGGAAAAAAATCGACGCCACTAACACTCCTGACGCTTTGACTCTGTACAGCTGCGAAAACTCCAGATTTATGGTATTTATTTGAAACACTAGTGAGTTTGATTTTCCCTGAAACTGTGGAAGAAGAAGAAGAAGAAGAAGAAGAGGGCGGATATCTCGGCACACTACATGACCAAGACTCTGGACGTCTCTGAGCCTTTTGGTGGGACTGCTGTCGGACTGCTGCTACTCAAGCTGCCTCCACTAGGGGGAAACGTTTGCACGGCGGCGGCTGCAGGAGGACCGGCGGCCTGGTGCCTGCTGGTCCTTTTGTGCTGCTCGGAGAGGAGAGAAAGTCTGTTTGGGACTTTGTTTGTTTAGTTTTTTTCTGGGTCAGTCTCAGCTGATCCTGGTTCTCTTTTCTGTTGTTCTCATTTGTTTGATTTTTGATCGTTTGTTTACGTCTTGATGTCGAGATTTGGGATTCAGCGCTCAGTTTGAGATGCTCTCACTCTGTCAGGTCTGATAACCTCGTTGTTTAGATGTAGCCTCTCTCAGCATTGTTACACCTTCCTAATAATTCACTGTGTTCAACTTTAGCCTCTCAACACTCTCAGATCTTTAAATCTACTGTAAACCCTCCAAACACCCGAGCTGAAGAAGTTCTTACCCTCCAACAGTCGGAGGTCCGCTCTCTCACTTTGGTGGACCTCTGTCAGTGCAATAATCGAAAACTACTGCTACACACTTCACTTTAGACCCCCGTATTAGACGTCCAGTTTGGTTTTTATGTACGAGGGACCACTTTGGGTGGAGTTTGGAGCTTCACACGCTTAAAGGAGACCTGCTTTACTCAGTTTGACCTTTCTTTCAGTCTGGGACACCTGGAGAGCAGCTCAGCGTGATTTTCAGCTGAAGAACTCCTGATTTATGGCAAACCGGCGTTTGTGATGCCCCCCCCCCCATTTTGTAGAAAATGCCAAATGCATCTTCCAGCTTGTGGTTCTGGATCTTCATGGAGGTCTTTCTAGTTCAGCTCCGTGTTAAAGTAACAGCTGAGACTCAGATCATCAGAGGAGTCATCAGTCGCCACTTTCTGATGCCTTTGTCCAACATTTGAACATCATCAGACTCCAGATCAGTGATCGTAGGTCTCCTTAAAGTGATCAATATCAGTCTGACAATAGGTTAAATATATTTGTTCAGCTCCCTCTCACCCACACAAATCCTCGTCCTCTTCCGTGTCACGTTCGTCTTTTACAAGAGACTCTTTCCTCGTTCGTTTGACTCGAAGCCTGTCTACAGTTTTACACACAGTGCCTCTCATGAGCGATCGACCTCCATGAACTTTCCCCGCTTTAGAATAAAGAAAATAAAGGTTATTTTTATTATTCCTAGAAAGCTGCGCAGAAATAAATCAGATGCTCTTGATGTGGCGATCATAGTTTCACATTAATCATGAAAATTTTAGATGTTTTTAGAGCGTTCAGCAGAAATGTCCCGATCATGATCTCGACCGTATTATTGAAGCAGATCTAGATGTTTTCTAAATCACTGAGGATCTGCAGTTCCTGAACTCTGGTTGTTTAGATCAGCTGTTGCAAATGCAGACTAAATTATCTGAACCTACAAAGACAAAAACACGAAAACAGCTCCTTAATATTCATGCAGTATGATTGTTTCTGCAAGTAAAGCTGCATTCACTACAACCGATGAGATACGACATCTGAAAACTGATCATGTAACTGATTTTAAAGCAGCAGCAGAGGAAAGACTTCTGCAAAATGAAGGATGTACGTCTAGGAGAGAGAGTGAACGAGCTGAGAGGATCACGGTGAAGGAAAACTGGTCCGTCGCCGAGCTAGAGCGACGTCTTTTAGATCGTTCTGCATCAGAGAAACCACCTTAACGAGGCGGTACAGCAAAGTTTGTGGTGATGTCCAAGGTGATTGGATGAAATTCTCTGTTAGTTAATTAAGTTAATTAATGCAGCTTCGTTCTTTTGGCACCTACAGGAATCAGTTCAGGACTTTGTATCTCAACAGGAGATAAACTGGGCAGACTGGGACATTCCCATCATACTGTATATCCAAAACTCCATCTTTCTGCGCAGCTTTAAAAAGACACTACATGAGGGATTTAAAGGGGGTGAAAACTCCAGCCAGGCACCGATGATTTAGCCTCTTTAAACATCATCTTCAGGTGTTTTAATGAGATATTTATGGATGAAGTTCTTCATAAAACCCTAACAGAAAATATCTGCACTACTCCTTTAATACTTCCTGATCCAGTGACGAGCTTCAGATGGAAACACGCAGACGTAAAACTGAAACACGGTTCCTGAGCTGAGACGAAGACGACACTATGAGCCGCCCTGTTAGAGTCAAAGATGATCACCTCTGACACTTTGGACCAAAAACTGTTCTCAGATCTGAGGAGACGTATCTCAGCTGCTCAGAGGACCACTGTGGAGAACGTGCACTAACTAACCTTCACTTAGATGATTGACAGAGAAGGGCGCACCACTGTGACGATGACGACAAAGATCCTTAACGTTAATCTCCGATTTTCTTCTCTCTCCGCTCTGAAAGCCTCATTCCTCTCGTACTAACGCGTACTGTTTGACACCTGTGGTTCAGGTGCTCCTCTGGTCATGAAAAGGTGATTTTATATTTTATACCTCTTCATTTTTATACCTCTGACATGTCTTGAAATCTCTGAATGTGTTCCGCTCTGAGGAGATTCTTCATGATCTCTGTTTCAGAGCTGAATGTCGGTTTAACTCCTCGACTTTTTCTAAGTGGCTTCATGTTTGACGGCTGTTTCTGCAGCTCAAAGGGCAGTTCACCTGTTAACCTGAGATTTTATACGCTAACTAAGCTGACGCTGTCGTCGTCCTTTTTTTATGTCGTGGCATTTCATTTGAGTTCAGCCTGCCGTCTTCTGCTCCTTCTGAGTCCAGCTTCTTAGTTTAGATTCAGGTCTTCGTAGATTCTGGGACTCACTGGAACTAAAAGGATGTTGTTTTTGTAAAAGTTAAGCTCTAATAGAAGTCATCAGTGTTCTCTAAACAGTCAAATGTCTCTGCGTGTTTTTCGGAGCTCTGCCTCTTTTAGTTTGACGGGGAGAGTAACCTCTGCAGAAATCATCCGTCTCATTTTTTTATTTTTCCCAAAGGGCCGCCTGTAATACAGATATATATAAAAACTGTGTATATATATCTTTACTTCTCTCCCTCAGCTCTTTGAAAAATAAACTCTGTGTAATCAAAACCTTCGGCTTCAAGAGTTTCTTTTTAATCAACCTGAAGTTTAGTCGGTTAAAAAAACAGCCTGAGTGAGTTCACCTTTACAAGCTCTGCTTCAGTGAGAGTCAGACTTAATATCTTGTGTGTACAAATTATTATATTGTGAAAACAAGATATTAACTAATGTCCACAGTTTAGTGTCAGTTTATTATTGTGTGGGAACGTGGATTTATCTTGTGCTCAACAACTTTCAAGTAAAAGGTACTTTCTCTTCTGCACAGATGAACGTTATGGTGGCCGAGAACCGCCACTGCTGCAAATAAAAAAGAATGCAAAAAAAAAAAAAAGAAACCGAAGCCCGCTGCAAATAAAAAAAGAAACGGTGCAGATTTTAAAAAGGCAAAACAGAAGTTAGCGATGCAAAAAAAAGTGGCAATGGGAAAATAAAAGTTACGTACTGCAAAAATAAAATGATGCAAATAAAAAAAACATAACGGTAGTGAGCTGCCGGGGACCAATAATGATGACGCACTGGTGTTTTACGATCTAGGCACAAAAGACGACGGCGAGAGTTGATATGAAGTTAAACTGAAGCTAACTCTACACCGACATCCTCCAGTTCAACTTCATATGGACTCAGGCGCTACATGGTCTAAAATGACACGTTGAAAAGTTTACAAAGCAAAATTAATCAATAACCTTTCCACTTATTTGTTCGTCTTCTCGCTGTCGTCTTTTGTGCTTAGATCGTAAAACACCAGTGCGTCATCATTATTGGTCCCCGGCAGCTCACTTCCGTAATGTTTTTTTTTTTTTATTTGCATCATTTTATTTTTGCAGGAAGTAACTTTTTTTTTTCTATTGCCACTTTTTTTTTTTTGCGTCATTAACTTTTGTTGCGGCCTTTTTTTTCTTTTTTTCATCTGCACCGTTTTTTTTCTTTCCTTAATTTTTTTTTCCATTCTTTTTATTTGCAGCAGTGGCGGTTCTCGGCCACCATACATTATCCTGTAAACACAAAAATATTTGGATCCTAAACGGTCTTGGAGGACAGTGGTGAACTTACGTCAACCATAGACTGTATATAACCTACCATTAGTCTATATACAGTATATTTATGTTCTGTATATACAGTCTTTGGTGTCAACACTGTCCTGTTCTCTGGGGTTGTCCACAGCGCCCCCCTGTGCCAACAAGAGAAAACGTCTCCAACATTCACAGAAAGTCACTCATCCACAGAGTAAAAACAGAATCAAGTCTCTTTATTGACAGACTTTCTGTTCCTCTCCGTGACTCCACCGTCTATGTGTCCAAAAATAAAACCAGACCGACTCTTTACGCGTGAAAACGGACACTTTAAAGAGCCGTTCCTCTAAACCCACTCAGTCTCTCTCTAATTTAGTTCAGACCGCCTCTAAACTCAGACCGGGTTTAGGGAGTGGAGGGAGGTGATTGGAGGTCAGAGGTTTCTGGTTCACCGGGGCAGGCGGTGCAGTTCTCGGTCTGAGACACTGGGTGCTGCTGGGGAGGAGGCGCAGACAGACCCGGACCTCAGACTGAGGCGCGACGTGGAAAAAAAGCAGAATGGCATTCAGGTCTTTTCAGCTCCGACACATGAGAGAGAGAAGAAACTGATCCTGTCTGAGGAGGATCTGCAGCTGACATGTAGATTCATACAGAGAAGAAGAGGAGGATCATCGAGACCATGGACGGAGGACTGACGATCACCTTTATCTCCGTGGCCATGTTTTTGGGCACGTTTATCCTCGGATTCATCCCGCTGTTGTTCAGACTCTCGGAGGTAAGATCTTTACTGTCTGAACTTCATGTAATCTGTGCGTCCTCTCTGCGTCACTGCGCAGAGTTTAAATTGTTGTTTTTGTCCATGGGATTTGGTGCATACTGTTTGCTTATCATAGAAGGAGGAGACAGAAACCCTGCAGCTGTTTTCACAGTGACATAAATCAGTGTGGGAAGTATTGGACCCGGATCAGCTGAAGTCATGTGTCTGTCCACAGAGAAGTCTGCAGTTCGTCTCTATCCTGGGGGCCGGACTCCTGTGTGGGACAGCACTGGCCATCGTCATCCCTGAGGGAGTGGGTTTACTGGAGGAGTCCTGGAGTGGTGAGGAGGACTGTCTGTTAAAATCCTCATAAACCTGTGGTCCAGGGTTCAACTGCAGTTTACTTATAATTAAAACAAACTCCTGATTTAATCCTCTCCAACCTCAACAGATTTAGGAGACTTTATCTTTTAGTTCATGACAAAGAGTAAAATAATTCAAAACTCACATTAGGAAACCCAGAAAAGTTAGTTTCATCCTTTTAATCAGATCATTTGTGTTTAAATTTTTATGCTAATAGCCCACATGATTCTTAAACTAGCATTTTTGTCACTTTTATCATTTTTGGTCTGACTTTGTTGATAAATTGTAGTTTAAAAATAAGTAAATCAGATTAAAAAGAGAATAAAAGTTCATCAAATTCAATTACAAAGTGACCAAATCATAAAAATAACTCCAAAACACTTAAAGCAGTTCAATAAGCTCTCGGTGCAAACATTGAGATAAATCATGTTTCTTTTGTTATTATCTCTTTATTTGCATTTTCAGTTTGAATATAAACAAATCACAGGTTAAATAAATGTACTTAATAAATCCCCCCAGTCCCCTCCCCCAACACCTCATGTTCCCAGATCCTCTAAAAGGAAAAGAAAGTAAGAAAGAAAGTAAATGAATAAATAAATAGTAATAATAAAAAGGATAATAATAAAGATAAAATACACCGTGAGTTATCCTGAACATACAGTACATTGTAAATAAAATTAAATTGAGTTACTGGATTAATCAGTTTTCTAAAAGCATGTGTAAGACCCCTTTATTTTCTACATTAGGACAGTTTTTTATTCCAAATTCATGAAATGTTCTCTTGACTTTTACACGTGCTGCACCACGAGATCTGAAACCAGGACCTGAAAGTGCTGGTTCAGGTAAATATTCAGGGTTTACAGGATGATGAAAATAATAATGTCACAGTCCAATAAATACACATGAAACATCCACTCAGTATCGCCGTGGAGCACAGTTCTCCCAAAACTGCTCACTAACATCCTCTGATTCCTGCTGAATGTGAGTTTTTTCCCAGTTCAGTTTCAGTTTCTTTGTATTTATTCTGAGATAACGTTGATTTCTTGCTGTGTTTCTACGGTGTGCTGAGAGGGACAAACTTAAACCTGTCTCTGTGCAAAAATAAATCAGTAACTTTTATCGTCTTCATGAATTGAACTCGTAGTCGGTGTGTAAACAGGACTAACTGCTTCTGTTCCTGACAGTTTAGTGTTGAACAGTCTGGAGTGGGTCGGTAAATTCTGGTTCTTGTCGGTTAAATGTTATTCAGATGAGTGAATATTGAGTTGATCGTCTCGGAGGATGAAAGGCGTCTCTCTGGTCTTCATGTTTTTGTCTCTTTTGTCTGAATTCGATCAAAGCTCCTCTCATCCTTCATCTCTCCGCAGCTGAACCCTCCTCTGATGTCCACTCAGCTCTGAACGACTCGGATAAAAACGCCACCTCCACAGAGCGAGGACCTCCGCCTCGCTTCTTCATCGGGTTGGCTCTGACCTTCGGCTTCACCCTCATGTTCGTGGTGGATCAGATCGGGAATTACCTCTCAGTGCGAGGTGAGTCTGCAGATCTCCTGCTCTGACTCCACCTGTCTTTCTATTTTATTCACATCTCTAAAACTTCTTCATCGTCTCGTTTCAGACCAGTCGTCTCATTTGCATAACAGCGTTGGCATCACAGCCACTCTGGGACTGGTTATTCACGCCGCAGGTAAAACAAACACTTCCTGTCTAATCCTCTGCTTTTGTGTTTGCTCACCGCACACAAGATGTTCGGAGGAATTCAAGACCTGAGGAGGGAAAATTCCCAACAAAGCAGCCGAGTTATTCATGAGTTCATGTGACCGGACTCATGTGATCCCTCCTCCTCTGTTTCAGTCTTTTATGGTTTTAGAGGACTTCATGAACGAGTGCAGAAAAAACAGACTCAACAGAGAAACAACAAGTCCAGCAGGTTACAGATTTAGTGCAGAGAGATTTAATCCACTTTGAAGTTGGTATTACAGACTTATTTCGGCTTTTTACTACTTTATTGAAAAACAAAAGTAGTACACTTAAATAAAGAGGAGTGATTTTGTCAGGATCTCTCAAAATCAGCTGATTTATGTAGAAGAACAAACTCTATCATTGGAAAACTGTAGCCGAGCTTATTTAGGAGCCAAAGTGAGCAACATCTATGCCACTTCAGAGGGACATGTAACTCATACTGTTAGTTTTTTAGTATATCAAAAATCTATCATTTAAAAGCCTTTAAATATTGTATTTGTAAAAGAAAGTTTCAGGTCTTTAAAGTCCTGGAATTAAACTCCAGGATTCCTGCATGAACCCTGGTTTGAAGACTCGGAGTGGAGGACGTGTGATGGGTCAGAACAAGCCGCTCATAAACTGACTTTTCAGTCCTCCTCTGGACCCTCATGTCGGGCTGGTTTAGACCTGAACTCCTCAGGGAGGTCGGCTGATAATAATCCAAAACCTGATTAAGGTCTCAGTCTTTTCTGCACAGTCTAGTAAGAGAGGAACACGGTCTTGTTATCAGCCCTGAACTCTCTGAGTCTCCTTAAAATACAGAAACTGCACTTTTCTTCATGAGGAGCTGAAGTGATGACCTCTTTTACCATGAACCTTTAATGACGTGTGACTATAATGTGGTCAGTTTGGACATTACGCTCTACTACTCATGACGAATCTTACGTTTGTAAAGTGCAGCCGGACAGCAGCACACCTTTGGACTTTGCACCTTAACTTAAGACACGAGTCGCTCAGAGCTGCAGTAAAAAAAAAAGGGAACAACAAACTTTTCTGCCTTTTCTTCACTTTAGTTCAGACTTTAGGATGAAAAGTTCCTGATGTTGACGACTTCTAAGGTCCCGAGCTCTACTGCAGATTCTTAACAGAGCTGGAAATAAGAGTTCACCGATGTTAGCTTAGTCCAAATTATCACTGAATTACAAATACATGAATATAGTTTCATTAAAAAAGGGACTGTTGTTAAGATTAACGAGTCTTTTGTTTGGTTGCAGCTGATGGATTCGCTCTGGGTGCGGCTGTCGCCACAGGTCAGGTGTCCGTTCAGGTGATCGTGTTTTTCGCCGTGATTCTGCACAAGGTGAGGAACGTTTTAGTTTCAATGAAAGAGGTAAAAGTTTGTAAAAATGTTCCTAGCAGACCAACACCACCACCAACAATTAAATTGCAATACTACACCCCTAATTATTTATTAATCATGTGCAATATCAATATCATCATCATCACATCCATACCTGTTTTTGTTGGCACTGATTAGGCCTGAACGATATATCGTTTGACTATCGTCATCGCGATGTACGTGTGTGCGATAGTCACATCGCAGAGCCTGCGATATTGGAGGTGAATGAACTCATTTAATTTCAAGGGTAACCGACTGAGATACACTCCATGTGACTCTGCATGTGCTGTGCAGCGATCCACCAATCGCCTTCGTCCTTAACTCAGTTGCCAATCAGACTCACTTCTCAGTTGCCAATCAGACTACCCTGCCAGCTGTCAATCAAAATCAGGGAGGAGAAAACCCACCCCTGCACATGTTCTGCACATGGAGGGAGACGTGTGTCCGCTGAGAATTACTTTCGGAACTTTACTCATGACTATTAAGCCCAGCAAATAAGAACTGTATGGGTTTTAAATTGTACATTTCCGTGGACCACTCTACTATAAGCAGTGCGCGTTTTGCGAGGTGCATGCAATTCTCGGAGGACATGCGTTTCTCGGCACAACACCGCTAACAACAACAACAACGATCGCAAAATGAACAACGAACAAGCGAAAACCACCGAAAATGAAGATTTGTTGCCAAAAAGAAAAGGAAAGTCAGTTATCTGGAATTATTTCGGTTAAAAGAAGGATGATGTTGACCAAAACACGTGTTCTGTGTTCACCTGTTGCCACAATAACGTCCCAGCACAATAAAAGCTGAAAATATCTCTGAGACAGACAGAAGCCGTTCTACTAACATTCACAAAAAGAGGTAAGATCAGAGCAGATTAACTGTCCTCAAGATTTTAGCAATGCAGCATAACATTAAGTGCTATTCAGGTCATCTGGTGAAAATACTGTATTTTTAATATCGCAATATATATCGCAGGGTTGAAAAAATTTGCAATATTATTTTTTTCCAATATCGTGCAGCCTTAGCACTGATCTTTCTTTCTCTTCTATATTTTTCTCATACTTGTCTATAATATTGTTCTTTAGTTGTACTGCTCTTTCCTCCTTTTTTCTGTAGTTCTTCATCTTATTTAATTGTTTTTTGGACCCATTATTAATGTGTATGTTGTGTACTGCTGCTGTTAATGACTTAATTTCCCCACTAAGGGAATGAAAAATGGAAATCTAATCTACAAAAGGACGTTTAAAGACGTGATGACGATGTTCTTTCTCCTTCAGGCTCCTGCAGCTTTCGGTCTGGTCTCCTTCTTGATGCACGCCGGTCTTGAGAAGAGGTTCATTCAGGGTCATTTACTCGCCTTCTCAGCCGCTGCTCCTGTAGTCGCCATCGCCACTTACTTCATATTACACGCAGTAAGAACGCACACATCAGCTGATGTTTACTCAGGTGTGCTGAAGGATTTGGTGTCGTCTTAATTTGGCGTGTTTTCGTCCACAGTCCGGCGGCTCCTCTCAGAACCAGCTCAGTGCGACAGGCGTGGGGATGCTCTTCTCAGCCGGGACGTTCCTCTACGTCGCCACTGTCCACGTCCTTCCTGAGATCAGCAGAGTGGAGCAACAATCCCCCGTCCTCCAGCAGCACGCAGGCGCCGAGGGGCATCAGCACCGACACCTGGGACTCCTGGAGAGCCTCACCCTCATCCTCGGGGTCGGGCTCCCCGTGGTTTTGGCCCTCGGGCTGAGCGACGACTGAGAGAGAAACACGAGGGCGTTTAAGGTCAGAGTGAAGAGAGACACAGCGCCGCCACGCCTTAAAGGAAAACTGTGAGCCCCTTTAATGAAGTGTACTTCCTGTGTGTCGAGTAAACAAACGCCACGTTTTCACCAGAAGTGCCAAGAAAATGTCAGTCCAAGGAGAAGAAAAGTTCCTCCAGAGGACTGAAATACTTTTGAGGATTAAATTAATTTACCTGCTGAGGTGTGAAAAAGACTCGCCTGTCTGATATTTAACTTCACAGAAACACCCACGATCAATTATTTAAACTAAAGAGTCTTTAAACCACCAGGTCACCTTCACACGAAAACTTGGACTCTGTATTTATTCCACCTGATGCACTTTCCTTTTTTAAAGTCTAAAATTTCTGTTAAATTTGAGTCGATATTTTCCACTTTCTCCCAAAGCACGACTCTGTTTGTGACTAAAATCCGAGTTGTATTGTTTTTCTTCTAACGTCACATCAGGGTAAAATGACAGAATTTACTCACCTGAGTTCATCCCTCAAAGTTTTTATCAAGATATTTCAAAACTCTTCCTGGAAATTTAGCAGAAATCGACCGAACAGAAAAAACACAAAAACAGCGACAGTCTGCTGAAAAAACAAATCAATGTCTCTGTGAGTTTGATCAAATATTGAAACAGAGAGGAGGGAGGCGGTGATCCGGACTTTATCTGACCGATTACAGACCCACAAGAGCTTTAGGCTTTATACACCATCGACTTATACATTTATTTTATAACGACTTATTTATTTATTTATTGACAAACGATCCCAAATTATCGTTAATGCAGCAACAGGACGTGAACTCCAGAGACCTCAGACCTGTCGGCTCCAGGTCCGTTTGTATAAAACAGGAGGACTGGTTTCTCTCTTAGTTAGATGATGATGATGATGAAGTTCTGAGACTCCAACAATGTTAGTGACCTAGTCCACTATCTGGACGGGAACAGCTGGAGATCCAAACACTAAACTGGACCGTCTCATTTTAGTTCAGCCTCAGAGGTCTGTGAAGACCACAAAGGTTGGTCCATCAAGAACTGGATCCTTCAAAGAATGGATCTCTCAAAAGCTGGGTCCAACAAAGACTTGGTCCATTAAAGGGATATTCCGGCATAAATTAATTTAGGGTCAAACCCACCATAACACCGAGTTAGACTCCCCCTCCAGAGATGAATGTTGCGGACCGCTTGCTTCTCTAGTTATACCAACTTTAGTAACGACCGCAGGATAGAAATACAGAGAGCCACGCCCCCAACCAAAACACCACTCTATAGCCACAAATAATGCTCAGAACAGCACCTAACTTCATCAACAGGACATATAGGGTCACAGACATAGTACTAGACACCAAACATCTTTTTAACTTTGACTCATTTCTTTAACAAAGAGACGTAACACAACTCACCTACTCGACTACAGCGGGGTGCCACAGCTCAAGGAAGAACATTAATGATCATTTCTTTATCATTTCCTTGAAGTAATAATCACCATATTAATCATTTTTCACTGCAGACGCGGCCGTTCTTCTGCCTTAGCGTCTCGGTCTGATTGTATTTCCATGAAGAAATGATCATAAATGTTCTTCCTTGAGCTGCGTCACCCCACTGTAGTCCGTAATGGACTGGCCTGAGGTCTCTCTACAAACAAGCGTCTGCTGGAAGAGAGTAGGTGAGTTGTGTTTAGTCTCTTTGCCAAAGAAATGAGTCAAAGTTAAAAAGATGTTTGGTGTCTAGCACTATGTCTGTGACCCTATATGTCCTGTTGATGAAGTTAGGTGCTGTTCTGAGCATTATTTGTGGCTATAGAGTGGTGTTTTGGTTGAGCGCGTGGCTCTCTGTATTTCTATCCTGCGGTCGTTACTAAAGTTGGTATAACTAGAGAAGGAAGCGGTCGACAACATTCATCTCTGAGGGGGGGTCTAACTCGGTGTTACAGTGTGTTTGACCCTAAATTAATTTTTACACCGGAATATCCCTTTAAAACTGGGGTCCTTTCAAGACTTGGCCCTTCAAAAACCAGACCCTTAAACAGCTAGCTCTCTTAAGTTGGGCCCTTCAAAAGCTGAGTCTTTTAAAGGTTGGTCCCTTAAGATCAGGGTCCTCTAAAGGTTAAACCGGTTCTTTGAAGAGTCTTGAGTCCTTGGATCTTCCCCTGAATCTGGAACAGCTCATGTTCTGAACTGATCAGACAGATTTGCTGCAGTAAAAGACTCTTACAGACTCCTGTTGGGTTACAGAGACCAGGGACTTCCCGTGACTTTCCTTCGAACCCGGTCCCTGATGAGAAAAGGCGCCTTTGAAAGACCGAGCTCTGATCCGGGAAAGTTTCGAGGACAGCTTTTGTTTGTGTATCATAAAATCTCTCCGGCTCTGAGAATCTGATCGTCTGGAGACAAAAGGAAGGCGGTGCTTGTTGCCAGGTTTGAAATCAACAATCCCCTTTGGGTCGTTTATTCTGGTGACTGAAAACATGAGGGAGTGTCACCTTCAGCTCAGATCGATTTACAGGAACAACAAATACGTCCCAACATCCAGAGAGAAGATAATAACTCATTTGTTTGATCAAACTAGTCCTGCAGCTTTTGGTCTCCTGGATATTAGAGAGTGTTTCAGGATGTCAGAGTCAGGATCTGAAACAGGTGGTAAACAGGAACAGACAGAAACAGACGGACAGAAACAGACAGTTGTGTTTGTGAAGTGACTGGATTAGACTTCTCTCTGTTTTGGTTCCTCTTTCAGTTCCTTCATGAATGGTTTTTTTTTTCGGATCAGGAGATAATAAAACATGTCGGCTCTCGTTCTGATGTCTGTTTCTTCACACAAACACTTTCTGAGCTCAGAGGCAGGGTGTCGGATACTAATTCATTTTTAATTACTGATGTGTCAGGTTACACCGGGCTTTAAGCAGATAAACAAAATGAAAAACAGGCAGATTACTCTTGAAGTTAAATTCATGTCTTTATAAAACTTTTATTTACAGCAGAAGTCGACGAGAGAATAAGGAAAAAGTTTTATTTAATACAGTCCATAGTCTTTAATCCCCACATTTTTTTTTTCTAACATGCTGATGCTTTAAAGGGACATTCCGGCGTAAAATTAATTTAGTTTAATTTAATTTATAACCACAAATAATGCTCAGAACAGCACCTAACTTCATCAACAGGACATATAGGGTCACAGACATAGAACTAGACACCAAACATCTTTTTAACTTTGACTCATTTCTTTAGTAAAGAGACTAAACACAACTCACCTACTCTCTTCCAGCAGCCATTTGATTGTAGAGAGACCTCAGGCCAGTCCATTACGGACTACAGCGGGGTGCCGCAGCTCAAGGAAGAACATTTCTGATCATTTCTTCATGGAAATACAATCAGACCGAGACGCTAAGGCAGAAGAACTACCGCGTCTGTAAAATGATTAATATGATGATTATTACTTCAAGAAATGATAAAGAAATGATCGTAAATGTTCTTCCTTGAGCTGCGGCACCCCGCTGTAGTCCGTAAACTACAACCGGGTGCTATCGTGCGGTAGTTACTGAAGTTGGTATAACTAGAGAAGCAAGCGGTCGACAACATTCCTCTCTGGAGGGGCGGGGTCTAACTCGGTGTTACGGTGACTTTGACTCTAACTTAATATTACGCCGGAGTATCTCTTCAAGACTCTCGTCCATAACACTGAAGTAAACATGAACCATCAGTCTGGTCTCCTCCTTTGGCTCACCTTCCTCTCCCTGAATTGCTCCATAATTCCTCTCTTCTTATCTGCAGCACATGTCGAATCCTAAACTCTGATGTCAGCCCTCAAACACTCCAGCTGCTGCAGACCAAAGTTAACCCTTCACTCCCCGACCTGCAGCTCCAAACCCTCAGAAGACTCAAAACTCTAAAAACTCGACCTGTTTTTATGAACGTGTAAAAGATTTGGCACTTTGAGAAGGTCCGTTTGTCTCTGAGTGAAGCCGGTACCAACATGTGGTTTCAGGATCAGATCATGGGTAGATGGAGGTCACATGGAGGCGGTCTGGGAGCCTCTCTACAGTCAGGGTCAGAGGTCATATCTTCATGCGGCTCATGGCGGCGCTCAGCTGGGCCTCCCGAACCATCCGATCAAACGTCCGCTTGTGTGTCTGCTGCCTGACCTGGTCCCTCATGTGGAAGGAGGCCCGGACCAGCCTGTTGGCCTCCTCCTGGATCTGCTCCCTCTGCCTCCTCAGCCTCTCCCTCCTCCAGTCCTTCATGAAGACGGCGCTCTCTCTGACCTTCCTCTCCTCCTCCTCCTCCCTCTGGATCTTCTCCCTCAGCCTCAGGTGGAGGAGCTGCCTGTGTTGGTTGCGTTGTTGTGTCTGCAGCGCTCTGGTGTGGTTCTGGGTGGAGGCGTGGATGGCGGCTCTCTGGGAGCGTCTCTGGCTCAGCTGGACCAGGATCTGTTTCTGGGTCAGGTTCTGGACGTTCTGCAGTTTGGCCCTCAGCTGGACTCTCTGGATCTGCTCCTCCTCCTGCTCTGCCCGCTCCCTCAGCTCCTTTAGACGCGCCTCTGCGACCTGAGCGCGTTTCTCACAGGAGCGCTGCTGCTTCATCTCCAGTATGCTCCTCATGTGCGCCTCCTCCTCCTCCATCTGCTGCTCCACCTGCTGCTTCAGGAGGATGTGTCTCAGCAGCTCTTTTCGGTTCTCCTCCTGCAGCCTCCTCCTCTCCTTCTCCCCCTGCTGCGCTCTGCTCCTCCTGGCCTTGTGCTCCTTCTCCGCTGCCACCTGCCTCTCCCTCTCTCGCTCCCTCATCTCCACCTCCTCTTTCTGTCTCAGAAGCTTCTCCTGGTAGCGTTTCCGGTCTTGTGCCTCCTTCTGCACGGCCTCCATCTTCTGTTGACGCTGGGCCTCCACCTCCTCCTTCAGCCTCCTCCACCTGTCTTCCTGCAGCAGCACCTCCTGCTTCAGGTGTCCCATCTTCTCCTGCTCCTGGCTCTCCTTCAGCCTCCTCCGGGCCTGCAGCTCCTTGTTCCAGTGCTTCACGCTCAGCCTCAGCTTCCTCCTCCTCTGTTTCTCAGCCTGGGCACGCTTCTCGTCCTCCTTCTTCTTGGCCTCCTGTCTCTCTTGCTCCTCCTGCAGGGACAGCTTCAGGCTCTCCTCCTCCTCCTCGTGTTTGACCAGCATTAGAGCAGCGATCTTACGGTCCCTCTCAGGTAGGATCACACACATCTTCCTCCTGATGTCCTCGGTCAGCTGTTGGAGTTTCCTCTCAGTCCTGGGGGAGTGTCGGAGGTCTCCCAGCCTGGAGCTGCACACTGTGCTCCTGTCTCTGAGGGAGGTGCCCACACCTGAACAGGTGGATTTACTCACAGATTGACTCTTTAAACACAGATCTGCATACGGGACAGTCTCTGCTGACTCCTCCTGCAGGCCTGGAGACACTTTGCTGCAGCTGAGCCTCCTCCTGTCCCCCTCCCCCTCCTCCCTGATAATCCTCTCCCTCTCCCCCCTGCACATTTGTAAAAGCTTCGTCCTCTCCTTCTCGTAGGTCTCATGCATCACTTTAACTGCCTCGAAGGGCGCCTGTTGCTGCTCGGCTATCAGCTCGTTTAAGGATTTAATCAGGAGAGCCACCGGTCTGATCCCCAGCCGAGCGCAGGACTCCAGAGAGCGGGGACTCGTCAGGACGTACCGGCTCCTCTCTGCCTCTGTGGAGTCAAAGTTGTTGAGGTCCAGGTGGAGTCCTGGGGAGGTGAACCTCTGCTCCTCCATGGTGGAAGGTAGACAGGTACTCACTCCTCGTGGTTCAGGTGTAAACTTCACGAGCTCGGAGCTGTTTCTGCGCTCGTGCTCCTGCAGGTCTCCTTCTCTCAGAGGTCATGGAGGGATTAGAGAGGATTTCTGCGAGGACGTCTGCACCTCTTTACTGCAACAGGAGACAACAACACACCGACAAGAGGAAAATTTAATTATGAAATGGCTTATGAATAGTTAGCAGAAGTTATTTTGTTCTTATTGCTTCAACAAAAATGAGAAATTAAAAATGACTGATGGAAAGTTAAAATTTAATAAAGTTAAATGCATCAAAAAAGGTGATTTGTTTTTTCCTCCTCTTCTTCTCCTTTTTATTTTTATCATTATCATTTATCTGATGTTTTTGGTATGATGTTTATAAATGCTGTTTTGATTATAGATGTAATACTACTACTACTAGTAATAATAATAATAATAATAATAATAATAATAATAATGATAATAATAATAATAATAAAAGTGATTAAAAAAATTTATGAGTACCTTTCTTGACTCTCAAGGACACTTTACAGAGTAAAAAAAGCAGGATAAAAGCAATAGAGAAAATAAAACAAGTAGGGAAAAATGTATATAAATGTATGTATGAAAAAAACAAACAAAAACATGACGAGGTGAATTATAAGGAGTGTGCTGATCTGAACATGTGGGTTTTGAGTCTGGATTTGAAGAGAGGGAGAGAGTCAATTTTCCGGTTGTGCATTTTACTCATTTTTCATGAATGCTTTTTTTCCCCCCTTTATTGTTGTTGTTGTTGTTACCAACAATCCAACCAATGAGTTATGTTCAATTTTTAAAACTACTTTTCAGTCCCTTAATCTACATAATTTTGTCTGAAGGTTCCCTTAATCTTTGATTTACAAGTATTTTTATAGATACAAATACAAACAAAAAAATACAAAAATATGCAAAACACATACCTGAAACGGTACAAGCTAAAGTAGAAATATTGTTGTTGATTTTTTAAAGTAAAAAAAATAAATAAAATTTTTTTTAGGAAATATTCTAAAGATATTTTAAAAACATTGCTTCAACAAAAAAGACTTAAAGATGACCAATGAAAACTTAAAATTAACATTAAATGAAGTGATACGTGTTTGAAAAAAACATCATTTGTTCTTCTCTTCATCTTTTTCTTCTTCTTCTGATAATTACTATTATAATTTATTAACTTTGGATGATGTTTATAAATGGTGTTGTTTTTATTATAGTTGTGTATTTTACACCTTTTTTTTAAATCATTGTTATACTTTAATTTTGTTTGTTGTTACTGATGATCCAACCAATGAGTAAAGTTAAAAAAAATTTCAAACCATAAATCTTCTGATTTACTTCATTATTTTGTCTGAAAGTTCTCTTTAGTCTTTGATTTACGAGTATTTTATAGACTCAAAAACAAACAAAAAATAGATAAAAGTATGCTGAAACACATACCTGAAACCTGAAATATTGTCGTTGATTTATTTTTAGATAAAATAAAAACAGGAACGAACACAAAGACAACTTTACGCCTCGTTTTTATTTCACCACTGTGAGGAAGACGCTTTGCGTTGCCAGGGACAACAAACAACGACTTCAATACAAGAGCGTCAGATAAACCGGAACGTCTCAGGGGAGGCGCCATCTGCCGGTTACTTCATCCTGGGAGAACTCTCTGAGTGATGACGCGTTTGCCTGTCGTCCAATGGGCTGCTGCTCTCTACATTCACTGAAGTTAGCTTCTCATTAGATTGACAACAGGATTGTATTTGTTTGATTTTAAATTAACGTTATTAAATTAATGTTAAAATCACGTCAAAATAATAAAAAATAAAAAATTATAAAGAAAAATATCAATAAATAATGAAACAATAATAATAACAATCTTGTAACTCAAACAAAATAACAATTATAATTATACTTTATATTATTATATTTATATAATATATTAATATTATATATATATATATAATTAATTAGAATTCCAAATAAATGAATAAATAAAATAAAATAAAAACGCAGTGAAGAATATAAAGGACTTTCTTCTCTGAAGTGAATTTTATACATATTATAGATATTTTATTTCTTGTGAAAATAAAACACCAAGATCCTCACTGTTGGTTATTCGTCTTTGCATTGGTTTACATGTTTAAAAATGTGATTTTATAATAATTTTCGTTTAGGAATCATATCTGCATTAGAACTCCACTAGTAAACAAAAAGATTTAAAGCGAGAATATCAACAGACTTGAAAACAGGAAATAGAGGAACAACGTTTATTATTAAAGAGTTATTGTGTATATTGGACTGATTCATTTCAGAGATTTAAAATTTTAAAGTCTGAAATCATTTTCATACAGCCACATTTTTGCTGATATTCCTGTTTTTTTGTTGTTTTAATGTTTTGTTTTGAGTTATTTTCGCCGTAGTTTTGAAGTTGGGTGTGTTTAGTGAAAAATGAACATGAAACCAACTTCATCACATCTCTGCTGCTGAGAGGCTGATGGCGGGCTGTCTGAGAGCTACACAGGTCTGTGGAGGTTTACTCAAGAAAAAGACTAATTTCTGCTTCAGCAGCTAAAAACGGTGTGGATACTGAACTGTTAGAGATACCCTCGCTGTAGCAGCAGAATTTAAGGTTTTAACGGTCCTCAAAGTTGCTCAGAGAACCGATTTGCTGACCAGCGTCGGCGGATCAGAATATGAAAGCGGTTAAGAACGAGATGTGAAGAGTTGAGCACTTCCGTGTTCGCTCGGCAGAGGTTGCTGCTAACTCGGATCTTCTTGGGGTTTGTCGTCTTTGAATAATTTTAGCAGTTTTGAAACGCTAGAAATCACTAGTTCGTAAGTTAACAGCATCATATCCTTAAAAAGGCAATGCTCGGTAAGAACGTACTGGTGAAAAAGCTAATGTTAATGTCTGATATAACGTTCGCGTGTATCATCATGACAGAAATATGATTTGATAAACTATGGATGGATCAATTACGCATTTTATTTATGATTATGTAACACTGGTGGCGATGGTTTCGTACAAAACAAAATCTTGAATCTACTTTCTAGAAAAATCACGTTTTCAACTGTATGTGGCGTTCAAGGACTCCTCGGAGTTCATAGAGTTAAAGTTCGACCGTCTCTTGTGTGTGTCAGCGTTAAATATGTTTATATACGTTTGGCAGGTTTGATGTAAATCTATTTTACTTATTCAGTTTTACAAATTTTACCATTTTCTAAACTTATAACCACAATCACGTCTTTTTTCACCTTTTTTTCTCTGGCGGGGATGTAGTTGATAACATTTCCGACAACACATGAATCCCTCATAAGCGTTTTTAAGTTGTGGACGAGTATCTTGACTAGAGAGCCATTTTTTTTAATCCAATCCGATACCGATACCTGGGCTGAGCTTATTGGCCAATATCCGATACCGATTCAGTAATGCTGTCAAATGAATGACTTGTATTCTTTGCCCTGTGAGTGAAGGCATCAGGCTTGTCATTAGCAAACTAACACAGATATACACTCACCGGCCACTTTATTAGGTACACCATGCTAGTAACGGGTTGGACCCCCTTTTGCCTTCAGAACTGCCTCAATTCTTCGTGGCATAGATTCAACAAGGTGCTGGAAGCATTCCTCAGAGAGCTTGGTCCATATTGACATGATGGCATCACACAGTTGCCGCAGATTTGTTGGCTGCACATCCATGATGCGAATCTCCCGTTCCACCACATCCCAAAGATGCTCTATTGGATTGAGATCTGGTGACTGTGGAGGCCATTTGAGTACAGTGAACTCATTGTCATGTTCAAGAAACCAGTCTGAGATGATTCCAGCTTTATGACATGGCGCATTATCCTGCTGAAAGTAGCTCATCCTCAGAAGTTGGGTACATTGTGGTCATAAAGGGATGGACATGGTCAGCAACAATACTCAGGTAGGCTGTGGCGTTGCAACGATGCTCAATTGGTACCAAGGGGCCCAAAGAGTGCCAAGAAAATATTCCCCACACCATGACACCACCACCACCAGCCTGAACCGTTGATACAAGGCAGGATGGATCCATGCTTTCATGTTGTTGACGCCAAATTCTGACCCTACCATCCGAATGTCACAGCAGAAATCGAGACTCATCAGACCAGGCAACGTTTTTCCAATCTTCTATTGTCCAATTTCGATGAGCTTGTGCAAATTGTAGCCTCAGTTTCCTGTTCTTAGCTGAAAGGAGTGGCACCCGGTGTGGTCTTCTGCTGCTGTAGCCCATCTGCCTCAAAGTTCGACGTACTGTGCGTTCAGAGATGCTCTTCTGCCTACCTTGGTTGTAACGGGTGGTTATTTGAGTCACTGTTGCCTTTCTATCAGCTCGAACCAGTCTGGCCATTCTCCTCTGACCTCTGGCATCAACAAGGCATTTCCGCCCACAGAACTGCCGCTCACTGGATATTTTTTCTTTTTCGGACCACTCTCTGTAAACCCTAGAGATGGTTGTGCGTGAAAATCCCAGTAGATCAGCAGTTTCTGAAATACTCAGACCAGCCCTTCTGGCACCAACAACCATGCCACGTTCAAAGTCACTCAAATCACCTTTCTTCCCCATACTGATGCTCGGTTTGAACTGCAGGAGATTGTCTTGACCATGTCTACATGCCTAAATGCACTAAGTTGCCGCCATGTGATTGGCTGATTAGAAATTAAGTGTTAACGAGCAGTTGGACAGGTGTACCTAATAAAGTGGCCGGTGAGTGTAGATTTACTTCATATTATTTATTAACAAATAAGTTGCACATTAGCACACAGCAAAAAGAAGGAAGATTTCCATGTATTAAAAGAAATAAAAGACTGGATAGGAAACGCTGGATCGGCATCATTCATCCAACATACGATCCAGTAAATTTGTCAATATCAGAGCCGATATCTGATCCAAATATCGGATTGGTGCATCCCTAATCTTGACATCTCTGTTATCTTCGACTCAAATGAGAACTAGCTACCTTAGATCATGTTTAAAACAACATTAACTAGTTCATTGTGGAGCTAGATTACCTCTCAACTACGCCCCCGTGATTTATTGTTAGATTTACAGCTATTTAAATTTTTTGAACCACAACATTTTGGCTTTAATAAATCGTTATTTTTGTTTGAGTTGGTCTTGTGTCTCTTTGAACGGCTCATCCTCAGTTGAGCTAACTTGACAGTAAAAATGAAGAGAGCCAGAAGCAGCGGTGAGAATGAGGAGGCTCCCCGGCAGAACGGCTCATCCAGCCGGAGACAATCAGAAAACAGCGACGTAGAGGATGGTGAGCAAGCTTTCGGCCTCGGAGACCTGGGGGAGGACGACAACGACGCGAGCCGGAGGAGAGAAATCCGGAGCAAATACAGAGACCTGATCAACACCATCCAGCGTGAGAGAGGAGGCTGACAGCATTTGTGTTTGTGTTGTTGTTATTGATCACTCATGTTTATCCTTTTTTATGTTTTTCTTTTCAGAGGAGAGGGAGGATATGGTGAGTCTCACCAACAACAGACTCACTGAAGTTTTAGAAGAAGCAAACAACCTTTTTAAAGATGGTGAGTGTCAAAAAATAAGCTTTCAGGTGTTAGGTGAAGTTTGCAGTGTGACTCATCAAGAGACATGCTGGATTATTATTATATTAACAAACATTACTGGGCCGTATTTCAGTGATGCACAGATGCATCTCAATATATAAGAATATCATGAAAAACTTCTGTTTTTATTACTTTCAAAAGCAGCACATTCCAACAAAGTTATAGACACACAACACATAGACTAAATGTGAACATACCCTGATCACATCCTGGATCTACTTTTAAAAACACTAACAAAGACCATCTCCTTCAGACTCAGAGCAAATCCCAGGCTGTAGGAGCAGCTACTACAACTCTTTCTCCTCCTTATGAGACGAACTCTGGGGACAGAAAGCACATTTTAGTGTCATAAACAGGTCACAGAACTGAGACTGTTGTATCTGGTATTTTTCATCTTCTTAACATTGATTGTATTAGCCTTAATGTACCAATACTGATGATAACTGTCTTTTAAAAATAAAAAAGAAATATTGATAATGTGCTAAAAAATAACCCTACTGTAGTACCATGATTTCTTAGTCGTGGTCCTTTACATTATTTGCAAGACAAAATAGAACAGAGGATAGACGAAGAAGCAGCAGCAGCAACTAAAGAGTTAGAACTAACATTCCTCTGAGAGACGCTTTTAAAAACAGACATTTAAGATTTATAGTGTGGCTGAAAACAATTCACAGCTTGGAATCTGCTAAACATAACGCTTAATAACTTTTGTTTTAGTTGTTTTCATTCAGCTCTATTTATAGTAACTGTTTGAGTTTCCTGATTAAGTTTATGAAGTAACATGTTGCCTTCCTTTTCCCACTTTGACTGATTGCTTTTTTTTTCTGAATGTTCCATGATATTGATGTTATTGTAATATCCTATGGTTATGATAATAATAATGAGGTGAAAGTCTGATATCTTGACTCACGCTCAGGCTGGTTTCCTCTCTGATCCTTTCAGTCCGGCGGGCGCGGGAAGCGGCTCTGGATGCTCAGCTCCTCGTCGTGGCCACAGATCTGGGGAAGGAGAAAGCCAGCCGTTTGTTTTCAGAGGGCACTGCCTTCGACACCACAGCTTATACCGAGCACCTGGTAGGTGAGATTTAAAGGAGTGAATCCGTCTGGAGAGATTTGTTTCCTCAAACCTGAAACCTCGCTGTGGTAACAGTATGATGTCTCTGCTACTCCCTTAGCTGTCCTTTATGGGTCTGAACCGACTTGAGGACGGGCAGCAGAACGGAGGTGTGGATGGATACCTGCCTCAGGACGCCTGGCACAGACTGGCCCAGAGAGCACAGAGCTGTTTCAGGACGGCGCCCTCCTTCCACTTCATGTAAGCGCTTCGGTGTGTCGTGACCCTGTTAGACTGATAACACACACCTTCGATGGGAAAAGCATCATGCTGATACCACAGGATGGAATATAGATGTTTTATTTGGAGAGGGAGGTGGAGCGTAAATCACTCAAACCTCCTGCTGTCTCGTTTTGTCACAGTTTTTTTTTAAACTTATTTGTGTAGTCCAAACAGATCTGCTCCCATAGTTTGTATTTTCTCCGGGTTACAACTGTCCCTAAATCGTGGCCTCTCTCTCTTCTTTCCCTCAGGAGGGGCTCGTTCCATGCAGAGCCCCCTCCTCCAAGACAAAGAATAGAGAGGCAGAGAAAGGCACCGAGCAAAGAGGCAAAGAGGATCATGCCCACTGAGGTACTAAACTGAAAGGTTTCATGAATTTAACTCCATGAAAAAAAGTCAAAACAGACTCCTTACTTTTCACATCAATAAGAAATGAATTTTCCCCTCTCAGCTGAAGAAGATGGAGGACTCCCAGCAGGATGAGACAGTGAAAGAGGTGGAGAGGATCCTGGCATACCTGAAGGGTTATCACAAAGATGATCGTGAGTTCACAGTCGGCCCACGGACTATAAGACGTTAACTCTCTGTTATTTCCTGTTAACGTTTCTCTGTTTCTCCCTCAGCTACATCACCAATATCATACTATGAGTTCGTCATTGACCCAGACTCGTTCTCCCGGACGGTGGAGAACATTTTCCACACGTCTTTTCTGATCAGGGTGAGCTGCATGTGCCTCATGAACTGGTTCAGATTTGTTGAAGTGGGCTGTCTGACGTACTTCTGAATGGGTTTAACTGCACTACCTGTTAGTCGGAGCACCAACATCAGGGTCTAAACTCTCTGCTTTCATGAGTATTGTCTGGAAAAGTTACTTGAGTCACTTTAGAACGAAATTCCATCCAGAAATATTGACAGGTCTTCAAGTCTTTGCTGTACTTGCGAACATCATCAGCTCTTTATCTCAGTCTCACTACTTTTACTGAATTTTACAACATCTAATTCACACATCGTGGAGTTCTCCTCCCAGTTAGATCCCGCCTCTCTAAAGACGAGCTGACTGTATTCTGGTGAAGGTGTTTCACTCTGTCTAGACGTGGAGTCTCATGGGACTCCACTTACAAAAATCTAGACCAGCTCCTGGAGTTTATTTTAATGGAGCTTGTCCGCCCTCTCGTGGCTGTCAGTGAGTATGACAGTGTTGTTTCTGTTGTTGCAGGATGGTTTGGCACGGATGTATCTGGATGAAGATAAGCTGCCTTGTATAGGTGAGGATGGTTTTTGTTATTTATGTAGATATTCGGAAAGCTGCCTGACTTCAGGAGAGTATTTTTAACCTGTGTTGTTATTTTTTTTCGTTTCTCAGCGCCCGTAGAGGAGGGGGAGGCAGAGGCTGCAGAATCATCCAACCGTAAACAGGGCATTGTGTCCATCAACCCAAAGATATGGAAGGTTTGCTCAAAGAGGACTAAACCTGTTAAAAAGACAAAGAGGAAAACAAGAAATTCAAGTTATATGGGGTTCAAAACTTAACTGTGATCGTTTTTGTTTCCAGGAGCTCATAGACGCCTTCGACATCACGGCCACCATGATTCCTCAGAGCGAGTGACCATGCTGGTGCAGAAACAGAGTTTTTTAAGTGAAGCCCTGCTTTTTTACATTTGTTAATAATATTGTCAAACTATTCCTTAGATTCAGGGCCTGGTATGTACATTTTATTTTAATTTTTTACTGTTTTTAGGAGATTAAATAATAAAAGGAGAAGGAGACAGTGTTTGTATTTGTCCCACATGTTTTAAACATACAGCTGAACATTACTGATATCACATTTTACCATGTAGAAAGTCCTATATTTAATATTCGTCATATTGAGATGGTTACACAGAAGACGTTTGTCAATAAAAAGAAAATGAGTGAAGACAGAGAAATGTAATTGTTGGAGGTCTTCCCTGAAGCAGATGTTGCTCCTAAACCTTTAGATATAGTTCAGCATTAATGGAACCTTCACAGATAATGAAGACACCCAGGACATGGACTCTGATGACCCCCAGACCATCAGGGATTCTGGATTTGGACTGAGAGGACAGTATTGTAGACAGGTGGTCTGGTTGCAGGGTTCAAGATTTCCATAAAGACTGTCTCATTAACCCACAGGACAGTTTTTGTTTTCTTCTGCGTAATTCAGCTTTAACCTATATTTGTGGATTCAGCTGTTTCAGTGGTAAGTTGGGTTTTAATCCATTTTAAACCTTGAAATTCATCTTGATATAAGACTTATTTTTTCAGCTGTTATAGCAAAGTGAAGCTATATACAGTATATGTATGTATAAAAACTTTAGCGCCAGTTATACCCCTTACACTATGGGGTTAGCTTAGCTCGCTAGCTTGTTAGCTAACGTTAGCTGATACTTGAGGCCTGGTTAACAGCAGTAGTGGTAGTTTTTGTACTTGTTTAAATGCCGAAAGTAGAGTTATATTCTGTTCGAATCTTTCTGTAAGTGGATACGTGTTTTATTTCCGAAAATACAGGTTAGAGTCAGCTATAAACTGAAATTAATCGACTAAATTGAAGTTAAGCTTAAACAATTCCCTGAAACGTGACGGTTGAAGGTTAGTGAAGTTAAACTGCGCTGTAGTTTCCCCCCCTGCTGAGATAAAATTGAGTTTTAAGGATATTTCTTTCATGAAATTAAGTTTGAAGATAAAATAAGAGCTTAACTCATCTCCAAAGGGAAACTGATTAAGTAAAAAAAGTCGCTCAGTTCATTTTATTCATCACAAGTTCTGAACAATGTAGAAATCTGTAAGTACAGTGTTGTAGTATTTTTATAAAATAACTGACCATATGACAGTTTGACGAATGATAACAGAGGCATGTTTTTCCAGACAAAGGTTGTTTATTTTGTCTTGAACAGCGGACATACTTGTGGTTTATGTTGTAAAAAGGAAGTTTAATCTGCCTCAAAGGCTTTCCAAGTCGATTATTGTTACTGAATATTAAATATGTTTAATTATCAGGATTATGAGGTTTTGTTAAAGAGCTTAACAGAACCAAAGTTACTGTTTAAACCAATAATGTCCTCTTCTGTTCGAGTCAATTTTACTCAGTTGGAAAGGCAAGGTGGAGCATGTCAGGGTGGTGTTGCTCAACAGCCGATTCAAAAGCTTTTGTTTTGTTTGCTCTGAAAAAACCTTTTTCAAATATTAACGGCCGACATGATAACTCACTACTGATGTCGATTTAAATGCAGGATCCAATAAATGAGCCTGGATAGGAAGTATTGTTGTTGTTCCGTTTAAATCTAATTTCCTAAACGTATTTGGATGGAGGTACTCAGAAAAACTAAAGCACCTCCATCTTTATCAGCGTGCAGAAACATGTAGCTGCCTGCTTGGAGGAGAATTAGTCCCTTTAATTGTGAATATTATTGGACTTGGTGTGCTCCATACTCTGATATTATTTGTCTTGTTAAAATAACATCTAGTATTAAGTCAAAACAACTTTGTTTTTCCTGCTTGAGGAGGAAAGCAAACAGCAGACTCGCTCTAGACTGACTCTTAAACGGACAAACAGAAGATTTTCTCCACTGATGCAATCGTCCCTTTACATGTTTATTAGTGTTTTATTATTCTGTAGCTATAGCAGCCAATATTAAGCTCTAATCATACCAGCTTAATGTAGTAGAGGATCTTAATGTCAACTATCAACCTTAAAAAACAGAACTGCTGACATTCATACAGTTCATTAAGACGGCTAAGAGAATGAGAGTATTTGGAATTTTCCTAAATTTATCATGTCTCAGATTTGTGCACATCAGTTTGTGAATGACTTTTGTTAAGAAAGACGTAGCTTTCAGACCCTTTACAACAAGATCCTCAGTGCTTCTCATCTTTTCTTTTTTTTTTAGCTTCCCATCTGAAAGCTGTATGGAGGAAATGGCTCAACACCGATCAGATCAAGATGAGAAAGAGAAAAAGGAGACTGATAACCGCATCATACAGAGACTGCACTCTGGCTGGACAGACACTCTTTATGTCGTTTTCCTGGTGCTGCTTTTGGTCCTGATCACTGTCATTGTTGGCCTGAGCATCAATGTTAGGCAGTTACAAAAAGAAAGGAGTCAGCTGAGACGGCTTCTGAAGTAAACACACATGGGACTAAACCACAACACGGAAGAAAATCAGAAACTGGGGCTGAGTCTGAACTTCACCATGGAAGAAAATCAGAAACTGGGGCTGAGTCTGAACTTCACCATGGAAGAAAATCAGAAACTGGGGCTGAGTCTGAACTTCACCATGGAAGATAATCAGAAACTGGGGCTGAGTCTGAACTTCACCATGGAAGATAATCAGAAATTGAGCAGAAGACTAAACTTCACCATGGAAGATAATCAGAAATTGAGCAGAAGACTAAACCACGCCATTGAAGAGAATCAGAACCTGAGCGTGAGTCTGAACTACACCATGGCAGAGAAGTCCCAGCTTCAAGTGCAGATTGAGGAGATGAAAATAATATTGAATTCCACCATTGAAAACCGTGACTCTTTAAGAAAAGAGAAAATCAAATATCAACAGCTTTTGATCAATGAAAGGCAGACCTCAACTCAACTAAAAGCCAAAATCAATCAATTCTGATGTTGGAGAAACTATCTTTCCTCTGGAGATTCTGTGATAAGGGCACCCTGCAATGTTCACGCTGCCTTCCTGGTTGGGCTGAGCCAGCACACGCTGCTTCCATTTGGCATCACAACCCATGAAATGGGAAGATGCTTGTAGGGAGTGTTTTAATGAAGGTGCTGACCTGGCTGTTGTCTTCAATGCTGCAGACCAGGCATTTCTGACCAACATGACTTTCCAGTTTACACAGCAGCATCCAAATGTACTGTTCCATTCAGCATGGATTGGGTTGCAGGACATGGTGCAGGATAACAGGTTTGTGTGGATAAATGGTATCAAGTCCAAGTCAGATATGAAGTTCTGGAAGCCTGGAGAGCCAAACAATGCTGGCAGAGAATCAGAAACTGAGCCAAAGACTAAACCACGCCATTGAAGAAAATCAGAAACTGAGCCTGAGTCTGAACTACACCATGGCAGAGAAGTCCCAGCTTCAAGTGCAGATTGAGGAGATGAAAATAATTGGGGAAAGCGGGGTAATGTGAGACATCGGGTAATGTGAGACACCCCTTGTATCTAGGCAACGGAACACATTTGTGGTCATGTGACCATTATGTTTTCAAGCCCCTCCCATTTCCCATCGGCCATGAGGGAGAGGACCTCATCTTGCTGTGGGAAGCATGTTTTTTTCACAAAAATGTATTTTTTGCATGTAAAAGTAAATTTTCTTGCTGTCAACTTAATCCCCTGTTGTACCAAAGCAAATTGATTCAAGTATAAAAACTTATGTCATACATGTTGATGAACTACCAACATATAAAACCATGTGATGATGCTAGCTGAAGATTAGTCTCAATTGCTAGGAGAGGTTGTTTTTTTCTAAAATGGTGGTGATGGGGTAAAGTGAGACAAATGCTGTGGGGTAAAGTGAGACGCCCCACCATGGGGCACAATTTAAGTTTAGTCTTTTGATATAATATTTTAATGTAATATTACATAACACATGTTTTATTTTTAATGTCATAAGCATTGTAGAAAGTCATCATGCCCAGAAAATACACCAGGAAGACAAGCTGGGGCAAAACACCCCTTGAAGAGATTGAGATTGCAGCCTCCGAGGTCAAGGAAGGAAAGAAGTCCATCAGAGCAGCTGCAAGGGAAAGAAATATTGACCAGTCAAGCCTCCTACGATTCATTAAGAAAAAAGAGAGAGGGGAAGTAAAATCAGTAGCCTGGGGTGCAGTAGCTGAGGCAAAGAGAATATTAACAGATGAGATGGAGGAGGAGCTTGCCGAACACTTAAAACAACTAGCTGAACAGTTCCATGGCCTTCCTCCAGTTAAGTGCCGTTAACTGGCATTTGAATACGCAGAGAAAAACAATATCCCTGTCCCTGCCAATTGGACAAAAGCACAGTCTACAAGTAGGCCAGGGTATGAAAGAGATCACATGATTTCGTAGGTTACCTAAGGCCAACTGATCTTGCCACAAAGCTAGTTCTTATAATAATGAATCCTCTACTCTAGGTGAAGATTGGTTTGGCAGATTCCTAGTACGTCGCCATCTCTCTGTCCGAACTCCAGAGGCAACATCCCTGGGAAGGACTACAGCCTTGAACAAAACTACAGTCGGGGAGTTTTTTGACAACCTGGCTGCAGTGATGGACAGGTGACAAAATTAATTCTTAGCTGAAAATATTCTATGGAGGCTTTACCTGTAAGATTTGGTTTTAATTCTGATACGGTTCTTCCCTTGCATCTCATCTTTAACAGGCATACATTCCCGCCACACATGATCTACAATGTAGATGAAACAGGCGTCTTTACAGTACAAAAGCCACAGCAGGTACGCTACATATGATACATTAGAGAGCACCAGACTGATACTGAGTGGTTTGTCATAAAGATTAGCTAGCTATTGACAGAATGATTAAATTAATGCTATTATTAATGTTGTGAACCTGTGAACTGGAAAAAAAGGAATTGACTGAAAAGATATACTATGTACCTTTAGACCATTAGTAGCCTACTGATTGCACATGCCATTGATTCTTAACTTTCTATTTAATTCAGGTTGTGACACAGAAAGGAAAAAAGCAAGTTGGTTCTGTCACATCGGCTGAGAGAAGAGAACTGGTGACTGTCGTGTGTGCAGTAAATGCTGCTGGGAATGCCACACCTCCCATGTTTATCTTCCCCAGAGTGAAGTTTAAAGACTGTTTCATGAAGTTCTGGAAGCCTGGAGAGCCAAACAATGCTGTGGCTCAATGGGACAAAGACCGTGCAGGAAAGGACTGTGTTGTCATTGTCTGGTATGGTATGGCTGCCATACCAACAAGCACATTTTACGGAAAGAGGAGAGGTAAGCCAAATATTCTTTGTCTATTGCTATTTTTTACCATGATAATGATAAAAACTTGAGCGCCAGTTATACCCGTTACACTATGGGGTTAGCTTAGCTCGCTAGCTTGTTAGCTAACGTTAGCTGATACTTGAGGCCTGGTTTAACAGCAGTAGTGGTAGTTTTTGTACTTGTTTAAATGCCGAAAGTAGAGTTATATTCTGTTCGAATCTTACTGTCTGTAAGTGGATACGTGTTTTATTTCCGAAAATACAGGTTAGAGTCAGCTATAAACTGAAATTAATCGACTAAATTGAAGTTAAGCTTAAACAATTCCCTGAAACGTGACGGTTGAAGGTTAGTGAAGTTAAACTGCGCTGTAGTTTCCCCCCCTGCTGAGATAAAATTGAGTTTTAAGGATATTTCTTTCATGAAAATTAAGTTTGAAGATAAAATAAGAGCTTAACTCATCTCCAAAGGGAAACTGATTAAGTAAAAAAGTCGCTCAGTTCATTTTATTCATAACAAGTTTTGAACAATGTAGAAATTTATATTAGCATGACACACTAATGCAGTATGCATGTATCGTCCCTTTACATGTTTATTAGTGTTTTATTATTCTGTAGCTATAGCAGCCAATATTAAGCTCTAATCATACCAGCTTAATGTAGTAGAGGACCTTAATGTCAACTATCAACCTTAAAAAATAACGTTTTGATTTGTACGTTGTTTAAACGTGTTTGTTCATAAATTGTTCCGTTTGTAACGTTAAAATGATCTGACATTAAGACGTTTTCATTTTAACGTCTCAATGTCAGACGTTCGTGCTTCTACCAAATATGAACCCAGGTATAGACATAGACGTTGATGAAACGTTTATTGAACATCTGGTCTAAATCCGCCGACCCGGCTGGGACCGGGCGAGCCTCCCCGCGCGCGGACGGTCCCGGCAGCGGCGGCCTCTCGAGCCCGCGGGTCCCCAGTCAGCCTACGGTGCCGACCGAACGAGTCTATTAAACTTTCATTTCTATACCACTGTTAAACCATTTTTAGACTACAGGTCCAACGGACGTCTAAAGGCACAATCGTTTCTTGTAAATATTTTAATAAATTTACTAAATATCAACAGTGCATATTACCATAAGCATCTGATATATGTAAATTGATGAAAATATTCACAGGAAACACCATCTGTAGAGCCAGATTCTCTACACCAAAAGTTACCTGCTGCTTACCTTGATACACGTATTCCCAGGATGTTCTATTTCGGCAATGTTGCTTCTCTTTATGGACCTTTTAGAATATTTAGCTTCTACAGTCATGCTCATTCATAATTTAACACGATCAGTCCACTGTAATTGAAATCACAGTACATTTTTCACTCAGAATATAACCATTACAGTCACGGAGTGGGAAAGACAATTTTTTAATCTCACATCTAGTAGAATGAACATTTAAGAAAGAAAAAAATCTATATATCTATATACAAACATAGCTACAAAGTATAAAGAACAAGAACAACAACATGAAAAAAAATTTAACTAATACTAATACCACAGTACATAAACAGAGAACACAAAAGTACTGAAATGAACTATAAATATTTACAATTTTAAGATACATATATTTTTTAAAATTAGCAGGATGGTGTTCTGGTGGTGCCCCTCCCACCACGTCGAGCTGGTGCCTGTTTCAGAGGGACACGGCTGAACGAACCAACCTGACTGTCCACCTGGTTGTCGATCTGTGACATAAGGGACGAGAGTTTAACCAACGCAGACAAACAAAAACACAATTGTTATCTTTGACAGAGCGAGAGTTTCACCTTGTAGTTGTGAGCGCTGAGATACTTAAAGTGTCCAAAGCAGACGTGAGAGAGGCAGATGATTATTGTGATGATCAAAACGATAAATGTGAACATGAACGTTGCCGCTGAGAACCCTGAAGAGGAGAGAAAACAATTTAATGTTTCTGGACCTGCTTTCTAATCGTAACAGGTGTTTTAACGTCGGCAGCCTGCAGGGGGCGTCCTCGTCTTACCCGAGCGAACAGTGAGGAAGAAGAGGAGCCAGAAGAGGCAGAGGATAGGAGCGGCCACCACCTGGTTGACGGCTCCAGAGTGGATTTTCTAGTCCAGTTTAATGAAGAGATGAGCGTTGTACATGTTGTACCTGTCGGCCAGGTGTTTGAGCAGCATGTACATCAGACCTGCGGAGAGAAATGTTAACAGGAAAAAACAACAGCGAGTTAAAGGCGGGAGGGGGTTCGTGGACGTCAGTTCCTCACTTCCTGATCGATAAGGCTGTCCTCACCATAGTAGAGGTAGTAGTAGTAGAAGTCCTCAGTCAGACTGTTCTCCACGTTGATTATTTCCTCTTCCAGCGAGGACCCCTGGCCGTCGTCCTCGCCGCTGCCTGAGCCGCCCTCCTCCAAGTTGTGTCCTGAAGTACCTGAGAGATGTAACTTTGCTGCGGAGGAGAAAAAAAGAGGAGGATGTTAAAACCTGAGAGCTGGTTCACCTGAAGTCAGATCACCTGACCAGAACATCTCCTGATCCCAGAGGGACACAGCTGAACCAACCAACCTGACTGTCCACCTGGTTGTCGATCTGTGACATAAGGGACGAGAGTTTAACCAACGCAGACAAACAAAAACACGATTGTTATCTTTGACAGAGCGAGAGTTTCACCTTGTAGTTGTGTGCGCTGAGATACTTAAAGTGTCCAAAGCAGACGTGAGAGAGGCAGACGATTATTGTGATGATCAGAACAATAACCGTGAACATGGACGTTGCCACTGAGAACCCTGAAGAGGAGAGAAAAGAGTTTGTTTCTGGACCTGCTTTCTAATCGTAACAGGTGTTTTAACGTCAAAACACCTGAGCCAAACACAGTCGGATCATGTACATGAGCAGACCGGGTATCCTCAGCAGGTCCATGGCGTTACCGATTAAGGCTGCACGATATTGGAAAAAAATAATATTGCGATTTTTTCAACCTTGCGATATATATTGCGATATTAAAAATACAGGAATTTTCACCAGATGACCTGAATAGCACTTAATGTTATGCTGCACTGCTGAAATCTTGAGGACAGTTAACCTGCACTGATCTTACCTCTTTTTGTGAATGTTAGAATGGCTTCTGTCTCAGAGATATTTTTAGCTTTTATTGTGCTGGGACGTTATTGTGGCAACAGATGAACACAGAAGACGTGTTTTGGTCGACATCATCCTTCTTTTAACCGAAATAATTCCAGATAACTGACTTTCCTTTTCTTTTGGGCAACAAATCTTCATTTTCGGTGGTTTTCGCTTGTTCGTTGCTCATTTTGCGATCGTTGTTGTTGTTGTTAGCGGTGTTGTGCCGAGAAACGCATGTCCTCCGAGAATTGCATGCACCTCGCAAAACGCGCACTGCTTATAGTAGAGTGGTCCACGGAAATGTACAATTTAAAACCCATACAGTTCTTATTTGTTGGGCTTAACAGTCATGAGTAAAGTTCCGAAAGTAATTCTCAGCGGACAAGCGTCTCCCTCCATGTGCAGAACATGTGCAGGGGTGGGTTTCCTCCTCTCTGATTTTGATTGACAGCTGGCAGGGTAGTCTGATTGGCAACTGAGAAGTGAGTCTGATTGGCAACTGAGTTAAGGACAAATGTGATTGGTGGATCGCTGCAAAGCACATGCAGAGTCACATGCAGTGTATCTCAGTCAGTTACCCTTGAAATTAAATGAGTTCATTCACCTCCAATATCGCAGGCTCTGCGATGTGACTATCGCACACACGTACATCGCGATGACGATAGTCAAACGATATATCGTGCAGGCCTATTACCGATGAACGCGGATGCGATGATGTAGTTCACGAAGAAGGCGCCATTGTCAGGGAGAAACACACACCTTGGGAACGACAGGAAAAGTCAGCGTCGCAGTAAAATCTGAACGGATCGTCCGAAACTCGATCAACTCACTGAAATCTGACGGTCGCAAGATCCAGGAAACTTGTGTCAAAAAGCCAGCGGAAGAAACGTCCAAACTGCAGAGATACGAGGACAAAAGAGTCAGTGACAGGATGAATCTAAAAAAACACTGACTGTAGCTTTAAGAGCACGCTGTACCTGCTGAGTCCAAGAGAGGGCAGCAACAGGACCATGAAGATCAAGAAGGTGTAGCATTTATGCATCGTGGTCCTGTTCTCTCCAGACCTGAAGACCAAACAGAGACGATTAAACACGATTAAATCCAGACAGACGTCACAATCAGAACAGAAAAACCAAGTTTAACCGTACCGGGTCCAGTGGGCTTCAAAAAAGGCAGAGTAGTAGACGATGGTCGGGAGTAAAGCGGAGAAGGACCACAGGACGAGGGTCGGGAAGAACTGGGTGATGATTGGATTCTGCGGGACAGATTCAAGAGAGAGACATGAAGTTAAGACATGAAGAAGACTGTCTCGGGGCTGAAGAAGAAGAAGAAGGAGGAGGAGCTACAAGAACTAACAAAGGTAACTTCAGGTCTTAAACTCACGTTGAGGTACTCCACAGGTTTGGTGACGTTGAACTTGTCCATGGTGGAGATAATGATGGCGGGGGTGGTGAGGAAGAACAGGAGGAGGAAGAGGACAATGTTGATGCTCAAAGAGCGGAGCCACCAGGAGGCCCGTATGCATGTTGAAAGCGTTTAGCGTAAACGCGATTAGGGCTTAAACGCGTTTAGTTATACGGGCCTTAAACACTTTTAGTTCCTATACGATTTTGGTATGCACAATGCTGTAAACGGAACCGTATAGCTAACCGCGTTGAGAGTGTCTTAAACGGTAAAGATATTTATAGAATTGGGTCAACCGGTCTGTTTTAAGTGTTTGATCCGGGAAGTATATATGTTGCCTGGCTTGTCTGAAGAATGCATCAGTCATTCGAGTGACGGTTCGACTGACTGTCGACTGATCCACTCCTACCAACTCCCCACACACGTCTTGGAAAGAAGAAGCGGCGTAGTACCGTAAGGTTACGAGGACTTGTTGTAGTGGAGTGAGGGTGAATCCTCGGTTCGAAAGTTCAATTTTTAGCGGAAATCTCCTGTGTGAGGTCGAGAATATGGTGCCGTCGAAATCTAAACTTACGGAACACTTCGTGGTCGTCATACGTGTCGAAGGGGTGTTTTCTGTCACGAAAAATCCTGTTTCGACGCAATTGTCGCCGCTGTCTTCCTTGGAACAACAAGAGTGCCGCCGTATTTAAACGCGTTTAGACCCGCTATTGGACCCCCAGAGGTGCGATAACTTTAAACGCGAAAATCCGGAGAAAGAGGAGAAAAAAAGAGGAGGATATTAAAACCTGAGAGCTGGTTCACCTGAAGTCAGATCACCTGACCAGAACATCTCCTGATCCCAGAGGGACACAGCTGAACCAACCGACCTGACTGTCCACCTGGTTGTCGATCTGTGACAGAAGGGACGAGAGTTTAACCAACGCAGACAGACAAAAACACGATTGTTATCTTTGACAGAGTGAGAGTTTCACCTTGTAGTTGTGTGCGCTGAGATACTTAAGGTGTCCAAAGCAGACGTGAGAGAGGCAGATGATTATTGTGATGATCAGAACAATAACCGTGAACATGGACGTTGCCGCTGAGAACCCTGAAGAGGAGAGAAAAGAGTTTGTTTCTGGACCTGCTTTCTAATCGTAACAGGTGTTTTAACGTCAGCAGCCTGCAGGGGGCGTCCTCGTCTTACCCGAGCGAACAGTGAGGAAGAAGAGGAGCCAGAAGAGGCAGAGGATAGGAGCGGCCACCACCTGGTTGACGGCTCCAGAGTGGATCTTCTTGTCCAGTTTTGTGGGCAGATCCGCGTAGAACATGTTGTACTTGTCGGCCTGGTGTTTTAGCAGCATGTACATCAGACCTGCGGAGAGAAAACAATCAGAGCAGCTCATCCAATTAGAGCGGCTGATAAGCTTTGGACCAGGAACAGACCCACTGAGCGCGCTCAGACCTGCACTCATTCACTCAGCTCTCCACCTTTATATACAACGGGACTCACCAAAGGGGACGATGACAGGACAGGTGATGCTGTAGGTCATGACCACGCTGAAGACACACATCATCCAGGCGTACGCCACCCCAGCCCTACGCAGACAAAACTCTAACCTTAAAATATTTCACTGATGATATTTCAGTTGTAGAATGAATCTAATGTTTTCACACAGACTGGATCAGCTGTGGGTTCGCCTCCTCAGACCTGGTCTCCTCGGACACACTCACCCTCTTCACGTTTCTCCTCTCTGCGGCAGAGCGAGCCAAACACAGCCGGATCATGTACATGAGCAGACCGGACGCGATGACGTAGTTCACGAAGAAGGCGCCGTTGTCAGGGAGGAACACACACCTTGGGAACGACAGGAAAAGTCAACGTCGCAGTAAAATCTGAACGGACCGTCTGAAACTCGATCAACTCACTGAAATCTGACGGTCGCAAGATCCAGGAACCTTGTGTCGAAAAGCCAGCGGAAGAAAACGTCCAAACTGCAGAGATACGAGGACAAAAGAGTCAGTGAGAGGATGAATCTAAAAAAACACTGACTGTAGCTTTAAGAGCACGCTGTACCTGCTGAGTCCAAGAGAGGGAAGCAACAGGACCATGAAGATCAAGAAAGTGTAGCATTTATGCATCGTGGTCCTGTTCTCTCCAGACCTGCAGACCAAACAGAGACGATTAAACATGATTAAATCCAGACAGACGTCACAAACAGAACAGAAAAACCAAGTTTAACCGTACCGGGTCCAGTGGGCTTCAAAAAAGGCAGAGTAGTAGACGATGGTCGGGAGTAAAGCGGAGAAGGACCACAGGAGGAGGGTCGGGAAGAACTGGGTGATGATTGGATTCTGCGGGACAGATTCAAGAGAGAGACATGAAGTGAAGACATGAAGAAGACAACGGTCTGAGAGCTGAAGAAGAAGAAGAAGGAGGAGGAGCTACAAGAACTAACAAAGGTAACTTCAGGTCTTAAACTCACGTTGAGGTACTCCACAGGTTTGGTGACGTTGAACTTGTCCATGGTGGAGATAATGATGGCGGGGGTGGTGAGGAAGAACAGGAGGAGGAAGAGGACAATGTTGATGCTCAAAAAGCGGAGCCGACAGAAGGCCCCGCCCACTGACAGATGCTCCCTGTGGGATAAAGGTCGTGCAGCGGTTAGATGGACACAGCTGGTCGTAACCTGATACTTGGGTACGTGGACCAAAGACGTTCATGCAGTTAAAGCGGAACCGCCCTTTAAAGAGTGAAGAGTTACATAACGAACGAAATCAACGAGCCTTCGGATCAGACTGTGTGACCCGGACTGTGAGCTCACCAGTAGACGTTCTGTGGATCCGGGGCGTAGCTGACGGTCCAGTTGTGCGTGTGGAGCTTGGCGCTGAACTGAGAGATCTTGGGCTCCCGGCGGCACTGACAGCCCTTACACTTACAGGCGTTGAAGTCCTTCAGGATTCTGAGAGGAAAATCCAGAGACCAGAGAGTTAGTTTCAAATCGACGACGAGGACGCACATCTATAAAGGATCGAACACTTAAAATGTCCTTACATGGCGGTTATGGCCTCGTTCTGGAAGGTGACGAAGGCCATCCCCAACGGCTTCCTGTTCACCTTCTCTCTCTCCTTCCTGTAGTCGTCCTTCAGCTGGGCCTCCAGTTTGGTGTAGTAGCTCACCGCCTTCTCCCTGTCAGGAACACGTGAAAACGTGACGTTTCTATAGATCTAATGACCAGACTTTAAACTCTGTTACACTGATTTTGAATTCTGAATTTTGTAGCAGTGGTAGAATGTGAGTAGTCTTTTTGGGAAGACCAGAGAGCAGGGCATTACAGTAATCTAAACGACTAGAAATAAAAGCATGCATCAGCACCTCTGTGTTGGCCTGAGAGAGAAACGGGTGGACTCCGGCTATATTCTTAAGATGGTAAAAACCTATCTTTGTCATGTTCTTGATATTGTAGCAATCAAGACAACCCTGGGTGTGAAACTCACACATTCCTCACAGGAAAGGTTCCTTATCTGGTCCCAGGAAACAGGATATAAATCTTTCCAGACTCGTTTGCACTTTCAGGTTACCTAAGTGACCCAACAGGAGGTTGACTAAACCTCTGACTCTTCACGATTGGTCAATTCGGAGAACAGAAACAGAGTTTTATTACCTTTCAAACTGACTCCATTGTTGACCATCTAAATAAACATTAACGCTTCAACCCAGATCTCCCATTTGAGATTTACCGGACACTGACCTCCAGACCTCGGTTGTAAAACCCTGCTCGACCATACACTGATAAAGACTACATTCCTTTGGTGAAAGAATACAAATGACTGATCCTGACATCTTATGCATTCAGCAATGTACTAATCTGTCTAATCATGAAATTTGTGTTAAAATGAGATGTTTCCTGTTTTTCTATGTGCTCCAGAAGCCGAGTTATGACTGACAGAATAAATCCTTATTCTTTAGTTTCTTTAGACCAACAGCTTTTCAGACTGTTTCATGAACTTTTAAGAGTTAAATTTATTGACTATGAATCATAACTTTACTCTAAGAACACAGAAATAGTTTAGAAATGTTTGGTTTATATTTTAGTTGTTTATTTAGTATTTTTAACCATTAGGTGGTTATAATGTCATTGAATAACCTGAATGTGAGTATTTAGAATCCATTATTAATCATGATGACGTTCATTCACATGTATTTACTCTTTTGTTGTTCACAGTTTCCATGTGTTACTATCTGTTTCATTTCAGAGTAATTTAGCATGTTCAATGTGATACTTAAAACATAATGAGAATGTTTGATGTGATCCTACACTTCATTCATATGTGTTTAGTATCAAATCTTTTTCTTGAAATGAAGCATTCAATGATATTAATCATAGTGAGTGAGTATCAGATCTGACTCTTTTGCCAGCCAAAAGAATAAGTTAGATCAAATAATCAGAGACCCGATGACCCCTCCTCTGTCTCACACACACACGCCAGAGACACTCCCAGTGTGAGAAGATAAAACCAGTGAAGTGGGGTTGCTCACTCTCTTATTCCTTTCTTTCTTGTACCTACTCTTCTGCCCACACCCTTCTGTGGTGCGTTTCTTTGTTTTCTCGTAGAACTTTTTCTTAGTCTTCTAAGTTTTACGCCACGTGTTGATTCACGTTGATTTTTCTTTAACATCGTCTTAGTTCAAGTTTTGAAACTTCAACTTTTTGTGCGCATAGCAATTCAAGATTAAGCCTTTGATTGATTTTTCTTTAATTTCGCGAAGCCATTTTTGAAAGTTTTCTCTGCTCTTCGAGTCTCGTTTATCTGAGTTATCTGCGTGGTTTCAAAGTCACCTCTGAACGCAACCCAGCAGGCCCAGGTCATCCTCTGTGCCAGAGTTTTTGAGTGAGACCAAAGAAGTACCCAAACGAGCATCCACAGGATCCACAGGCACTGGCTTTGCTTCGGGCCTGAGTGCTGCAACTCCTGGCTCATCCTTCGGCTGACCTCAGTCGTCTTCTGAGCTGAACTGCTCTAACCGCCAGTAGCCCCTGACCTTCAGAACCTGCTCCATCTTCTCCAAGGACCAGTCTCACTTAAGTATGCAAACCTCCAGAGCTCCAAAGAGGGCTGGTGCTGTCTCCTGCGTTCATAACTCAGATATCCACCTATTTCTGGTGATCTTAGATTCCTCCAAATCCACATCCGAGTTTATCTCGACACCAAAGTTAGTGTAGGTTAATATGTTAGCGCATATTCACTCACTATCATTAACTTTAGTGCTCCTAGCCTGACTCAGAATCTTTATTTATTCACCTATTATTATTTATCTTCATTATCTTATCATTTATTGCATGTATGTTGTACCATCATTTATCCTGTAATAAACAGATCATTATTTTTCTAAGTTCTTGCCTGTTAGTGTTCTTCCAGAAGTGGAGTCCCTGAAATTAGAATTTCGACTTAAGATATGAGACTGATTAATTAAAACTGACTTGGTGTTTGATTTCTGAATTAAACTTTTGTTTTCTTTATTTTCCCACCATTAAGGGTGGGTGGTGCCCCTTTCAACGAGTGCATAAATGTCATAATTTGAGATTATTAATCTTCAGACATTTATTATAAATTCCAATCGCTACAGTATTATTTTGGTGCGGCCTTGTGAGGCTCATTTCAAATCGCTACACAGGTATTGGCTTTAATCCTCACAGTCATATTTATGTTTGCTTTTTAAGTGTTGGACTTTTTCTTTTGCTTCATTTAAATGTGGCTTGGTTATTATTTTTACATTTAAGTTTTATTTCATTCATTGATTAAATCTATTTAATACACACAAACTTTCCCAAATATAAATGAATGGGATCAGAAAGAAGAATGAACTTATATAATCTCACTCTCCTTTGTTTGATGTCACATGACTGGTGAAGGCTACTTTACTTCATGAATAGAGTTATTTTTCTTTAAGAGTTGCTGGAGTTTTGACCTTTTCTTGGACAGAATCCACAGATACAGAAGAAAGGCCTACCTTTGGGAGTGGGGGTGAGAATGTGGACAGGATGCACAGTCCAGAATCACCACCAGGGGGGGCTCTTTAAATTCATCTTTAAACTTTTGTCTGTAGCACATCTCACCGATCGTTTTAACATTTTAAGTGTATTTAACATTTTTCTAAAAAGTAAATTAATGTGTGATAATAAACACAAAAATAATTAAAGTCTCAATATTCATTTACATCTTTGATAAATGTCTAAGTCTACGTTCACACTGCAGGTTCTGATGCACAATTCAGATTTTTTGTTAAATCCGATCTTTTTGTGCGGTCGTTCACATTACAGCAATGAATGCGTCCATGAAGTGACCCTCATGAACACAAATTTCGGGTGGTGGCCCAGCAGCCCCACTTTAACGAAGGCAGAGGAGCTACTTCATTTTTCGATAACTTTTTATGCAATAAACAACTGTAATGTGCATAACTGACCTCTAAATACTGGATTACATTACTCTTGATACCGTGGTGAGATATGCAGCATAGTATAGATGTAGACGTCATTTACACGTATAAATTTATACTTCATTTCAACGTCGGGATTCGGTCTTTATTTAGACATGATTTAGACGTAAAAATTTATACGTCATTTCAACGTCTACATATAGACCGAATCTAGACAATCGATTTTAATCCACAATATAAGAGTTGATTATTTAAAATGATCACTGAACGTTGCAGAACTCATCTCAATCTATGGGACTACTATCATACTCCGGAGAGTGACCAGTGTTTTCGCCATATCCGGTCAAAACGGATATACGCGAAGAAAAAAAACAACAACTTTGGATCTTGAAGCCTGGGTCCTGCTGAGTACTCGACAACAAAGTTGGTCGCTGAAATTCAATTTAATTATTACATTTCGTGTGTTTTATCCGTCTCGGTAACGCCGGCTGCCGCCGTGACAATAATCCAGCCACCTTATTGGTGGAGCACGCTCACGTGACCCACCGTGCAACCACTTCGGCTAGATTCTTACTCCACCAAGAGCCAAGTAGTCCGTGATAAAACTTATCGGCATAGCCGCAATACTACGAGATGAGCGACAAAAAACTATTTGGTAGCTCTGCAAGAGCCCAGCTTAACACCCGTATGGAGACTGGACCATAATCGGACCATAACATGAAAACGGCTTCAAATTGGGGACCGCACAACATCCGATTCAAGCATTGCGCTTTGTCCACACTCGACCTCACGACCGTCGGACTACGCTGCAAGTTCCAGTCGTGCCACACTTCGAGAGTTACACTTTCTAAGGTAAAGAGGTGGGTGCTGCAGGAGATATTATAGAAAATGCTTATTTTTGCAAGCTTTGGTCCTCACACCGTCGTGCATCTTGATGCGTGACGGTGAAATGCATTCACGGCAAATGTTAAACTCGAGTTCGCATGTAGCCTGGTTGCTACCACGGGGGCTAGCTTGTGGCTAATTTAGCCAGCGTGGGCCCAACAGCATCAAATAGTCCACGCTAACGTGTGTTGTCGTGAAAGTAAATAAGGGCCTGCTCTCTCTGTTGGAGCCAAGGTTAAAAGCTGCTAGTTAGGCTATCCATTTGAATTAGAAAATCAAGTCTATTTTGATGCCAGTACTGTTGTTTTTGTTTATCCAGTGTTATTTTTTTATATAGCTAAATTTGTGTTTAACTGTAATTGTCATAGATGGGTTTTTCACTATGTGTGGTAGAAATGGGACGAATTTCTCATTTTGATCATGTTCTACATTGTCAAGTAAGTATTAAGTGGCAGTTTGATCCCTTAAAAAATGCTCTTTTCACACTCAAAAATGAATTTTACTCTCTTATGATGTTCTGTTAAATGATTAGGAATATTATACTTACACTTATTTTTCTCCTGATATGTCCTTTAGCATCAGAAAAATGAATATATGCACATGTAGACGACAAGAAAAAGTTGATTTTCATCGTAGTGCGTCTGTAAAGGGTAGATAAATGGAATGTCTAGATTTTTTTGGTTGAATTGTTGCTGTGTCGCTTCGTAGAGATGAAGAGATCAGGGAGAAGTGCGGCGAAGACGCCGTTCACTACCTGTCCTTTCAGCGGCACATCATCGGCCTGTTGGTGGTGGTCGGCGTTCTTTCTGTGGGCATCATCCTGCCAGTGAACTTCTCTGGAAACCTACTTGGTAAGTCAGCCAGTGAAAAAACAACCCCAGGATGATTCAGAAAATACAGACAATGAATATTTCACACATCTGTGTGTAAAACTGTGCAGACTTTAACTTTGATTTTTAAGAGACAAAAACGGTAAAAATCAGCAACTTTATAAAGAAGTATGTTCATAAATATTGTGTTGATGTTACAACACTTTTATAAAGAGTCATGTCACTCACAAATGAACGTCTTCTTTCTTTTTTTCTGGATGGTTGAAGGCTAAACACGGAGGTCTGGCTCAGTCGAACAGGACTCACCAAAATCCACTTCCTGTGCGGCAGATTTAAAGAGCGTGATTATGTTTATAAAATAAGACAAAAAGTTTAAAGAAATTCACGTCAGTCACTTTCGGTTTATGTGCTTTTTATGACTTTTGTAGTGAGATTAAATAATCAGATATACAGACGGGCAGTCACAGAGGGCAGATGCCAGAAAAACGGCTGGTGGCCCAGCAGCCCCACTTTAACGGAGGCGTCTGGCATCTGCCCTCTTTCTGTTTGCTGAGTGAAAGTCTAATATTGAGTGTACCCACTGAGCAAAAGACGTACATTAGACGTCTAGTCTAAATTTATACTTCATTTCAACGTCGGGATTCGGTCTATTCTTAGACGTGATTTATACTTTGCCTTCGACTTCATTTTTCGATGTTTGGACGTTTTCTTCCGCTGGCTTTTCGACACAAGGTTCCTGGATCTTGCGACCGTCAGATTTCAGTGAGTTGATCGAGTTTCGGACGATCCGTTCAGATTTTTCTGCGACGCTGACTTTTCCTGTCGTTCCCAAGGTGTGTGTTCCTCCCTGACAACGGCGCCTTCTTTGTGAACTACATCATCGCGTCCACGTTCATCGGTAACGCCATGGACCTGCTGAGGATACCCGGTCTGCTCATGTACATGATCCGGCTGTGTTTGGCTCGCTCCGCCACAGAGAGGAGGAACGTGAAGAGGGTGAGTGTGTCCGAGGAGACCAGGTCTGAGGAGGCAAACCCACAGCTGATCCAGTCTGTGTATAAAAAAAGAGATTCATTCTACAACTGAAATATCATCAGTGAAATATTTTAAGGTTAGAGTTTTGTCTGAGTAGGGCTGGGCGATAAACCGAAAATTTACAGATCCTGAAATTGACGACAATAACCGACGTCATTGTGCCCATATCGGTATATTCGGTGTCAAAAAAATGAATAAACCAAAGTTGTTTTTGGAATTTGTGTAGGTAGGCTATGGTCTCATGTCCCTTTAAGACGCTGTCCTACGTCAGAGACGTGACTCCACCCCATCCAGTCCGTAACAGAGAGGGAAAGACAGGTGAGGAGATGGAGGACGGTTCAAAAGTTGGAGCGGCTGAAGTAGACAAAGTTAATGTGGGAGGGGGTGAGCAGCTTGTGGAGTAGTTACCGTCCATTTATCGTTATCAAGGTGAACTGATCAATATATTGGGATATTGATTTGAGGCCATATCGCCCAGCCCTACAGTATCTTTTACTGTAAATAAATTACCAATTAGAAAACAGCCTTAAAAGGAAAATAAGCAGCTTTTAAACAAGGTTTTTTTTAAACAGTTATCCACGTTTGCTTTCCTTAAAAATGTCACAAATACATCATTTCATGTTAGATATTAAAATATTTTAAAGTCATGATCTCTGAGGCTTTTAGAATCATCATGAATCCTCCTGATTCTGGTGTGTTTTTGCAGCATCGCCCGCCCCTACTTAAGCTCTAAAAACTTTGACTCTTAAACTGGAAATGTAAACTTGTCCCGATGAACGAGTCAAGTCAATAATTTCTGGTGTCGACCTTCTCCCTGTGACACAGACTTTTGTGAGTGAGTTTATTTACACTCACAGCCGAGTCTCACTCATGTCCTCCTTCACTTTTATATGTTTTGATGTTTCACGAGTTCGTTCAGACTCTAGAAATCCGAGCGTCAGGATCTTCTTAATGAACCTCAAAGATCCTCGTCTGAATCAGCTCCACATGATCCTGATTTTCTTTGTTTCTGTCTCTCAGCATCAAGCCTATGAGTTCCAGTTCGGGGCGGCGTACGCCTGGATGATGTGTGTCTTCACCGTGGTCATGACCTGCAGCATCACCTGTCCTATCATCGTCCCCTTTGGTGAGCCCCGTTGTATATAAAGGTGGAGAGCTGAGTGAATGAGTGCAGGTCTGAGCGCGCTCAGTGGGTCTGTTCCTGGTCCAAAGCTTATCAGCCGCTCTAATTGGATGAGCTGCTCTGATTGTTTTCTCTCCGCAGGTCTGATGTACATGCTGCTCAAACACCTGGCCGACAGGTACAACATGTACTACGCTTATCTCTACGTTTGTATGTGTTCGTTCAAGTTGTTCTTTTAAGTTAAAAAAAAATTAAAAATTGTTCATTTGTTGTTCTCTTCCTGTTTTTCTTCTTCTTCTGATAATTATTATAATTTGTTAATTTTGTTTGATGTTCATAAATTGTGTTCTTTTTATTATAGTTGTGCATTTTACACCTTTGTTGTTAATCATTGTTATACTTTAATTTTGTTCTTTGTTACTTACGATCTGATCATTTTTATAATTTATTAATTTTGGATGATGTTCATAAATTGTGTTCTTTTTATTATAGTTGTGCATTTTACACCTTTTTTTTAAATCATTGTTATACTTTAATTTTGTTTGTTGTTACTGATGATCTAACCAATGAGTAAAGTTAAATCTTTCAAACCATAAATCTTCTGATTTACTTCATTATTTTGTCTGAAAGTTCTCTTTAGTCTTTGATTTATGAGTATTTTATAGACACAAAAACAAACAAAAAATAGATAAAAGTATGCTGAAACACATACCTGAAACCTGAAATATTGTCGGTGATTTATTTTTAGATAAACTAAAAACAGGAACGAACACAAAAACAACTTTCAGCCTCGTTTTTATTTCACCATTGTGAGGAAGACGCTTTGCGTTGACAGGGACAACAAACAACGACTTCAAAACAAGAGCGTCAGATAAACTGCAACTTCCGAGGGAAGGCGCCATCTGCTGGTCACTTCATGCTGGGAGGACTCTCTGACTGATGACGCGTTTGCCTGTCGTCCAATGGGCTGCTGCTTTCGACCTTCACTGAGCTTGGCTTCTCGTTAGATTGACAACAGGATTGTATTTGATTGATTTTGAATTAACGAGAAAAATTTTGTGATTCCCTTCTCTTGGCTGGTCTAGAGGTGGAGGCCTCTGGCTCAGGGGCAGCTGGGTTTGCCTCTTCCTGTGAAAGAAGAATAACTGAAATTGAGTCACAGGATGAGAGAGCATGTGAGCACACTTATCATTCCCAGCAGCAGACCCCATCACCTGTGGAATTTGCCATTGATAAATAACTGCCACAATCTCCCCACCACTGTGAGAACCACTTTAGTAAAGAACAATGACTGAGTTGTACCGGCCATGGTCTCTCTGAGCAGGCTGAGAGTCTCATCATCAATGACCGCCGCCTACATCAGTGATGACAAAGGTTTTGTTGGGTGAAGGAATCATAAGCAGCCACAGGTGAATTATGTGAATGGCTGGTTGAATTTGCAGTTACCTCTGTAAGGGGCAATGTTTGCTTGGGTGGAGGTAGCAGCGTGACAGTCAGTGTGTCACTGTCCACTGGGGAGAAACATTAGAACATTAGCAGTCATTAGCAAGCTTCACACGCTGAAAGGAGACCTGCTTTACTCAGTTTGACCTTTCTTTGAGTCTGGGACACCTGGAGAGCAGCTCAGCGTGATTTTCAGCTGAAGAACTCCCGATTTATGGCAAACCGACATTTGTGAAAACTCATTTTCAGCACAGTTCAGCTGAGGAAGTTCCCCCCTTTGTAGAAAATGCCAAATGCATCTTCCAGCTTGTGGTTCTGGATCTTCATGGAGGTCTTTCTAGTTCAGCTCCGTGTTAAAGTAACAGCTGAGACTCAGATCATCAGAGGAGTCATCAGTGACGAAGACGACACTGTGAGCCGCCCTGTTAGAGTCAAAGATGATCACCTCTGACACTTTGGACCAAAAACTGTTCTCAGATCTGAGGAGACGTATCTCAGCTGCTCAGAGGACCACTGTGGAGAACGTGCACTAACTAACCTTCACTTAGATGATTGACAGAGAAGGGCGCACCACTGTGACGATGACGACAAAGATCCTTAACGTTAATCTCCGATTTTCTTCTCTCTCCGCTCTGAAAGCCTCATTCCTCTCGTACTAACGCGTACTGTTTGACACCTGTGGTTCAGGTGCTCCTCTGGTCATGAAAAGGTGATTTTATATTTTATACCTCTTCATTTTCACACCTCTGACATGTCTTGAAATCTCTGAATGTGTTCCGCTCTGAGGAGATTCTTCATGATCTCTGTTTCAGAGCTGAATGTCGGTTTAACTCCTCGACTTTTTCTAAGTGGCTTCATGTTTGACGGCTGTTTCTGCAGCTCAAAGGGCAGTTCACCTGTTAACCTGAGATTTTACTCTGTAAACCCAGAGTTTCAGGTGAGACATCAGCATTTTCTCATTTTGATCATGTTTTACATTGTCAAGTAAGTATTTAGTGGCAGTTTGATCCTTTAAAAATTGCTCCTTTCACGCTCAAAAATGAATTTTACTCTCTTATGATGTTCTGTTAAATGATTAGGAATATTATACTAACACAGACTGTCACTCAGTAAACAGAAAGAGGGCAGATGCCAGAAAAACGGCTGGTGGCCCAGCAGCCCCACTTTAACGGAGGCAGAGGAGCTACTTCATTTCTCGATAACTTTTTATGCAATAAACAACTGTAATGTGCATAACTGACCTCTAAATACTGGATTACATTACTTTTGATACCGTGGTGAGATATGCAGCATAGTATAGATGTAGACGTCATTTACACGTATAAATTTATACTTCATTTCAACGTCGGGATTCGGTCTTTATTTAGACATGATTTAGACGTAAAAATTTATACGTCATTTCAACGTCTACATATAGACCGAATCTAGACAATCGATTTTAATCCACAATACAAGAGTTGATTATTTAAAATGATCACTGAGCGTTGCAGAACTCATCTCAATCTATGGGACTACTATCATACTCCGGAGAGTGACGAGTGTTTTCGCCATATCCGGTCAAAACGCATATACGGGAAAAAAAAAAAAAAAACAGCAAATTTGGATCTTAAAGCCTGGGTCCTGCTGAGTACTCGACAACAAAGTTGGTCGCTGAAATTCAATTTAATTATTACATTTCATGTGTTTTATCCGTCTCGGTAACGCCGGCTGCCGCCGTGACAATAATCCAGCCACCTTATTGGTGGAGCACGCTCACGTGACCCACCGTGCAACCACTTCGGCTAGATTCTTACACCACCAAGAGCCAAGTAGTCCGTGATAAAACTTATCGGCATAGCCGCAATACTACGAGATGAGCGACAAAAAAATATTTCGTAGCTCTGCAAGAGCCCAGCTTTACACCCGTATGGAGATTGGACCATAATCGGACATGAAAACGGCTTCAAATTGGGGACCGCACAACATCCGATTCAAGCATTGCGCTTTGTCCACACTCGACCTCACGACCGTCGGACTACGCCGCAAGTTCCAGTCGTGCCACACTTCGAGAGTTAGACTTTCTGCTGAAAACAGGTGGGTGCTGAAGGAGATATTATAGAAAATGCTTATTTTTGCAAGCTTTGGTCCTCACACCGTCGTGCATCTTGATGCGTGACGGTGAAATGCATTCACGGCAAATGTTAAACTCGAGTTCGCATGTAGCCTGGTTGCTACCACGGGGGCTAGCTTGTGGCTAATATAGCCAGCGTGGGCCCAACAGCATCAAATGGTCCATGCTAACGTGTGTTGTCGTGAAAGTAAATAAGGGCCTGCTCTCTCTGTTGGAGCCAAGGTTAAAAGCTGCTAGTTAGGCTTTCCATTTAAATTAGAAAATCAAGTCTATTTTGATGCCAGTACTGTTGTTTTTGTTTATCCAGTGTTATTTTTTTATATAGCTAAATTTGTGTTTTAACTGTAATTGTCATAGATGGGTTTTTCACTATGTGTGGTAGAAATGGGACGAATTTCTCATTTTGATCATGTTCTACATTGTCAAGTAAGTATCAAGTGGCAGTTTGATCCCTTAAAAAATGCTCTTTTCACACTCAAAAATGAATCTTACTCTCTTATGATGTTCTGTTAAATGATTAGGAATATTATACTAACACTTATTTTTCTCCTGATATGTCCTGTGGCATTAGAAAAATGAATATATGCACACGTAGACGACAAGACAAAGTTGATTTTCATCGTAGTGGGTCTGTAAAGGGTAGATAAATGGAATGTTTAGATTTTTTGGGTTGAATTGTTGCTGTGTCGCTTCGTAGAGATGAAGAGATCAGGGAGAAGTGCGGCGAAGACGCCGTTCACTACCTGTCCTTTCAGCGGCACATCATCGGCCTGTTGGTGGTGGTCGGCGTTCTTTCTGTGGGCATCATCCTGCCAGTGAACTTCTCTGGAAACCTACTCGGTAAGTCAGCCGGTGAAAAAACAACCCCAGGATGATTCAGAAAATACAGACGATGAATATTTCACACATCTGTGTGTAAAACTGTGCAGACTTTAACTTTGATTTTTAAGAGACAAAAACAGCAAAAATCAGCAACTTTATGAAGAAGTATGTTCATAAATATTGTGTTGATGTTACAACACTTTTATAAAGAGTCATGTCACTAACAAATGAACGTCTTCTTTCTTTTTTTCTGGATGGTTGAAGGCTAAAGACGGAGGTCTGGCTCAGTCGAACAGGACTCATCAAAATCCACTTCCTGTGCGGCAGATTTAAAGAGCGTGATTATGTTTATAAAATAAGACAAAAAGTTAAAAGAAATTCACGTCAGTCACTTTCGGTTTTTGTGCTTTTTATGACTTTTGTAGTGAGATTAAATAATCAGATATACAGACGGGCGCTCACAGATTTGGAAAGCATCGTCATGAGCGGTTTAAACCTGTTTTTCTTTTATATCAGATGTAAAATATAAGAAATAAAGTAGTTAAAGGTTAAAGATTGAATCCAGTTCTGAAACTCTGAGCCTGTGGCGTTTACAGTTGATGTTTTTTCGTTTCTAACTCAGTGTAGCGACCGCTTTCCTTCAACAAAAAAGGCCGCTGGGGTTTCGGTTCACTTGCATCTGCAACTCGTCAATTCATCAGTCGGGTTTGAGTGTTAAAGGTGATTTATTGTTCAAAAGGGAGAGAAAACACACTGATCCAGGTAAAAAAACTATGATGAAATGAGGGTAAAAGGATAAGTGAAAAAACAGTCAACTGAAAATTATCCGACCTGACCAAAACCTGTTGTTTCTGACTACACCGGTGTTTTTAAATCACCCGCAAAACAACCCAAAACCAAACCCCTCAGTGTCGATCTCCAGGAGTGACATACCTCTTAGAAATCATCTCCTCAACACGCTCAGTTCAGGTCTTTTATTTTTACATTTTCCGTCCTCTCTAAGTTTCTCCTCTTTTCTTCTTTTTTACAGGCAGGCGTATGAAAACTGTGTCGTCCTGGAAGCTCGTATCTGTTTTAATGTGGATCTCTTCATAAAACTGGACAAGAAGATCCACTCTGGAGCCGTCAACCAGGTGGTGGCCGCTCCTATCCTCTGCCTCTTCTGGCTCCTCTTCTTCCTCACTGTTCGCTTGGGTAAGACGAGGACGCCCCCTGCAGGCTGCCGACGTTAAAACACCTGTTACGATTAGAAAGCAGGTCCAGAAACATTAAAACAGTTTTCTCTCCTCTTCAGGGTTCTCAGCGGCAACATCCATGTTCACGGTTATTGTTTTCAAAGTTAAAAAGAAAAAAAATAATTGTTCATTTGTTCTTCTCTTAATCTTTTTCTTCTTCTGATAATTATTATAATTTATTAATTTTGGATGTTTATAAACGGTGTTCTTTTTGTTAAAGTTGTGCATTTTATACCTTTTGTTTTTAATCATTGTTATACTTAAATTTTGTTCTTTGTTACTTACGATCTGATAATTTTTATAATTTATTAATTTTGGATGATGTTCATAAATTGTGTTCTTTTTATTATAGTTGTGCATTTTACACCTTTTTTTTAATCATTGTTATACTTAAATTTTGTTCTTTGTTACTGATGATCTAACCAATGAGTGAAGTTTAAAGAAATTTCAAACCATAAATCTTCTGATTTACTTCATTATTTTGCCTGAAAGTTCTCTTTAGTCTTTGATTTACGAGTATTTTATAGACTCAAAAACAAACAAAAAATAGATAAAAGTATGCTGAAACACATACCTGAAACCTGAAATATTGTCTGTGATTTATTTTTAGATAAACTACAAACAGGAACGAACACAAAAACAACTTTCCGCCTCGTTTTTATTTCACCACTGTGAGGAAGACGCTTTGCGTTGCCAGGGACAACAAACAACAACTTCAAAACAAGAGCGTCAGATAAACCGCAACTTCCGAGGGAAGGCGCCATCTGCCGGTCACTTCATCCTGGGAGGACTCTCTGACTGATGACGCGTTTGCCTGTCGTCCAATGGGCTGCTGCTTTCGACCTTCACTGAACTTGGCTTCTCGTTAGATTGACAACAGGATTGTATTTGATTGATTTTGAATTAACGAGAAAAATTTTGGGATTCCCTTCTCTTGGCTGGTCTAGAGGTGGAGGCCACTGGCTCAGGGGCAGCTGGGTTTGCCTCTTCCTGTGAAAGAAGAATAACTGAAATTGAGTCACAGGATGAGAGAGCATGTGAGCACACTTATCATTCCCAGCAGCAGACCCCATCACCTGTGGAATTTGCCATTGATAAATAACTGCCACAATCTCCCCACCACTGTGAGAACCACTTTAGTAAAGAACAATGACTGAGTTGTACCGGCCATGGTCTCTCTGAGCAGGCTGAGAGTCTCATCATCAATGACCGCCGCCTACATCAGTGATGACAAAGGTTTTGTTGGGTGAAGGAATCATAAGCAGCCACAGGTGAATTATGTGAATGGCTGGTTGAATTTGCAGTTACCTCTGTAAGGGGCAATGTTTGCTTGGGTGGAGGTAGCAGCGTGACAGTCAGTGTGTCACTGTCCACTGGGGAGAAACATTAGAACATTAGCAGTCATTAGCGAGCTTCACACGCTTAAAGGAGACCTGCTTTACTCAGTTTGACCTTTCTTTGAGTCTGGGACACCTGGAGAGCAGCTCAGCGTGATTTTCAGCTGAAGAACTCCCGATTTATGGCAAACCGACATTTGTGAAAACTCATTTTCAGCACAGTTCAGCTGAGGAAGTTCCCCCTTTGTAGAAAATGCCAAATGCATCTTCCAGCTTGTGGTTCTGGATCTTCATGGAGGTCTTTCTAGTTCAGCTCCGTGTTAAAGTAACAGCTGAGACTCAGATCATCAGAGGAGTCATCAGTGACGAAGACGACACTGTGAGCCGCCCTGTTAGAGTCAAAGATGATCACCTCTGACACTTTGGACCCAAAACTGTTCTCAGATCTGAGGAGACGTATCTCAGCTGCTCAGAGGACCACTGTGGAGAACGTGCACTAACTAACCTTCACTTAGATGATTGACAGAGAAGGGCGCACCACTGTGACGATGACGACAAAGATCCTTAACGTTAATCTCCGATTTTCTTCTCTCTCCGCTCTGAAAGCCTCATTCCTCTCGTACTAACGCGTACTGTTTGACACCTGTGGTTCAGGTGCTCCTCTGGTCATGAAAAGGTGATTTTATATTTTATACCTCTTCATTTTCACACCTCTGACATGTCTTGAAATCTCTGAATGTGTTCCGCTCTGAGGAGATTCTTCATGATCTCTGTTTCAGAGCTGAATGTCGGTTTAACTCCTCGACTTTTTCTAAGTGGCTTCATGTTTGACGGCTGTTTCTGCAGCTCAAAGGGCAGTTCACCTGTTAACCTGAGATTTTACTCTGTAAACCCAGAGTTTCAGGTGAGACATCAGCATTTTCTCATTTTGATCATGTTTTACATTGTCAAGTAAGTATTTAGTGGCAGTTTGATCCTTTAAAAATTGCTCCTTTCACGCTCAAAAATGAATTTTACTCTCTTATGATGTTCTGTTAAATGATTAGGAATATTATACTAACACAGACTGTCACTCAGTAAACAGAAAGAGGGCAGATGCCAGAAAAACGGCTGGTGGCCCAGCAGCCCCACTTTAACGGAGGCAGAGGAGCTACTTCATTTCTCGATAACTTTTTATGCAATAAACAACTGTAATGTGCATAACTGACCTCTAAATACTGGATTACATTACTTTTGATACCGTGGTGAGATATGCAGCATAGTATAGATGTAGACGTCATTTACACGTATAAATTTATACTTCATTTCAACGTCTGGATTCGGTCTTTATTTAGACATGATTTAGACGTAAAAATTTATACGTCATTTCAACGTCTACATATAGACCGAATCTAGACAATCGATTTTAATCCACAATACAAGAGTTGATTATTTAAAATGATCACTGAGCGTTGCAGAACTCATCTCAATCTACGGGACTACTATCATACTCCGGAGAGTGACGAGTGTTTTCGCCATATCCGGTCAAAACGCATATACGGGGAAAAAAAAAAAACCCAACAACTTTGGATCTTAAAGCCTGGGTCCTGCTGAGTACTCGACAACAAAGTTGGTCGCTGAAATTCAATTTAATTATTACATTTCATGTGTTTTATCCGTCTCGGTAACGCCGGCTGCCGCCGTGACAATAATCCAGCCACCTTATTGGTGGAGCACGCTCACGTGACCCACCGTGCAACCACTTCGGCTAGATTCTTACTCCACCAAGAGCCAAGTAGTCCGTGATAAAACTTATCGGCATAGCCGCAATACTACGAGATGAGCGACAAAAAAATATTTCGTAGCTCCGCAAGAGCCCAGCTTTACACCCGTATGGAGATTGGACCATAATCGGACCATAACATGAAAACGGCTTCAAATTGGGGACCGCACAACATCCGATTCAAGCATTGCGCTTTGTCCACACTCGACCTCACGACCGTCGGACTACGTTGCAAGTTCCCGTCGTGCCACACTTCGAGAGTTAGACTTTCTGCTGAAAACAGGTGGGTGCTGAAGGAGATATTATAGAAAATGCTTATTTTTGCAAGCTTTGGTCCTCACACCGTCGTGCATCTTGATGCGTGACGGTGAAATGCATTCACGGCAAATGTTAAACTCGAGTTCGCATGTAGCCTGGTTGCTACCACGGGGGCTAGCTTGTGGCTAATATAGCCAGCGTGGGCCCAACAGCATCAAATAGTCCACGCTAACGTGTGTTGTCGTGAAAGTAAATAAGGGCCTGCTCTCTCTGTTGGAGCCAAGGTTAAAAGCTGCTAGTTAGGCTTTCCATTTAAATTAGAAAATGAAGTCTATTTTGATGCCAGTACTGTTGTTTTTGTTTATCCAGTGTTATTTTTTTTATATAGCTAAATTTGTGTTTAACTGTAATTGTCATAGATGGGTTTTTCACTATGTGTGGTAGAAATGGGACGAATTTCTCATTTTGATCATGTTCTACATTGTCAAGTAAGTGGCAAGTGGCAGTTTGATCCCTTAAAAATGCTCTTTTCACACTCAAAAATGAATTTTACTCTCTTATGATGTTCTGTTAAATGATTAGGAATATTATACTAACACTTATTTTTCTCCTGATATGTCCTGTAGCATTAGAAAAACGAATATATGCACACGTAGACGACAAGACAAAGTTGATTTTCATCGTAGTGGGTCTGTAAAGGGTAGATAAATGGAATGTTTAGATTTTTTGGGTTGAATTGTTGCTGTGTCGCTTCGTAGGGATGAAGAGATCAGGGAGAAGTGCGGCGAAGACGCCGTTCACTACCTGTCCTTTCAGCGGCACATCATCGGCCTGTTGGTGGTGGTCGGCGTTCTTTCTGTGGGCATCATCCTGCCAGTGAACTTCTCTGGAAACCTACTCGGTAAGTCAGCCGGTGAAAAAACAACCCCAGGATGATTCAGAAAATACAGACGATGAATATTTCACACATCTGTGTGTAAAACTGTGCAGACTTTAACTTTGATTTTTAAGAGACAAAAACAGTAAAAATCAGCAACTTTATGAAGAATTATGTTCATAAATATTGTGTTGATGTTACAACACTTTTATAAAGAGTCATGTCACTAACAAATGAACGTCTTCTTTCTTTTTTTCTGGATGGTTGAAGGCTAAAGACGGAGGTCTGGCTCAGTCGAACAGGACTCATCAAAATCCACTTCCTCTGCGGCAGATTTAAAGAGCGTGATTATGTTTATAAAATAAGACAAAAAGTTAAAAGAAATTCACGTCAGTCACTTTCGGTTTTTGTGCTTTTTATGACTTTTGTAGTGAGATTAAATAATCAGATATACAGACGGGCAGTCACAGAGGGCAGATGCCAGAAAAACGGCTGGTGGCCCAGCAGCCCCACTTTAACGGAGGCGTCTGGCATCTGCCCTCTTTCTGTTTGCTGAGTGAAAGTCTAATATTGAGTGTACCCACTGAGCAAAAGACGTACATTAGACGTCTAGTCTAAATTTATACTTCATTTCAACGTCGGGATTTGATCTATTCTTAGACGTGATTTATACTTTGCCTTCGACTTCATTTTTCGATGTTTGGAGTTTGGACGTTTTCTTCCGCTGGCTTTTCGACACAAGTTTCCTGGATCTTGCGACCGTCAGATTTCAGTGAGTTGATTGAGTTTTGTCTGCGTTCGTTAAAGTTGTTCTTTTAAGTTAAAAATTTTTTTTTTTTTTAAATTGTTCCTTTTTTTCTTCTCTTCCTGTTTTTCTTCTTCTGATAATTATTATAATTTGTTAATTTTGTTTGATGTTTATAAACGGTGTTGTTTTTGTTAAAGTTGTGCATTTTATACCTTTGTTTTTAATCATTGTTATACTTCAATTTTGTTCTTTGTTACTTGGGATCTGATAATTTTTATAATTTATTAATTTTGGATGATGTTCATAAATTGTGTTCTTTTTATTATAGTTGTGCATTTTACACCTTTTTTTTTAAATCATTGTTATACTTTAATTTTGTTTGTTGTTACTGATGATCCAACCAATGAGTAAAGTTAAATTTTTCAAACCATAAATCTTCTCATTTACTTCATTATTTTGTCTGAAAGTTCTCTTTAGTCTTTGATTTATGAGTATTTTATAGACACAAAAACAAACAACAAATAGATAAAAGTATGCTGAAACACATACCTGAAATGAATTCCCTTCTCTTGGCTGGTCTAGAGGTGGAGGCCACTGGCTCAGGGGCAGCTGGGTTTGCCTCTTCCTGTGAAAGAAGAATAACTGAAATTGAGTCACAGGATGAGAGAGCATGTGAGCACACTTATCATTCCCAGCAGCAGACCCCATCACCTGTGGAATTTGCCATTGATAAATAACTGCCACAATCTCCCCACCACTGTGAGAACCACTTTAGTAAAGAACAATGACTAAGTTGTACCGGCCATGGTCTCTCTGAGCAGGCTGAGAGTCTCATCATCAACTAGAAAAATTGCATTTCCTTGCAGAAAATGCGTGGAAATGCTGAGTGCTGAAGCTGAAAAAGCAATGCTAAACTGCTAATAAAACATGGAGAAAGGTTTAAATGTAAAAGCTGTTGAAGGGGTGATAAAGAAATATACGTTAGATAATTGTTTAATTGGTTGAAGGACAAATAGTATGAATATGCTCTATAAAAGGAAATTTTATTCATGCTGAAAGAGGCTAGAAAAATGTCTAAAATTGCACAAAGTTTGAATGAAGAAGGAAATTGCCTTTAAAGGCAGGAAGGTGAGAAGTGGCATAAGTTTAAGTTGTAGTACTAGAAGTAGTATGATAAGAGGTCAAGTCGTGATACTAGTAGTCATGTCAGCAGTAGAAGTAGTTTGAGAATAAAAGAAGTATAAGTCAAAGTAGTAAAGAAAGTAGAAATAGTAGCAATAGCAGCAGTAGAGAAAGTAGAAATAGGAGCAATAGCAGTTGAAGTAGAGGGGAAAGTACTAGTTTAATTGACATAAGTAGTTGTAGTACTAGAGGTAGGATTTTGTTTGAAGGACGGATTAATGCATAAATATTAAAAATAATATAAAACAGGGAACATTTTATTAATTAAAAATCCTGAAGTATCAGACAGTTTTTAAGTATTAGAAAGGTTTGAATCATTTTGAATGAGTTTAAATTAGTTTGAAAAATTAAATGATAAATTATCACTGAGTGACTTTAAAATGTGAAACATTTAAATGAATATAAATCCTAAATACACCCCATAATGTCCTCAATGAGCTTAAATTTTAAAGCCCTGAATGGTTTCTGTAGGTCAAAGGTCATGTGAGGAGATAGGGGCTGAAGGTTTTTCAAGCGCTCTAGGAAAGGGTTTTAAGTGTCATCCCCAGTGCTATGTGTACTGAGCCTGGCTTCATGTGTCTCATATGGCCATTAGAAGCAGCTTTCCAGTCAGCTGTGTGTCTCCAGGTGCACAAATTGGTTGCCATGGGGACCTTGGATGAATAACTATAGCAGGAGAAAGAAGGCTTGAAGCTAAGGAAACAGGACTCCAAGTAGGCCCTGACGCTCATCCTCTGTATAAATTCATAAGGAGCTTGTGAGAACACAAGATTTTGCTGAACACATTAATACAATTTATTATCACAATCCTCAAAACACCCCATAATATCTTCAATGAGCTGAATTTTTCAAGCCCAGAATGGTGTCTGTAGCTCAAAGTTTGTGGGTGGAGATAGGTGGTGAAGCAGACACATATTATCTGTGTGTACAAGCAGCTGAACTGCAAGGTAGACCTGACAATGCAACAAGTACAAGAATGTGTGTGTGTGTGTGTCTCATTAATGACTGCATCCCTAACAGCTGTGAGATCAAAGGCAAATCACTGACCTACTGTTTGAATGAGAAGCAGCTGAACAGCAGAGGATTTGAAGCCTGTGAACTTCTTCACATAGCGTGATTTCCTTAAGTCCCAGAATGAAAATAAGAACATCGTACGAATCCTCCGTCCTTCATGAACACAATGATGTGTTTTTCATGTCTGTACTCCGAAAAATGTGGCCACAACAGCGAGTTAAAAAAGTCTGAGCCTGAGTGACGATAAGGATTTTCTTGGAGAAGAAATACATTAGGGCCAATGGGGAGATATTTGCGCCTATTTGGACAGTTGGTCACCTGCTGGCCAAGGGGTACGATTTAATGATTTGAAACCTCTTTTGTGAGAAGCAGGACACATATACCTCCATTTTGATGTATTATTTATGGCTCTGGAGTGAGATTTGTGGGCGTGGGAGCGATATATTCGAGCGAGGTTCTGTCGATCAGAGACGAGGTCTGCACTCTAGCTGATGACATCATCACTCTAAACTCTCCAATACACACCCATTATAAAGCTTGAAATCTGCTGAAAACCACAAGTTGCTTAAAGCTAAATTGTGGAAAAACTGTAGGAGATAGCACAAAAAAGTCAATACAGCATATTTGGAGGAGAAGATTGTGAACATTTTAAAGCAAAAATGAGGTCTGTAGGTGAAAGTACGCTGAAGTTATAAGGCTGAGAAGGTGGAGGAGTAAAAGGTAGAATTTGAAGATTTCCCCATTCATTTCAATGGGCAAATTTTTTGCACAAAAAGTCAAAAATATCAAAAAGTATAAGGGGTAGAAAAGTGAAAAATACATCCGCACTTGTCCTGAAGGAGAGGAATAGTTTAAAAGTTGAACGGTTGAAATCGGACAAAGTATGGAGGAGTTGAAAAGTTGCAAAAAAGGTACGGAAGAATAATAATAATAACTAGAAAAATTGCATTTCCTTGCAGAAAATGCGTGGAAATGCTGAGTGCTGAAAGACGAAAAAGCAATGCTAAACTGCCAGTAATAAATGGAGAAGGTATAAATGAAAAAACTGTTAAAGGGGTGAAGTGTTATAAGTAGAAGTTGTATGAATGTTTCAACCGTAACAGAACTGAAGAAGAAGATGATGAAAAAGAGATGAGTTGTATGGATGTAAAAACACTGGGAGAGGTAAACCAGTAGCTGTATGAATATTCAAATTGCTAAAGAACTGAACTTGAACATTACAGAAAATATGGTAAAGAATTTTAAAGATGGCTGAAAAGGCCTTCATGTTGGAAGAAGTAGAAATGAATGTAGATGAGAAATGAATACATTACACAAATATTTTTAATTTAAAATTTGAATCAACTTGAAAATTCAAATTGAGTTTTTACATAAGTAAAACCAAAACAAAGAAAAAAAGAAAAATATTTTTGTCAATTCTTTAACATTTTGTGAGCAATGAAATGATTAATCATAAAATATAAAATAATAATAAAAAAAAACAAAAAACATCAAAACATAAACACATAAAGAAATAGTGCTCCATAGTGCCTTAAATCAAATTATAAACAATTTGTTTGTGAACAGGTTTTGGAAGAAGAAATCTTTACATGGGTGACCAATCTGTCTCTTAAGCTTAAGGTTTTAAGATTGTAGTTGCTGTGATTGTTGATGGACAAAGGTATCACATTTTCAGTTGTTTCTAAAATTGTTTAGCCCAATCATTAAAGGCTCTTCACACAGTTGTTAGACTGAGGCTAACACCCCATTATTTACTGGATTCAAACTCCAGCAGCCCTGTACCCACATTCACCTCTTTTCTTGTGTTTTCGGATTACTAAGCCTTAACAAAAGTTGGCTCATAAAATTTGTCATGGCCCATTGAGCCAAGTCCTGTGTTGTGGGCTTTAAAAACAGACCTTGAAATTTGATTTCAAAGTCTGATACAGGACTGTTATGTGTGTTTTTAAGGGTTTAGATTAGCCTAAGACTAAGTTCGCACATCTGAAAAACCTTTATACCTATACGTTAAAAAAAAATATGAAAATGGTGACTTGAGAGTTATAAAAAAAAATGTTACTAAAATCGGTCAGCAGTATTACAAAGTATTGCAAAGTTATCCAGGCTTGTGGAAATATACAGGCAAAGTAAGGTGAAAGGCATATGAATTAAATACGGCATTGTAGTATTTTTTAAAGCTAACTGCAGTGAAATGTGGGCCCTCTCATGTAGAAAAAAAAGAAAATTATAGAATAATAAATGATTATAATAATAAATAAAATTAAATGATATAAAACTGAAACATTAAACAAAATCTAAAATGATCAGATTAAAAAGTAGATTTGATAACTTGAAATAAATTGATGTAATGAATTGGTCCACCTTACCACCAAAAGGCTTTTCACAGTAGACCAAGGCTAATACTGTCATCAGCTCATTGTAGTGGACTGACAATCTGGTCAGCAAAAATAACTCAGCAGTTTACTGTACAGTGTAGTACAGAAGTCTTTTACAGAAATTAAAATATATTTTTTTAATTAAATCTAAATTTAAAATTTAAAATAACGTGGAGGGTAAGGTAGAGAATGCAAATGCAAAAGGTGCAAAGTTATCCAGGCTTGTGGAAATATACAGGCAAAGTAAGGTGAAAGGCGTATGAATTAAATATGGCACTGAAGTATTTTTTATAGCATGTAGTGGTCCACCTTACCACCCAAAAGGCTTTTCACAGTAGTTAGACCAAGGCTAATACTGTCACCAGCTCATTGTAGTGGACTGACAATCTGGTCAGCATTTTAGATACCAGTGTTTTCTTATCCAAACATTCACACTACTTGTCTTACTGAAATGCTGGGTTGTCTTCACGTTGATAGTTTCTTTTTAAAAAGTTTTCTACTATGGAGAATTACATTTTAAGGATAAGCATAAAAACTTTGTTCCTCTATGAAATCCCTTCACACAGCTCGTTTAACCAAGCCCTGTGTTTGAGGATTGTGACGACAACCTTCAGCAGGGATTGTTTCACACTGCAATGCTGGGATCACTTCTGTCCAAAACATTAGCCCAAGACTAAGCACACGTGAAAAATTTCAGTGTACCTACCAGCTGAAACCCAAAGTACATCATTTATTTCTAAAACACGACTTCTCTTGTAGGTAAATTTGAGGGATATGGTGAGCATATTAAAGCGAGAAATTCAGCTGCCTGCAACAACTGAAGTAACTGGTATTTTTTCCCTTCATCAGTGTTGGTCATCTTTTGATATAAGGACAGATACACAGTAAAAGGGGAAGAAAATACTCAAATAAAATAGAACAAATAAAGTCCAAGAAACATAAAGGAAACTTAAAATATTAACAGATATCGACAACCGATCACTTAATGTAGAAAACAGGATTCAAAACAATATAAGAGTAATAGTTGTCCTGTCCTGAAGACAATCAGTCAGTTCCTCAAGTGAGTACTGTGTTCTGTCTGGGCACTTTTTTCAAAACCAAAAGCAGAGCCTTGTACAGTTCAGAGTGAAGGTTTAGAGTGAGGTATTGTTTTGACCTTTGACCTGTGGTTGTAGGATCGCCGTGTGCAGTTATCAGTGTTCGAGTTGACAGCATCACTGGAGTCAGAGGCAGGAGGAGGAGAGGTCTGAAAAAAACAAACAAAATCCCCTTCACTTTAACTCTGTAATCCTGTGCTAACATTAAATTCTGTGCTTTCCTATGTTGGTCAAACATGGTTTTTGTTATGGGGCAAGGAAATACACCGTTACCTCGTGAAAAGTTTAAAGCTGCAGTAAAGATAAACTGATGATCTGAATGTGTTGACATCTGCTGCAGCTTGCTTCATAGGGCTGCAGGACTTGAAGGATCACCATTAGTAGGACTCTGCTGAGCTGCACTGGCTACATCGTGGATGAACAGACAGTGACTTGAAGTAGGAGAATGTAGCAGGTTCAAAGCAGGAAACAGAAACATTTGTGTTGATAATCTATGAAACTAAACATGTTGAATAAATACACACATCATTACAATGAATACCTTCAGCACTGCAGCAGAGCAAAAAATATTTCTGTCCAGAGCAACTTCACCAGGTCTGCAGCAGCAAAGCTTCCTCACACAGAGAGGCTCAAGGCTCAGGGTGGCTGCATGATGTCCACCTTTGGTGCATTCAGCTGCCTGAGTGTCTAAGCTGTTCTTCCTCTCTTATCTGGCTTGAAGAAGACCTGGGAGAAAACACTGCTGTTAAAGACGATGATATCAGCAGAGCTGTACAATAGCATCACAAGCATTAATACAGCAGCTAAGATAACTAAGAAAAAATAAATGAACACAAGTTCACTAAGACATTACCTCAGACTTTCTTGAAGAGGGGTTTATCTCTTGGAGGTTCAGCAGGAACGAGCCAAGTGAGTGACAGGTACTACAGCATCAGTTCTGCTTCAGCCTGGTGTCTGGTGGTCCTTGAGAGCTGCTTCAGGACATCTGGAGCACGAGCAGGTAAAACACATGTTTGTGTAGTCCATGAGAGAACGGTCCTGGTGGGTGCTGCAGTCTGTCCAGCACAGCGATGATGGTTGTTGAGAGCAGCAGGGGGATGGTGTGGAGGATGTCATCTCTTCTTCACCTCCGACCAAAGACTGGGTTAAACAGCAAGTAGACTGTGTCTTTGAGTTGTCCAAAGTGATGTGTTTACTTCTGGTTGACGGTTTGATAATTTTTTTCTGCTCACAGTGAGCTAGTCAGGACAGCACTAATGGTCAGGTCAAAGATGGCAGAGACAACTGAAGAAGAAAAAAAAATTACCCAAACAAAAGGAAACTTAGCTTTACTCTACTGTACCTACAGGTGATGTGTTTACTTTTGGTTGACAGTTTGATAATTTTTTCAGTTAACATTGAGCTAGTTTGGACATCACTAATGGAGGTCAGGCCAAAGATGTAGGATACAACTGAAAAAATAAAATAAAATGAAACAAAACATACCCAAAGGAAAGGAATCTTATGTTTGCCCTAGTGTACTTACAGCCACCCATGCTAAGAGAGTGGTGTAAAGTTGGGTGGAGAAAAGGGGGTTTCAGCTGGTAGGTCACAGAACATCAGAAAGTGTGTGTTCATTAGGGAACACACACTTTCTGATGGAGGTTTTTAATTTTTGCTGCTGTATACATTATTGTACACAGCAGCTGAGAGTTTTGGCCTGTGCATTTATCAATCCGCACCCACCCTCCCTATGTCCAGTCAAGTCAAGTTAAATGGATTAACTTGACTTGACTGGACTTGATAAATGCACAGGCCAAAAATTGTAATTTATAACATTTGAATAGTTGGAAAATTAGTTTATAATTATAAAATAATATTATTATAATATAATATTTTCTTTCTAAAAATTCTGAGCCATAAAAATATTTTTTGCACTAGAAAAATTTACAATCACCAAACACATTTCGATCTGTACTTAAAATATGAATAACATTAGGCACAGCTTCTGTAGTTTGTGTTTCCCTTGAAACCGTTTTCCTTTGTGATCTGCTGAATGAAATTACACAGTAAGTAGTATTGTGGTTATTGTAGTAGGTTTGCCTGATATGTAAAGAGATATTGCTGCATTTGTGTGTTAAAAGGATTAACTTCACTGCACATGACAAATGCACAACTCAAATAATATAACATATTACATTGAAATAGCTGAAAATTTTACAACCTGAAAAATATTTCCTCTCTAAAAAATTAAGCCATAAAAAGATATTTTGCACTCAATTACTCACAATCACCAAACACATTTCAGTCTGTACTGAAAATTCAAGCAGAACATTCACCACAGCTTCTGTAGTTTGTCTTTTCCTTCAGAGCAGTTTCCTCTATGATCTGTTGGATGAAATGACACAGTAAGTGGCGTTGTGGTAACTGTAGTACGTCTGCATGATACCTGAGGAGAGACATAGCTGAGGTCGTGAGATGAAGATCAGGTCCAGCAGTGTGTTCTTGTCCGTTGTAGCAGCAGTGATCAGTTGACCATATCCCTTGGACTGAAAGAAATCCAAAATTGGCTTACTTGCATTAGAAAAGAGATTCTCATTGAAATCGCCACAGACAATGATAGGGTGACAGTCCATGATCTCAAGTGAGTCCAGAAGGCTTCCCAGATTGGACAGGAATGATGGCACACTGTAGTCTGGAGGTCTGTACACAGCTGCAATCAGAGCACTTACAGGAGATTCAACCTTCAAAGCCACAAACTCAAGGTCAGTCACATTATTCAGGTACTGTTTCTCCACAACCTGCAAATGGTTTTTCACATAAACAGCGACTCCACCACCTCCTTTACTGGCCATCTGTGGAAAGTTAGTGTAGGACAAATGTCTGTTGCGTTTGAACATGGTGTAGCCCTCAAACTGGAGACTGTCTGCCACAAAGGAGCCCTGTAGGTGAGTTTCTGTCAGACACAAAACATCTGCAAGACACAGTTCATGATGGCTTTTGATGTCATTCACATGAGCAGGTAATCCTTCAGTGTTGTGATGAATGATGCTCACAGTGTCCTGTCTGCTGAGAGAATGCTGGATCTGGAGAAAAGGCATGAGGTGATCAAAGTTAGCTTGCGTCATGGTCTCCAAAGATACAGTGACTGCAGGGTTAGCATGGATTTTACTCTCATCCAAATCAAGCATGTACAGTCCGCTGAGAGAGGTCACTCGACTGATAGCTACATAGGCCATGCCGGGCTCAAAAATGTGCTTCAGAGAGACAACAGTTGATTTTCTGGTCATACCTTGAACCTTGTGTATCGTGCATGCAAAGGCAAGTTTCACAGGAAACTGTCTGCGTACCACTCCTTTCTGTTGCAGAGCCTCCTCAGATCTCTCGATGTACACAAGATTGTCTCCTCTAGTACGATAGCTCCTGCCAGCTGTTTCATCATCCATCCTGAGACCAAGCATAGTGACAAGAGCAGAACCGTTGTTTTCAGAGCTTATGAGACGGCCTACTGTAGCAAATGATCCGTTCACCAATCCTTGAGACACATCAATGTTTCTGGTAAGCATGACTCTAGCACCTACTGCAACATCTAGGGTGTCAGGTAGATCATTTCTGCTTCCATGACATGGTGCACCTTGTCTTTTCATGTGTCCAGTGTGTGGGTCCTTTTTAAAGTCATCTGCATCAATGGTGGTGATATCAGAATGGAGCAGAGATAGTGTAGCAGAGTTGTGTTCTGCGACTTGTTTGTTTGTAGCAAAAATGTGCAGGACATCAGAGGGACACAGTTGTGGTTCAGTGACACGCTGTGACAGCAGAGCTCTGTCAGCTTCAGAAAGCTCATCTGACCTTGTTTTCACACGGAGTCTGTTCAGCATCTCGGCAAAAGTTTTGTCATCCTTCTGTCGCATGATCTCATCTAAAGTGATCACCTGGAAGTTGTCTCTCCAGAGGTCAAGTTCACTTGGATCATAGACGCAGAGTGGTTTGGACTGTCGCACAGGCGGTAGCTGGTAAAAGTCTCCAACAGCAATGACTGACATTCCTCCAAAGGGTCTGTGGCTGCCTTTAATCTGTTTCAGTCTCATATCCACATAGGCAAAAAGTGGCTTTGACACCATGGAGATTTCATCAATGATGATGATTTCAGCATTTAAAAGCTCACACCTGATTTCATCAAGTTGGTTCCCAAGACCTTGAAAAGGAGGTTTCAAACTTCTGGGCAGCTTGAGGAGAGAGTGCAGTGTTGTTCCAGAGATGTTAAAGGCTGCAGTTCCAGTGAAAGCAGTCAACAGCACAGTCGGGTTTGAGATGTCAGCTTCCTCAGCACGTCTAGGTAGTGTTCTCAGAATCTTTGATGCTTCTGAATGAATGCATTTAATGAGATGTGACTTTCCAGTGCCAGCACCACCATTGATGTAATAGAAAAACTGCTCTGGTTGTTGTCCACAGACTCGTTTTATGCACCAGTCTCTCACTGCATAGAACACACACGCCTGTTTCTGGTTCAGATTCTGATACATTTGTCGTAACCGTGTGGGATCGATTGTAGGGGGCTCTCTCATGACTCTGGTCTCTGTAGCAGCATTTGATTGTCTGCTGTAATCCGGTACATCCTCTTGGACATTTTCACACTGTCTGGCATCCAGTTCATCGATACACTCCAACCTCACCAGTTCAGATTCAGGTGCCAAATTACACCATTCATCGACCACACCTCTGTTCTGTTCAAAGTCCTCGAGAGCAGAGTCAATTTCCTCACTGTTTTTTTCATATCTCTCTCGGTTTCTTTTCACGATGAGTTTCACACTCAGGGGTCGGTCAGAATACGGCAGCTGAACCACACCTCTCTCATAGAATGACTCATACGTGGGAAAATATGGTCTTTTCAGCTCATCGTCTGATCTGTATGGAAGATACAGTCTAAGCAATGTGCCGTAAAACTGCTCAGGGTATTTCTCTTTGGATATGCGGCGATACCTGATGACAGCAGCGTTGTCACTTTCTCGTCTCTGTATAAAGCCTAGTTCATTCAGCAAAGGTACCACTTTCTTGCCCTTGGTCTGTTGTCCATACACCAGTCTGCAGGTAGACGCAAAATCAGCCATGCACATCTCTTCAAACTCTGGTGATTCAGGTCTGGATTTGTACTTGTCTGTTAAGGATGTCATCCACACATTCAAGCTGTCTGGTGTTGTGTTGTCAAGGCTTGACACAGGCAGACTCATTTTCACTGGGTTGTCATCAGTTGGGACAAAAACCACACTGCGTGAGCTCTTTTTCATGTTCAGTGAAGTCACCCGGGCAACAGCTTCTTGTGCTGATACTTCTCGCTTTTTGGAATACGCCTGCATGACTGCTTTCATTTCATCACATTCATTGACACATTCTCTGTCGGAGTTCTGAATGAGTGTTTGCAGGTACTGGCTCACAGAGTTCTCACTTTTACACATGTACGTACATATGTAATGGATCAGACTGTAGTAGCTGAGAATGAACTGCACATCAATGTTTGCATCCCAAGCTTTGAGCAGGTGAGGGTTGTAGGTGTTTACCCAGCAGTCTTTTGGCTCACGCTTCAGAATGATGTTGCTGGACTGACTCATCACATTCATGTGTTTCTCGTACTCATCAGCGGTTAAGTCACAGACGGACAGGAGCTGTTGAAAACTCATGGATTCAGTTTGTGTCTCATTCAGCAGCTGATTCAGTGGTGCAAGTTTCTCTTTGGCTCTCTTAAGTCTCTCTGACTCCTCATCATCACCCACAGGTCTGGTTATCATTGTCTGTCTGGAGGGTGGTTTTGGGAATCCAAATCGGCATCCAGAACTTGCACTTTTGAAACATGTCTTTGAGTGGTTCTTACTGTGTATTTGCACTTCTTTGACCTTTTTGTACAGTTCAGGCTCTTTATTTGGGTCAGGGAGCTGAGCAGAGATGTGTTTGGACACAAAGTCACACACAGTTTTGTCAGAGTCTCTCTCAAACACAGGTGCACCGTCTACCCACAAAAGACCATGTATATGAGGACTTCCTCTGTGCTGAAACTCGAGACGCCAAAAGAAGTCAAAAACTTTGCCCAGGGGTTGTGCAGGAGACATGATCAGATCTCTGTACAGTGCTTCAACACGCTTATCAAACATGCGCATCGTTGTCACAGGATTGCTTCTCAGAATGTCACACTTTGTGGACCAGTCGAGCTCTTCAAAATTCACCTCCTCACCTTGTTGTGATTTTATTGCAATAATCACCTCAGGCCAACGCATTTCTGCTGCAGAAAATGTGACAAAGAAAGTAGGACTGCCCAACTGTCTGATCATAGCAAACAGATCTTTTGTAGTTTTGTCCCAGTAGGCTGGTGTTCCTCTGAGCGGCTGCATAAATCTGATAGCATCTCTGTTTCTCACCAGTCTCTCCACTTCGTATTTGTCTCTCAACATTCTGGATGTTATTTTACGTCCGTCTCTGGTCAAAGGTTTGCCTTTGCGTAACTGTATTGACATGCTGGAGGTAGCCAAGTGTATTTCAGTCACAAACTGTGCAAAGAACAGGTAGTTGGTATCTCTGGCAAAGCGATCATCAACACCAAAGAGCCTCGCTTTAAAATAACTACTGGGTGATAATTTCATGGGTCTGTTTTCATCCAGTGTATTCTCACCAGTGGGAAACTGAACAGGGAACGCCATGGCCTCTAGTTTGGGTGTTTTGAAAAAACTGACCGGATTGTTTCTCTCTGCTGGAGCTACTGAGTATGTAGAGTCACTGAAACACAATATCTCCTCAGAAACATCACGTGGTTGAAGGCACGACTCCAAAACAACACCACCATTAGGTATGTCTGCATCCTGTTGTTGTGTCTGATCATCATTGTCCTGGGTCTGACTTTTATCACACAGCTCTGTGTTCTCATCCTCAGTTTCAACATTAGTTTCAGCCTCATACATGGCAGCAGCCTCAATTCTATCAATTTCCATCAAATCCTCATCATCATAGTCGTCATCATTCATTGTAATATCATTACCATCGTCTTCATCCTCATCCTCATCACCATCATCAGGAAGTGTGGGGTCACATAACTCCTCCTCATCTCTAATAGTGATGTCTTCATACTGGGGGTGTATCTCTTTCAGTTTATGCAGAGCCTGCACTAGCTTGGACCAGGTAACAGTCTGAAACAGATGGTGACCTCTGTAACTCAAGCGTCTCTTCAGTTTTACTCTCATCACCTGAGATTCATTTCTCAATCTTGGTAGAGCCTGAATTGTTTCCTGGACTTCAGAGGGAACACATACAACATTACCATGTATAGCTCTCTGTCTGCCTTTGGGAAGAGGAATGATTTTGGCAAATGTTATGCACTTTGCTATCAGATGTCTCTCCAGTATGTTGAGGTCACACAGCTCAGGTGGTATGTCAGCAAGCTCCAAGTTGTTTGCTATGGCAAGTTTGGGCATGGCTCCATTTTTCAGATGGTCATGGCAGGTGTGACAAATCCACTCAGTCTTTCTCTCATCAGGGACAGTGCACTGATTTCTGCAGTCATCGTTACATGCATGGACGTACTGACCTTTGAGACAAGCTGAAACCATGGTTGGATTTTTCACATAGTTGGACCTCTTGCACTTTTGTACCTGGTTTGGAAATGAGGCTTTGTGACAAACTGTGCAAACATGGGTGGGACCAGCTTTAATGTGTGATCGGAAATCATTTATGGCACTTTCAATAAGTGGGTTTTCACTCTCTCTGTCAGTCTCACATGTTTGTCTACTTATCTGTTTGTATTTCTTTGATATTTTCAATGCACACCTCATTTTATGCATAGTCCTGTATGCAAGATTTGTCTTATACCTGTCTCGCATTAATTGTCTCATCAGCTCTCTGTGTCTGTGACAGAATGTTTCATCGTTTGCATATCGATGATTGATGTAGGATCGCTGTCTTTGCCTGAAATTAACGTCCTCTGAGTATTTTCTCCTGATATATTCTTTTTGTCTGCTTTTAAAATCAACATTTCCCCTGTATTTTTTAGTGATATAGTCTTTTTGTCTGCCTTTAAAATCAACATTTTCCCTGTATTTTTTAGTGATATAGTCTTTTTGTCTGCCTTTGAATACAACATTTTCTCTGTATTTTTTAGTGATATATTCTTTTTGTCTGCCTTTGAATTCAACATTTTCTCTGTATTTTCTTGTTATACATAATTTTTGCTTCAGTCTGAAGTCTGTGCTTTCCCTGTATTTAGTTGTGATCTTTTTTCTTTTCTTTGTCTGTATTTCAGGATTGACAGAATAGTTTTTACTTGAATAAGACTTTTTCTTTGCTTTGTATGTTTCATTCTTAGCATACTTTTCTCTCTCTTTCCTGTTTTTATCTTTTTTCTTTTGTGATGTCTTTTCAGATCTCATTAGTCTCCTCTTAAATTTCAGTTTTCGCTCTTTGCTTAATTTTGACAGTTTAGTGGCGATGTCATGGATAACATTGTCACTGGCAACAGGGATAGTTATAAATGGTTGTGTCAAATTTGATTGTGTCTCTTGAGTTTCCTCTGTGACAGAATTCATGCTGATCTGACCTGATTGATGAGCTTGTATTTCCATCAAAATTGAAACATTCTGTGATGTGTCATTACTTACAGTAGTGAAGTTGATTAGTGGCTCTGGTTCAGTTTCCATGCCATGTTCAGTGTTTTCACGGACAACAGTGTTCATCTGTGGCGCACTTGTGTCATCATTTATCACAGTGGTTGTTACAGAGGACTTGTGGACGGACTTTCTGTGGCTGGGATAGCATCACTCGGGTTCACATCACAGAACACAACTGGCTTAAGCTCATACTTAGAAGACGCTGCTGTGCCCAATATGTGGTGATACCTGATGAGCCTGTCAATCATGTCACTGAGGCGTGTGAATGTTACCATGACAGCAGTACCAGGATAAGGTGTGGCCTGAAGCAGAGGCAAACCGTTGGCTGTCCGAGCATGTGGGTCAAAGAAACCATACCTGCCATCTCTGGTTCTGAAAACTGCAATACACAGCGAAGTCATTAGCAGCAAAGCATACTGTACATCTGTTGATAAGCAGCTCAGTCCTGAAATGAGGTCCAGAAAGGTATCAACAGCTCCGGGATCCGGATCTCCAAACGTACCGTATCTAGACAGCTGTAACATGTCAACTCTCTGCGTGTGTCTGCGTGCAGGAACCTGGTTAGGGAGCTCATCAGTTGTCAGATGGGCGTGATCAACAGTTTTTCTGATTTCTCTGTACATCGCATTACCTTTATCCAAAACACGGTCCAAATCTGCTCTGGTGATGTTTTCATTCTCATACAGGAATGCTAGAAATGTCAGTGAGTTACAGGTGCACTGCTGGTTTCTGGATTGGCCGTATTTCAGAGACGCTTGGTTGCGTGACGCACAGACGTTTTGTTCACCTGACTGATTAACAGCGTTCATATTTCCTTCCTGAGAAGAGGCTGATAATGACTGATAATTATGATTTCCCTTCTTACCAGTGTCTGCATACGATATCTGAGTTGAACATGCTTCATCAGTTTGGGCTATGTAGTTCACCTGACGAGTGTTGGACGGACCGGCAGTACGTGACACACTAGGAAGTTTTCTCTTTACCATGTCTGCATATGTTACCCGTTGTACACCTGGATCATTACTTTCACCTCTGTGGTTTACCTGTTCAGTGTTAGATGGACCTGCTGCAGGTGACTCACTTACACGTCTCCTCTTAAGCATGTCTGCATGAGATATTTGTGGTTGACATGATGCATTTTCACCTCCCTGTTTCACAGCTTCAGACACCTCAGACCTCTTTACCTCTCCACTGCTCTGAGGAACACCATCTGCTTGTCCAGTACTCACAAAGTCAATGTCATGAACCCTCTGCCAGCGCTGGCTTGCAGCCTGTGACTTCTTACTCTTCCTCGGCATTGTAGGTGTTCTTTAACGTGTTTATGCAACAATTAAAAGTGACAGATAAGCAGCAGTATCGACAAAAATGCTTTATTTCTTCAAGAGAGGATGTTATTTAACAGCTCTTATAGTCTCCAAAAAAATCTAATTTATAGCTATGTGTATGCCAATAATAGTTTATCAAATGTTTTATAAGAAAATCCTAGGCAAGACTATATAAAGATTAACAGAAAAAACACAAATCAGCAACAATTTGTAAATCTTCAGACTTTGTGCTTGAAATAATATCTAACTCAAATACTCTATATGAAATGTGTTTTTATGTTCTTTCAAAATCAGGGATGCAGATGTGGTTGTGCTGATGACACTTCTTCTGGTGAAATGCTGGATCCACAGACAGGAGAGGAAAACCTAGAACAACAATCAGACTTTTGCAAAATTAGGGATTTTTCAAAATAATGGTTGTATTAGAAGAACAACTGTTTCAAAAGGTTTCTCAAAATGGTGTTTCAAAATGTTTCTCAAAAACGGTTTATCAAAATGTTTCTCAAAAACGGTTTATCAAAATGTTTCTCAAAAACGGTTTATCAAAATGTTTCTCAAAAACGGTTAATCAAAAACGGTTTATCAAAATGTTTCTCAAAACGGTTAATCAAAAACGGTTTATCTAAAGGCTTCTCAAAAACAGTATCAAAATGTTTCTCAAAAAAGGTTAATCAAAAGGTTTCTCAAAAACAGTTTATCAAAAGGTTTCTCAAAAATGGTGTTACAAAAGGTTTATCAGAGGTTTCTCAAAAAGGGTTTATCAAAAATGGTTTATAAAGGTTCCTCAAAAATGGTTTATCAAAATGTTTCTCAAAAAGGGTTTAATAAAATGTTTCTCAAAAATGGTGTTTCAAAAGGTTTCTCAATGGAAGCAGTTTCATAAGATGGTTTTTCAATAAAGGCAATTTCAATAGGTTTCTGAAAGGCTTTTATATAGGTTTCTGAAAGGCTTTTATATAGGTTTCTGAAAGGCTTTTATATAGGTTTCTGAAAGGCTTTTATATAGGTTTCTGAAAGGCTTTTATATAGGTTTCTCAAAGGCTTTTATATAGGTTTCTCAAAGGCTTTTATATAGGTTTCTGAAGGCTTGTCAATCAGATAGAGCGGTAGAGAAGACAGGAAAGTCAGAGCAGCCAAAATGTAGCTAGAGGGATAGAGAAAAGGGGGCAGAAGACAGAGTGGCTTTTCAATTAGATAGAGCGGTAGAGGAGACAGGAAAGTCAGAGCGTCCAAAATTTAGCTAGAGGGATAGAGAAAAGGGGGACACAAGACAGAGTGGCTTTTCAATTAGACAGAGTGGTAGAGAAGACAGGAAAGTCAGAGCGGCCAAAATGATAGGGGAGAGCTGGGAGACTGGACAGGATACCTGTAAGACACAATGGAAACAAACATTAATCTTTTTTTATAAAAGAAATAAAATAAGATGAACTAACATTCACCCAAAGCTAATGCCATTATAATGTGCTTTTACTCAACCCACCAAATGGCTGTCTTTAACTATACATCTATCAAAAGTCAAGTTGAGTCAAAAGCTGGAATTGGCCATTGTCTTCTTAGATAACCCTTCAATAGAATTAATAAGGACTAAGTGTTCATAAGAGTTCATTAAAAATGTATTCAGGAGCTTAAAGTATTTTACAAAAAGATCTTTTATGCCTGCATATTTTACACTCTTCAAAATCATTCAAACTTCCCTTTATAATGTTCATAACCATGTCTTGGTGAGCAATAATAACAATGGATTACTCTGTTGATGAAATATTAATGTGTTTTGGAAAACACAATTTCCTTTTTAGTGTTTAAAGCATTTCTACAATATAGTAAGTTGTAATGAGGCCAAGCAGCTCAGAAGCATGCAAGGTACCTTAGAGGGATAGGGGAGAGTGGGGTAAGATGAGCCATTTTTCATATTCCCGATCACTACATCAAGTCAATCATAGTTTTGTCTCTAACTAGTGTATCTGCATATATTTCAGGATGTTGTGCATCCCTGCAAACCAACAGAATGAGTGTAAACAGAACTGTCTTGATAACATAGCATGCCAAAAAAAAAAAAAAGTGGTCTCTATGGTGAACTTACCCCATGTATGACAGTCACTTCTTCACATTCATGAGTATTTTTATCTATTATATGCTATTCAACTGATACAATAACTCTTTTATTCTTATTCCATATAACTGATAAAAAGCTGTTTTGTAAAAAGTCATTTTAACATGAGAATGCCTTTAAGTGATTCAGAACATTCGCAGCTATATGTCTGAAAAGAAAAAGTAACACATTTCAACAATCTGAACTGAAACTCTGATCCTCTCATCATACTCCTTTAATTTCTCAGTTAAGACACTGGCTCAACTTACCCCAGAACTACTATTATGACTTTATTAGTCCTCTAAGCTAAAATGGTGGACTTTTATGTTGTAGCTCATAGATACAATTGATGGATAAAAGAATTTTAAAACGATCTTTTTTGGTCTGAACACAATTCAATAAAACTTATGACAGACTAAATTCACTTTCAAGACTGAAAAATGTTTTTTGTTTTTTTTTATTAATGTCTAACCCCTTCACAGACTCCATGAATTGATGCCCATCTCCTAAATACTTGGTCATATGATCAATTTGTTTTACCATTTCCAAGCAACAGGGGGTGGCTCAACTTACCCTTCGGCTCAACTTACCCCACTCTCCCCTATACACGTTTGCAAATGTATAATTAAATGACTAATATAATAATTCAATGGTGGTTTAGATAATAATTGTCTAATTCCATATGAAGGAAAATTAAATGATTTTTTTTAAAAATATAAAACATGCACAAAGGAAGGAATCACATTCAATTAGTAATTATTCAAATTTTCATCATTAAAAAATTACAACCCCACAATTTTATAGTAACAAATTGCTACCAATAATTCAATGGTGTTTGTTTCCAACTGTGAGTATTACATAATCAAAGTAAAAAAAATGTTAAGTGAGTACATGATGAGGGGTCTATCATGCGTCGAATAATGTAACAATAAATGTTAATAAATAATAAACTGTGTTACTCATGAAAATGTCATTCCTGTGTTAACTTACGCCGAGTCGCAACAAAGCGGTCTGCACTTGGAGACAGTATCGAGTTGGCAAGAAGGAAAATGGAAAAACAGAGACAAGAGATTTTTAGTTTAATTGTACAAAACCAGCACATCTCACTGCATTGTAATTCCACCTGTGATCAGCCAGCAAAATTATTTACATTTGGTTCTGCATTAGTTAAAATAAAGTGTTATTTAGGTCAGGTTTTTAGATAATGTGTTGCAAAAAGTAACAGTGAAAATATATTTTAAAGTTACTTTATTTGTGAACTTACAGCTGAGTTGCCAACAGTGAACAGGGCCCGCAGTAGAAATAGCGTTGAGGAGTTCAGTAAGAGGGAGAAGACGGAGGGACAAAAAAAATGTAATTTAGTTGCAAAAAATAAAAAATAAAAAATCAGCATCTCAAAGTTTATTGTAATCACAACCGTTTTTCAGTGTGGATCATTAGTTTTCTCATTTCTTATCAAACTCTACAATTTGTCGCACTTGATTAATAAAAGGATGTTACTGCAGCTCCCTTGGCCTGTAAAAAATGTTTGTTAAAATGGAGAGACAATGCACAAACACGATGAAAGACCTCTTTACTTTCTTCTGTATGTTGATGAGGTGAAATACAAAACCGTGATATGTCATTATAAACTACGGAGCAAAAATGTAACATTTGAGTGATTGCTAAATAAGTATACGCAAGTGTGAACTTACACTTCAGAGTTGGTAGGGATTTTCGCCCAGGTCAGAGGACAAGATGAGGCAGGAGGAGGGGGAGAGAGAGGAAGAGATTTTTAATACAGTCAAAAGAGCCTCTCTCACAGCTCACTTCATTTAAAGTACTTTTCCTGAATGATTTTCCCACTTAATTGTCAAAATTAAGATTCAGACTTTCCCTGCAAGTTAAAATGATCCAAAACATTAATTTAGTAGTGTAGTAATATTGTTAGCACAAGGTTGTCTACAAGGAAAAAACTGTATCCCATCTCTATTTCTCATATGGTATATGCAACAGTGTTACACATAGATCAACATTTCATATCACTTTGAACTCAGTATTTGAGAAATGCATCATATATTTTACATTATCTTGAATATCAAGTTGTTCAACAGGATTAAACTTTACATTAATGCGGTTATTTTTATTTTGACTGTTGTTAGTCTTGGTTAAAACACTGATACTTACCAACAAATGCACTGGAGTGGATGTATCTTCTGTTTGTTTGAGACAAGAAACAATACATTAGTGTTGTCTGACAGATAGTACATTAAAAACAATAGGCCTTTTAAGAAAACTAACATTATTACAGTAATTGGACTAATTGAAAACTAAACAGCTCCAACAGATCACCTGGCTGTTAGCTGTAGCTGAAAAAGTCACATAATACATACTGTATTACAGTATTTATACCTCAGATAAAGCATCTTTGCTGTGGTGTTAGCACATCACCAATATCCAAATTAACAGCTTGTGATCAAAGATATGTTAGGTACAGTAGAAGGTGAGGTACAGCAGCAGCCAGTGAGACAGAGACAAACCAGGCACAGGTTCACCAACTTCAAGGCAGCTAAATATCCATTAATTAACTCAATATTAAGAACTTTATAGATCCCTAAAGGGAAATTCAACTGGAATATATTTATTAATTGGAACTTGGTATTGTTAAACATTAAATACTGAATTAATTTTATGTTTTGCAATGTAAATATCTCTATCATCCCCATCATGAATAAAACCTTCAATAATAGAGGACCATCTAGGTCCATTCTGACACACAAAAAAAGAAAAACCACTCACATTTGTGTTATAACTGGATGCTTGCTAAATGCAGCCTATATTTAAATACATCTACAATGGCTGATAAAAAGTGACCAGGAGCTAAACAGCTGACGTCTCCAGACCAGTTCCCCAGCAATGACTCAGTCACAGTAATGAACTGAACCTGTAGCAATGGTACTAGCGTCATTAGTTAGCTAGTTAGTCAGTTAATACTTGACAATATGAGTATTCTTGTCAGTCCCATTGTCAGTAAACTCCACAGCCTGTACATCATTTGGCATGCTTTATAGTAGCGCAGCGGCTTACATATTCACTTCATTTTGTGCTCAGCTGGCTAATGATTCAGCCTCACAGCTGACGGTATGTTAGCTTTAATGTTAGCTCGACGCTAGCGGCGCTAGCTCGACGCTAGCGGCGCTAACTCGACGCTAACAGCGTTAGCGTACGCTTTTTCAACTCATTATCTCGACCACTTCAATCATGAATGAACTCTTCATTGATTATAACTCAAACCAGTGCCATTTGAAACGTTAAATCACAGTTTGAAGTGTTCAGAAGTTAGAGAGACTGTGCTCTGACTCACCTTCGTCGAGGTAGGAGAAGGATAGCGCGAGCCACCCGTAAGTCACGGTAGAAATGTTTGAGGCGTTCAGGGACACTCGGAAATGTCATACTTCACACCACGGAAAGGCAGTCGTTCAATCAATTCATTTTAATTGTTTTCTAGTACTAATAGTAGCAAGACTAGTTTAAGTAGAAGTGATGTAAGTAGTAGTTGTAGAAGTGGAAGTGGGATTTTGGTTGAATAATTGAAATATGCATGAATAGTAAAAATGATTTAAAGTGGGGAAAATATAACTAATAAAAAATCCTAAAGTATTAGAAAGGTTTGAATAAGAATGAGTTTAAATTTATTAGAAGAATTGAAAAATGCACAAATAATGAGTGATTTTAAATTAAGGACAATTTAAATGAATAGAAATCCTCTGTAGACTCCATAATGTCCTCAATGAGCAGAATTTCTGAAGCCCAAAATGTGTCTGTATCTCAAAGTTTGTGAGAGAAGATAGGTGGTGAAGCAGCCACATGGTCAAAGTGTGTTCAGGTCTCATAGACAGAGAGAGACTCACGCATGGACATATTTACTGTGTGTACTTGAAGGTCTCATAGAGAGAAGGAGGCTGACGCACACACATTGGCTGAGTGTGTGTGTAGCTCGTTAATGATTGCATCCTAAACAGCTGTGAGATCAAAGGCAAATCACTGACCTATTGTTTGAATGGAGAAGCAGCTGAACTGCAGTGAATTTAGGGCCCTGAACTTCTTCACATAGCACGATTTCCTTAAATCCCAGAATGAATATAAGAACATCGTACGAATCCTCCGCCCTTCATGAACACAATGATGTGTTTTTCATGTCTGTACTCCGAAAAATGTGGCCACAACAGCGAGTTAAAAAAGTCTGCGCCTGAGTGACGATAAGGATTTTCTTGGAGAAAAATTACATTATGGTCAATGGGAGAGATTTCCGCCTTTTTAGGACAGTTGGTCACCTGCTGGCCAAGGGGTACGATTTAATGATTTGAAACCTCTTTTGTGAGAAGCAGGACACATATACCTCCATTTTGATGTATTATTTATGGCTCTGGAGTGAGATTTGTGGGCGTGGGAGCGATATATTCGAGCGAGGTTCTGTCGATCAGAGACGAGGTCTGCACTCTAGCTGATGACATCATCACTCTAAGCTCTCCAATACACACCCATTATAAAACCTGAAATTTGCTGAAAACCACAAGTTGCTTAAAGCTAAATTGTGGAAAAACTGTAAAAGATATCAAAAAACTGAGTACAACTGTAATAGTCGACAAGTGAATGAACGTTTTAAAGCAAAAATGAGGTCTCTAGGTGAAAGTATGCTGAAGTTATAAGGTCTAGAAGGTGGAAGAATAAAAGGAAGAAGTGGAAGATTTCCCCATTGACTTTAATGTTAAAATTTTTGCACAAAAAGTTCAAAAAAACAAAAAGTATAAAAGGTAGAAAGGTAAAAAATACAAGCACACATGTCCTGAAGGAGTGGAATAGTTTAAAGTTTGAACGGTTCAAATCGCACAAAGTTTGAAGGAGTTGAAAAGCGACAAAAAACGGCGGAAGAATAATAATAATAACTAGAAAAATTGCATTTCCTTGCAGAAAATGCGTGGAAATGCTGAGTGCTGAAAGCTGAAAAAGCAATGCTAAACTGCTAATAAAACATGGAGAAAGGTATAAATGTTAAAGCTGTTGAAGGGGTGAAAAAGAAGTATAGTAAGTAAGGACAAATAGTATGAATATGCTCTATAAAAGGAAATTTGATTCATGCTTAAAGAGGCTAGAAAAATGTCTAAAATTGCACAAAGTTCGATTGAAGAAGGAAATTGCCTTAAAAGGCAGGAAGGTGAGAAGTGGCATAAGTTTAAGTTGTAGTACTAGAAGTAGTATGATAAGAAGTCAAGTCGTGATACTAGTAGTCATGTCAGCAGTAGAAGTAGTTTGAGAATAAAAGAACTATAGCAATAGCAGTTGAAGTAGAGAAAGTAGAAATAGGAGCAATAGCAGTTGAAGTAGAGGGGAAAGTACTAGTTAATTGACATTAGCAGTAGTTGTCGTACTTGAGGTAGGATTTTGTTTGAAGGATGGAGTAATGCATGAATATTAAAACTAATTTAAAACATGGAAAATTTAAATACTTAAAAATCCTCAAGTATCAGTTTGAATGAGTTTAAATTAGTTTGAAAAATTAAATGATAAATCATCAATGAGTGACTTATAAAAGTGAAAAATGTAAATGAATATAAATCCTGAATACACCCCATAATGTCCTCAATGAGCTTAAATTTTAAAGCCCTAAATGGTTTCTGTAGGTCAAAGGTCATGTGAGGAGATACGGGCTTAGGTTTTTTCAAGCGCTCTAGGAAAGGGTTTTAAGTGTCATCCCCAGTGCTATGTGTACTGAGCCTGGCTTCATGTGTCTCATATGGCCATTAGAAGCAGCTTTCCAGTCAGCTGTGTGTCTCCAGGTGCACAAATTGGTTGCCATGGGGACCTTGGATGAATAACTTTAGCAGGAGAAAGAAGGCTTGAAGCTAAGGAAACAGGACTCCAAGTAGGCCCTGACGCTCATCGTCTGTATATATTCATGATAAGGAGCTTGTGAGAACACAAGATTTTGCTGAACACATTAATACAATTTATTATCACAATCCTCAAAACACCCCATAATATCTTCAATGAGCTGAATTTTTCAAGCCCAAAATGGTTTCTGTAGCTCAAAGTTTGTGGGTGGAGATAGGTGGTGAAGCAGACACATAATACCTGTGTACAAGCAGCTGAACTGCAAGGTAGACCTGACAATGCAACAAGTACAAGAATGTGTGTGTGTGTGTGTGTGTGTGTGTGTGTGTGTGTGTGTGTGTGTGTGTGTGTGTCTCGTTAATGATTGCATCCTAAACAGCTGTGAGATCAAAGGCAAATTACTGACCTACTGTTTGACTGAGAGGTGCTGAACTGCTGAGGATTTATAGCCTCTGAACTTCTTCACATAGCGTGATTTCCTTAAGTCCCAGAATGAAAATAAGAACATCGTACGAATCCTCCGCCTTCATGAACACAATGATGTCTTTTTCATGTCTGTACTCCGAAAAATGTGGCCACAACAGCGAGTTAAAAAAGTCTGAGCCTGAGTGGGGATAATCCGGATTTTCTTGGAGAAGAAATAACATTAGGTCTAATGGGAGAGATTTCCGCCTTTTGGACAGTTGGTCACCTGCTGGCCAAGGGGTACGATTTAATGATTTGAAACCTCTTTTGTGAGAAGCAGGACACATATACCTCCATTTTGATGTATTTTTTATGGCTGTGGAGTGAGATTTGTGGGCGTGGGAGCGATATATTTGAGCGAGGTTCTGTCGATCAGAGACGAGGTCTGCACTCTAGCTTTTCAAATCATCACTCTAGCCTCTCAAATACACCCCCATTATAAAGCCTGAAAATTTGCTGAAAACCACGAGGTGCTTCAAGCTAAATTGGGGGAAAACTGTAGAAGATAGCACAAAAAGGTTAATAGAACATCAATAGTCGACAAGACAATGAACATTTTAAAGCAAAAATGAGGTCTCTAGGTGAAAGTATGCTGAAGTTATAAGGCTTAGAAGGTGGAAGAAGAAAAAGAAGAATTGGAAGATTTCCCCATTCATTTCTATGGGAAAAAAAGTTTGAGACAAAAAGTGAAAAATAATAAAAAGTATAAAGGGTAGGAAAGAGAAAAGTAATAGCCATCATGTCCCGATGGAGTGTAATAGTTTAAAGTTTGAACGGTTGAAATCGGACAAAGTTTGAAGGAGGAGAAGCGGTCCAAAGAAACGTATGGGGAGAGTGTTAAGTATAATACTAGAAAAATTGCATTTCCTTGCAGAAAATGCGTGGAAATGCTGAGTGCTGAAAGCTGAAAAAGCAATGCTAAACTGCTAATAAAACATGGAGAAATGTATAAATGTTAAAGCTGTTGAAGGGGTGTGAAAGAAATGTAAGTTGGATAATTGATTAATTGGTTGAGGAAAAATAGTATGAATATGCTCTATAAAAAGAAATTTTATTCATGCTAAAAGAGGCTAGAAAAATGTCTAAAATTGCACAAAGTTTGAATGAAGAAGGAAATTGCCTTAAAAGGCAGGAAGGTGGGAAGTGGCATAAGTTTAATTTTTTAAGTATTAGAAAGGTTTGAATCAGTTTGAATCAGTTCAAATTAGTTTGAAAAATTAAATGATAAATCATCACTGAGTGACTTTAAAATGTGAAAAATCTAAATGTATATAAATCCTAAATACACCCCATAATGTCCTCAATGAGCTCAAATTTTAAAGCCCTGAATGGTTTCTGTAGGTCAAAGGTCATGTGAGGAGATAGGGGCTGAAGTTTTTTCAAGCGCTCTAGTAAAGGGTTTTAAGTGTCATCCCCAGTGCTATGTGTGCTGAGTCTGGCTTCATGTGTCTCATATGGCCATTAGAAGCAGCTTTCCAGTCAGCTGTGTGTCTCCAGGTGCACAAATTGGTTGCCATGGGGACCTTGGATGCATAACTATAGCAGGAGAAAGAAGGCTTGAAGCTAAGGAAACAGGACTCCAAGTAGGCCCTGACGCTCATCCTCTGTATCTATTCCTGATAAGGAGCTTGTGAGAACACAAGACTCTGCTAAACACATTAATACAATTTATTATCACAATCCTCAAAACACCCCATAATATCTTCAATGAGCTGAATTTTTGAAGCCCAGAATGGTTTCTGTAGCTCAAAGTTTGTGGGTGGAGATAGGTGGCGAAGCAGACACATATTAACTGTGTGTACAAGCAGCTGAACTGCAAGGTAGACCTCATAAAGCAACAAGTACAAGAATGTGTGTGTGTGTGTGTGTGTGTGTGTCTCGTTAATGACTGCATCCTAAACAGCTGTGAGATCAAAGGCAAATCACTGACCTACTGTTTGAATGAGAAGCAGCTGAACTGCAGAGGATTTAGAGGCTCTAAACTTCTTCACATAGCGTGATTTCCTTAAGTCACAGAATGAAAATAAGAACATCGTACGAATCCTCCGTCCTTCATGAACACAATGATGTGTTTTTCATGTCTGTACTTCGAAAAATGAGGCCACAACAGCGAGTTAAAAAAGTCTGAGCCTGAGCGATGATCCGGATTTTCTTGGAGAAAAATAACATTATGGTCAATGGGAGAGATTTCCGCCTTTTTTGGACAGTTGGTCACCTGCTGGCCAAGGGGTACGATTTAATGATTTGAAACCTCTTTTGTGAGAAGCAGGACACATATACCTCCATTTTGATGTATTATTTGTGTCAGTGGAGTGAGATTTGTGGGCGTGGGAGCGATATATTCGAGCGAGGTTCTGTCGATCAGAGACGAGGTCTGCACTCTAGCTGATGACATCATCACTCTAAACTCTCCAATACACACCCATTATAAAGCTTGAAATTTGCTGAAAACCACAAGTTGCTTAAAGCTAAATTGTGGAAAAACTGTAAGAGATATCAAAAAACTGAGTACAACTATAATAGTCGACAAGTGAATGAACATTTTAAAGCAAAAATGAGGTCTCTAGGTGAAAGTATGCTGAAGTTATAAGGTCTAGAAGGTGGAAGAATAAAAGGAAGAAGTGGAAGATTTCCCCATTGACTTCAATGTTAAAATTTTTGCACAAAAAGTTAAAAAAAACAAAAAGTATAAAAGGTAGAAAGGTAAAAAATAATAGCAAACATGTCCTGAAGGAGTGGAATAGTTTAAAGTTTGAACGGTTGAAATCGCACAAAGTTTGAAGGAGTTGAAAAGCGACAAAAAACGGCGGAAGAATAATAATAATAATAATAATAAAGAAACAGGAGAATAACAATAAGTGGAAATGCCTATCAGCATTTCCACTTAATAATAATAAAGAAACAGGAGAATAACAATAAGTGGAAATGCTTAATCAGCATTTCCACTTAACTAGAAAAATTGCATTTCCTTGCAGAAAATGCGTGGAAATGCTGAGTGCTGAAAGCTAACAAAGCAATGCTAAACTGCTAATAAAACATGGAGAAAGGTATAAATGTTAAAGCTGTTGAAGGGGTGAACAGAAATATAAGTTGGATAATTGATTAATTGGTTGAAGGACAAATAGTATGAATATGCTCTATAAAAGGAAATTTTATTCATGCTGAAAGAGGCTAGAAAAATGTCTCAAATTGCACAAAGTTTGAATGAAGAAGGAAATTGCCTTAAAAGGCAGGAAGGTGAGAAGTGGCATAAGTTTAAATTGTAGTACTAGAAGTAGTATGATAAGAAGTCAAGTCGTGATACTAGTAGTCATGTCAGCAGTAGAAGTAGATTGAGAATAAAAGAAGTATAAGTCAAAGTAGTAAAGAAAGTAGAAATAGGAGCAATAGCAGTTGAAGTAGAGGGGAAAGTTCTAGTTTAATTGACATTAGCAGTAGTTGTCGTACTTGAGGTAGGATTTTGTTTGAATGATGGAGTAATGCATAAATATTAAAACTAATTTAAAACAGGGAAATTTTAAATTATCAAAAGTCCTCAAGTATCAGAAAGTTTTGAAGTATTAGAAAGGTTTGAATCAGTTTGAATGAGTTTAAATTAGTTTGAAAAATTAAATGATAAATCATCACTGACTGACTTTTAAAATGTGAAAAATTTAAATGAATAACAATCCTAAATACACCCAATAATGTCCTCAATGAGCTTAAATTTCAAAGCCCTGAATGGTTTCTGTAGGTCAAAGGTCATGTGAGGAGATAGGGGCTGAAGTTTTTTCCAACGCTCTAGGAAAGGGTTTTAAGTGTCATCCCCAGTGCTATGTGTACTGAGCCTGGCTTCATGTGTCTCATATGGCCACTAGAAGCAGCTTTCCAGTCAGCTGTGTGTCTCCAGGTGCACAAATTGGTTGCCATGGGGACCTTGGATGCAATAACTATAGCAGGAGAATGAAGGCTTGAAGCTAAGGAAACAGGACTCCAAGTAGGCCCTGACGCTCACCCTCTGTATATATTCATAAGGAGCTTGTGAGAACACAAGACTCTGCTGAACACATTAATACAATTTATTATCACAATCCTCAAAACACCCCATAATATCTTCAATGAGCTGAATTTTTCAAGCCCAGAATGGTTTCTGTAGCTCAAAGTTTGTGGGTGGAGATAGGTGGTGAAGCAGACACATATTAACTGTGTGTACAAGCAGCTGAACTGCAAGGTGGACCTCAAAAAGCAACAAGTACAAGAATGTGTGTGCGTGTGTGTGTGTGTGTCTCGTTAATGACTGCATCCTAAACAGCTGTGAGATCAAAGGCAAATCACTGACCTACTGTTTGACTGAGAGGTGCTGAACTGCAGTGAATTTCAAGCCTGTGAACTTCTTCACATAGCGTGATTTCCTTAAGTCACAGAATGAAAATAAGAACATCGTACGAATCCTCCGTCCTTCATGAACACAATGATGTGTTTTTCATGTCTGTACTTCGAAAAATGAGGCCACAACAGCGAGTTAAAAAAAAGTCTGAGCTTGAGCGATGATCCAGATTTTCTTGGAGAAAAATAACATTACAGTCAATGGGAGAGATTTCCGCCTTTTTTGGACAGTTGGTCACCTGCTGGCCAAGGGGTACGATTTAATGATTTGAAACCTCTTTTGTGAGAAGCAGGACACATATACCTCCATTTTGATGTATTATTTGTGTCAGTGGAGTGAGATTTGTGGGCGTGGGAGCGATATATTCGAGCGAGGTTCTGTCGATCAGAGACGAGGTCTGCACTCTAGCTGATGACATCATCACTCTAAACTCTCCAATACACACCCATTATAAAGCTTGAAATTTGCTGAAAACCACAAGTTGCATAAAGCTAAATTGTGGAAAAACTGTAAAAGATAGCACAAAAAGGTTAATACAACATAATAGTCGACAAGATTGTGAACATTTTAAAGCAAAAATGAGGTCTCTAGGTGAAAGTATGCTGAAGTTATAAGGCTGAGAAGGTGGAGGAGTAAAAGGCAGAATTTGAAGATTTCCCCATTCATTTCAATGGGAAAATTTTTTGCACAAAAAGTCAAAAATATCAAAAAGTATAAGGGGTTGAAAAGTGAAAAATACATCCGCACTATTCCTGAAGGAGAGGAATAGTTTAAAAGTTGAACGGTTGAAATCGGACAAAGTATGGAGGAGTTGAAAAGTTGCAAAAAAGGTACGGAAGAATAATAATAATAATAATAATAAAGAAATAGGAGAATAACAATAAGTGGAAATGCTTAATCAGCATTTCCACTTAATAACTAGAAAAATTGCATTTCCTTGCAGAAAATGCGTGGAAATGCTGAGTGCTGAAAGCTGAAAAAGCAATGCTAAACTGCTAATAAAACATGGAGAAAGGTATAAATGTTAAAGCTGTTGAAGGGGTGAAAAAGAAATATTAGTTGGATAATGGTTTAATTGGTTGAAGGACAAATAGTATGAATATGCTCTATAAAAGGAAATTTTATTCATGCTGAAAGAGGCTAGAAAAATGTTTAAAATTGCACAAAGTTTGAATGAAGAAGGAAATTGCCTTAAAAGGCAGGAAGGTGAGAAGTGGCATTAGTTTAAGTTGTAGTACTAGAAGTAGTATAAGAGGTCAAGTCGTGATACTAGTAGTCACGTCAGCAGTAGAAGTAGTTTGAGAGTAAAAGAAGTATAAGTCAAAGTAGTAGAGAAAGTAGAAATAGGAGCAATAGCAGTTGAAGTAGAGGGGAAAGTACTAGTTTAATTGACATTAGCAGTAGTTGTAATACTTGAGGTAGGATTTTGTTTGAAGGATGGAATAATGCATAAATATTAAAATTAATTTAAAACAGAAAATTTAAATAATTAAAAATCCTCAAGTATCAGAAAGTTTAAAAGTATTAGAAAGGTTTGAATGAGTTTAAATTAGTTTGAAAAACAATTAAATGATAAATCATCACTGAGTGACTTTAAAATGTGAAAAATGTAAATGAATATAAATCCTAAATACACCCCATAATGTCCTCAATGAGCTTAAATTTTAAAGCCCTGAATGGTTTCTGTAGGTCAAAGGTCATGTGAGGAGATAGGGGCTGAAGTTTTTTCAAGCGCTCTAGGAAAGGGTTTTAAGTGTCATCCCCAGTGCTATGTGTACTTAGCCTGGCTTCATGTGTCTCATATGGCCATTAGAAGCAGCTTTCCAGTCAGCTGTGTGTCTCCAGGTGCACAAATTGGTTGCCATGGGGACCTTGGATGCATAACTATAGCAGGAGAAAGAAGGCTTGAAGCTAAAGAAACAGGACTCCAAGTAGGCCCTGACGCTCACCCTCTGTATATATTCATAAGGAGCTTGTGAGAACACAAGACTCTGCTGAACACATTAATACAATTTATTATCACAATCCTCAAAACACCCCATAATATCTTCAATGAGCTGAATTTTTGAAGCCCAGAATGGTTTCTGTAGCTCAAAGTTTGTGGGTGGAGATAGGTGGTGAAGCAGACACATATTAACTGTGTGTACAAGCAGCTGAACTGCAAGGTGGACCTCAAAAAGCAACAAGTACAAGAATGTGTGTGCGTGTGTGTGTGTGTGTCTCGTTAATGACTGCATCCTAAACAGCTGTGAGATCAAAGGCAAATCACTAACCTACTGTTTGACTGAGAGGTGCTGAACTGCAGTGAATTTCAGCCTGTGAACTTCTTCACATAGCGTGATTTCCTTAAGTCCCAGAATGAAAATAAGAACATCGTACAAATCCTCCGCCCTTCATGAACACAATGATGTGTTTTTCATGTCTGTACTTCGAAAAATGAGGCCACAACAGCGAGTTAAAAAAGTCTGAGCCTGAGCGATGATCCGGATTTTCTTGGAGAAAAATAACATTATGGTCAATGGGAGAGATTTCCGCCTTCCTTGGACAGTTGGTCACCTGCTGGCCAAGGGGTACGATTTAATGATTTGAAACCTCTTTTGTGAGAAGCAGGACACATATACCTCCATTTTGATGTATTATTTATGGCTCTGGAGTGAGATTTGTGGGCGTGGGAGCGATATATTCGAGCGAGGTTCTGTCGATCAGAGACGGGGTCTGCACTCTAGCTTTTCAAATCCTCACTCTAAACTCTCCAATACACACCCATTATAAAGCTTGAAATTTGCTGAAAACCACAAGTTGCTTAAAGCTAAATTGTGGAAAAACTGTAGGAGATAGCACAAAAAGTCAATACAACATAATAGTCGACAAGATTGTGAACATTTTAAAGCAAAAATGAGGTCTCTAGGTGAAAGTATGCTGAAGTTATAAGGCTGAGAAGGTGGAGGAGTAAAAGGTAGAATTTGAAGATTTCCCCATTCATTTCAATGGGAAAATTTTTTGCACAAAAAGTCAAAAATATCAAAAAGTATAAGGGGTAGAAAAGTGAAAAATACATCCGCACTTGTCCTGAAGGAGAGGAATAGTTTAAAAGTTGAACGGTTGAAATCGGACAAAGTATGGAGGAGTTGAAAAGTTGCAAAAAAGGTACGGAAGAATAATAATAATAACTAGAAAAATTGCATTTCCTTGCAGAAAATGCGTGGAAATGCTGAGTGCTGAAAGCTGAAAAAGCAATGCTAAACTGCTAATAAAACATGGAGAAAGGTATAAATGTTAAAACTGTTGAAGGGGTGAAAAAGAAATATTAGTTGGATAATGGTTTAATTGGTTGAAGGACAAATAGTATGAATATGCTCTATAAAAGGAAATTTTATTCATGCTGAAAGAGGCTAGAAAAATGTTTAAAATTGCACAAAGTTTGAATGAAGAAGGAAATTGCCTTAAAAGGCAGGAAGGTGAGAAGTGGCATAAGTTTAAGTTGTAGTACTAGAAGAAGTATAGGAGGTCAAGTCGTGATACTAGTAGTCATGTCAGCAGTAGAAGTAGTTTGAGAATAAAAGAAGTATAAGTCACAGTAGTAGAGAAAGTAGAAATAGGAGCAATAGCAGTTGAAGTAGAGGGGAAAGTACTAGTTTAATTGACATTAGCAGTAGTTGTCGTACTTGAGGTAGGATTTTGTTTGAAGGATGGAGTAATGCATAAATATTAAAACTAATTTAAAACAGGGAAAATTTAAATAATTAAAAATCTTCAAGTATCAGAAACTTTTAAAGTATTAGAAAGGTTTGAATCAGTTTGAATGAGTTTAAATTAGTTTGAAAAATTTAAATGATAAATCATCACTGAGTGACTTTAAAATGTGAAAAATTTAAATGAATATAAATCCTGAATACACCCCATAATGTCCTCAATGAGCTTAGATTTTAAAGCCCTGAATGGTTTCTGTAGGTCAAAGGTCATGTGAGGAGATAGGGGCTGAAGGTTTTTCAAGCGCTCTAGTAAAGGGTTTTAAGTGTCATCCTCAGTGCTATGTGTGCTGAGCCTGGCTTCATGTGTCTCATATGGCCATTAGAAGCAGCTTTCCAGTCAGCTGTGTGTCTCCAGGTGCACTAATTGGTTGCCATGGGGACCTTGGATGCATAACTATAGCAGGAGAAAGAAGGCTTGAAGCTGAGGAAACAGGACTCCAAGTAGGCCCTGACGCTCATCCTCTGTATCTATTCCTGATAAGGAGCTTGTGAGAACACAAGACTCTGCTAAACACATTAATACAATTTATTATCACAATCCTCAAAACACCCCATAATATCTTCAATGAGCTGAATTTTAGAAGCCCAGAATGGTTTCTGTAGCTCAAAGTTTGTGGGTGGAGATAGGTGGCGAAGCAGACACATATTAACTGTGTGTACAAGCAGCTGAACTGCAAGGTAGACCTCATAAAGCAACAAGTACAAGAATGTGTGTGTGTGTGTGTGTGTGTGTCTCGTTAATGACTGCATCCTAAACAGCTGTGAGATCAAAGGCAAATCACTGACCTACTGTTTGAATGAGAAGCAGCTGAACTGCAGAGGATTTAGAGGCTCTAAACTTCTTCACATAGCGTGATTTCCTTAAGTCACAGAATGAAAATAAGAACATCGTACGAATCCTCCGCCCTTCATGAACACAATGATGTCTTTTTCATGTCTGTACTTCGAAAAATGAGGCCACAACAGCGAGTTAAAAAAGTCTGAGCCTGAGCGATGATCGGATTTTCTTGGAGAAAAATAACATTATGGTCAATGGGAGAGATTTCCGCCTTCCTTGGACAGTTGGTCACCTGCTGGCCAAGGGGTACGATTTAATGATTTGAAACCTCTTTTGTGAGAAGCAGGACACATATACCTCCATTTTGATGTATTATTTGTGTCAGTGGAGTGAGATTTGTGGGCGTGGGAGCGATATATTCGAGCGAGGTTCTGTCGATCAGAGACGAGGTCTGCACTCTAGCTGATGACATCATCACTCTAAACTCTCCAATACACACCCATTATAAAGCCTGAAAATTAGCTGAAAACCACAAGTTGCTTAAAGCTAAATTGTGGAAAAACTGTAGGAGATAGCACAAAAAAGTCAATACAACATAATAGTCGACAAGATTGTGAACATTTTAAAGCAAAAATGAGGTCTCTAGGTGAAAGTATGCTGAAGTTATAAGGCTGAGAAGGTGGAGGAATAAAAGGAAGAATTGGAAGATTTCCCCATTCATTTCAATGGGAAAATTTTTGCACAAAAAGTCAAAAATATCAAAAAGTATAAAGGGTAGAAAAGTGAAAAATACATCCGCACTATTCCTGAAGGAGAGGAATAGTTTAAAAGTTGAACGGTTGAAATCGGACAAAGTATGAAGGAGTTGAAAAGTTGCAAAAAAATTACGGAAGAATAATAATAATAATAATAATAATAACTAGAAAAATTGCATTTCCTTGCAGAAAATGCGTGGAAATGCTGAGTGCTGAAAGCTAACAAAGCAATGCTAAACTGCTAATAAAACATGGAGAAAGGTATAAATGTTAAAGCTGTTGAAGGGGTGAACAGAAATATAAGTTGGATAATTGATTAATTGGTTGAAGGACAAATAGTATGAATATGCTCTATAAAAGGAAATTTTATTCATGCTGAAAGAGGCTAGAAAAATGTCTAAAATTGCACAAAGTTTGAATGAAGAAGGAAATTGCCTTAAAAGGCAGGAAGGTGAGAAGTGGCATAAGTTTAAATTGTAGTACTAGAAGTAGTATGATAAGAAGTCAAGTCGTGATACTAGTAGTCATGTCAGCAGTAGAAGTAGATTGAGAATAAAAGAAGTATAAGTCAAAGTAGTAAAGAAAGTAGAAATAGGAGCAATAGCAGTTGAAGTAGAGGGGAAAGTTCTAGTTTAATTGACATTAGCAGTAGTTGTCGTACTTGAGGTAGGATTTTGTTTGAATGATGGAGTAATGCATAAATATTAAAACTAATTTAAAACAGGGAAAATTTAAATTATCAAAAGTCCTCAAGTATCAGAAAGTTTTGAAGTATTAGAAAGGTTTGAATCAGTTTGAATGAGTTTAAATTAGTTTGAAAAATTAAATGATAAATCATCACTGACTGACTTTTAAAATGTGAAAAATTTAAATGAATAACAATCCTAAATACACCCAATAATGTCCTCAATGAGCTTAAATTTCAAAGCCCTGAATGGTTTCTGTAGGTCAAAGGTCATGTGAGGAGATAGGGGCTGAAGTTTTTTCAAGCGCTCTAGGAAAGGGTTTTAAGTGTCATCCCCAGTGCTATGTGTACTGAGCCTGGCTTCATGTGTCTCATATGGCCACTAGAAGCAGCTTTCCAGTCAGCTGTGTGTCTCCAGGTGCACAAATTGGTTGCCATGGGGACCTTGGATGCATAACTATAGCAGGAGAAAGAAGGCTTGAAGCTAAGGAAACAGGACTCCAAGTAGGCCCTGACGCTCATCCTCTGTATATATTCATAAGGAGCTTGTGAGAACACAAGACTCTGCTGAACACATTAATACAATTTATTATCACAATCCTCAAAACACCCCATAATATCTTCAATGAGCTGAATTTTTCAAGCCCAGAATGGTTTCTGTAGCTCAAAGTTTGTGGGTGGAGATAGGTGGTGAAGCAGACACATATTAACTGTGTGTACAAGCAGCTGAACTGCAAGGTGGACCTCAAAAAGCAACAAGTACAAGAATGTGTGTGCGTGTGTGTGTGTGTGTGTCTCGTTAATGACTGCATCCTAAACAGCTGTGAGATCAAAGGCAAATCACTGACCTACTGTTTGAATGAGAAGCAGCTGAACTGCAGTGAATTTCAGCCTGTGAACTTCTTCACATAGCGTGATTTCCTTAAGTCACAGAATGAAAATAAGAACATCGTACGAATCCTCCGTCCTTCATGAACACAATGATGTGTTTTTCATGTCTGTACTTCGAAAAATGAGGCCACAACAGCGAGTTAAAAAAGTCTGAGCCTGAGCGATGATCCGGATTTTCTTGGAGAAAAATAACATTACAGTCAATGGGAGAGATTTCCGCCTTTTTGGACAGTTGGTCACCTGCTGGCCAAGGGGTACGATTTAATGATTTGAAACCTCTTTTGTGAGAAGCAGGACACATATACCTCCATTTTGATGTATTATTTGTGTCAGTGGAGTGAGATTTGTGGGCGTGGGAGCGATATATTCGAGCGAGGTTCTGTCGATCAGAGACGAGGTCTGCACTCTAGCTGATGACATCATCACTCTAAACTCTCCAATACACACCCATTATAAAGCTTGAAATTTGCTGAAAACCACAAGTTGCATAAAGCTAAATTGTGGAAAAACTGTAGGAAGATAGCACAAAAAAGTGAATACAATATTTAGTCGACAAGATGTGAACATTTTAAAGCAAAAATGAGGTCTCTAGGTGAAAGTATGCTGAAGTTATAAGGCTGAGAAGGTGGAGGAGTAAAAGGTAGAATTGAAGATTTCCCCATTCATTTCAATGGGAAAATTTTTGCACAAAAAGTCAAAAATATCAAAAAGTATAAAGGGTAGAAAAGTGAAAAATACATAGCCGCATCATGTCCTGAAGGAGTGGAATAGTTTAAAAGTTTGAACGGTTGAAATCGGACAAAGTTTGAAGGAGTTGAAAAGTTGCAAAAAAGGTACGGAAGAATAATAATAATAATAACTAGAAAAATTGCATTTCCTTGCAGAAAATGCGTGGAAATGCTGAGTGCTGAAAGCTAACAAAGCAATGCTAAACTGCTAATAAAACATGGAGAAAGGTATAAATGTTAAAGCTGTTGAAGGGGTGAGAAAGAAATATAAGTTGGATAATGTTAATTGGTTGAAGGACAAATAGTATGAATATGCTCTATAAAAGGAAATTTTATTCATGCTGAAAGAGGCTAGAAAAATGTCTAAAATTGCACAAAGTTTGAATGAAGAAGGAAACTGCCTTAAAAGGCAGGAAGGTGAGAAGTCGCATAAGTTTCAGTTGTAGTACTAGAAGTAGTATGATAAGAGGTCAAGTTGGGATACTAGTAGTCATGTCAGCAGTAGAAGTAGTTTGAGAATAAAAGAAGTATAAGTCACAGTAGTAGAGAAAGTAGAAATAGGAGCAATAGCAGTTGAAGTAGAGGGGAAAGTACTAGTTTAATTGACATTAGCAGTAGTTGTCGTACTTGAGGTAGGATTTTGTTTGAAGGATGGAGTAATGCATAAATATTAAAACTAATTTAAAACAGGGAAAATTTAAATAATTAAAAATCCTCAAGTATCAGAAAGTTTTTAAGTATTAGAAAGGTTTGAATCAGTTTGAATGAGTTTCAATTAGTTTGAAAAAATAAATGATAAATCATCACTGAGTGACTTTAAAATGTGAAAAATTTAAATGAATATAAATCCTAAATACACCCCATAATGTCCTCAATGAGCTCAAATTTTGAAGCCCTGAATGGTCATGTGGGGAGATAGGGGCTGAAGTTTTTTCAAGCGCTCTAGGAAAGGGTTTTAAGTGTCATCCCCAGTGCTATGTGTACTGAGCCTGGCTTCATGTGTCTCATATGGCCATTAGAAGCAGCTTTCCAGTCAGCTGTGTGTCTCCAGGTGCACAAGTTGGTTGCCATGGGGACCTTGGATGCATAACTATAGCAGGAGAAAGAAGGCTTAAAGCTAAGGAAACAGGACTCCAAGTAGGCCCTGACGCTCATCCTCTGTATATATTCATAAGGAGCTTGTGAGAACACAAGACTCTGCTGAACACATTAATACAATTTATTATCACAATCTTCAAAACACCCCATAATATCTTGAATGAGCTGAATTTTTGAAGCCCAGAATGGTTTCTGTGGCTCAAAGTTTGTGGGTGGAGATAGGTGGCGAAGCAGACACATATTAACTGTGTGTACAAGCAGCTGAACTGCAAGGTGGACCTCACAAAGCAACAAGTACAAGAATGTGTGTGTGTGTGTGTGTGTGTGTGTGTGTCTCGTTAATGACTGCATCCTAAACAGCTGTGAGATCAAAGGCAAATCACTGACCTACTGTTTGAATGAGAAGCAGCTGAACAGCAGAGGATTTGAAGCCTGTGAACTTCTTCACATAGCGTGATTTCCTTAAGTCCCAGAATGAAAATAAGAACATCGTACGAATCCTCCGTCCTTCATGAACACAATGATGTGTTTTTCATGTCTGTACTTCGAAAAATGAGGCCACAACAGCGAGTTAAAAAAGTCTGAGCCTGAGCGATGATCCGGATTTTCTTGGAGAAAAATAACATTACGGTCAATGGGAGAGATTTCCGCCTTCTTTGGACAGTTGGTCACCTGCTGGCCAAGGGGTACGATTTAATGATTTGAAACCTCTTTTGTGAGAAGCAGGACACATATACCTCCATTTTGATGTATTATTTGTGTCAGTGGAGTGAGATTTGTGGGCGTGGGAGCGATATATTCGAGCGAGGTTCTGTCGATCAGAGACGAGGTCTGCACTCTAGCTTTTCAAATCATCACTCTAGCCTCTCCAATACACCCCTATTATAAAGCCTGAAATTTGCTGAAAACCACAAGTTGCATAAAGCTAAATTGTGGAAAAACTGTAAAAGATAGCACAAAAAGGTTAATACAACATCAATAGTCGACAAGACAATGAACATTTTAAAGCAAAAATGAGGTCTCTAGGTGAAAGTATGCTGAAGTTATAAGGCTTAGAAGGTGGAGAATAAAGGAAGAATTTGAAGATTTCCCCATTCATTTCAATGGGAAAATTTTTGCACAAAAAGTGAAAAATAATAAAAAGTATAAAGGGTAGAAAAGAAAAAGTACATAGCCACATGTCCTGAAGGAGTGGAATAGTTTAAAGTTTGAACGGTTGAAATCGGACAAAGTTTGAAGGAGGAGAAGCGGTCCAAAGAAACGTATGGGGAGAATGTTAAGTATAATACTAGAAAAATTGCATTTCCTTGCAGAAAATGCGTGGAAATGCTGAGTGCTGAAAGCTGAAAAAGCAATGCTAAACTGCTAATAAAACATGGAGAAAGGTATAAATGTTAAAGCTGTTGAAGGGGTGAACAGAAATATAAGTTGGATAATTGATTAATTGGTTGAAGGACAAATAGTATGAATATGCTCTATAAAAGGAAATTTTATTCATGCTGAAAGAGGCTAGAAAAATGTCGAAAATTGCACAAAGTTTGAATGAAGAAGGAAATTGCCTTAAAAGGCAGGAAGGTGAGAAGTGGCATAAGTTTAAATTGTAGTACTAGAAGTAGTATGATAAGAAGTCAAGTCGTGATACTAGTAGTCATGTCAGCAGTAGAAGTACATTGAGAATAAAAGAAGTATAAGTCAAAGTAGTAAAGAAAGTAGAAATAGGAGCAATAGCAGTTGAAGTAGAGGGGAAAGTTCTAGTTTAATTGACATTAGCAGTAGTTGTCGTACTTGAGGTAGGATTTTGTTTGAATGATGGAGTAATGCATAAATATTAAAACTAATTTAAAACAGGGAAAATTTAAATTATCAAAAGTCCTCAAGTATCAGAAAGTTTTGAAGTATTAGAAAGGTTTGAATCAGTTTGAATGAGTTTAAATTAGTTTGAAAAATTAAATGATAAATCATCACTGAGTGACTTTAAAATGTGAAAAATTTAAATGAATAACAATCCTAAATACACCCCATAATGTCCTCAATGAGCTTAAATTTTAAAGCCCTGAATGGTTTCTGTAGGTCAAAGGTCATGTGAGGAGATAGGGGCTGAAGTTTTTTCAACGCTCTAGGAAAGGGTTTTAAGTGTCATCCCCAGTGCTATGCGTACTGAGCCTGGCTTCATGTGTCTCATATGGCCATTAGAAGCAGCTTTCCAGTCAGCTGTGTGTCTCCAGGTGCACAAATTGGTTGCCATGGGGACCTTGGATGCATAACTATAGCAGGAGAAAGAAGGCTTGAAGCTAAAGAAACAGGACTCCAAGTAGGCCCTGACGCTCACCCTCTGTATATATTCATAAGGAGCTTGTGAGAACACAAGACTCTGCTGAACACATTAATACAATTTATTATCACAATCCTCAAAACACCCCATAATATCTTCAATGAGCTGAATTTTTGAAGCCCAGAATGGTTTCTGTAGCTCAAAGTTTGTGGGTGGAGATAGGTGGTGAAGCAGACACATATTAAATGTGTGTACAAGCAGCTGAACTGCAAGGTAGACCTCAAAAAGCAACAAGTACAAGAATGTGTGTGCGTGTGTGTGTGTGTGTGTCTCGTTAATGATTGCATCCTAAACAGCTGTGAGATCAAAGCATGAACTGACCTATTGTTTGAATGGAGAAGCTGCTGAACTGCAGTGAATTTAGGGTTCTGAACTTCTTCACATAGCACGATTTCCTTAAGTCCCAGAATGAAAATAAGAACATCGTACGAATCCTCCGCCCTTCATGAACACAATGATGTGTTTTTCATGTCTGTACTCCGAAAAATGTCGCCACAACAGCGAATTAAAAAAGTCTGAGCCTGAGTGGCGATAAGGATTTTCTTGGAGAAAAAATACATTAGAGCCAATGGGAAGAGATTTCCGCCTATTTGGACAGTTGTACACCTGCTGGCCAAGGGGTAAGATTTAATGATTTGAAACCTCTTTTGTGAGAAGCAGGACACATATACCTCCATTTTGATGTATTTTTTATGGCTGTGGAGTGAGATTTGTGGGCGTGGGAGCGATATATTCGAGCGAGGTTCTGTCGATCAGAGACGAGGTCTGCACTCTAGCTTTTCAAATCATCACTCTAGCCTCTCCAATACACCCCTTATTATAAAGCCTGAAATTAGCTGAAAACCACAAGTTGCATAAAGCTAAATTGTGGAAAAACTGTAAAAGATAGCACAAAAAGGTTAATACAACATCAATAGTCGACAAGACAATGAACATTTTAAAGCAAAAATGAGGTCTCTAGGTGAAAGTATGCTGAAGTTAAAAGGCTTAGAAGGTGGAGGAATAACAGGAAGAATTGAAAGATTTCCCCATTCATTTCTATGGGAAAAAAAGTTTGGCACAAAAAGTGAAAAATAATAAAAAGTATAAAGGGTAGAAAAAAGAAAAGTAATAGCCATCATGTCCTGAAGGAGTGGAATCTTTTAAAGTTTGAACGGTTGAAATCGGACATAGTTTGAAGGAGGAGAAGCGGTCCAAAGAAACGTATGGGGAGAGTGTTAAGTATAATACTAGAAAAATTGCATTTCCTTGCAGAAAATGCGTGGAAATGCTGAGTGCTGAAAGCTGAAAAAGCAATGCTAAACTGCTAATAAAACATGGAGAAAGGTATAGATGTTAAAGCTGTTGAAGGGGTGAGAAAGAAATGTAAGTTGGATAATTGATTAATTGGTTGAAGGACAAATAGTATGAATATGCTCTATAAAAGGAAATTTTATTCATGCTGAAAGAGGCTAGAAAAATGTCTAAAATTGCACAAAGTTTGAATGAAGAAGGAAATTGCCTTAAAAGGCAGGAAGGTGAGAAGTGGAATAAGTTTAAGTTTTTAAGTATTAGAAAGGTTTGAATCAGTTTGAATGAGTTTAAATTAGTTTGAAAAATTAAATGATAAATCATCACTGAGTGAGTTATAAAAGTGAAAAAATTAAATGAATATAAATCCTAAATACACCCCATAATGTCCTCAATGAGCTTGAATTTTAAAGCCCTGAATGGTTTCTGTAGGTCAAAGGTCATGTGAGGAGATAGGGGCTGAAGTTTTTTCAAGCGCTCTAGGAAAGGGTTTTAAGTGTCATCCCCAGTGCTATGTGTACTGAGCCTGGCTTCATGTGTCTCATATGGCCATTAGAAGCAGCTTTCCAGTCAGCTGTGTGTCTCCAGGTGCACAAATTGGTTGCCATGGGGACCTTGGATGCATAACTTTAGCAGGAGAAAGAAGGCTTGAAGCTAAGGAAACAGGACTCCAAGTAGGCCCTGACGCTCATCCTCTGTATATATTCATATAAGGAGCTTGTGAGAACACAAGACTCTGCTGAACACATTAATACAATTTATTATCACAATCCTCAAAACACCCCATAATATCTTCAATGAGCTGAATTTTTGAAGCCCAGAATGGTTTCTGTAGCTCAAAGTTTGTGGGTGGAGATAGGTGGTGAAGCAGACACATATTAACTGTGTGTACAAGCAGCTGAACTGCAAGGTAGACCTCATAAAGCAACAAGTACAAGAATGTGTGTGTGTGTGTGTGTGTGTGTGTGTGTGTGTCTCGTTAATGACTGCATCCTAAACAGCTGTGAGATCAAAGGCAAATCACTGACCTACTGTTTGAATGAGAGGTGCTGAACTGCAGTGAACTAAGGGCCTGTGAACTTCTTCACATAGCGTGATTTCCTTAAGTCCCAGAATGAAAATAAGAACATCGTACGAATCCTCCGTCCTTCATGAACACAATGATGTGTTTTTTCATGTCTGTACTCCGAAAAATGTGGCCACAACAGCGAGTTAAAAAAGTCTGAGCCTGAGTACGATAAGGATTTTCTTGGAGAAAAATACATTAGGGCCAATGGGGAGAGATTTCCGCCTATTTGGACAGTTGGTCACCTGCTGGCCAAGGGGTAGGATTTAATGATTTGAAACCTCTTTTGTGAGAAGCAGGACACATATACCTCCATTTTGATGTATTTTTTATGGCTGTGGAGTGAGATTTGTGGGCGTGGGAGCGATATATTCGAGCGAGGTTCTGTCGATCAGAGACGAGGTCTGCACTCTAGCTTTTCAAATCATCACTCTAGCCTCTCCAATACACCCCTATTATAAAGCCTGAAATTTGCTGAAAACCACAAGTTGCATAAAGCTAAATTGTGGAAAAACTGTAAAAGATAGCACAAAGAGGTTAATACAACATCAATAGTCGACAAGACAATGAACATTTTAAAGCAAAAATGAGGTCTCTAGGTGAAAGTATGCTGAAGTTATAAGGCTTAGAAGGTGGACGAATAACAGGAAGAATTGAAAGATTTCCCCATTCATTTCTATGGGAAAAAAAGTTTGGCACAAAAAGTGAAAAATAATAAAAAGTACAAAGGATAGAAAGGAAAAAAATACAAGCACACATGTCCTGATGGAGTGGAATAGTTTAAAGTTTAAACGGTTGAAATCGGACAAATTTGGAAGGAGGAGAAGCGGTCCAAAGAAACGTATGGGGAGAGTGTTAAGTATAATACTAGAAAAATTGCATTTCCTTGCAGAAAATGCGTGGAAATGCTGAGTGCTGAAAGCTGAAAAAGCAATGCTAAACTGCTAATAAATCATGGAGAAAGGTATCAATGTTAAAGCTGTTGAAGGGGTGAGAAAGAAATGTAAGTTGGATAATTGATTAATTGGTTGAAGGACAAATAGTATGACTATGCTCTATAAAAGATAATTCTATTCATGCTGAAAGAGGCTAAAAAAATGTCTAAAATTGCACAAAGTTTGAATGAAGAAGGAAATTGCCTTAAAAGGCAGGAAGGTGAGAAGTGGCATAAGTTTAAGTTGTAGTACTAGAAGTAGTATGATAAGAAGTCAAGTTGTGATACTAGTAGTCTGTCAGCAGTAGAAGTAGTTTGAGAATAAAGAAGTATAAGTCAAAGTAGTAGAGAAAGTAGAAATAGTAGCGATAGCAGCAGTAGAGAAAGTAGAAATAGGAGCAATAGCAGTTGAAGTAGAGGGGAAAGTCTAGTTTAATTGACATTAGCAGTAGTTGTAATACTTGAGGTAGGATTTTGTTTGAAGGATGGATAATGCATAAATATTAAAATTAATTTAAAACAGGAAAATTTAAATAATTAAAAATCCTCAAGTATCAGAAAGTTTTAAAGTATTAGAAAGGTTTGAATTTTAAATTAGTTTGAAAAATTAAATGATAAATCATCACTGAGTGACTTTAAAATGTGAAAAATGTAAATGAATATAAATCCTAAATACACCCCATAATGTCCTCAATGAGCTTAAATTTCAAAGCCCTGAATGGTTTCTGTAGGTCAAAGGTCATGTGAGGAGATAGGGGCTGAAGTTTTTTCAAGCGCTCTAGTAAAGGGTTTTAAGTGTCATCCCCAGTGCTATGTGTACTGAGCCTGGCTTCATGTGTCTCATATGGCCATTAGAAGCAGCTTTCCAGTCAGCTGTGTGTCTCCAGGTGCACAAATTGGTTGCCATGGGGACCTTGGATGCATAACTATAGCAGGAGAAAGAAGGCTTGAAGCTAAGGAAACAGGACTCCAAGTAGGCCCTGACGCTCATCCTCTGTATATATTCATAAGGAGCTTGTGAGAACACAAGACTCTGCTGAACACATTAATACAATTTATTATCACAATCCTCAAAACACCCCATAATATCTTCAATGAGCTGAATTTTGAAGCCCAGAATGGTTTCTGTAGCTCAAAGTTTGTGGGTGGAGATAGGTGGTGAAGCAGACACATATTAACTGTGTGTACAAGCAGCTGAACTGCAAGGTGGACCTCAAAAAGCAACAAGTACAAGAATGTGTGTGCGTGTGTGTGTGTGTGTGTCTCGTTAATGACTGCATCCTAAACAGCTGTGAGATCAAAGGCAAATCACTAACCTACTGTTTGACTGAGAGGTGCTGAACTGCAGTGAATTTCAGCCTGTGAACTTCTTCACATAGCGTGATTTCCTTAAGTCCCAGAATGAAAATAAGAACATCGTACGAATCCTCCGTCCTTCATGAACACAATGATGTGTTTTTCATGTCTGTACTTCGAAAAATGAGGCCACAACAGCGAGTTAAAAAAGTCTGAGCGCCTGAGCGATGATCCGGATTTTCTTGGAGAAAAATAACATTATGGTCAATGGGAGAGATTTCCGCCTTTTGGACAGTTGGTCACCTGCTGGCCAAGGGGTACGATTTAATGATTTGAAACCTCTTTTGTGAGAAGCAGGACACATATACCTCCATTTTGATGTATTATTTATGGCTGTGGAGTGAGATTTGTGGGCGTGGGAGCGATATATTCGAGCGAGGTTCTGTCGATCAGAGACGAGGTCTGCACTCTAGCTGATGACATCATCACTCTAAACTCTCCAATACACACCCATTATAAAGCTTGAAATTTGCTGAAAACCACAAGTTGCTTAAAGCTAAATTGTGGAAAAACTGTAAAAGATATCAAAAAACTGAGTACAACTATAATAGTCGACAAGTGAATGAACATTTTAAAGCAAAAATGAGGTCTCTAGGTGAAAGTATGCTGAAGTTATAAGGTCTAGAAGGTGGAAGAATGAAAGGAAGAAGTGGAAGATTTCCCCATTGACTTCAATGTTAAAATTTTTGCACAAAAAGTTAAAAAAAACAAAAAGTATAAAGGGTAGAAAAGTAAAAAGTAATAGCCATAATGTCCTGAAGGAGTGGAAGAGTTTAAAGTTTGAACGGTTGAAATCGGACAAAGTTTGAAGGAGGAGAAGCGGTCCAAAAAAGGGACGGAAGAATAATAAGTTTAATAAAGAAACAGGAGAATAACAATAAGTGGAAATGCTTAATCAGCATTTCCACTTAACTAGAAAAATTGCATTTCCTTGCAGAAAATGCGTGGAAATGCTGAGTGCTGAAAGCTGAAAAAGCAATGCTAAACTGCTAATAAAACATGGAGAAAGGTATAAATGTTAAAGCTGTTGAAGGGGTGTGAAAGAAATGTAAGTTGGATAATTGATTAATTGGTTGAAGGACAAATAGTATGAATATGCTCTATAAAAAGAAATTTTATTCATGCTGAAAGAGGCTAGAAAAATGTCTAAAATTGCACAAAGTTTGAATGAAGAAGGAAATTGCCTTAAAAGGCAGGAAGGTGGGAAGTGGCATAAGTTTAATTTTTTAAGTATTAGAAAGGTTTGAATCAGTTTGAATCAGTTCAAATTAGTTTGAAAAATTAAATGATAAATCATCACTGAGTGACTTTAAAATGTGAAAAATGTAAATGTATATAAATCCTAAATACACCCCATAATGTCCTCAATGAGCTCAAATTTTAAAGCCCTGAATGGTTTCTGTAGGTCAAAGGTCATGTGAGGAGATAGGGGCTGAAGTTTTTTCAAGCGCTCTAGTAAAGGGTTTTAAGTGTCATCCCCAGTGCTATGTGTGCTGAGCCTGGCTTCATGTGTCTCATATGGCCATTAGAAGCAGCTTTCCAGTCAGCTGTGTGTCTCCAGGTGCACTAATTGGTTGCCATGGGGACCTTGGATGAATAACTATAGCAGGAGAAAGAAGGCTTGAAGCTAAGGAAACAGGACTCCAAGTAGGCCCTGACGCTCATCCTCTGTATCTATTCCTGATAAGGAGCTTGTGAGAACACAAGACTCTGCTAAACACATTAATATAATTTATTATCACAATCCTCAAAACACCCCATAATATCTTCAATGAGCTGAATTTTAGAAGCCCAGAATGGTTTCTGTAGCTCAAAGTTTGTGGGTGGAGATAGGTGGCGAAGCAGACACATATTAACTGTGTGTACAAGCAGCTGAACTGCAAGGTAGACCTCATAAAGCAACAAGTACAAGAATGTGTGTGTGTGTGTGTGTGTGTGTGTGTGTCTCGTTAATGACTGCATCCCTAACAGCTGTGAGATCAAAGGCAAATCACTGACCTACTGTTTGAATGAGAAGCAGCTGAACTGCAGAGGATTTAAAGCCTGTGAACTTCTTCACATAGCGTGATTTCCTTAAATCCCAGAATGAAAATAAGAACATCGTACGAATCCTCCGCCCTTCATGAACACAATGATGTGTTTTTCATGTCTGTACTCCGAAAAATGTGGCCACAACAGCGAGTTAAAAAAGTCTGAGCCTGAGTGGATGATCCGGATTTTCTTGGAGAAAAAATAACATTAGGGCCAATGGGAGAGATTTCCGCCTTTTTGGACAGTTGGTCACCTGCTGGCCAAGGGGTACGATTTAATGATTTGAAACCTCTTTTGTGAGAAGCAGGACACATATACCTCCATTTTGATGTATTATTTGTGTCAGTGGAGTGAGATTTGTGGGCGTGGGAGCGATATATTCGAGCGAGGTTCTGTCGATCAGAGACGAGGTCTGCACTCTAGCTTTTCAAATCATCACTCTAGCCTCTCCAATACACCCCTATTATAAAGCCTGAAATTTGCTGAAAAACCACGAGTTGCATAAAGCTAAATTGTGGAAAAACTGTAAAAGATAGCACAAAATTAATACAACATCAATAGTCGACAAGACAATGAACATTTTAAAGCAAAAATGAGGTCTCTAGGTGAAAGTATGCTGAAGTTATAAGGCTTAGAAGGTGGACGAATAACAGGAAGTATTGGAAGATTTCCCCATTCGTTTCTATGGGAAAAAAAGTTTGGCACAAAAAGTGAAAAATAATAAAAAGTACAAAGGATAGAAAGGAAAAAAATACAAGCACACATGTCCTGATGGAGTGGAATAGTTTAAAGTTTGAACGGTTGAAATCGGACAAAGTTTGAAGGAGGAGAAGCGGTCCAAAGAAACGTATGGGGAGAGTGTTAAGTATAATACTAGAAAAATTGCATTTCCTTGCAGAAAATGCGTGGAAATGCTGAGTGCTGAAAGACGAAAAAGCAATGCTAAACTGCCAGTAATAAATGGAGAAGGTATAAATGAAAAAACTGTTAAAGGGGTGAAGTGTTATAAGTAGAAGTTGTATGAATGTTTCAACCGTAACAGAACTGAAGAAGAAGATGATGAAAAAGAGATGAGTTGTATGGATGTAAAAACACTGGGAGAGGTAAACCAGTAGCTGTATGAATATTCAAATTGCTAAAGAACTGAACTTGAACATTACAGAAAATATGGTAAAGAATTTTAAAGATGGCTGAAAAGGCCTTCATGTTGGAAGAAGTAGAAATGAATGTAGATGAGAAATGAATACATTACACAAATATTTTTAATTTAAAATTTGAATCAACTTGAAAATTCAAATTGAGTTTTTACATAAGTAAAACCAAAACAAAGAAAAAAAGAAAAATATTTTTGTCAATTCTTTAACATTTTGTGAGCAATGAAATGATTAATCATAAAATATAAAATAATAATAAAAAAAAACAAAAAACATCAAAACATAAACACATAAAGAAATAGTGCTCCATAGTGCCTTAAATCAAATTATAAACAATTTGTTTGTGAACAGGTTTTGGAAGAAGAAATCTTTACATGGGTGACCAATCTGTCTCTTAAGCTTAAGGTTTTAAGATTGTAGTTGCTGTGATTGTTGATGGACAAAGGTATCACATTTTCAGTTGTTTCTAAAATTGTTTAGCCCAATCATTAAAGGCTCTTCACACAGTTGTTAGACTGAGGCTAACACCCCATTATTTACTGGATTCAAACTCCAGCAGCCCTGTACCCACATTCACCTCTTTTCTTGTGTTTTCGGATTACTAAGCCTTAACAAAAGTTGGCTCATAAAATTTGTCATGGCCCATTGAGCCAAGTCCTGTGTTGTGGGCTTTAAAAACAGACCTTGAAATTTGATTTCAAAGTCTGATACAGGACTGTTATGTGTGTTTTTAAGGGTTTAGATTAGCCTAAGACTAAGTTCGCACATCTGAAAAACCTTTATACCTATACGTTAAAAAAAAATATGAAAATGGTGACTTGAGAGTTATAAAAAAAAATGTTACTAAAATCGGTCAGCAGTATTACAAAGTATTGCAAAGTTATCCAGGCTTGTGGAAATATACAGGCAAAGTAAGGTGAAAGGCATATGAATTAAATACGGCATTGTAGTATTTTTTAAAGCTAACTGCAGTGAAATGTGGGCCCTCTCATGTAGAAAAAAAGAAAATTATAGAATAATAAATGATTATAATAATAAATAAAATTAAATGATATAAAACTGAAACATTAAACAAAATCTAAAATGATCAGATTAAAAAGTAGATTTGATAACTTGAAATAAATTGATGTAATGAATTGGTCCACCTTACCACCAAAAGGCTTTTCACAGTAGACCAAGGCTAATACTGTCATCAGCTCATTGTAGTGGACTGACAATCTGGTCAGCAAAAATAACTCAGCAGTTTACTGTACAGTGTAGTACAGAAGTCTTTTACAGAAATTAAAATATATTTTTTTAATTAAATCTAAATTTAAAATTTAAAATAACGTGGAGGGTAAGGTAGAGAATGCAAATGCAAAAGGTGCAAAGTTATCCAGGCTTGTGGAAATATACAGGCAAAGTAAGGTGAAAGGCGTATGAATTAAATATGGCACTGAAGTATTTTTTATAGCATGTAGTGGTCCACCTTACCACCCAAAAGGCTTTTCACAGTAGTTAGACCAAGGCTAATACTGTCACCAGCTCATTGTAGTGGACTGACAATCTGGTCAGCATTTTAGATACCAGTGTTTTCTTATCCAAACATTCACACTACTTGTCTTACTGAAATGCTGGGTTGTCTTCACGTTGATAGTTTCTTTTTAAAAAGTTTTCTACTATGGAGAATTACATTTTAAGGATAAGCATAAAAACTTTGTTCCTCTATGAAATCCCTTCACACAGCTCGTTTAACCAAGCCCTGTGTTTGAGGATTGTGACGACAACCTTCAGCAGGGATTGTTTCACACTGCAATGCTGGGATCACTTCTGTCCAAAACATTAGCCCAAGACTAAGCACACGTGAAAAATTTCAGTGTACCTACCAGCTGAAACCCAAAGTACATCATTTATTTCTAAAACACGACTTCTCTTGTAGGTAAATTTGAGGGATATGGTGAGCATATTAAAGCGAGAAATTCAGCTGCCTGCAACAACTGAAGTAACTGGTATTTTTTCCCTTCATCAGTGTTGGTCATCTTTTGATATAAGGACAGATACACAGTAAAAGGGGAAGAAAATACTCAAATAAAATAGAACAAATAAAGTCCAAGAAACATAAAGGAAACTTAAAATATTAACAGATATCGACAACCGATCACTTAATGTAGAAAACAGGATTCAAAACAATATAAGAGTAATAGTTGTCCTGTCCTGAAGACAATCAGTCAGTTCCTCAAGTGAGTACTGTGTTCTGTCTGGGCACTTTTTTTCAAAACCAAAAGCAGAGCCTTGTACAGTTCAGAGTGAAGGTTTAGAGTGAGGTATTGTTTTGACCTTTGACCTGTGGTTGTAGGATCGCCGTGTGCAGTTATCAGTGTTCGAGTTGACAGCATCACTGGAGTCAGAGGCAGGAGGAGGAGAGGTCTGAAAAAAACAAACAAAATCCCCTTCACTTTAACTCTGTAATCCTGTGCTAACATTAATTCTGTGCTTTCCTATGTTGGTCAAACATGGTTTTTGTTATGGGGCAAGGAAATACACCGTTACCTCGTGAAAAGTTTAAAGCTGCAGTAAAGATAAACTGATGATCTGAATGTGTTGACATCTGCTGCAGCTTGCTTCATAGGGCTGCAGGACTTGAAGGATCACCATTAGTAGGACTCTGCTGAGCTGCACTGGCTACACCGTGGATGAACAGACAGTGACTTGAAGTAGGAGAATGTAGCTGGTTCAAAACAGGAAATAAACAGAAACATTTGTGTTGATAATCTGTGAAACTAAACATGTTGAATAAATACACACATCATTACAATGAATACCTTCAGCACTGCAGCAGAGCAAAAAATATTTCTGTCCAGAGCAACTTCACCAGGTCTGCAGCAGCAAAGCTTCCTCACACAGAGAGGCTCAAGGCTCAGGGTGGCTGCATGATGTCCACCTTTGGTGCGTTCAGCTGCCTGAGTGTCTAAGCTGTTCTTCCTCTCTTATCTGGCTTGAAGAAGACCTGGGAGAAAACACTGCTGTTAAAGACGATGATATCAGCAGAGCTGTACAATAGCATCACAAGCATTAATACAGCAGCTAAGATAACTAAGAAAAAATAAATGAACACAAGTTCACTAAGACATTACCTCAGACTTTCTTGAAGAGGGGTTTATCTCTTGGAGGTTCAGCAGGAACGAGCCAAGTGAGTGACAGGTACTACAGCATCAGTTCTGCTTCAGCCTGGTGTCTGGTGGTCCTTGAGAGCTGCTTCAGGACATCTGGAGCACGAGCAGGTAAAACACATGTTTGTGTAGTCCATGAGAGAACGGTCCTGGTGGGTGCTGCAGTCTGTCCAGCACAGCGATGATGGTTGTTGAGAGCAGCAGGGGGATGGTGTGGAGGATGTCATCTCTTCTTCACCTCCGACCAAAGACTGGGTTAAACAGCAAGTAGACTGTGTCTTTGAGTTGTCCAAAGTGATGTGTTTACTTCTGGTTGACGGTTTGATAATTTTTTTCTGCTCACAGTGAGCTAGTCAGGACAGCACTAATGGTCAGGTCAAAGATGGCAGAGACAACTGAAGAAGAAAAAAAAATTACCCAAACAAAAGGAAACTTAGCTTTACTCTACTGTACCTACAGGTGATGTGTTTACTTTTGGTTGACAGTTTGATAATTTTTTCAGTTAACATTGAGCTAGTTTGGACATCACTAATGGAGGTCAGGCCAAAGATGTAGGATACAACTGAAAAAATAAAATAAAATGAAACAAAACATACCCAAAGGAAAGGAATCTTATGTTTGCCCTAGTGTACTTACAGCCACCCATGCTAAGAGAGTGGTGTAAAGTTGGGTGGAGAAAAGGGGGGTTTCAGCTGGTAGGTCACAGAACATCAGAAAGTGTGTGTTCATTAGGGAACACACACTTTCTGATGGAGGTTTTTAATTTTTGCTGCTGTATACATTATTGTACACAGCAGCTGAGAGTTTTGGCCTGTGCATTTATCAATCCGCACCCACCCTCCCTATGTCCAGTCAAGTCAAGTTAAATGGATTAACTTGACTTGACTGGACTTGATAAATGCACAGGCCAAAAATTGTAATTTATAACATTTGAATAGTTGGAAAATTAGTTTATAATTATAAAATAATATTATTATAATATAATATTTTCTTTCTAAAAATTCTGAGCCATAAAAATATTTTTTGCACTAGAAAAATTTACAATCACCAAACACATTTCGATCTGTACTTAAAATATGAATAACATTAGGCACAGCTTCTGTAGTTTGTGTTTCCCTTGAAACCGTTTTCCTTTGTGATCTGCTGAATGAAATTACACAGTAAGTAGTATTGTGGTTATTGTAGTAGGTTTGCCTGATATGTAAAGAGATATTGCTGCATTTGTGTGTTAAAAGGATTAACTTCACTGCACATGACAAATGCACAACTCAAATAATATAACATATTACATTGAAATAGCTGAAAATTTTACAACCTGAAAAATATTTCCTCTCTAAAAAATTAAGCCATAAAAAGATATTTTGCACTCAATTACTCACAATCACCAAACACATTTCAGTCTGTACTGAAAATTCAAGCAGAACATTCACCACAGCTTCTGTAGTTTGTCTTTTCCTTCAGAGCAGTTTCCTCTATGATCTGTTGGATGAAATGACACAGTAAGTGGCGTTGTGGTAACTGTAGTACGTCTGCATGATACCTGAGGAGAGACATAGCTGAGGTCGTGAGATGAAGATCAGGTCCAGCAGTGTGTTCTTGTCCGTTGTAGCAGCAGTGATCAGTTGACCATATCCCTTGGACTGAAAGAAATCCAAAATTGGCTTACTTGCATTAGAAAAGAGATTCTCATTGAAATCGCCACAGACAATGATAGGGTGACAGTCCATGATCTCAAGTGAGTCCAGAAGGCTTCCCAGATTGGACAGGAATGATGGCACACTGTAGTCTGGAGGTCTGTACACAGCTGCAATCAGAGCACTTACAGGAGATTCAACCTTCAAAGCCACAAACTCAAGGTCAGTCACATTATTCAGGTACTGTTTCTCCACAACCTGCAAATGGTTTTTCACATAAACAGCGACTCCACCACCTCCTTTACTGGCCATCTGTGGAAAGTTAGTGTAGGACAAATGTCTGTTGCGTTTGAACATGGTGTAGCCCTCAAACTGGAGACTGTCTGCCACAAAGGAGCCCTGTAGGTGAGTTTCTGTCAGACACAAAACATCTGCAAGACACAGTTCATGATGGCTTTTGATGTCATTCACATGAGCAGGTAATCCTTCAGTGTTGTGATGAATGATGCTCACAGTGTCCTGTCTGCTGAGAGAATGCTGGATCTGGAGAAAAGGCATGAGGTGATCAAAGTTAGCTTGCGTCATGGTCTCCAAAGATACAGTGACTGCAGGGTTAGCATGGATTTTACTCTCATCCAAATCAAGCATGTACAGTCCGCTGAGAGAGGTCACTCGACTGATAGCTACATAGGCCATGCCGGGCTCAAAAATGTGCTTCAGAGAGACAACAGTTGATTTTCTGGTCATACCTTGAACCTTGTGTATCGTGCATGCAAAGGCAAGTTTCACAGGAAACTGTCTGCGTACCACTCCTTTCTGTTGCAGAGCCTCCTCAGATCTCTCGATGTACACAAGATTGTCTCCTCTAGTACGATAGCTCCTGCCAGCTGTTTCATCATCCATCCTGAGACCAAGCATAGTGACAAGAGCAGAACCGTTGTTTTCAGAGCTTATGAGACGGCCTACTGTAGCAAATGATCCGTTCACCAATCCTTGAGACACATCAATGTTTCTGGTAAGCATGACTCTAGCACCTACTGCAACATCTAGGGTGTCAGGTAGATCATTTCTGCTTCCATGACATGGTGCACCTTGTCTTTTCATGTGTCCAGTGTGTGGGTCCTTTTTAAAGTCATCTGCATCAATGGTGGTGATATCAGAATGGAGCAGAGATAGTGTAGCAGAGTTGTGTTCTGCGACTTGTTTGTTTGTAGCAAAAATGTGCAGGACATCAGAGGGACACAGTTGTGGTTCAGTGACACGCTGTGACAGCAGAGCTCTGTCAGCTTCAGAAAGCTCATCTGACCTTGTTTTCACACGGAGTCTGTTCAGCATCTCGGCAAAAGTTTTGTCATCCTTCTGTCGCATGATCTCATCTAAAGTGATCACCTGGAAGTTGTCTCTCCAGAGGTCAAGTTCACTTGGATCATAGACGCAGAGTGGTTTGGACTGTCGCACAGGCGGTAGCTGGTAAAAGTCTCCAACAGCAATGACTGACATTCCTCCAAAGGGTCTGTGGCTGCCTTTAATCTGTTTCAGTCTCATATCCACATAGGCAAAAAGTGGCTTTGACACCATGGAGATTTCATCAATGATGATGATTTCAGCATTTAAAAGCTCACACCTGATTTCATCAAGTTGGTTCCCAAGACCTTGAAAAGGAGGTTTCAAACTTCTGGGCAGCTTGAGGAGAGAGTGCAGTGTTGTTCCAGAGATGTTAAAGGCTGCAGTTCCAGTGAAAGCAGTCAACAGCACAGTCGGGTTTGAGATGTCAGCTTCCTCAGCACGTCTAGGTAGTGTTCTCAGAATCTTTGATGCTTCTGAATGAATGCATTTAATGAGATGTGACTTTCCAGTGCCAGCACCACCATTGATGTAATAGAAAAACTGCTCTGGTTGTTGTCCACAGACTCGTTTTATGCACCAGTCTCTCACTGCATAGAACACACACGCCTGTTTCTGGTTCAGATTCTGATACATTTGTCGTAACCGTGTGGGATCGATTGTAGGGGGCTCTCTCATGACTCTGGTCTCTGTAGCAGCATTTGATTGTCTGCTGTAATCCGGTACATCCTCTTGGACATTTTCACACTGTCTGGCATCCAGTTCATCGATACACTCCAACCTCACCAGTTCAGATTCAGGTGCCAAATTACACCATTCATCGACCACACCTCTGTTCTGTTCAAAGTCCTCGAGAGCAGAGTCAATTTCCTCACTGTTTTTTTCATATCTCTCTCGGTTTCTTTTCACGATGAGTTTCACACTCAGGGGTCGGTCAGAATACGGCAGCTGAACCACACCTCTCTCATAGAATGACTCATACGTGGGAAAATATGGTCTTTTCAGCTCATCGTCTGATCTGTATGGAAGATACAGTCTAAGCAATGTGCCGTAAAACTGCTCAGGGTATTTCTCTTTGGATATGCGGCGATACCTGATGACAGCAGCGTTGTCACTTTCTCGTCTCTGTATAAAGCCTAGTTCATTCAGCAAAGGTACCACTTTCTTGCCCTTGGTCTGTTGTCCATACACCAGTCTGCAGGTAGACGCAAAATCAGCCATGCACATCTCTTCAAACTCTGGTGATTCAGGTCTGGATTTGTACTTGTCTGTTAAGGATGTCATCCACACATTCAAGCTGTCTGGTGTTGTGTTGTCAAGGCTTGACACAGGCAGACTCATTTTCACTGGGTTGTCATCAGTTGGGACAAAAACCACACTGCGTGAGCTCTTTTTCATGTTCAGTGAAGTCACCCGGGCAACAGCTTCTTGTGCTGATACTTCTCGCTTTTTGGAATACGCCTGCATGACTGCTTTCATTTCATCACATTCATTGACACATTCTCTGTCGGAGTTCTGAATGAGTGTTTGCAGGTACTGGCTCACAGAGTTCTCACTTTTACACATGTACGTACATATGTAATGGATCAGACTGTAGTAGCTGAGAATGAACTGCACATCAATGTTTGCATCCCAAGCTTTGAGCAGGTGAGGGTTGTAGGTGTTTACCCAGCAGTCTTTTGGCTCACGCTTCAGAATGATGTTGCTGGACTGACTCATCACATTCATGTGTTTCTCATACTCATCAGCGGTTAAGTCACAGACGGACAGGAGCTGTTGAAAACTCATGGATTCAGTTTGTGTCTCATTCAGCAGCTGATTCAGTGGTGCAAGTTTCTCTTTGGCTCTCTTAAGTCTCTCTGACTCCTCATCATCACCCACAGGTCTGGTTATCATTGTCTGTCTGGAGGGTGGTTTTGGGAATCCAAATCGGCATCCAGAACTTGCACTTTTGAAACATGTCTTTGAGTGGTTCTTACTGTGTATTTGCACTTCTTTGACCTTTTTGTACAGTTCAGGCTCTTTATTTGGGTCAGGGAGCTGAGCAGAGATGTGTTTGGACACAAAGTCACACACAGTTTTGTCAGAGTCTCTCTCAAACACAGGTGCACCGTCTACCCACAAAAGACCATGTATATGAGGACTTCCTCTGTGCTGAAACTCGAGACGCCAAAAGAAGTCAAAAACTTTGCCCAGGGGTTGTGCAGGAGACATGATCAGATCTCTGTACAGTGCTTCAACACGCTTATCAAACATGCGCATCGTTGTCACAGGATTGCTTCTCAGAATGTCACACTTTGTGGACCAGTCGAGCTCTTCAAAATTCACCTCCTCACCTTGTTGTGATTTTATTGCAATAATCACCTCAGGCCAACGCATTTCTGCTGCAGAAAATGTGACAAAGAAAGTAGGACTGCCCAACTGTCTGATCATAGCAAACAGATCTTTTGTAGTTTTGTCCCAGTAGGCTGGTGTTCCTCTGAGCGGCTGCATAAATCTGATAGCATCTCTGTTTCTCACCAGTCTCTCCACTTCGTATTTGTCTCTCAACATTCTGGATGTTATTTTACGTCCGTCTCTGGTCAAAGGTTTGCCTTTGCGTAACTGTATTGACATGCTGGAGGTAGCCAAGTGTATTTCAGTCACAAACTGTGCAAAGAACAGGTAGTTGGTATCTCTGGCAAAGCGATCATCAACACCAAAGAGCCTCGCTTTAAAATAACTACTGGGTGATAATTTCATGGGTCTGTTTTCATCCAGTGTATTCTCACCAGTGGGAAACTGAACAGGGAACGCCATGGCCTCTAGTTTGGGTGTTTTGAAAAAACTGACCGGATTGTTTCTCTCTGCTGGAGCTACTGAGTATGTAGAGTCACTGAAACACAATATCTCCTCAGAAACATCACGTGGTTGAAGGCACGACTCCAAAACAACACCACCATTAGGTATGTCTGCATCCTGTTGTTGTGTCTGATCATCATTGTCCTGGGTCTGACTTTTATCACACAGCTCTGTGTTCTCATCCTCAGTTTCAACATTAGTTTCAGCCTCATACATGGCAGCAGCCTCAATTCTATCAATTTCCATCAAATCCTCATCATCATAGTCGTCATCATTCATTGTAATATCATTACCATCGTCTTCATCCTCATCCTCATCACCATCATCAGGAAGTGTGGGGTCACATAACTCCTCCTCATCTCTAATAGTGATGTCTTCATACTGGGGGTGTATCTCTTTCAGTTTATGCAGAGCCTGCACTAGCTTGGACCAGGTAACAGTCTGAAACAGATGGTGACCTCTGTAACTCAAGCGTCTCTTCAGTTTTACTCTCATCACCTGAGATTCATTTCTCAATCTTGGTAGAGCCTGAATTGTTTCCTGGACTTCAGAGGGAACACATACAACATTACCATGTATAGCTCTCTGTCTGCCTTTGGGAAGAGGAATGATTTTGGCAAATGTTATGCACTTTGCTATCAGATGTCTCTCCAGTATGTTGAGGTCACACAGCTCAGGTGGTATGTCAGCAAGCTCCAAGTTGTTTGCTATGGCAAGTTTGGGCATGGCTCCATTTTTCAGATGGTCATGGCAGGTGTGACAAATCCACTCAGTCTTTCTCTCATCAGGGACAGTGCACTGATTTCTGCAGTCATCGTTACATGCATGGACGTACTGACCTTTGAGACAAGCTGAAACCATGGTTGGATTTTTCACATAGTTGGACCTCTTGCACTTTTGTACCTGGTTTGGAAATGAGGCTTTGTGACAAACTGTGCAAACATGGGTGGGACCAGCTTTAATGTGTGATCGGAAATCATTTATGGCACTTTCAATAAGTGGGTTTTCACTCTCTCTGTCAGTCTCACATGTTTGTCTACTTATCTGTTTGTATTTCTTTGATATTTTCAATGCACACCTCATTTTATGCATAGTCCTGTATGCAAGATTTGTCTTATACCTGTCTCGCATTAATTGTCTCATCAGCTCTCTGTGTCTGTGACAGAATGTTTCATCGTTTGCATATCGATGATTGATGTAGGATCGCTGTCTTTGCCTGAAATTAACGTCCTCTGAGTATTTTCTCCTGATATATTCTTTTTGTCTGCTTTTAAAATCAACATTTCCCCTGTATTTTTTAGTGATATAGTCTTTTTGTCTGCCTTTAAAATCAACATTTTCCCTGTATTTTTTAGTGATATAGTCTTTTTGTCTGCCTTTGAATACAACATTTTCTCTGTATTTTTTAGTGATATATTCTTTTTGTCTGCCTTTGAATTCAACATTTTCTCTGTATTTTCTTGTTATACATAATTTTTGCTTCAGTCTGAAGTCTGTGCTTTCCCTGTATTTAGTTGTGATCTTTTTTCTTTTCTTTGTCTGTATTTCAGGATTGACAGAATAGTTTTTACTTGAATAAGACTTTTTCTTTGCTTTGTATGTTTCATTCTTAGCATACTTTTCTCTCTCTTTCCTGTTTTTATCTTTTTTCTTTTGTGATGTCTTTTCAGATCTCATTAGTCTCCTCTTAAATTTCAGTTTTCGCTCTTTGCTTAATTTTGACAGTTTAGTGGCGATGTCATGGATAACATTGTCACTGGCAACAGGGATAGTTATAAATGGTTGTGTCAAATTTGATTGTGTCTCTTGAGTTTCCTCTGTGACAGAATTCATGCTGATCTGACCTGATTGATGAGCTTGTATTTCCATCAAAATTGAAACATTCTGTGATGTGTCATTACTTACAGTAGTGAAGTTGATTAGTGGCTCTGGTTCAGTTTCCATGCCATGTTCAGTGTTTTCACGGACAACAGTGTTCATCTGTGGCGCACTTGTGTCATCATTTATCACAGTGGTTGTTACAGAGAGACTTGTGGACGGACTTTCTGTGGCTGGGATAGCATCACTCGGGTTCACATCACAGAACACAACTGGCTTAAGCTCATACTTAGAAGACGCTGCTGTGCCCAATATGTGGTGATACCTGATGAGCCTGTCAATCATGTCACTGAGGCGTGTGAATGTTACCATGACAGCAGTACCAGGATAAGGTGTGGCCTGAAGCAGAGGCAAACCGTTGGCTGTCCGAGCATGTGGGTCAAAGAAACCATACCTGCCATCTCTGGTTCTGAAAACTGCAATACACAGCGAAGTCATTAGCAGCAAAGCATACTGTACATCTGTTGATAAGCAGCTCAGTCCTGAAATGAGGTCCAGAAAGGTATCAACAGCTCCGGGATCCGGATCTCCAAACGTACCGTATCTAGACAGCTGTAACATGTCAACTCTCTGCGTGTGTCTGCGTGCAGGAACCTGGTTAGGGAGCTCATCAGTTGTCAGATGGGCGTGATCAACAGTTTTTCTGATTTCTCTGTACATCGCATTACCTTTATCCAAAACACGGTCCAAATCTGCTCTGGTGATGTTTTCATTCTCATACAGGAATGCTAGAAATGTCAGTGAGTTACAGGTGCACTGCTGGTTTCTGGATTGGCCGTATTTCAGAGACGCTTGGTTGCGTGACGCACAGACGTTTTGTTCACCTGACTGATTAACAGCGTTCATATTTCCTTCCTGAGAAGAGGCTGATAATGACTGATAATTATGATTTCCCTTCTTACCAGTGTCTGCATACGATATCTGAGTTGAACATGCTTCATCAGTTTGGGCTATGTAGTTCACCTGACGAGTGTTGGACGGACCGGCAGTACGTGACACACTAGGAAGTTTTCTCTTTACCATGTCTGCATATGTTACCCGTTGTACACCTGGATCATTACTTTCACCTCTGTGGTTTACCTGTTCAGTGTTAGATGGACCTGCTGCAGGTGACTCACTTACACGTCTCCTCTTAAGCATGTCTGCATGAGATATTTGTGGTTGACATGATGCATTTTCACCTCCCTGTTTCACAGCTTCAGACACCTCAGACCTCTTTACCTCTCCACTGCTCTGAGGAACACCATCTGCTTGTCCAGTACTCACAAAGTCAATGTCATGAACCCTCTGCCAGCGCTGGCTTGCAGCCTGTGACTTCTTACTCTTCCTCGGCATTGTAGGTGTTCTTTAACGTGTTTATGCAACAATTAAAAGTGACAGATAAGCAGCAGTATCGACAAAAATGCTTTATTTCTTCAAGAGAGGATGTTATTTAACAGCTCTTATAGTCTCCAAAAAAAATCTAATTTATAGCTATGTGTATGCCAATAATAGTTTATCAAATGTTTTATAAGAAAATCCTAGGCAAGACTATATAAAGATTAACAGAAAAAACACAAATCAGCAACAATTTGTAAATCTTCAGACTTTGTGCTTGAAATAATATCTAACTCAAATACTCTATATGAAATGTGTTTTTATGTTCTTTCAAAATCAGGGATGCAGATGTGGTTGTGCTGATGACACTTCTTCTGGTGAAATGCTGGATCCACAGACAGGAGAGGAAAACCTAGAACAACAATCAGACTTTTGCAAAATTAGGGATTTTTCAAAATAATGGTTGTATTAGAAGAACAACTGTTTCAAAAGGTTTCTCAAAATGGTGTTTCAAAATGTTTCTCAAAAACGGTTTATCAAAATGTTTCTCAAAAACGGTTTATCAAAATGTTTCTCAAAAACGGTTTATCAAAATGTTTCTCAAAAACGGTTAATCAAAAACGGTTTATCAAAATGTTTCTCAAAAACGGTTAATCAAAAACGGTTTATCTAAAGGCTTCTCAAAAACAGTATCAAAATGTTTCTCAAAAAAGGTTAATCAAAAGGTTTCTCAAAAACAGTTTATCAAAAGGTTTCTCAAAAATGGTGTTACAAAAGGTTTATCAGGAGGTTTCTCAAAAAGGGTTTATCAAAAATGGTTTATAAAGGTTCCTCAAAAATGGTTTATCAAAATGTTTCTCAAAAAGGGTTTAATAAAATGTTTCTCAAAAATGGTGTTTCAAAAGGTTTCTCAATGGAAGCAGTTTCATAAGATGGTTTTTCAATAAAGGCAATTTCAATAGGTTTCTGAAAGGCTTTTATATAGGTTTCTGAAAGGCTTTTATATAGGTTTCTGAAAGGCTTTTATATAGGTTTCTGAAAGGCTTTTATATAGGTTTCTGAAAGGCTTTTATATAGGTTTCTCAAAGGCTTTTATATAGGTTTCTCAAAGGCTTTTATATAGGTTTCTGAAGGCTTGTCAATCAGATAGAGCGGTAGAGAAGACAGGAAAGTCAGAGCAGCCAAAATGTAGCTAGAGGGATAGAGAAAAGGGGGGCAGAAGACAGAGTGGCTTTTCAATTAGATAGAGCGGTAGAGGAGACAGGAAAGTCAGAGCGTCCAAAATTTAGCTAGAGGGATAGAGAAAAGGGGGACACAAGACAGAGTGGCTTTTCAATTAGACAGAGTGGTAGAGAAGACAGGAAAGTCAGAGCGGCCAAAATGATAGGGGAGAGCTGGGAGACTGGACAGGATACCTGTAAGACACAATGGAAACAAACATTAATCTTTTTTTATAAAAGAAATAAAATAAGATGAACTAACATTCACCCAAAGCTAATGTCATTATAATGTGCTTTTACTCAACCCACCAAATGGCTGTCTTTAACTATACATCTATCAAAAGTCAAGTTGAGTCAAAAGCTGGAATTGGCCATTGTCTTCTTAGATAACCCTTCAATAGAATTAATAAGGACTAAGTGTTCATAAGAGTTCATTAAAAATGTATTCAGGAGCTTAAAGTATTTTACAAAAAGATCTTTTATGCCTGCATATTTTACACTCTTCAAAATCATTCAAACTTCCCTTTATAATGTTCATAACCATGTCTTGGTGAGCAATAAAAACAATGGATTACTCTGTTGATGAAATATTAATGTGTTTTGGATAACACAATTTCCTTTTTAGTGTTTAAAGCATTTCTACAATATAGTAAGTTGTAATGAGGCCAAGCAGCTCAGAAGCATGCAAGGTACCTTAGAGGGATAGGGGAGAGTGGGGTAAGATGAGCCATTTTTCATATTCCCGATCACTACATCAAGTCAATCCTAGTTTTGTCTCTAACTAGTGTATCTGCATATATTTCAGGATGTTGTGCATCCCTGCAAACCAACAGAATGAGTGTAAACAGAACTGTCTTGATAACATAGCATGCCAAAAAAAAAAGTGGTCTCTATGGTGAACTTACCCCATGTATGACAGTCACTTCTTCACATTCATGAGTATTTTTATCTATTATATGCTATTCAACTGATACAATAACTCTTTTATTCTTATTCCATATAACTGATAAAAAGCTGTTTTGTAAAAAGTCATTTTAACATGAGAATGCCTTTAAGTGATTCAGAACATTCTCAGCTATATGTCTGAAAAGAAAAAGTAACACATTTCAACAATCTGAACTGAAACTCTGATCCTCTCATCATACTCCTTTAATTTCTCAGTTAAGACACTGGCTCAACTTACCCCAGAACTACTATTATGACTTTATTAGTCCTCTAAGCTAAAATGGTGGACTTTTATGTTGTAGCTCATAGATACAATTGATGGATAAAAGAATTTTAAAACGATCTTTTTTGGTCTGAACACAATTCAATAAAACTTATGACAGACTAAATTCACTTTCAAGACTGAAAAATGTTTTTTGTTTTTTTTTATTAATGTCTAACCCCTTCACAGACTCCATGAATTGATGCCCATCTCCTAAATACTTGGTCATATGATCAATTTGTTTTACCATTTCCAAGCAACAGGGGGTGGCTCAACTTACCCTTCGGCTCAACTTACCCCACTCTCCCCTATACACGTTTGCAAATGTATAATTAAATGACTAATAAAATAATTCAATGGTGGTTTAGATAATAATTGTCTAATTCCATATGAAGGAAAATTAAATGATTTTTTTTTAAATATAAAACATGCACAAAGGAAGGAATCACATTCAATTAGTAATTATTCAAATTTTCATCATTAAAAAATTACAACCCCACAATTTTATAGTAACAAATTGCTACCAATAATTCAATGGTGTTTGTTTCCAACTGTGAGTATTACATAATCAAAGTAAAAAAAATGTTAAGTGAGTACATGATGAGGGGTCTATCATGCGTCGAATAATGTAACAATAAATGTTAATAAATAATAAACTGTGTTACTCATGAAAATGTCATTCCTGTGTTAACTTACGCCGAGTCGCCACAAAGCGGTCTGCACTTGGAGACAGTATCGAGTTGGCAAGAAGGAAAATGGAAAAACAGAGACAAGAGATTTTTAGTTTAATTGTACAAAACCAGCACATCTCACTGCATTGGAATTCCAACTGTGATCAGCCAGCAAAATTATTTACATTTGGTTCTGCATTAGTTAAAATAAAGTGTTATTTAGGTCAGGTTTTTAGATAATGTGTTGCAGTGAAAATATATTTTAAAGTTACTTTATTTGTGAACTTACAGCTGAGTTGCCAACAGTGAACAGGGCCCGCAGTAGAAATAGCGTTGAGGAGTTCAGTAAGAGGGAGAAGACGGAGGGACAAAAAAAATGTAATTTAGTTGCAAAAAATAAAAAATAAAAAATCAGCATCTCAAAGTTTATTGTAATCACAACCGTTTTTCAGTGTGGATCATTAGTTTTCTCATTTCTTATCAAACTCTACAATTTGTCGCACTTGATTAATAAAAGGATGTTACTGCAGCTCCCTTGGCCTGTAAAAAATGTTTGTTAAAATGGAGAGACAATGCACAAACACGATGAAAGACCTCTTTACTTTCTTCTGTATGTTGATGAGGTGAAATACAAAACCGTGATATGTCATTATAAACTACGGAGCAAAAATGTAACATTTGAGTGATTGCTAAATAAGTATACGCAAGTGTGAACTTACACTTCAGAGTTGGTAGGGATTTTCGCCCAGGTCAGAGGACAAGATGAGGCAGGAGGAGGGGGAGAGAGAGGAAGAGATTTTTAATACAGTCAAAAGAGCCTCTCTCACAGCTCACTTCATTTAAAGTACTTTTCCTGAATGATTTTCCCACTTAATTGTCAAAATTAAGATTCAGACTTTCCCTGCAAGTTAAAATGATCCAAAACATTAATTTAGTAGTGTAGTAATATTGTTAGCACAAGGTTGTCTACAAGGAAAAAACTGTATCCCATCTCTATTTCTCATATGGTATATGCAACAGTGTTACACATAGATCAACATTTCATATCACTTTGAACTCAGTATTTGAGAAATGCATCATATATTTTACATTATCTTGAATATCAAGTTGTTCAACAGGATTAAACTTTACATTAATGCGGTTATTTTTATTTTGACTGTTGTTAGTCTTGGTTAAAACACTGATACTTACCAACAAATGCACTGGAGTGGATGTATCTTCTGTTTGTTTGAGACAAGAAACAATACATTAGTGTTGTCTGACAGATAGTACATTAAAAACAATAGGCCTTTTAAGAAAACTAACATTATTACAGTAATTGGACTAATTGAAAACTAAACAGCTCCAACAGATCACCTGGCTGTTAGCTGTAGCTGAAAAAGTCACATAATACATACTGTATTACAGTATTTATACCTCAGATAAAGCATCTTTGCTGTGGTGTTAGCACATCACCAATATCCAAATTAACAGCTTGTGATCAAAGATATGTTAGGTACAGTAGAAGGTGAGGTACAGCAGCAGCCAGTGAGACAGAGACAAACCAGGCACAGGTTCACCAACTTCAAGGCAGCTAAATATCCATTAATTAACTCAATATTAAGAACTTTATAGATCCCTAAAGGGAAATTCAACTGGAATATATTTATTAATTGGAACTTGGTATTGTTAAACATTAAATACTGAATTAATTTTATGTTTTGCAATGTAAATATCTCTATCATCCCCATCATGAATAAAACCTTCAATAATAGAGGACCATCTAGGTCCATTCTGACACACAAAAAAAGAAAAACCACTCACATTTGTGTTATAACTGGATGCTTGCTAAATGCAGCCTATATTTAAATACATCTACAATGGCTGATAAAAAGTGACCAGGAGCTAAACAGCTGACGTCTCCAGACCAGTTCCCCAGCAATGACTCAGTCACAGTAATGAACTGAACCTGTAGCAATGGTACTAGCGTCATTAGTTAGCTAGTTAGTCAGTTAATACTTGACAATATGAGTATTCTTGTCAGTCCCATTGTCAGTAAACTCCACAGCCTGTACATCATTTGGCATGCTTTATAGTAGCGCAGCGGCTTACATATTCACTTCATTTTGTGCTCAGCTGGCTAATGATTCAGCCTCACAGCTGACGGTATGTTAGCTTTAATGTTAGCTCGACGCTAGCGGCGCTAGCTCGACGCTAGCGGCGCTAACTCGACGCTAACAGCGTTAGCGTACGCTTTTTCAACTCATTATCTCGACCACTTCAATCATGAATGAACTCTTCATTGATTATAACTCAAACCAGTGCCATTTGAAACGTTAAATCACAGTTTGAAGTGTTCAGAAGTTAGAGAGACTGTGCTCTGACTCACCTTCGTCGAGGTAGGAGAAGGATAGCGCGAGCCACCCGTAAGTCACGGTAGAAATGTTTGAGGCGTTCAGGGACACTCGGAAATGTCATACTTCACACCACGGAAAGGCAGTCGTTCAATCAATTCATTTTAATTGTTTTCTAGTACTAATAGTAGCAAGACTAGTTTAAGTAGAAGTGATGTAAGTAGTAGTTGTAGAAGTGGAAGTGGGATTTTGGTTGAATAATTGAAATATGCATGAATAGTAAAAATGATTTAAAGTGGGGAAAATATAACTAATAAAAAATCCTAAAGTATTAGAAAGGTTTGAATAAGAATGAGTTTAAATTTATTAGAAGAATTGAAAAATGCACAAATAATGAGTGATTTTAAATTAAGGACAATTTAAATGAATAGAAATCCTCTGTAGACTCCATAATGTCCTCAATGAGCAGAATTTCTGAAGCCCAAAATGTGTCTGTATCTCAAAGTTTGTGAGAGAAGATAGGTGGTGAAGCAGCCACATGGTCAAAGTGTGTTCAGGTCTCATAGACAGAGAGAGACTCACGCATGGACATATTTACTGTGTGTACTTGAAGGTCTCATAGAGAGAAGGAGGCTGACGCACACACATTGGCTGAGTGTGTGTGTAGCTCGTTAATGATTGCATCCTAAACAGCTGTGAGATCAAAGGCAAATCACTGACCTATTGTTTGAATGGAGAAGCAGCTGAACTGCAGTGAATTTAGGGCCCTGAACTTCTTCACATAGCACGATTTCCTTAAATCCCAGAATGAATATAAGAACATCGTACGAATCCTCCGCCCTTCATGAACACAATGATGTGTTTTTCATGTCTGTACTCCGAAAAATGTGGCCACAACAGCGAGTTAAAAAAGTCTGCGCCTGAGTGACGATAAGGATTTTCTTGGAGAAAAATTACATTATGGTCAATGGGAGAGATTTCCGCCTTTTTAGGACAGTAGGTCACCTGCTGGCCAAGGGGTACGATTTAATGATTTGAAACCTCTTTTGTGAGAAGCAGGACACATATACCTCCATTTTGATGTATTATTTATGGCTCTGGAGTGAGATTTGTGGGCGTGGGAGCGATATATTCGAGCGAGGTTCTGTCGATCAGAGACGAGGTCTGCACTCTAGCTGATGACATCATCACTCTAAGCTCTCCAATACACACCCATTATAAAACCTGAAATTTGCTGAAAACCACAAGTTGCTTAAAGCTAAATTGTGGAAAAACTGTAAAAGATATCAAAAAACTGAGTACAACTGTAATAGTCGACAAGTGAATGAACGTTTTAAAGCAAAAATGAGGTCTCTAGGTGAAAGTATGCTGAAGTTATAAGGTCTAGAAGGTGGAAGAATAAAAGGAAGAAGTGGAAGATTTCCCCATTGACTTTAATGTTAAAATTTTTGCACAAAAAGTTCAAAAAAACAAAAAGTATAAAAGGTAGAAAGGTAAAAAATACAAGCACACATGTCCTGAAGGAGTGGAATAGTTTAAAGTTTGAACGGTTCAAATCGCACAAAGTTTGAAGGAGTTGAAAAGCGACAAAAAACGGCGGAAGAATAATAATAATAATAATAATAAAGAAACAGGAGAATAACAATAAGTGGAAATGCTTAATCAGCATTTCCACTTAACTAGAAAAATTGCATTTCCTTGCAGAAAATGCGTGGAAATGCTGAGTGCTGAAAGCTGAAAAAGCAATGCTAAACTGCTAATAAAACATGGAGAAAGGTATAAATGTTAAAGCTGTTGAAGGGGTGTGAAAGAAATGTAAGTTGGATAATTGATTAATTGGTTGAAGGACAAATAGTATGAATATGCTCTATAAAAAGAAATTTCATTCATGCTGAAAGAGGCTAGAAAAATGTCTAAAATTGCACAAAGTTTGAATGAAGAAGGAAATTGCCTTAAAAGGCAGGAAGGTGGGAAGTGGCATAAGTTTAATTTTTTAAGTATTAGAAAGGTTTGAATCAGTTTGAATCAGTTCAAATTAGTTTGAAAAATTAAATGATAAATCATCACTGAGTGACTTTAAAATGTGAAAAATTTAAATGAATATAAATCCTAAATACACCCCATAATGTCCTCAATGAGCTTAAATTTTAAAGCCCTGAATGGTTTCTGTAGGTCAAAGGTCATGTGAGGAGATCGGAGCTGAAGTTTTTTCAAGCGCTCTAGGAAAGGGTTTTAAGTGTCATCCCCAGTGCTATGTGTACTTAGCCTGGCTTCATGTGTCTCATATGGCCATTAGAAGCAGCTTTCCAGTCAGCTGTGTGTCTCCAGGTGCACAAATTGGTTGCCATGGGGACCTTGGATGAATAACTATAGCAGGAGAAAGAAGGCTTGAAGCTAAGGAAACAGGACTCCAAGTAGGCCCTGACACTCATCCTCTGTATAAATTCATAAGGAGCTTGTGAGAACACAAGATTTTGCTGAACACATTAATACAATTTATTATCACAATCCTCAAAACACCCCATAATATCTTCAATGAGCTGAATTTTTCAAGCCCAGAATGGTTTCTGTAGCTCAAAGTTTGTGGGTGGAGATAGGTGGTGAAGCAGACACATATTACCTGTGTGTACAAGCAGGTGAACCGCAAGGTAGACCTGACAATGCAACAAGTACAAGAATGTGTGTGTGTGTGTGTGTGTGTCTCGTTAATGACTGCATCCTGAACAGCTGTGAGATCAAAGGCAAATCACTGACCTACTGTTTGAATGAGAAGCAGCTGAACTGCAGAGGATTTAGAGGCTCTAAACTTCTTCACATAGCGTGATTTCCTTAAGTCACAGAATGAAAATAAGAACATCGTACGAATCCTCCGTCCTTCATGAACACAATGATGTGTTTTTCATGTCTGTACTTCGAAAAATGAGGCCACAACAGCGAGTTAAAAAAGTCTGAGCCTGAGCGATGATCCGGATTTTCTTGGAGAAAAATAACATTATGGTCAATGGGAGAGATTTCCGCCTTCCTTGGACAGTTGGTCACCTGCTGGCCAAGGGGTACGATTTAATGATTTGAAACCTCTTTTGTGAGAAGCAGGACACATATACCTCCATTTTGATGTATTATTTATGGCTGTGGAGTGAGATTTGTGGGCGTGGGAGCGATATATTCAAGCGAGGTTCTGTCGATCAGAGACGAGGTCTGCACTCTAGCTTTTCAAATCATCACTCTAGCCTCTCCAATACACCCCATTATAAAGCCTGAAATTTGCTGAAAACCACAAGTTGCATAAAGCTAAATTGTGGAAAAACTGTAAAAGATAGCACAAAAAGGTTAATACAATATCAATAGTCGACAAGACAATGAACATTTTAAAGCAAAAATGAGGTCTCTAGGTGAAAGTATGCTGAAGTTATAAGGCTTAGAAGGTGGACGAATAACAGGAAGAATTGAAAGATTTCCCCATTCATTTCTATGGGAAAAAAAGTTTGGCACAAAAAGTGAAAAATAATAAAAAGTATAAAGGGTAGAAAAGAGAAAAGTAATAGCCATCATGTCCTGAAGGAGTGGAATAGTTAAAAGTTTGAACGGTTGAAATCGGACAAAGTTTGAAGGAGGAGAAGCGGTCCAAAGAAACGTATGGGGAGAGTGTTAAGTATAATACTAGAAAAATTGCATTTCCTTGCAGAAAATGCGTGGAAATGCTGAGTGCTTAAAGCTGAAAAAGCAATGCTAAACTGCTAATAAAACATGGAGAAAGGTATAAATGTTAAAGCTGTTGAAGGGGTGAAAAAGAAATATAAGTTGGATACCTGTTTAATTGGTTGAAGGACAAATAGTATGACTATGCTCTATAAATGGAAATTTTATTCATGCTGAAAGAGGCTAGAAAAATGTCTAAAATTGCACAAAGTTTGAATGAAGAAGGAAACTGCCTTAAAAGGCAGGAAGGTGAGAAGTGGCATAAGTTTAAGTTGTAGTACTAGAAGTAGTATAAGAGGTCAAGTCGTGATACTAGTAGTTATGTCAGCAGTAGAAGTAGTTTGAGAATAAAAGAAGTATAAGTCACAGTAGTAGAGAAAGTAGAAATAGGAGCAATAGCAGTTGAAGTAGAGGGGAAAGTACTAGTTTAATTGACATTAGCAGTAGTTGTCGTACTTGAGGTAGGATTTTTTTTGAAGGATGGAGTAATGCATAAATATTAAAACTAATTTAAACATGGAAAATTTAAATAATTACATTTCACAAGTATCAGAAAGTTTTGAAGTATTAGAAAGGTTTGAATCAGTTTGAATGAGTTTAAATTAGTTTGAAAAATTAAATGAAAAATCATCACTGAGTGACTTTAAAATGTGAAAAATTTAAATGAAAATAAATCCTAAATACACCCCATAATGTCCTCAATGAGCTTAAATTTTAAAGCCCTGAATGGTTTCTGTAGGTCAAAGGTCATGTGAGGAGATAGGGGCTGAAGTTTTTTCAAGCACTCTAGTAAAGGGTTTTAAGTGTCATCCCCAGTGCTATGTGTGCTGAGCCTGGCTTCATGTGTCTCATATGGCCATTAGAAGCAGCTTTCCAGTCAGCTGTGTGTCTCCAGGTGCACAAATTGGTTGCCATGGGGACCTTGGATGCATAACTATAGCAGGAGAAAGAAGGCTTGAAGCTAAGGAAACAGGACTCCAAGTAGGCCCTGACGCTCATCCTCTGTATCTATTCCTGATAAGGAGCTTGTGAGAACACAAGACTCTGCTGAACACATTAATACAATTTATTATCACAATCCTCAAAACACCCCATAATATCTTCAATGAGCTGAATTTTTCAAGCCCAGAATGGTTTCTGTAGCTCAAAGTTTGTGGGTGGAGATAGGTGGTGAAGCAGACACATATTAACTGTGTGTACAAGCAGCTGAACTGCAAGGTGGACCTCAAAAAGCAACAAGTACAAGAATGTGTGTGTGTGTGTGTGTGTGTGTGTCGTTAATGATTGCATCCTAAACAGCTGTGAGATCAAAGGCAAATCACAGACCTACTGTTTGACTGAGAGGTGCTGAACTGCAGTGAATTTCAGCCTGTGAACTTCTTCACATAGCGTGATTTCCTTAAGTCCCAGAATGAAAATAAGAACATCGTACGAATCCTCCGTCCTTCATGAACACAATGATGTGTTTTTCATGTCTGTACTTGGAAAAATGAGGCCACAACAGCGAGTTAAAAAAGTCTGAGCCTGAGCGATGATCCGGATTTTCTTGGAGAAAAATAACATTATGGTCAATGGGAGAGATTTCCGCCTTCCTTGGACAGTTGGTCACCTGCTGGCCAAGGGGTACGATTTAATGATTTGAAACCTCTTTTGTGAGAAGCAGGACACATATACCTCCATTTTGATGTATTATTTATGGCTGTCAGTGGAGTGAGATTTGTGGGCGTGGGAGCGATATATTCGAGCGAGGTTCTGTCGATCAGAGACGAGGTCTGCACTCTAGCTGATGACATCATCACTCTAAACTCTCCAATACACACCCATTATAAAGCTTGAAATTTGCTGAAAACCACAAGTTGCTTAAAGCTAAATTGTGGAAAAACTGTAAGAGATATCAAAAAACTGAGTACAACTATAATAGTCGACAAGTGAATGAACGTTTTAAAGCAAAAATGAGGTCTCTAGGTGAAAGTATGCTGAAGTTATAAGGTCTAGAAGGTGGAAGAATAAAAGGAAGAAGTGGAAGATTTCCCCATTGACTTTAATGTTAAAATTTTTGCACAAAAAGTTAAAAAAAACAAAAAGTATAAAAGGTAGAAAGGTAAAAAATACAAGCACACATGTCCTGAAGGAGTGGAATAGTTTAAAGTTTGAACGGTTCAAATCGCACAAAGTTTGAAGGAGTTGAAAAGCGACAAAAAACGGCGGAAGAATAATAATAATAATAATAATAAAGAAACAGGAGAATAACAATAAGTGGAAATGCTTAATCAGCATTTCCACTTAATAATAATAATAAAGAAATAGGAGAATAACAATAAGTGGAAATGCTTAATCAGCATTTCCACTTAATAATAAAGAAATAGGAGAATAACAATAAGTGGAAATGCTTAATCAGCATTTCCACTTAATAATAAAGAAATAGGAGAATAACAATAAGTGGAAATGCTTAATCAGCATTTCCACTTAATAAAGAAATAGGAGAATAACAATAAGTGGAAATGCTTAATCAGCATTTCCACTTAATAATAATAATAATAAAGAAATAGGAGAATAACAATAAGTGGAAATGCTTAATCAGCATTTCCACTTAATGACCGCCGCCTACATCAGTGATGACAAAGGTTTTGTTGGGTGAAGGAATCATAAGCAGCCACAGGTGAATTATGTGAATGGCTGGTTGAATTTGCAGTTACCTCTGTAAGGGGCAATGTTTGCTTGGGTGGAGGTAGCAGCGTGACAGTCAGTGTGTCACTGTCCACTGGGGAGAAACATTAGAACATTAGCAGTCATTAGCGAGCTTCACACGCTTAAAGGAGACCTGCTTTACTCAGTTTGACCTTTCTTTGAGTCTGGGACACCTGGAGAGCAGCTCAGCGTGATTTTCAGCTGAAGAACTCCCGATTTATGGCAAACCGACATTTGTGAAAACTCATTTTCAGCACAGTTCAGCTGAGGAAGTTCCCCCCTTTGTAGAAAATGCCAAATGCATCTTCCAGCTTGTGGTTCTGGATCTTCATGGAGGTCTTTCTAGTTCAGCTCCGTGTTAAAGTAACAGCTGAGACTCAGATCATCAGAGGAGTCATCAGTGACGAAGACGACACTGTGAGCCGCCCTGTTAGAGTCAAAGATGATCACCTCTGACACTTTGGACCCAAAACTGTTCTCAGATCTGAGGAGACGTATCTCAGCTGCTCAGAGGACCACTGTGGAGAACGTGCACTAACTAACCTTCACTTAGATGATTGACAGAGAAGGGCGCACCACTGTGACGATGACGACAAAGATCCTTAACGTTAATCTCCGATTTTCTTCTCTCTCCGCTCTGAAAGCCTCATTCCTCTCGTACTAACGCGTACTGTTTGACACCTGTGGTTCAGGTGCTCCTCTGGTCATGAAAAGGTGATTTTATATTTTATACCTCTTCATTTTCACACCTCTGACATGTCTTGAAATCTCTGAATGTGTTCCGCTCTGAGGAGATTCTTCATGATCTCTGTTTCAGAGCTGAATGTCGGTTTAACTCCTCGACTTTTTCTAAGTGGCTTCATGTTTGACGGCTGTTTCTGCAGCTCAAAGGGCAGTTCACCTGTTAACCTGAGATTTTACTCTGTAAACCCAGAGTTTCAGGTGAGACATCAGCATTTTCTCATTTTGATCATGTTTTACATTGTCAAGTAAGTATTTAGTGGCAGTTTGATCCTTTAAAAATTGCTCCTTTCACGCTCAAAAATGAATTTTACTCTCTTATGATGTTCTGTTAAATGATTAGGAATATTATACTAACACAGACTGTCACTCAGTAAACAGAAAGAGGGCAGATGCCAGAAAAACGGCTGGTGGCCCAGCAGCCCCACTTTAACGGAGGCAGAGGAGCTACTTCATTTCTCGATAACTTTTTATGCAATAAACAACTGTAATGTGCATAACTGACCTCTAAATACTGGATTACATTACTTTTGATACTGTGGTGAGATATGCAGCATAGTATAGATGTAGACGTCATTTACACGTATAAATTTATACTTCATTTCAACGTCGGGATTCGGTCTTTATTTAGACATGATTTAGACGTAAAAATTTATACGTCATTTCAACGTCTACATATAGACCGAATCTAGACAATCGATTTTAATCCACAATACAAGAGTTGATTATTTAAAATGATCACTGAGCGTTGCAGAACTCATCTCAATCTATGGGACTACTATCATACTCCGGAGAGTGACGAGTGTTTTCGCCATATCCGGTCAAAACGCATATACGGGAAAAAAAAAAAAAAACAGCAAATTTGGATCTTAAAGCCTGGGTCCTGCTGAGTACTCGACAACAAAGTTGGTCGCTGAAATTCAATTTAATTATTACATTTCATGTGTTTTATCCGTCTCGGTAACGCCGGCTGCCGCCGTGACAATAATCCAGCCACCTTATTGGTGGAGCACGCTCAGGTGACCCACCGTGCAACCACTTCGGCTAGATTCTTACACCACCAAGAGCCAAGTAGTCCGTGATAAAACTTATCGGCATAGCCGCAATACTACGAGATGAGCGACAAAAAAATATTTCGTAGCTCTGCAAGAGCCCAGCTTTACACCCGTATGGAGATTGGACCATAATCGGACATGAAAACGGCTTCAAATTGGGGACCGCACAACATCCGATTCAAGCATTGCGCTTTGTCCACACTCGACCTCACGACCGTCGGACTACGCCGCAAGTTCCAGTCGTGCCACACTTCGAGAGTTAGACTTTCTGCTGAAAACAGGTGGGTGCTGAAGGAGATATTATAGAAAATGCTTATTTTTGCAAGCTTTGGTCCTCACACCGTCGTGCATCTTGATGCGTGACGGTGAAATGCATTCACGGCAAATGTTAAACTCGAGTTCGCATGTAGCCTGGTTGCTACCACGGGGGCTAGCTTGTGGCTAATATAGCCAGCGTGGGCCCAACAGCATCAAATGGTCCATGCTAACGTGTGTTGTCGTGAAAGTAAATAAGGGCCTGCTCTCTCTGTTGGAGCCAAGGTTAAAAGCTGCTAGTTAGGCTTTCCATTTAAATTAGAAAAATGAAGTCTATTTTGATGCCAGTACTGTTGTTTTTGTTTATCCAGTGTTATTTTTTTATATAGCTAAATTTGTGTTTTAACTGTAATTGTCATAGATGGGTTTTTCACTATGTGTGGTAGAAATGGGACGAATTTCTCATTTTGATCATGTTCTACATTGTCAAGTAAGTATCAAGTGGCAGTTTGATCCCTTAAAAATGCTCTTTTCACACTCAAAAATGAATTTTACTCTCTTATGATGTTCTGTTAAATGATTAGGAATATTATACTTACACTTATTTTTCTCCTGATATGTCCTGTGGCATTAGAAAAACGAATATATGCACACGTAGACGACAAGACAAAGTTGATTTTCATCGTAGTGGGTCTGTAAAGGGTAGATAAATGGAATGTTTAGATTTTTTGGGTTGAATTGTTGCTGTGTCGCTTCGTAGAGATGAAGAGATCAGGGAGAAGTGCGGCGAAGACGCCGTTCACTACCTGTCCTTTCAGCGGCACATCATCGGCCTGTTGGTGGTGGTCGGCGTTCTTTCTGTGGGCATCATCCTGCCAGTGAACTTCTCTGGAAACCTACTCGGTAAGTCAGCCGGTGAAAAAACAACCCCAGGATGATTCAGAAAATACAGACGATGAATATTTCACACATCTGTGTGTAAAACTGTGCAGACTTTAACTTTGATTTTTAAGAGACAAAAACAGTAAAAATCAGCAACTTTATGAAGAAGTATGTTCATAAATATTGTGTTGATGTTACAACACTTTTATAAAGAGTCATGTCACTAACAAATGAACGTCTTCTTTCTTTTTTTCTGGATGGTTGAAGGCTAAAGACGGAGGTCTGGCTCAGTCGAACAGGACTCATCAAAATCCACTTCCTCTGCGGCAGATTTAAAGAGCGTGATTATGTTTATAAAATAAGACAAAAAGTTAAAAGAAATTCACGTCAGTCACTTTCGGTTTTTGTGCTTTTTATGACTTTTGTAGTGAGATTAAATAATCAGATATACAGACGGGCGCTCACAGATTTGGAAAGCATCGTCATGAGCGGTTTAAACCTGTTTTTCTTTTATATCAGATGTAAAATATAAGAAATAAAGTAGTTAAAGGTTAAAGATTGAATCCAGTTCTGAAACTCTGAGCCTGTGGCGTTTACAGTTGATGTTTTTTCGTTTCTAACTCAGTGTAGCGACCGCTTTCCTTCAACAAAAAAGGCCGCTGGGGTTTCGGTTCACTTGCATCTGCGACTCGTCAATTCATCAGTCGGGTTTGAGTGTTAAAGGTGATTTATTGTTCGAAAGGGAAAGAAAACACACTGATCCAGGTAAAAAAACTATGATGAAATGAGGGTAAAAGGACAAGTGAAAAAACAGTCAACTGAAAATTATCCGACCTGACCAAAACCCGTTGTTTCAGAGTACAGCCGTGTTTTTAAATCACCCGCAAAACAACCCAAAACCACACCCCTCAGTGTCGATCTCCAGGAGTGACATACCTCTTAGAAATCATCTCCTCAACACGCTCAGTTCAGGTCTTTTATTTTTACATTTTCCGTCCTCTCTAAGTTTCTCCTCTTTTCTTCTTTTTTACAGGCAGGCGTATGAAAACTGTGTCGTCCTGGAAGCTCGTATCTGTTTTAATGTGGATCTCTTCATAAAACTGGACAAGAAGATCCACTCTGGAGCCGTCAACCAGGTGGTGGCCGCTCCTATCCTCTGCCTCTTCTGGCTCCTCTTCTTCCTCACTGTTCGCTTGGGTAAGACGAGGACGCCCCCTGCAGGCTGCCGACGTTAAAACACCTGTTACGATTAGAAAGCAGGTCCAGAAACATTAAACAGTTTTCTCTCCTCTTCAGGGTTCTCAGCGGCAACATCCATGTTCACGGTTATTGTTTTTAAAGTTAAAAAGAAAAAAAATAATTGTTCATTTGTTCTTCTCTTAATCTTTTTCTTCTTCTGATAATTATTATAATTTATTAATTTTGGATGTTTATAAACGGTGTTCTTTTTGTTAAAGTTGTGCATTTTATACCTTTTGTTTTTAATCATTGTTATACTTAAATTTTGTTCTTTGTTACTTACGATCTGATAATTTTTATAATTTATTAATTTTGGATGATGTTCATAAATTGTGTTCTTTTTATTATAGTTGTGCATTTTACACCTTTTTTTTAATCATTGTTATACTTAAATTTTGTTCTTTGTTACTGATGATCTAACCAATGAGTGAAGTTTAAAGAAATTTCAAACCATAAATCTTCTGATTTACTTCATTATTTTGTCTGAAAGTTCTCTTTAGTCTTTGATTTACGAGTATTTTATAGACTCAAAAACAAACAAAAAATAGATAAAAGTATGCTGAAACACATACCTGAAACCTGAAATATTGTCTGTGATTTATTTTTAGATAAACTACAAACAGGAACGAACACAAAAACAACTTTCCGCCTCGTTTTTATTTCACCACTGTGAGGAAGACGCTTTGCGTTGCCAGGGACAACAAACAACAACTTCAAAACAAGAGCGTCAGATAAACCGCAACTTCCGAGGGAAGGCGCCATCTGCCGGTCACTTCATCCTGGGAGGACTCTCTGACTGATGACGCGTTTGCCTGTCGTCCAATGGGCTGCTGCTTTCGACCTTCACTGAACTTGGCTTCTCGTTAGATTGACAACAGGATTGTATTTGATTGATTTTGAATTAACGAGAAAAATTTTGGGATTCCCTTCTCTTGGCTGGTCTAGAGGTGGAGGCCACTGGCTCAGGGGCAGCTGGGTTTGCCTCTTCCTGTGAAAGAAGAATAACTGAAATTGAGTCACAGGATGAGAGAGCATGTGAGCACACTTATCATTCCCAGCAGCAGACCCCATCACCTGTGGAATTTGCCATTGATAAATAACTGCCACAATCTCCCCACCACTGTGAGAACCACTTTAGTAAAGAACAATGACTAAGTTGTACCGGCCATGGTCTCTCTGAGCAGGCTGAGAGTCTCATCATCAATGACCGCCGCCTACATCAGTGATGACAAAGGTTTTGTTGGGTGAAGGAATCATAAGCAGCCACAGGTGAATTATGTGAATGGCTGGTTGAATTTGCAGTTACCTCTGTAAGGGGCAATGTTTGCTTGGGTGGAGGTAGCAGCGTGACAGTCAGTGTGTCACTGTCCACTGGGGAGAAACATTAGAACATTAGCAGTCATTAGCGAGCTTCACACGCTTAAAGGAGACCTGCTTTACTCAGTTTGACCTTTCTTTGAGTCTGGGACACCTGGAGAGCAGCTCAGCGTGATTTTCAGCTGAAGAACTCCCGATTTATGGCAAACCGACATTTGTGAAAACTCATTTTCAGCACAGTTCAGCTGAGGAAGTTCCCCCCTTTGTAGAAAATGCCAAATGCATCTTCCAGCTTGTGGTTCTGGATCTTCATGGAGGTCTTTCTAGTTCAGCTCCGTGTTAAAGTAACAGCTGAGACTCAGATCATCAGAGGAGTCATCAGTGACGAAGACGACACTGTGAGCCGCCCTGTTAGAGTCAAAGATGATCACCTCTGACACTTTGGACCCAAAACTGTTCTCAGATCTGAGGAGACGTATCTCAGCTGCTCAGAGGACCACTGTGGAGAACGTGCACTAACTAACCTTCACTTAGATGATTGACAGAGAAGGGCGCACCACTGTGACGATGACGACAAAGATCCTTAACGTTAATCTCCGATTTTCTTCTCTCTCCGCTCTGAAAGCCTCATTCCTCTCGTACTAACGCGTACTGTTTGACACCTGTGGTTCAGGTGCTCCTCTGGTCATGAAAAGGTGATTTTATATTTTATACCTCTTCATTTTCACACCTCTGACATGTCTTGAAATCTCTGAATGTGTTCCGCTCTGAGGAGATTCTTCATGATCTCTGTTTCAGAGCTGAATGTCGGTTTAACTCCTCGACTTTTTCTAAGTGGCTTCATGTTTGACGGCTGTTTCTGCAGCTCAAAGGGCAGTTCACCTGTTAACCTGAGATTTTACTCAGTAAACCCAGAGTTTCAGGTGAGACATCAGCATTTTCTCATTTTGATCATGTTTTACATTGTCAAGTAAGTATTTAGTGGCAGTTTGATCCTTTAAAAATTGCTCCTTTCACGCTCAAAAATGAATTTTACTCTCTTATGATGTTCTGTTAAATGATTAGGAATATTATACTAACACAGACTGTCACTCAGTAAACAGAAAGAGGGCAGATTCCAGAAAAACGGCTGGTGGCCCAGCAGCCCCACTTTAACGGAGGCAGAGGAGCTACTTCATTTCTCGATAACTTTTTATGCAATAAACAACTGTAATGTGCATAACTGACCTCTAAATACTGGATTACATTACTTTTGATACCGTGGTGAGATATGCAGCATAGTATAGATGTAGACGTCATTTACACGTATAAATTTATACTTCATTTCAACGTCGGGATTCGGTCTTTATTTAGACATGATTTAGACGTAAAAATTTATACGTCATTTCAACGTCTACATATAGACCGAATCTAGACAATCGATTTTAATCCACAATACAAGAGTTGATTATTTAAAATGATCACTGAGCGTTGCAGAACTCATCTCAATCTACGGGACTACTATCATACTCCGGAGAGTGACGAGTGTTTTCGCCATATCCGGTCAAAACGCATATACGGGGAAAAAAAAAACCCAACAACTTTGGATCTTAAAGCCTGGGTCCTGCTGAGTACTCGACAACAAAGTTGGTCGCTGAAATTCAATTTAATTATTACATTTCATGTGTTTTATCCGTCTCGGTAACGCCGGCTGCCGCCGTGACAATAATCCAGCCACCTTATTGGTGGAGCACGCTCACGTGACCCACCGTGCAACCACTTCGGCTAGATTCTTACTCCACCAAGAGCCAAGTAGTCCGTGATAAAACTTATCGGCATAGCCGCAATACTACGAGATGAGCGACAAAAAAATATTTCGTAGCTCCGCAAGAGCCCAGCTTTACACCCGTATGGAGATTGGACCATAATCGGACCATAACATGAAAACGGCTTCAAATTGGGGACCGCACAACATCCGATTCAAGCATTGCGCTTTGTCCACACTCGACCTCACGACCGTCGGACTACGTTGCAAGTTCCCGTCGTGCCACACTTCGAGAGTTAGACTTTCTGCTGAAAACAGGTGGGTGCTGAAGGAGATATTATAGAAAATGCTTATTTTTGCAAGCTTTGGTCCTCACACCGTCGTGCATCTTGATGCGTGACGGTGAAATGCATTCACGGCAAATGTTAAACTCGAGTTCGCATGTAGCCTGGTTGCTACCACGGGGGCTAGCTTGTGGCTAATTTAGCCAGCGTGGGCCCAACAGCATCAAATAGTCCACGCTAACGTGTGTTGTCGTGAAAGTAAATAAGGGCCTGCTCTCTCTGTTGGAGCCAAGGTTAAAAGCTGCTAGTTAGGCTTTCCATTTAAATTAGAAAATGAAGTCTATTTTGATGCCAGTACTGTTGTTTTTGTTTATCCAGTGTTATTTTTTTTATATAGCTAAATTTGTGTTTAACTGTAATTGTCATAGATGGGTTTTTCACTATGTGTGGTAGAAATGGGACGAATTTCTCATTTTGATCATGTTCTACATTGTCAAGTAAGTATTAAGTGGCAGTTTGATCCCTTAAAAATGCTGTTTTCACACTCAAAAATGAATTTTACTCTCTCCACTATAGCAAACCTGGATTCAGAGTGAGTCTTTCTCACACAGATACATCTTGAAAAAGAGGGTTTCATGACAAAGTTAAAAAATTGCCATTAGTTATATTAGAAAATGAAAATATAGTCAGGAATTATAAACAGAAGTGTATTAAATGTTTTCATTTTTCAATGTATGACCTCCAGCCGTCCCCAGCAGAGAAACAGGCTGATCGGTATAGGAGCGGTTTAAGCACCACAGCTTATACCGAGCACCTGGTAGGTGAGATTTAAAGGAGTGAATCCGTCTGGAGAGATTTGTTTCCTCAAACCTAAAACCTCACTGTGGTAACAGTGTGGTAACGTTTTCACGTGTTCCTGACAGGAAGAGGCGGTGAGCTTCTACACCAAACTGGAGGCCCAGCTGAAGGACGACTACAGGAAGGAGAGAGAGAAGGTGAACAGGAAGCCGTTGGGGATGGCCTTCGTCACCTTCCAGAACGAGGCCATAACCGCCATGTAAGGACATTTAAAGTGTTCGATCCTTTATAGATGTGCGTCCTCGTCGTCGATTTGAAACTAACTCTCTGGTCTCTGATTCCTGGTCTTTGGGTTTTCCTCTCAGAATCCTGAAGGACTTCAACGCCTGTAAGTTTCAGGGCTGTCAGTGGCGCCGGGAGCCCAAGATCTCTCAGTTCAGCGGCAAGCTCCACACGCACAACTGGACCGTCGGCATCGAAAAATGAAGTCGAGGGCAAAGTATAAATCATGTCTAAAAATAGACCGAATCCCGACGTTGAAATGAAGTATAAATTTAGACTAGACGTCTAATGTACGTCTTTTGCTCAGTGGGTACACTCAATATTAGACTTTCACTCAGCAAACAGAAAGAGGGCAGATGCCAGAAAAACGGCTGGTGGCCCAGCAGCCCCACGTTAACGGAGGCGTCTGGCATCTGCCCTCTTTCTGTTTGCTGAGTGAAAGTCTAATATTGAGTGTACCCACTGAGCAAAAGACGTACATTAGACGTCTAGTCTAAATTTATACTTCATTTCAACGTCGGGATTCGGTCTATTTTTAGACGTGATTTATACTTTGCCTTCGACTTCATTTTTCGATGTTTGGAGTTTGGACGTTTTCTTCCGCTGGCTTTTTGACACAAGGTTCCTGGATCTTGCGACCGTCAGATTTCAGTGAGTTGATTGAGTTTTGTCTGCGTTCGTTAAAGTTGTTCTTTTAAGTTAAAAATAAAAAATAAAAAATTGTTCATTTGTTGTTCTTTTCCTGTTTTTCTTCTTCTTCTGATAATTATTATAATTTGTTAATTTTGTTTGATGTTTATAAACGGTGTTGTTTTTGTTAAAGTTGTGCATTTTATACCTTTGTTTTTAATCATTGTTATACTTAAATTTTGTTCTTTGTTACTTAGGATCTGATAATTTTTATAATTTATTAATTTTGGATGATGTTCATAAATGGTGTTCTTTTTATTATAGTTGTGCATTTTATACCTTTTTTTTAATCATTGTTATACTTTAATTTTGTTTGTTGTTACTGATGATCCAACCAATGAATAAAGTTAAATTTTTCAAACCATAAATCTTCTGATTTACTTCATAATTTTGTCTGAAAGTTCTCTTTAGTCTTTGATTTATGAGTATTTTATAGACACAAAAACAAACAAAAAATAGATAAAAGTATGCTGAAACACATACCTGAAATGAATTCCCTTCTCTTGGCTGGTCTAGAGGTGGAGGCCACTGGCTCAGGGGCAGCTGGGTTTGCCTCTTCCTGTGAAAGAAGAATAACTGAAATTGAGTCACAGGATGAGAGAGCATGTGAGCACACTTATCATTCCCAGCAGCAGACCCCATCACCTGTGGAATTTGCCATTGATAAATAACTGCCACAATCTCCCCACCACTGTGAGAACCACTTTAGTAAAGAACAATGACTGAGTTGTACCGGCCATGGTCTCTCTGAGCAGGCTGAGAGTCTCATCATCAATGACCGCCGCCTACATCAGTGATGACAAAGGTTTTGTTGGGTGAAGGAATCATAAGCAGCCACAGGTGAATTATGTGAATGGCTGGTTGAATTTGCAGTTACCTCTGTAAGGGGCAATGTTTGCTTGGGTGGAGGTAGCAGCGTGACAGTCAGTGTGTCACTGTCCACTGGGGAGAAACATTAGAACATTAGCAGTCATTAGCGAGCTTCACACGCTTAAAGGAGACCTGCTTTACTCAGTTTGACCTTTCTTTGAGTCTGGGACACCTGGAGAGCAGCTCAGCGTGATTTTCAGCTGAAGAACTCCTGATTTATGGCAAACCGACATTTGTGAAAACTCATTTTCAGCACAGTTCAGCTGAGGAAGTTCCCCCCTTTGTAGAAAATGCCAAATGCATCTTCCAGCTTGTGGTTCTGGATCCTCATGGAGGTCCTTCTAGTTCAGCTCCGTGTTAAAGTAACAGCTGAGACTCAGATCATCAGAGGAGTCATCAGTGACGAAGACGACACTGTGAGCCGCCCTGTTAGAGTCAAAGATGATCACCTCTGACACTTTGGACCAAAAACTGTTCTCAGATCTGAGGAGACGTATCTCAGCTGCTCAGAGGACCACTGTGGAGAACGTGCACTAACTAACCTTCACTTAGATGATTGACAGAGAAGGGCGCACCACTGTGACGATGACGACAAAGATCCTTAACGTTAATCTCCGATTTTCTTCTCTCTCCGCTCTGAAAGCCTCATTCCTCTCGTACTAACGCGTACTGTTTGACACCTGTGGTTCAGGTGCTCCTCTGGTCATGAAAAGGTGATTTTATATTTTATACCTCTTCATTTTTACACCTCTGACATGTCTTGAAATCTCTGAATGTGTTCCGCTCTGAGGAGATTCTTCATGATCTCTGTTTCAGAGCTGAATGTCGGTTTAACTCCTCGACTTTTTCTAAGTGGCTTCATGTTTGACGGCTGTTTCTGCAGCTCAAAGGGCAGTTCACCTGTTAACCTGAGATTTTACTCAGTAAACCCAGAGTTTCAGGTGAGACATCGGCATTTTCTCATTTTGATCATGTTTTACATTGTCAAGTAAGTATTAAGTGGCAGTTTGATCCTTTAAAAATTGCTCCTTTCACGCTCAAAAATGAATTTTACTCTCTTATGATGTTCTGTTAAATGATTAGGAATATTATACTAACACAGACTGTCACTCAGTAAACAGAAAGAGGGCTGATGCCAGAAAAACGGCTGGTGGCCCAGCAGCCCCACTTTAACGGAGGCAGAGGAGCTACTTCATTTTTCGATAACTTTTTATGCAATAAACAACTGTAATGTGCATAACTGACCTCTAAATACTGGATTACATTACTTTTGATACCGTGGTGAGATATGCAGCATAGTATAGATGTAGACGTCATTGACACGTATAAATTTATACTTCATTTCAACGTCGGGATTCGGTCTTTATTTAGACGTGATTTAGACGTAAAAATTTATACGTCATTTCCACGTCTACATATAGACCGAATCTAGACAATCGATTTTAATCCACAATATAAGAGTTGATTATTTAAAATGATCACTGAACGTTGCAGAACTCATCTCAATCTATGGGACTACTATCATACTCCGGAGAGTGACCAGTGTTTTCGCCATATCCGGTCAAAACGCATATACGGGAAGAAAAAAAACAACAACTTTGGATCTTGAAGCCTGGGTCCTGCTGAGTACTCGACAACAAAGTTGGTCGCTGAAATTCAATTTAATTATTACATTTCGTGTGTTTTATCCGTCTCGGTAACGTCGGCTGCCGCCATGACAATAATCCAGCCACCTTATTGGTGGAGCACGCTCACGTGACCCACCGTGCAACCACTTCGGCTAGATTCTTACTCCACCAAGAGCCAAGTAGTCCGTGATAAAACTTATCGGCATAGCCGCAATACTACGAGATGAGCGACAAAAAAAAATATTTGGTAGCTCTGCAAGAGCCCAGCTTAACACCCGTATGGAGATTGGACCATAATCGGACCATAACATGAAAACGGCTTCAAATTGGGGACCGCACAACATCCGATTCAAGCATTGCGCTTTGTCCACACTCGACCTCACGACCGTCGGACTACGCTGCAAGTTCCAGTCGTGCCACACTTCGAGAGTTACACTTTCTGCGGAAAAGAGGTGGGTGCTGAAGGAGATATTATAGAAAATGCTTATTTTTGCAAGCTTTGGTCCTCACACCGTCGTGCATCTTGATGCGTGACGGTGAAATGCATTCACGGCAAATGTTAAACTCGAGTTCGCATGTAGCCTGGTTGCTACCACGGGGGCTAGCTTGTGGCTAATTTAGCCAGCGTGGGCCCAACAGCATCAAATAGTCCACGCTAACGTGTGTTGTCGTGAAAGTAAATAAGGGCCTGCTCTCTCTGTTGGAGCCAAGGTTAAAAGCTGCTAGTTAGGCTTTCCATTTAAATTAGAAAATGAAGTCTATTTTGATGCCAGTACTGTTGTTTTTGTTTATCCAGTGTTATTTTTTTATATAGCTAAATTTGTGTTTAACTGTAATTGTCATAGATGGGTTTTTCACTATGTGTGGTAGAAATGGGACGAATTTCTCATTTTGATCATGTTCTACATTGTCAAGTAAGTATTAAGTGGCAGTTTGATCCCTTAAAAATGCTGTTTTCACACTCAAAAATGAATTTTACTCTCTCCACTATAGCAAACCTGGATTCAGAGTGAGTCTTTCTCACACAGATACATCTTGAAAAAAGAGGGTTTCATGACAAAGTTAAAAAATTGCCATTAGTTATATTAGAAAATGAAAATATAGTCAGGAATTATAAACAGAAGTGTATTAAATGTTTTCATTTTTCAATGTATGACCTCCAGCCGTCCCCAGCAGAGAAACAGGCTGATCGGTATAGGAGCGGTTTAAGCACCACAGCTTATACCGAGCACCTGGTAGGTGAGATTTAAAGGAGTGAATCCGTCTGGAGAGATTTGTTTCCTCAAACCTAAAACCTCACTGTGGTAACAGTGTGGTAACGTTTTCACGTGTTCCTGACAGGAAGAGGCGGTGAGCTTCTACACCAAACTGGAGGCCCAGCTGAAGGACGACTACAGGAAGGAGAGAGAGAAGGTGAACAGGAAGCCGTTGGGGATGGCCTTCGTCACCTTCCAGAACGAGGCCATAACCGCCATGTAAGGACATTTAAAGTGTTCGATCCTTTATAGATGTGCGTCCTCGTCGTCGATTTGAAACTAACTCTCTGGTCTCTGATTCCTGGTCTTTGGGTTTTCCTCTCAGAATCCTGAAGGACTTCAACGCCTGTAAGTTTCAGGGCTGTCAGTGGCGCCGGGAGCCCAAGATCTCTCAGTTCAGCGGCAAGCTCCACACGCACAACTGGACCGTCGGCATCGAAAAATGAAGTCGAGGGCAAAGTATAAATCATGTCTAAAAATAGACCGAATCCCGACGTTGAAATGAAGTATAAATTTAGACTAGACGTCTAATGTACGTCTTTTGCTCAGTGGGTACACTCAATATTAGACTTTCACTCAGCAAACAGAAAGAGGGCAGATGCCAGAAAAACGGCTGGTGGCCCAGCAGCCCCACGTTAACGGAGGCGTCTGGCATCTGCCCTCTTTCTGTTTGCTGAGTGAAAGTCTAATATTGAGTGTACCCACTGAGCAAAAGACGTACATTAGACGTCTAGTCTAAAGTTATACTTCATTTCAACGTCGGGATTCGGTCTATTTTTAGACGTGATTTATACTTTGCCTTCGACTTCATTTTTCGATGTTTGGAGTTTGGACGTTTTCTTCCGCTGGCTTTTTGACACAAGGTTCCTGGATCTTGCGACCGTCAGATTTCAGTGAGTTGATTGAGTTTTGTCTGCGTTCGTTAAAGTTGTTCTTTTAAGTTAAAAATAAAAAATAAAAAATTGTTCATTTGTTGTTCTTTTCCTGTTTTTCTTCTTCTTCTGATAATTATTATAATTTGTTAATTTTGTTTGATGTTTATAAACGGTGTTGTTTTTGTTAAAGTTGTGCATTTTATACCTTTGTTTTTAATCATTGTTATACTTAAATTTTGTTCTTTGTTACTTAGGATCTGATAATTTTTATAATTTATTAATTTTGGATGATGTTCATAAATGGTGTTCTTTTTATTATAGTTGTGCATTTTATACCTTTTTTTTAATCATTGTTATACTTTAATTTTGTTTGTTGTTACTGATGATCCAACCAATGAATAAAGTTAAATTTTTCAAACCATAAATCTTCTGATTTACTTCATAATTTTGTCTGAAAGTTCTCTTTAGTCTTTGATTTATGAGTATTTTATAGACACAAAAACAAACAAAAAATAGATAAAAGTATGCTGAAACACATACCTGAAATGAATTCCCTTCTCTTGGCTGGTCTAGAGGTGGAGGCCACTGGCTCAGGGGCAGCTGGGTTTGCCTCTTCCTGTGAAAGAAGAATAACTGAAATTGAGTCACAGGATGAGAGAGCATGTGAGCACACTTATCATTCCCAGCAGCAGACCCCATCACCTGTGGAATTTGCCATTGATAAATAACTGCCACAATCTCCCCACCACTGTGAGAACCACTTTAGTAAAGAACAATGACTGAGTTGTACCGGCCATGGTCTCTCTGAGCAGGCTGAGAGTCTCATCATCAATGACCGCCGCCTACATCAGTGATGACAAAGGTTTTGTTGGGTGAAGGAATCATAAGCAGCCACAGGTGAATTATGTGAATGGCTGGTTGAATTTGCAGTTACCTCTGTAAGGGGCAATGTTTGCTTGGGTGGAGGTAGCAGCGTGACAGTCAGTGTGTCACTGTCCACTGGGGAGAAACATTAGAACATTAGCAGTCATTAGCGAGCTTCACACGCTTAAAGGAGACCTGCTTTACTCAGTTTGACCTTTCTTTGAGTCTGGGACACCTGGAGAGCAGCTCAGCGTGATTTTCAGCTGAAGAACTCCTGATTTATGGCAAACCGACATTTGTGAAAACTCATTTTCAGCACAGTTCAGCTGAGGAAGTTCCCCCCTTTGTAGAAAATGCCAAATGCATCTTCCAGCTTGTGGTTCTGGATCTTCATGGAGGTCCTTCTAGTTCAGCTCCGTGTTAAAGTAACAGCTGAGACTCAGATCATCAGAGGAGTCATCAGTGACGAAGACGACACTGTGAGCCGCCCTGTTAGAGTCAAAGATGATCACCTCTGACACTTTGGACCAAAAACTGTTCTCAGATCTGAGGAGACGTATCTCAGCTGCTCAGAGGACCACTGTGGAGAACGTGCACTAACTAACCTTCACTTAGATGATTGACAGAGAAGGGCGCACCACTGTGACGATGACGACAAAGATCCTTAACGTTAATCTCCGATTTTCTTCTCTCTCCGCTCTGAAAGCCTCATTCCTCTCGTACTAACGCGTACTGTTTGACACCTGTGGTTCAGGTGCTCCTCTGGTCATGAAAAGGTGATTTTATATTTTATACCTCTTCATTTTTACACCTCTGACATGTCTTGAAATCTCTGAATGTGTTCCGCTCTGAGGAGATTCTTCATGATCTCTGTTTCAGAGCTGAATGTCGGTTTAACTCCTCGACTTTTTCTAAGTGGCTTCATGTTTGACGGCTGTTTCTGCAGCTCAAAGGGCAGTTCACCTGTTAACCTGAGATTTTACTCTGTAAACCCAGAGTTTCAGGTGAGACATCGGCATTTTCTCATTTTGATCATGTTTTACATTGTCAAGTAAGTATTAAGTGGCAGTTTGATCCTTTAAAAATTGCTCCTTTCACGCTCAAAAATGAATTTTACTCTCTTATGATGTTCTGTTAAATGATTAGGAATATTATACTAACACAGACTGTCACTCAGTAAACAGAAAGAGGGCTGATGCCAGAAAAACGGCTGGTGGCCCAGCAGCCCCACTTTAACGGAGGCAGAGGAGCTACTTCATTTTTCGATAACTTTTTATGCAATAAACAACTGTAATGTGCATAACTGACCTCTAAATACTGGATTACATTACTTTTGATACCGTGGTGAGATATGCAGCATAGTATAGATGTAGACGTCATTGACACGTATAAATTTATACTTCATTTCAACGTCGGGATTCGGTCTTTATTTAGACGTGATTTAGACGTAAAAATTTATACGTCATTTCCACGTCTACATATAGACCGAATCTAGACAATCGATTTTAATCCACAATATAAGAGTTGATTATTTAAAATGATCACTGAACGTTGCAGAACTCATCTCAATCTATGGGACTACTATCATACTCCGGAGAGTGACCAGTGTTTTCGCCATATCCGGTCAAAACGGATATACGCGAAGAAAAAAAACAACAACTTTGGATCTTGAAGCCTGGGTCCTGCTGAGTACTCGACAACAAAGTTGGTCGCTGAAATTCAATTTAATTATTACATTTCGTGTGTTTTATCCGTCTCGGTAACGTCGGCTGCCGCCATGACAATAATCCAGCCACCTTATTGGTGGAGCACGCTCACGTGACCCACCGTGCAACCACTTCGGCTAGATTCTTACTCCACCAAGAGCCAAGTAGTCCGTGATAAAACTTATCGGCATAGCCGCAATACTACGAGATGAGCGACAAAAAAAAATATTTGGTAGCTCTGCAAGAGCCCAGCTTTACACCCGTATGGAGATTGGACCATAATCGGACCATAACATGAAAACGGCTTCAAATTGGGGACCGCACAACATCCGATTCAAGCATTGCGCTTTGTCCACACTCGACCTCACGACCGTCGGACTACGCTGCAAGTTCCAGTCGTGCCACACTTCGAGAGTTACACTTTCTGCTGAAAACAGGTGGGTGCTGAAGGAGATATTATAGAAAATGCTTATTTTTGCAAGCTTTGGTCCTCACACCGTCGTGCATCTTGATGCGTGACGGTGAAATGCATTCACGGCAAATGTTAAACTCGAGTTCGCATGTAGCCTGGTTGCTACCACGGGGGCTAGCTTGTGGCTAATTTAGCCAGCGTGGGCCCAACAGCATCAAATAGTCCACGCTAACGTGTGTTGTCGTGAAAGTAAATAAGGGCCTGCTCTCTCTGTTGGAGCCAAGGTTAAAAGCTGCTAGTTAGGCTTTCCATTTAAATTAGAAAATGAAGTCTATTTTGATGCCAGTACTGTTGTTTTTGTTTATCCAGTGTTATTTTTTTATATAGCTAAATTTGTGTTTAACTGTAATTGTCATAGATGGGTTTTTCACTATGTGTGGTAGAAATGGGACGAATTTCTCATTTTGATCATGTTCTACATTGTCAAGTAAGTATTAAGTGGCAGTTTGATCCCTTAAAAATGCTGTTTTCACACTCAAAAATGAATTTTACTCTCTCCACTATAGCAAACCTGGATTCAGAGTGAGTCTTTCTCACACAGATACATCTTGAAAAAAGAGGGTTTCATGACAAAGTTAAAAAATTGCCATTAGTTATATTAGAAAATGAAAATATAGTCAGGAATTATAAACAGAAGTGTATTAAATGTTTTCATTTTTCAATGTATGACCTCCAGCCGTCCCCAGCAGAGAAACAGGCTGATCGGTATAGGAGCGGTTTAAGCACCACAGCTTATACCGAGCACCTGGTAGGTGAGATTTAAAGGAGTGAATCCGTCTGGAGAGATTTGTTTCCTCAAACCTAAAACCTCACTGTGGTAACAGTGTGGTAACGTTTTCACGTGTTCCTGACAGGAAGAGGCGGTGAGCTTCTACACCAAACTGGAGGCCCAGCTGAAGGACGACTACAGGAAGGAGAGAGAGAAGGTGAACAGGAAGCCGTTGGGGATGGCCTTCGTCACCTTCCAGAACGAGGCCATAACCGCCATGTAAGGACATTTAAAGTGTTCGATCCTTTATAGATGTGCGTCCTCGTCGTCGATTTGAAACTAACTCTCTGGTCTCTGATTCCTGGTCTTTGGGTTTTCCTCTCAGAATCCTGAAGGACTTCAACGCCTGTAAGTTTCAGGGCTGTCAGTGGCGCCGGGAGCCCAAGATCTCTCAGTTCAGCGGCAAGCTCCACACGCACAACTGGACCGTCGGCATCGAAAAATGAAGTCGAGGGCAAAGTATAAATCATGTCTAAAAATAGACCGAATCCCGACGTTGAAATGAAGTATAAATTTAGACTAGACGTCTAATGTACGTCTTTTGCTCAGTGGGTACACTCAATATTAGACTTTCACTCAGCAAACAGAAAGAGGGCAGATGCCAGAAAAACGGCTGGTGGCCCAGCAGCCCCACGTTAACGGAGGCGTCTGGCATCTGCCCTCTTTCTGTTTGCTGAGTGAAAGTCTAATATTGAGTGTACCCACTGAGCAAAAGACGTACATTAGACGTCTAGTCTAAATTTATACTTCATTTCAACGTCGGGATTCGGTCTATTTTTAGACGTGATTTATACTTTGCCTTCGACTTCATTTTTCGATGTTTGGAGTTTGGACGTTTTCTTCCGCTGGCTTTTTGACACAAGGTTCCTGGATCTTGCGACCGTCAGATTTCAGTGAGTTGATTGAGTTTTGTCTGCGTTCGTTAAAGTTGTTCTTTTAAGTTAAAAATAAAAAATAAAAAATTGTTCATTTGTTGTTCTTTTCCTGTTTTTCTTCTTCTTCTGATAATTATTATAATTTGTTAATTTTGTTTGATGTTTATAAACGGTGTTGTTTTTGTTAAAGTTGTGCATTTTATACCTTTGTTTTTAATCATTGTTATACTTAAATTTTGTTCTTTGTTACTTAGGATCTGATAATTTTTATAATTTATTAATTTTGGATGATGTTCATAAATGGTGTTTTTTTTATTATAGTTGTGCATTTTATACCTTTTTTTTAATCATTGTTATACTTTAATTTTGTTTGTTGTTACTGATGATCCAACCAATGAATAAAGTTAAATTTTTCAAAACCATAAATCTTCTGATTTACTTCATAATTTTGTCTGAAAGTTCTCTTTAGTCTTTGATTTATGAGTATTTTATAGACACAAAAACAAACAAAAAATAGATAAAAGTATGCTGAAACACATACCTGAAATGAATTCCCTTCTCTTGGCTGGTCTAGAGGTGGAGGCCACTGGCTCAGGGGCAGCTGGGTTTGCCTCTTCCTGTGAAAGAAGAATAACTGAAATTGAGTCACAGGATGAGAGAGCATGTGAGCACACTTATCATTCCCAGCAGCAGACCCCATCACCTGTGGAATTTGCCATTGATAAATAACTGCCACAATCTCCCCACCACTGTGAGAACCACTTTAGTAAAGAACAATGACTGAGTTGTACCGGCCATGGTCTCTCTGAGCAGGCTGAGAGTCTCATCATCAATGACCGCCGCCTACATCAGTGATGACAAAGGTTTTGTTGGGTGAAGGAATCATAAGCAGCCACAGGTGAATTATGTGAATGGCTGGTTGAATTTGCAGTTACCTCTGTAAGGGGCAATGTTTGCTTGGGTGGAGGTAGCAGCGTGACAGTCAGTGTGTCACTGTCCACTGGGGAGAAACATTAGAACATTAGCAGTCATTAGCGAGCTTCACACGCTTAAAGGAGACCTGCTTTACTCAGTTTGACCTTTCTTTGAGTCTGGGACACCTGGAGAGCAGCTCAGCGTGATTTTCAGCTGAAGAACTCCTGATTTATGGCAAACCGACATTTGTGAAAACTCATTTTCAGCACAGTTCAGCTGAGGAAGTTCCCCCCTTTGTAGAAAATGCCAAATGCATCTTCCAGCTTGTGGTTCTGGATCTTCATGGAGGTCCTTCTAGTTCAGCTCCGTGTTAAAGTAACAGCTGAGACTCAGATCATCAGAGGAGTCATCAGTGACGAAGACGACACTGTGAGCCGCCCTGTTAGAGTCAAAGATGATCACCTCTGACACTTTGGACCCAAAACTGTTCTCAGATCTGAGGAGACGTATCTCAGCTGCTCAGAGGACCACTGTGGAGAACGTGCACTAACTAACCTTCACTTAGATGATTGACAGAGAAGGGCGCACCACTGTGACGATGACGACAAAGATCCTTAACGTTAATCTCCGATTTTCTTCTCTCTCCGCTCTGAAAGCCTCATTCCTCTCGTACTAACGCGTACTGTTTGACACCTGTGGTTCAGGTGCTCCTCTGGTCATGAAAAGGTGATTTTATATTTTATACCTCTTCATTTTTACACCTCTGACATGTCTTGAAATCTCTGAATGTGTTCCGCTCTGAGGAGATTCTTCATGATCTCTGTTTCAGAGCTGAATGTCGGTTTAACTCCTCGACTTTTTCTAAGTGGCTTCATGTTTGACGGCTGTTTCTGCAGCTCAAAGGGCAGTTCACCTGTTAACCTGAGATTTTACTCAGTAAACCCAGAGTTTCAGGTGAGACATCGGCATTTTCTCATTTTGATCATGTTTTACATTGTCAAGTAAGTATTAAGTGGCAGTTTGATCCTTTAAAAATTGCTCCTTTCACGCTCAAAAATGAATTTTACTCTCTTATGATGTTCTGTTAAATGATTAGGAATATTATACTAACACAGACTGTCACTCAGTAAACAGAAAGAGGGCTGATGCCAGAAAAACGGCTGGTGGCCCAGCAGCCCCACTTTAACGGAGGCAGAGGAGCTACTTCATTTTTCGATAACTTTTTATGCAATAAACAACTGTAATGTGCATAACTGACCTCTAAATACTGGATTACATTACTTTTGATACCGTGGTGAGATATGCAGCATAGTATAGATGTAGACGTCATTTACACGTATAAATTTATACTTCATTTCAACGTCGGGATTCGGTCTTTATTTAGACGTGATTTAGACGTAAAAATTTATACGTCATTTCCACGTCTACATATAGACCGAATCTAGACAATCGATTTTAATCCACAATATAAGAGTTGATTATTTAAAATGATCACTGAACGTTGCAGAACTCATCTCAATCTATGGGACTACTATCATACTCCGGAGAGTGACCAGTGTTTTCGCCATATCCGGTCAAAACGCATATACGGGAAGAAAAAAAACAACAACTTTGGATCTTGAAGCCTGGGTCCTGCTGAGTACTCGACAACAAAGTTGGTCGCTGAAATTCAATTTAATTATTACATTTCGTGTGTTTTATCCGTCTCGGTAACGTCGGCTGCCGCCATGACAATAATCCAGCCACCTTATTGGTGGAGCACGCTCACGTGACCCACCGTGCAACCACTTCGGCTAGATTCTTACTCCACCAAGAGCCAAGTAGTCCGTGATAAAACTTATCGGCATAGCCGCAATACTACGAGATGAGCGACAAAAAAATATTTGGTAGCTCTGCAAGAGCCCAGCTTAACACCCGTATGGAGACTGGACCATAATCGGACCATAACATGAAAACGGCTTCAAATTGGGGACCGCACAACATCCGATTCAAGCATTGCGCTTTGTCCACACTCGACCTCACGACCGTCGGACTACGCTGCAAGTTCCAGTCGTGCCACACTTCGAGAGTTACACTTTCTGCGGAAAAGAGGTGGGTGCTGAAGGAGATATTATAGAAAATGCTTATTTTTGCAAGCTTTGGTCCTCACACCGTCGTGCATCTTGATGCGTGACGGTGAAATGCATTCACGGCAAATGTTAAACTCGAGTTCGCATGTAGCCTGGTTGCTACCACGGGGGCTAGCTTGTGGCTAATTTAGCCAGCGTGGGCCCAACAGCATCAAATAGTCCACGCTAACGTGTGTTGTCGTGAAAGTAAATAAGGGCCTGCTCTCTCTGTTGGAGCCAAGGTTAAAAGCTGCTAGTTAGGCTTTCCATTTAAATTAGAAAATCAAGTCTATTTTGATGCCAGTACTGTTGTTTTTGTTTATCCAGTGTTATTTTTTTATATAGCTAAATTTGTGTTTTAACTGTAATTGTCATAGATGGGTTTTTCACTATGTGTGGTAGAAATGGGACGAATTTCTCATTTTGATCATGTTCTACATTGTCAAGTAAGTATTAAGTGGCAGTTTGATCCCTTAAAAATGCTGTTTTCACACTCAAAAATGAATTTTACTCTCTCCACTATAGCAAACCTGGATTCAGAGTGAGTCTTTCTCACACAGATACATCTTGAAAAAAGAGGGTTTCATGACAAAGTTAAAAAATTGCCATTAGTTATATTAGAAAATGAAAATATAGTCAGGAATTATAAACAGAAGTGTATTAAATGTTTTCATTTTTCAATGTATGACCTCCAGCCGTCCCCAGCAGAGAAACAGGCTGATCGGTATAGGAGCGGTTTAAGCACCACAGCTTATACCGAGCACCTGGTAGGTGAGATTTAAAGGAGTGAATCCGTCTGGAGAGATTTGTTTCCTCAAACCTAAAACCTCACTGTGGTAACAGTGTGGTAACGTTTTCACGTGTTCCTGACAGGAAGAGGCGGTGAGCTTCTACACCAAACTGGAGGCCCAGCTGAAGGACGACTACAGGAAGGAGAGAGAGAAGGTGAACAGGAAGCCGTTGGGGATGGCCTTCGTCACCTTCCAGAACGAGGCCATAACCGCCATGTAAGGACATTTAAAGTGTTCGATCCTTTATAGATGTGCGTCCTCGTCGTCGATTTGAAACTAACTCTCTGGTCTCTGATTCCTGGTCTTTGGGTTTTCCTCTCAGAATCCTGAAGGACTTCAACGCCTGTAAGTTTCAGGGCTGTCAGTGGCGCCGGGAGCCCAAGATCTCTCAGTTCAGCGGCAAGCTCCACACGCACAACTGGACCGTCGGCATCGAAAAATGAAGTCGAGGGCAAAGTATAAATCATGTCTAAAAATAGACCGAATCCCGACGTTGAAATGAAGTATAAATTTAGACTAGACGTCTAATGTACGTCTTTTGCTCAGTGGGTACACTCAATATTAGACTTTCACTCAGCAAACAGAAAGAGGGCAGATGCCAGAAAAACGGCTGGTGGCCCAGCAGCCCCACGTTAACGGAGGCGTCTGGCATCTGCCCTCTTTCTGTTTGCTGAGTGAAAGTCTAATATTGAGTGTACCCACTGAGCAAAAGACGTACATTAGACGTCTAGTCTAAATTTATACTTCATTTCAACGTCGGGATTCGGTCTATTTTTAGACGTGATTTATACTTTGCCTTCGACTTCATTTTTCGATGTTTGGAGTTTGGACGTTTTCTTCCGCTGGCTTTTTGACACAAGGTTCCTGGATCTTGCGACCGTCAGATTTCAGTGAGTTGATTGAGTTTTGTCTGCGTTCGTTAAAGTTGTTCTTTTAAGTTAAAAATAAAAAATAAAAAATTGTTCATTTGTTGTTCTTTTCCTGTTTTTCTTCTTCTTCTGATAATTATTATAATTTGTTAATTTTGTTTGATGTTTATAAACGGTGTTGTTTTTGTTAAAGTTGTGCATTTTATACCTTTGTTTTTAATCATTGTTATACTTAAATTTTGTTCTTTGTTACTTAGGATCTGATAATTTTTATAATTTATTAATTTTGGATGATGTTCATAAATGGTGTTCTTTTTATTATAGTTGTGCATTTTATACCTTTTTTTTAATCATTGTTATACTTTAATTTTGTTTGTTGTTACTGATGATCCAACCAATGAATAAAGTTAAATTTTTAAAACCATAAATCTTCTGATTTACTTCATAATTTTGTCTGAAAGTTCTCTTTAGTCTTTGATTTATGAGTATTTTATAGACACAAAAACAAACAAAAAATAGATAAAAGTATGCTGAAACACATACCTGAAATGAATTCCCTTCTCTTGGCTGGTCTAGAGGTGGAGGCCACTGGCTCAGGGGCAGCTGGGTTTGCCTCTTCCTGTGAAAGAAGAATAACTGAAATTGAGTCACAGGATGAGAGAGCATGTGAGCACACTTATCATTCCCAGCAGCAGACCCCATCACCTGTGGAATTTGCCATTGATAAATAACTGCCACAATCTCCCCACCACTGTGAGAACCACTTTAGTAAAGAACAATGACTAAGTTGTACCGGCCATGGTCTCTCTGAGCAGGCTGAGAGTCTCATCATCAATGACCGCCGCCTACATCAGTGATGACAAAGGTTTTGTTGGGTGAAGGAATCATAAGCAGCCACAGGTGAATTATGTGAATGGCTGGTTGAATTTGCAGTTACCTCTGTAAGGGGCAATGTTTGCTTGGGTGGAGGTAGCAGCGTGACAGTCAGTGTGTCACTGTCCACTGGGGAGAAACATTAGAACATTAGCAGTCATTAGCGAGCTTCACACGCTTAAAGGAGACCTGCTTTACTCAGTTTGACCTTTCTTCGAGTCTGGGACACCTGGAGAGCAGCTCAGCGTGATTTTCAGCTGAAGAACTCCTGATTTATGGCAAACCGACATTTGTGAAAACTCATTTTCAGCACAGTTCAGCTGAGGAAGTTCCCCCCTTTGTAGAAAATGCCAAATGCATCTTCCAGCTTGTGGTTCTGGATCTTCATGGAGGTCTTTCTAGTTCAGCTCCGTGTTAAAGTAACAGCTGAGACTCAGATCATCAGAGGAGTCATCAGTGACGAAGACGACACTGTGAGCCGCCCTGTTAGAGTCAAAGATGATCACCTCTGCCACTTTGGACCCAAAACTGTTCTCAGATCTGAGGAGACGTATCTCAGCTGATCAGAGGACCACTGTGGAGAACGTGCACTAACTAACCTTCACTTAGATGATTGACAGAGAAGGGCGCACCACTGTGACGATGACGACAAAGATCCTTAACGTTAATCTCCGATTTTCTTCTCTCTCCGCTCTGAAAGCCTCATTCCTCTCGTACTAACGCGTACTGTTTGACACCTGTGGTTCAGGTGCTCCTCTGGTCATGAAAAGGTGATTTTATATTTTATACCTCTTCATTTTTACACCTCTGACATGTCTTGAAATCTCTGAATGTGTTCCGCTCTGAGGAGATTCTTCATGATCTCTGTTTCAGAGCTGAATGTCGGTTTAACTCCTCGACTTTTTCTAAGTGGCTTCATGTTTGACGGCTGTTTCTGCAGCTCAAAGGGCAGTTCACCTGTTAACCTGAGATTTTACTCAGTAAACCCAGAGTTTCAGGTGAGACATCGGCATTTTCTCATTTTGATCATGTTTTACATTGTCAAGTAAGTATTAAGTGGCAGTTTGATCCTTTAAAAATTGCTCCTTTCACGCTCAAAAATGAATTTTACTCTCTTATGATGTTCTGTTAAATGATTAGGAATATTATACTAACACAGACTGTCACTCAGTAAACAGAAAGAGGGCAGATGCCAGAAAAACGGCTGGTGGCCCAGCAGCCCCACTTTAACGGAGGCAGAGGAGCTACTTCATTTTTCGATAACTTTTTATGCAATAAACAACTGTAATGTGCATAACTGACCTCTAAATACTGGATTACATTACTTTTGATACCGTGGTGAGATATGCAGCATAGTATAGATGTAGACGTCATTGACACGTATAAATTTATACTTCATTTCAACGTCGGGATTCGGTCTTTATTTAGACGTGATTTAGACGTAAAAATTTATACGTCATTTCCACGTCTACATATAGACCGAATCTAGACAATCGATTTTAATCCACAATATAAGAGTTGATTATTTAAAATGATCACTGAACGTTGCAGAACTCATCTCAATCTATGGGACTACTATCATACTCCGGAGAGTGACCAGTGTTTTCGCCATATCTGGTCAAAACGCATATACGGGAAGAAAAAAAACAACAACTTTGGATCTTGAAGCCTGGGTCCTGCTGAGTACTCGACAACAAAGTTGGTCGCTGAAATTCAATTTAATTATTACATTTCGTGTGTTTTATCCGTCTCGGTAACGTCGGCTGCCGCCATGACAATAATCCAGCCACCTTATTGGTGGAGCACGCTCACGTGACCCACCGTGCAACCACTTCGGCTAGATTCTTACTCCACCAAGAGCCAAGTAGTCCGTGATAAAACTTATCGGCATAGCCGCAATACTACGAGATGAGCGACAAAAAAAAATATTTGGTAGCTCTGCAAGAGCCCAGCTTAACACCCGTATGGAGATTGGACCATAATCGGACCATAACATGAAAACGGCTTCAAATTGGGGACCGCACAACATCCGATTCAAGCATTGCGCTTTGTCCACACTCGACCTCACGACCGTCGGACTACGCTGCAAGTTCCAGTCGTGCCACACTTCGAGAGTTACACTTTCTGCGGAAAAGAGGTGGGTGCTGAAGGAGATATTATAGAAAATGCTTATTTTTGCAAGCTTTGGTCCTCACACCGTCGTGCATCTTGATGCGTGACGGTGAAATGCATTCACGGCAAATGTTAAACTCGAGTTCGCATGTAGCCTGGTTGCTACCACGGGGGCTAGCTTGTGGCTAATTTAGCCAGCGTGGGCCCAACAGCATCAAATAGTCCACGCTAACGTGTGTTGTCGTGAAAGTAAATAAGGGCCTGCTCTCTCTGTTGGAGCCAAGGTTAAAAGCTGCTAGTTAGGCTTTCCATTTAAATTAGAAAATGAAGTCTATTTTGATGCCAGTACTGTTGTTTTTGTTTATCCAGTGTTATTTTTTTATATAGCTAAATTTGTGTTTAACTGTAATTGTCATAGATGGGTTTTTCACTATGTGTGGTAGAAATGGGACGAATTTCTCATTTTGATCATGTTCTACATTGTCAAGTAAGTATTAAGTGGCAGTTTGATCCCTTAAAAATGCTGTTTTCACACTCAAAAATGAATTTTACTCTCTCCACTATAGCAAACCTGGATTCAGAGTGAGTCTTTCTCACACAGATACATCTTGAAAAAAGAGGGTTTCATGACAAAGTTAAAAAATTTCCATTAGTTATATTAGAAAATGAAAATATAGTCAGGAATTATAAACAGAAGTGTATTAAATGTTTTCATTTTTCAATGTATGACCTCCAGCCGTCCCCAGCAGAGAAACAGGCTGATCGGTATAGGAGCGGTTTAAGCACCACAGCTTATACCGAGCACCTGGTAGGTGAGATTTAAAGGAGTGAATCCGTCTGGAGAGATTTGTTTCCTCAAACCTAAAACCTCACTGTGGTAACAGTAGGATGTCTCTGCTACTCCCTTAGCTGTCCTTTATGGGTCTGAACCGACTTGAGGACGGGCAGCAGAACGGAGGTGTGGATGGATACCTGCCTCAGGACGCCTGGCACAGACTGGCACAGAGAGCACAGAGCTGTTTCAGGAGGGCGCCCTCCTTCCACTTCATGTGAGCGCTTCGGTGTGTTGTGACCCTGTTAGACTAATAACACACACCTTTGATCGGAAAAGCATCATGCAGATACCACAGGATGGAATATAGATGTTTGTTTGGAGAGGGAGGTGGAGTGTAAATCACTCAAACCTCCTGCTGTCTCGTTTTGTCACAGTTTTTTTTTAAACTTATTTGTGTAGTCCAAACAGATCTGCTCCCATAGTTTGTATTTTCTCCGGGTTATAACTGTCCCTAAATCGCGGCCTCTCTCTCTTCTTTCCCTCAGGAGGGGCTCGTTCCACGCAGAACGTTAAACGTTTCCTGTTAACGTTTCTCTATTTCTCCCTCAGCTACATCACCAATATCATACTATGAGTTCGTCATTGACCCAGACTCGTTCTCCCGGACGGTGGAGAACATTTTCCACACATCTTTTCTGATCAGGGTGAGCTGCATGTGCCTCATGAACTGGTTCAGATTTGTTGAAGTGGGCTGTCTGACGTACTTCTGAATGGTTTTAACTGCATTACCTGTTAGTCGGAGCACCAACATCAGGGTCTAAACTCTCTGCTTTCATGAGTATTGTCTGGAAAAGTTACTTGAGTCACTTTAGAATGAAATTCCATCCAGAAATATTGACAGGTCTTCAAGTCTTTGCTGTACTTGCGAACATCATCAGCTCTTTATCTCAGTCTCACTACTTTTACTGAATTTTACAACATCTAATTCACACATCGTGGAGTTCTCCTCCCAGTTAGATCCCGCCTCTCTAAAGACGAGCTGACTGTATTCTGGTGAAGGTGTTTCACTCTGTCTAGACCTGGAGTCTCATGGGACTCCACTTACAAAAATCTAGACCAGCTCCTGGAGTTTATTTTAATGGAGCTTGTCCGCCCTCTCGTGGCTGTCAGTGAGTATGACAGTGTTGTTTCTGTTGTTGCAGGATGGTTTGGCACGGATGTATCTGGATGAAGATAAGCTGCCTTGTATAGGTGAGGATGGTTTTTGTTATTTATGTAGATATTCGGAAAGCTGCCTGACTTCAGGAGAGTATTTTTAACCCGTGTTGTTTTTTTTTTCGTTTCTCAGCGCCCGTAGAGGAGGGGGAGGCAGAGGCTGCAGAATCATCCAACCGTAAACAGGGCATTGTGTCCATCAACCCAAAGATATGGAAGGTTTGCTCAAAGAGGACTAAATCTGTTAAAAAGACAAAGAGGAAAACAAGAAATTCAAGTTATATGGGGTTCAAAACTTAACTGTGATCGTTTTTGTTTCCAGGAGCTCATAGACGCCTTCGACATCACGGCCACCATGATTCCTCAGAGCGAGTGACCATGCTGGTGCAGAAACAGAGTTTTTTAAGTGAAGCCCTGCTTTTTTACATTTGTTAATAATATTGTCAAACTATTCCTTAGATTCAGGGCCTGGTATGTACATTTTATTTTAATTTTTTACTGTTTTTAGGAGATTAAATAATAAAAGGAGAAGGAGACAGTGTTTGTATTTGTCCCACATGTTTTAAACATACAGCTGAACATTACTGATATCACATTTTACCATGTAGAAAGTCCTATATTTAATATTCGTCATATTGAGATGGTTACACAGAAGACGTTTGTCAATAAAAAGAAAATGAGTGAAGTCAGAGAAATGTAATTGTTGGAGGTCTTCCCGGAAGCAGATGTTGCTCCTAAACCTTTAGATATAGTTCAGCATTAATGGAACCTTCACAGATAATGAAGACACCCAGGACCATCAGGGATTCTGGATTTGGACTGAGAGGACAGTATTGTAGACAGGTGGTCTGGTTGCAGGGTTCAAGATTTCCATAAAGACTGTCTCATTAACCCACAGGACAGTTTTTGTTTTCTTCTGCATAATTCAGCTTTAACCTATGTTTGTGGATTCAGCTGTTTCAGTGGTAAGTTGGGTTTTAATCCATCTTAAACCTTGAAATTCATCTGGATGTAAGACTTATTTTTTCAGCTGTTATAGCAAAGTGAAGCTATATACAGTATATGTATGTATAAAAACTTTAGCGCCAGTTATACCCCTTACACTATGGGGTTAGCTTAGCTCGCTAGCTTGTTAGCTAACGTTAGCTGATACTTGAGGCCTGGTTTAACAGCAGTAGTGGTAGTTTTAGTACTTGTTTAAATGCCGAAAGTAGAGTTATATTCTGTTCGAATCTTTCTGTCTGTAAGTGGATACGTGTTTTATTTCCGAAAATACAGGTTAGAGTCAGCTATAAACTGAAATTAATCGACTAAATTGAAGTTAAGCTTAAACAATTCCCTGAAACGTGACGGTTGAAGGTTAATGAAGTTAAACTGCGCTGTAGTTTCCCCCCTGCTGAGATAAAATTGAGTTTTAAGGATATTTCTTTCATGAAAATTAAGCTTGAAGATAAAATAAGAGCTTAACTCATCTCCAAAGGGAAACTGAATAAGTAAAAAAGTCGCTCAGGTCATTTTATTCATAACAAGTTTTGAACAATGTAGAAATTTATATTAGCATGACACACTAATGCAGTATGCATTATGTCTCATTTGTTAGAGGTATCTGATATTTATTATTTTGATGTACTTTAAGATATAATTTCACAGCAGGAAAAATTAGAACATTTTATTAATCTGCTTCTGTTATAAAAAATGTAATAATAGAAATGTTGATTCTGTAGATTTATCTCAAGATAGGGAGATCATTGTAATTTCAGGGTTATACTGTATTTCTAATGACTTTATAATAGCTTTACATTATTAACAGTAAAAAAATATATATATATTGATGGTTGATGTTCTAACCCTTATTATTCATGTACTGTCTCTTAAAAAACAGCCATCTAGAAGCATCCTCCACTGCTGGCAGGCTACAAACTCAGTCTAATTGTATTCTAATGTATTTATTATTCATTATTGCTGTTATTATAAATTTTTGTTTAGGGCACATATGTGGATTCAGCGCCCAATTGTTGTTTGCTGTTGGGAAGTTTGACATGTTTTTCTTCACCTTAAACTTTTAAATATGTCCACATGTTTTGGACCCTAAATTGTACCTGGAGATGTTGGAAAAGGAAAAAACAACCAAAATGTCAAAGAACAGAGCAGGATGTTTCTGTTTGGAAAGTGTTTTTTTTTTCTGCTCTTTTAGCTTGATGAAAGATGCAGACTATTGAGGAACCTGTACCAAAAATCTCATATCCAGCTCTCATGATTTCTGCATGTCGCACTTTTCTCTCTGCAGTGTTAAACTCTGGTGTTTCTGCTCATGTTAATGTGGGATCAGAGTGGAGAAAAAGAAAACACACAAACTGACTCATCCTGTTTATGTCCCAGTTTCTCCTCCTGCTCTATTCTGGCTGAGTGAACTTCACAGTGGTCACATCTCTTTAGATGAACACGGCAGTATCATCGTTTATTCCCATCACTATGATGTACCACCATCATCTGCTCTCCTCCTGGGTCTCTTAAAGAGACAGGCACCCTTTTTCCTGCCTCCCATCTCCTCCTCTCCCCATCACTGAGGTTTTTTTTTCCCTCTGAAGCAGAGCTGGGAGGATAGATGAGGCGGGAAAGAGAGAGAGGGGAGCTACCTTTTTCACGCTTATTAGATTAGCTGGCTTATATAATGTCTTTTTCGAAGATGTATGTCACAGGAACACCACTGGCGAATGCAGTCCAGAGCGTTTGTTAGTCACTGATGCACACTCTGGCACAGACACAGAGGCGTGCATGCTGTCACTCTGTTGCTCCTGCACAGATCTGCTGCTCTGGCGAGTCTGACTGAGGAGGATGCAGTTCTGCAGGAAGGTGCTCTGCAAGCCGTGTAGTGCTCGAGTCACTTCACCGGAGGAGGACATGGAATACAAGATGGGGAGCTGCATCGGAATCTCACACCGACAGGTAAACACTCAGGCTGTCTGCAGCGTCAGTGCATGAGAGCAGGCTGCAGGAATCAATTTCACTGATCAGGAGCTGAGTGTTTGTGCAGGCGGAGAGAGAAGGTGGACTTTACTGATGGAGGAGGGGCAACAGCAGCAGCAGGGAGAAGGAGCTGTGGAAGGGGGGAGACAGGGGAGTATACAAGTAAAGGGGGAGGCTGACTGTAGTAAGGGAAGATGGAAGCCAGGATGACCAAACCTGAACAGAAAGGACTCTGTACATGCATGAGTGTCAGTCAGACCAAAGGCTTAGGTGGGGGAAAGTGTGAGTGCAGTTTGCTGTGATGTCTGCAGAGACAGAGCTGATCAAATCAGGGTTATTTATAGAGACAATAATAAGAATCCTGCTGTGCCCACAGACTGGGCACTCAGCTGAGGATGGCCTGTGATGACTGCAGATAAAAACAACCCAAAATAATCTCAAACCCTCTGAAGTCAGCATCTGAAATTTGGCTCCTGTTTGCTTTGTTTGATTGGTGTTTGTGAGCTCTGGCAGTCAGTGCATATCGGTCACTGTAAAGTCTGTGGAGACATGGAGGAAGCACAGTCAAACTGAAGTTGGAGGATGAGTGGATGCAGGAGGTTTGCAGAGAAAGCCACAGGTGGGATGAATATTAGATTACAGAGAGGCGAAGGAAGGCGGCTTTATTTATGCAGCACTTTTCAAACACAGAGGATGGAGATATTAAAGAAAAGCTCTTAACATTTCAAAAACACAGAGGAGTAATATTGAGGAATGCACAAATTTAGAAAATTATGCTCAAAAACAGTTTAGCTTATAGCCAAATCCAAAACCAATTTTTCTCTTGAAGCTCCAGGAAGGAAAAAAACGATCAACAGGAATGACTCGTTACAACCCGCAGAAGCAAAAGGAACCATCCACAGCCAGTAGGTGGGTTTATATGACTGTTTTTAATCAGATAAGGAGTGAAAAAATAAATAAAAGTGACTCTGATTAAACTGCTGATCCAATTCAAGGACAAATCAGGAAAAGAGAGAAACTCTGTATTCCTCTTGTTTCCTGATTTGACAGTCATGTTCAGGTGTTTCTGCAGACTCAAGTCTTGTCCTTTATGACTTGAGATCACACAAAAATAGATTAAAGCAAAGTGGTGGCTGTATAAGAATTTGACATCATTAAAGGAATATTTCAGTTTTTTTTAACTGAGGTCAGCTCGGCCCCTTTGATCAGAAACTGCAGATAGAGCCAGTGCCCAAACTAGGCTCCAGTTTTCTGCAGAGTGGGCCGACTCTGGCATGTAAATAAGCTCATATAGAGAGAGCTCATCCCCCACACTCATCTCAGTTTAAGTGTACTCTCTATTAAGAAATGTTTAAGTACTCTACCATCGAAAAGTTTTTTGGTTTTTGCACTATTTGCAGATGATACACACACCTGCTCCTCTCCTGCGCCTGGTTTCCGTCCCGCCTTTGTGCATTTAAAAGACTTAACCTGATGACTCTCTGTCCTCACCCTCGTGTCCATGTTCAGTCTGTTTGTTGACACTGTTGCCGTAGAACTAGTGTCCCCTCCAGCTGACTGAACGTCTCTCAGAGCAGGTGACCCCCCTCCACCTCACCCATACCCCTCCCAAACTGCCACCTCACAACAGACATGGCTCCCCCAGCTCCGGTTCGGTCTCCCCCCGCCCCCTGTCCCACTCTTTTACCCCCTGTCCTGTGTCCACCCTCCGTCCTCTCCTCCCACTCAGTGTGCAGAGCAAAAATAGCAGCAGAGGGACCTCCTCAGGAGGGAGGACAGAAACAAACACCGGCTTTAGGTCTGACAGTAAACACAGACTGGAGGGTTTGAGCAGACACTGAGACTCTGAGTGAGGAGGAGACTTTTGTTTGAGGTGAGTCGCGGAGGTGCTGCTGCAGATTGTGGATTAAAGGTTTGGTTGGTAGTAATCCCTCAGATGGAGACGTCAGATTATGACAATGGAGGTGCTGGAGGTAAAAGGTGGGAATCGCTCAGGCTTGTGTGATTGACACGTGAAGGCTTCAATGTAGTGAACAGTTTATAAAGCCAGGTTATAAAGAACTACTGAGTAAAAGTCCTGAAGTGTGTAAAATTTGTTTTTATCAGCGTTGTTTTCGTCTCTTTATGTGTCAGAGTGTGTCTTCTTTTGTATGTTAGAGTGTTTCTGTGTGTGTTAAGTTGTTCTTCATCCTTGTCCCCACGTTTTTCCTCCTCATGTGATTTTCCTGCGTTTGAAAGCGAGCTGCGGTTAACTCCTGAAGTTTAGCTTCATGTTCAGGTCTGTTATGATTCACCTCCTCAAAAATAGTGCTCTGACAACTTACTGCACCTGTATGCTTAGCTCAAGCTCAAAGAACTTCAGTGATATTTTGATCCTGTTTGACACAAAGTGAAGTTTACTTTTGTTCGTTGAAATGTGCCGTTGGAAAGGATAGTGGTGAACAGCAGCAGGAACAGGGAGATGAAGCTGAAGGCTCCTCTCTGAAAGCCTGAGGACTCTTCAGCTTTCATTGTAATACTGTAGTCACCTGTAATCGGACCGTACTGGAGAGCGTTCACATAACTTCACCGTACAACCTTTAGATTTCCGAATATCAGACCAGATTTGCAAAGATTGTCCAAAGATTCTCATGTGGGTTCCAACTCTGTCATGCTCTGTATGTCAGCAAGAGGAAGCAGCTTCTTCTCATTATTGATTTCATCTGAAAGGACCAAAAATACAGTTTAAAATCAGGGAAAGAAAGACCTTATAGCCACAATGGATGTCAGTGAGCTCGGCCCCTTTCACAAGAAACTGCTGTGAAAACCTGCACACAAGCTAGGCTGCAGTTTTCTGCAGACTGGACCAACCCTTCCACATAATTCAGTTTATTTAGAGAGACTCTGACCTAAGAAGTGATCTCAGTTTAAGTGCACACTCTACCCAGAAGATGTTCAGCTCTTTGACATCAGAAAGTCGTTTTTTTGTCTCTCAGAATCAGCTAACTGAGATGGAAGATGCAGAAAATTGTAGCCTAGTTTGTGTGCAGCTTCTCTTAGCAGTTTCTTACTAAAGGGGTGGAGCTGTGGCTTAAACATTTACTAGTGACATGTAACTCCTATAACCCCGTTTAAAAAACACTGAAATACCCCTTTAAGGGTCCTGTTGTGTTTTTGTCCCGGTGTCGGGGTCAGATACAGGGCAGAAAAGTGAAACCTCATCCTCAAGGACGAGCTCCTCCTCTGGACCAAAGAGCTTCAGAGACGCTCATGTGGGCCGAGGTGATGAGGTGAAAACAGAGCTGGCAGCAGTTTAATCATATGATTTTCCTTACTGCTTCCTGTGCTGCCAAAAAGCTTCGAAACACCGTTGCCAATTAAAGTGCATACGCCGGCCACAGTGTGAGGGCTGAAATTACATCCCATTCACACAAATAGCAAACAGGCGGGGATGGGAGAAGAGCTGCCACTTCACACAAGTGGGAATTAATCTGAGGGGGATTCACAGTCACTAAAGGAGACGCATGGGAGTGAGAATTAAAACTCGAATGATGGATGAACAGAACTGGGACAAAGACTGCTGCTCGTTTAGAAATGAAGAGTGAGCAATGAATCGTGCACAAAAGTGGAATAAAGTGTAAGAGCAGAGGAAAGGGCGGATATCTATTTATAAAGTCTTGTATATTCAGGTCAGTGCTCTCTGACTGAGCTAACGTACAGTCCCTGCAGTCATATGAGGAATTCACAAACAGCCTTTCTGTGGCACGAGTGTTTACTGCTCAGCTGCAAGTCACACAACAAAGAAAGAAACGCCCCGGTTTGAGACAGGCAGAGAGTTTACAGCGAGAATCTAAATGTGGATTTATATGACATTAACCATTAGACAGACTCTTCTAGAAATGACAAGACTAAAAAGGAAAGTTCCTCCGTTATCATGCTAGGATTGGAGATAAAACGACAGACAGACAGATACTTTCCTGAGGGAGATTCAAGCACCTCGTAGTTTCACACACGACACGACTTATGACAAGACGAGACATCTGTCACTGCTAACTCCCTCAGCTTCAAACGCTCCAATATGTGAAACCATGCAGAAATAACATGTGCAAAATAAAAGTAGGCCTGCTCACATTTGAGGTCAAAACTATTTAAAAACCAACAATGAAGCTGAACAAAAGTGTAAAATAACCAGTGATGTGTTGAGCAGGTTTAGGTGTGACAGGCAGATCAGATTGGGTGTAATCCTTAAAGAGACTTAATAAAGTCTCAGTGTCACCTGTCATTCTGTCAGTCTGGGACACCTATAGGGTGAGGCGAACACAACAGTGAACATTTACAGCTGTGTCGTCAAGTTTATGTTGGAATTAAAGGTGTCTCAAAATACCAGTACTGATGTTTTTATAAAGATAAACTGGCTCTATGGTGAGAAGTAGTGGTCCTTCTTATAAAACAGAGAGGATGTGAGATGATTCAGCACTTTTAAAGCCGACAGTCAGAGATTTATTGTGAATCCAAAACTGAACTATAAAGCTGTTATTCGTAAAACTCATTAGGGAATGTGGTCTTGTCTTAAATTAACAGGTTTTGTCCGTAAATTCCTAATAAAGCATTACAGTTTTAGGTTTTTGTCACTCTTATGAATCACAGTCTCCACCCTTCTTATTAAAATCCATCTCTTCTTTAACTCGTCTCTAGAATTAACTTTTATAATTTCAGTTCCTTCTATCCGTTAAGATTAGTCTTGTTGCTTTTAAACCCACATCTGCAGATTTAGCCTCTGAACTTTGCCCTCAGAGAGAGGTCTCACCGTACAGGCCTCTTATCTCCATAACAACACACACACTCACAACTTTCTCCCAGCTGATTGGGGCTCATTCCAGAGGCCTGTAATCCTGCGGAGCCTGAGCGTGTGAGCGCTGAGCCCCTCAGATCCAGCTTCACTCTGTGTCTCTCTGTCTGAATGTTCATCGTAGGAACAGTCAGACGCTGATGGTCCTTCTCTGCTGGTGTCTCTTAGCCGGCTGATGTGACAGGCTGCTGGTTTTGGAGGTTGAGGCCCAGCGGCTGGTTGAGCCATGGGGAACGAAAGCAGCACCACTGAGGCGTTGGTAAGAGCAGCCCGGCTGGGTTTGGACGACTTGCTGCCTCCTGTGCTGCTTTAACTCTTTCATGCACAGAGACTAACAAAACTAACTCTTACTCACCTGATTACTAACGACTGGAAAACACTCCCTAAAACCTTCTTTACATGATTTTTTTCAGCCACCTGTGACGCCTCATACATGAGTCTGAGTTTTGCTTTTCTCAGGAGTGACTTTTCACTTCTAGATTTTAGCAGAAGAGGATCTTAAAATCAGGTTCCTACTGGCCTACATGACTTTGTTTCTCTTACTCTTTCATTTCTAAATATAAAACCTGCGTCCCTGCACTCTTGTGTTGAAGTATTTAATTTAAATAACATGAAAATCTGGTTTCATGTGCTGGCGGATAGGGGTAAAAGGGGAGCAGGGAATATGATGAAAGCGCACATTGGATATTTTGTTCTTTTTACGTAATTTCACCCAAAAAGACCAATAAAAACATCAAAATGTATAATAGCTTCACTGTTATAAGGACATTCATGGGCCTTTGTGCACACTCCCATCGTGATTGGCTTTTAGATGCATCGCTTTGTTCTGTCTTGTGGTTGGACTTATGTCGTGAGAAATCAAGCTAAATCTCAGATGTTCATGCTTTTACTCTCTAATTGATGATGAACACTCGCCAGCACGCTGTTCCTGCATCTTATAAATCCATCATTGCGATCCAGCTTTGACCTCCTCTAACATTTTGCATGTGAGGTTATTTTTGCACTTTCTTGTACTTTTTAAGGATGTTTACAAAAAAGAAAAATGTTGGTTTTCCACATGTGACTGGTGAACCTCAGCTGTGGAATTCAGGATTACTCTAATAGGATTAAATTAAACGTTCGGGTCTTTAGCTGCAGATGACTGTTTTTGACTGCAGAGCAGGTTTAACATCATTATGTCTGCCTTAATAACACTGTGATCTCTTTCCAGTTCATTAGTGCATACCGCTAATACCATTCACCTGTATGTTGCAGAGGAGGTTTCCCCCTTTGAGATCCCTTATTGAATTTTTCACTCCCTCTTACAGCCAGAAGAGGGCGCACCACCTGAAAACATTGTTCTGTTTCCACCTCAGGAAAACCAGAATGAGCCCCTGCAGGTACAAAAGTTGCATGTGTGTGCATGAATCAGGGAGAGCATGAAAAATCCTCCTGATGTTGTTAAATGTTACTCAGCTGTGCTCCAGATTCCTCAGATTTCCTCTTTGTTTGTGGCCTCTGAAACTTGACAGCCTTAAAAAGAGTGGAGATGGGAAACATTTAGGGACAGATCAGGTATTTAACTGTTTATTTATGGAAGGAAAACGACGCCATGATTGAAATTATGGGCTTAAACTGGCTATTGTTGAAAAAGAAAACCTCTAAAACCTTCTCCGATCATCACAGGCGACAGTTATTTTTGTCTATTTTAAGGTGTGATGAGTCAGTCTGATGTGGTTTATTTTTAATCCTGAGACATCACAGAGAAATGTGCTCAATACACAACAGAGGCTTGTTATTCCTTGTTCTTGAAATCTGCAGGCTGTTGTTGCAGTCTTGGTTGTGTGTTTTTGTATATTTGTGCTGTCTGTCAGCAGTGTCTGTGAGTACTAATCCTCATGTAGTCAAACTGATAATTTAAACGCAGTTTGCAGCAGGTCTGACCACGTTTCCAGTGTTTTGTTGTGCCTGTCTCAGTTTTTGTGTGCATGCAAAAACAGAGCTTTAGATTCAAAACAAAGCTATAAAATCTTCAGTTCAGTATCGATGAAATGTCTCAAGAAAACTCTCAAATAAATGTGGGCTTAAATGATTTTTAACCATCAGATTCTCTTGATAGTGGAAACATTCAGTGTGCTTATAGATGATGTGATTTTGAACAGTAACCCTCGAACACCATCACCGGCTGATTTTCACCCGACCAAACATGTTTATGTGATTTTCATTCTGTTGCGTTTGTCTGAGTATCATGGGTCTCTGGGTATCTTCAGCATTTCCTTTCACATCTTTGAAGACATATTTGTTTCGCTCTTTTCCTCCAGACACGTGTTCACAGGGTGGTTTTCACCCGGCAATAGTGATGGAAGGTAAAGTAGGTTTGGGTGGATTTCATAGCTGCATGTAGGGAATAAGGTCAGTAAGAGTGGTCCTGGAATTTACAAGCTATCTTTATTTAGTGCAGTGGTTATGAATAACTATCACAAAGTTGTGATCTTCAAGTGAATTCAAATGGTGATAAGAAATATTTTAGTCAGCCGGTCATTTTAACTCACTCCAAATCTGCCATATTTTGGTTCTCTCTCCTGCAGCTGTTATTGTGCCGAGGACCCTGAGTCTAACCCAGGGAAGACTCACATGCTCCGATGACAAGTACTTTTTCTTAGGTATATTATTTCGGGTAAAAATCCCCCCATAGTGATGGTGTTTCTAATTTAAGCGATAGTGTTCTTGGGTTAAGAGATTCATGGAGCAGAGATGTTTACAAAGTCCACCAGAAAAGTCCACTAGTGAACTGCTTATGTCAGATCTATCAGGTCAAACTAGAGTATTAATCATGCAGGAGGATGTTGTGTGCTCATGTGTGGAGCTGTAACCAAAGCTTGTTGAAGTGTAACCTGATCCTCCTTCAGGGGGTCACTGCAGGCCCGACCCTTGGCCTAATTCCCAGCATTCACCTGCAGAGGCACTGTCAGTCTTTGGGTCAGTGAATGCATCCAGGCAGAAAAACACAGCAGCAAGAGCAAGAGGAGGAGGGGACTGAGGCTGAGGTGGATAAAAGAAGGAAGGAGGGAAGGAGACAAGTGGAGGAGGAGGGAATAAAAGGAGTGGAAAGAGTTTACAGTAAAGGGGGAGGAGTCTCCTCTGCACTTCCCTGTATACTGCCCAGTCAGGACAGTCATCCCCTGCTGTGAGCGCTGTGTCGAGGTAGTGTTTTCAGTCTGCAGGAGGAGGAAGAGGAGCCTCATGGAAATTTAACAGGAGAGCGACAGCAGCAGAAGAAGACAGGAAAGGACAGGAGAGGAGGGAGAAGTTAGCTGAGTCAGTACGAGCAGGAGGAGGAGGAGGAGGAGGAGGAGGAGAGGAAGCGTCAGCAGCATGTGTTGCAGCATGTTTGTGTCGTCCTCTGGCCCCTTCACAACACACTGAGCCCTGCAGAGTCAGTCTGCACACACACACACACAGAGGAAGGAGCTGCACTGCACTCAGAGTCACCTTCACTGATCGGTAAGTGCAGGACAGAGATGCTGGACTGAAACTTAAAGGAAAGAGACACGATTGTTTTTTAACGGGATAGAGAGTGGATGCGTTAAATGTACCGGTGAGTTGGCCCTCTGTTTAAGGAACTTAGAGTACTACCTTCGGATAGACGACCAAAGTGACAAGCTCTGTCCTCTTCTGTGTAATAAAATCAGTGTTAAATTCACAATAGTAATGATTTTAATTTAGGAGTAACGGGAAAAGGCCAGTCCAACCGTTTACATCTATTTTAAGGGGGTTGTTTAGTCGTTTTGGACCCTCTTACTGGCATTTAAAACTGTCAACGTTTTATGTTGGCAATTGTGTGGTATTTATAGCCTTTAGGCGTCAATTTGAAAGTAGTTATATTTTCTTTTTGGATATATTTCTCTTGTTTTATCTTCAATGGTTAAGATTTGATACACTCTAGGCGCCATGTTTGTGCGAAAGATGCTAGCACACATTAGCCCAACGAACTTTTTCTCAAATTATATTTCCCATTTTTAGTTGAATAAGTCAGGGTTTTATTTAATTAAAATCATAAAATAATGATAATCTAAAATAGAAAAAATAGTTTTTTACCCTGTTGTTGGCATTTGAAACTCAACGTTTCATGTTTACCACTGTAGGATATTTTTAGTTTTTAGGTGTCTAATTAAGAGTAATTATATTTTTCTTTATGGATTCATTTTGCTTGTTTTATTTTTATTTTTTTTGTATTTCTCGTTTCACAACAATAGTTAAGATTTGATGTACTTTGGGCGCCATCTTTGTGTGAAAAATGCTAGCACGCATTTGCCCAATGAACTGTCGTCAATTTTTTTTTGTCACAGCTACCAATTTTAGTCGAATAAGTCAGAGTTTTATTTAACTAAAACCACAAAACAATGAAAATATAATGTAAAAAGAGAAGTTGTTGGGAAGAGTTGAAATAAGATAAATTAGCCGTAAGAATCACAAGCTAATTAACTGTTTGAAAAGCTAGCCTAACTGTTACTATACCAAGTGATAACAGTAATATCGTGATACATATTTTTGACGATTTCAAGACAAACATATAACAATACTTTACAATGTCTAAATAACACAACAAAATACATCCGAAATACACATTTCTCAGGATTAATGTTCAAGTGTTTACATGTTTTAAAGGTCTTAAAATCTTTTTTAAAGGTTTAGTGTGTGGAAATTGGGATATTTCACAATATCCGGAGGTTGGTTCAGAATCATAGTGTTCCCATGCTCACAAAAGTACACATGTAAAAGTACACAAAGTACATAAGATTTTATTATTTACCATTAAAGAAAAATACCATCCTTCTTCCTCCTCAAACTCCTAAATTCAGCTGCAGCTAATAGCCATTAAGTAAACTTGTGTGCGTCCATCAGATGTTTACTTTTTGGACTGCTCTTGTTTGCTAATCAACTGTAAAAAGGTCAAATTAGTGTGTTTGAATTCCAACACTGCAAACTGTGGGAAAGTCGGAGGGGGGTTTGCACTTATGCAAGGCACTGTTTAAATAAAGTTGAATCTGTTGTGACTTGGTGTGTAAGTAAGGGCCTGTTTCTGCTTCAGCACCGCCCTCCCTGTGTTTACAACTGTCATGTGTAACGCATTAAAGTCGTGTTAGCACATGGGCTCTGGCATGTTGGATTAACAGTAAGTATTGCTGGCTGGATGTTTGACAAGTAGCAGTTTCCAAGCAGCTTCATCTCTGCTGTGTTTTGTTTCTGTGGGTAAACTAACAACAGACTTTTTTCTCTCTGTGTGCGGGTCAAACTAACCGAAACAAGGCCGAGCTTTTCCACCTCACTGAGCGTTTACGTTTTCAAACAATGGGTAGTAAATGAGTGAATGAGTGTTGGTTGTAAACTTGGCCATGCTGGTGTTTGGCTTTGTTTCGGCTGCTTTGAGGCTGATTTTTTAGTGGATGGGCTCTTGTGTGACATTAGCCAGGCTTTGATAGCAAGGTGAGAGAGCTGAGGAAGGAAACAGGAAACCCACAACACGTCAACACCATCACCTCTCATGATACATACGTGTTCATCTCTGCATGCAAGGGTTGTGAAGGTGTGTTTTTTAGTTTTCATCTTGTTTCATTAGAGAGAATAACAGCAGGGAGATCACATGGACTCTGCGTGATGTTCTCTTTAATGTTTAATGCTCTTTTATTAAGATTTATGGCAAAGCTGCTTATTAAGATATCATCAAAATAACCCATTATAGCTCCAGCTTTGCAAACTGGGCCACTACAAGAAACGAACATCTTTGGCCTGCAATCTTGATTGTTTTAAGGCCACAAAAACAAAGAATCTGTCCAGGAGGGCTCGTAACTTTTGCAGAATAAGTTCCTATTTCTTGTACCAGCAGGCCTCAGTGTATTCAGGAAAAGGAGTCTGTATGGCAGAACATAATTCACTAGAAAGGCATCCTAGCGCCCACCAGTGTTGATCTGATGACGGTCTGTAAATCTGTACGGACAGATATCTGCGTGCAAGAGCAGCAAAAAAATCTGTTCTAGATAAATCTCACTTCTGTGCAACAAAAAAAGGAATTAAATAGGTGTTTTGTCTTTTATTTTTTACAAATCTGCACAATGTTGTTATTTCAGCACACCTAAAACCGTATAATCACAACTGCACCCAAGTAGTTGGCCATTAATTTTGGATTCATATCACCATCAGACAATAGTTCATGGATTCTGAGATCAGGATGAGAAAATCAGGACAAATACAAAGTCAGGATTCCTATTATGTAGAGCTGGATAGTGGTGTTTGTAAAACTTACAGGGATCTCAATAAATCAAACTTCAGCACATATTAAACAGTGCCGTAAGACTTCCACTCAAGAGACAGGAACCCCAGATCAGGTCTGTGCCCACCTACATCAGCTTTGAAAGGTTTTTAGGGAGAGGCAAAATTAAAACAAGGAGGAGAGACTAATTTCATTCTGGAGTTTATCCCACATTCATTCATGTCTTTGTGGTGAAACCAAAAGGATCCTCATCCGTACTGAATGTCTCACACAAAGGAGGCTCTTTTCAGTGTTTACACAGGTGAGGTCAGTGACTCAGAGCCTCCTCAGAACACACACCACTTTACCTGTTTGTCTACCTTTACTGTCCGTGTCCAGTGAGTACACTTTTCGCAAGTTCAGTTTTGTTCAAAATACGAAGTTTTTGGAGCTGTGGGTCAGCAGCTGTATTATTCATTTACTGTATAATAATAGGAAACCATAGTGGTCTTAATAGTGATCCCTGAGGTACACCTTTTTATATTACACATTTTACATGAAGCCCTGAATGTAGAACGGTGCAACATACAAACCAACCGAAAAATCCACTCGCTCCGTGAGCCCAACAGCTTTGTTTCTGTGACATCCAGGAAACTTCTCAGCCCCACAGAGAAGATCACTTTATTTTAGAGGCTGTTTAGATCCAGTCTCTGAAAAATGAAGCTAATCTGTGATAAGTTAAGGATTAATTTAAGTGACATAGTGTGATTTTTGTTGTTGGCTAACTATGCTGATGGAAGCCTGCCATGTTTGTTCTGGTCTGTCAGTCAGCTGACCTTAAAAGGCCCAATCAGAGGCCAGGCTTCCCCATCCCAGCAGAGCAGATACTAACACTTGTGATAACATTTGTGTGTTGAAACAGAAACCCTGTGTCGTGTGACTTTTTCCCCACAGAAAAGCCACAAAAAATGTGTAGAGTTTAATTTTGTTGAAAACTAAATCTACGTACATCCTTGTCATCCTGATTGTTGTCTGAATTTTCTCAGGCATACATGTAGTGATGGTTTCATCTTGTCATGATGTTCACTCTGCCTGTGTGCAGCCATGCTGTCTACTACAGGCTCATCAATAATGAATGAATGGATTCAGTTCTGAATCTCAGCAAAATACAGGGTAACCACAGACAGGTCGTGTCTTTCTGAACCAGCACTGTTGAATCAGCTGACACCCTAAATCTCTAAGAACAGGATCTGTCTTCAGTGTAAAAGGAGCTCATGCTCACATATACTACAGAGTTTCATAACAACTAAAGGCTGGTCTCATCTGTCAGTGTTTGTAGTATCTGCACCTGCACTCTTGTGTTTATACCTGGGTCACTGTTGTGTGGGAAACTTTCCCTGTGAACTGGAGCAGAAGGGAGAAATTCCATCACAGTCAGAGAGGATCCTCAGCTGAGCTTTCGTTGAGTGTTTTAAAGGGCCGCGTCGCTGCAACATGACGCCACAGTCAAGTGTTGTGGTTTTAGGCTGTGGTCGTCTGTCAACCAGAGGAACAGACAGGGAGTAAAAACAGCCGCCAAGCTCTTAATGTTTGTCTCTCTAAAAGGATTTGAAGCCAAATTTCATGTTTGTAGGATAATTCCTCGATTTATTGCTCTTATAGGAGAAAGATGTAATGAATGCATTGATAGTTAGGAAGTTAAAGCAGCTTATTATGAATCCTTCCATCAACACCCTTCCTGTTCAGCAGCAGAATCACTGTCTGGTTAAATAAGTTTAATCTTTTGTGCTTTTCATTCGGAGTAAAGCAAATATAGCAGGAGAGTGGGGAACGGCTGGAATCAAACCCAGGCCATCTGTTGACGGCAGAGCTGCTGAACATGAGGCGTGCTTGGACCAAATGTCTGTCCAGTGTTGGATCCAAGCTGTACACAGTGATCAGCCACTGACTGGAGCTGTAGCACACGCTGGTGTATGATACTGGATGTAAACTACTACCTGGATATGGATTGGCATTATTTCTGATCTAGAAATTAAGGATCAATTCTTATTAACTTAAACTACCAGCACAGGCATGTATGTTAACCTGCATATAGTTCACCTACAATCTTTGGGATCATGTGTGGTTACCTGTTCTTAACATATAGTGCTAAATTCTGACTGCTTTCTTACCTTTGGACTTGTCTGTTGGTCAGAATTTCATTTTCAGTGTAAACCAGGAGGAAATGAGCCACTACTGAACATTTACTCGTAGCCACAGTCGACACAAACCATTAATCTGCAGGAGCTTTAGTATCAGATATAAAAACAACACATATTAAGGTCTGTTTTACTGTCATGCTAATTTTAAACTGTGCTGGGTTTTTCTATTTCATGCATTACTTTTCCTGTAGCAGTTTTATGAGACTCTGTGTGGGCTAAAACTCAGCTAGCCCCAGCTACAAACTCTCAGTTTCATGCTCTTTATTGAACTATGTTGAATTACAGTGTTTCTCTTAAACAAAGTCAATAACTTCAAATATTCAGTGACCCTTTAGGTGTATTTTTCAAGCGTGTTCAGAAAGCGATAGTCAAAGATCAAGAGACTTTATTTACTCAAGATAATAAGGTAATAAACCGAGGCTGAAACTGTCATTCGATCACCAACTCTAGACAATCATTAAACCACATGTCAGATGTCGGATTCAAGCAGGACTGGTTTTGTCTCTAATGATTATTCACTCGCTGTGTTGAGGTTTTTCACGCCCTGGGAAATTATAATAACTCACTTCCTTGTGAGGTATTTATAAGGCGGTAAATATTCGATTTAGATGCATGTACAGTCAACTTTATAGCTGTTTAATTTCTGTCTGAGTCGTTATGTTAAGCTTATCTGAGCAGTCAAATCAGAGCTGCGCAGATACGGCTCTTGCACCTACTCTGGTGAAATAGGGCGACACATGGGTGGAGTTAATTGTTTGTTATGCTGACTGTGATTATTAAATCATGTTCACCTGCAACACGCTCAAACCTGTTCAAATCCACGCTCAGTCATGGATCATCCAGCAGACGATTCAACTTTAAACTCACCGTCTTCGTGTTTCGATGTCCCACAGGGTAACGCTCAGGCGGACGGTTCAACAAAGAGGGACGACAGAGCGCCGCTGACGAGACCCTCCTCTGGCAGCCAGCAGAGTCTGCAGTCTGCACCAGTGCTCCCAGAGGTCCCAGTGATCTCTGGAGTGGAGGAGAGCCTGAGTACAGATCAGGAGGACAAGGAGGAGCTGGAGTTTCCTCATGACCTGCTGCCCAGTCTAGACTTCAGCTCAGAGTTCAACATCTGGGAGTCCTCGCTGGGGTGAGTGACACAAATACACAGAAATGACGGCAGAGACCGACACGGTTTCCTCATACGATCAGGGTTACACCTACTGGAGTAAAAGTCAGAGGTGGTTCAAGTAGAAAAGTCTCAAGTAGAAATGGAAATACTTTAGAGAGAAGATCTTTAATTTATAGAAGTCTTTAACAAAACAAAAGCATTGTTCTTTATCCTGAAACTTTTCATTAAACTCCTTTTACTCAACACCCCTAAATGTGACGGGAAATACTGAAAACTGGACAAATCTCATCAAACAGAAACATTTGACTGAGCGCCTTTTAATGATTTACAATATTTCATTAAAGAAAAGGAACATTTTTCCTTTGTTTGAATTTTACTTTGTTTTATTTAGATGATTTTTCCGTCATTAGATATTTTTGCTCTTTGGTAAATAATCAAATAATTTTCATATGTAGTTAAATGTTTGTGAAGCCGACCTTCAGGGCCACCGTAGATAAGAGTATAGAGTTATTCAGGAGAATAAATAGATCACTTAAAACATAAATTAGGCTGTTAAATTAAAGCAGTTTAAGTTTATTTTTAATCTTCATGAAGAGTAGAAAGTTTTCTACTTGTTTGACTTTGACAGTTTGGAGGAAATGTGAATCGTGACGTGATAACTAACGTCATCTGTTTCCTGACGAAGAACCGAGATAAAACCGGAGTCGATTCAGACAGACAGACAGACAGACAGACAGACAGACAGACAGACAGACAGACAGACAGACAGACAGACAGAGAACAGGGTCATTGATGAACTTTTGGTTTCTATGTTAAAATATAAGATCTCACTGTTCCCTCATTGTTGTTTGTAAACCGGTCTAAAGTGGGTTTGGCTCATTAGGGACAGGATTACATGAGGTACTTTGGTGAGTGTTGAGGGTTTGTTTGCTTAGTTTGACAGCACTGTTTTAAACAATCCACACCCACACTGTAACAATGAAGCAGATGAGCTCACTTTGTTCAACACTAATAATAAAGACCTGAAGGCACCAGGGTCAGTCAAATCCTTCAAAACCTTTTTTTTAGATCGAACAAACTCTGACCTGTAAACCCGGCTTCTCTCCGCTCCACCGTCTCTCTTCTTACTCTCGATTTCACGTGGACACAGCGCTGTCTTCTGTCTGTCAGCTGAGACGCAGAGGGTAGATGGTTGTTATGTGTGATGTCATATTTTACAGGCGTCGACTGGGACGTTAAGGCGACATGTCGAGGAATAATCAACCGTGAGAAGATGCACTTAGAGACTTAGAAAACAAAACTCAGCCAACATTGACAGACATGCTGCCACTGAGGACTTAATATTAAACCAACACAGCAGATCCTGGGAGATAAGGAAACTTGAGGAGGGCTGAAAAACTCACTGAGGTTGAATCGTATAAAAAATTTATGTTGCTGCGAGTGACCAAAAAGTGAAATAAAAATTCATGCGCCTCTTTAAATTCACAGATCTCACACATTTGAAACCGGTAAGTGCCCACAGAGGACCAAATAAACCTCAAACCCCCCAGCAATGATCCTGATGTTAAGACCAACATTTTTTATATCAGTAGACAGTTTTTTACTCCCACAACGTTAATTTTTATTGATTCAGTAAAACTCAAATGCATTGTGGAGTTTTGTGTTGCAGTAACACAGAAATCTGCACAGTCTCACATACTCCTGCATCAAGATTCAAGATCTGGTGTATTTGCTTTCTATACGAACATACAGAAGATAAAACACTGACAGCCCTATATGAGGTAAAACACCCCCACTAAATAAACACGACAGTTTATTAATTAACAATAGATTAATAAAATCATGCAAACAGTCCTCCCATCTGTTACTCACTTAAAGCTTAAATCCCGTATGAGCGCAGAGTGAAGATGGTTTATGGCCTCAAAAGAAAACATTTGTTCCAATGGGGTTATTGTTTCTGAGAATGTGTGTGTTTTTGTGTGTGACTGTGTGTGTGTGGGTCTGTGTGTGTGTGTTTATGGAAGCAGAGCTGACTCCAGTTCAGAGGAGAGGAAATGTGAGCAGGTGAACCCCCTGCTGGTGGGTCTGCAGCATCACATGGAAGTCAGTGGACCTCAGTTGGTCTCAGAGATGAGGTAGACTCATGATGCATGATGGGAGTGATGAGAGTGTGACCAAACCAGTGGGCATGGAGTGAGACCCTGACAGGCTGATGGAGGGTTTCTAACAAGTACGCAGACTGAGCTCCAAGTGTGGTGATTTCTGCTCTCTGCGGTCTGCTGCCCGTGTTTCTCTGCGCTCTGCTTTTGTCTCACCTGTCAGGTTTTTCCTGAAGTTTATTTTCACTAATAGGTTTTAATGTGTGCTGACAGCCTGAAATATAACTCTGCTGGATCTGCTAACTTTTTAATTAACATAAGGCCAACAAAGAAATACAGAAGATAGATGGACACGACTTATTCCATTTATTCGACACGCCTGGACACAGGAACATTATTGAAACTTCAGTATACTAAATGTTTTAATGACGCTGACCACAAGGAAGAAGGAGAGTTTGTTGATGGTTTTATAACATGTATTTCTGAATTTAAAACAAACAAATATTGAGTTAATACTTTTTGATCTGAGAAAATACAGAAACAGAAATCACATAGGGGTGATTTTCTGCTTTAGAGTCTCTCACTAGAGCTGAAACTGTCAGAGGAGAGGTTATTACATTTACTGAGACGTTGGCACAGTTATTTCATGGCCTTTTACAGGGTCATATACGGTAACTGCACATTCTTACCAGGGCTGGGATGATACGCTTTTCTCCAGATTTGATTCTTCTACGATTTTTTGGAGGCCGATTCGATTTAAATTGCGATTCTACGATATTATCGGTTTTTTCGATCTTTAGTCTGCATTTTTAACACCAGTGAAACAGTTGAATAATTATGATTGTGTACTGACTATTACAGGAACCATATTTCCCCCAGAAAATAAACATCACATGTAAGTCAGTTTTTAAGATTTATTCTTTAATTTGAAAAAAAAAAGATTTTTGAACATAAAAATCGATTTAAAAATTGCAAAACATAAATCGCAATACTTATGTGAATCGATTTTTTTTCTCCCAGTCCTAATTCTTACAGTAGATTATTCATGCAGCACTGACTGAAGGTGTTTAATTAAACCTGAAACGCTCAATCTCACATACAGGAGTTTAATGCAGGTACAGCACAGGTACGTCACTCTGTCAGGTGACGTCCAGACAGTCAGATCGTGTTGTGGGCGGGACTTTAGGTGTGACAGAGAGGAAAAAACACCAACAGTGGAGCCAGAAAATCAAACATTTGTATTATTTAAGACGTCTATAAATTAGATCAAGATAATCAGTCAAATTTTGCAGGATAAAAACACGAATGTTGAAAGTAAAACAATGTTTCCTCTTTAGAGATGCTTCTGGGTGTGAACCTGCATGTCTGTTCAAGAACAGCTGGTTTATGTGTCAGAGGGTGATGCATATCTCAGACTGTGCATCCTGCTTACAGTCGAGTGTGTGTCTGTGTGTGTCTGTGCATATTTGATGTAGTGCAGTGTCTGAGCATGGGTTTGTGCTCCGCTAATATCGGCGCTTCGCAGCACCGTGGAATGACCAGCTGTCTGCCTGCCAGTCTAGACTCTTAACTTTGTCGCCCTACCCTCGCCTCAGGCCCCACGACAGCAGCCCAGTTCTCACAGACGCCCAGCCTTCACCTTGGCCGGATGTCCGACCCCCGACCCCACCCCGGTCCGTGCTGCTAGACCGGGAACTCCAAGAGGCCTTTCAGGAATGTGAGGAGCAAATGGCCTCACTGGGAATAGTTAATCCCAAAGAGTCCCAGAGCACCCCGCCTGGAGAAGGGATGGTTAACAAGTCCAGTGAGTCATCGTCACTGCCTCCAGTCGGACATAGCAACGCAGGCCATAGCAACAAGAGCACAAACGGAAACAGTGAGGCAGCAAACAGGCGCAAGGATACAGTTGTGTTTAGTTTCAGAGATTATATTCTGGGAACTGAGAGCAGTGTCAGAGCGGCGGAGACGGAGGGGGAAATCAAAACAACAGAGAGCGTGGACTCGAGGATCAGGACGGAAAAAGAAACAGAGAGAGAGGAGCAGAAGGAAACACCTACGCATACACAATTAGAAACAGCAACTGATTCAGTTAAAGAGACACAAAGAGATGTCCTGATTCCTGAGCAGAGAGGAGAGAAAAGAGCCGGCGGTGATGGAGAGGTTTCTGAAGGCTGTTATAAATCAGTGCAGGAGAAAGGGACAAGTGCAGAATCAGAAACAAGTGATAAAAAGGGAGAAAATCTCAGAAATAAAGAGGATGTAGTAACAGAAACAACAGAGCGTGGCGTGTTTGCAGAGACAAAGGCAGGAGAGGACAAATGGACGAACTCCCAGCAGGCAGAGCAGGAAAAAAAGGCAAAGAAGAAAGACAAGAAGAAGCAAAAGAAGAAGAAAAAGATGGGGAGAGAAAGAGGCACAGAGGCACAACCTGTAAATGATCAACAAGCAGAGCTGCCTGATAATGGATGTGACTACGAGCAACAGCTGAGTCTCAGGGGAAAACTCCGCTCCAGCCTCCCACTTTCATCCTCTCAGAGCCGGCCGGATCATGTTACCGACTCGGCCCGTTCACCTGCGGCTGACCGGCCTCATCATCAGTCAGATAACCACAAACATACCGAAACCTCATGTGGCATGAATCACCGCTCAGATTATCGCGAACATGCAACCAGAGACGTCATCAATAACCAGAATACATGTGTGACAGATGTCCAAACTGCAGCTATCGGTCCTGATCAGAGATCAGATTCACAAACACAGGAGGCTCTGGTTACCTCAGAGGCACAGGAGAATCAGAGCCCACTCCCCAGCAGCAGATCTTGTGTGGGAGAGAGCGGCGTGCAGAGTGCCCTTGAAGAGGCTTTAGTGGTGGTTGCTGCGTTGCCACTGACAACACCCACGATGCCAGAAGTGATAGAAAGCGAGGGAGAGGGAGGAAAGCGTGATTCAGTGGAGAGAGTGGATACTGTAGCAAAGGCAGAGAGTCAGGAAGCAAAAGGAGCGAGGGATTCTGAGGGGATAGAAAAGTCTGTCAGCTCTGCAGACAAAGACAAAGACGGGCTCCTGGACAGCCTTCCTCAGCGCTCATTAATCTGTTCACAGGAAAAATGCTCACTTGCATTCTCTGCCAAAGAGGGACAGGCTCCATCTGAGGGAAGCTGCAGCAGCGAAATGCCACAAAACTCGGCAGAGAGTGAAAGGAAGGGACAGAGGGAGGCGAGCCTTCGCAGTGCAGACACAGAGATCTCACCGGCTGAAGAAAGAGAGCCACACCGGCTAGAAGCTATTATCAATACTTCTCCCTTTGGGCTACTTACTGCTCCTGCTTTTCAGGATCACGTTGCTGCAGGAGGAGGAGGAGAGGGAGAGAAAGGAGGGCTGGGTAAAGAGCACAGTTCATTCAGCCAGCCAGGAGGCTCAGCTCGTGGGGTGTCATCAGCTGAGACTGAGACGTGTCCGCCCACCGATGTTGCCGAGTCACAGCTGAAATCACAGAGCCGGAGGGAGCCGGCTGCTACCATCTCTGAGAGCATCTGCACCGAGCAGGACCGCGTCTCTCACTCCTGCCAGGAGGAGCGTGGCGCAGCGATTTTACCTCCGAGCTCCGGCAACGCCGACAGAGGAGGGAGGGATGACTGCGAACGGGATTTCATTTCAGGGGGAGCACTTTCTTTAGGACACAAGGACTACAGCCAAGTTTCTCCTTCACCACAACAAACCCCAACCCTGCAACAAGAGGGCAACGATCAACAGGTAGAGTCTGAAAGTAGCAGAAGAGAAGTTCAGACACGGAGCAGGAGTGGCAGCTCCGCTGAGGGCGGCAGAGGACGCAACATCCGAGTTCATTTCGAGGACACGGTGATTGAGAAGGAGAGCAGGAAGATGGAGTTTGCCTCTTTGCCTCCTGTGACCGTGCACGAGAGTTTGCACCATCCTGTCGTCGAAGCCAGCTACATCTTCCCGGACTTCCTCAGCTTGAAGAAACCGGAAATCCTCGCAAATGCAGTCCTTTCCAAGAACACAGAGAAAGATGTCAATGTGGAGAAAGGAGGCGTGGACGCTAGAGATGCTAAAGAGAGCGTAAATAAAGATCAGCTGGAGAAGAACAACTTAGAGACAGAGGCCAGCAGGAACCAGATCAATCAGAGCGATCAGAAAGAAACTTTTGACCAAAAGACAAAGAGCGCCGTCTCAAAGGAAGAGCAGGTGACCGAGCAATCAGAGGCAGAAACTGAGAAAGGTGTTGATGATGTGCACGAGTCCAAGGAGAAGGAGACGGAGAAGGAGTCTCATCCCCGTCCTCAGGAGTCACCTTTAAAAAGTGACTCTGCTGAGGATACAGAGAAGAGAGGTGAGCAGCTTCCTCCCTCCTCATCCTCGGTGCTTCCTCCTCAGGCTCTAAATGATGTCTCCACACTCCACACTCACCTTGACCCTGAAACTGAGACCTCCACCAGCTCCGCCTCTCTTCAGACAAAACCTCATGACCCCGGTCTTCAGCCTCCCACTAAACTCGATCAAACACCTTCTTCTTCTGGACTCATCACCAAAGTTCCAACGCACACGCCCGACTCTCAAACTGATGATCTCAGGAAGGACGCATCATCCAGTTCAGGAGCTGCAGCCTCTGACAAGTCAATTCCTCTTAGCGAGCAACGTGCCAGTAATCCCGCTTTGGTGCCGCGGCCTCCTGGCCCCATGTTGAGTCACTTTGAGTTCATTAGAGACTGTGACGGCTCTGTTTCTGAGCAGGCGGGGAGCGGCAGCGCTGAAGTCTCTGGAGAGGTAAACGTCAATAAGGACGGGGGAATGGCACCGACCATAGAAGAAACGGAGGCTAAAAAAGACGTGATGAACAATCAGGGCCGCCTGACTCCTCCGACTCGACCTCCTGGTGCAGTGGGCGGACCGGCGAAGGATGTATCCCATAATGTAATTTCCCTATCTCACACAGAGCCAGACTTCGTTGGCGTTGAACCTGCTTTTTGTGAATCATCCATTAAGGATGATCCTATTAATGTCAGCGGCCCACTCCGCTCAGTTAATCATGAAATTAAAGAACAACAAAACAGAGATCTGCCGCTTGAAAAGGAGACGACAACAAAGGATAACCAGGAGGAAACAAGAGACAGCTGCAAGACGCAAGCAGGAAAGAGAGACACAACAGCACAACAGAGTAATGGAGCAGATAAAGAGCGAGCGGAGGAAAGTGGAGCCCTGCAGCCACCACAGACACATAAAGAAGAAAAGGCTGAATCACCAAGAAAGGATGTAAAGGAGGTAGGAGAGGAGATTGCATCTAAAGGCCAGACAGAGACGTCTTCTTTGGCTCTTAAAAGACCTGCAGAGTCATCTGAGGACACGCAGAATGCTAAGACAAGGCCTCCGACTCTTCATGACCAAGAAAAACTGGCCTCAGTTCTTGATGGGGACGTGGCGCAAGATTTGGGTGCAGCTCCGAGCCAGTCACAATCCACACCAGATCCAAACTTCTTTGCTCAGCAACAGCAGCAGGATCTGGCATCTAAACGCCAAACAGAGGAGCTGTCAGGAGAAAAGACGGCGGTTCGTGGGGCGAAAGAGGTGGTGGAGGAAGGAGGCAGGTCTGTCAGGAGCTTGACAGGAAGCGGGGATGACAGCGGAGGCAAAGAAGAAGTGACGGGTTTAGAGGAAGGGCAGGCTGCTGCAGAGGATGACGGGGTTTATGTGGCGTCTCAACTTGTCAGTGATTTAAGTAAGAGTGAAAAAGCTTCAACCAGGGTGGAGATGAAAAGTTCTTCTCATGTAGGCGTGGATAAGAGTGGAAGCTCTAAGCTAGGAGGAGACACAGAGACCGAGTTCATGAGTGATCTGAGCGGTAAAGGTCAACAAAAAACTCATCTATCAGCCGCCTGTCAGGACCAAACCAACACTGCTGCGTCTGTGGAGTCTTCATCACAAGAACATGAGACTTCACCTTTCCAAATTCCTGTTTTATCAAAGGTCAGCGCAGATACTTCTGACATTCATGCAGAAGTTAGTCCAAGTGGAAACCAGGCTGACCAGAAACTGCAAACAGAAAAGGTCGGGGAAAGCCACAGTCCTGAAATTAAGGAGTGTAAAACGAAGGCCGCAGAGTGTGAACTTCATGAACCATTAAGCTGGAGTCTAACCTCACACACACAGAGCAGCACAGTAGCAGAAAGAGCCATAAAAGGCCCTGATGGAGAGGAGATCACAGAGGAGGAGAAAGCAGCTTTGGGAAAAGAGACAGCCAGCACCCAGGGGACGGAGCGAAGTGGAGTGAAAGCCACAAACAATGAGGCGACAAAGAAACAGGAAGTCATAAATCTGTCCGAGGGAGCTGAAGTTAGCGGCTCCAGATCGATTAAAGATTCAGATCTGAGTCAGAGTCCACGGCTGCAAAGCAGAGATGCAATTTGTAAGTCTGACGGGAGCGTTGGTCTTTCTAACGCAACAGAAAACAACAACTCTAAATCTTTGACTTCGTCCCAATCCCCTGAAAACTCGTCTGCAGAGAAGCCACATGATGACCAACAGCCCAGAGACGGTGCTGTAGTGAACTCTGTAGTAACTGTGTCCCAAAGTGAAGTCCAAAAACCTGTCTCTGTTGAACAAGTGTCAGTGAATAAAGAGAGTCCTGCTGCAGGACAAAGAGCCGCAGGAGCAGAAACAAACTGGATCACAGCTCTGAAAGAAGCGGCAGCCGATTCTCAGAGTCAACAAGACGACGGAGAGACAACATCCAGGTAAACATAAGAGCGTGTGAGAGTGTTTGAGTAAACCAGAGACGCCTTAAAGGTGCAGGCCACATTTTACACATGACATCCAGCCAATCAGAGAGCGTTGTGGGCGGAACATAAGATGATACAAAGTGGTGCAAGAAAACAGACCAAGAGGGAAGGACAAAAAAGAAGGGGAACAGTAGTTAGGAGTGGGAGAAAAAATGGATATAGTATCACAGTATTTTGTGTGGTGAGACATCGATTCCCAAGTATCAACTTTTTTCAAATTAATTGCTAATATGAAGTCAAATTTATGATAATGGAAAAATAAAATCAACTGTTTGTCCAGTGAGGTTGGCAGAGGAGACATATATATATATATATATATACATACATACATATATATATATATATATATATATATATATATATATACATATGTATATATATATATATATATATATATATATACATATACATACATATATATATATATATGTATATATATATATATATATATATATATATATATATATATATATGTATGTATATATATATATATAGTAGTGCACTTAATCACTGGTATAGATAATGTTATCAGCCCGATAATCAAACAGGGTTAATGCTTGATTAACGCCTTAGTATCACATGGGGAAGTGAAGTATGTTAGCATGCAGTCACGTGACATCTGCTCACGTACGTCACAGAGACAGAGGTACATCAGCTGTGATGGTGTTTTTCTACCTCAATAATGAGCAGGATGGTTATTTTCATCATAATTCAGTGAAGGTTTGTTTGAGTCTCTTCTCCTTCGTAGATTTTTCTGCTGCAGTTGTTTGTCCGTCCGCTCTGCTCTCCAGTTCGCTCTCTCCATATTCAGGGTTTGTTTGGAGTAGCAGAAAGCTGTGACAGTGAATATGAATGAGGAGGTGAACACAGAGCTGCACTTTGTGTTGACTGGAGTCGGGGTCAGCTGACCGCGTCTGTTGAAGTCTAATGGAAGTAATGCAGCTCTTTATATTCGCAGGGTGACATCAGCTGTGACATCGGCCCTGCTCTCCAGGGCAAGAATGATCCTTTTCTCATCCTGTTCAACACAATGAAACAACCGAACACACACACACACACACACACACACACACACACTCCTCCAGAGACACAACCCCCCAGACCAACACTAACACACACATTTGTCATCTGTCAGTCATTCGTAGAGCGTCTATCGTAAACCAAACAACCAACCCACCACCTGACCACCTCTTCTCTTTTGTTGTTTTTTCAGAGCTCTTCCATCTTTGGAGTCTCCTCAACTCGAGTTTCACACTCCGACTCAGGAGATAGATGCTCCTCTGAGGCAGGAGGAGAGCCCACCACCACCACCACCTCCACCGGAGAAAGAGACAGAGACTACACCTACGCTTAGACTGAAGAAGCCGGTGGATCTTCCTGAACCTTTACAGAAGACCACAGATCTTCCAGAGCTAAAACCGAGCACAAAGGAAACTTTCCCAGGAGTAAGCGAGACCGCGAAGAAAGACGAAGAGCCTCAGGAGGAGTTTGAAAAGCCAAAACAGATCACTAAAGTAGAGCTCTCGGAGGACATAAGGAAATTCCAGCTCTCAAAGTCATCCGAGAGGGAAGAAGAGCCTCCAAAGGACCTTCAGGAACCAAAACAGAGCACACAAGAAACTTTCCAGATAGAGACAAAGAACGTAGAAGAAGAAGAGCCTCCAGAAAAGTTTTCAGAACCAAAACTGAGCACAAAAGTAGAGCTCTCAGAGGACATAAGGAAATTCCAGCTCTCAGTATCTTCCAAGAGAGAAGAAGAACCTCCAGAGAACTTCCAAGAACCAAAACAGAGCACAAAAGAAGCAGAGAAAGAAGAGCTCTCTGAGAAAGAAGAGCCTCTACAGGACCTCCAGGAACCAAAACAGGGCGCAGAAGAAGCTTTCCAAGCAGAAGCAAAGAGAGCAGAACTCGAGACAGAAGAGTTTCCAGAACCAAAACAGAGCACAAACGTCGAGCTCTCGATCCAGAGAGAAGACCAGGCTCAGAAGGAGCTTTCAGATCAAACACAGAGCACAAACATCGAGCTCTCAGAACAAACCAAGAAAGGAGAAGAACCTCAACAAGAGCTCCAGGAACCAAAAACAGAGCAGGAACCTTCTCCTCAAACAGTGCAGAAGACCTTTGAGGTAGCTGAAGCAGCAAAAAGCACAAAAGAGTTCCCAGATCCAACAAAGCACGAGGAACCAGAACCAGTTAAGACCACATCTGAACACCAAGAGCCGGAGAGGGATCTGATCAGGGAGCTTCCTGTGGAAAAACCAGCAGAGATCCCACCTGAGGAGCCCACCTGGAAACCTGAGGAACCTGCAGTGACCCAGACAGTCCAGGACCGTGCTTCAGAGTTTGAAGACAGCGAGTAAGTGTCTTTTTAAAGTTCTTGGTTCAGATTATCAGGTCGAAGGTTTTCTGGTTTTAGTCTTTGATGAACGTCGGTAAAGATCACGCTCGAATGAAATCTTGTTCACAGTAAATGAGGAGTGACTCAGCATCCTGTCTCTCTCTCTCTCTCTCTGTCAATGTTTGAGTCATGTGACCTGGGTCATGAACCCACGTCTACAGTTTCCAGTGAAACCTACAAGTACCTACCTGAGTAAACTGACGGTTATATTTCCTCTTCTCGTTGCCAAGAGTCTGTCTTTCTTTCCTCGTGGTCCCGGTCTGATCCTCTGTTGTCTTCAATGTCAGGACTGAAGCTTTAAAGTAATGAGAACAACAGGTTTGTAGGGAGACCGCTTATTATGTGGTCGACTGGTTTTCCGACAGCAAACCAGACATCACAGCGACCGCTTAGATCTGATAGTTCCCTTTTAAAAGTGTCCAAGCGTTTCCATCTCAGGTGGCTGCAGCTCATCTGTAAAAGGGAGAGGCGTCGGCGTCGGGGACACGCTCTTCACAGCTCAGCGGCTCTGCTGTCACACATTTAAAATAGATTACCCTGCGCTCAGGAGAGTCCGCTTGGTGGCTTTGTTTGGTTCCCCGACACCTTCAGGGCGTCTGGATGGTTGTTGCTGTCTGCAGCGGTTTCACAGTTTGGACGCCATGAATGAGGAAGAGTCTCATAGATTTGTAGTGGTTGGTATCAGCAGTGAACCCTTCACGCTGTTAAAACTGCTGACTAGCTTAAATACACACAGTAGAGGAGGGAGGGTGGCGTTCAGTTTAAACAGTCCGTGTTTATCCAACAGCTTCAGCCTGACTAAGTTTTTAGCAGAGGTGGCAAAAGGACACAGTATTTCTCCTGAAGTACAGATCCTCCTGTAAAATAGATCCTGAGGAAGGTTTTCACCAGCGGATTTATTAAACTAAAATCAGTTTACCCAAACACTTTCCACCAACATGAAAATCAGAAAGACCCTAATATCCTCCCTCCCTGATTTCTTCCCTCCACTGATAATCTTGAAATATCTTCACACTGTTGGATTTGCTAAGAAGTCCTTTATTTTTAACTAATTCAGGTTGGAAATTAAAATAAATTCTATTGTTGGGATTTAGACAGTCTGCAGTATCACAGCCTAACCTGATATTGACTCTCAGGCCGAGCATCACAGTACAAACTAGAACCATCATGCCTGCTTTGCTTGTTTACACATTTGGCACAAGAGATAATCACGTCCTGATCAGCTGATCCTAACTCGTTGGATGAATTTGTGACATGTTAGACAAATTTAGGGCTGTCCCATTAAAACTTTTTTACTTCCGATATGATACCGATATTGTTGCCTTCAGTAACGGCCGATACCGATATTGATCTGAAATTGGCACAAGCTTGTGCATGATAAGTTTTTCACTCAGCTGCAGCAGCTTTTTCGGACTTTAACGAAAAATACAGCCGACATCACTCCTACTCCTTGCTACTTTGTTTGTACCTGATGCTGCGTTTAAGTTACTTCGGAAGTCAGATGTCGGAGCTGGGTATGACATCACACCTGAGTTACCAGCGTTTCAGTTACCAAAGTGGAAAAAAGCAAAATCGGATGCGGAAGCAAGATGGCTACTTCTATAACAGTAATTTTAGCGTTTGCCTTGTCCGATAAAATAGCTAAAATAACTTTCGTACGCTCTTTCGTAACTCAAACGCAGCATTAGTACACACTGTTGTTGTGATCACGTTGACTCTGCACGCTGGATCCGGGCGTTGTGAGCTAGAAATGCTGGAGTGGAGTCTGGAATGGACTGCTTGTATCAAAGTGCTGATATGGGAGATTTTAGATGCAGGCTGATATAATTCGATATTTCTTTTTTGGCTAATATCAAACCGATATCTGATTGGGACATCCTTATTAGACATTTTTAAGGCTCATTAAAAAGCAGTGATGATAATTCCCAAACTCCAGGTTTTATTTCCTGATCAAGCCTGAACAGCATCTGAAATCACCATGGTGACACATGCTGATTTAGACATGAGTGTACAGTTGCACAGTGTACGCCTGGCCTATAATGAGTCGCCCAGTTAAAGAGTTTGAGTTGACTCTGGCACCCTCTGTGGATGAGGAGGAATAACTTCTGTCTTTGCATATCCAGTGTTTTTGACAACTCCAGTATCTTTTAATTCACAGTGAATAATGACGGAGGAAAGTAAAGGCAGTGTATTAGATTTTATATGACCAGCTTCAGCTCTAAACATGCATCTTAGTACAAAAAACTGAAATGTAGGTGTTTTTTTAATGTCATATTTGTCTCCTACGTTAGTTAAATCCTCGCCGCTCATTTCTTGTCACTCGGCGTCATCTTTTGTTATCTCTGTATTCGTCACTCTCTCTCCTGCCGTTTGTTGCACGCCCAGAAGCCGTGATCCCCACATGCCTCAGTAGCACTTGCCGCCTGTCAGTCACAACACATGTGCCATCACTGCTGTCGGGACGTAAAAGTTTGTCTGAGCAGGAGGGAGGAGGAGGAGGAGGAGGAGTGACAGTCGTTCTTCCGCTGTAGGTTTCATCTATAGATTAAGTTACACTCGAGTACTCGGTGCGGTCGGCGCAGAATGAGCAGCATGTGAGTGTGTGTGTGTGTGAGGGAGTGTGTACATGTGTTTTTCTCCCCGCCCCCCTCAGAGGCCGTCCTAGCTGTCAGTCCTGCTCTGTGAACTGAAGCCTGTAGTCGGAGGAATTCTGAAGTCATCCACACGGAGCAGACAGACAGAGTGGAACAAAAGCCAGAGTTCAGGGAAACACCGGAGCATGTGCTGCGGGCGGCGTGAGCGTGTGTGAGCGTGTGTGTGTGTGACAGAGTCCGTGAGAGTCACACACACTGAGCAGGACAGACAGACTGGAACCTACAGTTAATTCCTTCAGGGTTCTGGAGGACTAAGTCCATCATTGAGAGGTCTGAAGTCATGTGATGGATTCCCTCTTGGCTCCTATCTGGGTGAGTTGACATGAAGTAGCTGTCCTATATATTTTTCTGGAACTAGAGTAGGTGTTTAAGTCGCTCCAGGTGGACGCAGCAGATGGTCAGTAGGTGACTGCTACTAATTACGCTTCGCCTCTGCTGACCTCACCACGCGGGGGGAGGGAGAAGACGGATACAGTAAGAGCAGCAGAGACAGGGAGCGGGGTTGTGAAATGATTGTACCCGTAGTTCAAAAATGCTGCAGGTTCGAGCATGCTCTGCCCTCCTACCTGAAGGAGAAGAAGAAGAGGGAGTCTGATTGACGCTTTGGGTGAAGTCTCTGTTGTGGTTCAGCTCCTGGTTTACGACTGATTGTATGTTTAAGACCAAACCTGCGGGCGTGAAAAATGACAATGATTTACTGTCACACACGTGGATTAAAACTGTGTTTATTTCACACTTTTTAAAATGTAGACACAAGAAAAATCAGTGTAGTAGTGTTCCAGTAAGAGGTCTGGTTTTGTTCAGTAAACTAACCCGTACTCCAAACACATGAAGAGTTTTTAAATCAATGTTTTCTCAGTCTAAACGTCACATTTACTCTCCTTACTATGGCTGCACTACCTTTTCCTTTAGTCAGTGCACTTCCTGATTGGCTGTCTAGTCCTTCCACATGTGACGGTAAACAGTGTGTCTGCTGGGGTCCCATGACACATCAAGATTTGATTTGATTTAACAGCTCCAATAATCTTCCTGGAGAGAATATGTCAGATAAATTTGTCTAGTTGTTCGATGTTTCAGCTGCTTAAATTTCCTCTGAGTCCAGATTTTCTTCAAACAACCAGAAAAACTTTTTTTTTATTTTGTGATGACAAACATTTTTTTGCTCCCACACACTCTCAGCCTTGAACCGTTCACGCAGAATCATTCTCACCCGTGTTTTTGGAGTAAAAAGACAGCAGGCTGTACTATAGCCCACATTGTACTGTAAATAGACTGGTTGTCATGGTGACTGTAGCTTCATATGAGTTTGCAGGAGCAAGTGGAGTGAGTAATCCTACGTCTGCTCTTCATTCAGCCATAATAGAGGAGGTTCGAGTGAAAAGTTCTTAGTGTGTGTGTGTGTGTGTGTGTGTGTGTGTGTGTGTGTGTGTGTGTGTGTGTGTGTGTGTGTGTGTTTATGTGGGATGTGTCCTGATCCTGAACGTGTTTGTGTGTACAGTGTGAGGTAGCTGCTGGCTCCAGGGCTGAAGCGGTCCTCAGCCTGGACCTGCGATCTTCCTCATCCAGCTGTTTCCCGTAGATTACACTAAATGTGTGGACTTGGAGTTAAACAAACAGATTTGTTATCTGGACTTCAGTGGAAAATTGAAGCTAAGTCGCCCCAGACTGAGACTGTTAAAATCTGGTTCTGCTTTCTCAAAAACTGCTGATGAGGTGCCGCTCAGTAACGCCCTGCTGGAAACCGACAATAAAAACTGAACTGGAGCTCCTCCAGGTGTTAATGCCAACAGTTAGACTGCACTGAGTTACTCATAGGAGCGAATGGGCTTTTATTAAGAAGCAGCATTACACACTTCATATGAGGAAGAATCTGGGAAACTCCAGCTGTTGACCTGAGTGAGTCAGCTGACATTAAACACAGCGCTCCAGTGTCCAGGTTCATCTAACAACCATGATAACATTAGAGTTTATGAAAGGAAGTGATATCTAATGGTTGTTTCTCAGCAGCAGGACTCTTCTCCTACAGAGACATACTGATGTAACTCTGTTGACTCTGAACAAGCCAGGTGGACCCTCTACTCTTTAAAACTGAGGATGCAGCATCTATGACTTCCAGTTCTTCGTTGAAAGGACATCTGGACTTACTTGAGACGTTTCGCCACGGTGATCTCCACTCCAGAGTCCTGTCTGTTTTTAATGCCCTGGAGATCAGGACCATCCAGTCCTGGTTTTAGTCCTTGTCCCCCTTTAGTTCAGAGATCTCTCATGAACTTTATTCTGAAACTGTTGAACTGTTCGCTCACGCAGTCTCTTACAGAGTCCGGAACCTCTTCCATCTTCCCTTCTGAGAGACTCACCCTGAAATTTCCACCGCATCTGTTATGGCTCCGATCCGCCTTCTGCCGCACGATGGTTACCATAATGAGTTGTCTCTCTAAAGACAGACACATAGACATATAAGCAGTAGATTGTGTCCATCCAGAGGAGGAAATCTACTTCTAGACTTCTAGAATCAGCATCTCCTCATCCATGGTGTCATCGGGGTGAAATGACGTCTAAAAACCTTTCACTTGTTCGTCTCCGCCCGTTTGCATGGTGTGAAATACGATCCTCCTGAAACACGGAGTGTTTTATTTTGAAAAGAAGCCGGATGTTTTATTTTGTGTCTGTGCCCGACTTCCTTTCCAGCACGGGTTAATCTGTGCTGAATTTATCCGCCAATCGAATCGACATGTTAACTTGAATGGAAACGATCAGCTGCAATCGGCGCATACGACCTTTTAGTAGCCGTTCTGGATGCGGTGGAAATTGGGGGTTAGCCTCTCTGAAATACACTTAAACTTTATCGATCAAAAATTGTTATTACCAACATTTCACATAAACTCTGATGGACCTCAGACTGTGACTTTCCTCCTCTTTGAAAGCCTGATCTGTGTTTTTCTTTTCGTGTCCATCTCTGGAGGCTGTGGCAGATCACTCAGACTGTGTTCGGAGACTTTCTATTTCCAGGCTGCATGAGCCAACTCAGCCGCAGATGCTGACATATGTAAAGCTACGGCCTCAGTGAGGATTTGTAATGCAAGCAAATAAAAATTCATGTATGGATGATTCCTGGTCATGCAGCCGTCCTGGACTGAGAAGAAGCAGAGCGATGTTGTTGGTGGTAGACTGTAACCTGCCCTGCCCTGAAGAAAAGCACCCACCCTCATTAAATGCTATTAGGCTCCGACTTTACTCGACAGCGAGGAGGGGGGAGTAAGAGACGAGCTGGAGGAGGATTTGGAAAGTTCAGCTCAGCAGACAGCTGGCCTGATGTTAGAGTTTGAGTGTTTTAGTTTTTTTGAATGAACTTCAGCTGATGGAGGTTTTTGTGGAGCCCTGAAGAGGCTGCAGGAGTATTTTTAGAGCTCAACAGGAGGCAGACCCCAAGTGGGGAACAGCTGCATGGGCGCCCGTGGCGTTGCCTGTCAGATTAGAGAGGCTACCACTCCTGATAAGAAGGGTCTGGACCACGGCCAAATCCACTCCACCAGGTGGCCGCTGATGACAGAGCCAGACGCCCTGAGACGGACAGGGAGACAGACTTTTTCACGGCTGAGGGTGAGCAGAAACATGGACCAGGAGATGAGAGAGGTTCCTGATTTAGTCCTAGGATGGTGGGAGTGAGTTTTTTATTCTTTAAGTCTCTGCTCGTTCTGGGTGAGGGTGCGGAGCAGAGTCCGTCTTTCTCTGCGTTGGGGTGAGTCTCGGTCCTCAGAGGTTTTTCTCAACGGTTGTACTCGGTGTTCTTGTTTCTGTCCGTGTGTTGATGTTCTGTGTTCCCTCCCTCCTGCAGGCCCTCCCTCACTGAGCAGGCAGAGAGAGGTGACCGTGCCCCTGCCTCCCCCCCACCTCCGACCTCAGACTCCTGCTTCCTGCCCGCCCTCCCACCTCACCTCCAAGTCGGCGCTGAGTTCCCCACTCCTCCTCCCACACCCCCTGAGAGGCGCACGCTTGAGAACCTACCAACCCCACCTGCATCCCCCTCCTCACCTCCTCCTCCTCCTCCCCCAGCCCCTGCCTCCCCTCCTCTACCTTCTGCTCGCCAGTTTGAGGACCACCTCCCTGCCTCTGCACCCTGCAAACCCCCTCAAAGGTATGACAGTTTTGTTGTTAAAAATGTGTTTTCACTCTGAAGCCGTCTTCTTCATCTTCTTCTTCTTTTCTTTGTCGGTCAGAGCTCACAGACCTCACAGTCGATTTGTCTTGTGCTGCTGACACTAGTCTCTTTAGCCTCCTTGATGAAAAGTGGTCATGTCCTTATCCTTTCAACCCCAGATCAGTCAAATTAGGGCATTAAGTCGACATCTGGCACACTGACACACCGTTTAGATGTCGATTCACAGAGCTTCACTAAACCCTGATCATCCACGTAGTTCCCTTATTTCACCTCAAATCTAAGTTTTTGCTCTTTTAACAGAATTTTTTTAGTATTTGTGTTAAATTGTAAATCTGTAAAAAAAAGCTGATAAAGCTACGGTTAAGTTTAGGCAATTAGACAACTTAGTGAATAAAACTTCTGAAAAATTTAGGACTGCTTGCCCTCAAATTTTCAGAATTGCCCATAAAGACTGAGATTTTCCCTGTTGAAACTGGAGGTGTAGAAAAATGTTGAAAGTAGCTTCATTATTACCTGCACAAAAATCACACTGATTGTTTGGTATCTACATCATTTACCCCTCTTTAACTTCATAAAGACATCTGCTCTTTATGACTTCTTCCAGATATTTTTAAGTGGGATGTCAGTAAAGTCAGGGTAAAATATTTCAGCTTTTGCTTTCATGGAGGTGACTTTAAGAAAACAAGAGCTGCTGCTGATTGGTCCAAGAGTGGTCTCTTATTCGTATTATCTGCCCCTGGTATCTTCTTGTGTTGTACTCTGAGCTGATTTCTCCTGTTTTGTGTCTCATTGTGACCGAGATGAGCCGTCAGCATCTCCACTCTCTGCTGCACTGAGCTGCACTGTGCACTCTCATCCTGACAGAGTTAAATTCTATATACATTAAGGATGAGAATTCAAAGTATTCTCCTTGAGAAATCAGTTCAAATCAGTTTGTGATTACAGCAACAAACTGGATATAACTGACTGTAATGCAAAGCTGGAGAACATATAGACGTGTTAAGTTGTTTAACACCCTCAATATATCACCATCTGGATCAGTCTCATGAAAATAACCTCTGTGGACATAAATATATATATTCATGCAGCACAAGGATCAAACTACTAAATAAAAAGTAGCTTTAATCAAACACAAACATAATATTTCACTTATTTCAGTTTTCTGAGTCATTTTCGTCATTGAGGAAAATAAGCTCGCCCACATGGACGGTGACAGTCGAGAGCGCAACTGGGTCACAACCGGTCTGGGGACAGATAACCTACAATCTGGAGGCCCTGATGTTGCTGGTATGCACACCAGATACTCCTGAGCCAGCTTTGCCAGTCCTGGAAATCTCCCAGCATGCTCTGTAAAAAAGCTCTTGACCTTTGCATCTGTTTAGTTCGTGATCGTGATTGCTCCTCAGTTGCTCAATACTCGTTATACATTACTGATCCACACTTAAGTGATGAGCTTAACGGAGAGGAATGCTTCCTACCAGTTTATTTTGGAGTTGGTTTATAACAGATGGGACTAAAAAATCATGATTTATATGCTCCTTTCTTCCTGGACCAAGTCAGCAAAAAGCAGTTTTTCTGAAGAGGCATAAAAAGAAGTCAGCAGCACAGATGGTCCCGTTTGCTTTTGTAGGTCATATAGAGGAGTGTGTATAAATTTAGCCTGTGTTAAAAACCCTCACAGGAGCTTTAATTCTGTGTGCAGATCCTTTATATTACGCGCAGCATGATTCAAAATAAACCCCGAGGAACTTTTGAGCAAACCACGTCATAAAATTACAGACGAACTCTGCTGTTTGTTAATGTATGAAGGAGCTGCTCATGGAAACTCCTCTGTAAACTGTGTAATTGTGGCTATAGGAGGAGAGTCAGAGTCCAATCTGGATCTTTTCTGAGCACTTCCACTCCACTTTATTTCACTATTAACACAGCTCGTCTCTTCATACCCACTCAGAGTATTAATGACCATTTTAGTGAACCTGATCTGAGTGTGTAGCACCCTTCTGTCGGCACAAACACACTGACTTTCATTCATAACTCTCCTCATTGTTTAACCATCAGGGCAGGGTCCTCTCTCCTCCCACGTCGCTCCTCTGGAGTCCTCCTCGGATTTGTAATTTACCAGAAAGACTATTAAAGAGGGAATGACTCAGCCACTTTGACAGCGCGCTTCTCTTTACGGCCAGCAGGGGGAGTTTTCCCCTCACAGAGCCCAGAGTTCATGTCCAGCCTGTGTCTGCTCTCTGCTGTCTGGATGCAGCACAAGGAGACAAACCAGCGCTCATAGTTTCCAACACGCATCAATGTTTTGACTTGATGTTTGACTGAAAACTGGCCGACATGACGGAGCGCCGCTCCTTCACTGATGGAGTTGACTGTCTGAGTCTGCAGCTGCTGAATCTGAATGAGTCATTCTCATTTTATGTTAAAAAAATTATAAAGTTTCTAACTGCACAGCCCTGTCTCATTACATTTAAAGATTATAACCTTTATTTTGATTTCATAAAATAGACCAAATCTGAGGATATAAAATTCACAACCGATATAAAGTCGTCTCTAAAACACGGTGGTCTGTTTGAAAAGACTCCAGGGTATTTTTTATAACCCTGTTTGTCTTCCTAAGTACCTCCCTCGCTCGGTGAACACCAGAGTTTTTATAAGACGAGGCTCTCATGGTGTTGTTTATTATTTATGATATCAGAGAGGAGCGTTACAGAGATCCAGAGAGGGCAGAGACGTTTACTGAATATTAGGACTGAGTGACACAGCTGGTCCTGAAATACAGGGATTTATACCATCACACCTGCAGATAGGACAGTATGAAGTATTTATAGGAAGAGTATATTCAGTTTAAAAACACTAAAACCTCCAATATTAACTCCTAACACTCACAGTCCTAACGTCGATACCTGATGTGTGTATTTTTCCACCTCTTCTACTCTGAAAACAGTGAATCTGCGGAGCGGCTCCCTCACGTTTTACTCTCCTGAAGAGTCCCTGATGGTTAAAAATGAAAAAGTGATTCCCCTGAAACTTCAGCTTTAATCAGCGGCTCAGGACTCCTTCATTCTTAAAGTGCAGCTGGATTTGAACATTCAGTGGAGACGGTCTGAGTAAGATTAAAATCTTACTATAAATAAAACTTTAATGGCATCAGGACACGTGTGCAGGTCGGACTCTTTTTAGTGACGTGCATATCGCTGCTCTTACAAGGAGAGATGAAATGCGTCTGAATGAAACATGTTTAGAGAACATATTTCTGAAAACGCAGACAGGAGAAGTCTGTTTTTTCAGACACAGCCCGAGGAAATTGATCCCACGAGTGATAGTTTATGAGAGCAGTTCATCTTTTCTCCGACTCCTCCCTCCCTGATCTGCAGAGCCGGTTCAATAACACACAAGATGCATTTAGATAGTTCCACCTCGGGGTGAATGTTATCCTTTTTAATGCACACACAAATCAGTCAGAGGCCCTTTAATCCTAACTGTGTCATCATCAGGGATGTTTGTCTGCAGCTGCAGCATCAATTCCAGCTTCTCTGGAGCGTCTGAATGAGTGTGAGCGAGAATTAAACATCATTCAAATTCAGCTTTTTAATCAGTTTCTGTTGAATCAGCTGCAGGAAGTCATTCATTTGGTTTTATCACCTGCTCAGTCTGGTAAATTTTCTAAGACGCCCCTCAGGAGGTTTTTGTGTTGATGAGTTTCTGTCTTTGTGCTCCTCCCACCCTCAGGGTTGTGTTTTCGTTGGTTAGTGCCAAATTCTGCTCAGATTTCTTTAGTATTTAGTTTCATGATGCAAAGAGAGGGTGCAGCACTTTTACAGGACTCTTCCAGTATGAAGCAGAACTGTAAATGAACACAGAGGATGTCTGTTTTGCAGACACAGCCTGAGGAAATTGATCTGAGTTACTCCTGATGCTTTATGGGAAGGTGCAGCCAAGTGTGGTCGAGCAGCAGTTTAGGTTTTATTGCAAACTGCAGTTTACATCATCTTCAGGAATCCATGTAAGCACGATGAATTCAGCATCTGCGCTCCTAAAAAACCTGTTTTTATAACTGATTCAGGTGAAGCTGCAGGACTCCTTTATCACCTACAGAGAGAGCTCCTTATAAACTGTTCAACCCGAGTTTGTGATCCTGTCCTCAAGATTATTAGAGTCTATAAGAGACATGATGAGTATGCAGTTTATCCACCTCGGTTTATTTGAGTTCAGCAGTTTTGGAGAGGATAACATTTCAGCTCAAACCGGTTTGACAAAGACGGCTCACATTTCTACTCCACACTCCTGTTTCTGCTTTAAACAAGATGTTAATGTTTCTAAGATGGAGCATCTTTCATTAACAATATCACAAATGGACTTTTTTAAACCGGGCTGCACCAGCGTTGGAGAACTGAAACACCACATTCATAATGTGTGTGAGTATTTAAGACAAAGTGCACAGGTGACCGATGAAACTCTGATGATTTAATAATCGGCTTAAATCCCCTCAGAGGAGCTGCAGGCGTCAATCTGAGCCCATAAAAACAAAAGTCAGAGTCTGCAGAAAAACATTCACTTCTCAATGAAGGACGTTGGATTAGCATGAATGTAAATATGACAGAAACCGGCCGAGAATAAAGAAGACTTCACGTTGACTCTGCAGCAGCAGCGGTGGCGGCGGCGGTGGAGAGTGACCCTGATTCCTCCAGAGCGCTGTTATGAATCTTTAAGTAAACTGCCAACGCCATATCTTCCACTGCATGAGTTTGTTGAATTTTTCATTCCTCCATTTTCTTCAGCCTACAGCTGAAAGCAGAGAGCAGAGCCGGCTCTTAAAGAACCCTGAGAGGATGTTTATTTCACTCGTTCAGAACAATAGGAGGTTCACAAACACGCGCTCTGCTGCCCCACATACATCTCTGAACCAGAGACCAGGGTCTGCGCGGGGTTACCGATCAATATTAGTGCTTTAGCAGGGGGTCTGTGAGTGGGTTACATTTTTACATGTCCCCTCAGGCTGGGAAACATCGACCACATCGATATTCATCAGTTAATGGACTCCACGTTTACACCCAAACACTCTGGTGTTCGGAGGGACACAGACTCTGGGTTTCTGTGTCCTTTTGTTCAGTCGGTCTTTTCAGGGATTCGACACCTGAAACCTGTAAATCTGAGTGAACAGAGGCGCTGCAGGCTGGTTTCACTGTTGTAGTTTCCTGCTTTCCTCACTTTCCCATGAGCGTACAATAGAGTTATTCTTCTCATATTTCCACAGCGCCTGATCCTGCCTCAGTGACCATCCCGCTGCAGGACAGTTTCACCGACTGTGTCACACGTGGTCAGACCGAGTATCATCTCCGCCGCTGCTGCTGCTGCTCTTACTGTCTTTGTTGCAGGTCATGGTTTGATGAGAGTGCCAGTAAATTAGATCAGCAGCTGAGTCTGCGGCCGGCCCGGGGATTCAGCAGAGGCAGTTTTCATTAAGAAATGTGGGCGCTCTGATGTCAGGAAGCATACGTCCCTGTCTCTGCAGCTCAGAGTGACCCGTCTGTGATGATGATTCAGTTTGATTTTATTGTTTTTTCATGTGAAGATAATACTCCAGCACAGACAAATAACCCTAACATTAAAATACACTCTCAGATTACAAATAGAGCCACACCTGGGAGATACTTCAGGACACTCCAGCTGCTCTAATCGGCATGAGTCACAAGTACCCCCCAATTAGACCGTCTGTTTAAGAGATTAGATTAATGGTCTCTGCTCTGCTCGGCCAATACCGTCACTGCAGTGCAGAGGTGCGGCACACATGCCAACAAAATCCTGCTGCAAAGTTTGACAAGAGCTCAAAGTACCAGGATGTTAGAAGATGATCAGAACTGTTCCAGTCTGAGCCTCTCGGGTTTTTCATGTCTTATTTTTAAGACTCGGTCAAACAACCATGCAGCAGGTTTAATCTTCATCTACGGGGGCTTTGGTTCGACGCTGTGACTCAAGAAGACTCGTTACCAAGTCATTTATGTTCAACCATGGATGAGAATTGATAAGATTTTATTGATATTGATGCCATTATTGATTCTGAATATCGATTCAATTCTTTAACGATTCCCTTATCAATGCCGCTGATAAAAAAAAAAAGTAGACGATAGGTTTTTACCGTTAATTCAAAATTTTATTGAGACTGTGATAACTGAAGAAGATGTATGCCACACTTTCAGCCTACTTTTCGTACCGTCTGCCATGTTTTTTCCCTCAAAGTCTCTGTTTCGGTTCCCGTAGACCGCCTCTTGAGAGACCGTTTTTCAAGGCGCGGGGAAGAAGGGAATCATTACGATAAAATGTAAATGATGTTGATGGAATGAACCGTTTTGATTTCCATCCCTGTTTACAACTGCGCTGCTTCAATTAACCCATGATGCTTTATTAATTGGAGGGTATTCAGTTTGTTTTAACTGTCCTTCTATCTTTTTGGTAATTTATATCCTGATTTATTCCCCGTCTCAGTTACACAGTAGTGTTGCTCTGTGTTTTCCTTAATCTATTTTTTTCTTTTTATAGATTATCTTATTTCGTTAAAGCCTTTCACATATCCTACTCGTGAGTGAGGATAATCTCCCAGTTGACATTTTTAGTGTCTTTGCTAAAGCGTACAAGACTGTATCATCTGCAAACAGCTAACAGACAGCCTACTGACAGCTTTTATTATTATTATTTCATTTATAAAAAGGGTGAAAACTGGAGAGCCCAACACTGAGACTTCATGAGCAAATACTTAAAAAACTGTAAACAGTTCTGGTCACATTCTTTAATAAAACAACAACAAAGATTTGATGGAGTTGAAGGTTTTGGAGGATTCGTCTTCTCTGTTGTGTAAATTCACGCTGGTGCAGAGCTCCTTTCTAAGTTGCTTGAATGAAAGAGGATATAATAGGGTCAGAGTTGAATAATGCACACACACACACACACACACATAGTTTTCCCAGAGTCTATTGTTTACTTCAGGCATCACTCTGGTTGGCTACGCTGAAGGCTGGAAGCTTCCATTGTGTGAAAAGGAGGCGCAGAAATGACAGTGTCACTCAGCCGGGAGGAGAGGAAAGAGAGGGAGGAAACGGAGACGGAGACCGACGGGCTGAAGGAGAAAACCTCTGTGAGATGTTGGCGTTTCAGGGGTCTGCCATTGTTTAGCTCCCCTGCATAGTGGCGAGAAAAGCTGCTTGTCTTTTTAAAGGCGCCGGGGGCTGGAGTCAGGGGAGAGAGTGAAGGGGAGAGAGGGGGGAGGAGGCAGCAGCAACACAGCTCAGCGATATCAGAGAGGAGGACCTCACAGACTCGTGCACGGCAGCAAGAAAGCAGGATTATTGTTTCATCCTGTTTGTTTTGGATTATTCGCTCTGTGACATTCGCTCCTCTTGGGTTACGTCTTATTTTGTCGGTGCTCCACATGAGGAGCAGGAATATTCACGGTCTGCAGAGGAGCAGAGGCTGAGGATGCAGAGCACAGAGTCAGGAGCCTCTTAATCATCCGCCGCCGCTCTGCTCCTGATGCGAGCAGGAGTCGCTCATCCTCTGCACTGCAGCACAGAGAGCTCCGCCGCCGCCGCCGCCGCTGCTGCTCGCTCCGTCTGGCACACGCTGCCAACCTCGTCTGCAAGGACCGGAGCGAGAGAGGGGAAGGTGTTTTCAGGGGGGGGAGCAGGTGGATGTGGAGGGTGGCTGGAGAACAGCAGCAGGCAGGGGGGAAGGGGGGGGAAGAGCTAGCCGAGGATGGGAGCCAACGAGTCCATGGAGCAAGGACAGACCCCCTGTCCCTCTCAAGAACACATGTGAGTCTAACTTCAGATGAAACCCCGTCTGAAGGTTTGATCTCTTTGTTTGGAACAGAGCTTTAATCGGTCTGCGGTACAATATCAGTCTTCATTTCTGTCTACAGTGTGATGTTCTCTGCAGGTTACATCCACTGAGTGTAACTATGAGAGAGACTATTGTTGCTTTTATTGTTGCCAGGTGATCAGCCTCTGTCAGACGCTGCTTTTCTCACCTCTCAGAGTTTTAATTCCTTTCCTTCTCTCACGTCATGAATCCTTCTTTTATTTACACGCTAACATCAAGTGCTGCACACTGACCACGTTATCCTTATTGTTGTTGTTGTTTTTGTGATGTAAATAAGGAGGAGAGAGTCGGCGCATGTGCAGACACGTGCGCTTCATTATGCCGAGGCTTTGTACGGCGCGTACGGGCGAAAACGTAAGAACCAGAATTAGGCAACCAGTGCAGTAGGTGCCGCTGGGAGGCTGGGAGGCTGTGAGGCTGGGAGGCTGGTGGGGTGATGTTTTTGTTCTGCGTGAAGGAGGACGTGAGAGCCGCTGAGGGAGCAGGAGCTGGTGACGGTGTAGAAATAGAACACGCTGTGAGGGGGTGGAGGAGGACGAGGAGAAGAAGTTAGAGTCAGAGAGAGGAGGAAGAGTGCTCCACTTTACTGTGTTTTATTTATATCTCAGACACGCCGCTGCACAGGGGAACGAGGACCGGGGGAGAAACAGAGGGAGGGAGGGGGGAGGAGGAGTGTTTGAGCCTCCTGTAATGTAGGAATAAATGATTTATTACATCGTACAGTTTTTTTTATTTATTAAAGTCTGTCCACAGAAGACTGAGGATGTAGATGAAAATACCAGCTGCAGAGAGCAGACCTGGTTCTGCTGGGAGGTTGTGTAAGCGGTTTTCATCCAGGTGTGGAGAGCACCTGAACCATCACTAACAAGGACTGTGAGGCTCTAAACTGAGTCTGAAACAGATTTTCAGGTTTTAGTCCTTAGAGTCAGAATCAGAGTCCGGGTCGTGTTGTGGTGGAGTCCTCAGCAGTAATCTGACTGATCTCAGTGTCTGGACCTTCGGTTTGGACCCCCTCCTCTCTGCTGCTCTGACTCCAGACTTGACCCGGTGTTGTTTAATGTGCCATCTGCTCGCAGTTAAAGTCTCAGATTAGGCCGGATGAGGTATTACTCCTGGAGATTATCTCAGTCTGACACTCTTTGTGTCCTCGCCGGCTTCTTTGTTTTGGATTTCCTCGACAAAGGGACGCGCAGCTCTCTGCTGATTGAAGTTGACATCAGTCTGGACTGAGAGGAGGACATCTGCTCCATCAGACAAACCCTCTCTGACTCCGTCTGTTTATATCTGAACCTGCAGAAAGGTGCAGAGTGATCCTCCGTGAGTTTTCATTTCCTGAGGTCGGAGCACAGAGCTGCTCCCTGTTCACCACATCACATCTGTGTCAAACTGCAGAGGCTCTTATAAAATGAAAAAAAAAGAAAAGGATTTAGTGTTTTTCACAGTGTGTACAGTGTGTATGATGTAATACTTCTTCATCATAAGTCATCACAGAGAGAAGAGGACAGGAGCGCCCTCTGTTGGTTTGATTCAGTCCACATAGCTGAGGATAATAATAATACATGTGCTTTTTAGTGTGTGAATTTTGGAGATGAGTGTTTGCGTTAATGGAAATCTTAATAACTGTCTTTGAATATGCAGTTTAGTTCATGTTCATCAAAAAGAGTTTAATATTTACACACAACAATCATCTATTCAGTGGTTTTACAGGGAGAGCAAACCTCTCCTCTGTTTCATCTGTAGAGCAGTTTGCAGAGGCCCCACATGAATTCATCTGATGAAAAACTACAGTTCTTTGTTTTACCCAGATTAGGGTTATTCCCACCGAGCATTTTAAAAGACGTTAAATAGACGTCTAATGAACGTCTGGGCTAAAATCGGTCTATTACTGGTCTAAATATGAAGGTTTTTTTTAGCCGTCTAATAGACTAAACTAGACTGTACACTGACCAAGACTGTTAAAAATGTTTGAATCCTACATTTGGCCAACATTTATACCACCTACAGTTTTTAATTAAATATTTAATAATTAATGGATTAAATTCTTTCGTCTAGATTTGTGATAAAATACAGACCGATTATAGACGGGCGGATTTCTGTCTAAGCCTCAGTGGGGTGTTACTCGTTTTTTTTGGTACACAACTTTACACTTCTCTTTTTTCAAAACAAACAAAAATCATATTTTATTTATAACACTTCATACGACGTTATATTGAAGTGTTGTGGTTTCTAAACTGCTAAACTGTTTCACTTACACTGAGAAAAATACAGACCGAGCTTCTTTATTTTCATGTTTCTCAGACAGACATGCAGCAGGTTAATAAACAAACTCATTATGCAAACAGCTGATCACAAATCTGTCTAATTAAAGATGTAGGATATCCAAATATAGATGTCTGCTGTCTGTTTGAAGAGATAGATGATGAATGGATAAGAAGGGGGCGGGGTTAAAGGTAAAGAGAAAGAGATGATGGTTGTGTTTACACAGACGAGCTTAAAGATGGAGCGAACACGCAGCATCAAACCCACTGAGGCTAATCACACCGCCATCCCTCCATTTATCCCCCCATCAGTTTTATCCAATCACAGCTCATCGCTCCCGTACAGAGACGTCATAGTCAGCTTTTATCCTAAACAAAGAACTGATGAGAATCCATGTTTGTGTTTTAATGTCCTCAGAGGAGAACAGGTCAAATAGAGACGGGGTTTGTTTTACGTGTCGGTGCAGCCCTGTTCCTCCTCCTCTCCCCTCCGCTCTGTGAAAGCTGTTCAGACAGTCGGGGTTGGACTCGGCTGAGGAGAGCTCAGACACGTCAGACTGTCTGAATCGCAGCTTCTTCCTCTTCCTGCTGCTGCTTCACGCTGCAGAGTCTCTGTCTCCGGGCAGTCCTCTCAGCCTGAGAGACGCTGCTAATAACCGCTGCTCTCTTTGTTTCTATTCGCCCCCGGATCCCGACTGCTCGCCCACACGCTGCTTCTCCTCTTTCGAGGTTTAGTCTGTATCCAGGTAACACAAAATCTGCCCAAGGTTTACACATATTTAAAGAGTCTAAACGCAGAATAAACTATAAATTCCCCCTTTTTTTAATCTAGACATATTCATTTCCTGTCTGCAGGATGATGCTGATGCAGCCGTCGATTCCCCATAAACCTTTAATTTCTCCTCTCATCATAAAACACCTTCACTGCACCTCCTCGGTTTGTGTGTTTGTGTGTTTGTGTTGGATTGTGTTGGATTGTGTGCCTCCAGCCCCTCTGATTTTCTTTTCCCCCTTGCATCCATCCTAGTGGAACATATGGCGGGAGCAACCTCTTGTTACCATAGCAACACAGTGTTTGCAGTCACATGAAAACCCTCCTCTGCAGGGAGACAGTCCAGGGCTGAAACAGGCGCTAATCACCTCATTGTTTCACCGTTTTCAGTTTAATTACCTTGTTTTGTGAAATTAGCAGTTTTTACACATGAAGACAAAATATCCAGAGGGCGTAATCCCCGATAATCCCTGAACCTCAACAAGGACATTTGGATATAGGAGGTTTATTCCTGAATATATGCATGAATAAGGAAAACAAAGACGTACAAAATAAATCATCCGAACAAAAGAAAACGACCAAATCTGCAGCGTTAACAGCTGGATAAGAAGTATAAGTCTGCTTTATATTCCTCTTCAGTCTGACCATCTGACACTAGGATCCTGGTCCCAGTTACTGATCCAGATGGATCTCCAGTCAGACCAGTCTGATCCTGCTGGGACTCAGAGGTCCCTCACTGAGATTACAGCTTCTCCACCATGTGCTGCCGTCTGCTTTCGCACCAGAAAACCCTGAAAGTAACGGAGGTGATTAAAAGGCTCCTGGATTAAGGATCCATTAACCGTAAAGTTAGTGAACATTTGTCACTTTGGATCATGAGTTATTGAGTTTCCTCGACAGAACACGTCACAGACCTGGACCTGGAACATCATGTTGCATCTGAACTTGCATATCTGCTGTCTCATGGTGTCTCAGGGCCCTTAGGAGAGGATTTCAGAGAGAGGAGAGAAATCAGTGATAACCACAGATACAGGAGAGCAGCCTTTACTCAAGACACGCCCCCTGTGTCAAATACCACTCTCTGATTGGACGCTGTAGCACACTGGATTTAATTGAAACTCCAGTCAGTGATCAGCTGGCACAAGAAGAAGAAGTCTTCACTTTCTCTTCCTCCCATCTCTTCAGACATCTCGATCTGAGACGTATTCAGGGTCTTAACTTTCATAATAAAGACCTGCGATCTTATTAACGGCTCACGTCTCATGACTGTCACGGTCCAGCTCTTATTTGATCCATGTCTGCTCGTATCCGTGACAGAGCACCCTCACAGGAGGCAGGAAAGCCTGGAGTTGATCCCTTTAGATCGGCAGGATCAATAAGTCGTATAGATTTGCGGGTGTCACCTCACAGGGAAATCCTCGTCTTCATGCTCTTGGATTTGAGACACAGTGGCCTTCTGTTACGGCAAACTGAAATCTCTGCAAAATCAGTTTAACTCCGTCTTTATCAATATCTGTGAAAACATCTTTGTTTGGAGACCCGGATCTGGGTTAGTCTGGACCTTTTTAAACAGGAAGACTATAAATTATTCAGTCTTTGGTCTTTAGAGCATCAGAAAGTTTCAGAAAACCTTATGACAGTTTCTTCAGTTTGCTTCTTTTTTAGACTTTTATTGACAGCAAAATAAAAAACTTCCTTCTTTGAAACGTCAAAAAGCTGCTCGATGTTACACTCAGGAATCTGCTCCCTGCAGTTTTTGACATTTCTGCAGAAAAAAATCTCAAAGGTTTTGATTTTGATTGAAATACTCGTCCAGCTTTGTTCTCCTCTCAGCAGATCGTCGCAGCTTTCATCAAACTCGGTGCAGATAGAAGTAATGAGCAAGCTTTATCAGGAGGAGAGGTTCGTCCAGATCGTCTTTGTTGATACAGCAAAGATGCTCAGGAGCAGAAGAGGGAGGGAGGGATATGGAGAGAAGAGAGAGAGAGAGCGAGAGAGAGAGAGAAAATGCAGGCGAGGCGAGGCGGTGGTCTTCTGCAGCCCGTCTCATTTAGATTGGGAGACATCAGCTCCTGGCGGGGAGGAGTGGAGACCGACTGATGTGGCTACAGCTGACAAAAGGAGCGACGTGAGAGGACTGAAGGTGTAGATTAGAGACAAAAGGAGCTCGATAGAGAGAAAAGGAGAGGAGGACTGAGAGGAGGTGGTGCGTCTACCTGTGTGTCAGGCGGCTAACGTGGTGCGGAGAGGTGCAGCCCACCGGCAGCCATGGCAGTGAGTGCGTGGCAGGCTCTGTCTCCACTGCAGTGGGCTCGCTGGGGCTGGGACACTCTGCTGGGAGGGGCCGGAGACGGGGACAGTCCCAGTTCAGATCCGACTCTGGGGCTGCTCCGGAGTCTCTCCTGGGGCTCGCGGCATGACAACCTGATCAGGGAGGCCGGGGAGCTGGTCAGACAGAGGTGAGACAGGAGGAGGCTGAGGCAGTTATTGATAATAACCGATCAATAGAGCCTGGAGGCTGAACGTCAGGTTATCTGGTGAGCTGGCTTTGTGTGAATATGTGTGAAGGAGAAAAATCAATATTTCTTTTTCTGAGGAGGAGAATAACCACTAACACAGTTCTGCTTTCTTCGTGTGTTCAGTCTACTGTCGAGGAGAAATCAGTCCGATCTTTGTTCCCGATCTTTGTTCCCGATCTTTGTTCCCGTCTTCGTTTCACTTTTTCTTTGTCAGATCCAGAGGTGGTCTTGTGTGTAGATAGGTTTGGCTCGTGTGTGTTGAGGTGGGGTCATTATGTGTCTCAGATGTGCAATTATCTGTCGCTTCACTGCAGATTCAGCGTTTTCATTTGAAGCCATAAGGTCCATAAAACTGCTCTGCAACACAAGCTAACCCGGAGCGAGCGGCGTATTAAAACTGCTAACATGAGTGATAACAGCATGACGATAAAGAAACTGCTGATCAAAACTCTGTAAAGAGGTTTTAAAGACCTTTGAATGATAGAAGAATTTAAAGAAATGTAGATTATGGAGTTTATATAGTTCATTACAGTCTGGATGTTTGTTATTATGGGGTCACTTTGATGATCCATGGATCTCTGGTTAATGCAACAGTGTTTGTACTCTTCAGGAGCTCCACTTTGGTTTGCATTAACTAGATATGGACTCACTGAAGTCCAAGTGTGATTACTCTCTGACATCCAGTGATCCCTCGTTAATGTAACCGCTTCTGTTCCCATCAAGAGTTCCAGTCTGGTTGCTTTCTCTGTTTCATACTATTCCATTAAGTGTTGTTATAAGGTGCAGAATTTCCACAGTAATTTTGTTTACTTTCTGCCGTCCAGTGATCCCTGGATAATGCAACTATTTTTGCACTCTTCATTATTTCCAGTTTGGTTACTCTCTCCGTTTCATACTTTTATATTCAAAGTCAATGTGATTTGCATTTATATTTAGTCAGTGAAAATGCAACATTTCACTCTTCAGGAGTTCCACTTTGGTTGTTATCTATTTATTTGTACTCCAGCAGTCAGTCAGTGTCTGTAATTAACCTCTTAATGATGTCAGCCCTCGTTGGAACATGACATCCAAAAAAACTGTGTCTGAATTTGAAGTGCTCTCTTTGTCACATATTTATGTGTTTTGTTCAGATTGATTTTTACGTAATAGCCCTTTTTTAAAGAAGTGGATGCCTTAAACAAAGAAAAAACCTTTGATGTGTCTCTACGTCTGTCCTGGACGTTCAGGTTTTTAAAGGACAATCAGGGACACTATAAGGATTAGAGACTTTGATACCGATATAACCCGGTTTCTTTTGATTGGCACTTATAGATTCACACGGAGTCGAGGATTAAACATCACCGCTCATTAGCTTGTTGTCACTGTGATCGTTTTCGATGTTGGTCAAACTGAAAACTGGACACAACAGGGTTTAATATTCGCTCCCCTTCGTTAGTGAAACCAACAGACCGTACAGATACTTCCGTCTTTACACCATAAACTTCATGAATACGGTGAATTAAAAGTGATCTTGTGTCTGAGCTCATCCTCTCATGACGTCAGTGTCAGTGATCCGGATTCAGTCCAGGAGATATCAGAGTGATTCAGAGCCGCTTTGACTCAACGCCTCCTTATTATCCTCCTCTCTCACAGGAGCTCAGACTCGGATGGAGCCTTTGAGACCCCTGAATCCACGACTCCAGTGAAGGCAGCTTCTCCAACAGAGCCTCAACTCCAGCTGCTACCGTCTGATGACAAAGGTAAAGTAAGAGCATCCCAAAGAGTCAGATTGTTGCACCATCTAGTGGAATAAAGATGTACTTCTCACCTGGGGGGTTATCTCTAGGAACAGGCTGACCAATCAGCTCCGTCTGTCTTATGTGGTCATTTTTCTTGGCTCTCAGTCCCACTCTGAGACTCTGACTGAATCATTTAAAGCAGATTTATCTCTATGATTGCAGAAGTCGTCTGCAGCTGTTCTCTCTGCAGGATCACACCTGATAAAATCTGAAAATCCAGATTCAGATTTCTCTTCTTAAGCAGCTGCATTAAAGCTCTTTCGTCTCTCTGTTTCTTCGCAGTAGCAGACGTCTCAGTCGCTGATCCTGCCCCAGACTTAACCCCGGCAGACAGACCCTGCAGATCCCCGTCTGTGGTGTTCGATGAGGACAGACCCATCGCAGCCAGCGGCACCTACAACTTTGAACTTTTGGCCTCGGATTTAACGAGTCCGACTCTGACTCGATCCCAGAGCCTCCAGGGAGGAGAACTCGACGGTGCAGACCTGCTCGACGGATCGTCTGCGGGAGGTTTTCGTACACACTCAGAGTCCTTCAGCGTGGGCAGCGGGAGCGCTCCCGGGACCCTCCACAGACCGAAGAAAGTCCGTGCAGGCTCTTTGAAAAAGAAACCCCTCCTCAGACAGAACTCTAATCCCGAGAGTCCCAGACCAGCATCATCCAGTAACACCCCTGAGGTCAACAGGAGGGCGAAGCCGCGGACCTCCAGCCCTCTTCAGGCTCCGGAGGAAGCAGACGGAGGATCTGCAACCCAGAGCCCTGGAGGAACCCTCCGGAAGACCAGGAAGAGCCGGGTGGTGACCCCTCCTCCTCTGCCAGAGGAGACGAACAATCCCGCTCTAGAGAAGAGCCTCGTCACGCCCGCCTTACCCCTGTGCCAGGAGGAGACCCCACTTCCTGGAAGCTCCCCGGGCCCAGAAGAATCCCCCATCCCCCCCAGCGGCGCCTACAAATGGGATCCAGAAAACTTTGAGAACATCAACCCCTTCAAGACTGGAGGCAGTAAAATAGCAAATTCTCCAGTTCTGGGTCGTAAAGATCCGGTCTTCGCCCCCATTCCAGACTTTCCAGAAAGCCCCCCAGTCTGTGCCGTAGAGCCGAGCCCCCCGGTTCTCCCTCAAGAGCCGATCACCAACCCAGAGGAGCAGCCCATCCTCCCCAAACGTCAGCCGGTAAGGCTGGAGTTTGACTACTCTGAGGAGACCAGCGAGGCGCCGCAGCAGGCCTCTCCCCCACCCAAGAAGGTGGGCAAGAAGCCGGGCGCCAAGATGCCTCTGAGGAAACCCAAACTGGGGCTGAAGAAGGCCCCCCCAGCTCAGACCGAGCAGCTGGACAACAACCCCCCGGAGTCTCAGAACGGGAACGATGAGGAGATCCCCATCCACAAACCGTACAACTTTGAACCCGACAAATGGGACGATCCGAACTTTAACCCCTTCTCCTCCAAGAAAGGGATCAGAAACTCGCCCAAACTGTCCAGACCCTCTTACACCTTTGACCCCGATAGCTTCGATGACTCTATAGACCCCTTCAAATCCTCCAACAAGATGGCCAACTCCCCTCCCAAAGCCTCCGCCTCGTTCGAAGTGTCGACCAGTGACTTTGACAACGAGAACGAGAACGACAACATCGCAGAACTGGAGGACCAGAACCAGAACAAACCGGCCAAGAAGAAGAAAACTCCCATCAAATCGTAAGTTGACGTTCGATTTTTCACGTAGGAAGATTTTCATCCTTGTCGGTGAGTCTGTGTCTGTTCCTGGTCCTCTCGTCTACTGCCTTTTGTCTGTCTGTCTGTCACCTGTGTCTGTGTATTCTCATATGTCACAGGAAGTCCAAGGGTGTGTCTTCTCTGTGTTGTCTCTTGTAAGTACAGGGACAACACAACCACCTTCACTTTCTAACCCCCTAACCTCCTCCTATTAACACCAACCTTCACTCCCTTTATACTCACGATCACATGATCTAATCCGGTTCATTTTGATTGGAGGAAACCTGCTTCTTCAGTTCTGTTTGAAGCTTTATGTTGCATACAATAATCTCGTCTGTCTAAGTGTTGAGTGTAATGTCACCGTGGTGCATTTATAATCTTAGAAACCTTTGAAATTAATGCAAATGTCCAAAAATTATTCAAGCCTGTATTTGAGAGGGAAGTGAATCGTTGATATTCATGTATTCGGGCCGCACAATCAGCTCAGTCTAATCTGTGATCGTGATTTTGGGCGTGCTGCCGCCGAGTAAACAAGATGGATGGTGTTCGTGATGTAGAAAACTGAACTGGTGAGGCTTGTCACCGAAACTAAGAGGGCAGACAAAAACAAAAGCAGCAGAGCAGGATGAGAGCAGGTGTGTGTTAGTAAAGCAGAGGGACAGAGGGAGCAGTCCAGTCCAGTCTAGTCCATATACCATATGTCTCTGTCAGCATCAGCGCTTCTGTGTTTCCAAACTTTTACTAACGGAGAAGGTGATTCAAATTATTTCATTAAAAAACAAACAGAAGTGATTAAAACATTTAATGTGGAGAGCTGAGCCACAGACAGACCGATTTAACCCCTGATCTTTATAATAACTGTGATATTAAATTAGTAAAAATAGACCAGGTGTAAAGATAGATATGAATATATAGATATTAAGATATAAATTCAGATCCTCAGAGGTAGAATCGACAGATCTGAGCAGGAACATAAACGATGATTTTATTTTATATCATACAAAAGAGGTCTTTATTTGTCCTCTACATGCAGGAATAATCTATTCATCAAATCCACTTATTATATGAGTCTGTAAAAGGAAGCGAAAACAAAATCCCTCAGTGAGGCAGAGAGAGAGAGAGAGAGAGAGAGAGAGAGAGAGAGAGAGAGAGAGAGAGAGAGAGAGAGAGAGAGAGAGAGAGAGAGAGAGAGAGAGAGAGAGAGAGAGAGAGAGAGAGAGAGAGAGAGAGAGAGAGAGATATCAGGGTGAAACAAAGAAGGTTCTTGTCTCCCTCTAGTGGTCATTACTGGTATTTGTTAAACTCGATGTAAAGGAACATGGCTCATAAGTCATAAATTGACCTTAATTCGTCTCATTTTCTTCTACAATGCTGAATTGAAGACTGAAGTAAACACGTGTACAGATTAACCAGATTCATGTTTTACATTCTGAATTAATCTGAAACAACAAACACAGTCAGAAATAAAACACCTAAAAAAAAGTAAATTCACACCTGAAATAAAGAGTTAGGACAGGTAACTTTTCCATCATTTCCACAACATTCATGTCTATAAATCATCTCCCTGTGGATCTGTGTGTACGTTAAAACTTAATAATCGCTCACTCACGGTCTGGACTTTGCAGTTACTAACAAACCGGTTTAATCCTCTTTCCAACATTCCTCAGTTTCATTCATTTCAGCCTCACGTAGAGCGCAGTAAGTAGTCCCGTTAGAGAAACTGTAACTCTGATTTATGTCCATGTTTGTCCTGATTAATGATGTTCAGCAGATATCAGAGACCTGTGAGGAGAGTCTGGACCTCCATGTCTGAGTCTGTCTCTCTTTTTCTCAGTAATACTTTCAGAGTGAAGCGGTCGCCAAAGAAGTCTCCTCTGTCTGAAGTTTGTCAGGTCTGTACCTCCTCCTTCTTCTTCTTCTTCTCTGTAAACCTCTCACGGTCAGTCCGCCTCCAACTCTGACAACGCCGCCTCTTTTCTGCAGCAGGAGCCTCCGCCCACAGATGAGCCGTCCTCTATGCACACGCAGGACGACCACGCCACAGACGAGGAGAAGCTGGCCTCTTCCACGGGTCACAAGTGGAACCTGCACGACATGGCGGCGGAGTTGGACTCAGACCAGCAGGACTTCCCTCAGCCGAGCGACCTCACGTCCTTCGTGAATGAGAGTAACCTTCCTCACGAGGCTCCGGGTGAGGCTGCGGTTCTGCTCTAAGCTCCTCAGATGTTTCGTTATAAAAACATGCTGGATATTGATTTTGGATCTGACCTATTGACCCACTTATCTGCTGCCCTTTGACCTCCATCTGGGTCGGACATGAAAAAGGGAAAGCAGGACTTTGACTCGATCCTTGAACCCATCCACCTGAGGCTCTAACGTCTCCTCTCTTTTGTGTTTGACAGCACAAGACTATGAAATCGAGTACATGGAGAAGCTCGGCTCCTCTTCACCGGTGAGTTTTCTTAGCTTCAGTCCCACGCTCTCATCTCTTAAACGTGTTATTTTCATATTTTCAGGGTCGTCACGGTACCAGAGTTTACACTTTGATTACTTCCACCAAAAATATTTGATCCCAATTTTAAAACCACGGGAACAAATCAAACTCTAGGGCTCTCAGAAAGGTGAATTTGATCTGATTTCACAAACTGTTTGTGCAGAAAAAGTCGGTGAAGACAGACCAACATTTTAAAAACTTAGAGTCTTAAAGCTCCTATAGGGGACTTTCAGTTTGTGTCACTGTTGTCGCCCCCCTGTGGACAAAGCTGTTTTTGCTATTGAAATTTTTCTGACAAAAAAAAAAAAAAATCATCCTACTGACGTTGGATTGTTGAATTTATTGTGAATATTGAGTGAAAATTGTAAAATCAGGACTGTCTCTTTAGACCATCTGTCACAAAAACACACGTGGATCATTTTTAACCTGCTCTGGTCCTTTTCAAAACTCCTAAATATCAAAACTGCAGCAACGATATCATCTTAAAACACCTAGTGTAGGGCTGGGCGATAAAAAAATAAGGATATATATCAAAAGTTAATTTCTCTCTATATTGATATGAAACACAGTCAGTATTTTTTTCAATAGTCGGCATTCTGACATGTTTTGTTTTGCATGTAAAATTTCATTTAAAAGTAACGGGGAACATTTAAGATTGACAAGTGATCTGTTTTATATCCTGATATATTTAAATATCGACTGATATGAAAAAATATATCATGATAAACTTTTTCCCGTATCGCCCTAACCTAGAGTTGAAATTATCAAACATTCTCAGCAGTTTTACAGTTTTTACCAACGTTAACTCGACTCTGTAAGTTTCTGACGTTTCTCTTCTCTGTCCTTCAGCCGCTGTCTGTGAAGAAACCGTCTCTGTACCTGAAGCTGGACTCGGTTTCTGACAACTTAACGAAGAATGCAAACGAACACGGGTCCCAGCCCAGCTCTCCCTGCACAGGGTACGACTCACACCGACACTCCTCCATATGAAGCAGGATTAAGTGTTATCTAAACGCACGGCTGCTCCCAGAAATAACCGAGCCGTGATGATCAGGATCGATGACTTCACTTATCACGGGTTACACTCTTCTGTTATTTAGAGCTTTTCTGCAAATGGAGCCATAATTATCGAGGTTACCTCATACATACAGATCAGCTGTTCCTGAGACAGCTCTCATTATCACTCTCATCAATCACAAACAGTTTATTAAACACCGTGACCCTCTCTCTCTCCTCCTCTCTGTCTCTCACTCTCTCTGCAGGAGTTTTGAGGAGATGGAAGCCCAGATCACAGCCGGTATGAAGACCCCGGTGCTGAGCCCTCGGCCCGGTCCTGAAGGTTCTGCTGGAGACAAAGGCAGGAAGAGAGAGAGCGAGGTTCTGAGCCGAACTCAGAGCACAGAGCGGGACGAGCAGGTGAGGGCGGCTCTTCTGTTAAAGTCCAGATAAATGTGGTTAATTTAAGAACAGCAGTCATATTTCTGTGTGTTCACTCACCGTCACGTAGGAGAAGCTGTCAGTTTTATTTTGTAGTTTTCTCATCGTCACCCTCTCATCGTTGATCGGCTCGTCAGCCTCGTCACTCACACTGATTCTCATTAAAGCCTCGTCACTGAGAGCAGACAGCCTCTGACTCAGCTCCCACTGCTGCCACTCAAACACTCAGCGCTTGCTTTGCCTTGCTGACCCCTGCCCCCCCCTCCCTGCCCTCTGCCCAATCCTCCCGGTGCCCCCCCCCCCTCCCCTTGTAGCCCCCCGCGGAGGCCCCTGCTCCAGCCCCGGCCACGCCCCCATTAGACAGGCTGTCTGAGTGCGACGACCCCCTGCAGTACCTGGAGCCCGACCTGGCCGAGACCAACCCCTCTGCGTTCGCCCAGAAACTACAGGTGTGTTTCCAGACCTCACAGGTGACCCCCCTCTGTGAACCCCTCAGGCCTTTTCTCCGTTTCTGTGATTGTCTGTTTTTTTTCTCATCTTTACATCCTCTTCATTTCCCGCCTTTTCTCCTCTGTTGCACTTTTTCTCAGCTTTCTTTGGTGAAGTGAACTTTGTAGGACAGCAGTCGGTTCCTGCTCTAGACTTAAGTCTGTTTTCCTTTTGCTCTCTCATCCTTGGGCCGCAAACCCCCCCTCCCCCCTTCCCCGTGAAATCCACGACCCCCCACCCTTCCTTGTGTGCGGCCCAGGAGGAGTTGGTGCTTGCTGCCCTGAGGATAGAGGCACTGCAGGTAGCCAAAAACATCTCTCAGTGCCCCTCCCTCTCCGCTGTAACCCCCCAGGTACTGCGTTGAGTCCTGCACCTGCTGTACACCAGTGTGTGTGTGTGTGTGTGTGAAGAGACGCATCGTGAGTGAGTGATTAGAGCGCAGCAGGTGTGTGCGAGCATGAGTGTGTCTCAGCTTGCCTCCGTCACACACCATCCTGAGTGTGACTGTGAGCTCATGGCGGCTGCCTCTACATCTGCAGCCCCGCCCCCTCTAACATGGCTTAATGCGTGGACTAGCAGCGAGCTCCTCCACACGGACTCCACTGGCTCCTCGCCGTGATGATGCATGTTAGGCGACATGCATGTAGCCTGTCCTTGAGAGGCTTACATGAGCATGAATGTGACTGGGAGCCGCCCGATATTCGACCTCACACCCACAGCTGATGTTACTCTGACGAATCATCCCTCCGATAATCCCAGTCCCATTCCTGTTTTGGTCCTTTCTCCCAGACTAACACCACTAACAGCTCCAGCAGGTAGGTGTCAGGGTTTAGAGTGAAGGAGGAGCTTCAGGTTTGGAGTTTGGTTTGTGTTTTTGGCGACGGTCTGCGGTGAAACGCTGTTAAAAGTCGGAGCAGAGCGGCGTCTGTGTCTCACTCTGTTGTAAATCACACTTCACAGTCTCGACTCAAGAAGCCCAGCACTCGACGATGGAATATCAACGGGTCGCCTTTACTCAAAGTAAGATAACGTTTAACCCCTGCAGTACCACCACCAACCCCCCCACCTTAATCCAACAGCAGTGCAGTCCAGGTATTTGGACATGAACACATTCAGACGTCAGCTTGACTGAATCACGACCACAAATAAAGAAAACAGAATTTGATGGTTTGTAAATAATTTAAAAAAACAGATTTTTTTTTTAATTGTTTTATGAAAAATTTGTTTATTTTAAACTTTTTAACAGACCTGGTTCAGGTTTGATTCAGGACTTTGGTCCGTCTTAAATTCGGCTCGGGCTCAGAGGAGGTTCTAGAGTTTCTGGATCGTCTTTATTTACAGTTTTCTCCTCCAAAGATTGACTGTCAGGGGTTTTTAGAAATGATTTTAAGTCCATGTGGTGACTTCTACATCAGAGTCTTGGAGGCAGAGCGCACAGATCTAGATCTTTATATGATATTATACTGTAGATCCTATCAGGGATGCTGGATGCTCTTTAAAACTGAGGATGCAGCATCTATGATTTCCAATTCTTCGTTGAAAAGACAACTGGACTTATTTGAGACGTTTCGCCTCAACTAAGTCCAGTTGTCCTTTCCATGCGGTGATTTCTACTCCAGAGTCGTGTCTGTTTTTAACACCCTGAAGATCAGGACCATCCAGTCCTGGTTTTGGTCCTGGTCCCTTTAGTTCAGAGATTTTTCAGGAACTTTATTCTGAAACTGTTGACCTGTTCGCTCACACAGTCTCTCACAGAGTCCTGAACCTCTTCCATCTTTCCTCCTGAGAGATTCCACCTCTCTGAATGTCCGTCTCAGACCAGGTCATGTGACTAACCTGTTGGAGATTCACCTCATTAGTTAAAGATGTTTTATAACAACTTGTAGACATTTAATTAAAAATGAGAAAACAGTTTTTATTTAAAAAAAAAATTAAGTTTCATGATTTGATTTTTCATCTATTTTAATTTACAAACGACCAAATTCTGTTAGTATCAGCGTTTTAAACTGTGTCCTGACTTTTCTTAAGAGTTAAAATTTTGACTTTCAGATGTGATTGAATTCGTTCTCAGCTCTTTAATTCTCACTTCCGTCAGTTTTTGTGCAGTGAAGAAATTTAAAGGTTCAATTATTCCTCTGCTGCTCATCCAGTCATGGTGGTTTCTGCTCCTCCTAGTGGTCATGGATGGAACTGAAACACTAAGTCTTAATACCTGTAGACTGCACTGCAAACAGTAACTCCTGTAGACCCTCAAAAGTCCAGAAGACTGAGACCAGACCCCCTTTTATTTGGACCCTCCCACGTTATCAGCCCAGTTCCTCTGACCCTGATAGTCCTCCTGGTTTTATTCCGTCTCTCTGCTGTAGTTTTATTTTAGTTTTAGATCTTTACCTCGCAGTTATTTTGTGTCCTCTCTGAGTTTCTCTGTAGAGCTGAAGTTGTTCTCGGAGCGAAAATATTCTCTTTTTCAGTTTGAAGGTTCGGGTTGTTGAGGTTATATCAGAGAAATTTCTCCTTTTTCTGTTTTCTGGTTTAGAGATAAGATTCCTCTTATTTCACACAGATCTGACCCCCGAGTTCAGCTGCGTCTTGATTTGGGTCGTATTTATTAAAGCTGAGGTTGGAGGTAAACCAATCAGAGTCTCTCTGAACTCTTAAGAGTTCGTCTCAGGTACCTTCACCTCAGCCGCCTTAACCTGCAGTGGACAGACAGACAGACGGACAGATGAGTCCGCTCCAGACAGACAAAATACTTCTCCCTCTTTTTTCCTCATATTAGAGCATCTCCGTCCACACGCCCCCCACCATGTTATCAAATCCTCCTGTAATCCAGAGGAAGACTAAATCCTGATCACAGCAGAGTTTCAGCGTCACAGAGTCGGTCTAAGATTGAAGCTTGTTTCTGTTTTTAAAGTAAATCTAAAAACTCTTTTCCCCTTGGTCTCCCCCCGCCCCCCTCACGTCAGGGTCTTGATAATTGTAAAAGATTTGGGAAAATGCTCCAGTCTAAACTTCAAATCTCGCCGCCTCAGGTAAGAGCGGTTTCCTCGGCTGTCTTCTGCTTCAACATGAAACTAACTTCAGTTTCTAACGCTGCCCACCTCGCCCGCTCGCTCGCTCGCTCACCGCCGCCGCCCTCCCCCTCCTCTAAAGGATGCAGCCCTCTCTGTTTTTGCTGCTGTCCCCCCTTTTCCCTCCGCCTTAATTCTGCGGCGATGAAGACGGTTTCATCCAATCATGTGGCGGCTGACCGAGTCTTCAGGAGCATCACTCGCCTGCTGCCTCATTGACATCCTAACTCTGCTGTGTGCTCCTTTAATCCAGTCTGATGCTGCCTTGTGATCTGGTTCAGGAGTCCTGATGGGAACGTGGACTCGGTCCTGGTTCTGACTGATTATGTTTCCTTTCATGTCCCTCCTCTCCTGCGTTTCCTGGAAGCAGCACAGAGACCTGTCCTCGCCCACAGAGAGCGCCGTCTCCAAGACCTCGCTGTACGCCCGGACCACCAATACCAGTTACATCGACGGGGAGAGTCCCCACCTGCCCAGAGACCTGGACCACTCGCTGGGAATCGCTCGAGAGGAGGTACCGGAAGATATTTTCTATTTAGACATAGAAATGTTTGAAAACTGAACTTCAGTCCTGAGTCAACAGAGTCATCACAACGTGAAAACTTTACGGTGTGAAGAAAAGTCGAAAATTTCAGACCAGAAAATCTGAATCTGATCTGTGACCGTGGTCGGAGAGTAACTGATTAAAAATGATGAATCGATCATCACTTCTGTGTCCTGCTGAACTCACACAAGATTCATTAACTTTATTAACAACAAGTTTACAACAAAAATTTCTAAAGAGAATTTAAGGAGAAAAGAAAAACCTGGAAGAGCAAGAATACGGACAAGGACAAGAAACAGAAATAAAAAATGAGTCAAACTTGCGAGGAAACGAGACCAAAACAGTGAGGAGACGATTCAGGGAAACTGTTTAAACTGTCAGATTATATGATAGAAAACTATGAGAACAATATAAGAAATAAAATGATAAAATATGACACACATATGATACAAAACAACAAGTTAGAACACGGCTTAAGATGATAAACAGTGATTTTAAACGCATCAAAAAAAGTCAAATGACACGACAGGAAATGCCACGTTTGATAAGATATGAACCGACATGAAGATGAGATAACAGGATTTAATGAGAAACAATCGTAAGACCAGAAATATGAGAGTGAATGAAACAAAATCAGGATGAAGGTTTAATTCAAGTCTTTACAGTTTGATTTAATATCCAATCATAGTGTTTCTCATCTTAATTATGACTGTACAGCTGATTAGTTTGGACTCCAGCGCCAACAACACACCACATGTGAGAGAAACTACAGACACATGTTCTGGATATTAACCACCAATGCATCAGCAAACAGCAGTGCCCAGAGAAGGACACCGTGACGTTGGTTCACAGACTTATAAAAACTTAAACTATAATTTAAATATCATAATAAGAGTTTTCAAAGCTGATCTATAATTTAGTCCGTCTGTAAAATCTTCAAACCTGTTTGTAATCGAAGGATTTAATCGAAACTGTAACGGTGTCATGTTGTTGTTGTTGTTGTTGTTGTTTAAATCAGAGAGAAGCTTCACTAACGGGAGGAAATCCTGATTTTAGTTTGTGTAGAGAAAGAAGTTCTGCTGTTTCTGCGTCCGTCACTAAATAAGTTTGTCTGTTTCCTCAGATCGTGTCCAAGGAGAAAGAAGTGCTGGAGTGGCAGAGGAAGTATGAAGACAGCCGACAGGAAGTGGTGGAGATGAGGTGAGAGTCCACCTGTACACCTGTCCACAGCAGCAGGGATTAAACACCTGCATGTGTGTGACTTCCATGAACGCTCAGGGTCTTTTTAAAGACGGCTCCTCGTATCACCGTTTGACCTCTTAATGGTTTAACTCGCTTACATGTCAGCGTGCCGACGGGGCGAGAGGAGGGAGAGTTATTTACCGTTAACACGAGCGCCGTGGAGAAAAGAGAGGAGGACGACACGCAGCTGACGTGAAACATACACGTCTTTAAAAACGTGGAAATGAGCAGAAATGACGGCGTCTTTAGTTTGAGTTACACCAGCTGCTGAAAAACTGGGATTATCCTCGCTCTAATATTTACGTGGACAGATGATCAATATGTCCAACAAACGGACGCTAATTCGGGTTCATGAGGGCAGCGGTCGGTGGAACAGAAACCTTGTTTTCAGTCAGCAGGTGGTGGGTGTGGGCCAGCTGGCCTCAGCTCAGATAGTGTGGATAAGAAAGAGCTTAACTTCGTTTGACTGATTGGACTCAGGATAAGGAGGAGCTAAGAGGCTAAGGGGCAGGCACGGCTAATCAATCCTCTTACCTCTGGAAACCTGCTTTTACCAAAACAAGGCCTCCTATTGGACGGGGATGATGAGAGCGAGGGAAACTTCAGGAAGTGAGAAACAGGAAGTCGAGTTCAGATGAAGTGATAAAAATCCTCCTCAAACAAAAACGTGTTTTATCGCCCAAATGAAGTTTTTGTTTACAAGTGAACAAACTCACTCCCGTCTTTCCCTCTGAGAGACTCCGCCCCCTTTGACCTGTTTCTGACACCTGTCGATATCCGTCTGCCTCCTCTCTAACCGTGTTTTTTTTCTCTCCTGCAGGAAAATCGTCGCCGAGTACGAGAAGACGATCGCTCAGATGATCGGTAAGTTTGAGGTCTGAGACGCTGAGTTTCCACGTTACCTTCACCCCTCTCGACCACGACTGTTCGCTGCACTTGTTCATTTGCAAACCGAGCGTCCCGAGGTGTTTGTGTGAAGATGTTTTAACCCTCTGACGTTTTGCCTCCATGTTTGATCGATCTGAACTGAACCCTGAGGTCGTCCATCAGGACAGACGTACTCTCTCTCTCTCTCTCTCTCTCTCCCGCTCTCATCCACCTCTCACCACCTCTGGACGTTCCTGAAAATTAGATTTCTGCAGCTGTTGAAGTTTAATTTCTTGCTCTCATTAAAGTCACCGTCACTGAAAGGATCAGGCTGTCTCTGCTTCTGTCTAACACTCGCCTCTCTCTCACCTGTCCTGCCCTCCCAGCTTGACTTTAACACACTCCCTTCTTTTCTGTTCTGCTCCCATCTTTGCCCCCTCACTGTTTGATCACTCTGACAGGCATGCCAGGTGAGTAACGCGGCCTCGGCCCCGTCCCCGTCCTCGTCCTCGTCCTCCGCTCGTTTGTTTCAGCTCACGTCGTTCCATCAGGAGCAGATCTGCTCCCTGTTCTCATCTCATCCAGTGACTTCAGTTTGTTTCATCTGTTTGTTAAGAGTCGGTGATTTTAGCGTCTCTGTGTGATCCTCAGTCATGGATGTTTGGTACAATGTCACTCATATTTAACCGTGTCTGTTATAGAACTTTATACAGATGTTCTCCAATTTGAAACAGGTTTGATTGAGATTAGAAATAAAGAAAATAAAGTTTTATATTCAGGTATTTATCTGACGGAGACGGACTCACTGATGTAGATCGGTGGGAAAATGTCAGATGTGGTCGTTCTGCAGCTCATGTGTACATTGATTTTAACCCCTTAGTTTCCCTCCAGACAAGAACATTTGAGTAAATTACAGACTTCACTCAGTTTTACTGAAAACACTCAGAAGCTGCACAACATCCACCTCATCTGCAGGGGGCAGCACCACACTTTACAGCGTTTTCAAACTTTACTGTGAATTCACTCAAATTTTTTAGATTCAGAATTACAGACGTGATCGATTTCTGCAGGATTAAAAACACAGATACTCTCCTCAGAGATCATCCTTCCTCTGTTCACACTAACCCTGAACAGACAGACGTTTATTAACTCTTAAAATTAGGAGTTTGGAGGAAACGTTCACGTCTACATCTGTGCGAGTGTTTCTGCTGCGACAGTCAGCTGAGCGGGTCGGAGGTTTTAGCTTGTGACAGGAAAGAGAAAGTGAGGAGGGGCCTGAGAGAGCTTTACGGTCCAATACTGAGGCTCTGAAAGTCAAACCAGGCGAAGCAACTTCGGCTCCATGATCCATTTGTCTTCACATGTGGTGATAAAACACTCTTTGAAACGAGAGAAAAACCGTCAGTGATTCTGCTTTTTAAAAGTAAAACGTATAAATGTGTCGGGTTAGAAATGAATCACAGACGTAGAAAAACAAAGTGTGTGTTTCTTTGTTTCCTCTCATCTCTGCAGGTCTCTGAATTCTCCATCGTCAGTGTTTGTGTTTGCATGATCCTCAGATTAACTCATGTAGCATAAAAACACAGTTAAACCATACTAACACACAAATCCATGATGATATGTCGTCAATAATATCTTTGATTGTTGTGTAACTGTTGGTCTGTGAAGGAACTCTGTATGATCAGACATGATGTGTGAACGAGGTGAAGATATGAAGACTGTCCGTCTGTTTTTAATGCAGCAGAAACAGATTCTTCTCCACAGTTAGGATAGAACAACCTGATCTGTGGCTCCGCATGCTTTAATAACACAAACAGGAGACTGCAGCGATGAAACCAGAACCAGAACCAGATCCTAAATCTGGGTTAGGACAGATTTGTGTTTCTTAAGTCCTACTGTTATTTTTTAGATGACGTAAAAACTCTCACCAACATCAGATTTAGCAAAGTATTCAGCCATTAATCTACAGTTATATATCTGTGTTTTTAAGCGATCAAAGGTGCAGATTTGTCTTGGATTTCATTGATAAAAAGAACTTATTTGTAATTTTCTTTAAAATTAAACTGAATTATTGTCGATGAGTCTTTAAAGGATAATTTAGGTGATTGATTTAGTTCAGGAAAAGTCAGAGACTGAGAAAAACAGACACACAGGTGAGTTTACTGTCATCAGAAATCTGTCCTGATTATTATTTTCAGACGTGTTTACGTTAAACGAATAAAGTCATCGTGTCTCATCCTGCAGAGTTCCTTTAAAACAGAATATACTTTTGTGAAACTTGTTCAGACTGATGATCTGATCTGAGCTGTGAATCTGTGTGTGTCCATCAGAGGACGACCAGAAGGAGAAGTCTCTGTCCCATCACACCATCCAGCAGCTGATCATGGAGAAGGACCAGGCGCTGGCCGACCTCAACTCGGTGGAAAAGTCTCTGGCTGATCTCTTCAGACGATACGAGAAGATGAAGGACGTTCTGGAGGGATACAGGAAGGTAAATAATCAGGGTTTGAGTCAAAGTCCTCGTAAAGGTCGTGTGATCTTTTATTAAAATGTTTCTCCGTTCAGAACGAAGAGGTCCTGAAGAAATGCGCTCAGGAGTATCTGTCCAGAGTCCGTAAGGAGGAGCAGCGCTACCAAGCCCTGAAGATCCACGCCGAGGAGAAACTGGACAAGTCAGTCTTCACCGAGAAAACAGAAACGCTCATAGAAGTCACACACACACACACACTCAGCTGACCTCTCACCTGTCTGATTTCAGGGCCAACTCAGAGATCGCTCAGGTCCGAGCCAAAGCCAAACAGGAGCAGGCGGCGTACCAGGCCAGCATGAGGAAGGAGCAGATGAAGGTGGACTCGCTGGAGCGCACTCTGGAGCAAAAGGTCAGTCCTGGTCCGAGAGAGTCCGAGAATATAAGGGGAGAGGAAGTCAGGAGACTCACTTAGACCCCATCAGAGGATTCCTTCACAATAAAAGTCCTCAGTCATGTTGTTAAACTGAAAACGACTCCATGGAAGAGAAACTAAACTTGACAGATTCAGTTTTTTCTTCTTCCTGCTGTTTCAGTTTCTACGTCATAATAAAAATATAAAAATGTGTCATGAGTGAGAGAAAGTTTAGTTTCCTTCTGATCGTTTTCCAGAACAAAGAGATCGAGGAGCTGACGAAGATCTGCGACGAACTCATCGCAAAGATGGGGAAGAGTTAGCGACCTCGCCGCAGCCGGGCTGAACCTCCCAGAGAGGAGGAGAGGACGTGGATGAAATCTACCGAGAAATGACGCAGAAGAAGAAGAAAAGTTTTCCGTCTGGTTTCAGGACTTTTAAAAAGACGAGACTGTCTCCGGTTTGATCTCCTGCTGACTTTGTGAGACGAGGATCCACGGAAAGACGAATCACTCTGTACATTTTTGATGTGTCAGTGTTTTCAGTATCAGGGGTCTGGTTTTAGAAACTGTATCATATCACTTATTAACGTGTGTGTGTGAGTGTGTGAATGAGGCAGAGAGAGTGTTTGTGGGTTAAATTATCTATGATGATGTTGCCATGACAGCCGCTGAGGGAGAAGACTGTTTACCTGCTCCTGTTGTTGTTTCCTCTTAATCGGAGAGAAAGACGAAAACCAGAAACAGACACTTTGACTCCGTCACTAAATATTCCTGCAGCACCCAGAAGACACCGTAAAAAAACACCGTAACGACACTGAACCTTCCCGCATGTCAGTCAGAGAGAAGAAGAAGAAGAAGAAGAAGACGCTCTCCTCTTAAATGTCTGTATATAGTGTACTGTAGCAGATCCTCCTCTGTGGCCCCGCCCCCTTTAGCTCACCTTGTAGATACTCGTCATAGCTTCCTGGATGAAACCGTGGGACTATATTTTGGATTTTATTTTGATATAAAGCGAACTAACCGTGACCGTGTTCTGTTGTGACCAGGAGTTATTTAATTTGGGACGTCCGAGTCCTGCTGTGGTCGTCGTGTCACACTGAGGAATAACTTTCTGCACAGCTCCTGTACAGCATCTGCTTACAAAGTGCAATAAAAGATGGCAATACAGATCCGAGGCTTCCTGAGAGTTATTTATAAATCACAACAAAGTTCAGGAGGGAAAAAAAATATCAGGAAAAAACACGTGAATTAATTTAAAGCCTGTAAGATGAAGTTGGAGTTTGATCTTCCTGTAGAGACCACCTTCCAATTTAGCAAAATATTCGTCATTGTGAGGGTCTAAATTTGCTCAAAAGGTCATAAAATCTGAAGATGCATCTGATTTGGGGAAAAAATGTGACAATTCATCTGTGTCTCTTATTCGCATGAGGACCGTCTCACTAGCGCCCCCTAGCAGTTTTTGAAAATCCCACCACTCTGTAGTTTCACCTACAAAGATGATTTCTGCTCCTCCTTACAGAGACTTAAAAAAGGTTAAAAATCAGCTGTTTTTTGGGTTCTTATAAAGATCCGTCTCACCCCCAATTTCCACCACATCTGGAACGGCGGCGATTTTCACCATCCGCCAATTCCTACTAGATCTGTTTGTGAGGCGAATTTCACGGCGGATTTTGGACAGCAAGAATTATGAGAACTCACAAGAACCCACAGATTCACGTCCAATCTCATGATAACAAGTTGTCTCTATAAAGACAGACACATAGACATATAAGCAGTAGATTGTGTCCTTCCAGAGGAGGAAATCTACTTCTAGACTTCTAGAATCAGCATCTCCTCATCCATGGTGTCATCGGGGTGAAATGACGTCTAAAAACCTTTCACTTGTTCGTCTCCGCCCGTTTGCATGATGTGAAATACGATCCTCCTGAAACACGGAGTGTTTTATTTTGAAAAGAAGCCGGATGTTTTATTTTGCGTCTGTGCCCGACTTCCTTCCCAGCACGGGTTAATCTGTGCTGAATTTATCCGCCATGCTCCGGCGTCCAGAAAAAATAGAACTCTTGTGATCAGCTGAGGAGTCCGGCGATCCGCAGAGGAACGGAAAGAAGTCGGTGTAAATTGACACGTTAACTTGAATGGAAACAATCAGCTGCGATCGGCGCAGACGGCCTTTCCTTTTCGACGCTATTCCGGATGTGGTGGAAATTGGGGGTCATTCTTCTCTGCCTCTGAGCAGGTTTACAGGTAGAAGAGACCGGAAGGTTAAAAAGATAACAGGCTCAAACAATCCTGAGACAGACATCATTGACCTGAATACATTCATGTGGTAATATTTCACCTGTTATAGCGCCTCCTGGTGGCTTTATCAATCAATTAATTCATCAATCTTTATTTTTATAGCACCAATTCACAACAATTTTTATCTCAAGGTGTTTAACAAAGATCTGAACTAAACCCTTAAATCTGTATGAGTTCACTCCGGCCACCCCTGTCCATGTCGGATCCTGGGCTGAGCCACCCCACTGTAAAAAGTCAGGACACGCCCCTGTGATCACTGTCACGGTAAAGAAACCAGGTTGACACCTTCAGGGTGAAGGAGCTGCCTGCCTGAGATAGGTCCAGACTCAGGATGGGCGTGGCCAGACCGGAGGTGAAAGGTGCAGGATGAACCTTGGCGAGCGTCTTTTAACCATCCAGGCAGGCAGCAGCTTCATCCGGCGCCGAGCTGAGGGCCTCCGTCTGTGGAGGGGCTGCTAATCTGCTGGACGCTGCAGGGGGGTTTTAACCCGTCAGATACCTCAGACTGAGCTCGGGGGGCTTTAGGAGCAAACAACCTGCTTTTCTTTGTATGATCAGGACTACAGAGGACCACCGGGGACCATGAGAGCCGTCCAGTACTGTCCTCTGCTGCTGCTGCTGTCTCTGACTCTGCTGGTGACTCACAGTAAGGACCAGATCTTCTGTTTCATAACTCCTGGTATCCCTCTTTAACGTCTCTGCTCCACCTGTACTCATGTGGACCGGGTTCAGATCCTTCTTCAGGTTGAGGTCTTGCTGCTCTTGAGTCTTAATTCCTCAGAGGTCTGACCCAGAACTCAGGAGGAGTATCATCTCAGTTTATTCAGACAAACCTTTGATTGTCTTCTTCTTCCTCTTATGAGATTATTCCACTGTACTTCAGATCTTTCCATGAAGCTCGGATCTGTTTGGATAACTGTTTCTAATTTCGTTGTAATTCCTCCGAGTTTCTCCTCCTCCTCCTCCTTCTTCAGTCTGTCATCCTCATCCTCCTCCTCCTCCGAAACAAGCATGCAATCCGGGCGATAATCTCTTAATAAGCCTGCAGGCTAATGCTTCCAGCATGTGAGTGGATCTGCTGTGCTGCAGGGATAGAACGGGGTCAACTCCAAAACAGCAGGGGGCATCAGGCCTGACATGTCAACACAGAGGAGGGGGTGAGGTTCAAGATCATAGAAGACATGCGGACAGTTTACTGCTGTTTTTATTATTATTATTTTAGAGTTAAATAAAGGAGATCTGAGAGGTTTTAACGTTATCATTCAGCATCATGAAGTTGATTTGAAGGACAGATTATTAGGGACACTTTAAGAAATTAAAAAGTTCTTATCTTGTTAAACAGTAAATGAGACCAACAGGGTCACATTAAAAAAAAGATAACTTTCTAAGAATTAAGTCTTGATGTAACGAGAATAAATTTGTAAATATTAAGACAATTATATATTATTATATATTCTTTATTTTTACTAACTTGTTTATTTATTTTTTATTGATTTATATTTTTTACTACTCACCACCTCAGATATTTATATTTCTTTATTGATTGATGATTAATTATTTTACTCATTTATTTATTTACTTATTTTATTGAGTATTACAACTGCTATTTATTTATTTTATCTATTCATACATTAATTTATTCACTTATTTATCTACCCACTTTTTCTCTTCCTCTATCATCTTTACTTTTTTCTTTATTTTCTTTCTTTGTCTTTAGTTTACTTCTAACTGCTCATGTCCATCTGCTGGGGCAGAAAATGCAGAATTTTACTTTAATCAGTAATTAGAACACTGTTATTATTGTTCTAGTATGTAAAATTTAAATAAACAGACTATTAAAATATATATATATATTTATATATTTTTATATTTAGACAATTAAGTTGTAGCAAAGTCATGATAACACCAAACTTAGGTTAAAAACTCTGCTCACCACTTTACACCCAGAACATCTTAACATTATGACTTCTCGTTATTCTTTTAATATCATGACTTCATAATGACTTTAATCCAGTAACATAATGACTTAATTCTGTTAATATGACTTTACTCTAACTTTACTCCTGTAACATCATAACTTTAATCCTGAAATCTTAATAAATAATTTTCCACATTCAGTAAAAATCTATATTTATAAGATTTTCTCTCAGTGTTCTGACATTTACAGTCATTGTCGGCTAAAGTAATGAGTTTTTATTTCACGGTTTTGTTTTTAAAATCTCTTTGAACGTGACCTTCATATCTCCTCCATCATACATCTCCTGGTTTGATCAGACAGCTTCACCTTTGCTTGTTCTCACCTGTATATAAATAAATCCTCCATCCGATCTCCACGGAAACAAAAGTCCGGGTTCAGGCGGGTTATTTCTGACAGAACAGGAGACGTGTTTTTATGAAGAGCGGCTGGAGCTGCCGGTGAAACGATCACAGCTCTGTTTGATCCTCTTCAGAAGCAGCAGTAAAGACCGATTCTGACCGGTGATGGTTTCCGAAAAGACGCGTTAAAGTGATTTTAAAAGGTCAGACACTTCTGAGAGAGAGAGAGAGAGAGAGAGAGAGAGAGAGAGCAGCTCCTTCCTCAGGGACAGAGTTTTATTCTCTGAAATGGACTCTTGGATCTTAAAGTGAAGGTTAGAGAGACTCTTTTTATATCACAGGGAGTAATAAGTGCCCACTCATCAGAGCCACCAGCCGTGACTTTACCTCAGCTGTTGACTCTGCAAGAACTGAGCAGGTCAGTGTCTTCTTTCTGGAGATGTACAACATAATCTGTGTGATATCAGTATTGGCAGATGGTAGTTTAAACGTACAATTATCAATATCAGCAGTTAGATTTCTGTTTAAATGTACAACTGTTAATTAATTCAGTAAATTCAGACACTTTCAGACTCTAAACAGGATCTTTATCTGGACTCTAAATGTGGCTCAAAGTGAATCTAATGAGACTTTCAGGACAAAAAAACACAAACCTGCAATTACTTCACACTCAGGCAGAAACCTTTGGTCTAAAGATATGACGTAAACATGAAAGTGTTATGACTGCAGTTCCCTAAGTGTCCACTAGAGGCTGACTGCAGGGGCTCTGTTAACCACATACACACCCATCAAAAAAGTCCACCTTTGACAGCCTGGTTCATGTCGAATGTAAACAATATCCAGAGAGGATTTTAGACACAGAGAGGACATCCAGAGGGCACTTAGTTTACATGTTATACCCTGAAAGGACTCTAGAGGGCGCTGTGTTTACGAATAATTCGACTAAAGATCCAAAATGAACATTTTTAACACAATACCCACTGAAAAAAAAAACCTCCAGAACTTTTGAGGGTGTCCTTTTGTTTACGATGAACATAAACAGGACTGAAAAACCGTCCTGTGAACCAGCAACTGTCGTCCTCGTCCTGATGTCCCAGTTTGGGTTTTAAAGGACAAACCTGTCCACGCTAACATTTGCAGAAGACTTCCTCCTGAAGCCTTATGAAGACAGTTTTTTTTTCGATCCCGTGTCTCAAACCTGAGGACATCTTTGTGTCTCATTTCTCTCAAACTAAACCGTCCCTCAGAAATCATCTCTCTCTCTTCTGCTCTCCTGTTGTGATGCTTTGTGTTTCTGTCAGTGTGTCAGCAGCTCCTCTCTCTGTTTCTGCAGGTGAAGCTCTTCGATGTTACACCTGTATGGGCTCCAATAACGAAGACTGCAACCGGCAAGGTTCCAAATCCTGTCCCAGCTACTCGGACGCCTGCGCCGTGGTGGTCGGCCATAACAGTGAGTCCAACAGAGAGAGAGAGAGAGGAGCAGCTCCTTATTAGCTCTCCGACCAACACACACACTTTCAAACACATACAGCAGTGTGTGTGTTTGTGTGTGTGTGTTAGTGTGTGTTTGTGTGTGTGTGCATGCTGCAGTCTGGAGTCAGTGGGGGGGTCAGAGGCTTTTAAGGACATGAAGAGCTTTGCTGCTTCTCCTCCTCAATCGATATCCAGCATGTGTTCAGAGACCAGAGACAAATCCTCCAAAATAAAGGACTCTCAGTTCACTCATTCAAACCTCCCTAACAACAACAATAACCGACCCTTAAATATCCTCAATAACTCGTCAAGATATTAAATTATTCCCACAAGACTGTTGGATTGACTGTTGGATTGTTAGTGACTAGCGGCAGTAAACGCCAGCTCTGCTGTGAGCGCCGTCTGCAGCTTCCTGGACAGCTATGTGTTGACATGTCAGAGACTAATCAGACTAATAATTGACCTGTTCAACAAAAACTCTGCTGTCTCGGCGTCTGTTTTCACGACCAAATCCTGGCGGCAAATTTTTTTTTTTTTGTAGGATGGGAAAGGTCCCACCCTCCTTCGCCTCTGATTGGTTAGAAGTGCTGGGCTCTGATTGGTTATTCCTTATGGCTTTGAAACATCATCGTCTGTCGGGTTAGGAGATTCAGCAGTGCGATAATGTTCAGTTCGATGTTCAGAGTCGACAGCCTGCGTTTGGCTTGAGCGTGTGATGACGTTTCCAGCTTTTCCAGCCAATCAGAGGCAAAGGAGGCGGGACTTTCCCCTACCATCCTTCAAAATATCGCGTCCGGGACGGATGGCTCCCATTGGTCAATGTTTTTGCAGCCCTGCACCTGATAGGGTGAACAGATTTTTTCCGATCTTTTTTCTCTTCACTTCACTCTATAGGACCATGATCGCCATAGAAACGAGGTTCATGATAATTACCAATCTCTTTAATCGTCAACCACACCTTTAAATATCCTCAATAACTCGTCATTCTGGTTGAGTTAATGACTCAGAAGTTCTGAACTTATGTCATGTGCTCAAAATAACAACATATTCCAACAAGAAAACTCTCTGAACTCAAAATATAATTATAATATATATAAAATATAATTATTCCCACAAGATTGTTGTATTGTGCAAAAAAGTTCTCCAACTGTGATCTTCTTCCCCTTCAGATGAGGATTTTGTGCAGAATATCGACTGAATTTGTTGTGCATTCACTTTTTGTGCTCACAGTTAAATCATCCTGAGCTCACAAACTAACGATTTGCTCCCTGATATAAAAATGCTGGTTTCAGGAGTTTTGGGGTCGCCTCTCATTAGTCTAGTGGTGTCAGAGAAAACTCAGGTGTAACCGAGAGCGACAGCTGCTGACTCTCTCTAACGTCACCTCTGTGTCTGTCTGTCAGGTGGGGTGATGAAGTCGTGCTCCTACAAGTCTTTCTGCAGTCAGGCCAACAGTCAGGGTTACAGATCCCCCGGCGTCCGAGTTCACTGCTGCTACAGCAACGACTGCAACGTGACGAGCCGGGCCGGTCCGCTGCCAGGACTCAATTATCTGCTGCTGCTGCTGCTGCCTCTGCTGATCCACGGCCTCTTTAAGTAGACCCACAGCTCCACCACAAACCATGCCTACAAGTTTCCATCCATGCCAACTCCAGTACCAACTCCAATAATGCCAAATAATCCTGCTACTGTGATCTGAGCTGATTCCTGCTGCAGAGGAGCTGAAGGTGTGACTGTGTGGATTAAACGCACAAAGATGGATCGGATTCACAAAGCTGCGCTCTCCTAGATGTTTCTTTGGATGGATTTTTAACAGGATGATGAGAGAAGAGCTGGAATAAAAGGCAGTCAGTTATTAGAGGAGGAGGAGGAGGTTTTAGTTCCTGGATTTTTGCTTTAACTCTCAGCTCAGAGTCTGAGAAAAGGAGTTTTTCTGATCACTTTCAAATTGAACTTTTATCGTGTTTCTCGTCTCGCCTGAACTCCCAATTATTTCTGCGCTGCAGCAGCAGATGTCACCGAGGCTAAATATGGCAGCGAGCGTTCGATGGGCTGCCGTGTGCTTACATCATTAGCCTCTCACCTGTCAATCACACATCTGAGGAGCTGTGGGAGATATTTTGGAGCGTGGCGAGGAAACGCTCCTCACACGCTGCAAATCCACATAAGCCTTTAACGTGCATGTGGTCAGGTGCTGCTGAGGTTAATCTGCCGAGTTTGAAGTCTCTTAAAGATTTACTGTTTCTAAACTGAGACCACCGGGCGGTCTCTGCTGTAAATACTGTACAAAGATACAAAGACCCCTACTATCATTATAATTATTATAATTATTAATATTTATTCATTATGTCCCTGGAACTCATGTTAGGATCATCTCATCAGAAGTTCTGGATGGTGTTAAAAACTGGATGTGGTCCCTGCGGTTGTTTCTGGTCATCTGGTTTCTGGTTGTTGTTTTTTCTCTGACCTGTTTTGACTCGAGTATCTAAACCCTGAAGTTCACGCTGCTTTATGGTCAATATTTCAGTAAATTTGACTGTTTTCTGCAGATTAAACATCGTTCTGAGATGAAGATGACTTTAAACTCAAAACTGTTTGGAAATAAGTCGTTTTCACATGTACGGAGGAAGATTCGAGCCACACTGAACACGTAAAAATGAAACAGAAAAGGACAAAATTTTTATCCGTCTTCTTTATTTGACTGTATTTTTAAACTTTATTCTCATAAATTAACTAATTAAAGACCAATTCTCATGTAACAAGAACTTAACTCTAATTTTTCTTTGTAAATTTAGGAGTTTACAGCTTTATTCTCTCTCATCTATTTTTAAACTTTACTCATAAAACGTCTTTTTTCTCGTCTACACTGTGATTTTTCTCAGAAATGAATTTCTCCCCAGAATAACAATACATCCTTTCCGTTCATTTATGACTTTAGTCTCATAAATCTGAAGTCACTTGCATGTAGAAACATCTTTTTCTTTTAGATTTTAACACTTTGAACCTTTTTTTCTTTTACCTTAAAAAGTTAAAACTGATTTCTTGCGAATTTAAACTTTATTCCCTTATTTTCATGACTTTTATCTCATAATTAATCCTTTAATCTCACGACTATATTATAAAGTTTTTCTCATAAATTTGACTTTTTTCCTCTTTATTTAATAAGTTTACTAACTTCTCATGAACATTGACTTTAATCCAAAAATGAAATTATCCTCAGACAATTTAAACTTTATTCTCTTAGAAATAAAGACTTTAATTATGTATATTGTATTATAATAGAGTAACAGCATATTCTCATGTATAGATTCTCTTGTAAATATAGATAAGACCTTATCTTGTATATATTTAACTTCTCCATAAAATAATTTACAAACATTTTCTCTTCAATTTAAAACAAAATCTTATAAACATGTGAATGAAATCAAGTATGTTTAAAAGAAAAAGTCATAACTTCATAAGACTAAATTCTCATTAAAATCTGATATATTTTCATTATTTAAAAACTAACCCTGAAACATCTCAAAAAGTTTTAATTTATGACTTATGATTATTTTTTTCGAGATAGTTTTATTCTATAAAATCACACTTTCCTCTGAAAAATGAATGACTTTATTCTCATTAAATTATGACTTATTTCCCATATATGTTTGACTTTATTCTCATTAATTCACATCCTTGTTCTCATATCTGTATGAATTATTCTTCATTACTGCTTTATTCTTGTGTTCATCCAACTTCATTCTCACTGAATTACAGTTTGTTTTTAATAATTTAGGACTTTCTTCTCATTTATTTTGCCTCATTTTCAACATATTCATTTCCTGTCCTCTGTACAGTGTGTGGCCCTTATCTTCTGCCGTACTCGTAAATTTTTATTTAAATTAGATTCACTCTGCGTCAAACCCGCACACGCCTCCTACTGAGACTGCAGGTTTGAGTTTCTTCTGTCCTGAATCCAGAGGCCTCATCCAGTTCTTTCTTACGGTCCATGTTCACAGCAGACTCTCATCTGATTCTGAGATTTTTGTTCATTTTTGTTGAATGAGGAAATATGATTGAAATGAAGTTGCATTATTAAATTTAATAGAAAATAAGAAATTAGAGTTATCCAGAGTTTTCCACTGGACATGTTAAGAGTAAATATGTTTGACTTTTCAGTGGCAGAGAGTGTAAGAAATAGATCAGACCCAATAATGAAAATGTTCAATATTAAAGTAAATAACAAATCGATCAGTCTCGTTCTTGTTGTCTCTCTCCTTCTGTGTGTTTAACTCTTTCAGTACCAAGGATTAGTATCTGTGGTTCTTTCAGTTGGTCTTTTACAGCCGTCAGAGATGGAGTCAGCGGGTCAGTGGAGCAGATTAAAACATCTATGAAAGTCAGACTGCAATGAAACCTGCATGTCTCCAATATTAATATTACTGTAAGTTAGAGTCGGGCCTCATGGAGGAACTGAAGTATTTTGGGTCCATGTTTTTTTATTTAAGGAGGCTCTATCAGTCTAACATCTGTCCGTCCAATTCATGGAGGGGTTTACATAAATCTGACACAAACATCCACTTAGAGTTAAAGATAAACTGATTATATTTTGGCGGTCAGAGGTCATGACCTCAGGTTGGTCCCTTTCTCATGAGTGCAGCCCTTGAACTGAGGATGAACTGATTAGGAGTAAGAAGCTGAAGGTCCAGGTCACTGATAGCTCAGGGCCGTCCTCATATTGTAAACAAGATTATTACAAAAGCAAGAGACATAATCACCTGGAGACATAATCACCTGGTTTATTTTTATGATTCTAGTTTGGGGAACATGTCATCAGGATTTACTGATTTTATAACTTTGCTCTTACAGAGTCTCTCACATATTTGAGTTTCTGCTGCTGTTTTAGGGCTTATCCGCAGAAAAACAGGAAAATTAACTCTCATTATTCTTGTGCAAGCATCAATAATCCTAAAGGCATTAAAAAAAAAACTAAAAGTCAATTTTAAAAATCCACATAATCTCATTTAAAATATGAGATGGATCTCAGGGTATATGATGGAATCCTGAGGTTAATGTCAATACCTTTTAAAGACTTTTTAAATGAACCTTTCAAAACAATTTTAAGACCTCATCGTCATTTAAAGCTGTTTGCAAAAAAATCTTTAACAGTTGAAGTTTGAAATTCAACAGAAATGAGATAAGCTGAGGAAGAATAAAGCTTGAAAGAATAAATAAAACTAAAGAGCATTTTTTAGGCTTTGCTGTCATAAGCTGTGTCATACTATACAATGATATTTTTTAACATACTATACTATGATTTTTTTTATCAGATAATATGATGATATTTTTAACATATTATACTACGACATTTTTTATCATACAATACTGTGACATTTTTGTCAGACTAAACTGATATTTTATCACACTTTACAATATTGTTTTATCATACTACACTATGACATTTTTGTCTCACCGAAATATATATTTTTTTACAAAAATATATAAGTTTAGATAACTATGCTATGACATTTTTATCATAATATACTATGAGATTTTAATCATACAATACTATGACATTTTTTCTCACTGAAATATGATTTTTTTTTCAAAAATATATAATTTTAGACATACTACACTATGACATTTTTATCATTCTATTCTATGAGACTTTAATCATACTATACTGACATTTTTATACTAAATTATGATTTTTTTTCAAACTCAAACATTTTAACATACAATACTATGACAGTTTTATCATACTATACTATGACATTTTTTTTCATTCTTAAAATTTTTTTTTATACTTGCATGTGAAAATGTTTAACATACTATACTATGATATTTTAATACTTAAATATGAAAATTTAATTAAAACTTAAAATCTGAAATTTTTGACATACTATACTATGACATTGTAATCATGCTCTACTATATCATTTTTATAATAAAATATATATTTTTTCTAATTCTTAAATTTGAAATTTTTTGGCTTACTATACTAAGACATTTTTAACATACTACACTATGAAATTATTATCATACTATACTATGACATTTTTATACTAAAATCTGAAATTTTTATTCAAACTTAGTGTATGACATTTTTGACATACTATACTATGACACTTTTATCATACTTTACTATGACATTTTTATCATACTATACTATGACATTTTTTTTCATTATTAATTTTTTTTTATACTTGCATGTGAAAATGTTTAACATACAATACTATGATATTTTAATACTTAAATATGAAAATTTAATTAAAACTTAAAATCTGAAATTTTTGACATACTATACTATGACATTGTAATCATGCTCTACTATATCATTTTTATAATAAAATATATATTTTTTCTAATTCTTAAATTTGAAATTTTTTGGCTTACTATACTAAGACATTTTTAACATACTACACTATGAAATTATTATCATACTATACTATGACATTTTTATACTAAAATCTGAAATTTTTATTCAAACTTAGTGTATGACATTTTTGACATACTATACTATGACACTTTTATCATACTTTACTATGACATTTTTATCATACTATACTATGACATTTTTTTTCATTATTAATTTTTTTTTATACTTGCATGTGAAAATGTTTAACATACAATACTATGATATTTTAATACTAAAATATGAAAATTTGATTTAAACTTAAAATCTGAAATTTTTGACATACTATACTTTGACATTGTAATCATGCTATACAATATCATTTTCATAATAAAATATATATTTTTTTCTAATTCTTAAATATGAAATTTTTGGCACTCTATATCCAAACATTTTTAACATACAATACTATGACACTTTTATCATACTATACTATGACATTTTTTTTCATTCTTAATTTTTTTTTTATACTTGCATGTGAAAATTTTTAACATACTATACTATGATATTTTAATACTGAAATATGAAAATTTAATTCAAACTTAAAATCTGAAATTTTTGACATACTATACTATGACATTGTAATTATGCTATACTTTATCATTTTCATAATAAAATATTTATTTTTTCTAATTCTTTAATATGAATTTTTTTGGATACTATACTAAGACATTTATAACATACTACACTATGACGTTATTATCAAACTATACTATGACATTTTTATACTAAAATCTGAAATTTTTATTCAAACTTAGTGTATGACATTTTTGACATACTATACTATGACACTTTTATCATACTATACTATGACATTTTTGACATACTATACTATGAGACTTTTATCATACTATACTATGACATTTTTATACTAAAATATGAAATTTGTATTCAAACTGATATAATTTTTTTTTGACAAACTATAGTATGACATTTTTTTCATACTATACTGACATTTTTTATCTTACTATACTATGACATTTTGATCATACTATACTATGAAATTATTATACTATACTATGATATTTTTATCATACTATACTATGACAATCTTATACTAATATATGAAGTTATTATTCAAACTTGCATGTGAAAATGTTTAACATACTATACTATGATATTTTAATACTTAAATATGAAAATTTAATTCAAACTTAAAATCTGAAATTTTTGACATACTATACTATGACATTGTAATCATGCTATACTTTATCATTTTCATAATAAAATATATATTTTTCTAATTCTTAAATATGAAATTTTTGGCTTACTATACTAAGACATTTTTAACATACTATACTATGACATTATCATCATACTATACTATGACATTTTTATACTAAAATCTGAAATTTTTATTCAAACTTAAAATATGAAATTTTTGACATACTATACTATGACATTTTTTTCATGCTATACTATATCATTTTCATAATAAAATATATATTTTTTCTAATTCTTAAATATGAAATTTTTGGCACACTATACTCAGACATTTTTAACATACAATACTATGACATTTTTATCATGCTAAACTATGCCCTTTTTTAACAAAAAAAAAGTTCTTTTGTCATACTTATATAGGATTTTTTACTTCTTACACTCAAATTTTAACATACTTCACCATTAAATTTTTATCATACTATTTTAACATTCTACAGTACGACATTTTTATCATACTATACTATGACATTTTTCATACTAGAATATGAAATTTTTAACATTCTATACTATGACATTTTTGTCATACTTTACTTTACCTATGACATTTCCATTTAAAGCAAAAGATAAAATTTTTTCAAACGAAAATATATTTTATCATATTTTTATATTATATTTATAACATACTATTTTATGACATTTTTATCAAACTTCACAGTGACATTTTTGAGCATTCTTTACTATGACATTATTGTTGTACCATTCAATGAACTTTTATTGTGCAACACTTAAAATACAAAACTCAAGTCCAAAAGTTACATGAAGTATGCAGATTAAAACATCCTGCAACACATTTTCCTGCTTAACATCTATAGGAGGGCCGACTTATAAAGATACACAACTATAATTAATAATAGACAGAGTTCTGACCGGAAATACTCGGTTTATAAGGTCTGAAAGGTTAAAGGTTTTCACTGATCAAAAACACATTTTTAACTGTTTCTTTGGCCTCTGTACCAAACTTCATACTCCATCACTCCATCAAAAATCCCTCCCCATCACACTAATGAATTTGGCACAGATTAAACCCTCATTACACCAGGTACTGGTACAAAATGTTTGGTTTGCAACATTTTCAGAAAAAAACGTTTTAGTTCAAGCAAAAGTTCCCCACAACGAAACCTGGATTAGTGTAAACAGACGTTTTTACCCTGCATTTATTTAGAGATGGAATCATGGAAACCAGATTCTGAATGTGAGAGTCCTCCAGAGCTAACTCTTCAATCAGAACAGAAACTTACAAACTTTCTGTTTAAGTTCTTTAAATGGAATAAAAAAGGATGTTTACAAAAGAAGAACTTTTTGTTTTATATAAATGTGCCTCATGACTGGTACCTCTGAATCCGTAAACAGGATCTGGATCAGTTCTGATTGTCCCAGTGGCCTCCCACTGTGGGAGCTGAAACGTGTGAGGAGCACCTGAATACGCAGGTTAATAAAGGAGATATAAATCAGATATAAAGCTCATTAGCAGCACGTTTCCCTCATTGAAGAAGAAGACTGGCTCTTCCGGCGCTGGTCTGTGTTTAGTTCATCTGAACTTCTGTTTATTCCAAGTTCACTGCTCTATGGTCCGCTCAGATTAAATGCACGATGAGCACAGAGAAAGCAGAGCCCACAGCCAGCCCCAGAGTGAGGAAGAAGGACATGACCACCCCTGTGGCCTCGGCCAGCTCTCGAGGAACCACCTTAGGACCATAGATCATGGGCAGAGTACCCAGGTATCCGTTTGAGAGGCCCAGGAGGCAGTTAAAAACCACAGGGAAGACGTCGTGGGTGAAGAACACAGTGTGGATGTGGTCTCTGGGCTGGTAGTTACAGAACATGATGAGCGGCACCATGACGGAGCGACACACCACCAGAACAGGAAGGACTCTGCTGGTGGGACCAGGGATCTGCAGCCAGGCTGTGGCCTGTCTGCCGCAGAAGTCCGCCACGTTGTAGAGCAGGAAGCTGGTGAGGGGCACGAAGTAGGTGGTGGTCCAGGGGCTGCCGCTGTCTTTGTGCACCGACTGGATCCCAGAGGAGATCGCAGGAAACACCATGATGGAGACGAAGAAGACGTAGAAGACGCACAGGCCGAGCACCCACGTCTTCCTCAGGATGGGCTGCAGAGGCGGGATGGAGTCTCCGCCCCCTGAGCTTTCCACGGTTCCGCCATCGTCCATCAATCCAGGACTGCTCGACGCTGCGAGCATGTAGTACCTGAAGGAAGAAGAAGAAGAAGAAGAGAGTATGCAGAAGGTTTTAGAAGAACCGGACTGATCGAAACAGGATCCCGACACAGTTTTAAAACATGTAAATTTGACTTTAGCACCCGCCTGTGGCCATGTCGAGAACTACACTGACTGATCCAGTATTTAGACCCAGAAAGAGACAAATTTAGATGAACATCCTCATGTTAAATAACATGAATCAAGTCTGTGATAATCTGTCATGTGGGGACCAGACGACCACCAGGTGACCTACCTTGAGTAAGCCAGCTTGGGCAGCAGCAGGTAAGTGATGATGCAGAGGAGGATGAAGACGTCAGCTGTCAGGAAGTAAGCCAGGGCGCTCTCTTTCACATCCTTCGCCACCGCCAGGTCCACGATTGAAGCTACAGCGCTCAGTGTGCCCCCCATGGCCTGACCTGAGAGGAGAGGAGACCTCAGCTCACCTGGTGTTCAAAACCACAGAGACTGCTCACCTGAGTGGAGACTGTACCTGAAATGAGCGCCTGGGAAACCCTCATGGGGAAATGTCCGCTTATCCCGAACACGCTGCCGGCGAAAAGGTTCGAGGCTCCGCTGACGACGGCCACGCTGGCCAGAGTACCGACGAAGAACTCCGTCCTGCAGCCCGACACGTCGATCTTCACCAGCACCGTGGTCAAAATGAAGACGGCCAGGATCACGAAGAGAGACGTGAGGATGCGCACGTGAGAAGACAACCTGCCGACATCACAGAGACGGACAGACAGACGAGGGTTAGACAGAGTTTACGTCAAAATGAGATTCCAGATGAGAGTCCTCATGTTTCCAGAAAGACGTTAAAGATCCAAACCTCTGCTCTATTTTATCACAGTCCAGCACAGACGGGTCAAAGTCCGGAGAGGACACAGTTAAAGACATCATTTAAAGTCACAGGATCAGTTATACGACTGTAATCTGAATATCTTAAAGGGATATTCCAGAATTTCTGACGTGATGCCGCTCAGCTCGTGAGAAACTGAACCGACACCAAAGCTCATAAAAAAATCACCTCAAAAACACCAGAATTTTCCTTTAACATCCTTTAAAAAGCTCCAAATATCATGTTCAAGAATGTTTGGGACTCTGCAGAGGAATAAAAGTGGAGTAATTTGTCGTCTGTGTTTGAATGACGGTGTTGTTACCTGTTCACTAAGAAGTAGTTGAGTATCAGACACAGCACAGACGGCACCGTGGAGGCGATGGTCAGATAACTCTCAAAGTAATCCTGCAGAAAGAGACAGAAAAACAGTTTTTAAGACACGCTCTGGAACAGATCTGCATGTTAATTTAGAGGAAGTGAGAGGAGATGAAAATCAGAGGATTTTTTTCTGCTTCCTTTGTTTTCAGTCAAAAAATAAAAGTCAGCTTTTAGGACAGAAACTCACAGAGTTCAGAGCTGACTCTGTCAAACTCTGATTATTCCTCATTTTTCACTCGAGGACACAGATCATTTCCGTCTCTGTGACACTCGCCTGTTTTATCCGTCGGCTCTTCCTTCGTTATCCTGACCTAACCTCTCTCTTACACGCTCTTTTTGCATAACTTAACGCTTTATAATTGATTCCTGTCAGAGGTGAAAGGACGCTCAGTCTTCACATCGCTGTCAGGACCTTCACAGATCCGTACGAAGCAAACAGAGAAGCGTAACTGTGATTTTGTCTCCCCCCACACTCACGCTGAGGTCTGAGCGCCGCTCCTCGTTGCCATCCTCGTTAGTGTTGTTGCTGAGTTTGTAGATCCAGTAGTGTTTGGCGGTTATGAAGAAGTTCCAGGGCAGCAGAGAGCCGATGCCCAGCAGGAAGAAGATCCAGTAGACCAGACAGTAAGAGTCCTCGGGGCTGTAACGGACCGGCAGAGGCACCGAGGAGTGTTTGGGCAGGAGGGACGCAGTGGGAGTCGTGTCCTCGCTGTCCTCGTCATCAGATACATGGTGGTTTCCAACCGCCGGGGTGAAGTAGGCGGAGTTAAGGCTAGGCTGGACGGGCACCGAGTTATCCATGTTCACAGACGGAGCTCAGAGAGTGAAGAGAGGAGGGAACGTGAAGACCAGCAAAGACAGGAAGTGTTAAACAGCGAGCTGAAAGAGAAGAGGGAGAACACGGCGTGAATATCAGAGACGATCAAATAGTTCTGCTTTATTCTTGGATCAAACTCACTGGTTCTGGTCCAAACAGGAAAGGAGAGGCTGTTTCTTGGAAAGCCATGTTCTGGACTGACTTCAGTGCCGCAGCTGGAAGAGATCAGCTCAGTAATCCAGATCCTGTGATGCTGCAGAGTTAGAGTTTATTTTATCACATCATTCTGGAAACATTAACAACAATAACTTCAGTTTAACCCTCAACCGTCTATTTCCATGAGCTGTGTCCAGCTCTGGATTAAGATCAACGTCATCTCTCTCTACGTTCACAGCTCCTTCATCGATGTTTTTCACCCTGAACTTTATCCACTTAATTAAATAAAAATCCACATTCAGTCAATTAATCGTCATTTATAACGCACTAATTCACAACACACTTTATCTGCAGATGCTTCACAAAAAAGCTGATCTAGACCAGACTTAGATTTACCCAAGATGGGATCAGACTGAGGCCCATCCTGGGAGACCAGACCCACCCCCATCCCAACTTCTTTTAACAGGCAGAAACTTTGAGCAGAACCAGACTGATGTTAGACCGTCATCTGCTGAGACTGATCTGGTTTAGAGAGGAGATACATGCAAAAACTGTCAGTAAATATGTCGTCTTCAAATGGAAATCAAACGTCTTTATTCCTCTTTTTCTGTTCTGTGTCTGAATTTAAAGGTTTTTCTTCTATTTTTAAACAAACACTTTACAAAGTTAACAGTCCATCTGCTCTGTCATCATCAGTTAGACGATGAGGAATGTAACACGAGCTCACTGAACGTCTCTCACTTTAACACCACTGTACATCAACAGTGATAGGGTAATGTTGCAGCAGTGTGGGAATGAACCAGGTCTTTACTTTAAACAGATTCAGTCATGACTTTGAGATTCACACCAACCTAAAGTCAGTTTATTTATTCTGTTTATTTCTGTTATGAGCAGCTTAGTCTGTGTCCATAATTAACACTCAGCGGATTTTCCTTTTGGCTGCTAAATATTTAAATATTTGCACCAAAATAGTCATGCAAAAAAAAACATGCAGCTTCTGTCTCCTGCTTCTCTGCTGTCTGCATGTCGGCGTTATGAGGGGACAGACTGACACAATCACATTACACTGCTGCACATGCAGGGACTCCAGCCACCACTCACCACTGGTTACTATAACGTTGGCTGATACACCGTGATTGTTTTTATCGTTAATGAGACCTTGTTTACGTTTTTCAGGCATCTGAGAACAGCTGATCAAAAACAGTTAGCTGGGGACTTCACTGCTGTGGGTTCAACACTAAGGACAGACTAATAATTAGCTGTGGTCTGTTATTGAAGCTATTGATCTATGTCAGCCCTCAATGGGGAGTCGTTATCATTTCACTGTCGCAGTATTTGGAGTATTTCTCATATCATGCAGGTCCAATATTAAATTTCAGTAACACTAGAACTACAAATATTTGAAATTCGATGTCACACCATAATACGGTTCTCTATCTATGTCACGTTACGATACGGTTCGATACGGTACACGGTACTCGATACGGTACTTTATCGTCCTCCTTTAACTAAAGTGCTGCTCATTTCAAACTAATTTCACAACATAATTGATGTATAAAAACACTTAAAACTAAAACAGTTCTCATGCAGACTCTTTCTCTCTGCCGACCACCTTCACGTGTTCTAAAAAAAACTGGAAATCTGAAATAGAAAGCGAGTCTTTGAGTCTAAAACAATGAGGCTCTTGGTTTCTGTGTGTCTGAGGGGGTAGAGGAGGAAGACTGAGATGGCAGAACAAAGCTGAGCTTGCATCTTAAAGCGTCATGTGTGCCCTTAATGAGGAACCACTTTTCACATGATGCTTCCCCAATAAAAGAGATTATTATACAGACTATAATCTCAGATAATCCCTGCAGCACTTCACACAGAACACACTTTATGAGCTTCTACAAAGGTTTTACTTCTACTTCCTTTTACTTTTTGTGGTTTTCATGTTATTTTTTAACCTGATCAGCTTTATTGAATTAGCCTGGTCGACACTTCGGACAGTAAACAAGTTCACAGATGTGACTGAAAAGGCGCAGAAAGAGACACAAATGTCGCTAAAGTTCACCGGTAACTCAGAGCTGTTACATAAACTGGTCTACATTAATAAAATAAAACCGTACCTGACTGTCAGAGTCTCTCTGGTTGTCCCTCCGCTCGTTTCTAAAACTGTAACACCGACACACACAAATCCATTTCACAGCAAACCGCATTTCTGGTCAGCTGACTCACAACATTGTTCACAGTGCGTTCAGGGACTCATCTGAGGCTCGGAATTATAAGTATCAGAAGTCCAGTTTCAAACGTGAGAGTTTTCATGTGGATTAAATCAGTCTTAAACGCAAAAAAGGATGACACATTTCTATTAGTGTTTGATACGCAGCCATTTATCCATTTAAAGAGGCAATATCTTAATCTTGTATCACAAATAAATCAAATCAGTATCAAAATGAAAAAAATTGCGATTTTTTTTTTAATTGAGAGGTTTTTGTTTGTTTGAACGCAACGTGTCAGGAATACTGTAGGACAAAAAAACAAAATCTGACAACTTACCAGGGTTTATTTCACGATTTGTGAACACATTGATGCCAATTTTCCCAGCGAGAAACATATTTGTCGAATGTTCCGACATCACTTGAAAGCACCATCAGCAGTAACAACAACAACAACAGAACTTCTGGTAGGAAAACTTCAAAATAAAAGTACTGTCATTCATAAATACCTAATTAATAATAATAATAATAATAATAATAATAATAATAATAATAATAATAATAATAATAATAATAATAATAATAATGTACCCTGTTGTAATATCTGTTGTTTGAATACATACATTATGGACTTTGTTACAGCCACACCAGTTGCCAGGAGCATAGCTGAGTGAAGCTGAGTATGTTATAAATATTGATATTTGGTTTCCGATACTAAACTTTACTCTCAAATTTGGAGCTGAAACATTTAGAGCTCTCCCTATTGGCTGACTGTAGAACAGGTCATAAATTGGTCTCTTTAGATTCAGTCATGTTAAAAAGTTTTACTTTCCCAGTTTTTGTCCTTGTACACCAACTACCTGACCCTGTTTCCAGCCCTGAAAATCACCATGAGAGCTCAGGGAGGCTGTGAGTAAACTCTGAAATGATCATGGTGGTGTTGCAGCTCTTGTTACATCAGTACCTGGTTTCCCCTACTGTTGTTAAATAGACAATGATTATTATAAAGTGACATTAATCCTCATATACCATATATTATTCAGTACACTGTTTATATCGGAGGTCGTTATACTATACTTTGCTATGCACTTCGATTTCCTCCTGAGAATAAGACAATTAATAGTCTGATGAAATTACATGCAAACATTTTTACTCTTTCACTTTATAAACAAAGCATGTGATATTACCAACTGAGATCATTTCCCACTAAACACCATGAAGGTAGTCTCCATATTCATCAGCAGAGGGCACTACAGGACAGTGTGTATCCTAGTGTGTTACTGCGTCTCTCAGAGCTGTAAAAACAACATCACAAAAAACCTCTCCACTCCTGTCCAACATGTCATCAGGTGAGTTTGTGGGTTTGATTGTCGTTTCAACTGCAGGATCACAGCAGAGCAGACAGAGTTGGACTAAAATGATCATTATCCAATGAGTCACCGTCCAAATGTCAAGCTTCTTCGAGTCACAGCTGCTCAACGGCTGTTTCCTCCAGGCAACAACAGAGATGATAGTGGAGAAAATCTGAACAAACTACAAACACTGAAGAGGGTTTCCTACTTTTGACTTTAATCTCGTTAGTTAACGAGTTTAGTCTTGAAATTTAAAAAGTGAAAATTAATTCTTGTGATTCTAATTCTCCATCTTTCTGTTTTTTTATTTGTAATTTCATAAAATGCTGTTCTGTGCTTTGTGAAAAGTTTTTATGAATATTTTGTTGGATTTCCATGAAATGTTTTTTATTATGTTTAGCAATTTGGTATTTCATAAAACATTTGTTCTTGATCAGGCATTTTCCTTTTACTGTTTAGTAAAATAGTTTAATTGTTTTGTGAATTTTTGATGAATTTTAGGAAATATTTTTGTGTTTTTAGACTGATTTTCCAGTTGACTCTCGGGGGGCACCATAATATAAGATGTATTTTTTTTAAATATGCTGGGTTGGGTGAATATAATGATTTTCATATTTTTAATATCTCTTATTTCATTTTGTACATTAAAAATAAAGACATCAATAAACTGTAATGGAAACTATTCTGTATGCCTTACTTCGTCTGACCTTGTCTGTCTATGTGGATATTTGGCATTTTGTAGATAGTGTATTGTGTAACGTTAACTGTTGTTTACATGTGAGCGCCCTCTGCTGGAGCCTCCGCGGTCTTGCTGGTTGCATCTCATGTACAGGTGTGTTTCATCCCTGGAAGGTAAATTTATATGATCCCTTAAAACATGTAAAATTAATCTTGTGTTTATCGTCTAAGGTACTATTTATCCATGTTGTATTTTTGAGTGTATTTCTGAATTTACCTTCAAACACTTTGGTGATGTTTTTACTGTGGCGTGTTTTAAACTCACCATGTTTTTATGTTTTGATCGCTAAAAATGTCATAAATCTTTATGTAGCCTGCTAACCGGGACTGTTCGATAGATGTGTTTTCTCTGTTTTATGCCTTTTAGAAATATAAATATCATCTGATATCACCTGAGAGGCCTATTCATGTAGTTTTACTTACATTTAAAGTCATATAATGCAGAAAAATAACATGTACTTTTAACCCACCCAGTGCAGCACACTGAGCGGTGTCTGAAAATAGTTCAACACCTTAAAAATAGTTTAATTCTAACTTCTGATTCACTGCAAATCAACAACAACGAGGTCCTGGTTAGAGGTGAGTCTGCGTTTCAGCCTCGACATTGTGCAGCCTCTTTGTGTATTATAAAAAGGTTCAATTAACTCATGCACTGAAGGGTGGCACATCAGTCCTCAATTAGCAGCACATTTAATGAAACAGGTGTGAGGAGGCGCCCGCTGTTAAGACCACTCTTTGGAGCACACTCATCCCGATGACTCAACAGGGTATTTATTCTCAGCGTTAGAGTCCAATCTGACGAACCCCGACACATCCTGGGAGGATAAAGACCCACGGTGAGAATGGTCGATCTAACCTGAAGTCCATCTACGAAGGGCACCGCTCCAGAACCTTAATTTGAATGTCGGACAGCCGGCCAGTTAAAAGCTTTTAAAGCTAAATGGACCTAGAGGGAATTTTCCAATGAGGTGTGAGGGAGAGGAGGAGGAGGCCGAGGAGAAAATAGAGTTTAATTGATAAAAAAAAAAAACAGTGATGCCGTTTAATCGTGATTCTATCCTGCCAAGGTGATCCGAAGAAGCTTTAATTAAACAACCACAAAAGACACTTCCTGTCTCAGACCGATGAAAAGAAGACGTGGATCCTGACTTTGTTACCTGGAGGTCAGATTATAACCCTAATAAATCTCTAAAGACTCTTCAGCTCCAAAAAAGTCCAGAATAGACTTTAAAATCCTTTATTTAGACCCACAAAGACCTTCATGATCAGAAACCATCATATCCTAAAGATCTCAGAGAGCCCTGTTGTTGCTCCTCTAGATCATGACTTTGTAAATTATAGATATGTTTGTTTAGATGTCTCTAAAGAAGTATGGGAGGTCGGGCCTTCGGAGTCTTGGAGGCAGAAACCGGGTCCACCTTAAAGAAGAGGCTGAAAACTTGTAATCTGGACATGCTCAGGTTTAGAAAGTAGTCTGGGGGGTAGGGCCTTCAGGTTTCAGGTCAGGGGAAGCAGACATCCTCTTCACTTTTAGAAGCAAGTTTAAAACTTTATCTTTAATAAAACTTTTAGTCAGGGCAGGTTCAGGCCTTAAAAGTACTTTTGAGTCTCAGACTGTCGGACACTTCTCCTTTGGAATCATCAGCCAGTCAAAATCTGGGAGGTAGACACTCTCTCCGATTTCACAGGAAGTTTCAAACTTTCCTTTCTTTATAAAACTTTAGATTTAGGCGGAGACAAGCTGAGATATCGACTGGAGGAAGATTCTTCAATTATATGGTTCCTCCTTTGGAATCATGGACCAATCAGAGTCCAGGACGCAGACTTAAAACCTTCACTTTTTTAAAAACAGTTTAATGTCAGGGTTCGATCAGGGAGAACTTTCAGCCATCAGGTCCTTCTTTACTCTGCAGATTGAATAACGGAGCGAACACACACTGTTGTTAAACTAAGAAATATAATTTATTGCATAAAAATTATATTTAGTTACAGGTAAGAAGGCTAGACGTTTATTTACAATTTGTACTTTACAGACATAAAATAATGTCACTGAATACATTTTGTTTTTCTGTAAAAATGTCCGTCTCTTTTCAACAAAGGCGAAGTTTTTCTCTCGGACTGGAGCGACGAGGAATCCGGTCCAGCTCCGACGAAAAAGATCCAGAGCTATGGCCGAAGATCCGACAGACACTCGAGACATCTGGACGAAAAAACACTGTAGTCTACAGCTAGCCAGTCTCTGTAACAAGAAAATAGTCCTGCAGTAGTCAGGGATCCAAAGTTCTGAACCGGTCCAGTTCAGATATTCCCTCCTGGGCAAAGACCTGCCGGGTAAGAGTTCATGTTTTTCACCGTTTCTCCTGCAGCCCTCGTCGTCGTTGTAGTCCTGTGTTCTTCCAGTTCTGGCTTCCTTGTTCAGTGATCCGTTTCTCCTGATCCGGATGGGGATTAGCCACAAACGCCACCGTCACCTAACGCTCTAAAACCACTTTGGGATACAAAATCAAAACCCTGTCAATGCCCTGATCTGAAAAAATAGAGTTACTCTTCCAGGAAACAAAAGAAGTCAAAATGCTTCGCTGTTCTTTTGTACTTGCATAGCACTTACAAAGAGAGATGACAGATACTGAGCGTGCACAGGCTGCATGTGCACGCCCACCTGCCCACACATACCCATTCAGCTCACACACACACTCACAGCCTGACAGTCTGTTTTCAGCTCATTCACACAAAACAGTGACATGACTCACTGCTGAGGAGGGAGGAGGGATACTGCCTGTGTTTTGGTTTTTGTGGTTTCAAAGATAGGAACACTTTTTTTTTGCTTTAAGGGAGAAAAAAAAAAATCATCAAAAATAAAAAAGAGAGAAAGTCACAGACGACAGCGTTTCAATCCCCGACCAACACTAACGCACAGAAATATATGGATGATAAGGAGCAGCATGAGGACCCTGACCACAAAGCAGGCGACTTAGTATGAAATTAACAAGAGAGGATGATGGATGGACTGATGGACGCATAGATGAGCGCCGCACAGGGCGTAAATTAAAACATAAAGCAGTTAATGTCGAGGTAAATCTGACGGTCCCTTACTGCCTGGTCTTTAAAGAGAGGCCCTCTGTAAAAAGACACGAACTCGGCCTCCTCTGAGCGTGTTGTTCAGGTTAGACATTAGAGTAGATACACAGAATTAAGAACAAATTAACATGACGGTGTTATCAACAACACAGTTTGTCCTGAGGGGTGTACCACGGAGCAGCTTCGACTCGCCGGCGGGTTTAAAAGGCACCGTGAGAAGTTTTCATGTGGTGGTGTTTTTTTTTTTTTAAAGTTCATCTGTTGTTGGATAAAAATCTCTGTCTCACTTCTTTATTCATGACGAGGTGATAAAATCAGGGGTCAAACTAGACCAGTACAGTCCGGCACCGTGGACCTCTAGGTAGCTGTTCACAGTTTGGTAGGAGTGAAGGAGTATTCCCGGATAACCATCCTAACTGTTGGGGCACCAGGAGCACCAATCCAACCCTCAAGGGTGGAGCTAACACAAACCCTAATCTGGATTATGGGAACTGGATTAGATTGTATAAATCCAAACCCGATTTAATTCAACAATTAACACGGTTCACCTGCAGCTAACAGGATTCATGACAAGGTTTTCATGACCTGTCCTGGCTGACCCTTCACAATAAAACCAAGGGGAGTCTCCCTGCAGAAAAATGACAGGCTTTTATTTTGAAATGAGTCTTTGCTAAATTGTAACACAAATTTATCTGATGCAAAACCAATAAAGCTCTTATTTTGCATATTTTGAGCCCTCTCAGACTTTTTACTGAGAATTGAAACAAAAAAACTTTGCAGAGTTCTTCCTCCCTGAAGCACCAGAGTCTAACGGGTATGAAAGAAGATTAAGGCCACATGAGGAGAAAACAAATAATCATACAAAGGAGATTGATGTTGAAATTTTGAGATTAAAGTCGGAATTTCAAGATTAAAAATTGAAATTTCGAGATTACAAAATGTCAAGATTAGATAAATTAAAATTTTAAGATTAAAGTTGAGTTGAATTAAGTCAAAATTTCAACTTTTTAAAATTTCGACTTTAAACTCAAAATGGAAATGAAGAGAATCTCCCTCCTGTACCGTATTTTTCGCACTATAAGGCGCACTTAAAATCCGTTTGGCTTGTCGGAGCGCTGCAGCTACCGTCGCCTCGCTGAGTTACTAAATGAGTTAAATAAAGTTTCACTTATCTGACTGTTTTGTTTCGGTTAATGTGCTTTATAATCTGGTGCGCCTTATGTATGAAAATAGACGCGTTCATTGATGGTGTGAAAAATAAGGTAATTATTTTTTCCTCTCCTTGTGGCCCTGATCCCTTTTTTGTAAACTGGCTCTGGAGGAGTGAGCAACATCAGGGTTCACTGAATTAAACATTCGTTATAAAACCTCCAAAGTAAAATGTGCAGCAGGATAAATCGTCAAGTTTTATGATCATCTTTTATTTAAAGACGAGCTGTGCGTGCTTCAGGCCATGAAGAGGCGTCCGTTTAAGAGACTATTTAAAATCAGTAAAACTCCTCATGGTGCCTTTAATATAATCAGGCCTCACTAACCCCTAAAATAGAGAGCAGGTGTAACAGCAACAGGTGGATGTCACCTTCCTGTGTGAACAGACTTCCTGCTGCAGGCTCGCCGAGCCAGAAATAGAAGGAGGCGTTAAATTTGTTCATGACACTTTTTTTCAGAGGAGACGTCCTGTTATTTACACCCACTGAAGTCAGGCTGTTAAAACCAACAATAAAAAACAACAAAACAAGTTATTATTGCATAAAAAACTCAGACACTGAGAAAACTCCAACAAAGAAAGGAAGGAGGGCGTTTCTGTCTCATTTTAGTCCATATAAACGTTTTATTTTCAGTTATTAAAGTCGAAGATGAAACCGGATCTGCTTGTTTTGAGTTCCTAAAGTCTGAACACGTACAGTATCCTCACCTTATAACTGTTTTCTCCCTCATTATAAGTAATTAAGGTCTTATTTTTGATGTTTAACCGCACCTGTCAGGTGGATGGGACTCTCATAAAGTCCAATAAAACCGTCTTTCTTACTGGAAATCTAAGCGTCTCGCTCAGGTTGGAGTTTTTGCAGAGAAAAGAGGATTTTTGTGATGCACTCGCTGAGTCTCTTTTTTATTCCTGGCAGCAGCGAAGTGCTCACAGCGGAGCTCTTAAACCTTAAGTGTAATACAGCAGTAAAGTGGAGATATGATTCTTTTCCTGGAACTTTCTCATAATGAGAAATTCACTCTTAGATTAGATCGCATCAAATTAAGAAAATCAAAGTTTCCTGCCGCTCCTGCGTTATTCTCTCAGCGTGTGGATGATCTGCAGCGTGAAATTCTGGAGTGGAAATATCACCTGAAGCAAACAGGGAACAATGAGAGGATTTTCTGCATCACCGGTTAAATGCATGTGGACTAATGTGGTGCAGCGCTGCTGCGACTAACGCTGCACTAAAGCATTTTGTAACTCTCACTCTTTAAAGGTCCAGTCTGTAGAAATGAGAACATCTGTGAAATCTAGAAGTCAGAATCTAGATTACAACACTCCTCCTGTCTGTGGAGCTACGGTGGCCTTTGAAGGACAATAAGCTCTTGATGCATGAAAAGTGCGTTTCTAAATTTATGCACAACTGTTTTCTTTTTCATCTTCACAGCGGCGCATTTTGTGAAAGATCACGTTTCTGTGAAGCCTGAGAAGATCTTCACACTCATGATCACTATAACCTCTCTCTCTAGCTTTGCTCATTCTGTCCCTCTGCTTCACTAACACACCTGCCTCCTCCTCTAACTTTAGAGTTGAAATATGTTTAAATTAATCTAGAAACTCGATCTGATACCAGTCCGTTCTTCCTTTTCCTCTTTGCTCTGGTTAATCCGTCGCGCTCTTTAGCGTGACGCGTCTTCAGGTGTTTCATTAAGTTGCTGGTGTTAAAAGTAGCAACACTCGTGCCACCTCTCGAAATATTTCCTTGATATATTCGCACGTTGTAGTCTTACTGGTGGGAGCATCCGGCGTGAAATATTGCCGACGTGACGCTAGTGCTAATTAGCTGCTACTTAGCGTAGGTCTGAGCTTCATCAACTGTGTAAACACGGTTCGTCTGTCTCGTGATCCATGCTGTTTTACATCGGCGAAGAAGAACTGTGTCAGAGCTAACGGAGCTAACCAGTAGATAAATTACACAATGTCAGATCGGAGCCTGGACGCCAGTACTCGCCGATATTGATGCCTCGTGAATCTACTCTGACTGAGCGATCTCTACCGAGTCTGCACACCGCACCTTTAAGACACCAGAAGATTTTACCTGGAGGAGAAGTCGTAGACGGACGGTTTACAGCTGATTTAAATCCGACCTCTTTAAAATGGCGCTGAGATATTCTCAGTAAGTCGGTTATAAAGAGCGGCGGCTGTAAAACCTCGCTCTCAGTTTAACGTGGAGCGCTAACCCATCACTCTGCCTTCGTAGTACACCCCTCTGCTTCTCCAAAATCAAAAATAAAACAGCGGCTCCGCGGCCAAAACAAGCAGAGATGATAAAACAGGTCCTGTGTGATCGTTCACAGAGATGGCAGCGGAAAAGAATCCACAAATATGGATAATAACTCAAAGAGCGTTCCCCAGAGGAAACTTTTAAGGGATGATTGGAAAGCTCTCCTGCAGTTTATTCTGGGCAGACCGGAGGAGGAGGAGGAGGAGGAGGAGGAGGAGGAGTGTGGCGGAGCGATAGAGGAATGTGAGGACAGATGAAAGAGAAACACCCCTGTGTGTCGCAATGATATGCCAAGGCTTTGAGGCGTTTGTTGGTACAGTATAAAGAGTCAATCGGTCTAGTTAACCGCCAATTCCTCAGCGGACTCCACGATACGCCCGCCTACCACAGAGAGGAGGCCGCTTTTTCCTGTTTCCCAGCCCGCGGCGACGCGCTCCAGCCCTCAGACTCGGAGGGTTTCAGTCCTCACGGTTGGGTTTGTGGAGCGGCGATGAATGACCGGTTTGGATGTGTTTGTGTGGGACGCGTCTGTAGCCTGAGGAGGTTGCAGACAGATCGCTGCTGCCTGTCATTCGCAGACTGACTGACGGCCCCTGCCATGAGGTGAGACGGTTTTCAATCACGCTGCTACCGAACACGGGTAATCCCACATCAGCGCTTGTGTTGTTGAGTTGAATACATGGATCATTTCGCCGTATCGTTCATGTTCAACAATAGTTTCCTTTTCAATCTTCGCTCTGACAGATTTCTTCACGCCCATTTTACGCCGTCCTTCCCTCGGATTGCTTTCACATCGTGCAGATGCTACATGGAGGATTCAAGCTGAATCAGGTTCGCAGTTATCCGTGGACGGCCCTCGTGGGAACAGGTTATGGTTGTTGTGTAGCTACAGTGGCTGATCTGGGGGCAGTGAGGAGGAGGAGGAGGAGGAGGATGAGGCAGAGGTATTACAGTCCATGTGAAGAAGAAGAAGAAGAAGAAGAAGGAGGAGGAGGAGGAGACCAACTGCTCTGCCGGGGTCTGCATATTCTCATTTTCATCACGGCCGTGTGGGGAAAAAAAAATAAAGAGTCCTTCCTGCTCCCCCCTATTTCTTGGCCAATCAACAGTCCCCATCTGTTGTCATGACAACAAGCACCTCACTTTTGCCCATCTCTTCCAGCGCGGTCGCCAGAGAGACCAGGTCTGCGTCAGCTTGGTGACAGGCCTCCCATAAGTCCAGGAGAACACCTGTGGGGCTCGGCTTGGTGGCGAAGTAGTTCAAGTACCTGAGGAGAGGAAGAGAGGAGAGGAGACGACGTTAGAGTCCTTCACCTCCTGATTAGAAAACTCTGAGTTATTAAAACTGCAGAGTAAAGTCTGTTTATTGATGCTCAGATCACGATCATATCTCACTGAGCAGGATGAGCTTATTAGTCTTCTAAAACTCAGAAAGCTCTGACTGAATCCTTCTTAAACTTCATATTCAAGTCAAACTCTTCAGATTATAAAAATAAAACTCTGATTTTAAACACAATTACATCTTTACATCTCTGCACAGGAGATGACTTTGTGATGACGGTGAGAGAGGAAGTCGAGGTTTCTGATTTTACACCGAAACAAAAACTCCCATCAAGTTCATCTGGACTCTTTAAGATGTTGGTACAGGGACAACGAACAGGTCAGAAGTTTCGTGAAGTGAATTTCGAACAGTTTAGTCACATGACTGGGTCTAACAAGGACATTCAGAATTTTCACAGCATCAGAGCGGCTCCGATCCGGCGGATCCGTTTGTGAGGCAAATTTTGTAGCGGATCACGGACAGCGGTAATCGCGAAAACTCACAAGAACCTGTAGATTCACGTTCAATCGAGCGATAACGAGTTGTCTCTCTAAAGACAGACACATAGACATATAAGCAGTAGATTGTGTCCTTCCAGAGGAGGAAATCTACATCTAGACTTCTAGAATCAGCATCTCCTCATCCATGGTGTCATCGGGGTGAAATGACGTCTAAAAACCTTTCACTTGTTCGTCTCCGCCCGTTTGCATGGTGTGAAATACGATCCTCCTGAAACACGGAGTTTTTTATTTTGAAAAGAAGCCGGATGTTTTATTTTGTGTCTGTGCCCGACTTCCTTTCCAGCACGGGTTAATCTGTGCTGAATTTATCCGCCATGCTCCGGCGTCCAGAAAAAATAGAACTCTTGTGATCAGCTGAGGAGTCCGGCGATCGAAAGAAGTCGGTGGAAATGGTCACGTTAACATTAAGCTGCGATTGGCGAATACAGCCTTTTCGTCGCCGGTCTGAATGTGGTGGAAATGTCTCTTAAGGAGGAAAAATGCAAGAACCAAAACCAGGACTGGATGGTCCTGATCTTCAGGGTGTTAAAAACAGACACAACTCTGGAGTGGAAATCACCGCATGGAAAGGCGAAACGTCTCAAGTAAGTCCAGTTGTCCTTTCAACAAAGAACTAGAAATCATAGATGCTGCATCCTCAGTTTTAAACATTATTTCCACGTTTAGGAGCAACATCTGCGTCCATCCAGACCAGGAATCAAATTCTCCAACATTTAATGTTTCGTCTTTGCAGATTTTTAATGAACTATAATCTCTAAATGATCGTCACACAGAGTCAGAACTTTTGGTTAAAGTGCAGGTGTATAAAAAAAAGTGTTTTTCAGAGGGTTTAAAGGAGGACAAAGATTAGGGCTGCCGGATTTCTTCCTGGATCTTAAGTTCTCAAAGAGGGACCCACCAGGGGTTTTCACGCTTCACTTAAGTTTAAAAGAGATTAAGTCGTGGACTCGGGGGCGGTCCACGAGTGATAACTAATCTGAAAATCAATTCTCTAATGTGAGGTGGAGCTGAAATCTTAAACTCTGTTGTTTCCGCGTTAGAAAATTTAATCTTTCCTGAGTTCAGAAATCCGAGGACTCAGTCTGGACCCCCTTTTTCACACAGGAACACCTGAGGCGGCTCTGACCTGTCAAAACCCAGACTGCGGGCCAGCAGTCTCCAGTCACATCCTCGAGCGCTGGGAGCATCCAGACTGGCACAGATCTTCTGACGGATGGAGTCAGGCAGGCGAAAGGCGTAGGGTCCCACCTGAGAGGAGGGCAGGCAGGTGCCGCCTGATGGGAGGGGCGAGTGTGGCGGTAGAGTCTGGGTTTAGAGAGAGAGAGAGAGAGAGAGAGAGAGAGAGAGAGAGAGAGAGAGAGAGAGAGGAGCAGTTAGACTGAAGTCTGAGGGTTTAACAACAAACAACAGATGTGTTTAAATTAGAGCTGCATGATATATCGTTTTAGCATCGTCATGGCGATGTATGTGTGCGTGATAGTGACATAGCAGAGCCCGAGCTGTTGGAGGAGAATGAACTCATCTAATTACTGTTGTGTTGTTTGCGAACGATTTGTTCAAAAGAACCGAATCTGTACTGACTGTACTGAACAGAATCACTTCCTTAAGTGATTCGTTCGTTTCTCACTTCAGTTGAGCTGTCAGCAGTGCAGCTGGTATGGCGTGCAGCATTGCCAGGCAAGCAGCAGGGGAACAAGAGACCACATGCACCAAACGCCTGACTCACTTGGTAAACAAATCAGGCATTGAACTACACTCTCTGAAATCATCTTTGCCACCACAACAACTCGCATACAAAAGGACACAGCATGTAACAAGTAGTGCATTAAACCTGCAGCATCCTGTCATTACAGCGAGGGAACGGTTCATGTTCAGTGTGAATTCTTCCAAACGTTCAGTGAACGAATCACTCACTGAGCCCAATTTACCAAGCAGACCTGATCAATAGTATACCACAGTACACTTAAAACATCATGACCTATAAACAAGTTCATTTTTACAAACCTGTTTGTTAAAGTTACACAGACAAACACTCTTGTCTCCTGGTCCCAGAAGCTTTAATCTGAACTGAATTGTGAACCGTTCAGCTGTGTATCAGTTCAGGAGGTCAGAGACGCAGGCTCCTTCCACTAAGTGCTGAATGAGTCGGTGATTTGGTGAACGAATCTTTTGAATGAATCTTTTTAGTGAACTGATTCTAGTGATTCAGTACATCTAAAAGGACTGCCGTGCCCATCACTACATCTAATTTTAAGGGTAGCTGACTGACATACCCTCCATGTGACTCTGCATGTGCAGCGATCCACCAATCACCTTCGTTCTTTACTCAGACTTGTCACCAAAAAGAAAAGAAAAGTCAGTTATCTGGAATTATTTCGGTTAAAAGAAGGATGATGTCGACTAAAACACGTGTTCTGTGTTCATCTGTTTCCACAATAACGTCCCAGCACAAGAAAAACTAAAAATATCTCTAAGACAGACAGAAGTTATTCTACTAACATTCACTAAAAGAGGTAAGATCAGAGCAGGTTAACTGTCCTCAAGATTTCAGCAGAAACTCAGATTCAGATCATCTGATGAAAATTCATCTATTTTTTAATATCACAGGGTTGAAAAAATTGAATTGTTAGTTTTTGTCAAATATCGTGCAGCTCTAGTTTAAATCCAAAGGGGATTCAGGTCCAGGTGTCAAACTCAGACTCCTGGACCTCATCTAGACCCCGGTCTCTGTGAAGAGAAACAGACTCTCTCATATTTGTCTCCATTACCTCCTGAATGTCGGTGCGCAGCTGGAATATCTGCCCCTCCCCCTCCACCTGCCGTACGCAGATCTTACAGCTGAGCTGAGACACGGCCAGGCTGCCTCTCTCCAGGCTGAAGGTGCAGTGCAGCGGTCTCTGACTGCCGCTCCAGATGTGATAGAAGGGGATCTCCTGAAAACAGTTTAGATGAGATTAAAGATCTGCGCTCTGCTGTGATGAAGGAGGTCTGTGTAATCAGGACAGATCTGGACTTTCTGTTCAGGGTTTTCTTATAAACCTGCAGTTTCTAATAACGGCTCCCCCTCTGTGTGTGTCAGAGGATAAATTATTTCTGAGGCGCTCAGTTCATGAATTAAAACCACTATCAGATCCTCCGCTTGTTTCTGGAGATGAATCAGGCTGCAGCGCCGAGCCTCTGCAAGAAACATCAGCAGAGAGTTTGGAGAGAAGAGAAAGTCTGTTCGCTGGAGTCTCCACAAGTCTTTATTTTATTTCACTGATATTCTGTTTTATTGGCTGTTATTTTCAGTTTTGACAAAGTCTAGAAACTCCAATAATCCAGCAGAATCGACGGTTAAAGAAAGAATAGATGGAAAATCCAAAATTTTATATCATTACCATGAGAAAACAAGAAAGATTCATGAGTTCAGAGTCAGAATGAGGAGATAAAGTCAAATTATGAGAAAGATAAAGTCGTAATAAAGAGACGGTGTGCTGCAATAACAGGATAAAGAAGCAGCAGCTGCCAGTGAACTCGCTGTAGCAGACTCTAATAATAATAATAATGATAATGATAATAATAATAATAATAATAATAATAATAATAATAATAATAACAATAATAATAATAATAACAATAATAATAATAATAATAACAATAATAATAATAATAATAATAATAATAATAATAACAATAATAATAATAATAATAACAATAATAATAATTATAACAATAATAATAATAATAATAATAATAACAATAATAATAATTATAACAATAATAATAATAATAATAATAATAACAATAATAATAATAATAATAATAATAATAATAATAATAATAATAATAATAATAATAAATAGAGTCTGGAGGAGATCGTATCAGAAGAAAATAAAGATGAAGAGTCAAACAGAAACGTTCATGATGATGTTAAAGAACTCCTAAAGAAGAATCCATCTGTCCAGATTTTACATGTTCGACTTTGTCCAGAGTTTGATAATCCGTCTCTGAAGACGAAGAGAAAAGACGATCCTTCAGTTTTATTCTCACGCTCACCTGATACTTAGCGAGCAGTTTGCTCCTCCAGTGGGTGTGCGGGATGTCGTGGATGGACAGGCGGAGGTTGTGGTAACTGTCTTTGAACAGCAGCGGTTTGGGATCCTCCAGTAAAACTCCTCCTAGACTCCTCTCCAAGTCCAGCACCTCCTGAGGACGACAGAGACCAGAGCGGCGTTATCGAGAGTCAGTCTTTGAAACAGATTTGAGTTCAACAAGCTTTTCAAAACGCTTTATTAAAACGTGGTCATTAAGAGCCCAGATTCACGTAAAGTGACGGCAGTAAACTCCAAACATCTCGCTCCTGTTTATGACTCCAGCTGCTCGGAGAAGTTCAGAGAAATAAAGACTAACAGAGAAAGTAATGAACTCAGGTGAGTCGGCTCTCTTCTGTCGACGTAAACAAGATTCAGAATCATCAGAATCTGATTTGGGCGGTTCTGACGGACCTGCAGGAGCCGGTTTAGACTTCCTGATTACCCCGGACGACGTGCAAATACGTGATAATCCCTTTAAACGTTATTACTCTGAGTCACACTTCCTCCTGATTCATCACCTCTTTTAATTTTTCATGAGACATTTTTGCTTTTCCAGGTCCCAGGGTACAGAAACACTCAGATATCTTTCAGTGTTATTGGCTTTTCCTACGGTGGCCCTGAAGGTCAAAACTCAAAGTTTTAAAATAAATGTGTAAAATTTGAGATAAAAACTGGTTCATCAGCTGTTCAAACTGATAAACACTCAAACACCGAATAAGAACCGCGTCGTGTCGGCACCTTGAGAGCGTGCGGCGTGTCGTGGATGCAGTAGATCCGGAGGCTGTAGTCCAGAGAAAGGCAGGGCGCTCTGGGGGCGAACAAGGCGAGCTGCAGGCGTTTACAGGCCGGCTGCGGCGGACAGGACTGACCCACGAGGCCGTAGGTCCCCAGCTGCTCCATGAGGACGTGACAACACTCCTCCTCCAGCTGCAGGTAACACGGCGACGACAGCGTCTCCTCCCCGACCGTCAGCACCTCCTGATGATGGAGAAATTAAATTAAGGTTGAGTGACGCCACGGCTCCCCGCCACACATCACTTATCTGGTACCGCTGAGGCGCCGCCTCACCTCCCAGGCCCCTTGGTGTGTCTGCGTCTTGAGCGTCAGGGTCCAGTCGGGCGTCGGCGTGTCGAGTTGGGCACAGTGCGGCAAAGTGAGAACCACAGGACGGTTCAGCAGCATGCCAGACGGACCGCAGCTCACCACGGGACTGAGCACAGTCTGACTGCCTTCAGAGGGAAGCCTGCAAATGTCACACACACACACATGAACACACACATGCACACACACGGGTGTTTGCCAAAACATCTCACTTCACTTCTAAAAGCACATGACGGCGGCGGCTGCACAGTTAGCAGCGCTCTGGTATTGATGTAACTGAATATCAAACCTGCACAGACTTGGCAGGACGTGAACCGTCTCTGATTCTGAGTTAAATAAACTCTTCCTCTCTGTATCCGCTCTAAAAACACACACTGAGCCGAGACTGAAGAGGGCTCGCAGCGGGCGGGTTACTCCTGATGGAGGTGAGGGCGAGCTTTGTAGAGGAAGCAGAAGAAGAGGAGGATGAAGAGCACTCACGTGGTTTTGTCCCACTTGTTGATGATGAGGTACATCTCGTAAAACTTCCCCTGAGGGATGGTGCCGGGAGGAACCAGGAGGCTCACACCTGAGGAGGAGGAGGAGGAGGAAGGAGCTCAGGTTACTCACTATCAAAGCTGCACACAACAAAAGTCAAGTTTGAACATCTTAGTCGGCTCCTCTCATCTGTGACTTCTGAGACAATAACAGGAAATAATACGAGGAGAATAAACCGCCTGGTTAGGAACCAGCAGAGCCCCAAAAACTGAAATAAGAGGAAACAGATCCAGACGGCTGCAGTGAACCGGACTCAGGAATCAGGAACATTCATGCATCACATGACCCCTAATCTCCACCTTCATCCTGATCATCTCCTAAAAGGTCGTATCCTCCGATCGCAGCTGATCGTAACCATTCAAGTTAACGTGTCGATTTACACCGACTTCTTTCCGTTCCTCTGAGGATCGCCAGACTCTATTTTTTCTGGACGCCGGAGCATGGCGGATAAATTCAGCACAGATTAACCCGTGCTGGAAAGGAAGTCGGGCACAGACACAAAATAAAACATCCGGCTTCTTTTCAAAATAAAACACTCCGTGTTTCAGGAGGATCGTATTTCACACCATGCAAACGGGCGGAGACGAACAAGTGAAAGGTTTTTAGACGTCATTTCACCCCGATGACACCATGGATGAGGAGATGCTGATTCTAGAAGTCTAGAAGTAGATTTCCTCCTCTGGAAGGACACAATCTACTGCTTATATGTCTATGTGTCTGTCTTTATAGAGACGACTCGTTATCGCGCGATTGATTGGAATCAATTGCATGTCTGTAATCCGCCGTGAAATTTGCCGGATGCGGTGAAAATCGAGGGTTAGTCTGCAAATCTACAACAACCGGGTAAAAACAATTCACCAGTTTTGCAGCTCCTTTACACAGGACTACAAGGACCCCCCCCCACACAAGACTGAACAGGTCTGGGACAGATCCAGATCCCTGCAACATTTAACTTCATTTTTATAATTCAGTTCAAAGTTGTTTCAGTTCTTCATCGACTCATCCTGCTGAAGAACATCTCCACGTTCTCCTCTGACCTGTGTTGGGGATGGTGAGGCGTCCTCCGAGGGCCCCCAGGGTGGCGCTGGTGCTCAGGCCGGGCTCCCTGGACAGCGTGTGGCTGTGGTAGTCTCTCTCTCTCCCGATGGTTCCCACGGACTTCAGGCTCAGGATCTCCCCGTCGCTGGAGTACATCTCCGGGGGCAGCTCCAGCGAGGAGAGCGTGGAGGCGTTGTACACCTTAATCTTGAGGCTGGGCAGGGGGTCCAGCAGGGGGGAGGTGGTCATGGGGATCTTATGGGGGCTGTCGTGGACGCTTTGCTGCAGGGAGAAGAGCGGACCCCGGAAAGCGCCCGCTGTGGCGGTCAGGTCGGGGGGAGCGGAGGGGTGCAGAGGGTTATCTGTGGACACAGGAGGAGAGAGGAGACATTTGTCATCATCACCTGAGAGAGGAGGAGAGCGAGCGCGTCGAGTGACCCGAAGAAACGGATTAATGTCGCTAATTAATATTTGATAGTGAGAACAAGAGGACGGGTTCTGTGGCGAAAGCTTTCAGGAGAACGGCGAGGAGAACGGCGAGGAGAAGAAGAGAGAGGATTAATTTATGGGATGATATTAATAACAGAGAGATGGTGTGTGTGTGTGTGTGTGTGTGTGTGTGTGTGTGTCCGGACTCACCCTGTCTGGGAGGTTTGTAGTTGCCGGGGTGGAAGGCGGCGGTGAGAGCAGAAGAAGAATCGGTGATGTCTCCGTGAAGATGGCGGCATCTTCGGCGATACGCCAGCACTCCCACGCACAGCACCAGGATCACGCACAGCAGCAGGGCCCCGACCAGACCGGCGTAGACCGCCACACCCATACTGGGGGCCAACGCTGACGGGGGCAGAGACACAGACGGTTAAAACGCCATCGAGAGAGAGAGCGAGTAAAAACACAAACGTGAGGGAAACACAAGAGGGAGGAAGACGATTTCAGAGAGATCATCAGATTCAGGAGAAATCCACGAGGAGCAGAGAGAGGAGCAGAGAGAGGGGAGCAGAGAGGAGAGAGGAGCAGAGAGGAGGAGAGAGGATCAGAGAGAGGAGCAGAGAGGAGCAGAGAGGAGGGGAGAGAGGAGAGAGGAGAGAGGAGCAGAGAGGAGGAGCAGGAATGTTTGTTTCTTGGAGACGGTCCCTCAGCTCTGGAGGTTTTTTGACTTTTAAATTGATATCTAATCAACTCAGTTATTGATTATTGAATAACGAGGATCAGTAGAAGTCTCTAAGGATTTCAGGAGTTAATTTTCAGAATAAAAACCTCTGTGACAAACTCAAATTAAATCATCTTGACGACCGACTGTCCAGGATGGACCCCGACAGCTAAGATAGGCTCCGCCCCCTGAATGCGCTGAGGCTTTTGAGTACGGTAGTTATTCCTCTTGTTCGTCCTTTCTGGGTTTGTAGCGTTAGACCAAAACCTGAGGCGGGTAGAGCACACCTCTCCTCTGTTTTATGTGCTTACAGGAAAAGTGATGGCGGGGAGAGCAGCAGCAAAGAACTGTGGGTAACAGGGCGGAGCTTACTCCTCTACGAATGCAGAGCTTTTAAAGGCGGGGAGAGCAGCAGCAAAGACAGTCAGGGTACAGTCCTGGTGGGTGATACGGACAAATGAATATATATCCATGTCCGATAACGATAATCTGACGATATCCTACAAAAAAACCTTCTTTGTCATGTGGTACACCGAGTTTGCTGAATGACTCGGCGAGGGTTTTTCTGAGTGTGTCGTGCAGCTTCACTCATTATTTCTTTAGCGGTAGTCGTGCTTGTTTAGTCTCAAAGTTGAACACACGGCTCATTCTCCTTCATTCACTATTGGTGGAACAGATTTGTTGCTGACCTGCTCTCCATGACGACGTCTTACCGATAACGTTAATTTGGCTGACGTAGATCTTGTCAAACTCAAACCGTTCCCGGGCTAAGGGACGTGTACCCATGTCTTATTAAATTATCTGCTGAAACGAGAGACTCCTGCGTACGTCCTCCATGTGAGACTATGCTGTGTTTTGGTTGCCACTGAGTCACGTGACTGAATCCTGTACGCTGATTGGCTTTTGAGGCACGCATTTGGCGAATGAGGACTTTCATGCACCGTATATTTGTTTTCTTTCTGAGATGGTATGAATACTCAGAAAATGTCAAATGACACAACGTTAAAGCGACGTTTACGATATTATCAAAGACGATATATATCGCCCACCACCAGGGTATAGGACATTGCAACACCCCTGACCATGGACACGCATATTTAGAAGGGGATGGAAAGGCAGGAAGAGCATCAGCAAAGCAGCCCATATGCTTTCCATGTGCATATGTGAAAGAGCAGGAGGGGAGGCGGGAAGAGCATCAGCAAAGAGCCTCATCAGTGACATGTGACAGGCGGACTGATGGATGTTCATCTGTGCTGTTGGTCGATTTCTGAGTTCAGCTGATTTAAGTGTCAGGGATTGTCCTCGTGCGGAAAACTGTAACTCAGGTTCGAGTCGTTTCTCCTCTCATGGATCATGTCTGACTGACATTTATATCTAACCATTAAAACAAATGAGAGTTTGTCCAACAGGTGGGCTCTGCTACAGGATAAAGATTTAGTCGTTACAGGTAAACGGGCTGAAATCTGCTCATTCCAGATGTTAGAGTTTAACCTACTCTAACATCTGAAACTCTGCTTAGATACTCCTCTGAGCAGAAACAGATAAAAGAAAAGCTTCTTTTAAAACTTAATAAGAATAACAATAAAACAAAGTCTCAGTTTTGGTCTTTGTGTCTGAATTTATTCCAACAGTCTTTTATTCTCAGCTGAACTCTGAAACTCCTCTCTCACAGGGAGGAGCGAGGATTTGGTCTCCCATCTGTTAGGTTGGAATCACATTAGGTAGAGGACTTTCTCACAGCCAGAGAGGACAGGAGGAACCATCACAGTGACCGATGACTCCCCCGGTTTCCTCGTGGGCATACCAGGGTGGATTTAAGATACATTTATAAACCTAGTTTCAAACTTATTGCTGTACCCGCCGATCGTCCTGCAGAGCAAATAACCGCTTGTAGCCGAGCCCCTCTCCTCTCCTGAGTGATCGGTCACCACAGTCTTCTCAGTACCCGAGCCCGGACACGTGAGCCAGTCACACGGTCACAGCCGAGGAGAGGAGCAGACGAGGAGCGAGGTTGGCGGTAGACAATGGAGAGCGAGGAAAAAAAAGGGAGAGGCGGTAGACGGGCTGGATAAACAGAGGAGGAGGAGAGAGCGAGAGGAGAGGCAATTTGGCAAAAGTGATAGGAGGGAGCTAGATAAGGTTGTGATTTGTTGAGAGGACAGACGGATTAGGAGTGTGGAGGAGAGAGGAGATAAGGAGCGCTGTGCTCGAGGAGAAGGCCTGTGTTAAGAGAGCAGGGGAGAAGTTGGAGGAAGAAAGGGTGGAGGAGAGGGAAGCCGGAGGCAGACGGGCTGGCAGGGAGAGGAGAGCTCTGGCGCTCACGTGGCGCGATGGAAGCGAATCCGACAGCCGTCCGCACTTATTACCAGAAACGGAACAATGGCGAATTAGGTGCATTACCGCGGCTGCTCTCCCCTGAGCCCACGTCACATTGAGCTAGAGGAATTACCATCACTTCAAATGTAAACTCTATCACAGATTAACTGGGAGTCAGACGCAAATCAACTGTTTTTCTGCAGGAAGTGCTGCGCTTCCACGTCAACGCCTGTGGATCAAAGAGTCTCAGCTCAGAGGCCTGTCACTTCGCTCGCTTCACGCAGGAGCCGGCGGACTTCTCTGCACCTGACATGTTGTGTGAGAGTCAGAGGGACCGGTTTTTGGTACTGTGTTGCTGGATTACTCCAGAACCGGTGTCGTTTTTGAGCCTGTTTACACCTGGAATTAAAGGTCTGGAGCGACGCCTTCTGAACCGTGTGGTCATCATTTACAAGAATAATCTGATTATCCAAAAATGCCAGTTAGATGTTTGGACTGAGCTGCAGTTCAGGCATCGGCCACTAGGGTTTATAGTAGGGATGCATCGATCCGATCTTGATTCCTGAATATCTGCTGATACCGATACTGTACCGAAATCCTCGCTCTCTTTCATGTGGTGCTTTTTCAAATGTTCGATTCCATCAGTCGTATTGTACGTCACAACGGAGGTTCCCGCCTCTTGTTGATGTCTTACTTTGCGGCGTTTTGACTGTAAAATATGTCCGCACAGCAGACATGTCGTGTGGAGCTGCTCAATGTTAGCCTGATCCCTGCCTGGCTGCAAACTGTGGAATGGATTTCTTGAACTGGGGCGTGTTTCAATGAGACACGCCTCCATTTAGGAAATCCATTCCACAGTTTCCAAACAGCCGACAGACTGACTGTCAAGAATCAGTTTGAACAAGTTTAACTTTGATGTTGAATTTTGTTAATTTTAAATAAACAAACTTATCAAAGTTACCGTCTTTATCGGGTGAAAATGACCTTGTGGTATAAGCGCTCTGCTTACAGAGGCTTTAGACCTCGTTGCAGCGGTTGCTGGTTCAATTCCAGGCCACAACTCTCTTTCTTCAGACCCTTCCTTATCCTCTACTCTCACATTTCTTTAGCTTTCCCATAGAATAAAGGCAAATATATCAATTAATTGATTAGATCAGACATTATCAGGGTATTTCACTCCACCATCCAGATGTAAACAGGCACAGACGGAACCAATATCCAGGATTCTCTCCACTTCTTAGAACCAACACTTGTGCAGTAGTGTTGTACACATTCGGCGGGAGAGTCGCTGTGATGACGCCCTGCTCAAACAGCGTATCACCTAGGTGAGCTGTGCAATCTTTGTACGCCAGAGGAGGCGGGATTTATGACCTATACCGCAGCACGTCACTAGAGGGTGCTGTTCTCGCGGTGGCTTCACCCAGCGAGGAGGCAGACGGTGTCCTTTCTAAATACAGTTTATGGGTTAGAGAATGGAGATAAAGATGTTTGTGACCGTTTTTGGTTTAACTTGTATTAAATTAGTTAAATGGTGTGATGAGTAACCAGCACAGGTGTGTTGGAGTCTACCTGCAGGGAGGCGCTAGATCTGCCGAACGTTTTGATACCGTACGCTCGCAGACTTGAACTCAGCGTGTCAAATATATTCAGAGTTTTTTCTCTTTACTTATTATTTTTCTTTTTAAATGATGAAAAAACCAGAATGAAGCCTGCGTGTAATGAACCGAGATATTTGGCAACTGTTGCTTTGACATAATTGCCTCCCAAGTTGCCGACTGGGTGTTAAACTAAACAGCAAATTGAAGAATAAGTCTGAGTTTGATGGTTTGTGGATACGACCAGAAATAGAGAGGAAGTGTTTGTGAAACAGCGGCTCAGAAAGAGGCTGAAATGATCGGATCTCAGCGTATTTTCTGAAACTCCGCCGCTCTTCAGGGCGTCCCCGTCTGATCCGATCACGTTAACAGGAGGTGTAAACAGGGTCTCTTTTCCTCTCTGTTATTTTCTCCACTCTAAAAGCGGCGAGCTGTCATTTGAATGAATCAACGTGCCGACTCTGACACAGCTCACACACCTACGCACGCTTAGTCAACATATGAGACACGAGGGGGAAAACAACACTCATAAACAGGCTGGACAGAGAGGTGAGGGGCGTCTGCGCTCAAGTGGATCTGAGGTGACAACGCGGCGTGAAAAGATGACACAATCATCTCCAACACAGATGTTAGGACTCGCACACTTACGCACACACTCATAAATAAAGCACAGAGAGACAGTATGAGGCGATGAGAGAGTGGAGTCATGGGGAGTGAACTTACGATGGCTTGTATGTTCAATAGAAATCTTTTTATCTGTTTGATCGGGAGAAAAAACAAGAGAAGAAGAAGAAAGAAAACAACAGAAACTTAAAAATGGATGGAGTCTTCATTATGCAAATGAAAAACCAACATAAGATAATGCAGAGAGTGTAAACAACAGCTCATCAATATGAAAACAGAAGCATAAAAAGCAGCGTGACAATCGGAGAAAGTCGAGCAGATCCTGGAACGACTAATAACCTTTACTTCAGGAGGAGATTCACACGCTCTGTTTACAGGATGTTCGGGGAATAGGAGCTCATTTGAAGACGTCTGAGAGAGAGATTAGGATTGTTTGGATGAGAGCGCCAAAGTTAAAGACAGTTTTGAAAATGAACAAGGACGCCGCCGTTACATGAGGGACGATGACGCAGATTGAAAACGTGTCTTTTTTACGCAGCCCGCAGGGTCGTTATCGCCGTCTTCCAGAGGATAAAAACACATCTGTATCCTGACGGGAACAATCTCATCCCAAATTACACCGATGCGAATCATCCCGGAGAGCTTTGACGAGAGTCTGAACCATCTTTCAAGAGTGTGTCACTCGCTCCATCTCCAACCAAATAACCTCCTCTCCCATCAGCGTCGTCAAAACGCCAAATGGATTCCCCGACTTTAACGTTCACCGAGCAGCAATTAAACTCTCCTGGTTTTTTGGCGTCTCAGAGCATTTTACATTTATGACCGGGATATTTCGCCGCGGCTCAAAGGGGGGAGCGATGATTGAGACATTAGAGGGAGCTGCTATTGTTTGTCAGGCGCGTGCAAAGTCATTAGAACAATTTGTACACAGATAATCACATTAAAGTGCTGGAACAATGAATAAATCAGTCAGGAACCTGCAGGTTGCCAAGTGGCACATTTACAGATTTCCTGCCGCCCAGCCCCCCCCCCCCCTCCTTTGAGTGCGTGTTTCTCTGAGCGCGCTCGCCTCTGCACAGTCAAATCACGCGGAGTATTTGTCTAATCTTGTTGCTACACGGAAACCTGTTCGTGTCAGAGCCGGTGTGCACGGCTGATAAAGCTGCAGGATGGTGTTGTGTATGATCCCTGAGTTACACGTGTTTACGGCGTCATCTTCACGCAGAGGTGTGTGTGTCGTCGGGCGTGCACGCGTGTTTGAAAGCCTGCTCTTGAATGTATCTCGCTGCCTCTGTGGATGTGCGTCTCTGGGATTGTAATGCGCTGTCAGCTGGATTCCTCCCAGCTCATCACGGGCTGCACATTGGGTGTCAGAGCGGCTCTGACTCACTCTCATATGCTCCTCTCTGTGCTAATTTTTCGACTTGGCCGTGTCATGCTCGCCTCCCTCTCCATGCGCTCTGCCTCCCTCCCTCTCTCTCCCTCTCTCTCTCTCCATCTGTGCCTTTTAGATGTGGATCACTTGCCTCCTCTCTTTGTGAACCTAAATTTCGCCTCATGAAACATCTGTCTGCGATTGAGCTGTTATTTCTTTCATCTCCCTCCACGTATCATCCTCGCTCTCACTAAACCTCTGCAGAAGACGTCTCTGTGCAGAATAGCTTTGAAACATCAAACTCGAGCAGGAGCCGAGAAAACCCCCCGCCTGCAGGACTCCTTATAAACAATTCAGCAGCCACTTAAAGCAGCTGCTATTACGCTGGGTGGATGAGACTCCGCCCACTTTTTTAATTAGAGGACAGTTAATTGCATCACAAATTTCAAAATAAAAGGACGATCCAGGTGGAGCTCCTGACTTGTGTCCTGCACTAATGAACTAAAATAAGGGCTGAAACGATTCCTCGAGTTCTTTGATTATAAATAATGATCGAGGAATTTTCGAGTTCTCGTTTATGACCTCAGATCGTCACTGTTTCACACCGATTATAGACGCGTTTCTGTGTACAAACAATACGAGGTGTGCATGCAACCAGGGGGCAAAAGCCTGCTTCAGAGTGAACTGATATCGATGAAGATGCCGTATTGTTGGAAGTTCTCCCTGAAACAATTGCAATAAAATATCATTTCACTGAGAAATCACTTTGTCTTTCATTGAATCAAAATCAGAAAAACACTTGAATCCATGAATTTCACTCAGTTTACCAGGTTGTGACGTTGTTTAGATGTTTCTAATATCAGGAGCAGGTCGTGATGTTTGACGATTGTTTGTTTTGCCGATTCGTGAAGTTTACAGAACAACAGCTCCATGTCGTTTTCTTTCTCCGTTGACTCCGCGAGTAAACAAATAAGACATGCCCCCTTTCTGCCCCCTGGCTGCCCGAACATACCTGTGATGACGTTTCACAGAAGCCCGTCTGTTTTCAAGGTGACAAACGCGCTTTTGTCACCACGGTAGGAGGAGGAGGAGAACGCGGTTTTTGTTTTATGGAGCAGAAAAAATGAACGATGAGAGAGACTTTTCTTCTGCAGAACTTCAGCAGCTCATCAGCGATTCGCCTCTGAGTCGTGGGCGGAGTCAGCGCTGCTCTGGACACTCCTCTTCAAGCTAGCTCGCAGTGTAGTAGAAGTGGCAGGTAACATAGGAGCTCTTCAGCTCTGAGACACTAATGTCTTCAGGGACATGATGAAAGTTAGTATCATAGTTAGCTTTCTTAGGAGCATTGCAACTCACTAACGCTTGTTCCATGATCGTCCTCTCTACTTCTCTGAGTCTGTCCTGCATAGCGGGGCTCGAGGGGCGGAGCTTGGATTAGTGATGCAGCCCAGTTAAATGACTCTGTCAGCACGTTTACATGATGTGTTCATCCGACTGAAATCTCACTTAATCTGATTTCTTAAAGTTACACACGTGCAGTGATCAGTTTTCTCTTGCAGGTACAGATCTGGATCAGACTATTCTGCACACTTTGCTCTCTCGTATTCGGGTGTCTTTTCAGACACACACCCCCCTGACCGTTCTTCTAAGACTCCCCGCTCTCTTCTCGGCAGACGGACAGAGACGATTCTCCATCATGAGGCTCCCGGTTGTACATCTTGTGAAGTAATCAGAGCTGATGAGTCAAAATAATTCTGAATGACTCAAAAACAGACGTGACTAAACAGCCGGCTGAGTTAGACGAGTGTTTGGCCGGCAGCCACGTCTTATTCCAGGTGAAAAAATAAAAAAACAGACGCTCTGGTCACTGTGCTATCAAGACAGAGAGAGAGAGAGAGAGAGAGAGAGAGAGAGACACAGAGAGAGAGAGAGAGAGAGAGAGAGAGAGAGAGAGAGAGAGAGAGAGAGAGAGAGAGAGACACAGAGAGAGAGAGCATCCTCCTTCATCCCGCTCATTTCGCTCGCAGCCATTTGTGAACTATATCCAAAGATAGTGATATGATAGAAAAGGCCAACTGAAGAATTAGGGCGCATAACATCCAGGAATCTATAAGAGCCAAATATTTAATCTGTGCTGACATTTAACGGCCCTCCCCGTTCAAACACAGGTGACTTACTGCGCGCACACAGCCCCTCGGTGCAGTTCTTGCTCTCCATCATGCTGCCGCTGCAGTGCTTTCCTCCGTTTCTGGGTGGGGGGGCTTGGCACTCACGACTGCGCCAGTGGGTGCACTCTGTCCCGCAGGCGGACCACTTCGCCCACTCTGTCCAACCTCCGTCCACTGAAACCACACAGCAGATAGAGAGGGAATCAGACATGACATAATGCAGGTTTTATGACCTTAAAGGTCAAATACAATAAAAAAACATGGACGACTTTGGCTTTACGTCCTCTGAGAGTGAAGAAGTAGAGGAGTGATTAGCTCCTGTGGTGATGTAACGACAGGATTCTCATAGGTATTCATACAAAAACACTGATAGGCTGCTTTTACACTTAATCCTTCATTATTGTGGTTTCGCTTCAGTGTCGCAGAGTCAGGCTCACCAACTATTCTGTCGCTTGTTCCAAAAACCAAAACAAAAGTCCTGTTGGCTGCTCCATGTGGATGATCCAGTATCCTGATACTGAGCAATAACAACACACTGTATGATGGTTTAATTTCAGAGGTGATTCTAATCAGACCGACATATTCACTTTACAGACTTTGAGATTTCGACTTTGTTTACACGTGCCTGTCTACTGTCATAAACGGACATTTCACCCTCTACGTTTATAAAAAAAAACTGTGTGCACACCACTACGTTTACGGAAAAGTTTTCATTTACACTAACAGAATAGAATAGAATAGAATAGTCCTTTATTGATCCCCCATGGGGGAAATTTTTTTGTCACAGCAGCATCACAGACAAGACAAAAAGTGCAAAAATGCAGTTATAACAATAAGGGTCCTAATATTAAGAACTTAAATAAATGTAATAATTAAGAAAAAAATTAGAAAAGGGAGAAGGAAAAATAAAGCTTTCTACAATATACACAATTTAAATGCCAATGCCAAAATAACCCGAGTACATATGCCGTCAAAAGCATGCCAAACCTGTAGGTGGCAGTATAGCAAGAAGCTCGAGCCCACGTTAGCCAATCGGAATCCCGCATAGCAGCATCATTGCTGACCTTTGAGCGCTCAGTCGTCGCTGTTCCTCCACATATTACAGCACTTTTATTTGCAAATGCAAACAAATACAAAGGGATTACATCGGCATAAATGCGACCGCTATCCTGCCTGCATCCATGATCACCATAGACTGTGAACAACGTCACATTTGACCCAGTTTTTGGCGCACAAACGGCCGTCTGCTACCCTGATCTTTGTTTATCTCAGTTTTTCTCTGTTTTAATGTAAATGTGAAAACTGAGTTTTCTAAAATCTCCACTCTGGCCGGAGTTTTTAAAAAGCATCCACATATTCTCTGTTTCCGTCTAAACGAAGAGTACAAACGATGGTTAATGTCTCCATTTTTAAAAATAACCAGGTATGTATAAACGGGGCCTTAATGGACCTCACTTCATATTTCATCTCAGCACCAGAAGACCAAAGAAAACTCAGACATCTTCACCTCAGACTGCTTCAACAAAGATGGGTTTACTTCATCCGTCAGTGTTGACACTTAGTGATAGTGCAGTAGAGAGTATCTGAACTCAGGTATCAGAGCTGATTTTAGACCATGAGAAGTCTGATTCAGGTCTTGGAGTGTTCATGGGAGGACAGTTAGCTCCTCCTGTTCAGGGTCAGAGTCTGGATCATACGTGTGGTTCTCCTGGAGCACTCGCCACATTTGTTTTGTGTTTTCTGCTCTGCACCTTTACCCCTTCAGACAGCATTTCTGCAGCCAATCAGCTCAGGACTTCATCATCATACACACTCAGATTGCTGCATATAGAAGGAAACTAGAGACAGAGAGGCAGCAGATCCTCCAGAGAGACTTTTCCTGCAGGTCCTCTCAAAACTGGACGAGCTCTAAAGAGATGAACATGCTGTTCTACGAGAGTCTTAATGTGTTTTATGACTTTCAGGTTTGTTTTTAAGACTCTGTGAGAAACTTTGTTTGCGGTGGGTTTCGGCAGCAGCCCCTGTGGACACGGCCATATGTCTAATCTCTCTGCTGATCTTGTCCTGAAAACTCATTAGTATTACGCTGTATAGAAAAATATCCTGCGGCTGTCGTATAGCTGTCGACAGGATCACTCTCGGATAAATAAACACACATATTCAGAGCGAGAGTGAAAAAGCTCTTTGTGTTGAACATTTCCGAACAGGAGTGATCTGGTTCACAGTCGTCAGGATTAGTTTGTTTCATTAGCAGACGAATATCAGCGGAGTCAGGGCGGTCTGACACGGGCAGAGCGACTCGAGGTTTTTAAAAAACAAGGAAGTTTCTAACGCTGTCGAGGATGGAGACGCTAAAAACTGACAAACACGGACGTTTAATCAGAAACACCAGAGTTAACTTACGCAGGTACGACAGGAAGACACGAGCAACAGATCACAGTTTTAATGATGCTGAAGTTTCCCGCTCCATCTGAACATAAAGACCTCCTCACCTGGGCACAGCGTGGTGCAGCTCACTCTCTGGAAAGGCGGGCCCTCACAGAAGGCGCCTCCATTCAGAGGAGCCGGGTTGGTGCAGCTGCGTGTCCGTCGCTGCCAGCCCCGCCCACAGCGAGTGTTGCACTCTGACCATTCCGTCCACGAGGACCATCCTCCGCTGACTGAGACAGACCAGGAACAGACGGGGTTAAAACCTTCGTCCGACTGACAGTAAACAACTTTAACTCAAGTGTGTTTAAGAATCGGCGTCTTCCTTCAGAGCGCCGAGTCTCTGTTCTTCGTGTGTGTGTGTGTTACCATAAACTATAAGCGTAGCCGTGCTGCTGCGTCTCTTCGCCACCACGTTTCGAGCCACGCAGGTGTAGTTGGCCGTGTCGGAGAGCCGCGCCTGTTTGATGATCAGATCGTGATCGATGGTGATCAGGAAGTTGGAGTCCTGAGACGGAACAATGAGGTCCTCGTTCTTCAGCCAGTCCACCTGCACACACACACACACACACACACACACACACACACAGAAACACTTTTTAAAGATAACGGAGCGGCTCAGGTTTTGGCCGAGCGTCACAGGAAAACATCGTCTGTCCAAACTTGTGTGTCTGAGCAGACTGAAATGATGGACTCTAATTCTGTTGGCAGATATCTCTTCACATAAATCATTGTACAAATTAGCAGGTGTGTATGCATAAACATGAGTCCCCCTCACACACTCACACATGCACACACACACACACACACACACACACAGACTCATTGGGTAAACACTAGAAACCTGCAGAGGATTGAGCCATAACAACTCTCCGCAGAGCTACATGTGGCGCTGATCAAACACCGCCAACGTTTCAGATTTATATTCGTCCTCAGGAAACGCACATTTTTGGCGTCTTTTGAAAAAACTTCAATTCTTATTTTTTCAGGAAATAACCACGAAATAATCCTCATGACTAAACAGAAACTCCTGCTCTGTTCTCTGAGAGTCTTCTCCGTGTAAACATGTTTATTTATCGGGGAAATAAAAACCCACATTTGTGAATAATTGGTTTTCTTTCTGGATTTATTGTCGTTTGGCTCTTTTTATGAGAGGAATAAACTCTTGGATATATCGCCGTCAAAGCAGCTTAGCTCTAAAACACGACAGAGTGGATTTAAGCTCGGCCTTTTCTGACTGTTTACTTAAATAACATCATTTTATTTTGATGGCAGAGCAGTCAGGTCAGTGTTTCAGACTTCTTTCTTTACTCCAGAGTTCATCATGTAAACGTGTGTTTTTGATGGTCAGTGATATCTCTCTAAAAGGTGAGACTCTTCTGTGACGATATTTGGACCCTTAGGTTTCCCCGACATCACTGCTGTGAAGACGAGGACTAAAACCAGCTGTGAGGGTCAGAGGAAAGGTTACCTGAGGTCATGACTGCACAGAGGAGGTAGCTGAACGTCTCCGTTAGTAAAGGAGACAATCACTGAGAGTTATTTTAAATCATGACAAATGTCACAGAATAATCAAATAAAAAATCAGATTTGACAAAAGTTAAAATCAAAAAGTCAAAATTATTAAAAAAAATACAATTAAAAATGAAAATTATAAAAAGGTCAAAATTTGTTGAAGAAAAATATGATTAAAAATAAAATTATAAAATAAAAAGTATTTTTTAAAATAAAAATAAGATAAAAAATAAAATTACAAAATTAATAGTCAAAATTTATGAAAAAATAAAAAGTAAAAATTTAGAGAAAAAACAAAATTATTTTAGGAAATAGTTAAGTTTTTTTTTATGAAAAAGTAAAAAAATATTAGAATAAAATCAGGAGCAAAACATTAAAAATTTTAGATAAAAGTCAAAATTTTTTAGAACATTAAAAAAAATATGATATAAAAGTTCTAAATATGAAGTTATTTTTATGATGTACTTAGTATTTTTTTAAGAATTTTATCTAATTTATTAAAGAAATGGAGAAAAAACTGATAACCATGATGTGTTAATTTCTGACTAAAATCTGACTCTGACTCTTGAGGTGAAATATTTAACTAAACTTTCATCCTCGGGTTCAAACTGCAGATTTTAACGTTACTGAGGCGTTGGAGTCTTACCTCAGCGGCGGGCATGCCCTCCGGGGGGCGACACTGCAGCAGCACCTCCTGCTCCAGCCTCACCTCCCTCCCCAGCGGCTCCTGCTCAAAGTTCTTCCTCAGGTCTGCGGGGGGCGACACAGAGGGTGTCAGCGGTTAATGAGGGCGGCGCTGTGACGGCGCTGACACCCTGTTTCTCTTAGTGACATACACACACATGCACACACACACCAGGCAGAGCCCCCAAAAACCCCCCGTCACTGCGTCGTGGTTCCTCGGCTTCACTCCTTCATAAACATGCCGACTGTCAATCACACCACGCCTCACATTACCACAGGGGACGATGATGATGGAGCGCCACGCCACGTTTGTTTACACATATACTTAATCTGACACGTATGACAGGCGCGCGCACACACACACACACACACACACACTCAGATTACTCTGGTACTGACATGCGATGCGGACGTAGGCACGGTTACTCTTGGTGGTGCCGGCAGAGCTCCACGCCACGCACTGGCACCAGTAATCCTCCAACCCAAACAGCTCCTCCACCTGGGTCCTCGACACGGAGATATCCACCTCTCGCACCACCAGACCTGTGCAGAGAGAGAGAGAGAGAGAGAGTGGGGTGGGGGGGATTATAGGGGTGTGTTTTTCACAGTGCATATAAATAATGCATTGGCTGCAGGCCAACAGCAGTTAGCGCGCTCGTTAAATCCTGAGGGAGCTAATGGATTATGTAGTCGGAAATGATGTTTGTAATTGAGGATGATGTTTATGAGAGTGAAATACAAGGTGACACCACAGTGTGTGTGTGTGAGAGTGTGTGTAAGTGTGTTTAAGTGTGTTACCTGTGCTCTGGTCCAGACTCTCCCTGGTCACATGGTCGTTCTGATTGACCCACTCCCCGTTACATTTGAAGTAGATCTGTGTGGCCGGTGAGGCTCGACACCGCAGCTGGACCGGTCTGTTCTTCACGATAAAGGCGTCCTCCGGTTCCAGCAGGAATTCTGGGAGAGGCTCTGCGGGCGCCGACGGGAAGGAGTCAGGGAGGACCTCGGCCTCGCTGTAGTCGCTGCTCTCTGAGGACACAAACGCACAAGAGATTAGGACGACTGTCCTTCAACGCAGAGACCTGAGTGAAAGTGACGGCTGGAGGAGAGCTCGTGCAGCACGGGGGAGTCTGCAGCAGAGTCTGCATGGCTGAGTGTGACCTTTGACCTTTCTGCTGAGGAGACACAAAACAGAGTCTGAATCTTCCTCCTGAAAAAGTTGGACCCTAAAGAGGACCCCTGATCCCTGCAGTCCTTAAAACAAGAGCTGAATCGACTGAAATAAAACAGGCGAATGTTCAGTGCAGGTAAACTCAACTTTAAATACAAACTAAGTGCTGTACATGACATAAAAACATAAAACAACAATAGATAGTTGTTTTAAATATAATAAAAAGCAATAAAAGAATAAAAAACAATAAAACAAGTACCGTCATCATTCAGACCTGGTTCTAGCGTGTTTCAGAGACTCTGGCTGGAGCCCTTCATGAATCCTGTTTTGTGTTTTTGTGGTTCTGTTCCTGGTCCCTTTAGTTCTCCTCGCTGCTTCACCTGAGATCCTGACTTTCAGTGTTTTTATATTCTTGGTGCATTAAGAATCATTAACACCTGCAATAAGATAATCCCGCCTCCCACGCGGCTCCCAAATCACAGGCCTGTGGGTACAGAGCGAGCGAAGTGACACATTCATCCCCGGGGCATCGATAAGCTCTCTCATTTTCTTCTTTTATTGTTTTGTTTTTACCGTTCCCACCCTGTGATTAAACTATATTTTGTCAGATTGAGCCTATATCCTGTCTGTGTCATTGAGCGTCTCCTTGAATTCAAGATGGTGCCTCTCCCAATCCGGCGTTTCCGTCGTATCCGGAGGGAGTTCATGTGTGTGTGACAGCTTGTCTTGTTTGTCTCGGTTCAGCTTTGGGGCATCTGCGAGTGTGTTTGTCAGCGCTGTTTCACTTTACAGTGTTTGTGTATCTCCAGAAGACGCTGAAGGTGTTGACAGTCGGTACTGTATGTGGCGGTGGCGCGCTGACATTTCCCCTCTCCCTGTATGACCAGTAATCTGGTGAACGCAGGCGTCCTGCCCCGCTCTCTCTGGGAGAGTCCGTGCCTCTCAGCGGGGGGACGGGAGCCGCTGACCTTCCACAGACAGGTCCTGTTGATCGCACATTATCCCCTGACATTTTCCATGTGACATATTCCTCCTGGCAGCGCCGCCGCGAGCTTCCCCTCGGTATGAAGGACATGGTGTTACTGACCTCTGCAGTCTGACGTCTGATTTAGAAATGCGGGCTGGATCTCGGTCAGTGTATCATGGTTACCGCTTTAAAGGTAGAGACCACAGACTGAGTAGACTACGGTCAACTTGGTTCTGCCTGTTGCTACCTGATCCGTCCCGGAAATCCGGTTTGTGCTGCGTATGTGCGAAACAAACGTCACTTCCTCTCTTCGTATTTCAACGCATTTTACGGCAGTTAGTCGTTACTTCGCTATCTACCTGATCCGTACTGTGCAAGTGCAAATGAAAACTTTATTTAAACTACAGATCGATTTCAGAAACCAGCTGGCGATGTGACAGGCTAGCTAGCTACAGGCTCCAGGGCTAATGGCGAGGCATTCGCCAGCGAGACCTTTTGGGCCACAGAGAGCGCCGCCACCTGGTCAAAATGATGGTTCTCTGACTTTTCAAAGTATCAAGCGAGATTTACATCATTCATTCATCAAGAAGCCTTCAACTTATTAACTTTACAATTACGCTATTAGTAGGAACCTTTAATCGTAAAACTGGGCGCCATTCTCGACTTTCTGGCGCTCTACAGGAGAAAAGAAAAGCGTTTGGCTGGTGATAAACGGAAGCATCGATAAACAGAAGCATCCTTTCTGACTGCAGCGAGCTCGCTGATGCTGAAGCTGTCGAAAACCGCAAGGGGAAAAGAATTACCGATCTCTAGCAGAGATGGCGAGTAGAGGAAGTGACATACATTTCGCACACGCACAGTACAAATTGGGTTTCCGGGATGGATCAGGCAGCGACAGTTCCGCCTTCTACACGGATTTAAAACCGAAAAGTTCTCAGTAATTCTGTGTTTTTCTTCCCTACCTGAAACCAACATCACGCAGTAGCGTTGTACACATTCGGCAGGAGAGTCGCTGTGATGACGCTCGGCTCAAACAGCGTATCCCCCCTGGGTGAGCTACGCAGTCTTCGTCCTCCCATTGGCTGTATCAGGTGTCAATCATAGCAAACATGAACCCCCTGATAACTTTTAAAAATGGAGCTGTACAGAAAAAAGAGGACTTGAACACAAACCAGTCTGACAGTAACTACATGTCAACATCACAACCAGGGGGGAGAAACATTTATATTCTGTGTTCATTTATAAAGTTTGTCCACAGCTCCATAAGGAGGCGGGGTTTAGGACCTATACTGCAGTCTATGGTACAGATCTTTATTCTTCCTGTTTCTAAAACCTTATTCTGTTATTTCGACTTTCCCAGAGTCGACGTTTCGGTGTTTTTGAAAGTAAAATCGAGCGGTGAAATAAAAAGGTTTGTTTATTTTTAAGTCCCAGACGTCTCTAAATAACAGATCTTTGGAGCTGTAATCATAACACTGTGAAACCACCATATATCTGCTCTGGGTTATCATACTGTCAGACTCTCTCCAGCCCATGTCTCCATGAACGTTTATTTGTCTTCACTTTATACAACAACATCATTTTTATTTCCCTCTGTAGGAAACTTGTTTTTTTGAATAAATCCAGAACGACGTCGACTTTCAAACCGATGACATAACTTATTTTTATCTTCTTCTGCAGCTTTTAGCGCCAACATTCGACTCTTCTGTATCAGTCAGAGTTTACGGAGCTGCAGGGCTGCAGACGATGATGCAACCCTGTCAGACTCATGTGTTCCCATCAGCCTGATTGTTTTTCTCTTTTTTTTTTGTTGTACACTGAAGCTTCAGAAACAACAACAGGACTGCGGTCTCCTCTGAGACCACCATCGACCCGACATCCGTCACATACGGCACGCGATCGATCCTCTCCGCTCAGGTGTGTTCGAGAAGCAACGATTCGTCAGCGGGCTTTGTCTTAACATCATCTGCTATCGAACTTTTATATATTCACTTCTTCTTCTTCTTCTGTTGGGAAATTCAGCTTCTTCTAAATTCTTAATAGGTCAAACTTTTCAATCGAAAGCTTCGCTCAGTTTCGAGATTTGACGGTCGGCTCCAGGAAACTCAGAGTATATTACCCTGACATGAACACACGCAGAAATACATGCAGGTATCACTCATGTGAAACAGTGTTTTCCTCTCAGTCTCACAGCTGTCAGAAATTCACCAGAAAATATGATGCAGCAGAACAAACACTCGTAAAAAAAGTCCTGATTCGACCCGTCAGCGAGAGTGAAGGTGGAAAAGAGCAGGTGTGTGAAATCTGTGGAAATCTGCGGCGGGGAGAGCAGCAGCAAAGATCCCCATCAGAGGAAATACAAACAACCTTTCAGATCTAATCCATATTTCTGCTCAGATACATTAAGGCCAAAGTAATGAGCTCGATTTAAATATGTGTGCAGAAGAAAAGACAGATGTTTGTCCTAAACTCTGAGAGAGAAAATGATAAATAATGATAAACCTAAACGCTCCACTCAAAGACTCATCCCATCTCTGCACAGCCGTGAGCGGCTCTAAAATCTCATCCTCTACATTAGGCGGATAAAAGAGGTGTGAGGAGGACAGATGGAGCACACAGACAAATCTGCAGTTGTTTCAAAGTGTATTGAGCACAAGCAGATCATTTATTCCACAAGCAGAGAACAGGAGAATCTACTTAGAAAGACTCCATCTCCTATTTTAGGAACGAGAGCGCTCCCCTCTCCCCTCAACAGACATCTGGGGAGAGCAGAGAGCAGCGCAGAGCATGAGCCGCATGAGCCGAGCGGAGGAGAAAGTTGTGACACCATTCAATCCAACGCCGGCGGGGATTCACAGGATTCAAGAGGCCCGACCCTCCTCAGGTGTTCAGGGAGCGGCGTGCCATCTTTTGACCCACATTTCCTCCACCTTGAAAGGGCCGAGTGGGGCAAAAGAGGCCGGAGCGGCTCCCTGAGCTCCGAGTCTGGCAGCGCTGTGGCTACAGGACGGGCAGAAAGGGCAACAGCTGCTCCAGGCCCAGCAGACGACCAGGACCAAACCGTCATCCTTAATCTGTCTCTGCTTCTGTCTCGCCTGTCCCCAAAACAACACAACCTCCTCCTTCTTCTTCTTCTTCTGCAGAGACTCACAACAACCAACTACATTAATACACAAACTGGTGACTCAAACCTGCAACTTTAAAGCATCGTGCACACAACATTTCATCCAAATGGACCCTTTTCAATCACCATGACTGAAAAATTATCATGAAATTTCCGTTTTCGCTGCAACAACTCAATAGTATTTATATTTTTTTCTGCGCTACAACAGAACCGCCGTTTCCAAGGCGAGGAAATGCGGTTTACTAATTTATATTCAAACTCGTTGACAAAAAGCTTAGAAATCCTTGAGTACTCTGCTGTATAACTCTCACCTATGAGTCACTCCTGCATCTAACAGATGTCTGCGTCTCTGTTCTGCCTTCCCTCACAAATCAAACACTGATAAGCCCATTTAAATCAAAGGTATTACTACTTTAATACTTACACAAAGCTCTGCGGCAGGATTTCAATTTTCCGTCTCTTCCCGACAACAAACAGAAACTGAATTTTTGAAAACACTTTCAGAGTTGTACGTTTCTGCTCCGCCTGAAGGGAATCAGCTGATTTGGCGACGACAAAGTGAAAAGATTATAGAGAAAGAAAAAAGCTAAATGAAGAGAGATGAACGGAAACAGAAGAAAAATACTCTAAATCAGAAAATACAGATCTGCTAATTGAAGATTTCACTTATACTGTCTGTTATATGTGAGAGAAAATGATAACATGATGAGTAATAATCCAGATGTGTCATTTGTTGCTGATGTTTCTTATTTTAATTTTCTTATTTTGTCTGAATAGATTAAAACTGCAGGAGCAGCTGGTAGATCCACACGTCTCCCTGATGTTTCATTCATGATAAGCTCATATTTTCTCATATCATATAATGATGTGATAATAACACATTATATCACTGCATTAATCTTTCACACCAATAATCTATCTGAGACTACACAGATATTTCACAGTGATGTACTGTTCAAAATCAAGATCAAACTGACTCATCATATCGTCTCATACAGTGTTGTGTTATATTATATCATATCAGATCATACTATGCTGTTTTTATATCGTTTCATTCATGTATAACTCGTAGCTATTTCATCATTTCATTATTGTTCCACATTGTTTTATCATATCCTTCAGTTCTGTATCGTCTCATATTTTCTCCTTATAAACAGTTTTATATGATACAGTTTCATATCCTCAAATATTACATTATATCATTTCATATTTTAAACATATAACATATTATATCATGCCCTACTGTATTATATGATATTTAATCTGACTGTATTATATTGTGTCATACAGTATTGTATTAAACTGAACCCTATCCTGAAGTACTGTATCATGATTGGATCATACTGAACAGTCATATTGTCATGGTTCATATTATAGGCCATTATACTGACTACTGCAGTATCATGTTGATGGTATTAATACTGTGTTGTATTCTAATGTAAAATCTACTATTGTATTGTGCTGTATCATAAGAACTGCATACATAATGTACTTTATCATCCTGAATGGTTTTATACTAGATTATTGTGTACTTGTTATGATATTATATCATATTATATCATAAATTATTTTATATGACATTAAATTATTTTTAATATATTATATTAAAATTATATTATATATTATATCATATTTTATCATATCATATCATATCATATATTATTTCATATTATATGAAGCCTCATTGTAACATATTGTATTATTATGTACTGTTTCATACAGTTTTGTTTATATAGTATTATGTTATATTATGATGTATTATGCGTTGTTTGTGGTATCCTGTGGTACATATATTATCACATACTGTATCTTATTGTATTATAATGTGTTATGGTGGATTGTAACATATGGTTCATGCTGTTTAACGTCTCATTTACATCTCCTACTTTATATTGTAACTTTATCATGTCGTTTATATAAATATGATGATTTCACTGAGGAGGTTTGGGACTCAGACTGAAGAACAACAAACAGAAAACTCTCACAGGGAACAGAAACTCATGTGTGGTATATTTAGGTCGACATGCAGGTTCAGATCCATCAGTCTGAACACTAAAGTGATCCCTCCTCAAAGTGCTGCTTAAACATGATCATGAATCATCAATCTCACCATCCTCTGTCTCTTCCCCTCCGTCTCATCCTCCTGCTCTCCTCTCACTCAGCTGTCGCCTCCAGTCTTTCAGACTTTGTATCCACTGTCAATAACCAATTGTGTCGCCCCTCCTCCGCCCCCTCATCCCCGCTCTTTCTCTTTGTCCGGCATTGATCGCTCGGTGTTCAAACATGGGCTGAAAAACACAGGCTGTCAGTCTTCAGGCGCGCTGAGAGCGAGGGCACCGAGAGAGAGACAGAGAGAGAGAGAGACGGAGACTCAGATGGAGACAGACGGGGAGGAACAGCCCTGTGTGTTTGGATAGACCCCTCTCTCTCTCTCTCTCTCTCTCTCTCTCTCTCTCTCTCTCTGTAATGTGTGTGTTCTGAGGCCTGCAGAGAGGCACAGTTTAATTAAAACACTTTTGGATGACAGAAGCTCAGACAGACAGCTCTTCTCTCTCTCTCTCTCTCTCTCTCTCTCTCTCTCTCTCTCTCTCTCTCTCTCTCTCTCTCTCTCTCTCTCTCTCTCTCTCTCTCTCTCTCTCTCTCTCTCTCTCTCTCTCTCTGCTGCTGTCTCTCTGCAGGATAATGGAGCTGGGGGTTTAAAGTGGAACCTGTGTTTTCGGGCCGGCGTACAAACATCCATCAGAGCTCAGCAGCCCGCAATTTGCAGGGAATGGAGGAACCTTAAAGACAATAACTCCTCGTCGTGCAGCACAGCAAGTCTTTTATTACTCTAATGACAGACAGCAGACAGCTCCAGAGCAAACACAGGCTTCTGGGTATTCTTTCCGACATCAACACACACACGGACGCGCTAAATGACAGCCTATGCTTCCACGACGCATTCTCACAGCTCTTATTCATGCAAACTGTTCCCGTTGCCCTCCCTCGGCGGCGGCGGCGGTGTGGTCGAGTGCAGAGCTTCAGCGCAGTAACTGTGAAAGGGAGTGACAGTGGCGGAGAGAGAGATAGCAGGCCGAGGTGACGAGATTGGAAAGGAAGGCCGGCCAAAGACGGGTCAGGAGACAGTATCAGACGGCGAGATGAGAGTACAGGAAGAAGAAAGAGAGAGAGAGAGAGAGAGAGAGAGAGAGAGAGAGAGAGAGAGAGAGAGCTTTAATAACTGGCGAGAAAAATGAATCACAGCAACGTCTGTCTTTGTCTGACTGTGCGGCTGCCTCTGTTGTTCTTTCTCCACCTCCTCTCTCTCTCTCTCTCTCTCTCTCTCTCTTTTTCTCTTACACATGGACAACTGTAATTTTCGAGACCCAGCGCCGCGAGCCAGAGTGGAGTCTAAACGTATGTACTTTATCATTACCTCTACAGAGTTAGTCATTACTGTCCCCTCCAGTGCCCTCTCCACAGCACTTAAAGTTGGGGAAAAGAGAGCGTATACTCTCTGAAGGAGCAGAACAACAGGCCCATTTCAGAAGAGACACGAGGTCAGCTCGTTTTGGACCGCATCAGGTTTTTCTCAGGCGTCCTTTCAGGTCAAAAACAAACAGACAAAGTCAGTTTACCTTCTTGAAACCCAAGTCCGCCATTTTTTTCCGGCTCCTGGAAGTGACCACATTGGAGTGGAGTTATTTAAGTTTTATAATAAGACTCGCCGCAAACGCCGACTATTGTGTTTCCCCCAGAGGTCAAACTCTACCCCAGACTCCTGTCAGGACACAAACTGCACAGAGTGTCTTTTTATCGTCTGATATTTTAATGAAACTCTAAAATGCATCAAAACCTCCAACATGGCCTCAGGGTTGAGTTTGTTTTAGCGAAGGATTAAAAATGGAGTAAACTGACGAGAAAGCTGCTTTTCTATTCAGCGAACAAGTTCAGTTCAGATCAGGACGTATTTTCTTCTGTTAAGAGCTGAAAAAGGAACCAAAATAACCACCTGTTGATTGTGAGGGGAGTTCTGGGTAATATCTGTGTAACATGAAGCTCCAGGAGCAGTAACATACCTGAATGAATCATGACTCTGTTTAATGGACGGTTTATTTATATCAGGGGATCATTTCAGGTGCTGTAAAGGTGACGAGGGAACAAGAAACAGGTGCTAAATAAACACCGACAACCAGCTGAGCAGAGAGAGGGGCGCAGAGACGACTGCAAACGGAGAGGGAGACCGAGGGCTCAAACTGAGATCTGTGCAAGAACTATTTAATCTACCAAATACACGGTCCTGCACAGAACTTCAGAGTAAAAGCATGGAGACAAAATTAACCTGCACGGAACTTCAAAATAAAAGCATGGAGACAAAATTACACAGTCCTGCACAGAACTTCAGAATAAAAGCATGGAGACAAAATTAACTGTCCTGCAAGGAACTTCAAAATAAAAGCATGGAGACAAAATTAACTGTCCTGCACAGAACTTCAAAATAAAAGCATGGAGACAAAATTAACTGTCCTGCACAGAACTGCAAAATAAAAGCTTGGTGATAAAACAATATTTTGCTAATAAAGCTAATGTTAACCATTAGCTAAAACCAGAAAGCAAAATCCAGTTTTCCTCTGAATCCCAGCAACATTTCTGGTTAAAGGTTAATGATAAGGTAACACAATAATATTATTAATTTCACAACAATAATGACAATATAATATCTAAAATAGTGGCTGTCATGCATCCATAATATAGTAAAGAGATAAAGAAAGAACTAAATATGAATAAATGACTAATATATGCTATGTGAGGTCTCCTGGTCCAAATATAAGCCAAGCGCTAAAATAACTTTCGTAGATGCAGCCATCTTGTTTCAGACCTCCGATTTTGCTTTTTTCCGACTTGGAAACTAAAACACTGGCAACTCAGATGTGACGTCATTTTCAGCCCCGACATCCAAATCTTAAAGTTACTCAAACGCAGCATAAGCCTCCGTCTTCCTTGATAAACGTTAAAATCACTCTCTCTCCTTCGATTCTTAAAAAAACTAAAAAAACAACAACATTTAAACATCCAGACGTCACTGCAAAGGGAGCATCCACCTGATACCGTAACATCAGTCATAAAAGGATCTACAGGGGTCGATTTGTCGTTGATTAAGCCCCCTGGTGGTCAATTATGGAACTGCAGTTTCTTGTCCTTGTGTATTAAGTTACATCCTCACATTTTTTTGAACGTTTTCCTCCTGCCCTCCCCTGACTCCTCTCATCTTTCCCCTCCTGCACTCTGCACAGCTCCAGTACACTCCAAATGACCAAATGACATCACACACACACACACACACACACATCTACACACACACACACACACACACACACACACACACACACACACAACATCTACACACACATCTACAAGTTCAGCCCACAGCTATGAAGCCGGACCGGTTGGCTGAGCCCACTGAGGACAAACAGCTGTGAGCGCAGACAGCCAAATATGAAAGCAGCGCGGCTGACAGAGGAAACAAGGCCGATGAATAGAGTGATCAGCAGTCATTATGTAACATTGATGGGCTGACCGTATCCATCATCCTCACTCAGTCTACCTCATTATCATCATTCTTGTGAGAAAGCCCCGGGGTGGAGAGGCTCTAACCGAGACACACACACACGCAGCGGCGGCGGTGGCAGGTCGAAAAGAGACAAAGATGGATGCAGGGAGAGTGTCTCCTTCCCTTCCTTAAAGGACAATTACACCCAGTGATTGATATTCAAATTGACCTCATCTTTAACAGCTCGCTGCAGAGGGAGGAGAAGAAGAAGAAGAAACCCACAAAGAGGGCAGAGAGAGGAAGTGAGGGGACGTAAAGGCTGGAAAGAGCAAGTGTGAAAAACAGGGTTTGAGAGAAAAACAGGCGACGTGTGAGCGGGACAGTCCCAGTGTGTGTGTGTGTGTCGGCATGAGGCGACATGAGTGCAGGTTGGAGCGACGCAGCATCACTTCTCACATCAACAAAACCAGACGGGGTGTGAGGAGTCATGCAGCTCACCCATCTGACAGAGCACGCACACACTCGGCGAACGCGGCGCCTCTGACGGCGAGGAGACGGTCATCTTTTTAATTCAGATGTGACTAACAGACAGGCAGCCATTACTTTCATTTCATCAGGGTGGTTGAGAAGCAGCAGGAAGTAGAGAGCCGACGTCCCGCTAAGAGCCACAGATCCGTCCATGTCCTCGGTCTTGAAGTCCTCAACATGCTGGTCCTTAAAGCTCCTGTTTGGACGTGTTTAAAGAACCGCAGAGACGTCCACCTGCAGCGGCTCTGCGGGTCTCCGCTGCAGTCCGTCCCTTTGTACTCCCCATGGAGGCTCTTTAACAAACAGACACAGCCAGGGAGAACAAGATTCCCCCGCTGACCACCGAAATCAAACCTCAGGAGCTTTTATTCAAAATTCACGACGAAACAAACCAAACCAGAAAGACCAGGATGCAGACCGGCCTCCATTTCAGAACCAACCCGGATCAGAGACGGGATCTAATGAGAATCTATTGATACCAAAACCATCATCAAATCTGATTATCGATCCAAATCTTTATCATTTCCAAGTGAATTCTCTACGTGGGGAAAAGTTTCCTGTGTCGAGTTTTCACTCCTGACTGACTGGACTTTTAGTCAGCTGATTGTAGATACAGTCTCTGATTGGTCAAATGACTTTACGATTAAAAAATCATCACAGACTGTCTTCGTTTTTGAGGGACTCGATCTGGAGAGTGTCTGAGGATAGAAAAGCTGCTGAATGTCAGTGACCGGTCTCACGAAGCAAGTGGATTTTCTTTTTTACATTTCACTGTTATTTTTAGAGCTGGAGCTGTAAACCAAAATATTATGTCCTCCCTGTAGCCCGAGGTGGTTGATATACATCATGTCATTATTTTGTAAGGCATGTGGTTACCTTCCCGTCAGAAAAACATGATTTTGACACAGAAGTGATGCAAAGTAGGGCTGGGTAATAAAACGAAAATTTACCGATACTGAAATTTACGACTAGTCGTCCGATTAATGTGGGAGGGGGTGAGCAGCTTGTGGAGTAGTTATCGTCCATTTATCGTTATCGAGGTGAACTCATCAATATATCGTGATATTGATTTGAGGCCGTATCGCCCAGCCCTAATGCAAAGTGATGCATGCTGCAGATGAATGATCCAGGGATCCCAGTTAACATTTAGTCATGGAAATGCTGCAGACCACACCGACACTGAAGCACATCAGTAAACAGAGGATGGTTCGCAGCGTTTATTTGAATTATAGAAAGAGGATTAGGATTAGGGCGACAAGAAGAGAAAAAATAATTGCAGGAGGGAGATTTTTTAAAATTTTCATTCTGAGATTAAAGTCGAAATTTCTAAAAATTGAAATGAAAAAAATCTAAATTTTGAGATTAAAAAAGTTGCTGTAAAGTGACTATTTAAATCAGAATAAAGTCCTTCTATTCTCACCTGTTGTTTAAGATGACAGTTGTTGAAATGAGATCCATGGAGCATTTCATGAAAATTTACTTTAATATCTGTTTCTCAAACAAGAGGCTACTTTAATCTTTCAGCACATCAGCACCACATTATTCTAAGTATCATAATGATTTTATTATGACTGTATTCTTGTAAGTTATGATTTTATTCTTGTAAATTAACGACTTTAATCTCAAAGTCTTCTTTTTTTTCTTAATGTGGCCCTAATACTCCGTCATAGTTGATCCCACAGTTTCAGACGCAGGTACAAACTGCTTCGAATCATAAAAGTGATTAAATGTGTTTTTTATAGCAAATACAATTCTGTAATTAATCATGATTTAAAACCGAGTCACTTATTTAATTATCTTAGAAAAGTGAGATGCTTCTGTGTCTTCTAAGTTGATTCGACTTCATCAAACATGTTGAAACGTCTCGATCTTTGGTTCAAAACTAAAATAAACAAATGAAACGTCAAATTAAACTTCAGTCTGAGAGGATGCAGATGAGGACGTTTGTCTCAGACAGACTGTAAAGAGCAGAGCGCTCATCGTTGCAGTGGAAACATCACACCTTTGATTGGTTCCAACATGTGAATGAGGACACCTGCAGAGCGGATATACCCACAGCGAGTACGAACCCCCCCGACTCACTCACTCCTGTTTTATCAAGACGAGAGCGTGAGCGCGTAATTGATTGTGGGGGGCGTGTGTGCATACGTGTGCAAGAAGAAGACACAGAGGAAAGTTGTTTTTGTGTGTCTGTGTGTGTGAGAGAGAGAGAGAAGGAGAGAGAGAGAAAAGAGGGAGGTGACAGGAGGCTGGGAAGCAGATTGGCAGGGGGGGGGGAGGCCGAGCAGGTGATGGAGATGCAGAGTGACAGAAATGCTTCGCTTGTCCATCCAACATGTCCTGGTGGCAGGAGGAGACGGTGCAAGCCTGGGGATATGTTGACACACATATATAAATACACACACACACACACACTGACACACACACACACACAGACTGCAGTAACAGAGGAGCCCTCATTTACAGATCAGCTCATAAATTGAACGTTCTTCTGCTGTGAGGTGTGTCACCTTTCAGCCCAGTAATTGTAAATTAAGTGTGACCTACTCTTTTCCAAAGGACTCACCCTCTGTCTCCTTTTACCCACAAGTCCTTGGTGCTATAATGACACATAATCAGCCCTGTTGGAGGGCACGCCAAGAGGGAAACAAACAGAGAAGCACACATGTAAACATGTTATCTAACCACACGGCTCCAGACATAAATGCGGCGCGATGACAGGCTGACAGGCCGTGTTTTTCCCTGATAACCGGGGGGACGTTGAGGGATTTTGTGGCTGTTTCACGAGGACCCACACGATATTCATGCAGGGTGCGTGAGAGGTAAGGCGGGCGTGTTTGTGACAGACCATGGATTATATTTACCCAGAGTGTATATGCAGGGATGGCCCACTCTGAGTGACTGTGTTTTTCACCGTGTGGGTGAGTGTGACTGTGAGAGTGGGAGCGCTAAGAGGATTTGTGCTCGTGCTGAAGCTGCGAGCCCACTGCTGCTGCTGCTGCTGATGCATTTGAATAGACAACAGGGGGGCGGCTACGCGGCGGCGGCTGAGAGTGTGCACCGCCGCAGCTAGGGGGCGCCACCCCCTGCAGAGCTCATTAATCATAGCCCATCAAAAAGTGGCCCTGTGCTGTTCGAGCGCGCCCCGGCGACCACCTACTGCATGGGAACACAGGCGTGCACAAGCAGCACGATCAATCACGATCAGACGTGCAGGGACAGAGAGAGAGAGAGAGGGTGAGGAGAGAGAGAGAGAGGGTGAGGAGAGGGAGACAGAGTGGGTGAGACTATGTTGTTTTCCTATTATCCTCTTGAAATTACAGACCAATGTCACAACTATTACTTGGAGGTCAAACTCATACGATGGAGTGAGACTCTTCCCCTTCCTGTGTGTGTGAGTGTGTTTGTGAGAGTGTGTTTGTGAGAGTGTGTGTGTGTGTGTGTGTGTTGAGTGTGCGGCGCCACTGCTTGTCTGCGCAGCTGCTTGATGAGAGTTACGCAAATCTACCCAGAGTGGCTGGTTGCCATGGTGGGTATTCACATGGAGCCGGCTCCTCCAGAGGCCTGCAGTCTGCACAGCCATTACCAGGGGTACACACACACACACACACACACACACACACACACACACCTTCACACACTCATGCACACAGACACACATCTACACACACACATACATTGTCTGTCTTTCTTTTGCCACCTCACTTCCTCGATTTGGACGTCCGAAAATCTGTCTTTCTCTGCCGTTGGAAACCTGACTGTAACTCTGCGTATGTGTGTGTGTGTGTGTGTGTGTGTCTGTGTGTGTGTGTTTCGTGCGAGGACATATAGGTGAGGACTACAGTGGGATGAGTGTTTGGGAGCCGGGGCCGTTTAAATGGCAGTAATTACATGAGAAGATGAGCTGCATTCCTTCCTGAGGGCAGGCTGATTACAGGCCTCTCCTCTCTGGGCCCCTGTAATTACCCACTCTACCCCCCCACCCTCCTCCCTCCTCCTCACCCCCGAGCCTCACCCTCCATCTCACTGTACTTGTATCAGGTCTGCTGCAGACGATCTAACCCCTCTCCCCTCTCTTGTTTCCCTCCCCTTGTCCTCTGATCCACCTCACCCCCTTCCCCTCGTCGTCGGGGTCACTCCTCCGTCCTCTCCTCGCTCCTCCAGCTGATTGCGGCTCACGCACACTTACAGAGACGCCTCAGAGGACAAACAGCAGACGCTCCAGCGTGCACACAGTCCAAACACCCTGAATGTTTGCATGGAGATCATTGGACTGTTTGAAGCTGGAAGCATGTCTGTGAGTCGACGCTGATGACCTCCTGATTTACAAGAGAGCAGTCCGATCATGATGGAGCCGATGCAGGACAAAGAAATCCATCAGAGTTTTGAGTTACCTAACACTATATTTCTGCAGTCTTATTAAAGTTTAAAAAAAAAAGTATTTCTTTCTCTTTTTCCTCCTGTCGATGTAAAACATGAAATCCCTGAAGTTTCTGAGCTGTTTCTGTTTCCCTCCTCCCTCACAGCAGGCGGCTGCTCACCAGCTCAGACACACTAACAGCTGCATCCGGAATATTCCAGCACAACAGAGGTCCTCTGATACGGAGGTCTAATGCATTCACAAAAAAAAAGCTCTGTTTTTCAGAGTAGTTTTTTCTGTTTTTCGGACTGATTATTATTATTATTATAATTCTTAAAAAAACTAGTTTTCCTGTTTTTTTTTTTTTTTATTAATTTTTTTTAGACTTCAGGGTTTTTTTTAAACTGTTTTTTAAAATTTTGTTTAATTTTGTTTTTCGGAATAATTTTTTTCTGTTTTCCAAAGTTTTTTTTTTTTTTAAGACAGTTTTTTTAATTTTGTTTTTCAGACTAATTTCTTCTTATTCTCTGGGATCATGATCATTTAAAAACGCTTTCATCCTCCTCTGCTCGATTCATGACCCACTTGTTTAGTTTGAACAAGTTTGACTTTCTCTTGGGTTTGAGACGCTCTGAGATCCTCCTTTTCTTTAAGTCGGATCGATGGAATCTTTATAAGTTTGTCTACTTTGCGCAGACGCCTCAGGATTAGCATACTCTATGTTTAACTAATAATACGCTTCACTCTCATCAACCCCATAGTTGAAGTTATCTAGGAGTCGGAGAATCAGTTGATTTGAAGCAGCCGCGGTGGTTAACGGTATCTGATTCTCACAGGATTTTAAGTATCTCATTTAGCCAGGAAAAAAATAGTTCAAAAAACAAAAAAAACGAAAAAAAGTTACAGAAAAAAAGTTTGTAAAACAGAAAAACAAACAAAAAATATATATATTTAAAATATTAGTACAAAAAAAAAAAAAAAAAAATTATAAAACAGTAAAAAATAAAAAACTCAGAAAAACAGTTTCTTTTTTTTCCTGGGATGTGAATGCAGTATATCTCCGTACTCTGATGATATCACTACAGTCTGAATCAACGTCTCAGCTGATAAATTTGTTGTTTTATTTTTTGACTTTTTCAGGTTAAAAAAGTTTTGACGTCATTTTGGTTCAAATCCAGCTGAATCACTTCACTACAAAAGAGCAAAATTATCTCCAAGTACTGTGATGTTGATCAGTCAGTATTGATAACTGAAACAACGATGAACACTAATGTTTTTTTTTAGTTATTCACAGGATATTATAACATTAGCGTAACAGCAAAAAATAATAAATAAATAAGAAGGATGTGATGTTCAGACAGTGTGTACCTGATTATCTTGCAGTGTTTTCTGCACATGCCTGGACTGCTAAGATCCTTTACTCTCTATTTCTACAGAAGACAGTGAGTCTGTCATAGTTTAAGTTATTGAACATCTGAAAAATCACCTGGAATTATTGATCGCATGTCAGTCAGTTGAATTTATTAGTAAAGTTCATGCAGCTTCACTCAGCTCCTCTCTTCATACCTCCACGTTCAGAGCTGCAGAGTGTGATCTATGCAAGAGAAGATCTGATCTGAGAGCAGAGAATAGACTCAAAGATCCACATAATAAAGAGGATGACTGTGTTTCTGAAATATTCTCATGCAGAAGTATAAACTGTTGTCTGTTAAAGAGCAGAGATGTAAATGTGTACAGGTGGAGGATGTCTGTCGAAACCAGTTAGACTGATGATGGCCGCTCCTCCAGACAAGACATGACAGCTCCCGCCTCACAGGTAAATCCCTGCTCTCCCACTTTTCTCCTTTTTCTCACACACACACACACACACACACACACACACACACACACACACACACACACACACACACACACACACACACACACACACATAAACACACACACACACACACAGTGAGGGCGGGGTTGACCTCACACAAACACAAACCTCTTCACCCCCCACTCAGAGATTCTGGTCGGACTGAAGACACACAGACAGTCAAATTACACGTCCTCCACCTAAACACCCTCCACCACCACCACCCTCCACCGCCGCCGCCGCTGCTCCAAACAACCATCCCTGACGCTCTCTCATTTTCGACGCTCGGTCTGGAAATCATCGACAGAGTTTCTGTTTGACTTTCAGATTATCAGCATCAGGACGGCTTTAACCGTTCTGAACTGGACCAGTTTTAGGACACACTGTTGTCCTCTGCAAAGCTCCTGCCGCCAGAATAGATTAAAATAATAAATGTCACAAATTTACGCCCGTATATTACACGCTTTTTTTACAGTACAGTAATTAAATATTGATTTTATTCATTGATTTTGTATATTCATACAACCTCCTGCAAGGTCGTCCCTAAAAATATGGAGACAGACGGACACACAGACGGGCTTTTTCCTCTTCCTCACCCATGAACTCCTGACATTTACCGGATAATTTCGGAGAAATCCGGCGCCGAGATTTTCAGGAACTTGCTGTTCACACATGCGCCTCACAGCAGGAGATTCTCCTGGTCGGACGTGCTCGAACAACTCAATACGCTTTGATCAGTGAAGGTCAGGGTGAAGCGGCGTGGTAGCACACGCCGGAGGATAAAGAGTCTTCAGTAATGATGACTCTTCATACCTCTGCTTTATTTTCAAGACGGTTTCCCCCACGCTGACACGGCGGTAGAAAACAATATCGATAATTTAGGAGACGGTTAATGAGTCTAAAGCAGAGAAACACGAACATTTCCACCTCTGAATAACTGCGTCAACCATCATCTGTAAACGACATTTTCCAAAAAGGAGAAATATAAAAGTCCTCCGTTCACATTCACACACGCAGCTCTTCTGCACACTCCTGGAAATTTACAACGAGGTTCATGAGGGAAATAAACTCAAACTTAAACTTGATTAAAATGCATAAAATAACACAAACGCACAGCATGCATCTCTGCACAGCAGTAACTGAGTACGCATAGATTTTATACATCATATACAGATCTGAGCCAAGACCTAGTTTATCGAACCCCAGGGGAGGGTCTATTTTTAACCCCCTTATTGAACATGCACACATGTAGACTGGAAATACTCGTGCATGAACTGGACTCTGTGGTCATGAACTACTGGGGGGGGGGATGTCAGAGGGAGCGGGCTGCACACGGACAGACGCCCCCAGCTGCTGGACTGGCTCCTCTCCAACCATCAGCCTGATTTTTACTCTATAGTCTGTATTAAAACTTGAACCAGTGACCCGCTGAGTCCTGATCCAGATCCCTGCAGACTGAACCTCTGACTGACTGAGGGAGGTCCAGAGGTTTCTCCTGATCACCAAGTTCAACACTGACGTTATCATGAGATGATTCATTAAACTTTGTGTTTAGACCTTAGATAACATTTTAATAATAGTTGGTTTTTATTGTTACAGATCAAATTAGAAACCTCAGGCTCGTCTCTATTTTAGAAATAAGTCTGTATTCATGTGGAGCAAAACCAGGAACAAGAACTGAAAGGACTGTAAGATACCAAAGCCATTATCAATGCTGCTTATCGATCAAGTTCCTGGAGATTTTTACTGTTCGGCCTTAACAGGTTTTCTGTGACGAGTTTATTTACCGTCTCTGCTCTGCTGGGACAGGAGGGTCCGGTTCCTGACTGGACTTTAGGTCAGCTGATCGCAGAAACAGCCCCTGATTGGTGGACTGACCAATACAAAAATGTCAGACACCTTCGAGCGCAGTCTGCTAACAACAAAAATAAGACGATCATGGGGCTGGACGATAACCCAAAAATTTCATTTTTCCCATATCTGTATATTTGGTGTCAAAAAACTAAATAAATCAAAGTTGTTTTTGGATGTGTGTAGGTAGGCTATGGTCTCATGTCCCTTTAAGACGCTGTCCTACGTCAGAGACGTGACTCCACCCCATCCAGTCTGTAACAAAGAGGGAAAGACAGGTGAGGAGATGGAGGACGGTTCAAAAGTTGGAGCAGCTGAAGTAGACGAAGTTGATGTGGGAGGGGCTGAGCAGCTCGTGGAGTAGTTATCGTCCATTTATCGTTATTGAGGTGAACTGATCAATATATCAAGATATTGATTTGAGGCCATATCGCCCAGCCGTAGACTATTCACTAATATCTAGAGGTAAAACATCACAGATTGCCTCTTTGTTTGGATTGGATCCCGTCTCTTAAAATACATGGATCCTGATTTTTGCCAGAAAGCTGCCGCTCTCACACAGTGAGTGGATTTTAAAGACAAACCATTCATGTCACCACAAAAATAATATGTTTTTTATGACAGTGAAGATTCTTTTAGTCACTAAATCATGATTTTGAGATGGTCCCACTTCCACGTAACAACAGCAGTGCCCCTTTATTCAGGTCATTATGGTAGAGCTCAGGCTCCCTGCATGGCTGTAATTGGACGCCTAATTGGGAGGAATTTTTTGTCGGGTGAAGGTGATAATGACGCAAGAAGCAGGTGTGAGAACCGTGAAGCTAAAACTGCATGACTGAACTAGCTCCTTCACCTCTTCTAAAGCAGGAAATGTAAGAAATAAAAACAGAAACTGTAAATATCTGTGAAATTATTCTAATAACAGCAGGAAAAACAAGCGTGTTTATGAAGTGAATCCTCCAGGTCTCATTAGGATGTTTTGTTGTTTCACGTGACGAAGTGTGAGGTCTAAAGATTCTGCGAAGACGTCACAACATATGTGCTCCGTATGATCTGATATGACAAGTCGGTCCTCTAGTGACGGCGAGACGAGGGTGGATCAAACTTCCTGTACAAATCACATCAGACACCCGGAGCAGGTGATAACGAAGACAGAGGGAAGTGTCGGATGGAGGGAGGAGGGAGAGAGAGAGAGAGAGAGAGAGAGAGAGGAAACATCACACAGGGGAGGAGTGAGATTAAAAATGAAAAGTCTCTGTGTCTTTGAGCATTACCAGGACAGAAATAGAGCCAGACTGGGAGGAAACTTCAGAGAGGAGACAAGAACATGGAGAGACGGAGGGGTGAGGGCAGGTAACCTGGCTAATGTGAGGGGGGAGGACGAGGGAGGACGAGGGAGGAGGACGGAGGAGACTAATGATGAGACTTAGTGTAAGCTGGTATCCACGCAAAGACGGATCGAGGAGGACGACGGAGGGACACAAACAGTCCAGGGTGGAGATCAAGAGTAACTTCTGATTGGTCCAAGTGTGTGTGTGTCCAAGTGTGTGTTAAAGTGTGTGTACTGTGGCCACGGCGGCCATGATTGCCAGCACTATCATGGCCGCCCGCTGCTGTAATGTGTTGTGACAGCAGCTGATTCTTGTGACTAACTGCTTTGGCAGGAGAGCTCCTCTGTCATGCTAATGAACAGCTGAGGAGATGAGCCGGATTGACAGCGGATCGACGGGCCACGCACATGACTCCTCACACACTCTCACACACACACACACACACACACACTGAAAACAGAAGGCTGGACGGCGTGTAGGAAGCAGACCTCGCCTTCACCGCCGTGTGCAGCACATGACACACTAAAGCAGACGTCCACGTTCGTAAACAAACGCAGTCCGAGTCAGAGTGACAGAGAGGAACACACATGGACAAACAAAGTGAGGCGAGGGAACGAGAAAACACACACACACACACACACACACGTGCGCGAGTGTGTGTGTGTGTGTGTGTCTGGCACAAACACAGAGGAGGTTGGCGTCACTCTGTTCCTTCATTGCGTCCCCTTGCATCAGAGAAATCCCCAGATATGCAGTACACAACAAGCAGGGTGCTGTAGGCCGAATGTGTGTTTGAGTGACAGAGAGAGAGAGAGAGGGAGAGAGAGAGAGAGAGAGAGAGAGAGAGAGAGAGAGAGAGGGAGAGAGAGAGAGAGAGAGGGAGAGACAGATGGAGTTTGTAAGTTTTAGATATTTGGACAGAAAAACTCTGAGATTTGCAGTTCAAGGTAGAAAAATGTGCATAAATAATCCACAAACTGCCCGAGAGCAAAATTAAATATTGATATTTATATCAAATTGTTTGTTTTATGAATAAATAAGAGTTTCATAACCGTTCAGACAAGATCTCTGTGATAAAAATCTGGATTTAAATGGAAATGTTTGTGTTTTTAAGGGAAGTGTTTTAGCCCCAGTGGATGTGGGTTAGCTCCGCCCCTTTTATTAGACAGAGTCAGGAGAGACGGCGAGCGAGCGAGGCTGCAGATATCAGCAGACAGACTTCTTGTTTTTTAAGGATGTCACCTCTTATCTAGAATTTAAACCCTCAAAGTTGATATTCAAACTTTACAACAAAACCAGCCTGCAGGTTAATATGTCTGCTGTTAGGGCTGGGCGATATGTCCTCAAATCAATATCACGATATATTGATCAGTTCACCTCGATAACGATAAATGGACGATAACTACTCCACCAGCTGCTCACCCACTCCCACATTAACTTCGTCTACTTCAGCCGCTACAACTTTCTCTCCGTCCTCCATCTCCTCACCTGTCTTTCCCTCTTTGTTACAGACTGGATGGGGTGGAGTCACGTCTCTGACGTAGGACAGCGTCTTAAAGGGACATGAGACCATAGCCTACCTACACACATCCAAAAACAACTTTGATTTATTTAGTTTTTTGACACCAAATATATTGATATGGGCAAAATGACATCGGTTGTTGTTGCAAATCTGAGTATCTGTAATTTTCGGTTTATTGCCCAGCCCTAGACTGCAGACTTGATTAACTAGAGAACAAGACTATGCGGGGGCGGAGTCACAGAGTCACACAAAGTTAATTTTAAGATTTTTTCGGGTCGGATCGAGTGTCTTTTACGTGCTTTTAACTAAGTTAGTGACACAAAATGGAAACAAAACCGCGGACGTTTGAAAGATGTTATAAACTTCCCTGGACAAACTTGGACAGCCCCTAAAAAGAGGACATGTGGTCACCCTAGATTAACATCATGCAAAATTGAGGTGCAAAGCCGTATCAGTGATCCATGCATCATTGACCTGTTTCACGATCACGCTGCATACAGAAGAACACGCATGTGTCTGCAAATACAAATGAGCTTAATGTTGTCTTTAAAAATTCACCCAATCACACGTCAGAGTCTGACTGTCTGCAGAAGACCGTAGCCTAGCTTGCGTGCCGTTACTCATTTAAATCCTGGTGACGTGTAACTCGTCCCATCTCGCTCCCAAAATAGCGAAATGTTCCTTTAATGAGATACTCTGAAATAAAAATGAGAGCGGCCGAGTTGGAAATAGACAGATAGCGAGGACAGACAGGGAGGTGGACAGCGAACAGAAAAGATTAGGGCACTAATAGGCAGAAAATCCATGTTGGAGGAGATAGATGAGGAGAGGTGATGAGGTGATAGCAGAGGAGGACAAATGGAGAGGCAGAAAATAGAGGACAGATTCAATCTCCTCGCCCCGCACGGCGTCGGGGTCCTGTAAGCAACAGCAGTCCTGTCCAGAAGCTAATGGCTGTTTTATCCTTTTGATCTTTTACCTTCACTCCCGTTATACCTCACTTCATCATCCTCTCAAAAATAAATTTACCCTCCTGCCTCGGACGTCTCCCGCTCCCTCGCTCCATTCAGGTTGGAGATTTCCATCCGGACCCCGTGGTCTCATCTGCTCTGCTTTGTTTGCTCTCCTACTTTGTTTTTCTGTCACAGTTTCAGAAACAGGAGCTCCTTCTTTTTTTTTCAATTTAATAATAGATATAGAGTACTTTTTCCTCACCGGTCCGACAGAAAGCAAGAGAAATAATCGAAACCCAGAGGAAGACAAACTTCAGACGGAAATGTGCAGTTCACGATAGGAGGGGGAAACGCACACCGCAGTGTTTGACTGCCACGTAATCTCAGAGCAGTGCAGCAGCAGCAGCAGAACATAAAAGTAATAACTAAAGCAGCAGCAGCAGCAGCATCTCACCGACTATCACTTTAGGCCAGCACAACCTTTCCATATCCGCCAATCTCAGCCGCTAACAGATGGTGAAACTGGGCGAGCTGATAATGATAACGGAGCAACAAAGGGACGAGGACGGAGCGGCGCCGCAAACTTTTCTGCAACTCGCTCCCCGGCCCCGTTTTGCAATTCCTCCCGTCTTCAAGGAGGTAAATCTTGTTATGTTTCAGGTCAAAATATCGGCTCCTTTCTCCTGAGTGATGAGTCAGCACGCTCACATCAATCATTCATGAGACTTTTGCTGCTCCACGCCGCAGAGACGGGAACTCGTCCTTGACCCGGAGACAGCAGGGAGGGGACTGTGAGGGAGGAGAGGGAGGACAACAACGAGGAGCCTTGGGGGGCGGGGACCAGTGTGACTGCGCTGGAAAGACTGGTCCATGATGGAGGCCGGGGATGACCAGAACCCCTGTTGGCATGGCGGCTGAGAATGGGAGAGAAAACGCCAAAACAGGCCGAGAAAGACGGATGGATGAGAGAGAAGTGGAGTGTCACCCGCCAGACGCCCAGGGCCGACACAGACGGACGCCGACACTGAGCGTCCAGAGTGTGTGACACTGTGACGGTAATGATGAGCGACTCTCTCCCGATTCCTCACCCCCTCCTCCTCCTCCTCCGTGTGTCACCCCCCCGCAGCACGCCTGGTGACCACGCATCCTCCTCTGGCAGGGGTCAAACCACGCTGCCGACTTAAGTCTGTGATCCTCCAAACCCCGCCCACTCCAGAAAACACTACAGGACTTTTAATCTCAAATGAAAGTGTTTGTGAATCCATCAGGAGATCATGTGGGGTCTTCAGAAAACAGCGAGGAGCTGCAGGGGAGCGCTGTCAGCTCGCCATGCGGCGTGGAGACCTGACAATGACATCCATGTTGTGAGTAATCTGTCAGAAAACAGCAGAGGTGTGAGCGGCGTTCAGCGCATGATCATTAATTTAATGAGACGAGGAGATCACAGAGGAGGAGGAGGAGGAGGAGAGGAGGGAGAGAGGAGGAGGAAGAAGAGAGGAGGGGAGGAGAGAGGAGAGAGATCAGAGCCAGGCTGCTGAGTCTATAAAGCCGAGACCATCAGTGCAGCGTCTGAGCGCAATAACAACGACACATGCACTCTTTAGGGAGTATATTTAGGAGGAGGAGGAGAGAGGAGAGCAGGGAGAGGAGAGAGGAGAGAGGAGAGAGGAGGAGAGAGGAGAGCAGGGAGAGGAGAGAGGAGGAGAGGAGGAAAGAGGAGGAGAGAGAAGAGCAGGGAGAGGAGAGCAGGGAGAGGAGAGAGGAGAGAGGAGAGCAGGGAGAGGAGAGAGGAGGAGAGAGGAGAGCAGGGAGAGGAGAGAGGAGAGAGGAGAGAGGAGAGCAGGGAGAGGAGAGAGGAGAGAGGAGAGGGGAGAGAGGAGAGAGGAGAGAGGAGAGCAGGGAGAGGAGAGAGGAGAGCAGGGAGAGTTTACATGCAGCTGAGAAAACTGAATTATTGACGTGAACGTGTCCTCCTCCCCAAAACTAGGGGGCGATATGGGTCTTGACGATGGAGCATCGTACAGCGTTGTTTTTGTCCGACATGATGGAAGCGCTACTTTTTCTAAAGATGAGACGAACGCTACTCCTCTACTCTGGGGGTTTTGTTACAGGGTTACGGGGGCGTGGCGTCATACTCCGACTACACTGGTTAAATGGTAGAGAAAATCGAATTCCAATCACATCATCTGGGTGTCTTAATCAGAGTTCTCAAACTCTGATTACAGTCGGACTAAAGTGTTTACATGACCTTCAATTGTCCGGTTTTAATCGGAATAAGGCGATAATTCGGTTTTCTTGGGTGTCGTGTAAACGGACTGAGTGTGTGTCTGAAAAGCAGAGGGACAGTAAAAGCACCATGAGAGAGAGAGTCTGTCTTTAGAGATCTTCATGAGCGTTCTGACGTTTCCATGGAAACAAAGTCTGTTTCCTGTGAGGACGACCGTCTGTACGTCTGTTTTTTATCGAAGTCTCTGTCTGTTTCGGTTTGACCATAATACACACGGCGAGTATCTTAAAACAATCATGGAGGACTCGGTTTAAACTGCGTCAGGTTAGAAGTCGTCTCCGGGGTCAAAGGTCACGTGTTTTTGGTCCGTCTGCTGCGTCGCTCAAAGCCGACTTTTCTCTTTCTATCTCGTCACTGGAGCAGATTTCTGAATGAGGCTGTTTTGACGTATTTCAGATCCCATTACTCTGGGTCTGCGCCGGGGGAAGGAGGGGTCACACGGCTGTGGTCCAGCGGACAGACGGGTATTAACTTCCTGTCCCAGATCCCCGCAGTCCCGGCCCACTGAACCTCTAAAACCTCAGGCCGCAGAGCCGAGAGTCCCGGCGGCGTGACTTTGTTTACACGCGGCGTTATTCTGACCTGTGTGTGTTTTCACCTCTCTCTCTCTTTCCCTCTTCCTTTCTCCTCCTCCTCCTCTTCGGCGTCACCCGGCCAACGCCATGGCGGCGGTGCTGGTTAAGAGGTTTGTGTATCCCATTAGGATGATGAAGAGGCCTTTCATCAGCGCGCTCCCTCCGGCCGGGCGCTGACAGGAGCTTTACCTCGACAAGCCTCTCAAACACGGCGCTCGACATGAGACAGCATCCAGCGAAGAGGTCCGCAGGCGGTACACAGACTCTGACAAACAGAGCTTCCCTCTCATCACACACACACACACACACACACACACACGCCGAACACACACACACACAGGAGCTCTGAGGAGACACTTTCTAAAAGGAAAGGAGACTAGGGAAGGTTAAAAGGGAACAGGACTTGACTAATTCTGACTCTGATCTATTTTTAATCTCGACCCAAACGAGGACTAATAGCGCCGTGGCCGTGCAGGGCGCCGTCCAGATGGGTTGAGTAATTTTTCAGCAGGAGAAGGAGGAGGAAGAGGACGGTGTGTGAGTAAAAAAGAGAGACAGGAATAGAGATGAAGAAGACAAAGATGGAAAGAGAGTCGGAGCGAGGGAGTGAGGGAGACAGAGATTGATAAAGACGGAGCGGGAGAAAGACGGAGAGGAGACGGAGGAGAAGCCACAGGAGTCAGGATGACCTGGATTCACAGGACCAGTATTGATTACTGGAGGATGAAAAGAGCTCTGCTAGGAGACGAGATAAATGAACTCACACACGCACAGACCTGCAGAAACACAACCAGGTGACAGACGCACAACTCAACACACACACACACACACACACACACACACACACCTGGAATCTGCTGCTATTGTAGCTGCTGCTGCTGCTTCGCCTTCAATCTGACAAGGTGGAGGCAAGTCGGCTGCATAATCCATCGCTGTGACGGATAATACTCTCTGAAGAGTAAAAAAACCATGACAGGTACGGACCCAACAAGAGTGTTTGTGTGTTTACTGTGCACACACACACGAAAACACACACACACACACACACACACACAGCCTTAAGAAGAAGAGCCCTCATCCTGCAGCATACGGGAGGATCTGATTAGATGGGAGTGTTTGTGGGATTTATGGGCAGATCTATGGAATGTGTTCAGATAAGGAGTAAAGGTTTGAAACCACATATAGGACTATAAGGTCCACACGGCCTTTTCTAGTCTGGATTAATCCGCCTCCTCTAGATTAACTTTAAATAATCAGTTCAGGAATTCAGACGTGTCTAAAGAAGCGCCGCAAAAGACTGAAAGCACAATAAAGGAAAACAGCCGTTACATATGACCACGACCAGCAGGAACGCTCGGGTCGATTTAAGAGGATCTAAACAGAAAGACATCTGCTGACCTGAGTGGATATTTGAGACGTTTGCAGTTAAACACAAAAGCTGTCCTGACTAATAAAGACACAAAAGGACTCTTCTCCTACAGAGCCATGCTGTTGTCAGAATGTAGTTTGGGATCATCTGAAGGTCTTCCCTGAAAAAATCTTTGTCTAGATGGACGCAGATGTTCCTCCTAAACCTGGAGATGTTGTTTAAAACTGAGGATGCAGCATCTATGATTTCTAGTTCTTCGTTGAAAGGAAGTAAGTCCAGTTGTGTGGCAGTATTTTTTGCTAGGGTCCGAAAAAGACATAGCAGCTGAGTGAAAAACAAGTTTATGCCAATATCGGATCAATATCAGTATTGACTGCTACTGACTCCTAATCTCCACCTTCACCCTGATCGTCTCCTAAAAGGTCGTATCCTCCGATCGTAGCTGATCGTAACCATTCAAGTTAACGTGTCAATTTACACCGACTTCTTTCCGTTCCTCTGCGGATCGCCGGACTCCTCAGCTGATCGCAAGAGTTCTATTTTTTCTGGACGCCGGAGCATGGCGGATAAATTCAGCACAGATTAACCCGTGCTGGAAAGGAAGTCGGGCACAGACACAAAATAAAACATCCGTCTTCTTTTCAAAATAAAACACTCCGTGTTTCAGGAGGATCGTATTTCACACCGTGCAAACGGGCGGAGACGAACAAGTGAAAGGTTTTTAGACGTCATTTCACCCCGATGACACCATGGATGAGGAGATGCTGATTCTAGAAGTCTAGAAGTAGATTTCCTCCTCTGGAAGGACACAATCTACTGCTTGTATGTCTATGTGTCTGTCTTTAGAGAGACGACTCGTTATCGCGAGATTGTACATTAATCCGCAGGTTCTTGTGAGTTCTTGCGATTCCTGCTGTACGTAATCTGCCATGAAATTAGCCTCACCAATGGATCCGGAAGAACTTGGCGTAAGGTGAAGATTGTCACCGTTCCGGATCGGAGCCATTTCAGATGCGGTGGAAATCTTGGGTCAGGGCTAAAATATCTGTATCATATTGGAAGTAAAGTTGTAAAAGAAGCATCAGGACAGCCCGACCCTGAAGATCAGGACCATCCAGTCCTGGTTTTGGTCCTAGTTCCTTTAGTACAGAGATTTGTCCAGGGACCTAAATCTGTAGATAAAGTTCAGGATTGATGAAGCCTTCACAGATGACATAGACTCTGATGATCCAAACCGGATCTACTTAGAGAGTAGAGGGTCGACCCGATTGGTCCGGACTGTTCTCCTCTCTCTGAAACTGACTCACATATTCAGACGAAGTTGTTGTTTTTTTTTACCGTAACCTTTCCGTCTCTCATATATCACATTTTAGTGTTTTTCTCAGCTGTGTCCTTCCGGCCCCGTACCTCCGTCTGATTGGATCGATTATACAAACTCTCCTCTCACGTCACGCTCAGTCATCTTCTTCATTGTTGATACGAACACTCTGATTTTTCGCCGCCTCACTCCTACAGAGTCTATAGTAAGCAGGCGTGGCCCTCAGAGCGACCACGCCGCAGGTCTTGATTGGCCTCGCTGTGCTGGAAAGCTCCAGAATAGAACGGCTTGACCCCCATACGGCTGCGGTCACTTAGTTCATTTGTGCGGCACAATGGCTGCCTGCGAACATAAAGGTGTTTATATCTTTCCCACAATTTACAATCTATTCAGCATGACTGACTTCACAACTTCCATTTTCCACAACAACAAAGAGCCTGTGTGTGTGTGTGTGTGTGTGTGTGAGCGGGGACAGGATGTGCTGGAGAACATGCAGGTGAGCGGTGATTATAATACAGAGCCGCTGTGAGGAGCTCCATCACACACACACTAAAGTAAAAATCAGGTCTGTTTGGGTTTTTAACACACAAGAACAAACAGCTGATGATTGATGGGAATAAAATGAGACTGGATGTGCAGCTTCTCTGCAAATACTCTGAAATGACTCCAGACACAACAGCTTTATCAACTCTGCGGCAGACTGACGCTGGTCAACACGGAGGAGGAGGAGGAGGCGGCTGAACGTTCCCGAGGCGACCTGGTGGAAATAGATCCCCGTGGAAATATCACAGCCGGACTTTTCTGCGCAGATCTTATTAGAATTAATTTCTAATTTCTTCAAATTGCAGAAAGAGAAAAGATTTTTGATCATTTCTGACTTGAATTGCAATAACAGCCATAATGACCGTGGTTATTATCGTTTAAGCGTCTGCTTCATTTCCCTCGCTCTCAAAGATGTCTCTGCTTTCACCACTAAACTCAACATTTCTGTATTTATTTGGATTTTTAAGGACGGGTCACAGAGGTGCTGATCTGAATGATGATGGGCTCTTTACACGGCGTCCGTTCAGCATCAGTATGTGGCGTGAATGTGGCGTTAAGCTCACCTACAAAAGAGGAAATAAGTCAAAACTCCCTGAAAACACTTTAAGAATCTATTTCTGCTGATTTACTCAGATGAAAACTTTCTCTGATATTTTTTCACTTTTGTGTGAATGTCAGATTTTGTTTTGATATAAAATTTTCTTCTTTCTTTGACGGTTTTTCTGCTGCACTTAGATGAATACTCAGGATACTTTGATTTTTGTATCTTTCAGCCCAAAATTGATCAGATCATCATCTGCAGGTTCTTTCTTTGCTAGTTTGCAAACAGAGTTTCTAATAATTCTAATGTTGTGTTATGATGTTTGCTACTGCCTATTCTTTCATCTCAGACTACGTTTACACGTGCCCCACTATTTACATGAACAGACATTTAACCCTCTCCGTTAACAAAAAAGCACACCGCTCCATTTTCAGAAAAGTTTTGTCTACACTAACCTGTTTGAATATGCCGTCAAGAGCATGCCAAACCTGTAGGTGGCAGTGTAGCGAGAAGCTCAAACCCACGTTAGCCAATCAGACTCCTGCATAGCAGCGACAACAACAACGTCTGCTCCTCAACACGGTACAGAACTTGTTTTTGCAAATTCAAGCAGATATAAAGAGATCGCACCGGTATGACTGCAACTGCTAATCTGCCTGCATCCATGATCACCACAGATTGTAAACATAGACTGTGGATTGTAAACAACGTCGCCATCGGCACCTCAAATCTCTGATTTCTCCGTTTACGTGCAAACAGAGTTTTCCAGAATCTCCACTCTGACCGGAGTTTTTAAAAAGCATCATTTTAAGGGGTGAATTCCCCGTTTGCGTCTAAACGACAGTTAATGTCTCAGTTTTTAAAAATAAGTGGGTACATGTAAACGGGGCCTCAGAGTTATTTCTTTTTCCGTATTATCAGCTATCATCAGTATTTGGTTTGATTTAAGCAGGTCCATCCTAAGGCTGAACCGTGTCTGAGCATAAACCTAAATAATCGTTTCCTGATGCTTTTTTAAACGCGGTTCATCGTTGGTGTTGAAACAGGAAGTCACTTTTTGAGAAGCTTAACATACCTGAGTAACCACAAAACTTGATAGACTTCAACAAAGTAGAGGAATCATCAGTTTAATGTCGGTTTTGTTCGTGGTTACTAACTCAGTGGCGCCCCCTTTAGCCCCTGCAGAGAGTTGAATCTAGGTTTCTGGAATTTGGCAGGTGTATGTATCCTGCTCAGACCTACAAAAAAGACTCTTGGACCTTTTTCATAAATCAAACAGGAAGTCAAGAACTTGGATTTTTATGTCAAAAAATTGGTAAAAATCGTCATTTTGGGGAAACTTTAAGATTCAACTTCTCCAAAAGGTTTTAATCGAATCCTCCTGAAATATCTTGTGGGTCTAAAAGAGACCTTGAAGGACAAAAATTATCCTTCACGGCTGTGGCAGCTGGTTACAAACAGAACATTTTTAGTTATTTCCCGAGGTCACACTTGAATTTACTGCCGAAAATAAACTCAAACCAGAACATTTTTTTAAATCACAAGAAAACACTTTCAGAGAGTCCTGTCTACAAAACCCAACAGGCATGTCTGATAGTCAGACAACACTGAGAAATATCCTGTAGATTAAAGGTGCAGTCTGTAAAAAAACAGGCTGAGATAGTTAACCTGCTCCTGTGCTCACTCCTCCTGTTTGTGAAAGGACGGTGGCCTTTAAGGACAAGAATCATCTCAATGTGATCCTTCATTTTTCAAACATCCGTCAAAACAAACTCACAAAGAAGCACATGTGAGTAATTTGTCCACTCTGAGCTCCCGTAGAGACACTGATCTTCCATTTCACTGAAGATAAAGTCACTCACTGCACCTTTAAGTGTAAATCCCATTAGGTATTCATGCTGATGTTTCTGCTATCATAGCAAACAGAAGTAACCTACATAAATGGAAATTACCTGACCTGAATCAGAGGGTCAAAGGTCACAGCTCTGGGTTAACTCCATATTCCAGCATCACTGCTTCATATCATAATAGCTGATGAAATCGAGGCTGAACGCACACGTCTGTGAAGGTCCCCCCGCCTCACGTTCCTCTGACCCCCGATCTAACCTCGCCTCGTGATGGTCCGCCCTCAGGTGGCCCAGCTGATCCGGAGAGCGTGAACTCCTCCGCATCAGCATGTCGGAAAACAAGAGAGCACAATCTGAATGTAATTACCCGACACGGAGGCTCACAGCGGTGTTTTCTCCTCATGAATTATGATCTCACACGCAGAGCAGCTACTAAACTGCTCCAAAGACCCGCATATTAATACACACACGCTACACAATCCCCAATCATTTTAATGGAGAGAGAGACGGCGATCAGTGGAGCAAATAAAAACAAGGACAGGAGGAGGCGGGTGAGAGGGGGTCCACAGGGGGCCGAGTGGACGTACCTGTGCAGCTCTTAATGAGTGTGAAGATGAAAAAGCAGCAAAGTTCGCTGAGCAGAAGAAGCGATTTTTAAGGCAGCGTTAGATTCATCACGCCGTCTTGTCTCCGACTCATCATGTTCTGAGGTGGTCCCCGTAACAAGGTGTGGAGATCAATAGCATCCATTTACAGAGGAGCAGCTCGTCTAATCACCGGGCGGGCGGGCGGGCGGGCGCCGTGTGGAGGAGCTGCCTTCACACACACCTGAAGAAAAACCTCCGAGGAGAAGAAGAGGCCAGTAATGAAACACTGCAGCCTCAAACACACACTCGCCTCCTCTCCTCACTCCTCTCCTAGGCTTCACCTCCTCTGGCCTCCCCCTCCACATGCACGAGTGCTCGGCTGAAGTTGCATATCGTGCGGTCCATTAGGAGTCTGAGGGGTGTTCGGCTCTGAGACCGAAAATATCCACAGCACTCTGTTTCTCTCTCTAACACTCATTGAACGAGCGCCTCGGGGTAGCAGCACAATAAGCGCTCCTCGTCCCCGCTCCCCGATGCAATTCTATAATTCATCTTAATTGAGAAAAACAAGCAAGCAGAGGGAAGGATGTGAAGTGCAGGTCAGGCATTTCAGGGACTCGGGGACTCGGTGTGTGTTTTGTGAGTGTGAGAGGTGAACGTAGGCGCTCGCTCCATCTTTTTTAAAGAGTGTGCAGGAACAGGAGCCTCCATGTTGTTATGACTCACTGTCATTTGACTCAATTGTCACCGGAGTGAATAAATCCGACAATATTGGGTTGAGAAAATGAAGAAAACAATCATTCCGACTGCGGGTGCTACAAACACGCTGAAGGAGAGGAAATTTGTTTTTATACTCGTCTCTCTGTGAGGTTTTTTACGCACGGCTGTGATTTATTCAAGAGCTCTCTGCGCTCAGACACAGGAGTACGAGGCAGATGGTGCTTAAACACTATCTCCAATTGCAGACTAAACATGACGTCTGCATATCAATGCTTTGTTGAGTAACTTTGGGACCAACATGGCGGCGCGAATACAGATGGAGACGTGGCTTTTACTGCTGCAGGTAATGAGCAGTTGTATGTTTTCTTCATGGCTGTTTAACATTTATGAGAGGAAATCTTGCAGCCTAATGCAGCTCTGTGTGAGTGCAGCAGAGCATGTGGTGTATTTATTTTGAATATGCAGCACAGTATCAGTTATTTTCCCATCCTGCATTGCTATCTAGGGCAGTGGTCAGCAGTTTTAATCAATTTTCCAAACAGGGGAGCTCCACGCAGGCAGGACAGAGGGGAGCGGACCAAGCAATAATAATAACAACGCAAAATCTAATCTGAATTATGCTCTAAAGAGATTAGGTCAAAATAATCCCCAGAATAAACACAAAGGGAGGAGGAGGAGGGGAGGCCGCTGGTGATCAAACGCAGAGAGGGGAGCGGCGCCTTCATCGCCTGTGCGGGGATGTTTTTATTCCTGATGGTGGGATTTGTGTAAAGTTGTGTTTGATTTTGTGTTTATTTTGGGGAATGGGAGTTCGTCTGAGGCTCTGGGGGTTGGTATTATTGAAGGAGAATAAAACGCTTCCTATTGTCTGCTCAAACAAAGAGAGAGAAGGATTCCTGAACATTTCAGGCTCATCCAGATTTATTAAAACACGTCACCGCCCAGTTAGGCAGAGATCACCCAGATAACCTAATAAACCAATAAACCCATTATCCATTAGAGGGAGAGGCGTACAAGGTTAAAACGGCGTGTAAACACCGAGCCGTCCACTAGTCTGCTTTTAAACGAAAGAGGAAGCAGGAATTAGTGAGAAATTCAGCGTTTTTCTTCTTAAACTCACAGACAGCCTGAACTTTATTTTCTGATGGCACAGCCAGACCCCAATAAGGACCTTAACATCAGCCAGGTTTTAACTCCGCTCCTTCAGCGGTGTCACTATGATTTTACGGCCCGAGGAGAGGATGCAGAACTTCTCTAAGTCAGTATTTTGAAGTTACAGTTTGACATTTTGGTGCCTGGAAACTTCAGGAGGATGACAGGAGTGGAGGGAGTCACGACGTCAGACCGCAGGAGTTCAGAGACTTTATTTTTACCACCAAACTGCCCCCAATACCAAAAACTCTACTGCACATATGGATGTTTGAGGACGAACGGTGGATCAGGGCTGAAGCAAATTACCACCATTAATAACCTCCATCTGAAAATGTTTCAGAGTATGTGCTCACTAAAAAAGAGACAATTAGGTTTATTTCAACCTTTTATAAAAGTTTGCTACATAAAATAGTATTCAGAAAAAATACGAAATAGAAAATGGTATTAAAAAAAATAAACAATAATAATAATAATAACCAAAAAATAACAAATAAAAACATAAAAAGTAAATAATAAATAATAATAATTTTAAAAATATATAAACAAAAAATATAAAAGATAAATAATTAAAAATGATTATAATAAATAAATAATAAATAAAAATATAAAAAATAAACAATAAATATAATAGTTTAAAAAATTTATAAATAAAAATATATAAAAGATATATAATTAAGAATAATTATAATTAATACATAAATGAAAATATGAAAAGTAAATACTAAATAATAACAATTTAAAAATTAACAAATAAAAATAAAAATATCATTAAAAATAATTATAATAAAAAAAACTAGCTCTTGTGGACACTCAACTTGAAGCCACATGACTTTATGCTCTCCTCACGCCTCTCTACTTTTCCTGTTCTCCACTTTCCTCCTCCTCTCTCTGCTCATATGGATTTCTTATATTTGTTTCCACAAACACTAAATAGGAGCATCATTAATCTTGTTTTCTGCAGGAAGTCCAAACTTCTGCCTGTAGGAGCTGCTCTCTGTCTTCACAGCTCTGTGGTTTCAGTTGATTTGCTGGAATTACTGCAGGTTTTCTCTGCGGCCTTCCTGCTGCTGACTCTGTGTGCTGAAGGTTCAGGGATCAGAGAGGACCAGGGCCACAGCAGACCTCAGGGTCAGCGTCAGCCTTTCTGCTGAGCCGGCTATTGTCCGGCAGCTGCATGGCCGCACCACTCCAGGTCTATTCAGAGTGTATTCAGCAGCCTCAGCTAAGTGCAGTGGAAACCCTGACTCTATTGTCTGACGCCACGTCTGTTTGAGCTGCGGCCGAATGCTCACTTCATCTCCCAGAGAGTTCAGAGGAACAGTGGAGTCTCAGAGAATGGGGGCGGATTTACACGAGTAAAAAGACACGTTAAACACATTCAGCTCTCATACAGAAACTGCTCGACCTCTGTGACCTTTAAGGAGAGTCAAACTACGCTGCATGACCTCTGAGTGCCTCCCTCAACACCACACTCAAACACAGAGAGACACGAGTCGGACATGTTTGTCTGTATAAAGTCATCATCGTCATTAACTAACCTTTAAACTCAGATTTTACCTCGTTAACCTCGTTTTATTCACACTAGGGCTGTAACGTGAGCATTCACAATAAATACATCTGAATATGAGACTATAAAATTAATTATATATATAATTAACTGACAGATTAATTCATATGTTACAATGCTTTTAATGTTTGGTGCGGTCTGGTAAAGCTTAAGTTAACTTTTGGGAATTTTCAGATTATTTCGTACAAATTTAGAGCCAAAAAAATCTGATTTATTCATTTAGATTCAGGAGAGACACACAGCAAACACAGAAGAGCAACATAACGAATAGGGGTGGGAGAAAAGATCAAGTCACGTAACTATAGCAATTCTTCGTTCTACATTTTTTAAATCAATTTTTACGTTCAAAAATGTATTTATTTTTTCAAATTAAAGAATAAATCTTAAAAACTGCCTCACATGTGATGTTTATTTTTAGGGGAAATATGGTTCCTGGAATAGTCAGTAAACAATCATAATATTTCAACTGTTTCACTGGTGTTACAAATACAGACTACAAATCGACAATATCGTAGAATCACAATTTAAATCAAATCGGCATCCAAAACAATCGTAGAAGAATCAAATCGGTAGAAAAGCCTATGGTCCCAGCCCTAATAACAAACATAAACACGGAGTTACAGCCCATATGGTCTTAATTTAAAGTCAGTATAATAGTCTAATATACAGAGTAAGCAGGTGATCTGTTTTAGAGGAATCAACCAATCAATCAATTTTCATTTATATAGCGCCAAATCACAACAATCGTTATCTCAAGATACTTTCCAAAAAGACGGATGGACAGGTTATTAATCATCATAAAAGGCGAAACACACACACACACACACACACACACACACACACACACACACACACACACACACACACACACACACACACACACACACAGCTCTGTTCCGCCCTGTCTGCTCCATGATCCCGTCTCACCTCCTCCTATAACAGTCACAGTTCTGAATCGACCCTGCAGCCTCTTCATTTCTGTATTCAGTTTGACATTACTACTCTCTGCATGTCCATCCTGTTAGTTATAGTTTATTAATGTTACAGTATATTAGAGTCTTTAGTCAGAGTCACTAAAAACAGTCTCATATGAGCAAAAAAGACAGAGTCCACCTGCAGCAGAGAGTGAGAGAAGAAAGTGTGGAAACTATTCCTGATTCTCTGAAACCGGATTATCCGGACTGGAGTCGATGTTTAGATTGTCCACATGAATCAGTGTGGTGATTTCAGGACTTCTTTGATGTTAATGAAATTTACTGAAATTTACTCTGATGCCTTTTCATGACATTAAATCGGCAGCATGAACGATCATTTTTATATTGTTGTATTTAATGCGTGAAAATAATGCGAGTGAGGGCAGGAGTCAACAACAGCGCTAAGTTTATGATTTTTCACATTAAATATTCATTTAAATTCACGACATTCGACTGCCAAAAGAAAGCAGGGTGAGGGCAGGATAAGCAATGACTGCTTTGTCCACAGGGGGCGCCAAAATCAACACAAACCAAAGGTTCCTCTTAAGCGCTTTAAGGAGGAATATAAGACAGTTTAAGCTCTTTCATTTAAAGCCGCCCGTGTGGAGTCATTTTTAAAATATTAAAAAGTGTAAATATCAGAAGTCTGAAGTTTTGTGTGAAACTCCAGTTATTAACTTTTTTTTGTATTACGTAAGCGTGCAATATGAGCGAGCTTGTTTTTGCCTCCTCATCTGCTACAAGCAGGAAATAAGAAGCAATAAAACATTATAACACACAAACGAGGACCAGGAGACCAGTGGCACTGCTGGTAAGTCAGAAATTCCCAAAGTATCGAGAAAGTGTACGATCACACGCGCTCAGTAAAAAGCCATCTGGAGGCATCAGCACCTCTACGAGCAGAATTAAGTCAGAGTGCAATGACTTTGTGGTTTAAAGTGCCTCCATAGAGCGCCATTATTACCTTCCCAGAATGCAAATGTGCTTTGGGCCAATTAGAGGTAGAGCCAATACCAATGTAAGCCCATAAAAACCCACCCTTCATAATCATTCAGCAATATGACTCATGGGTGAGATTGGAGCAGCGGCCTGTAAATGTGTCAGGATTATGAGTCTGTGCTGGAAAATGAATGGAGGAGCCGAGCGTTGGGTTCCCACGGTGGAGGCTGGAGCCGCTCCACGCATATGTTAGTGTCAGCGCCTCTAATGAAATAAATAGAGCTGTGATAGTACTTATTAGGACGCCGTAAGTGGCAGGTAAAGACAAGGGCCCTGCGGCGGATCAAAGCAGTTAAACGTCTCTTTTTTAGATCTCCACCTATCAAGAGGTATTTAGGAGGGAGAGAGAGGGGGGGAGACGGGGGAGAGGGGGGAGGGAGCTCTTTTTGTTTATGGAGACAGACGCCCTCATCCAGGATCTCTCTTTGTAATTACACGCCACCGAGGACCTTCATTCCTCCGCTCTTCACAGGGAGAGATGAAAGACGAGAGAGACAGAGGCATGTAATCGCTCCTCTGGCTGAGAGAAAGAGAGAGAGAGAGAGAGAGAGAGAGGGAGGGGGCGAGAGAGAAAGAGAGAGAGAGCGAGAGAGAGAGGAGGTGAGGGACGCAGGGAGGAGAAGGACAAAAGGATGGTGAGTGGTGGTTTGGTTTTAATAAACCTCCTCTGTCTGTTGTTTACAGAGTCTCTCCTACCTCTGCTCACACACACACACACACACACACACACACACACACACACACACACACACACACTCACACACACACACACTCTCTCTGACTGAAGCTTCATTATTCTCGGAGTTGCCGGCTCCTCGCCCTCAGGACAGATGTGTAAATTGTTGTGCTAATGTAAGGCCCACTGCTGAGAGCTTTTGAGGGAAGCAGATTTACACACTCCACACCGCCGTACGACTGTCACTCACACACTCAGACTCACAGGAGCAGAAAGAAGCACGCCGTCAGCGACAACCGCTCAGCACACACACACACACACACACTCGGGTCCTGATGGAGGCGTGGGCGGATGCTGACAGGCACACGTAAATGCTCCGCTTGCTTCTGCCATTCAGAGTCCGACAGTCTCACTCGCACAAAACGCTCTCTCACCTAAAGAGCGGCGGTGAACATCCAACGTGTTACTTCATCCTCACGTACACCTGCAGCTTCAACCACAGTCCAATCATACTTCCTGTTATTGATCCTTTATTGATAGAGTTTAAGAGTGAAGTCAAAACCTCTGAAACATCAGGAGTCACTGAACCGTTTTAATAAAGAAGGAAAATAAAGAGTTTAACTTAAATGTGAGAAACAAACGCTCCCTTACTCACCCCTTCATAGGTGAAACTACGGTGGCCTGTAAGGTCAAAAAGCCTTTTAGTGTGATCCTCAGAGTTTTTAACATAAAAATGTCTTTTATCTCTTTAAGCACATTAACTCAGGGTCGTATCAAATCCATTTTAATTTTTCCCGAATTCCGTTTTTTACCTTTTACACTTATTTACGACCACGGTGTGTCTGCTTTTAGTGTCAGACCTGGCTAGCATTAGCATTAGCAGCAAAACGTCGTTTTTCTTTGTTTTTCACGACGAGTGGTCGTCACACGTGTTTTTGCATTTCCAGTCACCTGACACATAAAAGTCTTTTGGAAATCACTCGACTCTGTACTTTAGAGACAGACGAGAAGTTTTGAAGTTTTGAAGTTTTGACGCCGATGTAGCCGATGTCTCTGGCAGCCGCTTCAACATGCTGTTTGTTCTGGAGGGAGGGGGCAAAGAGATGCACGGGTGGTGCACGATAACAGCATTTCAGTCACTACATGCCAATTTCCGTGAAATTCTGCGTTAAACAGTAGATTCCTGTTTTATTGTCTAGTTCCACATTTCCGTTAACGCCTAAATCATAGGGCCACACTAACTTGTCCTCCTCTTCTTCAGTTCATTTTCACCGACTGGTCCAGTTTGATTCGGTTTGGTGCAGTTATCCCTGATCCCTGGCGTGTTCGCTGCATGACCGCCTCAGTTAGACTCGGTTTACTGTGAGGTCCAAAGATCTCAGCCAAAAAAATAACCTAGGGCTGTATCTGCTCTGATATCTACGATTACGACTTCCTGAACTCCTGATCTGACAGTCATCTTTGTTTACGCTCGGTACTTTTATTCTGAAATTCTGTCCATGCAAAATTTTTGGTGAAAAAGTCACTTTGGACAAACTAAAACTGAACTTTTCAGGGTAGAAAGTTCTCATTTATTATATTTATTATTAGATAAAATCAGATTACAGTTCATCTTTACACCCTCAGTCTCAGCAGAAGACGGTCTGACATCAGTCTGGTTCTGCTCGAGGTTTCTGCCTGTTAAAGAAACTTCTTCACTCCTGAGGTTGCAGAGGCACACAGGTGGAAAACTTCTGACCGGTCTCTTTCTAAAAGCACCAACCAGACTCTAACAACTGTCTGTAATTCCTGCGTTTCATCAGTGAGTGAGGGAGTATTATTATCTTTTCGCTCTTTTCGTTTATTTCACGTGTCAAACATCGTCCTTTTCCGACTCCTTAAATCAGTGAATTTGCAGCTTTTGTTTTCCTTTTGTGTCATTTTGCAGGAATTATCTTCGGTTTTCGGACTCCTGCTTTGACAAAACAGACAATTTAAAAGCGACACCGCGGGCTCCGAGAGGGAAATGATGAGCAATTTAAGCCGTCCTCTGACATTCAGCGGACTGCAGTTATAAATGTAATTATAATAATCATAATTGAGTTTTTCTTTTTTAACTCCTGGTCACTTCTCTGCCACGCATGACGCTGTAAGATGGACGACCTCTGTGTTTGTGTGTCAGACAGCGTGGACGCTCCCTGAGGGGGTTTCAAACAAACCATCTGCCCGGGAATCTGCCCGCCCGTCTGTCCGTCTGCCCGCCTCTCTGCAGGTATGTCTGTCCAACCCTGCGTGATCCGAGTCTCTTTTATGAAGAGGAGGGCAGGAGGCTGCGGCGTGAAGGTGAAGCTACAGACACAGAGACACCTCTCCGTGTTTAATGACCCTCTATAACTATACCGATTCATCTCCTCTGGCAGAGCGGCGAAACGCTCCTCTGCTGAACATATTGCATCATGCTAATTCACGAATCTCAGTACAGACGCCTGAAACACGCTCCTCCGTGTCGCTTTAAACCTTTCTTTAAACGACACCACCAGCGCTCGAATACAAATGGCGTCAATCTGGTGTAGATTTCGCATAACGATGTCAGAGAAGACATAAAGGAAAGAGCGTCAGCAGCTGCACCAATCAGGCGGAGCGCTCAGCCTCGCATTTGGCACAGTCTCCCTGATCGATAGCATCCATACGGCCGTCCTTTGCTTGTGTCAGGTGCTTTCTCTACCTGCTGTACAAGTGCACACACACAAACAGAGGAACACACACACACACACACAGTCAGACACACACACTCACAGAGTCAGACACACACTCCTTTTGTGGCTGAGGGGATTGGAGGCGAGTGAAGCTGAGCAACAGCAGCAGAGCAGAGACACCCAGAGTTAATGAACCCTCACCAGTCAGCATGGCTGTCCATCTGCTTTCATAATCCCCATAAACAGCAGGCCAAGCAGCCGCACACACACACACGCACACACACACACACACACACACACACACACACACACACACACACACACACACAAGCAGCATATCGTCATCCAAAACATCCGACATGAAGAATGAAGGCCGAACAAGTGCTTTGTGTGTGTGTGTGTGTGTGTGTGTGTGTGTGTGTGTGTGTGTATGCAGGATTCGGGGGTGATGTGTCCATTACACAGCCTCAGCCTCAGCCAGCTAATCTAAGCGGAGTGGCGAGGAGAGGTGAGCGTGAGGTCGGCCGCCGGGCCCATCTGGTCAGCAGCAGGTAAGAAGCTTGAGACACACACACACACACACAGACACACACACACACACACTCGCTGACTCACTGGTGTGTGTGTGTAGGTGTGTGTCAGCCCTAACCTTAATTACATGCAGGTACATCTGCCACATTAGACCAGACCTGGTCCTGCTCCTCCTGCTGCGTCTCGTTTAAGATGACTCCTAACTCTTCAGCTGCTGATGCGCGGCGGCGGCGGCGCTCTGAGGCTCAGACTCTGTTCACCTGGCACGGCGAATGAACGGCGAGGATAAACCAGGTTTCCTCCTGTGCAATCAGAGTGAGAGGGACGGGTGTGTGTGCAGGAGCTGAGCGCTGATTGGGACCGGGACCGCGACCCCACTGTGACCCATGTAGAAAAGAGAGTAATACCTAAGTAATGATGCTGGCTTCACATCAGTGTGTGCCCGTTACACACACACACACACACACACACACACACACACACACACACACACACACACACTAAAGCAGCCTGTCAGACCCTGATTAAGACCTGCTTCCAGAGCCAGAACAGGATCTTTGCTGAGAGCAGGAAGCTCCCGGTCAAGTGAAGCTGCAGTTTGGTCAGTTCAGTCCAGTTCGGTCCAGTAAACCCTCGTCTTACTTGTTTTTCAAGAGTCAGAATTCCTGTAATCCTAAACCCTGATTGGGTATTTACATCATCAGAGGCGGGTTTTACAGGTTTCTGGATCCTTCTCTACATTTTATCAAAAGGAGATGCTAATGATCAGATATTCTTCATCTGTGGTTTTCCAATAACAAAAACAATACTGATGCATTTTATTACCAAAATTATACAATTGATTAGGGTGACCATATCCTGACTTCCCAAAAAGAGGACACGACAACGCGGGGGCGGAGTCACGGAGTCACACAAAGTTAATTTTGAGAGTTTTTCAGGTCAGATCGAGTGTTTTTTACACGCTTCTAACTCAGTAAATCCACGTGACAAAAAAGACATTTGAAGGATTTTATAAACTCCCCCAGACAAAGTTGGACAGCTCCCCAAAAAAGAGGACATGTCCGGGTCAGAGAGGACGTATGGTCACCCTATAACTGACGGTGTTTCAAAGACTTATTCCAGATTTGTCAGAACAGTGGTATTGTCCTGCAGAGCGAGACTCAAACTACTAAATGTGGAAATTCTGCAAACATCCACAGAGTCCAGGTTTCTGAACGTTTGTTCTTATTGAGAGAAATAAACACGTCCGTGAAAAACTAATCTAAAAATGAGAACATGTCAGGAACATCTTATAGACAGGACTCTTCTAATTTACACGCAGAAGTTTTGTCTTAAAGTCGTCTCTCATCTCTTTCTTTTAGTCCACGTTAAACTACATTTATTGTCGAACAACATCAGGTCACAGAGGATCATTCAGGTTTTGGGGCGTCCATCTCTCTGTGTTTGTAGTGAAATTAAACTCCCTGACCGACCCCAGACTCCTGATTCTAGACAATCCGAACAACACCCGTCTCTCTACACGCCACCTCTAAAACACTAACCCAGTCTTGGAAAAGTTTGGCTCCGCCCCCGTCCACAGTCGACTGTACCCTGGTGCTTTTTTTCAGCTTTATCATTTATCATATGTAAGCATGTCAGGAAGGCTTTTCAAAGTAAAAGCCCTTGAGACTTTTCAGACTCCCCTTGTTTTCACACTGTGCTTTTATTTTGAAGTCTAAGTTAGACCTCAGGGACCCGGATTAAGTTTATGTACATAAAACAGAGTCATGACTCCCAACATCAGGTATAATCCACGATAATCCCCCTCCCCCTCATTCCCCTCATCCACAGATTGCAGAGACTCAGAACTGGACCTCATGTTGGCGTTCCAGTTTGAGACTCTGGAGTCAGATGAGGTCCTGGAGGAGGTCTTAGAGGGTGGATGAGGGTCAGATCTCGCTCTTTCTCTCTGCTGTGGTCGTGATCTGAGAGAATCTGAGCAGAAAAAAGGATTACCCCCCGCTGTGCCTGTTTGTTTGCATCTGCGTATGTTTTGGGGATGAACGGAGCGGACCCTTAACCCGGGGAGCGGACCCTTAACCCGGGGAGCGGACCCTTAACCTGAGGAGCGGACCCTTAACCCGAGGAGCTGGACTTTTTAAAGGTGGAGGAGGCCGATACGGCGAGGACGGGGTCGAGGAGGGCGGATCTGGATGTTCCCTCGCCGCCTTGATGAAGTGCCAATCACAGCTCCACCATGAGCTTAAGAGATGGACGCGCTGCTGCTTTAACTCCACGTTTAAACTCCCCCACGTTAAATAACACAGAAACCCACTGCTGACACGCGGCCAATCACACAAAACCCACCAATCCGCCCCAAATCCCCCCCTCCTCTCTGCACGCGCTCATTAAGCATCATTCGCCTTGATTTGAAACATAAGGGCGGGGGGAGGAGGGGAGACTCCAAGTTGTTTGAAAGTCCTGCTGTTGCCTAGCTGCCTGCCATGCAGACAGAAGGACGCGGGATCATTTCCGCTCGCTCTGTCTCTCAGGCGGAGATATGCACACGTTTGCTCAACACGCCGTCTCTCCGGGGAGGTCTGCGTGTCATTCCCTGACTTTAGACACACCAGCTGCTCCGTGTGTGTGCGCTAGTGCGCCCCCATCCCAGCGGCACCCACATCCACTTACACACAGGCATGACAAAGCTCCCCTCCTTTACCTTCCCAAACACCCCCCCACATTCAGCGCCGCCCCCGGGGCAGATGGGACCCTAATAAGCGTTACACTCAGAGAAATGGGATTCTTCACACTGCCGACTAAAGAGCAATTCCCAAACTCCGACTGCAGGAGGAAAAAAGAGAGATGGAGAGAGGAGATCTAGATGACAGAGGTTGGTGTATGTGAGACTATAAATACGCCTGATGAGACGATCAGGAGAGTGACGGGAAACGGGGACGAGTGACGCCGACTTCTTCATGTGGATCTGGGGGATTGTAGCTCCGCATGACAGATTCACAGAAAGGAGACGATAAAACACAAAGTTTCCTAACGCAGCATATTTCTGCCTCCTGATGGAAAGTGTATTATTAACACACTTGGAGCTGTGGAGTTTTCCCCCCACTTATCTCGGCCCACGTGGCACAAACAGACCGGCTGTGGTCTAAGCTCTGAGTGGACTTGGCTCGGCCGACTTTTCAAGACAAAAAAAAAAAAAAGCTAAGAAGATGAGGGGGATCTACACGGCCTGAAAACCTCCTTTTCTCTGAGCAGGACACACGCAGAGAGCTGGACGTCAGCACAGCCAATCAAGCGTCGACTCTGCCTCTGATCTACAGACCTCAGCGCAAACACTCCCACCACCACCAGAGTGTGTATTTGTCTGCATATGTGTGTGTGTGTGTGTGTGTGTTTATCTCAGGGTAGGGGGTGGTTCGGGGTCTGGCGTGACCCCCTGTAGTGAATCCTGATCCTATTGGTCACGATGCTCAGAGTGCTGCTGAGATCTTAAATGAAAATTCCTGCACTCGCTCTCCCACTCCTCCAGAGTAACCCAGCAGGTCCTCCGCCATTTAGCGCTGCCTCTCCATCGGGGGGTGTGGCTCACATTCGCATAAGTCTTTGTGGGGGGGCCGCACTCTTGATGTCAGATGTCACTGAGCATGTCTTTGCATATCAATCATGAGGAGAACAGCAGGTCTCTGCACCGAAACAGACCAGGAACTGATGTCTGCGTTTGCATACTGGTGCAGGATACTGGTCCAGCTACTTTCTGACACTTTTAATGGTTTCCAGTCAAATGTTTTCTTTTCTGAGAACATCAGACTCTGTGTTGTTTGAACTCACTGCTCTGTGAAAAACCCAGATGGGTTTGTTTGGTTCAGATCAGGTTCTGATCGTCTGTTTACCTGTGGAAGTGAGTCGACGGCGTTTTCATGTTTTTAATCAGAGTTTGGAGAGAAACTCTTTAAATGACGATAATCAGTCCTGGTACGAAACCTCAGACACTCCTGCAACTTTTCCCTGAGTGGAAACAAGTTTTAGATTATTTAACAGGTGTGTCCACAGGGGGCGCCAGAGTAGCTGCAAACCCAGAGTTCCTCACAGGAGCTTTAATTGTCAGCGGATTTAATGTTGGCCGTCTCTTTGACAAAATAAAGATTTGAAGATCCATTCGTCGTTAAAAGAACCTGAAATTATATTTGGATAAATTAGGAATTATTTCCTTTTAATGAGCAGACATGAAGCTACATAATAAAAATCAAAATAATGAGATAAAAATGACAAAATAAGACGAATTATCTCTGATTTTATGATTCTGTTTTTATTAAAGTTCAGACTTTCTATCTCGTCATAATGATTGATTACTTATATTCACAACCTTTTAAACAAAGGTTCAACTTTTTACAACTTTGACATGTTATCTCTTCTTTTCCTTTAATCAGGATTTTTCTCCTCATTCTAATATTAATCTGATATTTATCTCTTTTGTTTTTTGATTTTCTTTTTAATTGTGACTTTTATCTTTTGATTCTGACTCAGTATTTAAGATTTTACCTCTTCTTCTTTTTTTTATTTAGTCCAAATCTCCTCTGAGTGTTTTTGATTTCTGGTCAGTGTGAACAGTTTCCCTTTAGTATCAATATTTCAGAGCACAGATCAATACTTCCTGTTAAAACTGAGAGGATTCAGAGTCTCGGACTGATCTGTTGTGAATCATTCTCACAGATTTGGACGTTTGGAGCACCGCTGCTGCGCTTCACCTGTTTCCTCGTATGTGCAGACACTTTCTTTAACCTTTGACCTCGTGTTCAAACTCCTGCACTTTCAGTCACTTTTGCACGCCCTTTAAATGCAAACCTCTCTCTCTCTCTCTCTCTCTCTGGTAACTTTCACGGTCGTCATCCTCCGTTTCCTGTCCGTCTCTAAAGCAGCTCCTCTAAACTCCTCAGCGCGGTGGTTACCTGTGCATGAGCTGTTCTGCAGCAGACACACACATTTCTGCAGAGAGTGTGTCTCCTGTGAAGCTGTGAGTGTGTGTCGAGTGTGTGTGTGTGTGTGTTCTCGTGCCGCCCCCCCCTCAGCCCACACAAAGGGGCAGAAAAAAGCCTCTCTGGAGTCTCCTATTCATCTGCAGCACAATGGAACCCCACAGAGGTTTTCTTCCTGTTTCCCTGTCTGCCCCACCCATCTCCCCCCTGTGGGGGCAGGATGGAGGGGCAGGGGGTACCCCGTCCTGCCCGCCCAGAGGCAACCCGGCTCCCATCTGCCATCGAAACTCTCCCCCTCTCTCTCTCTCTCTCTAAGCATCCCCCCACCTTAACTTTTCTCTGACTCCACTGGAAATCTGAAATCTGCGTTTGTGCCGACGGTCAGAATCAGAGGTCATCAGCAGAGAGACGAGTTTACTCGCTCAGAGACGCGCTCCGTCCTCGGGCGAGAAAACAGCTTTACATTTCAAACAGGTCGAGTCTGAAGGTTCGAGCCGAAACGTTCTCGGTGTGTTTGAAGTGAGAGCTCACAGGTACGACCATCTGCTGCCAGATAAACAGCAGACAGAGGATGAGATGAAATATTGAAACGGATGATAATCATCAACAGTTCATTTGTTCTCATTTTAAATACCAACACAGAGAATCAGCAGGAACTGATTTCATGGTGACGGAGAATCAGGACCTGAGCGGAAACTTTCCTCAGAGTCAGCTCCCTCCCTCCTCCTCCCTCCATTTAGCTCTCTCTCTCTCTCTCTCTCTCGCTCGGCCTCTCCCTCTGTTAGCTGCAGATTTATGATCGGGTCGAACATGCACAGTATTGGCAAAGCATTAAACATGTCCACTCTTAATACTGTGAGCTCTCCCCGTCGATAAGAGCCTTAATAAAAACATCCCCCCGCTGGATTTGTGCGCCTCGTTTTCACTTTCAACATCCGTCTCTGCTAACGAGCGTCAGGCGCTTTTTCACCTCTGCTGTTGTTGTTTTTAATAATGACAGAGAGAAACAGCTGATCCTGAGTGAACCCTGATGACAGATCTGGAGGAGTCGGGGGTTCCTGTCAGACATCTATGATGACGCCTGATAGAAACGCTGATATTATACTTTTGGTTGAATCACGACATCGATCATTAAACTCTCCCACTGATTGGTGTCTGATGATCTTCACTAGAGATCGACTGATCAGCCGATTATCAACATTTTGAAACAAACAGCATCACATCGATGAAACTCTGAGGTTGAAGTCTGCAGGTGGATGTTTGGGTGGAGAAATGGAAGTGCAGCGCTGAGGCAGAGAAGAAGACCATGGAGCGCCAAACTGGGAGGGTGTGGACAAACTGGTACCAGTGAGTTTAGATGCTGGTTGCAGATGCTTTTGGAGGTCATAACGAGGCATCAGTATCTGTGTCTCAGCTGGTTAAAAACTCCTTATAGTGCCTTTAATAAGTTCAGTTGATTTTACTGAACCCAATCTTTTTATTTATTTGACAAAAATCCAGCTGAAGTTTCTAAAATGTCGCTGTTCTTCAAGTGAAATACAAAAACAAAGACGATGTGATATCTGTGTTTTATATCCGTCAGCTGACCTCCTCTCTTTAAAGCCGATATCAGACGGACGCTCATCTGTATCAGAGTTTTATTTCAACAGTCTCAGACATTCGTAATATTCAATATTCATAGAGTTTTGTTTTCACAGTAGATGTCTCTCTCCTGACTGATATTATTGGATCAGTATCGGCTCTAAAACACTGATATCAGTCAGCTGACCCACACCCCTCCAGCTGATCTTTAATCCACAGGTGAGTCCGTCTCTGACACGGATCTTCTGTATCTCTGCTAACAATCACTTCACACTGCTGCACATCACCTCCTCCCTCCTCCCTCCCTTCCTCCTCCTCCTCCTCCCTCTCCTCCGGTCCATGCTGGAGGTTTAATGACGCTTGAATGCCACAGCTCTGGAGTTTTCTTCTTCTTCTCTGCTGCTCATAAAGGATATTTAAAAGCCGTGCCCTCAGATCAATCTATCTCAATGTGTCTCTCTCCGCTCCTTTCCTCCTCCTCCTCCACCTCCTCCTTCTGTTTCTCTCCTCACTTTCAGGAGAGCGTTACCCTGTCTGACCCTTCTCCTTGTTCGCTTCACTCACATCCTCTCGGCTGCAGTCGGGTCTATCGGTACCCTAAAACCCCTGACTTCCCCCGGGTCGGGGTTTGAGCAGCTGTTCTCCTCCCACTCCCCCCGTCCCTCCGTCGGTCGTCTCTGATGTCAGGATTTTGAGCATCATAAGCACACTTTAAATATTAACTAAGACCACTTTGCACGTATGAATAATACAGCAGAGAGGGCAGCGGCTGGCCAGTGATCCCATCCCCTGCCGCCTGACGGCCATAAAACTAATGCACTGCTCCGGGACAGAGCGTGGCCCGGTCTGGTCCGCCAGCAGGACTCTGGGTCTGGCTTGTGGCCTGGCCCAAAGAGGACTGTCTGTCTGCTTCTTCCTGGAGGTGTCCAACCACCTGTCCCTGTCTCTGCAGAAGCAACAGCCTGGCAGCAGCGTTCTTGTTCTGACTGCGTGTTTCAGAGACTCTTTAATCTAATCTGACGTCTCAATCTGTTGAGCGTCTTTGAAGCCAGATCTCCTCCTCGGCTGTTTGTTGGAGCTTCGCTTTGTTGTCACATTCCTTTCTTTTCACGCATCTAAATTCAGGAAAATTACAAACTCCCTCCGACTCAGCTGCAGAGCAAAGCAGCAAATATTCCAGTTTACAAGCTCGTCACTAATATCAGAGGAAGAGAGGCTCGCCGCCGCTGAGCTGTTATTCAGGATTCCCACGCTGAACACAAATGAGACAGCACTTCCTAGAAGAGTGCCACTATTCATCCGACTCTCTCTGGGAGTGTCTGACACGCTACGCTCCCTAACTCTGAACACTCCAGCGCTCCTTCACTGCTGTCACCCTCGCTCTCCTCCGCTCTGACCTCCCAGTTGGGACACTGGTCTCCTGCCCTCCCTCAAAGCTCGGACTGGGAACCGAGGAGCTTTTCTAGGCATGCAAAGACCCCCCAGGCGAGCTGCACATTTATCACCCTTGTGTCATCTCGGGCTGTTTATAACCATAAGGATATGTGTTGAAAATTAATTTCCCTCGATATCAATAAAAAAACATGATCAATATGCTTTTCAATAGTCTGCATTCTGCCATGTTTTGGTCGCCAATGAAAAGGGGAGTGTCTCCGGGTCTGAACCAATCATGTTCTGAATTAGAACCAAGTATCAACCAACTGCAGCGTCGTAGCAGACGGCAGCTCCACCCAACCATAGCACTTTAACAGGTGAAGCCGACAGCACTGTTGGTGAGAAACAAAGAAAATGAGTGCTACCCCCGACAGAAATGACCATGAAGGCTCAACAGATGACCACATCAATGTCAACGACAACATTGGCGTTAGGAAAACGTCGGTGGTGTGGAGGTATTTTGGTTTGTTGAGGTCGGACATGAAGCAGAGTAATGTGGACTGTAAATTATGTCGAGTACATAAATGGTGATAAACTTTTTCCTGTATCGCCCTGAAGTCAAACAAATCTCCTGGTGTTATTTCTGATTCCTGACATTTCGGCTGAATCTCTCAGATCACTAATTCTGAGCTGCTGGTCGAGTCCGTTCTCCAAAAAGTGGAAATTTAAACCCCAGAAACTCGGACAGACTTCAGTAACCCCTGACCTTAAATCTAAGATGGCTGCCCTCTGAAACATCTGCACAAAGGCTAAACTTTTAACGTCATTGTTAGGGGAGTTTAGGGAGGACTGCAGTCTGTGTTCAGGTGCAAACACAATCCTTCAGCTCTAACGGAGATGATCAGGAACTCACTCTGATTTTGTCCTGTGAAATAATCGACCTCACTGATACCGATACGATCACACACTGTGCTGTTATTGCCTGTTGTCATGACAACAGGAGCGTTACGGTTCATTTTTAACTCGTATCTGCAGCGCTCCAACATCTGAGGGTGCAGCGTTATTTCATGCAGCTGGTGTTCTGTTCAGTTTTGCTGCTTAGCTAGAATCAGTCAGTTTGTACTTTCTCTTCATGTTAGCGTCACCGACAGGAGTGAGTTTACAGTCTGAGCGTGTTTCTGTGCACCGCCATTTCTCCATCAGCCAATCAGAGAGCAGTCTGGTTAACCCACGCTCCAGATTAACCACACGTTTAATTTGCAACATCAGTCAGGATTAAATATAAAAACATTCAAGTTTCAGCAAACAGACACAATCAACAGTTGTGATTCAGCGATGTGAAAAAATCTGAGGACCCAGACTCGACCCCCGGGGGATTCATGCTGTTGGCACGGAGGGCAGATATTTCCACGGGGTGCAGAATTACACGCAACACCGCTGACCGTCACACTGCAGTAAAGTCCTGTTTCCTGAAATGTTTGTGTACAAACAGCTCGAGTGTCTCGATCAGAGTCTGATTTCTGATCCTGATAAAGTCGTCAATAACGACACCGAGCAGCAGCGGAGTTACTCCAGACAAGTGTTCCTGGCAGTCTGGGTAATTAATGTGTATGTCAACAGAGAGGGAGAGAGAGACAGAGGGAGAGAGAGAGAGGGAGGGGGCACCACGGCAGAAACGTGAGCTCAGCACATCCACAAGCTGCTCTGGAGCGAGACAGGAGGATCTGAGAGGAGGAGGAGGGTGAACACACAAAGACATGAAGATAAATCTAACCTGTCTGTCTCATCATACAGTCCCCTAAATATGTCTCCAACTTTACTGGGACACTCTCAGCTCTGGTCCCGCTGGTGTCCCCCCTCCTCTGGACTTCACTTCAGTCCTGATCCTGGTCTGTTTGAGATCAATGTTCCTTCATTTCTCATGCGAGGATTTCAGAATGGGCCACAATTTTAATAAACATAAGCTGCTTTTCTGCTCCGCCTGTTCAGGGAATAACACACACACACACACACACACACACACACACACACACACACACACACACACACACACACACACACACACACGGGAACCTTTGGAGGTATGACACGGCTCTTATTGGCCTTCGAAGAAACCTCCACAGCCCGTCCCTGAGTCCAGAGTGGGGTTCTGGTTCTGTCACAGGAGGTCGGGTCGAACCCTCATTGTTCTTTTTTCTACTGTAAATGGACTTTAATCCACAATCCACTAAACCCTCAGATTTCTGCGTTTCAATCTGATCCACCAAAGGGAGGGAGGGAGGGGAGAGTCCAGGCTTTAGCAGCACTAGGCCACACAGACTTTAATCATCAATATGAGAGCGAGGACAGGAGGACAGGGGGACAGGGGGACAGGTAGGCAGAGTCACCTTGATGTCCAGGATTGGATTTCATCTCCATCAGAGTCTCTGACAGATCCAGACCTGAAACTACATCTGATGACATGAAGATTAATGCAGACTGTGAAGACTTGATGCTCGGCTGGAGGGTTCAGAGCAAAGCTGAGAACAAGAGGAGCTAAAATTAGAATCTCACAATAAGAAATATTTCTTTAAAGGAATCTCTTTCCCCGAAGCTCTTCCGGAGCTGTGTCTGACTTTTCACAAAGCTTTTTCTTTCTGAGGAGGCCAAGAAGGCACGGAGCAAAACCTTAATTACTCCCTGCGCACCGGGGGAGTTTGATTTTTCCGCTCCAAGTAGAAAAGAGAGCTCTGAGCTCGGATCGAGCTGCTACTGTAAGGAGGAGTGTGGAAAAAAAAGTGCAGATCAGCAGGCGACCCAAGACCTCTGCACTCTTAGAGGAATGCGATATAATCCAAGACATTATTCTGCAATTCCCATGAGGCTAAAGTTGGAGACACCAAAGTGTCTTTGAGGCGTGACACTCGGAAATATAAAGTCTCAAATCCGCCTCAGAAAACAGCAGAATCAAAGAGAACAAGAGCGCATTTCTGTGCGTGTTTTGCGCACAAGTGTGTTTCAGATTAAAGCAAAAAAGAGAAACTCACCCGTGCCTGACACGACGTATCCCCCGACCAGGAGAAGGAGAGCCAAAGGAGCGAGTCCTCGGTCACGCTGAGCCCGAGCAGGGAGCATCTTTTCCGGCTATGTCGCCGCCAAACGTCTCGGGGTTGTCCACGCAAGACGCAAAGAAGAGTGGCTCTTTTCCCCGAGAGTCTGCACCCCTGACAGGGTCCTCCGAAACCAGCGGGATTATTAGTCCACTGACGGGTCTGGAAAGTGGTGGTTTTCGTCGATTGTTCACTCTGAAGGCTGAAGCTCAAAACACATCCATCACCGAGCGGCGGCGAACATCCGAGAAAGAGCGAGAGACGGCTGTAATTTCCGCGCGTAATCAAAGTTTGGACTTATCCATCGACATCAGACTCCGTGGATTCACGAGAGCGGGTTCTGGGGACTATTCCAGGTGGGTTTCATTTCCAGCCGCGCTTCAGACCTGTTTGACTGGCAGCCATGAGCGGAGAGGCGCCGCCGCGTAAAGTCACCAAAAAGTTTGACGCATTTCGAGTCAGGATGAAAGAAACGGAGAAAGCGAGAGAGTCCGACTCCCTGTGAGGGGGAACACGCAGAAAAATCACGAGGAGATGCTGTCAGGCAGGCAGGCAGGCAGGCACGTCCACTGCAGACTCTTCTCCCGGGTCTGCTCCGTCCCCCGGCAGCGTCTTCACTCGTCCCCGGTCCGGGAGGTGTAAACAAGAACACGGGGATCTACGCGGAGCACAATGCCAGCCTCCGGACTACCAGTCCCCGCCCGGCCAATCACATAGCGTCCTCCTCCTCCTCTCAGAGTGAAGGCTGAACAAGTGAAGGTAAAGTGGGAGCAGGAGAGGAGGAAATAGATGGGAGGGGAGAGATAGAAAACCCGGACTCTAGAGCGCGCAACGGAGACGCTCTGGATTCAACGAGGACGGGTCTGCAAGAGAGAGAGAGGAATCTATCTATCTATCTATCTATATATCTGAAATAAATAAATATAAATGTGATATGTTTAAACCCTTTAAATCTGCTCCACTCGTGCGTCCCCAGCTCTGTCTCCAGTCTCTGGTCTCCAGTCCAGCTCTCTGGGTTTAGACTGGAGCACATTAGAACCTGTCACTCCAGCCCGGGGTCATATTTTCCTCCCAGCGGCCACAAGAGAGCAGCCTTTCATAAATGAGTCTTGAGGATCTCCAATGGAGGAGGACGCCGGTCTGAACTCTTCATTATTATCGGAGTCGAGTCCTGAGAGAGAGAGAGAGAGAGAGAGAGAGAGAGAGAGAGAGAGAGAGAGAGAGAGAGACTCGGAGCTCGGGGTGTGTGATTGGTGAGCAGAAAACCACAGGAGGCTTCAGGAAGTGCTGAGTATGAATCTGTCACCAGCTGCATGATAATGGCAGCGCAGGTAAGGAGGGACTGTTTGGAGGCCCGAGCCTGTGGAGGAGGAGATGGATGGAAGAAGAAAAGGAAATAAAATAAATATATTTGTCCTTTTTTCTTTAAAAGTCGACTCTCATGGTCTTTGATTCAGCTCCTGTTTCCTCGGGTTACAAAAGTTTCCTTTTTAATTTCTTAGACATTTCAGTTTTTGTTGTTGTAAAGACATCTTCTTCTTCTTCTTCTCTGCTTCTAAACACTGAACTTTACACACAAACAGAAAATTTGCTTTTATTAGCTGAGAGTTTGATGAAGATGATGGAGATCTTCAGGAGTGACAGTAGGGCTGGGCGATACGGGAAAAAGTTCATCGTGATTCATCAGAGTTTGTAACCTTTTACATCGTGGCGCTGCTTCAGGTGGTGAAAAAGATTTGAGGTATTCCCCGACTTTGTGAGAACATGTACTCGACATAATTTACAGTCCACATTACTCTGCTTCATGTCCAACCTCCAAAAACCAAAATACCTCCACACCACCGACGTTTTCCTAACGCCAGTGTTGTGGTTGACATTGATGTGGTCATCTGTTGAGCCTTCATGGTCATTTCTGTCGGGGGTAGCACTCATTTTCTTTGTTTCTCACCAACAGTGCTGTCGGCTTCACCTGTTAAAGTGCTATGGTTGGGTGGAGCTGCTGTCTGCTACGACGCTGCAGTTGGTTGATACTCACCTGAGTCTGAATACTGAGATTATTTCAGTCAGTGCATTACTCTGTTATCATTTGTTTTATAACTTATTTTTTAATCGACATTCAGAAACAGACATTCACAAAACAAACATCATGTAAACATACTTCTTACATCTGTTGTCTGCCCTTAATGCTGAAAACCAAACTTTAGTTTATATCCAAATAATGTGAAGAAAAACAAACAACAACAGTTGAATAAAATTAAATAAAAAACTATGATTAAATAAAATAAAAAACTCTTTCATGCGCAGAAGTAAACAGGCTCTTATAGACGTGTTTGTTGTACAGATCTCTGGTTTATTCTGAATTTAGATATTTTTCTGTTCCTAGTTCTGCATGTTTTTTTGTTTTTAACCACCAAAAGCCTCAGATCAGTTTTTTCGACACGATGATGTGTGCAGAGTTTGTTATTGCAGCTTCAGCAGCTAACTCAGAGTTAGATGTTGATCAGGTGAACTCATCCTGTGGACCTTTTCTCTGTTTGAGAGCATTAGCTCACAGTTTAAACACCTGAACCAGCAGGTAACCCGGGACCCCTCCTGCTCTACAGAGTCAGTGAAGACGTCTCTCTGCAGGTGGATGAACATGTTTGTGAGCTGCATCAGTAAGAGAGTGAAAAAAAAAAACTTTTTGGAGGAAAAATTTTGTATAAAACGTAAAAAGTTTAAACGAGTGTTTGAGTCTGAGGCTCTGAAAATGAACCAGATTATTCAGCAGAGTCGAACCATCGGCAGAAAACTGTAGCCTAGTTTACGTGCAGGTAGGGCTACATGATTAATCCATTTCCTAATCCTAATCAGATTATTTGATTATGACGATGTTTCTATGATGTCCAATTCTTCGTTGAAAGGACAACTGGACTGACTTGACTTGAAGTAAGTCCAGTTGTCCTTTCCATGTAGGGCTGCACGAATAATCGATTTTAATAAGTGTTTGCAAAAGAAGGCGATCATTTTGTAGTTAAATAGGACAAGAGCAAGTCAGTCGTGTTGAATTGGTACGACTTCACAGTTTCAGACGACGAGCAAACCACTCCCCGCTGCGAAGTCTGTCTGAAGGCGGTATCAACCCGTCACCACGGAAACAAATTCAGGAGGAAACGCAAAATTTTATCGTGGTATCGGCGTTTCATCCACACGGAAACGGCATTTCAGGTGACTGTAAACGATCATGTGACACACAGTGTAACTCTTTTATAGCACCAAAACAACCTTTATACACATTACTCTGTACTCTTCTTCTGTCTTTTGTGCATTTCCTGTGCACCGTTACAGCGCCACTTACTGGCTTGGTTTATGTACTACATCGTTTTCAGTGGTTTTGTTTTGAGAGACGATAGAAAAACGTTTTATTAAAGTGAAGTTTGGTGAAGTTGTCACTGAATAAAAAAATGCGAGGATAGTTAACTGTTTAATTACGAATGCTAGGATGGTTGACGGTTTCACTAACATGCTAGGCTAGTTAGCGGTTTCAGTACACATGCTAGGATAGTGAGCGGTTTTACCAACATGCCGAATTGAAAAAATCGAAACTTGAAAATTGAGTTTTTGGAGCAAAAAAAATCAGGATTTTATTTTTGGCTAAAATCGTGCAGCCCTACATGCAGTTTCTCGATAAAGTGACCGAACTGACTGACATCTTGTATCTCGTACAACCTCCCTTGAAAAACACTGAAATATCCCTTTAAACTCCCTGAATGATGGATTATAATCTCAGAGTAAATCTCAGTAAAGGGTTGAAGCTCTTCTCTCTGATTCTGTGGAGAATTAAAACAGTACCATGTGTTTTACCTTCCTGCCTTTATTGCTCTCTATATGCTGCTGCGTGCTGTGTCATTCTGTGTCGAACAGTCGGGGTATTGTGCTGAGTCACTGCGGTGGTCAGTAAGGGGGCGGGCTATCCTTGCATGACTCGGACCTTGGGATCGGATTAACGTCGCTGTGTAAGGAGCCGAAGACGACATGAGATACTTAGAGAGTGAAGCCCGGAGTTTGAGGCGCGGGGTGATGCAGACAGAGTTTGTGAGCACGCATGCCTACAGCGAGGCCGTCCTCCGAGACGTGACAGTATCTGGCAACAGAACGGCGATGCTGCGCGGCGCTTAAATCCAACTTCAAAGGTTATAAATCGTCTGGACAAGTGATGACTCCCTCTGCCTCCTTCTCTCTCTCCCTCCCTCACAATTACTCCGTTTCCTGGAGCACAAGTACTCTCTGGATTACTTATTTATTCTCCGAGTATTGTGACCGGTGAGAGCGCGGCAGAGCGATAGAGACGTGGACGGAGAGAGAGAGAGAGAGTGGCGGTGAGAATGAGAGAGGTTAAGCGTGAAATGGAGTTCGCAGGTTGTGTTTGAGGCAGAGTTTCCTCGTGGAGCTGCAAATGCATTTTCTGTTTACATGCCCGTGCACGCTGTCGCTGGTGATGGCGTTTCGGTTTTACCCGCCCGTGTCAGGTTAGTCGCTCCGTGCTCTGCATAATGACAACGCTGAGTCTGCACTTACATGACATTATCCACAATCTTCCTCAGAACACCTCAGCGGGCTTTCTGCACATGTGCAGAGGCGCTTCAGGACGAGGAGCTCATTCAACAGTTTGACTTTACCGACTGTTTCGATGAGCGTTTACAGGATACGAAGAATCTGAGACAAGATATTTATGTTTGAACCGATAAATCTGATTTTCTCTCAGTTTGAGTTTGAAGCTGCTCCTCAAAAGTTCATTGAGGGTCAACAAAAGTCTGAAAACTGCTCCAAGGACACCTGTTTGGATCATCCACAGGTGAGCAGGAAACAGGTGAGGGTCATGATGGGTCTAAAAGGAGCACCGGGTCAACAACTGTGCGAGCTAACAGTCCAACGGTTCAAGAAGAAGGTTTCATCGTCTACGGTCCATAAAACCATCTAAAGGTTCAGAGAAAACTCGGCACAAAAGCAGCAAGGCTGAAGACTGTGACCTTTGACCTTTCAGGCAGCGCTGCATTAAAAACCCACATCAAGTAACCCGTCAGGTAACACACTTCTGGATTTTAATAACCTGATCACAACCCTTGACTCGTTGATCCGTTTGACTCACATCACGGCACTGTAAACTCTGACCAGGAGCTTTGCATTGTGGGTAACAGTAGGCGAAGGAGACTGGCCTGATGCATACTGTAAAATTTTCCAGACTCAGCACGCCATCCAGTTTGTTTTTTTTTTGGGCGAACTGCGACTCTCACATTTGTTCTGCAAACAACATATTTGGCAGATCCGTACGCATGCTAGGATAGTTAGCAACTTCAGTACCAATGCTAGGCTAGTTAGCCGCTTTAGTACAAATGCTACGATATTTAGCGGTTTCAGTACACATGCTAGGTTATTTAGCAGCTTAAATACGCACGCTAGGAGAGTAGGCGGTTTCACTTACATGCTAGCATAGTTGGCAGTTTTACTAATATGCTAGGATATTTAGCGGTTTAAGGGAGCATGTTAGGATAGTTGGCGGTTTCAATATGCATTCTAGCAGGGTTAGCAGTTTCAGTACACATGCTAGGATAGTTAGCGGTTTCACTAACATGC